CTGCATGGCAACCCGCCCCCGTAGCGCCGCCAGATCAATCTCATTATTAGATACTAGATAGTCTGCTCCTGGCAAGCCTCCAAACAGCAGACATGATCAGCAGTCTGATCTTGGCTTTTACAGCCAATTTCTCGGATCGCTAGCCGCTGCTGTCAGGGTGCACTCCCCATCCTATACTCCGTAAGTACATGCCCATCGCAGGCCTGCAGTGTAACTGTACGGAATACAGTTATGTATATCAACTATCAGCTACCTCATCACAGTTCTGGTACAAGTAGATCGTCATGAAGTCAAATGACCATCCATCTATCTATCTACCTAGCCATTTATCACTCATCATACTTAACCGCTTGGGGGGGGGGGGGAGGAAAGTGTCGTGACTAACGCAATTTCCCAGCCGTAACAGGCCGGCTGAATCAACAAGCATCCAACCATCCCCGGTCCTCTCAGGGCATATTGGCCCCGACCTCCGACCCTCCCTGCCTCCGCCTCATCCTGCGCAAGCTTTCTGCTGTTACGCTGTAGGCATCAACATTCTCGTATCTGGCCAATAGGCGATCCCCGATGCAGGGTGGACTGTGGAGGGGGGAGGGGCCCTGAACCTGAACCGGACCCCCCCCCCTCTCCCTCCTCGGCACGTCAGGCGTGCTTCTAAGCGCTTGGAATCGGACCTTTTTCTGACGTTATCCCGGGCCCTGACGCGTCTGATGGAGCTTGGTTCGGTTCGACTATTGTGTCAACTTTCCAGAGTTGAGATGAGGTGGGTTGGGTTGGGTCCACTGTTAACTGTGAGGGGGTTTTGGATTTCACTATCTACCTACATGCGGTAGATAGATACAAAGTACGGAGTTGATATCTATTATCTAACTACCTACCACTCACTTCCACTATCAAGTAAGTATCTACGAGGTTGATAGGTTGTGAGGTTGGGCTTTAGAGCCAGCAAAAGAAAGAAGATGAAGGAAGAGAAACTCGCTGGTAGGTGAGTATGGAGCAAATCGCAGACTCTTGGTTGGTCGGGGAAGCTAATCCAGGGTCTTTGCCAATTTCACGGCCATGGCCACGGTCATTATTACCTACCAGTAAGGAGTGGGGATAATTGGATGGGGGGTGGATGGCGCAGGCAGCAAACGGAACAAGTCATAACAGGGCCGCAGGGCCATGCTCGGCCAAAGGGATTGTGTGGACTAAGGATTGGTGTGTGTGTGTGTGTTGTGTGGATGCCGGGGCGCCGGGGATGAAGGACAGGGCAGGACAGGGCAGACAAGCAGGGCAGGTTACCCAGTTACTTGTTAGATACCAGTACTTTTACTGTCTAGTGTCTTCTAATTCTCTTAACTTTTGGCACCAACACGTATGCATAATTAGCATCCGGTAGTAGATAGTAGTAGATAGTAAGTAGGCTTAGACTCCGGACTCCGTTAGATTAAATGATTGACAGTTCATTATTTTATCTCTATCTAGATGCGAGGCTAAGAAGGCTTAGTGTTATGGATCACCAGAACCAGATGGGGGGGGGGCTCGGGGAGGGGTCCGGAAAGCTTCCCTGAATGGACAACCATATCCATCATGATTGGTAAATTTTTATCCCTGTCCCGGAGAAAATTTCAGAGCCCTTGGAAAGGCAGGCAGCCAAAGTAGATCGGAAGGCAGGGAGGTGAGAACAACAGGTTTGAGGAGTGTATGAAGTCATTGTTTTTTTGTCCGTTCTGCAGGGCCCTGGATCATGGGTGGGTGTTTCCACCGACCTGCAGACTTGAGGGTCTTTCTACCAAGTACGGGGTACCTGGATAGTATACTACGGAGGACTACTCTACACTGCGTAGAAACACACCACCTTCGTCCAGGCTGCTATTTTTGCACCGCTGGATGATACCTCCGTACGTAGTCAAGTACGTAGTCGTAGATAGTTCCTGCTAGCCTTGTCGGGGGCTATAATTGGCAGGGACGGGGTGGGCGAGGAGGTGAACTGTGCCCCTCCGCTCTCTGGAAATCGGAAGCTAGTACTATTTCTGGTGGAGTGGGACACTAATCAATTTTCCAGAACGTCGGGTGGGCAACAACGCCTCTGATGATGGGACCTGGAAGTGGAAGCATGGGAGCCTGGAAAGAGGGGGGTGTGGATAATGACCGACAACCTCGGGACACTTCTCCACCTCACCGTTTGTTGCGCATTGTGTTGTTGTGCGTACTTTGTACAGTGTACGGAGTGGGAGTACACAACACTGTAAGAGATTCATTGTTCGGTTTCCAGCTATCCAGATTCCAAGGGTTGCCATACCCCCGGGGCCCGAAGGGCGTTGCTTACCCCCGACCCAGGTCGGCCGAGGATACCCAAACAGGGGATGTTGATCTGAGGGGCACTGCGGCAGCAAGAGGTTTGATCGTATCATAGTATGTATTCGTCTCGCCACCAGCCGGTTACGTGTTGAAAGAAGGCGCTGCAGCAGTTCAAACTCTCAACCCTTAATCGGACCTGACCCTCGAGCATGATGATGGTGATAATTATGACTAGGAGATGGAGATGCAGATGGAGATGGAGGGGAGACTAGCCCTCGGCGCTCCGTATCTAATAGAAAGTCGCCCCTGTCGGTATCGTGACTAGCGCCAGATACGCCCCCGTCCATGGATTCCATCACACCGTGGCTAAAAGCTTGTCCGTAAGCCTCTTCTGGGGATGGGACCAGGGGCCACTTGACCCTACCAGGCAGGGATCGGCGTGATTGCAGGGCCGCACGAGCGAGGCGTCCTGGGGGCGCTTGATATACAAGATACATGTAGCATGTACGGAGTAGGTAGTGTCTGTCGGGAGACTGACGATACGGTGAGGGGGTTTTCGGACCAGACCGGAGAGCATTCTATCCTACATCTTTTTTGGTCTCTATTGTGCGAGTACAAAGAAGTTATTCTTCAGATGCCAGGAACCCTTCGAGATACTTAGATACCCCGAATACAGTAGGATTCCCCCCCCCCCCTGTAAAATACATAACCGTCACTTGAATACCGAGTAAACTTTTCACCGGCGCAGGAACTAACCGTGACGAGCACCGCTGCTTTTTTGCTCGGGAACCCTGGAAAGTCTATGTATGCATCTTGATTAGCGCCGTCCAATCCCCCCGCTGTCTTCTGGTAAGGGACTCATTCACAAACAGCGACACGCCAACTTCTCTCCACTCCAACGCACCCGGACCAGACTAATTCCGATTAGTAAATTTCGTCTCCCCCATCTTCTGATGCTCTGGTTTATTTTGGTTGGGCCTGATTCGCTCTTTTTCTTTTTTCATTTTTTTTCCCCGTCGGCTTTGCTCTTATTATTTAGGTCTTATTTTATTTTTTGTTTATTTTTATTTTTCCTGTTTTCGATCTCGGCTTTTTTACTATGACTGGTCTATCTACTGTTCGGGGGTAGCAGCTGGGATTTCTTCGTGGAATAATTTCCTTCCAAAATCAACAAATAAATATTGTTGTTTTTAATTTACTTACCCGTACGGGGTACCGTACGGTCATTCCGCCTTACCAACAGCCCTCCGCCCATTCAGCTGACGACAGGGACACGTACCAGTCAGGGATCTAATCAGTTAGATTGCAGCCCGGTGGGAAAGAAAGAGGGGCGGTTTGGGCCCTGAAAGCGAAAGGGGTCGAGTCGGCAAGTCGGCCTGGAAAAGCAAGCGAGCGGCCTGCCTGCCATCCAGAACTTTGCCCGGTGTTCCATCCGCCTTCGTACAGTGGAAAATGACAGGGCAACGCCGGGTCACTCAGGTTGATCCGCGTGGCTCCTGGTCACGGTCACCCGGGAACCGTGGTTGGGACTGCCATCCTGACTAAGGCTGGCGACGAAGGGCCCCAGTTTAGTGCCGATGGCTGTACTTCGGCTTTGCTGGGACTCGGGCGGCTGCCGGACAGTATTCAGTAGGTATCTATCTGGGTATCTTGTACAGCCAGCCGGGTGAGAGGGTGAAGGGGAAAAGAATTAAGAATTAATGTGGTCTACTTTGTAGATTAGTATCTAGTAGTGTCGGTCCGAACTCTGAAGAGATGAACGGCTAGTGATGCGAATGAAGACTGCGATTGGCATATACGGAGACCCTGTGGTTCCCTGGGCTGCCAGTTAGGGTCTGGTTCTGCTCCGTCGGTACCCTTACCCTGACTTACTACCCTGACATACAGTTTACAATTTACACTTACACTTTACACTTACAGTCCACTAGTTAGACAGATACTGGCCACTTCCACCGTCCATCCACCGTCCAGTCTGCTCAGCCCACTCCGTCACCCACGAACTGGAGACGAAGAGGCAAGCTAAAACCATGAATGATGATGCCTATTTTCTGCTCCACTCCGGCGAACTAGCGTCGTGGACTGTCCAGAACTAACACTAGCGAACTAACTCAACTGACGGACTACCCAGATGGCCAGAGCTTCTGGAGGGACCCTGGACGGGTTTCAAGATGCTTCTTTCGTAGCCCCGACGTACGTACCGGCTGGCCCTGCTGGTGGGCGTGTCGCTTTTTAATCTTCCGCCGCCGCCCTTCCCATTCGACATCCTTTCCCTTCATCCTGATCCTCTCTTTCCATTCCTTAATCCTTCTTGGCCCCATCCCAGTCTAAAAAGCTTGGTCTATCGTTGGCACAGCGGCTTACTTCCCTCGCTTCTCTACTCCCCCCCTCGACTCTCTCGATCTACTTATCTCCCACTATCAACCCTTACCACCACCTACCACCATCTACCACCACCGTCTATCTTCCTTTCTTATCCGACTCGTGGCATCTTATTTCGATTCTTCAATTCCTCTGAACTTCCCTAGAACACCACTGCAAGCTAGCATTTCAAGCAAAAAAAGGGCTCGTCTGATTCCTGCAACATCATCGGCCCAGTTTGCAATTGCCCTTGGATTCACCCGATCCCATTGTCCGCGGGTCCACTTCAACGGTCTTCCACGGGGTTAGAATATCGGCTCCTCGTCGGCGTCTCTCGGTCATATCAGCGGGAGACATTGCTGGGGTGACTCCAGTGCCATAGGAAAGCGTCAGGCTGGTACCGCCTCCAACTACTCTTCGAGTGCCTGTCACCGTTCCACCCAGGGGCTCGTCTGCAGATCGAGCGGCGTGTTACACGAACAAATCGAGGCAAACATCCTCGAGAAGAAAAATAAAACTAGTCGGTGCGTACTTTGTCTTCCCCGAGTCTTTCTGTCACCTGCTTTCCCCCCATGACTGCGCCATCTGCTCCATCACTTTGGGTCTGGAGATCCTGATGAGCTCGTGGTCAGCCCGTCAATCCTCTCTATCAGGAGCGGGGAAAGAGCATAGTGCGGAGATAGTCCGAGTCAGAAAAAGAAAGAAAGAAACCAACCCAGGACCCCCGCTGACGATCCATCGAACAGGTTGCCTGTTGAATCTCGTCATCTGACTCAAAATGGCGAGCTGCAAAGCGAGTTTCGTGTCGATCCTGAACAACGACGACAACCCGTCGTTCACAGTTCGGTCTGCTCCCCGGGTATCGCGACACCCGACCACCTCACCCTATCAGTACCACTATGAGGCCCAGCAGCTGGCCCCGGCGCCAGAGTTCCGCTACCACCACGCATATGTGAACTCCCCATTGATCTCGCCCGGCATCATGCGGCACCCGTTCGACGCCGTGCCCGAACCCCCTCAGCCCACCTCCCCCGGCTCCTCGGACTGCTCCTACGACTACATGAGCAGCGCCAGCGTCCGCTCCCACTACCACCTTAGCCGCCCCGACTCGGGGGCTTACCGGCCCCTGTCTGAGAAGCGCATCAGCGGGAGCTCCGTGATTGACCCCCCGTCGCCGCAGCCCTCGATCGGCAGCACGAAGGACTCGATGGCCGCCAAGTCCGGGGTGCGCAAGAACAAGTACCCCTGCCCCTTTGCGGCCAGCCACGGCTGCTCCGCCACCTTCACGACCTCCGGGCACGCCGCCCGCCACGGCAAGAAGCACACGGGCGAGAAGAGCGTGCACTGCCCCATCTGCAACAAGGCCTTCACCCGGAAGGACAACATGAAGCAGCACATCCGCACGCATCGCACTCACTCGGAGGACATGCCCGCCGGCATGACGACGGACCGGGACAGTGACGGCAGCAGCAGCTGGTCGACCCGCCGGAGCAACACCTCAGTGTACAACCACCAGCGCTCCATCAGCCAAACCCAGATGGAGAGTTCCCTGGCTTCAAGTGGCAGCCACCGGTCCTATGAGACGATATCCTCACGAGTATGAGCACGAGCCAGAAGATGGGGGGGCAGTGTTCCCTGCTTTACTTTCTTCTTTTCTTTCTTCATTTCCATTCACCCCATGGCTGGCGAGCCATGTCGGGTGGGAGCAACGGCGTTATATGGAAAAAGGCGTCCCTTGACCGGCGCCCGGGGGTGACTGCTGGGCGGCCACTCTGATTGTCATGGTGGATTCATTTCTTTGTTTTCTTTTCCTTCCTCCCGTCCAAAGCGAGACGGGTAGAAAGACGCGATAGAGCGGTTTTGACCGGGGGCGGCGCGAGCTGCATAAATACCACATTTTGCCTTCTGTTGTTTGATTATATCACCTTTGCCCATTGCATCTTTGTGTGTTTATACTTTTGGATGGCTTACCAGCGTGATTGTTTGTTTTCTTGCCTGTTCTTGTATATGCCATGAATACCTGTTTGTTTGGAGCGACGGCCGTGAGACTTGTTTTTGGAGTGGATGGATGGATGGATGTACAATAGATTTTACCTTACTCCACCTACCTACGAGACCGGGGGACCACACCAGATGTGGCCCCGTCAATGGAAAGATCCATGTGATGATACCCTACAATTCTCTCTCTCTCTCGTTTTTGTTCTTGCTTTGAGCGTATAGTCCAGTGCCTCACTGTCTGGGTCTCCGGGCCAGCCCCGGGCGAACCACGGAACGCGCCCGACGGAACCCCCCGGGCTGGCCCCGCGGATGGCACCCGCGGGCTGACAGGTATAGTTACTGATGCTGGATACTGAGTGTCGCAGGTCGAGATACCTGCATGTGTGGACGCTGGACTAGCATCCTTCATAGCATGCTATGATGTATGCAGTGAGGTGTTGCCGTGTCGTGCCAGTCTGATGGAGGAAGGGCTGCTGAGTCAGGGTGTGGTGCACAGGAATGATGTCAGCCCTGAGACCCTTGCTTGCTGGCTTTGCCTGTCAGTGTCAGGCTGTCAGGCCGTCTGTCCAACAGCAGTAAGTACTGTGTAGTCCTGTGGTACTGCGGTCCTCCGTCCTACTACTGGCCGACAATGGCCGACCTGAGTTAGGGATTTTCTTCCCGGTGAATCAGCAGCCGCCAGCCTGAGACATGCCGGGTTTCAAGGGGACCGGGGATTGGCTGCCCGACTTCTACTTTGTACAGTAAGTGAATTAATGACTACCCAAATCGTCCAGACTGTCAGTCCCCGATCGTACCTGCCGGATCCAGCCAGGCCCTGAGCTGCCAAGCGCGCCTGCTCCATACGTCACTGATTTGCCCCGCCGCCTCGCCTCGCATTCACTCTCGGCATCTCTCTCCTCTTCTCTTTTCTTCTCGCTCTCTCTTTCTCTCTCTCTCCATTCTTTCATCTCCCCATCATCTTCCCATCATCTCCCTCCATCCTCTCACCTACTCACTGCATCCTCTCCCTTAACTCCCACTTCACCCCCACCGTGGTGGTCCCATCTAGATTCTAGATCCACCACACAATGACCTACCACGACAACCGCCGTCCTGCCGACTACAACTCGGACTACTACTACGCTGCCGGTCCCCCTCCCACTGGTCGTACCCGCACCGATGTCGTCCGTCATAGCAACCCCAGCGTCGAGTCGTTCGAGTCCGTTCCCCGCGACTACCCCCCCGGCGAATATGGGTACGAGTACGGCTACGGCTATCCCCCGCAGGCCAGGCCCTCCCGCGTCGCTACCGTCCCCGACGGCCTGCACCGATCCCACTCCATGGGCTACCGCGATGAATCCGACTACTACCGTCGTTCGCACCACCGGTCCCGACGACAGGATGACCGCCGTACGTACCTGTCTTTTCTTTAGACGCACGCACGAATCGGGAAATACAGACTCGCAGCAGGCAATAGCATACTGACTGTCCCAGGTGATCGTCACAGGTACTCCCGCTCGCCATCCGAAAGTCGCTCTCCCCCCAGGCGCCGCCGCAAGTCCTTCTCCGAGCAGGCGCTGGGCGCCCTCGGTCTAGGGTCCGTCGCGTCGTCCGGCTCCCGGCATCGTGAACGGGACCGCGGTCGCTCTCACGGCCGGGATCGCAGGTCTTACTCGTACTCGCCCTCACCCACCCGCGACCGAAGCCGTCACCGACGTGACAAGAGCGAGCAGCGGATTGCCCAGGCCGTGCGGGCAGCCCTGACTGCAGGTGCCGTTGAAGCCTTCCGTGTCCGCAAGGATCCCGGCGAATGGACCGGGGAAAAGGGTAAGCGAATCCTCACGGCAGCCATCACGGCCGGCGGAACCGACGGACTCGTGGACCGGAACCCGGACAAACACTCCAAGCGCCACATCATCGAATCGACCCTGGCCGGTCTGGCGGCAAACCACTTCATCAACGGATCCCGGTCTCGCTCGAGATCCCGTGGTCGGGGTCGCTCCGATAGCCAGGGCGGACTGAAGAACCTGGTGGCCACCGGGGCTATCGCCGCAGCAGGCAAGGAGGCATACGATCGGTTCCGATCCAAGTCTCGTCCGCGAAGCCGCAGCCGCGGCCGTGGCCGTTCCTCCTCCCGGGATAGCTACGAGGACCGCCGGCCCCGCCACCGGAGCAAGAGCGTCTCGGACTACATCAACCAAGGAATGGAAGCCCTCGGCCTAGGAAGCAAGGAAAAGCATGGCCGGAGAGACCAGGACCGGAGAGACCAGGACCGGAGAGACTATGACCGGAGAGACCATGGAGGCCGTTCATCTCGCCGGGACGACTACTCAGACGATAGTGACTATGAATCCCGACGCTATGGAAGCCCCCGGCGATCTAGGCATTCCAGAGATGTGAGTCGACCTTTGTCTGCAGCCAACACCCCGGCACGACCCTCCACGCGCACCACATCCCAAGGAAATGGAGCTGGCCGTGGTCGTGTCCCTCCTCATGGCGAGCATTCCAATTCGGACCAGGACACTGACTCTGACTTGGGGAGTAGTACCGATGAGGAAGACAGGCAGAAGAAACTGACCCGGAAAATGCTGGTAAAATCGGGCCTGGCCGCGGTGGCCACGATACACGCCGCACATAACATTCACGAAAGCATGGAAAAACACAAAAAACGGGCCGAACAGGTACGAGAAGGAGAGATAACCGCCGAAGAAGCCCGCCACCGTCGCATCAAGGGCCAGCTCGGGGATGTAGCCAGCGTGGGCCTGGCGGCGCTGGGGATCAAAGGCGCCGTGGGGGAATGGAAGCACGTGAAGGAAGCCCAACGCGAGAGAATGGAATTTGCGAAAGGGTGCGATGAACGCCGCGAGCGCCGACACCAGCGGGCTCGCAGCCATGGGCCAATATCCCGTGCGTCTCGGACGGTGTATCCCGACGAGATCGAGGAGCATCATCCGTCTGAGTATGGATCGACGGCGGATTTGCGGTCTCGATCAGCGGGACGGACATCGCGTGTGCCTGTGTCACAGTATGCATGAAAACACAGATTGGAGATTTCTTGGCGAGATGTGGTATGATAATGACTTATGATTAATGATTTTCTTGATGCACTAAATTGATTTACATGCAACTTTGTAACGTGCTGCTTGCTTACGCGTGCTATACATGTGCATAGCTTGTTTGAATTGATGTTGTTCACTTTCTTTCTGAGTTGAGTCACACATGTAATAGCGAAACATGATATACTTCCTTCCTGACTGGAAATCACACATTAACTCGCCGGAATGTGATATACTCCTGTTCCTAACTGTAAGTGATCCACACCTGTAATATGGAAATAGTGAAATAGAGATATCTAGCTTTGAGTAAGACTACATACAGAGTAAGTACAGACAGGTCACACACATCATCCGATTGATTGGCTGTCGTCCATCACACAGCACTACCCCCCCCCCCCCCCCCCCCGAAAACCGTAACACAAAGGAAGTATATCCTCTACAATGCAATATCAGAAGCAAACCCACCTTCTAAACCGTCAAAAACCAACACAGCACAACAAGAAGTTGAGAAAAAAAATAGATAAAAAATATAATAAAGATACATACAACAGCATAAGTATGTTGGTGCTCACCAAGCGGCTGCGGTGGTCCAGTGCCGCCTTATTCGGACTTATTCAGGTCAGCTGCTGGCGGCCGTCAGCACCCTGAACAACGACCATCTTTCCTGTCACCACACCCATCTAGAAGGTGACCGGCACCCATCGTAGTCTCTCGGCCTTGCCACACTGACAGGCTGACAATACGAGTAAGCCCATGCTCCCCTGTTTCTCTCCAAGGTGACAATCTCTCATCTTACTTTCTGTCTTGTTACTTCGGACTGCCACTTAAAGAGGTGTATTGCGATCAACAATGGGAGCAAAAGCAGCAAAACACTACCAGACAATAAATCTTAATAATTATGATAACTCAGAAATCAAGCGATCAGTCTTGGACCGAACTAAGGCCTCTTATGATCGGGCATTGGCGACTTTTGATGAGTAAGTGTATCCAAGAAAATAAGTCCTATAATTTAACAGCCTTGAACTTATGAGGTTTTATAATCAACTGCAGTTGATCACTATACAGCGGAAATTACATACGAATCGGAATAACCTTTGTTGATATTTATATATTCACTTAGAAGATTGTATCTTGTCTGCCTGTCTAGAATCTGCGCCAAACCGCTTGTGTATCAATTGGAAGCTAGAAGATTCCCACAACTTGGATAGTCACTCCGCAGTATTTGTTGCTACTGGATATTGCCCCCCTTTCGCCGCTGTCAGCGCCGCTATCTTTACACGGAAACAAGTCGAGGAGCCAGAGTCAGATAATTTTATTTCTTGGGCGTGAGTATCTATAAAACGATTATAGGTACAGTATCAGCTAACATTACCAGTACTAAAGTAGTCCATTTTCTGCTCGCACGTGGATGGATTTCTGGTGACCTAAATCAATTAAAGTCGATATAACTATAAGAACGCGAGACATAGCATCTTCTTCTTGCTCCAAACTCAGCAGACTTTATATCAGGAAGGAAATAAGTTAAAGAGTAAGGTCTGTACTTGAAAATCTCAGACTATACTCTACTAGCATTCTATAGATAGAGCCGCGGTCCAAGCTCCTTGTATCTCAAATCTTCTAGCCAAAAGTAAAATCAGTATAGATAATTATTGAAGTGTCAATGTAATTAGCATGCAGCCAGCTTAAGGATTAATAGTATTCAGCGACAGGCGACACTGAGTGAGCTTCCTGTTATCTGAACAAATTCGATGGGTCTAATGGCAGCGTATCAAATTGACCAACGTGTGATTCTTATATACACTAAGCGTGGCACCACTGACGAGAAATAGAAGTTAAACTTGTGGCTACTAACTAACCTAAACACTGGTAGACAATCTTACAGTAGGCAGGACATATATAGTTGTCCCCAGAAGATCTGTGCGCACGGCCACAAGGCTCTAGGCCAACTCCGCGGTCAATATGCCGCATTTAGATATGCATCCATCAGAGAATTACCTGTTTTCATTTGTGATTATCGTCTCAGTCACTTGCGTGTAATCAGTAAAGGATTGAACTGAGAGCCGGCTGTTAAGGCCAATGCTTGTATAAAATGTATAGGCACACAGTTTATTCCGCCCCAAAGCTAGAATTTTATTCCTACTTAAGTCAACATTCAATCCAATTCACTAATCCGCAGCCAGGATGGAATTACTCTTGCCTTTCTTACCATCAAATGTTGAGCAAGAACAACCTCTAGCTCAGCAGTATCGACTTGCAGCGGGGCGTTTTCCGATACCAAGTGCACACTTAGGCGGTGAAAAGAAGGGGCCTTCAGGCTCCAAATTGGGGTATTGAGGAAGTAAATACCGTTCGGGCTATACTCTTGATCAATCTCGACCCGACACGCATTGTTCCTTGGAAATTCTTTCCTGGTGATGATATTAAAGGTAAAGTTGCGCACAGCCATTATATCTCACTTAGCTGATATCTTCTTTAAGGATTTAAATGTCTTCGCAGTTCAATTCGCGCGGCAACACTCGACGATCTCAAGGCATTTGATGAAGATCAATTCTCAGGATAATGTGTACCGCTTGTTTTTTGAGTATCTCGCTGAATTGCTTACGACATACAATTCTGAGGATTCTATCAACAGGGCCCATCAGCGGAGAATAAGCACCAGTTCGGTTGCTACGGAACTCTCAACTTCAAGCAACGAAGGGAAACGCGAAACTGTCAGCACAGAAACCCTAAAGTTTTTTATCAAAAGTCCAATGGCAAAAATGAATATATACAAACATTTAGCAACTGGCAAGCCCGCGGCGCCGATTCTAAAGTGGTCTGTGAATAGCTGGTTGCTTCTAACTTTAAGAAACAGCTATGCCGCTGAGAACCAGTTTCAAATGAATATAGGAGGTACTACCTATGTTGTAGTCAATGATGGGTCCATTGGAGTCAACTTCCGCGGTACCTTTTCGGGTTCCGATAGGAGCTCGGAAGTACCAGTGGCGAGTTTGGAGGTGAGGAGCACCCAAATGATGATATTGTGATCTGTGACTGCTAACAGCTTTGATATAAGTGCAAACCACGGGACGCTGGTGGTGTCAAGCGAGGATTAGGAGAGTCTGAGCTCTTCATTCCTGCTGTTTTCACTCAGGAAGTTGCGGAATTAGTAGCAAGTGTGATCGCTCAAAAGTCCAATATTAGGGCTGTAAAGCACAACGACCAGGAATCATTTGTTATCAGCATGCATGGAATACTTTTCTATGTTAGCACTGCATACTTCTCACCTGACTATATCAACTATATAGGGACGGGCCAATTGGCTGGTGAAGGCCCATTTCTATGGGTCAGGCGGTCAATTTACTTCGATTTGAAGGACATTGATGAGAGAGCAGGTTTCTGTGGGCATTGATTCACTACATTGCAAGTAGAGAGGCGAGAATTAATATTGTCACTGCTGTAATTAGTGCTTCAAGAACTTCAGCTTCAAGTTGAGCATGTTCATTGTCTTGATCATGTCACTTGCTCTACATGCCTATTTACTCCTGCATCTTATTCTGAATTTGATTTGATCTTTATGAGAGCATGTTGTTCATCTCTCGGTATTCAACCTTGTCATGTCATTGACTCCAAACTGTAGACAAGGGGGATCTGATTGATGAATAGTGATGACATGAGCGACAGAACTTAAGATATTATAGTTTGTTGCCTTTGTTAGGGGTTGACTCGCACTGCGCTAACTTTTGAGCTGCCGCTGAAGAGGTAACGGAAAAGCCTTGTTAGTACACGAGTGCCTTCGAGCCAATCACACTTGAGACAGAGGTTATAACCTCGAGTGAATTCCAGATTGAACGCTTCAAGCTGTGAAAGACCTTGTGAATGTGCTCTGAGAACAGTGTCAAGTGTGAATACTCCGCGAGCAACATGGATACAGGAGTCATAAAATCCGACCACAAAGACTTCTTGATCCTGCAACCCGTCACATTCTTTCCAGGCACCTAGATTGCTCGCAAGCTGTCCCAGCATTATACTGAGTTTTTCCCCGAGAAACTGACGCCATGTCTGTCCTATAAACCACTGTATACGAAGTGAGTGGCGATTCTAGGTAGAAATGGAAATTGAACATACTCCAGTATAGGAAATGATCGGTAAATTCTTCTCTCGGGGACCGATAGCGATCTGGCCCTCTGATCTGGCCTGGTACTGCGTACCACCAGCAATGTACTTCATTTTCGGCGTGGATATTGGAAACCTTCCCGGAAGGTGTCAGTGAAATATAAGTTAATATATACCAAAGGAAATTGCTCACAGTACTTCAGGGTCTCCTTTTGTTATGCCTTCCAGACTTTCATACACAGTCTTGCATAAGCAACTTTAGAAGCATACCTTGTGATTTAATGAAATGCAAATGATTCTTTCTCTCCTCTGAGTCCCAATTTCTCAAGGGTATTTTGATAGTCTCGACCGCTCTCCAAACGCTTTCGATCCCGGAGTCATCGAGAGGGGAAGAGCGGGTTTTTGATAAAGCACAATCGGATAGGAGATTGTCAAAGAAAAAGGATAAGGTAAAGTCTTCGTCAGGCCAGGATTCTATGTCATCTTCCACCACAACTTCTTTTTGTCGAAATACCCAAGGTAATAGTCGCTCAACATCCATATCTGCATGGACCGTGTTAATCTGGGGGTTACATCGGCGAACAAAATAAGAAGCAGTTGCACAGTGTTTATACCTTCGCGTTCGATACTCACCACTCTAGGTATCAACACATCCAAGGATACAATGTTGGAAGTAATAGTAACCGACATGTTGTTTCGAAATGTTATCGACTTGCTCTTCGAAGGATTTGTGCTCCAGCTTGAAAGTAGATCGTCGTCTTAAGAATGTTAGGCAGGGCTGGAGGGTGCTAAGTTAGCCTTTTCTAAGATGAAAGCTTAAGAAGTGAATATTGCATCCAAAATGACTTAAGATGTTTACATACAAAAGAGAACAACGTCTGCGATAGTCCCTCCCAGCTGGTCGGGCCTTCGCCTATTGGTAACATGCCTGCACGAGGTTATTAAAACAACCCTGAAGACCAACGAGCTGTGATTTACTACTTATCCCAGATACCTAGGATCTCTTTTTTAGGTCATTGGCTATCTCAGCTTCCTTTAAGAAGAATATCATGATAATTCCCAGTTATAGCCGGGGAATAATATCCTAGCACAACCCAGACCGTACATCCTACATGCTGATCAGACCAGGAGACGACCTTCTTTCCATCCGTCCGCAAGGACCTCCTTATCCGCCAAGGATGTTAACTACCCAAATATATCAGATATGAGATATCAGACATCATATATGTGACTAGTCCAAGCCAAGCCATACCATACATATCACCCACCAACACAATTTCCTATAAACCCAGCAGTCACCGCCCTCGTGGGGTCTTTCTCAGAGATCCGGGATCGAGATCTTCCTGATAATTACAAAGTATCCACCCAGAAACCCGCCACAATACTCATCTGCAAACAAGTAAAGATTCGAGTAGAAATTCAGGACGGGGGTGAGTAATACAACTATCTGGCTTGAGTGACTTGAAGCGTTTTTTCAATATTCTTTTTCTACTCAACCCTTTCTGTGCCTTGTCTCCCGAAGACGTGTTTTGGGACTTATTTGCATATGATTAGAAACAGAAATCCGCTTTTATCCAATGTGATAGATACTATCTCATCTCATATATTTAATAGCCACTCCTCCATTTTCATGATCATGATCATATGGTGGCTGACTGGCGGCCCGGCCCGACCCGCACGCAGCCTGCTCCTGCTCCTGCTTCTGCTTCTATCTATCTAGCCTGAGGCACAACGCTTGAATGCAACCCCTAGGGTCACCAGACTGATATGTACGTTATATGTATGTATGGCTACTCCTTCGTGTCTAAGTAGAGGATAACATAGGAATCCTTATCTTGATAGGTTGGTTCAACCCCTGTCCCTAAGGGCAACCTCCACAGTCTTGCGAAGCCAGATTCCTCAATGAACAAATACAAACACACCAACATCGCAGTCAATAAGAATAGCCGTGGTACTGGGGCATGCGTGGCTGGGCAGTTTATCAAGATAACTGGCCGATAAGGATGCAACTGAAAAGACGGGATTTCTTCCAGTGAGGCTCAAGGCTAATAAATGTCTTTATTACTAACTATTTTCCTGAGGGGGTACTTTTTCTTGCTTGAATGGATAATAATAGTACAGTAACTGAGCAGTAGACATGCCTACCAGCGTTAAGTCAAGTAGCAAGTATTCAAGTGGACTCTTGAGTTGAAGGAATATTTTGGACGGTCAGACGGACTGCGACTGCGCAGCAGCTACATCATGATGTGTTAAAACCACCGACTACGGAGAGAGTAAAGAATTAAGTAAAGGATATGACGATAGCATAATCCATTCCGGCATGCAAAACATGCAGGCATGCATGTAACTCTATCAAAGGGAGTGTGGCCCCATCCATGCAGCAGCAACAAACACAATATTTACAATGCAGACGGACAGAGGCAAGAGGGTCAAGACAACACACAACACCGGGTATGGTATCTCAAGAGACGGACACACACCTGCTAACCAAACAGATGGGCAATATCATGGGCAATACAACCAAAGATTCAATCAGATCATCGATCGCGCAAGAACCAAGAATGAACTCAATGCAAGAAGATGACGATGGCCGAGCCGGCGAACAGAAAACACGCAGTGAACGGAACGCTCGATTCTTTTGCCAGCAGAGTGAAAAGCAGATGCAATAGACAGACAGGTGGTGGTGGTGATGGTGTGGTGGTTGTTCAAGCAGGGTGCGGGCACCATTAGACAGGAGGAATCTGGCAGTGAACATGTGCAAGGAACAGATAGAAAAAGCGCAGCTAGCTGTACATCCCAACGGGGAGAAGGAACTTTTGCAGAATGCATCTTCCGGGGTGGGTACCATTAAGTAAACAGGCCAAGGAAGGTATCAGGTCGGAGCCGGGGCCGATGGCGCAGAAACGAAGGTTGGGGGAAGGGAGGGTCCATAGTTGACGTAAGAAGGGTGATCGCGTTTCACATCCGATAGATATGCCCCGGGCTATCATCGATCGGCATTCAAGTTCAGCCAGCTCATGTCCGGGTTGACGTTGGCATTGCGCGTGGGCATTGGTTCCGGTTCCAGCCTTTCGGGTATGAGGATGCTAGAGCCCCGCGTGTTGGTGTGTGATGGGTCAAACGGTCGGTAGTCACTTTCCGACGGCGCCGCCATCGAAGGGACGTGCGTGCTGGGGTTGTAGAAGCTTCGACTATATGTGCTACTGGGCGGTCGACCCATCCAGCTGGGCTGTTGCCAACGCGAGTCGCCATCCAAATCGGCGCTCAGTGAGGACGCGCTCGAGATCCGCGCCGACTGGCTCTCTTGGATAGCAACCGTTCGGCCTTCGGATGATATAATCGACGAGGCGTGTTCGGTTGTGGGACTGCCGCTTATTACCATGCCCAGCGGCTTTGGCTCGTCCAGGAACCCAAAGTCCAACGGTGTCAGCGTCTTCATGGCCCAGGCAGGTCCTTTTGGTCCGGACTTGACCGAATCGGTGGTTGAAGCAGGTTTTAAAGACTGTGGCTGCGCGACCAGGCTTGTCGTCGTACTGTTGTCCTGGAAGTACCGGCTCCACCCTTCGTTGGTCCTTCGATCACCCGGTCGACCCCCAGCACTAGAGTCCTGGATCTGAAGTTCTTTGTCCAAAGCAGCATTCGAGTATATGCTGGGAGAAGAGGACTCTCCACTGGAGTGGATGGTCGTCAGTGGACTCGACTTCAGCGGAGTCGAGTTCGGCGCCAAGTTGGAGCGACCACCGGCCGACCTTGGAGTCTTCTCGTCGCCCAACTTGCCTGAGAAGATCGCAAGCGAGTCTACTGAGGAGGCTGCCACAGGTAGCGGGCTTTTCGCCATTGGGTAGGCCGACTGGGTTAAAGGCTCCACGCCCTGATCCTGGAAACTAAGCCGATCCTTGTCGTTTTCGCCTCGGGCCTTCTTCAGGTTCTGCTTCTTGCGCTTGATGAGGAGCAGTATGATCACCAAGATCGCGGCGACACCCAGGATGGCTCCCAAGGTAGCGCCAACTATCGTGCCAACATCGTTGCTGGACGAGCTACTGCCGGCAGCGGCGCTAGATGTTGTGCTGGACGTGGCGGTTGCCGTCGATGATGATGATGACGTCGTCGTGGATCCGAGAATCTGTTGCTGCGACTCATCACCGTAGAATAGTTTCGTGGTGTTGACCCAGCTGTTGGCGGTCTGGTTGAAGATGGCCAAAGAGTCGGTGCCATTGCCGCTGGAGATCACGACGAGTCCATCACTGCCCTGTGCCAATGAGTAGTTTTGTCTGGTCGTGGTTGCCGCGAGGTTGCTGTCATACGTTGGGTAATCGCTGAGAGTGGCATCCCTCTTCCTGGACGAAGACTGCGAACTGAGCACTGTCGCCGGGTTCTCTTCCTCTCCATCGGAATTCACCAAGACGACGCTGGAGACCGTGTTGGGCGAAACGCTCATGTCAAAGGCCTCCAAGACCTTGCTTTCATCGGATCCGTCGAGAATGGCGCATTGTACGTCGGAGGAGAGCGAGTTGGCCAATGTCACGTTTGAACTGTACCAGCCCACGGTGGGGTCGAATAAATGTACCTTTTTCGGGGTTGTCGTGCCACCTACCAGGGCTGCGACGCGATCGGTCCACGGCAGCAGTACGGGCACAGTGGCAGGTGACGCTTCCGTCGCATTGTGGGCCGCAATGTCGTACGGCGAGGTGGTGCTAAGAACGTAGGTGTCGGAAGATGCGACCGATTCGTCTGTCTGGTGGCCACCGTAGACCAGAATCGAGGAGGAGTTGGAAAGATAGACGGCCTTGTGGCGAGTGCGATTGGCCATGACTGATTGTGGGGGCTGGATGGTGGTCCACTTCTCGTCCTGGAAAGAATATCGCTGCAGGCCGGGTTTGTCCGACAGGGAGCCAGTTCCTCCGACAACGTAGAGTGCCTGTTGCGATTCGTCGCCATCAATACCACCGGTCACGCACGCCGCATCCGAGACGGGCTCCCCCATAGTTAGTTCGCTCCACGAGGCATTGCGTTCGAGGGGTATCGAGGCGAACCCATCGGCGGAGTAGGTGTAAAGAGTGCTGTTGTAGATGACGGAGCAGTGGCCCTCCAAGTTCACAGGGGGCGAAGGAGCCAGCATGTCGAAAAGAGAAAGAGAGGTTCTTCGAGTGCACCAGCCGAAGACGATCAGGGAATTGCCAGCCGCCCAAGGTCAGCACGCAGGCGCAGGGACGGATAAGGAATAGAAGAGAATGCCGGAGCACTAGTGCATGGTCGACGCGGTGCAATCGTCGTGTCGGACGAGGGGGCAACTGGGCGGGCGCGGTTCTCTAGCAAGCGAGGGTATGCGGTTGAGAAGTCCGGGTCGAATGCGATATGGAAGGCTGAGTGGGAGTGGATAGAAACCGGGATAACCGATGGGGGTGTATAGGGGATGGCTCTGGAATATGGAAATGAATGGCGACCTGGCAATCGGTATGTCAATTGGGGTTGTGGTTGGGTTCAGGGGGCGTAAACGATGGACAAGTTCACGATATCAAATCGTGCGACGACTGGCGATGAAGGAGAGAAAGAAAGAAAGATCGAAAGAAGGCGATGGGGACCACGAATGGCGACACCGCAGCGAAGGGGAAAGAATGCCAACGGGCAGAGAAGCAAAAAGCCCACGGGCGGCGGAGGGGAGGAGAGGAGAGGAGAGAGGGGATGGGATGGGAACGAGGGCGTCAGGAGAGGCGAGGAAAGATTGTCTGGGTGAACGGTGGAGGGTGAAACGCCGGAGGGCAGCTTAGACCAACACTAGGAGAGCACTCACCCTTTCTTGGTTACGACTCGGGGCGTGACGGCATCAAGGACAGAGGAAGAGGCAGGAGGAAGGAGCGAAAAAGGCAATTGAAACGAAAGGCAGGTGAACAAAAAAACAACAACAGGCACGAGTGCACAGCACGACGGTGGTGGTGGGGGGGGGGGAGGGGAGGAGAGGAGGAGGAAAGAGAGGAAGGGGAAGAAAGAGAAAGGAAGGGGAGCAAAAAGGAGGAGGCGGCGATGGGAACTTTGGAACTGGGAAGGAAGGAGCGAACAGCGACGGCCGCTAGGGAAGGTACCGGACGGACGACCGCCAGCATTTTTACTACCTGCTAAACACCACTAGTATGGCTAGATTATTATTTTTGTGGTATTATTACTATTACCCGCCAACCTCCATCCCAGTCTATCCATCATCCTCTTCTTTGCTCACTTTCCTCACCTTCAAGGTGTCGTTTGTTTTTGTTTCAGCCTGAGAAGGGTCCTTGCAGGAAGAGGGGGGGGAGTCCTCCGTACCTGCAGGAACCTGCAAGGAAGGATGTACCGCATCGCACCGCACCGCGTCGTGTCGGATGTTGGTGTTCCAAGTCCAACATTCGGCTGGGCTGGGCCAACTACTAGAGAGAGACCCTACGGGACAGCTCCAATGCTCAACCCAACCCCTTGGGCCCCCAGTGTCATCCTTTCTTTGGACGCCCACGGGTCGCGCACCCTTGGAACCACCCTGATCTTCAGTCCTCCCGACGGCTGGCATGGCTGCGATCACATCAGTCCAAAAATGGTGCTGCCTTGATCCGAGGTGCTGGCTGGGAGAAGAAGTCGAGCAGAATCAGAGAGAGCAAGCAACCAGTGGAGGGCGGACCCCACCATGATCTGATCGCGCGCAAGAATGCCCAACCGCAGCGACGCATGGCGGTCATATGGGCGACCGGGCTTATCGCTCAGTCACCTTCAAGTATGTCAGTTAATGTACGGAGTATCTAGTCTGTCAGAATCAGAGTCTGACTGACTGTCTGGCTGGCTCCCTCGTAAGATTAATATCGACCGTTGCGCTGCTCACCTGATGTGCGGCCCTCGTGCAGGATCCTTGCTGCAGGCGGTTTGATGATTGGCTGGTTGGGCCACTAGTCAGGAACCGCAGGGATGACGCAGGTACCGTACTGTTCCATTAATCAGTCTCCATACTGTGTTAGTAAGGGAGTACGACAGTACTAAGTGCTACTAGTACTCCATGGGCTATTAGTACCTATCCCGGTCGGTCGCTAAAATATTACGCCGGGGATTTTCTCCAAGCCGAGAAACCCCTCTCTCTATTTATAGCATGGTTCCAGCTTAGCATCTGATACTCGACAGGAATCAGGATAGTCGTACAGCAGTGTGCTGCTGCAGTAGCATGATGCTTGAAGTCTGGTACCGGTGGATAACGCGACCGGCACGCTCGTTTCACACTCTCCACTCATCCATGGTTGCGGATCGGAGGTTGATCGTGGTTGAGGTTCCCATTGGCTGGACTGGGGGTTCTCCCATTGGTCCGCAGCTTGAACTTGTTGAGCCTGAGGCCATGGGGTGTTTCATTCGATCCCCAGGCAGCAATCTAACTGGTTATGTGTCTGACGTAATCGCCCTTCGGTCTCCTCATGTTCGGAACCTATTGACCCATTGTTGTGATCCTCGGTCGCAGCCATCAGACTTGAAGCATACTCGGTATGACACACATGAGGGCTATGAGTCGCCATCTGCTGAGTATAGCCACAGTCCGAAGCTCTAGAGCTGACACTTATACGTACGCTTGCGCACGGCTATCCAACCGTATGTAAGCAGACAGCAGACTCGAACTAACCGCAACCGACAGACAGTAACCCTAACTCATCGATCCATCCTCGATACAGAGTACGTACTCCATATATAGATCCTCCCTACCCAAACCTCCATATATTATCAAATCCAGGCCAAGACTTATTCATTAAACACCAACAGAGAAACAACCAAACAAACAGATACCTTTTACCTCCCATATCAGATAACATGGTCTTAGTAATACGCCCTCGCTCTCGAAACATATTTTCAAATCACTACCTTACGTATCATATACCCAGTAAATATACTTCTCAACAAACGATCCATATACAGAGGAAGAAAAGACAACCAGCACCAACTCATCCATTGACCTCAACCCACCAAAACCAATCAACTCCCTCAAATTATACTACCCAGCACCTACCCTCTTCACGTTCAAAATAAGCTAGACCAGACCAGCTCAACTCAATCACTTACATATCGTAGATATGTACCAACTACCCTCTCCCCCAGAATACTCAATTTCAAAATAGCCAATACCCCATATCAATTACGCCTGCGTACACTCAAACTCATCATTTAATACTACCCAAGACTACTTTGGTGTTTAATTTCCCACCATAACTGTGACCATGATCATAAGCGGGGAAAGGAAATTTCATCTCGTGTTACACAGCGCCCGCCACACATCTACTACCAACCAACACATGTGTATAATCTGTATCTACACGTAAGTACTGAAGTAGTACAGAACCGGAAGAGACAAATAAACAAGCAAACAAACAAATTAATTTCAATCAATGGTTAGTATAGAGTAATTGGATACAGCTACCGATACTGACCGTACACACTGTTGGTGCAGGTGTTCTTTGGTATTAGGGACAAGCATAAAAGTAAGACCCCCCTGTAGACTACAATGATATTTTCTTTATGACTTCACCTACTACTACTTACTAAAAGAGAGATTACTCGCTTAAATTTGGAAATAAGTCCCTAGATAGAATTATATTATTCTTATCTAACCGATATGTCTAAATACTGCTATGCATCGATTTCACCGTGAATTCAGCCTATCAAAGGACTTTTGCTGGCAATTATGACCTTGAGTAAAAACCTGCATGTGTAACAGCTGACATCAGTAGACATGTTTGTTGGATAGAAAGCTCCTGTTAAAGATAACGATATCTCTATTCATCATTAATGTGAGGGGAGTAGGTCACGATAACTCTAGTCAGGCTACATTGCAGCACAGCTGCTGTATCTCCACCAGTCTCAGGATTTCTGGGTCTTTCCTGCTTATTGGTAGAATATAGGATTGAAGTTTTAACCAGAGGCTCGTTCAAAAAGTGTGGAAACCCAAGCTGTAACTAATTACAGCTGCTATTATTACACAGCATATTCTGGACGATCTTATAAATCTCGACGTTGCTTAAGGACAGGAGCTGGTCCAGGTGGCTGGTATTCGACAAGATCTACATGGTATCATGACCATGGAAGACGTGGCTGGGGAGTACTCCTTTTGCCGTAATGGTATTATATCATATGATATTCTGAGGCCCAGGACGGTCTCTCTATCTTTGAAGCTTTATAGAGCAGCCCGTATTTATCCCCTCTTCAATCGTCTAATACACCGGGACAGTGGACCCGATAATAGCGCGAACAACGATGGTTTGATGACTACCACCATCTAAATGGCATATTAGGAGACATCTCTTTTACTGACACAGCATTAATATCAAAATGCTCCTGTTTAGCACCCGGAGAGAGGGCTAGACTTTAGGGCTGTTGGGAATTACTACCGCCAAGTGACGGGCCCATCTAGTCTCCAACGTGATCTTAACAAGCTCTATATAAATAACCCCCCAGTGAGCACCAGTTTTCGTAGAGAGATTAATCGGGCATGTGGTGATAATAAACGTGAGGCTGAGCATACTCAGACATTGGAGATTCCCGCAGGCTCTTTCCAGCCTCGGGGAGCCGACTCCCCATCAATCTTGCGATCCCGGACATCGGACAATCAAGCCTTTAGTCAGAGCCTAGGTGGTTCTTTTTCCGGAAAGTCCTCCCGTCTACCCCGGGACGTAGGGCAATATCCCTGGAGGGAAGGACAAAGAACCAATAACAAAGAACTCCCGGTACAAACAACGGAATCACCCACCACTGCTTGGCCAGGACAACGATCGGGTCGGTCCATAACATCTGAGTCGCCCCCTCCCCCATTCTTCTTTTCACGCTGCACCTGTTGCTGCTATTGCTATTTAACGTTCCTGGTAACGCTGTTGCTATCGTTGCCACCTTTTCCCACTCAGGGATCTGTTGAACTTCTTCCAGTTCAGACTTGATACCATGGAGAAGAGACAGGCCAGGGTGATGATCCTCTTCGATTCACGTGATGAATGCCTGACAATGAAGCTGGCTGATTTCTCTCTTCTCTCTAGAGTAAAACCGCCAAGAAGGCCCGGGCGAAGCCTTCCCAAGACAAAACGGGCATAGCCATGAAAAGAGAGGCGTCGAAGAAGAGCGAGACAGCTGCCACGCTTAAGGCAAAAATCGCTAATCTAGAAGCGGAATATGCTGCGTTCAGGGCTGAGGTGATGGAAGACCACACCACGTATAGTAAGAGGTGGTTGGTACTGACTTCCGGGGGCATGGGGCGGCCGTGTGAGAGCATGTTGGACAAGAATTCTTTGGTATATTCCAGGATGCACAGGACTGGTGCATCAACAACATTGTGGATTCCACAGCTGATCTAGAAGGGCTCTCCCCCAACGAGAAGCAAAGCATCATCCGGGGTCTCGAAGGCTACTGTGTACAAGATCTGGACTGGGATATGTTAATTGGGTCCTTTCCTTATCCGATCTGTGAACTTGCGCCGTCTTTCCTAGCCGCAGCTCTGATAGTGAAGGACTGGATGGAGAGGTTCGTTGACAATCCATTCTGGTATTTCACGGGAGGCTCCGATCAGAAAGATGGGCAGAATGAGAGCCCTGGGTCTGTGGCACAGGCCATGTTGCATGTGTACCAGCAGTTTCTGGAAGGTAAGAAAGTATTGCTTCAGATGCCAAGCTGTCATTTTGATATCGTGTTCTGACAGGGTCCACAGTAAACCCAATCTCTGGAAGTTATTGGAAACGGGAAAGTGTCCGGCTTGCAAGCTCGGTTCACAAATCGCAGGCCTCCAGCACGATCCTAGGTGAGCAGACAAAGAAGCGACTTGGAGAAGCTGTCATGCAATTTGTCTCCTCTATGCTCTCTGACAGCCCACTCCGACTGATGTTAAAAAGGTCCCCGGGCTTATCAGAATGCTGAGGATTTTACGTTCCGTCTGCACGCATCCGACGGGTATTTCAAGTATAGAGAGCTCTGTCGGAGTGCCCGCCTATTTTTTGATCGCCAAACACCATGGATAAAAGCCCATGACCTGCACAGCCTTGAAGGCTTTGACGGCGATGAAGACTCAAGGTTGGATGGGCATCGGGTCCTGCTTGTGGTAAGCCCCGCTGGGGTGCGCTTCAGAGAGGCTCCTCAATATGAAGAGGGCCGCATTCTGCAGCCCGCGCGTGTAGTGGTCGAGCACGGTGAGTGGACAAAGGAGGATGATGTGAAAAATGCCGCGGAGTACCACAGAGTGGCAGAGGTTTGAGGAGAGCCACATAGGGAGGCGATGAGAGAGTTGATGAAAGAAATTGAAGAAGAGATCCAGGAAAGGAAAGAGCGGACGCAGAGAATGATGGAGAATTTAGAAAGAGAGATAGACGAAGGGATGAAAAAGAGGGTAAAAGAAGAGGAGGTAGACGAGACGGAGGTGAAGAAGGCGAAGGAGACGGGCAAGACAGGCAAAGTAGCGAAGGGGAAGGCACCAGTGAGACAGGGGAAGAAGAGAAGGAGAGAGCCAAAATGATATCCTCGCTCTACCAGACTGTTTGTTGTGTTTTAGTATGCATTTAGTATGTCATGACGCTTACTTCGTCTTTCTCTGCTATGTGTTCTACCATAGCCCGCAGAAAGTGAAGCAGTTCCAGAATATACGCAGACTCGAAAAAAAATGCAGGGGACAAGCAGATAAGAAAAGAGTAATAAAAAAAAGAAAAGGGAAATAAAAAAACGATGGTGGATGATTAGTATGGTTGATTCTGTAAAAGAAAAAAAGAAGATTGGGACGAGCCGGGCTTGAACCGGCCACCTTCAGATTACAGTCATCCCCGAGGGATAAAGCTATGGCCGAAGTGAACTTCAGTCTGACGCGCTCCCAGATGCGCCATCGTCCCGATTGTTGAAATTCTGGTCAAATGTTACTTTATATAAGGCAAACATTGCATTCACGTGAACTTTTTTCCCTGGTGCAACATTCTCGTCTCAGTCATACATATCATGTCTACAGCAATACGGCGTATATGTTCCAGGCAAGCCGCCGATAAGATTCCCACCAGATTAAAGCTACTGATACATGAGAACGGGGCAACGCGCTCACTCCCAACCGATGGAAGCCTATGCACCCTGCTGTTGCTGCTTCCATTGGTGTGCTCTCTGCAGCAGCTTCGACAGATTCGCCGCCGACTGGTCGTCCGCTGGGAACACGTAGTCCATGTATTCTTCGTACCGGTCGTCGTCCATCTTGCGGCGCTTCTTGACCCGGCGCGGCATCTGCTTCTCGATCTTGTCGATGTCTTCGGGCGAGCCGTGCGTGTGTTCGAACGCCCGCCAGGCATTGAGGAGTTCCACTCGCTGTGAAGAGGTTAGTTGGATCTGTCTGGGAGCAAAGCCAAAATCCCCAAAGGGGAAAATGAAAGAAAAAGAAAGAAAGAAGGAAAGAAGGAAAGAAAGAAGGCTTACCTCTTCCTTGAGCTCCTTCTCTTTGAACACCTTGTGGGCGCGGTTGAAAATAGCGCGAGCGCGTCGCTTGGCCTCGTCGCTGACCGGTCGCTCTTCCTCCTCTTCCTCTTCCTCCTCGTCGGGGACGTTGATTTCGAAACGCGCGTAGTTGATCCAGACCTTGACGTGGTCCGTCTTCTCCAGGAGGCGCTCGTACAGCTGCCGGACGCGGTCGTACTCGCCTTCGTATTCCTCGAAGTCGATGTACGATTTCCATACCAGCTCCGGCATATCGAGGGTCGGCTGGTCCACCCCAAGCTCGTAGATGGCCCTCGCGCGATCGGTGTCATCGAGACCGCGCTCCAACTCGGCAAACTTGATCCATGACTGGCTGTTGGAGGGATTCCACTCGATCTGCTTCTCGAACAGCGTCCGGCACCGTACGAACTCGAACAGCTGGCGTTCCAGATCGATGTACACCCGGAAGAGCTTATCCTTCGGGCACATGCCGATGGCCTGGCCCAGCGTCTTCCGAGCCGTCTGCAGATCCATCTGGCGAATCTCGAACTGCGCCTTCATGAGCCAGATCTTGGCAAATGTGAACTTCTTGTGGGGGATGAGCTTCAGGCACTCGTTGTAGATCTGGCGTGCACGATCGGCGTCCTTGGCCTCCATCTCCTCCCAGATGGCGTAAAAGATCCACAGGTATATATACCGCCTCCAGTGTCGCTTCTCCTGGGACGGCGGTATTTGTGCAATGGCGCGCTCGTAGATGTCTCGTACCCGGTCGGGTTCGCCGGAGGTCTCCTCCAGCCGGGCAAAGTCGAACCATATGTCGTAATTCCGCACGTTCTCCTTCAACTGTTCCTCGTACTGGACCCGACGCTTCGACAAGATCACGTCCTCGACTCCTTCGCGGTCGCCAAACTGCTTCTCGAAGGTCGTATAGGCCTTGTGCAGGACCATGGACTTTGAGCGGGGAAGACGGTCCAGAGCATACTTGTAGATGGCCCGGGCGCGTTCATACTCCTTGGACTTCGCCTCGAACTTGGCATACCCAATGAACAGCTTCTCGTCCATGAAATCTTCACCCAGCGTCTCAATCGCTACCCCGTACACCTCCCGCACCAGATCGCTTGTCCCGTACTCCTCTTCGAACCGGGCCCACTTGATCCAGTTCCTCGGCTCGGGATGAACGATGGTGAACCGCTGGAAGATGGCCCGCGCGCGATCGAATTCATTGTACCTCTTCTCCAACTTGATGTAGGCGCTCCAAGCGCCCTCCTCGGGCTCCCAAGACATCCACCGCTCGAAGACCTGCCGCGTGCCAGCAACATTGCCCAGGGTCTCCTCCATGTAGACATATTTGTACCAGAGCTTATCGACGCGGGGCAGGATGGTCACGGCGCGATCAAGCAAGTTGCGAGCGTGGTTGATGTTGCGATTGCGCATCTCCGACTCGATGTAGCGAATCCACAGCACCACCGAGGTCGAGCTGACGTCCAGCGCCCGTTCAAAGATCGATCGTGCCCGCCGGAATTCCTTCTGCTCCAGCTCCCACGCCGCATAGCGCATCCAGTTGTTCATGTTGATCCGGTTCCGCCGCACATAGTCCTCGAACTCCTTTCTCTTGCGACCCTGATACTCGTGCAGCTCTTCCAGGTCGGCAAAACGCTGCGTCGGCGCCTGCAATGCCGGCTCCTGCCGGTCCACAGCCTCGCGAAGCAGCTGCTCCGCTGAGATCTGGACCGGCGCAGCGGCCTTGTTCTTGACCCGGGGAGGGCCACGGGATGACTCCATGATGGGTGGGTTGGATGTTCCTGTCGATACTAAATCGGGGCGGTAGGCGAGAGGTAACGACCGCGAAGGCTCGACAGCACCGCCGTTGGTGTAAACGGAACGAACGAGACCCGTGGCAGCTGTAAGCGGAAGCGCAACCCAGGTCAGAGGTGATGTGCAATGGCGTTGTGCGGGCTACCTCCACGGTAGTCGAAGGCTGCGCTGGAGGAGATTCTGGATCCGCCTCACTCTCGCGACCCAAAGTCGGAAGCGCTGCGCTCTTGGTTCGTCGCGCCCGCCGCGCCCGCCGGGCTGACTCAGCCGCCGTGGCTAGGCGGCAAAAGCAGGCAAAAGCAGCGGCGGGCGAAACCTCCGCCTACTTCGTTTACTTCCGCAGCATTTCCCCATCTCAGAGTCGAGCTCGCCTGCTGGCCTAGCCACCACTTGCTCATCATGTCCAACGCCGAGGATCTGCTGCGGGATTTCGAAGACGACGATGAGGATGATCTCCAGATGGGAGATGGCCTCGAAGAGGAGGAGGAGGCAGTGGATGAGGAGCAGCTGGCGCAGGAGGCACCCGAGGTCACCAATGAATTCGACGTTGCTCTGTCAACCGCCGATGAACTGACCCGACTACACAAAGTGCTGCGCGACCATTACTCGATCCGATTCCCCGAGCTCGAAACGCTGGTGACCAACCATCTCGACTACGCGAAGACGGTCGCGATCCTGAAAAATGGCCCCCTCAACGACATCAAAGCGCTGTCGACTTCGTCGGCCAACATGGTGGGCGTGCCGCTGAGATCCATCCTGGATGGCCCGTCCCTGATGGTGGTGGCCGTGGAGGGTACAACTACTAGGGGAAGAGAGATGACCGAGTCCGAGTTGAAGGCGGTTCTGGATACATGCGAACGGATTTTGAAGCTGGACCGCGAACGGACCGCGCTTACGGAGAGCATCCAGTCGCGGATGAGCCAGATCGCTCCCAACCTGGCGGCGCTGATCGGACCCGAGACAGCGGCGCAGTTTCTGAACCAGACGGGAGGGCTACGCGAGCTGGCCAAGATCCCCGCGTGCAACCTGGCTGCACAGGGCTCGAAGAGGTCGGAGGGACTTGGATTCGCTACGAATATTGGGATTCGGTCCCAGGGGTTTCTCTACAATGCGCCTATCATTCAGGACGTCCCGAATGATCTGAAGCGCCAGGCGATTCGAATCGTCTCCGCCAAGATGGTCCTGGCTACGCGATCGGATGTCTCCAACTACGCCCCCGATGGTTCGCTCGGCGAGGAGCTGAAGCAGCAGTGTTTCCAGCGACTAGAGAAGCTCACGGAACCCCCGCCGAACTCGGGCGTCAAGGCGCTCCCCGCCCCGGATGACAAGCCATCCCGCAAGCGCGGTGGACGACGGGCGAGAAAGGCCAAGGAAGCGGTTGCCATGACTGAGCTCCGCAAGGCCCAGAACCGGGTTGCGTTTGGCAAGGAGGAAGCGGAAGTCGGATATGGCACCGGAGAAGGAACCGTGGGGCTGGGCATGCTTGGCCAGCAGAATGACGGGCGCATTCGGGCGACCCAGATCGACCAGCGAACCCGGGCGAAACTCAGCAAGAACAACAAAGGCTGGGGCAACGCGACTCCCGTCGGTGGTACTTCTACTTCTCTCCGCGCGTTCGGCTCAGGTGCCAGTGGTACGGCCAGCGTGCTGCAATCGAAAGGCCTGCGGACTTCGGGTATCGGCACTTCCCTGGGAGGGTCGGGTACGGCCAGTACCATCGCCTTCACGCCGGTGCAGGGACTGGAGCTCGTTGACCCCAAGGTGCAGGCGGAGATGAGTCGGAAGCGCAAGGCGGAGGAAGACCGATGGTTCAAGTCCGGCACCTTCACCCAATTCGGCGGCCAGGGCAGCAGCACCGGGGAGAGTGGTGGTGGAGCTGGAGGCTTTAAGGTTCCGGCCTTGCCCTCGAAGAAAAAGGTTGATACAGGCGAGGGCAAGATGGCACCGCCACCGCCGCCGCTCAAGCGGTGACGGACTCGCGTCGTCAATTTCCGGGGTTTTCTGTGGCTACAAGCATTAAAAAGGCGTTACAATAGGATTGCATGATACCATCAAGATCTGTATGATAGGTTATTGATTTTTAACACCAAAAAAAATGTCAAAAGACCAGTAAAAGACAAACAAGCCAACTAACTACTATTGAATTCTTCATCGTGCCGTAGAATTGCGCAAGGGCTGGGTCCCGTGCGAACCACAGGCCCGACAGCCATGGTTCCGGCAGAATGGTGAAATCTCTTGGCTCAGGGATAGGGTCTGGTGGCGCAAGCCCGGGGAATATGTCGTGAGATCTCACTGGAAGAGGGAAATTTTGGACAATAATGTGGCAAGGTAGATTCTTATGGTTGGTTGGTCCTTTGATCACACGCGCGGCCTGCTTTCTTTCAATTGTCTGGCAACTACACTTTGAATCAATCAGGGTGTCTGGTCTAGTACAGTCTATCCGGAGTACTACTGTAGGCATATACTGTAGTACTACTCTATACCCTATACCCTATAGTCAATAGAGTAGTAACCTCCTTGACATCCCGGGGAGATGATGAAGTGATAAGCATAAAATTAGCCGGTGATCATCTAGGCACCCGAAGGAAGAGAGGAGGGGGAGGGGTTCCCAAAGCCCAATGTCCAACGGATTGTGAAACATTGCTGCTGACCGACTTACTGTCGGCATATTGCGTGCTTCTGAGCAATCTTCTTTCATGGAGATGAATCCGGGTGGATCTGTACCTGTCTTCCCTGGTTGACCTTACTGAGTCTTCACTGGGTGTTTTTTTTTTCTCTGTCTCTCTTTTTCTTTTCACTTTTTTTCTGTCTCTTAAACCCAGTCTGTCTGCTCCGTCTTGTCCTACACCGTCTCCCCAGTGACTTTTTATTATCTCCATCTTGATCTTCAGCGTCGCGTTTGTTTCCATATAGACCGACCTAGGTATACCTCCTAGACCAGCCATGGCGCCCGGACTCAGCGAACCACTTCTTACCACAGACGCATCGTCGTCGCAAAGACCCCAACCGAAGCAATCATCCCCTCCCTCGCTTTTCCACCACAGTCTGGTCACCGCAGACCCGGATGCCTTCAAATTCCAGGCCTCAGCCTCGCTGCAGCTGCGCTTCGGCCCTCCCCAACTCATGACCACCGCCCCATCAGATAATCTCCTCATCGCATCACCGTACAACGACCCCGCACACCTCCTGGACCTTCGTCGTATCGACACCCCCAACCAGCTCCTCGCCAAAGCGCTGACCATCCTCACACCCACCCGTCCCGACTACGCGACAGCCCCGTACACCGAGTCATTCAACTGGACGGACGTCTTCGACCTGCTGCGCGAGTTGGCCCGCGTCGAGGGCTACCACTGGACGCGCCAGGACTTTTATGTGGTGGTATTCCGGTCTGTGTTGCTGGTCGATGCCGACCTGGATTATCTGCACTCGCTGGACGACCATTCGCATCAGGAGGCGACGGCGAGCGGGGGCTTGTTGAAGTACTGGTTTGGGTCCAAGAACGAGGCGCACCAGAATCTGGCGACCTGTAAGTTTATACGAAAAAAATAAAAATAAACGTGTTCACGGTTCCATGTTGGCTGACTGACTGGCGTACTAGGCATCTGGAGAAATCGGGAGGATGCGCGACTGGGAGGAACGGGCCCGTGGCATAAGCGAGCACGTGGAGCTGCACGGGAGTTGTATGAAAGGATTGATTTCTCGACGCTGAGATTGGTGGTCGAGGATGGTGCTGAGACCTGGGCCATTACCGAGTGGGTGGACGAGGCGTAACCGTGGTTTGGGTAGTCGGGTGTTATGATTTGGCTCTGGGGGTGTTTGGGATTGGACTCTGGTTGGCTAGATAGTGTTTTTTTTTTGCTGGACTGTGCCTGTTAGATAACATAGCGATGTTAGATGATTAATATCATGGAGTTATTTGACGACAGGATGGATGCTTCTGACGTGGGTTGAGAATGCATGGATGGACAATGGACAATGCAGGATAGGGGACGGAAGCGATCTAGACACCGCCACGCCGCTGCCCCGCCCGAAGGAGCAACTTTGCCCGCCGTGGACCCCACCCGGCGTCGAAAGGAGTATCTTTCTACGCGGGGTGTGGGGGTGCTTCTGCCTTCTGCATCGATTCTACTGTTCTATACAATAGAGCGATACCATGAGAAGGAATGTCCCCCATGAGCATATCTTCCCCCATGCGGGGTACAGGGTCAATACCCCCCGACCTTCGACCTTTACGCACGTCATGGCCGTGCAACGCCTTATAAAACCACAAGACCCAAGGACTAAAGCCCAAGCCCACCCCAACCCGACTTGACCACCTCGTCTCGTCTCATCCCATCCATTACCATGCCCGGAGTCCTCAACCAGACCTTAGCCGTCAACGACGGTCCCCTGACCTCCGAGAACGCCGCACTCCTGCGGCCCTCCTCGCCCAGCCTCCCGCTCGACGAACTCCGTCGCCGCTACAACGAGGACGGCTATCTGTTCGTCAAGCAGGTCCTGCCGCGCGAGGACGTCCTCGAAGTTCGGCGCCAATACTTCAGCCACCTGGAGTCCACGGGGGTTCTGAAGGAGGGCACCGACCCGGTAGAGGGCGTCTTCAACCCAGCCAAGACCTCCGACGACTTCCCGGGCATCGGGGCGGGCGCGGCGGGCGGCAACGGCCGGCCCGGCGGCGAGAGCGCCGCGCAGTTCGTCGACCGCGCCCTCGAGGCCCACTACAAGGACTGGTATGTCGAGAAGCTTTGTGGCCATCCGGCTCTCTACGACTTCATCGCCAAGTTCACCGGTTGGGGCCAAGATACCCTGACCTTCAAGCGCACCTTGCTGCGCAATAACATCCCCGGTACCAAGCCGATTGGCGTGCACTATGATCAGATCTTCATTCGCTATGGTGCGCCGAGCTGTGTCACGGCATGGGTGCCTATCGGCGATATCAAGCTGAGTGGGGGAGGGTTGATCTACCTGGAAGATAGTAGGTGGTTGGAAGGCCTGGATAGGATGGCGGCTGACCGGTACAGGTGACTCTGTGGGCCGGAAGATTGAGGACGACTTCACAGCTAAGGCCATGTCTGCGGGACTGACGGAGGAGGAGGCCAAGTTTGCGTTCAACTCGAACATGATGTCCACCGGCATGCTGTCCGAGTACCCGGTCGAGTTCGCCAACCAGCATGGCCGTCGCTGGCTTGCCTCGGCTTATGAGGCGGGCGATGTGGTCCTGCACAAGCCTCATATGGTATGTATTTATTTCTCTACGGGGTTGGTCTGGTGCTGATGGGGTAGATCCACGCGTCGACGGTGAACAACGACCCGGAAAATGTGATCCGTCTGGCTACCGATCTGCGATTTGCGGATTCGTCCAAGCCGTATGACAAGGTGGGTTGTGGTTGAGATTGATACAGGGACAGCACTAATACCGCACAGAGATGGATGAATTTCTACCGATTTGACGATGGTGTTTGATCTTTTGCAATGGGGTAGATATGATGGCTTGCAATGGCACATTTTTTATGCTTGATATGACATGTCAGCTATGGAACCACGTGTTGATACGGGTCTGATTGACCGTGTTCCCCAAGCCACTACCCCGAGACACCGAACGTGCAGTGGCAGATTCTATCATCGTTAGCATAGATGCCAGATACCGATCCGAAAAACTCACTGCTTATCGTCACAAAACCCCCCTGTCCACCCATCGCCCTGTTCGATGCACTAGGATAATCAGCCGCTACTTCCAATCAAGCGTAAGATGATGAACATACCGTATTGCGACATGTGAGATTCGCAATTCCATTTCCCCCGTAGACCTGGCAGGAGGTTGACTTGGTGAGAAGGATCTCCCTCAAAGGAATGGAGAAGGCGGGTAGACAGAAGGCGAGGATATAGAGGGTGAGGGTGAGCATGGCGTTCATACTGTTGGGGCGAAGACCGTGAGGAGGTTGAGAGTCGGGATTCAGAAAAACATCCCTGGATACATTCCTTGGCTGGGCTCTATGAAGTCAGTGTCTGCACCCTGTAGGGGCGTGATCTGCATGCAGAGGACTCGATTCGCTGTTCATTAGATCTGGTGCTGTGGTGCGGGTGGTTTATACAAGTGCGACTCCCGTACTTGAGTGTGAATGTCACACAAGGGACTCGATTGACAGGATGGATCGAGTCTGATAGTAGTCTCCAAGTTTCTGAGATCAGACACTAGGCCCCCAATAATCCTCAAAAGTAGCTTAGTAGTCGCTACCACTTGTGTCAGGGTTGCTGACTGCTTTCGTATCGCCATCGTATCGCAATCGGCCCTTGCTGCGTGGTCTTATGTAAGGCGTGCATCCTCAGGCACCGTCAGGCACGTCGACATATTTCGATATGCCTCATCTGCCTCAGGCACACGTCCGAGACACCCCTCCTCACTCCTCAAAGTGATGCATTACTGGAAAGAACCCCGTGCTAGATACTACCGTCGGCGCATCGGGTCCCCAACAAAGTCTCCGAACGGACTATTGAAACGCTGGATGATCGCCGACCTCCGAATCAGGGCCGGCGCCGTCAGCACGCTGCTCGGAGCCATAGAAAGTCCGGGAGCCAGCTGCCCCGCCTGTCCAGTGACCGGGCGCCCAATCCTTCCCCTCCGTCCTTTTATTATTTCTGTCCCTCCTCTCCTCCCTCCATCCTCCATCCTCCATCTTCCATCTCTCTCCCCCTTCCATCCCCCTTTCTCAGTAAGATCCCCTCCCTGTACTCCCTCCCTGTGATCCCTTCCCCAGGATCACTCCCCCCCCCTCTTTCTCCCCGCTTGAGTTTTGCTGACCTCTCCAGTATCTACACAACAATGGCTGCCCCCGCCCAGAAGTTCAAGGTCGCCGACATCGTACGTGCCCCCTCTGCCTCTGTCCTCCATCGAATCTCATTGACCATACCAGTCCCTGGCCGCTTTCGGTCGCCGGGAGATCGAGCTCTCCGAGCATGAGATGCCCGGTCTCATGTCCATCCGCCGCCGTTACGGTGCCGACCAGCCTCTGAAGGGTGCCCGCATCGCCGGTTGCCTGCACATGAGTATGTCTGCTTGAAAGCTTGTACTGTCGTGTACTAACCCCATCTAGCCATCCAGACTGCCGTCCTCATCGAGACCCTCGTTGCCCTCGGTGCCGAGGTCACCTGGACCAGCTGCAACATCTTCTCCACCCAGGACCACGCCGCCGCTGCCATTGCCGCTGCCGGTGTCCCTGTGTAAGTTCCACAGTACCACCACTACTACAACTGCGAGGCTAACGGGCGTAGCTTCGCCTGGAAGGGTGAGACCGAGGAGGAGTACGAGTGGTGCCTCGAGCAGCAGCTCTCTGCCTTCAAGGATGGCAAGAAGCTCAACCTCATCCTCGACGACGGTGGTGACCTGACCTCCCTTGTCCACAAGAAGTACCCCGAGCAGCTCAAGGACTGCTACGGTCTGTCTGAGGAGACCACCACCGGTGTCCACCACCTGTACCGCATGCTCAAGGAGGGCAAGCTCCTCGTCCCCGCCATTAACGTCAACGACGCCGTCACCAAGTCCAAGTTCGACAACCTGTACGGCTGCCGTGAGTCCCTCATCGACGGTATCAAGCGCGCTACCGATGTCATGATCGCCGGTAAGATCGCCGTTGTTGCCGGATACGGTGATGTCGGCAAGGGCTGCGCCGACGCTCTGCGCAGCATGGGTGCCCGCGTCCTGGTCACCGAAGTTGACCCCATCAACGCCCTCCAGGCTGCCGTCCAGGGTTACTCCGTTGTCACCATGGAGGATGCTGCTCCCCAGGGTCAGATCTTCGTCACCACCACCGGCTGCCGTGACATCCTCGTTGGCAAGCACTTCGAGGTGATGCGCAACGACGCCATCGTTTGCAGTAAGTGAGGCCTCTCCACCGCAGCGGGTTGTACTGACGAGACAGACATCGGCCACTTCGACATCGAGATCGACGTTGCCTGGCTCAAGGCCAACGCCAAGTCGGTGCAGAACATCAAGCCCCAGGTCGACCGCTACCTGATGGCCAGCGGCCGCCACATCATCCTCCTCGCTGAGGGTCGTCTCGTCAACCTCGGCTGTGCCACCGGCCACTCTTCCTTCGTCATGTCCTGCTCTTTCTCCAACCAGGTCCTTGCCCAGATCGCTCTGTTCAAGGCTGAGGACGCTGCTTTCGGCCAGAAGTACGTCGAGTTCAGCACCAACACCAAGAAGCCCGTGGGCGTCTTCGTCCTGCCCAAGGTTCTCGATGAGCAGGTTGCCCTGCAGCACCTGGAGCACGTCAACGCCAAGCTGTCCCAGCTCACTCCCGTGCAGGCCGAGTACCTTGGCCTGGAGGTGTCCGGACCTTTCAAGGCCGACCAGTAAGTTTTGTGTCTGATGATATGATGGATTGCGCTAACCAGTAATAGCTACCGCTACTAAACCGTCGATTGGATCTTCTGACGCTAGACTTTTCAACACTCACGACGTTACGAACGACATATAAAGGGTTCTTCTCAACATGGGGCTCAAAAGCATTGTCTTCAACGGCAACCAAAAGTGGCTGGGGTTTATGGATACATGGTTTCGCTGTATTTTCAACAGGCCATGATTTGATACCACTTAAATAAATAATGACATCATCGTACCATACTAAAGTCCTGTAAACAAACACTTGGGTAAAAGGTGTCTAGACGCTCGAATGTTGTATTCTGATGAATCCGAATCAATTCTACCTACCAGCCTCAACCCATAACCTATAGCTTATGACCCTCAGCCCATGAACGCATCTATCCCAGTCTTCCATCCATATCTCAGTCTCCCCATATCCTTCCTCCCCACCCTGCCCTGGTCCATTCACCCCCAATCACCCACAAGTATCCCAGCTCAATATCCCAACACTCCCGCCAACAAATCCACCGCGGCCTGCGCAAACTCCGGATGATTAACATCCCTGGGATGTCTCACCACCTCCACCCCCGACCCCTTCAACCCCTCCTCCAGCGCCCCAAACAGCCCCTCATCCGCCTCCGGATCCCAAAACTGCTGCCCCGGGACATCCAACAAACTCACCCCACCCCCCGGCACCAACACCTTGACCCTGTCGGGCCTCCTCGCCCCGCCCAACTTCTCCGCAATAAACCTCCCCACCTTGCAGCTCTCCTCGCGATCCGTCCTCACAATCGTCACCGTCGGATTATGCTCGTAGATCTCCCTCCCCGCCTCCCGGAACCGCGACGGCACCGTCTCCGGCGTGCCGTAGTTGACCATGTCGCATGCCCCCAGGCTGACGACCTGCGGGATCCCGCGAGACGCGGCGGCGGAGAGACGTTGCGGGCCGGCAGACAGAACCCCGCCGACAAGCTCGTCCGCGATCTCGGAGGTTGTGATGTCGAGGATTGCGTCTAACTGGGTTTCGGTGATGAGTCGCTCCATGGCTTTTCCGCCGCTGCCGGTTGCATGGAAAACGTAGAGCTCGCACGTGGGGTACCGGGCTGTTAGCAGGCTGCGGATGGCGGTTACGCAGGGGGTGGTCACGCCGAACATGCTGATGCCGATGCGTAGTAGTTTCTTTCCTTCCTCTCCCTCTGCCTTGGCACCATCCTCCCCATCAACACACCTTCCCCGAGTATCCCGATAATAAGTCCCCCCCATCCCCCCTACCGCAGCAGCCGCATTCCTCAAAATCCTCCCAAGGATAGAGTTCATCCCCGCGACATCCACAACCGAATACATCATCGTGATATCCGTCTCCTCGACGTACGGCTGCACATCGCCCGACGCCATCGTCGACACCATCAGCTTGGGGAACCCGACCGGCAGGGCCGAGCGCATCAGCGCCGTCGCAATGGCCGTCCCGCAGCTGCCGCCAATCGACAGCATGCCGTGGATCTGGCCGTTTTGGTACAGCGAGGAGACGGTAGCGTGCGAGGTGTGCGTTATGGTGTCGATGTAGGTTTTGCGCGGGAGATGGGTGTAGTCTTCTCCTTTGTCGTCGTCTTCGTCTTCGCCTTCCTCTTTTGGCGTTTCGTGTTCTTTTTCATTGCTGTCTTCGCGTGAGGGCTTGGAGCTGCTGTCAGGCTTGAAGTGGGGGTGTTTGATTGTGATTAGAGGCGAGGGGTGCGGGATTCGTCCTACGTCCATGAGCAGCGTGTGGATGGGGTTGGGGCCGCTGGTCAGCTGCGTGTAGGTGTATAGCAGCTCGTCCCATTTTGTGTCGCAGGTACCGAGGAGGAGGATGGTGGGTTGGGTGGCGGGGGTCATGATTGTGGTGGGCTGGGTTTGGGGTGCTGGGTTGGTGTTGATGCTGTGTCTATACAGTAAGGTGAGGGATTATCCTTTGTAGAGAGTAGGGTGCAGAATGCAGAGTTAATTAAATATGAGCACAGCAAATACTTAGAACTAAATAAGTCAGTCAGTCAGCGATAGTCACAAATTTACGAGCAATGATATGAATTCCCAGTAGAGTCGAGTCTGTAGAACAATGACGATATCAGCGGGGTACGCAGTAGCTTGCAGATCGCCCGCCTATCACCTTGGCAGCTGTTAAATTAGACCCAGCACAGCTGAAAATCACTCATTATTATGATGGGTGCTGGAATGTTTGCTGCCTGCGGGGTTGCTGGTTGTCGATTTAGGGTTATGTTACATGCGTCGGGGCAGTGTGTCGGCATGGTGTTGTGTAGCTGGTTATTAACAAGGATATTATCATCCTAGAAAAAAAGAGAAAGAGAGCTTCTGCAGCCGGAGAAAGACTTCCGAGAAAGGGCTTTGTCGTATGGACCAAACTGGCTTGTGCGAACTACTGCCCACTACTGTAAAGTACCATTATCCATTATTGTGGCTCCACTTGATGAACTGTCCGTCCGCCGCCCCTCTTCCCGGCCGAATCCCACCACCACCACTATAGTCTACGACCTTACATCATCGCTGTCCGGCCATATTTACAGTACCGGTGATCCCGGCCATCACCTACTTACTTCCTCAAGTTTCAACATTTCCTCTCCTATTTCCCCCCTCGATACTCCCTCTACTATTCCATACTACATCCAACATGCCCCGCCCAACATCCCGAGAGGAAGTCCTCGCGCGTCTCCGCCAAACCATCGCCGATGGCTCCGTCATCATCGGCGCCGGCGCCGGTACGTCCAGTCCACTCCACTAGACCTGCATAGTAAAACAGATAGCCAGCAACTGACATCGACAAACAGGCATCGGGCTCTCCGCCAAATTCATCGAGAAGGGCGGCGCCGACCTGATCCTGGTGTACAACTCGGGCCGGTTCCGCATGGCCGGCCGCGGTTCACTGGCGGGCATGATGCCGTACTCGGATGCGAATGCGGTTGTGGTTGAAATGGTATCTATCCATCTCCCTCTTACCCCTCAATTCCAGCCTAGCCCCCTTTGCACATACTCATACACATACACATACACAAACATACACCCCTCATAGTTTAACCCCCCCCCCCCCTCACATGCAAGCCATAAACTTACCATAAACAGGCCAGCGAAGTCCTCCCGATCATCCAAAACACGCCCGTCCTGGCGGGCGTCTGCGGGACGGACCCATTCCGCAACATGCGCGAATTCCTCACCCAGCTGCGCAGCATCGGGTTCATCGGGGTGCAAAACTTCCCAACCGTGGGCCTGGTGGACGGCAACTTCCGCGCCAACCTCGAGGAGACGGGGATGGGGTACGAGCGCGAGGTGGAGATGATCCGGCTGGCGCGGGAGATGGATCTAGTGACGACGCCGTACGTGTTCAACGTGGACGAAGGCGAGCGGATGGCGCGCGCGGGCGCAGACGTGATTGTCGTGCATGTCGGGCTGACGACCTCCGGCACCATCGGCGCGCACACGGCCCTGTCGCTGGATGACTGCGTGCCCCTGATTCAGAGTATCCGGGATGCGGTCGTCAAGATTAATCCCGAGGTTATTGTGCTCTGCCACGGCGGGCCGTTGGCGGGGCCGCAGGATGCGGGGTATGTGTTGAAGAGGACCAAGGGGGTGCATGGCTTCTTTGGCGCGAGTAGTATGGAGCGCTTGCCCGTTGAGGTGGCCATTGAGGAGAATGCGAGGGCGTTTAAGGAGTTGAAGGTGAATTGAGTTGTTTATGAGAACGAGTGCGCCGGTTGCTTTCGATTAGGTCGAATTGTATGTACATCATGGTTGCGTGCCGCCGGAGACCCGAACGGGCAATTTCCCGGTCGGAAGATCTCCAGCAGACTGAGAGGACCAAATAATTATTACCCTCTGTAGTGGAGAGTCCCATTTAACCGAGTGATGTCAGTAAGTATAACTAACCGACGTAGCAACTTGTATATATACACAGTAGTACCTACACCCCTCCCCCTTATCCCACACAACCACTCTCTGCAACAAACACCCACTACCACCACCCACCACCATGTCGCGTCCCCTTGAAGGCAAACTCGCCATCATCACCGGCGGCTCCCGAGGTCCCCCACCCTCAGTACCTGATATCAATAGACCACCACCACCACTGCTAACACCCCCCCAGGAATCGGCGAAGCGATCGCCCACAACCTCGCCAGCAAAGGCTGCTCTCTCCTCCTAAACTACACGTCCAGCAGCTCGGGCCCACGAATGGAATCCCTGTGCAGCACGCTCTCCAGCACACACTCAATCACCTGCGTCCCCATCCAAGCGGACCTCTCCGACCCCGTGCCCGCCGTGACTACGATCCTCGACGCGGCCAAAACGCACTTCACCTCGCCCACAACCAACACCCTCACCATCGACATCCTCATCAACAACGCCGGCGTCAGCGCCGACCGCCTCCTCAACGACCCCGCCCGAGGCCCCATCGACCCCGCCCTCTTCAACTGGCACTACACAATCAACGTCCTGGCGCCCCTCCTCCTCACGCAATCCATCGCCCCGCACCTCCCCACCTCCCCGCCGCACGCCGGCCGCATCGTCAACATCTCCTCCGTCTCCTCCTCGCTCGGCTTCGAAGGCCAGTCCATCTACGGCGGCACCAAAGCCGCCATCGAAGCCATGACCCGCACCTGGTCCCGCGAGCTTGCCGACGTCGCCACCGTCAACGCCGTCAACCCCGGCCCCGTCATCGGGGACATGTATTTCAAGACCGGCGAGGGGTTCTGGAACCAGATCCAGGGGTTTCAGGATAACACGCCGTTGAGCAAGATGCTGGACGGGGATGCGCAGTTGGAGGCGTTGACCGAGGAGCAGAAGGGCTTGATTCAGGAGAAGATGGGGGGTAGGAGGCCGGCGTTTACCGGGGAGGTGGCCGGCGTGGTCGCCATGTTGTGCACCGAGGATGCGAAGTGGTGTACTGGGAGTGTGGTTTGTGCGAATGGCGGGTTTAGGTTTGGGCCGTAGGGGACTCGGTTCTGGGACTTGAATATAAGGCTGTTTTTTTATTTCTCGAGTTCTATTGATTGCTTACATACGCGATGATATTGTTGTAAATGACGCAATGCAATAGACTTCTAGGAAAAGAAAAATCATCTCGTTAGATACATTATCATGAGTCCCAATATGATGAGTGAAAATCATGTTCGAAGTTGTCCAGACGTAAATGCTGTTTTTTGAGACGTCGCCTGCTGGAGGTTATACTACGGACTGATCACCCACCAAGGGGACCATTATCCAGCCGAAGCACATTCTGTGCTAGTATGCAGCTGATGTTCTTGATGGGGCATCAGAGAAGCCATTTTAGGTTGTAGTAACAACGGAAGGACCCCCAGAAAGAACGCGTGAGATGATTTCTTGGAAATCCCCAAGGATGATATTCAACCCTTCTGCTGATAGATATTGACTGTCCACGGGATAAAGCACTGCAAGTATTGAAGGTGGCGGCGCACGTAGATCGTGGAGATGATATCGATGATAATATTTAACAACAGTTCCATGAGCGATCGAGTCAACGACCTATTCTTCGTCCATCTCAACAACCAATTCATCTTTCTGGTGATAACTCGATACCCTGAGCTTGATGAAGCAATAAGCTTCGGGGTTGGTCACTGATGGTGAATTTTCAGCGTCAATGATAAATCCCGTGGCCATGATCGCAATCTGATTCATTCTTGGTGATGCGAAACGCCGCGCGAGGCGACGAGCTATGGTATGAACTATTACCCGAGGTGGTGGTGTGCGGCACAATGTTGCGGCAATGCCAGCAACAGTTAAACACCAAAACTTGGGATTGCGAGGCTTGAGTTAGCTTTGGTGGTCATTGTACTGATCTCTCATCTTTCATATATATAAGTCAGTAATCCCCAGCAGGGTATATCAGTGCCCTCGAGACTGGGGTTTATGACGAAGAAATATCGTCTCGTTGTTAGTGGATAGATATACGTATTTCATCTCCAAGTCTCGCATGTACATTGCCATCTTTCCTATACGTCTGTTGGCTTTATGGCGATAAACATCCATATTTCTTCTCCAAATCATGCATGTGTATCGCTAGTATTTGTTGTTATGTGGTTGTTGTGGGTGCTGTTGAATAGGGTGCTTGAATTCCATATCACTAATGAGTACAGTTATTTACTGCATGAGAGACTTTAATATGATGAGTGGACTGCTTCGAGACATGAGAATAATTCTCAATATCTTGAGGTTGGTAGTTGGGGCAAATCAAGAGGAAGAATTTCAGTCGTCGATTCGCGGCTGAGACAGATATTTATGGTCTTTGCTTGGATCGAATTGACTGTAGTGACTGCTATCGACGGTACTACACCTTCTGGCTGATATGGACGGTGATTGGACCAATTGGGATATGGATTATATCATTATGTGTAATTATTCACTTTAGCCTTTTTGAGGTTTCCATGCAGATGACATTGAAATGTGTGTCAGCAGAATCGAACACCTAGTTAATTCATATTTAATGTAAGAATTGCAATGGCTGTGAAATAGCATGTTCAATGCTGTCTGCAAAATATCTCCTCTGGATTCTTTGGAGGAATTATCGAGCTTAGACATCTTAACAGGCTGGAGCTTCACCCTCTTATAGTCTTGCGGGATTGGCTGTGGCCTGAACACGGCTAGTGGGCCCGGCAGATCATCGCGGGATTGGAGTTGCCCTTCGGCCAAGCGTAGGGTCCAGGGCATCTAGTGACTGACCATCTTCAAAAGTCATGTGATCAGCCCTGTGTACTGACAGTATATATCATAGATGCATGTCTAGGAGGTAAACTGCCGGACTCAAGTTTCAGACCGTCGATGGGCTCTGAAGCAGTCGGGTTAGGGTTATATCCCCCTGCAGTAAGTGGGGCGGCTTGCGTGGTTGCGTTGCTGTATGACTAATCAGGAGACCCTTAGGCAGCCTCCATTTCAATTTCTCCAAATATCCTACACAAGCTCTTGGACACTTGGACACTTGGACTATTAACTCCTAGACTCGCTAGACCCCGGGCACAGCCAATGCACGCCGCCAATTGCCACCCTTACAATGTCCCAGTCCAGCATGGAAGATGTAGTCACCACCGCCCGAGGCGGAAGGGCCCGCAGCGCCTGCGATCTCTGCCGGTATAGAAAGGTACGCGCCGTCTTGCCGTCGGCCTTCGCGAGTCACTGACCTCGATTTAGATTCGCTGTGATGGGGAAAAGCCCGCATGTGAAAACTGCCGTTTTTCTGGCGTGACCTGCACCTTTACATTCACTGGGCAGCCGCGGAAGACCATCAGAGAGTATGCCTCCCAGTCCCGACTTGAATCATAGCTGACCAACCCACAGGCAACTGTTCGAGGCGAAGGCGCGGCTGCGCGAGTTGGAAGGCATTGTTGCAGCCCGGGATCCTCAGGCAGTGAACCAAACTGCACGTGACGGTTCGTCGTCGTCTCCGAGTCCGTCTCTCGGCGTCTGTTCGGCGTCTCCTCATCCGCACGACTCGTCGGATTTTGACACGGCCATGGAGGTCTTTCGGCAGCACCTCGAGTACTGCTGGCCAGGGGTGGCACATTCTCCTCAGAGAGCGTCCTTCTACTCCACCGTGTACCGACAGACCGGTTCCATCTTTGACCTGCAAGGCTTCCTCGCCGGGGTCACTCAATCCTACAAGTCACAGCACCCGGCCACCCGGCCTAAAGCCATCCTCCCCAAGTGGCCGACCTACCAGCTCGCCCAGCAGTGCCTCGACTTCTATTCCGCAGAGGGCCTGTACTCCATCTTCCCATGCATCGATATTACCGCGGCCCAGGGCGTCCTGAAGGAGCTTGTCGCGGAACGCCCCAACGCCGACACCCAAGCTCGCACTGCCGAGAAGGCTTGTCTCTTTGCCTTTACCGCATTCATCGCGAAGCTCCATCCTCATCTGCCCATGTTTGCCGATGCTGATCCAGATGCCTATGTGCATGCGGTTCTCACCCTTGTGCCCAGGCTAATACTCGAGCCTGCCGACGTGCGCACCCTCGAAGCACTGCTCATCCTGGTAAGTCGCCATTGCTCCGACCAGGTCTATGCTGACGCGCGCAGGCACTGTACATTGCCCCAACGGGCCAACCCAAATCCGCCCAGCTGCTACTTTCCATGGCCGTGCGAATCCTGTACAACCTCGGAGGGCATCGAAAATGCCCCCTGATCGAGAACCAACGGGCCCACAGCCATCTCCGCGCCATGTTCTGGCTCTGCTACACGATGGATAAAGAGATGTCCATCCGCACATGCTCGCCCCCTCTGATCCACGACGTCGACTGCGACATGGAATTTCCCCCGGGCCACGGCGAACCCCCCGACTCTCCGGCCCTGCAGAACCTACCGTCCCCTCCGATCATTCTGCCCTCTGATGGTCGTCTCGCCATGTTCAAGGCCAAAGTCTACTTTCTGCTCTACTCCAACCACCCCCAATCTTTCCTTGAAGCCCGTCGCCTCGAACACATCCGCCAACTCGACCAGGAGCTGAGCGAGCTGAAATCCGGCTTCCCTCTCGCCTTCCCCTCCGATGCACCGGACTCGAACTCTCCAGAACCCAACTTCCCCGAATTCAACGTCCGCGGCGTTAGCATCTACTTGGAGTACTATTACTGTCTGAGAAAACTTCACGAAGCAAGCATCACCTCCAGCATGTCTCTTCCCTGGTACCAGAATCCGCTCCCGTCGAGTCTGGAACTATACTACCAAGCCTCGCGATCCACCCTGCTGTATTACCTCCGAGCTAAAGGGCTACTCGACACCTTTAGTTTCTGGTACGTCTTCCCCGATTCCATCCTAAGAATTCTAACTGATATGATAATGTAGGATACACGCCCAATTCATCCTCTCCGCCATCCTCTCCCTCTTCTGGTATCTCATCCAGGTTCCCACCGCATCGACTTTCATGAGCGATCTCCGCATCCTGGAAGACACTAAGGAGATGTTCTCGTCCATTAACCGGAATTCGTCCGATACGAAATACTTCCCGCCTGTGTATATCATCGAGGCCTTCCTGGATCTGTTGATCTCGCTGGCCCGTCAGGCGTTGTCCAAAGCTACCGGTGCTTCGTGATATGCTGAATCTGTCAGCCCTTCCCTCGAAGACCAGAGCGGGAGTCCTCCTTTTGCCTCAGTGGTCATCCCTTGTCATATTCCTTGCGGGCTTGCATGGTACACATACCACAGGTTTGCCTTCCTGTCTCGCTCTCTCTACTGGTTTGACTAACAACACTGTTTAGCTCGACTTGCTCTCTGCATGCTACGTCTCAGACTACAGAACCGACCATGACTTTATGTACAAGTCAGATCTACCTCAGGACGAACAGAAGTCGATTCCGACCTTGTCCATCATACCTCCTTTACCTAGAGGAAGTCCATTATTCATGGCATATGCACCGACAAGACCCTCCGACCATAACCCACCATTTATCGGTCAATAGTATCACTAGTAACCCGATCACCATCTCCACCTACAACCCGTGTACCCGACATCCATCTTATCATCGTTATCTCGGATCCTGCGGGAGCCGCAAGACAGCGAAGCGCCTATTTCCACTGAATTGGCTTCCACTACTACGTTCGTGGACCGAGATATCGGTAGGAAGCACGATCGCAGACTTCATACTAGAATTGAACAATCAGTTCATGCGCTGGCAGCTGACTGATGCACATGTTAATATGCTGTTCCTGAGCAAAGACATTGTTCGACCTCTGTTTGAACCATCTATCCTATACGTGAATGACATGTACGATTATCGTGTAACCAGAAGCAGACCATGAGTAGTAGAGCCTCTATCCCTCTGTCCCGGGACCATCATTCTCCGGTACGGTTAAGTAAACAAACGCCATCCTCGCCTTCCAGGGACATACTACTATCATGGTAAATAGTAGACTATATTGCTCACCATGCCACACACTCATATTCTCATTCGACCAATACCCTTCGCTTTGCAGCCAAGAACCACCCCAACAACATGCCATTCAACCCCAATCATAGTCTCCAGCTTGCCGCGTGAACGACATCCCACCGCCCACGGTGAACTTATCACTCACTCCCAGTACCGAATCGCGTGCCTCAGTGGAGGTACATGCCGCTTGAAGACGTAGAAAAACTCGAGTGCTACCGCTCCGGATGCTATCACCCCATAGTCATCAGAGACCGCCTTCATGACCGGTATGACGTGGTGCATAAACTGGGGTTCGGTACGTACTCGACAACCTAGCTGGCCAGAGACCGAGAGATGAAGAAATACGTGGCTGTCAAGGTTGCCACCGCGGACGGAGAAAGAGAAGGAGAAAGAGAGCAGCATGAGAGCAGGATCCTGAGGTCCCTGGCGCTGGCAGGATTACCTCCAGTCCTACCGCAGGTATCGGACGAGTGCTGTCTAGATGGACCCCCAAGGGGACACACAGATGGCGTGTTCGGGAATCGGAATCGGAATCAGGGGCCTGCGATGATGAATCTCTCCCAGGCAAGGCAAAGGATGCATCCTACTCCAGACTCTTCCGGTGGCCAAAGCCATCGCGGCTCGGTTTGTGCAGGCCGTTGCCTTTCTGCATCTGCATGATTGAGGGATCGTACACGGTGGTATGCACATATGTACATATCTTATCTCACGGCTAATCTCGCCTTCCTTCCTGATAATTCTCCCAGACCTCCTCCACGCGGGAAACATAATGCTCCGCCTACCAAGCAGCATAGAAAATCTCTTCCCCCTTCCCCCCCCCAACACGCAATCCTACCCTACCCATCTGGCTTGGAAAAGAAATCGAGCGAGCAGCTCCTGCTCTCTGAATCTCAATTCCTCCTAGCCGACTTCTGCTCGTTATTCACACCATGAACCACCCCCCGCCCATCGCACCTACTCCAACCCCCCACCCAATCCTCGCTCCCCCGAAAGTCCATTTCCTTCCGCAACATCAACGCCCGCTCATCCTCCCCTTCGACTTTCGACATCTGGTCGATGGTGTGAAAGGCTTACGGCTACAGCTAGGGAGGTGTTGCGGTCGGAGTGCATGAAGCATGAGTAGATGGGAGATGGGTGGGGTATGCGAATGTTAGCAACATAGACGATGATGGCGCAAGACGTCGATGGTGGGAAGAGAGCGACGAGAGCGACGAGAAATCCGGGAGATGGGGCGCGCGAGGAGAGAGGGGGGGGGGGGGGTTTATAGGAAACGGGAACAAGGCGCCTCAGGCACGACGCAGACGGGTGCCTTCTCAATCCGTCAAGGTCGTGGACAGCGATGGCGGGGTCAACGATGCGTTGCCAGATCCAGTCCCCGACCTGAAGGAAACGCCCTTGTCTGATCGCTCTTCACTTGTCCGAGCTCGTCCGAGAGACATTTTCGCTTCGAGATGTGGAAGCACTCTGTGTGGTATAATGATCACCATCCTTGGAGAGGGACTAACGTCCTTAGTAGTAGGCTGAACCCACACATACAAACTGCCATCTGCGGGGGGTAGATCACTTCGCCGCAGGCAATTATAAACTCGTAACAGCATCCTTGACTTATTCTAGAGCTCGCTCGGGAGCTCGTTTATACGAAGGCGAGACGTACTGATTTCGAATACAGCCTCTTCGTCGTCGAAGGGTTCTGGGAAACTTTCCGCAGTCGTACAAACTCACTCAAGAGTTTTTGCGTAGAGGATATGCGATTATTGTCAAGCGTCAAGAAGCTCTGAAGAAGCAGTGTACCGTACAGGGTAGGATATTGTTAGTATGGAATTTCTCGTCAAGATAGTAGTACTTCAAAGCTTCGCGTTTATGGACCTTGGGTTGCATTTCTCTGAGCACCAGGGTTTGAATTCTCCTGAGTAGCTGATTCAAGCAGGCATGATTCATTGCTTCGTGTTAACTCTAGTTCTCGAGCGGGCTATATCATCACTGGAAAGCATGTTGATTTTATTGCTCGGCGGAGGTGTATGTCGACCTCGGTCGGTGGAATCATGGGATTTTGTGGTTGAGAAGTTTCTTGATACATGTCATCCTTTGCCTTATAGTTTGAGCTTATTGATTGATGTCTGAAAATAACTTAGACATTGTATAAGACAGGTTGCTGCTGTGGGTGGCTCTTAGGGTTGCTTGCATAGCCTCGGAATCCAAGCAATCGTGCTGAAGATATGTAAAAATTTTAGAATTCGAAGAAAATAAAACAAGCAAGCAGATCAGCTAAATTCCACTGATACACTGCGTAGACAATCAAGTAGCCAACAATAACACTCTACTGAACATGAATGGCTTATCCACTACGCATAGCATAACTAACTATATAGTTATACACCTTAGTCAGCAGCATCCCCAACCGATCACCTCCGACGTCATCTCCATCCCTCCTGCAACCGACAACATCCATCATCAATTCCATCAAAATGTCGCTCCGTGCTCCCCTCCGCCGAGGATTGCAATTCTCCCGTGCCCTTGCTTCACGGCCATCTCCCACTCTCATCCCAATCCGCTCTTTAGCCCACATCCGACCCAGACTCTCCGCCTCCGCCTCCATCCTCCGAACAACACTCCCCTCCTCCCCCCAAACTACCATCTCAACCCACAGACCCTACAGTACCGGTGCCAGCACCGGGAAATCCCCCGGCGACCTTATCGTCGAAGAACTCCAGGAACTGTACGCCCCTCTCCTATGATACCCCCCAATCAATTCCCAATTCCCAATTCCCAATTCCCAATTCCCAACCCCAATACTGAACCCCACTAATCAAACACAGCTACGAAATCGCAAAGGACGAATTCGAAATCGCGACCGAAAGCACCGACTCATCAACCATCTACGCGGCCTCAGACCGTGAATCGGCGCGCGACGCCCTCGATGAGCTGGTCGCCGCGTACACGGTGTACACACGCGATGGGACGTTCCTGGCGCAGATGCAACAGGCCCAGGGAAAGACGCAGGCCGATGTGAGTGTTGATACGGGGATGAATCCGGCGGAGGTGGAGGAGGCGGTGCGCGAGGAGGTGCGGAAGAGGGTCGGTAGACGGGTGAGGGAGTTGGTGGCCGCCGTGGAGGGGTTGGAGGAGAGGGCGAAGGAGAGTGATTGATTGATTTTATTTGATGGAGTAAAAAGAGGGGAAATGTGGGGGGGGTGTATATTAGATGGTATCTACTAGGGATATAGGTAGGTGGTGGCTGGGTAGGAGGATGTGCAGGTTGGTTTGGTAGGTAGGTAATGAGAGGGATTGATTAACTGTATTGTTTTTGTTTTTGTTCTTGTTTTTGATCTACAGATGCGCCATTCTGCTCGTAATCATCCTATACATCTTGCGTATCCCTCTGTCCCATTGACACTTTTGATTTTGGTAGTTGTATATCTCACATACTACTTACATTTATCCTGAAAGAAAGTATGATGTCACACAACTGCCCGCGAACCATGCCGCCAAAACAGCCAACTCAGAAGACAACTCAGTAAATCCTCCTGGGATACCTATAACCTTCAGTCTAAAAATTGTCAATCCAAACTATCTATAAATATACAGTACAGTTGTATATTTATAGATAGCGTGGCCGCCCACGTGCCGGCCAGTCGGGAAGGACTCCGGGGTCAATGACTGCTGGCCCCTCCCTCCCGCCCTCACTCCGTTAACTAACTACGCCATCGCTGCCTACTTAGATAAGTCGACCAGCTAGTTACTAGCTACTCTCCAACTTCAACTCCAACTCCCAACTCCGCGACAGACACTACTATTCAACCATCTTACCATCCCACCACAAGGCACAATACCACACACCACACCAATCATTTAGCTCAGCTCCAACTCCCCCTCAGCTCAAATCAACTCGACTCCACGCACAGAATTACTCCAACCCTCCAACTCCAACCCCGCACGAACCATCCATCCTCCCTCCCTGACGAACTGACCGAACCGACCGAACCAACCGAACCAACTGAGCCTACCTACCTACCTACCTACCTACCTACCTACCTACCTACCTACTTCCCCCCCAACCAACCAAAATCCCTATACAACCTCCCTTCACCCCCAACCAAGATCAAAATGGGAAACCTCTGCTCCAAATCCAAAAACCCCCCCGAATCCGACGCCTTCTCCACCCCCGGCCGCGTCCTGGGCTCCGGCCCCAACCCCAACCCCAACTCCAACGCTCCTCGCCCGCCCCCAGCGCAGTCGTCCGCCCCGCGCGCGCCTCTCCCATCGAATACGAAATTGAATTCGGGACTTGGCTCTGGGACGGCGGGGAGGACGGTGGCGGACAGGGATACAACAAGTACGGATGGTGATGTTGGTGGTGGTGGGAAGGTAGATCCGCGGATGAATGCGGCGTTGGCGGCGCAGGTTCGTTTTTCACCCCATCCTGACGTTTTCCTCCCTTTCTCTCTTTTTGTTTTTTTCTTCTTCTAGGTGGGCTGTATATTGTTTAGAGGGGGGAGGGGGGGTTAGCATTGCCGTCTAATCCAATCTGCTGATACGAGACTAACAATGCTATGTGTACGGAGTAGAAACGCGCAGAATTAGCATCGACGGCAACCAAGGGCAAACTAGGGAGCAAGTTAGCGGCGCAGAAGGCGCAGACGCAGACGCAGACGTTGAACGAGGCGAGTCGGGATGAGATTGCCGCTAGGGATGCGGATGGCGCCGCGCAGGCGAGGGCGTGGCAGTGATTCTATCTACAGATGCTACAGATGCTATCTACCTGGCCTATCTTTGGTTGGTTTGAGGGGCCAATATGGTGGTGGGTGGCTGGGCTCAACATGGGCCCGCCCATGGCAGGGATGGAGTTTGGCGGTTATATCCTTTTACTTTTTGTGCACTTCATTATCAGCGGCCTTAATACCCTAGCACTATCTTTACAGGCGCTGCCATGCAGGTTAGGGTGGAGATATGATGCCGATATCGTACAGAATATAGGTAGTCTAGACCACGTTGTACCGTCCTCCCACGGGGGCCCTGGCGTCGCTGTCGGCCGCGGCAATGGTGCCCTCCTTCAGTAGGCGCATCAGCTCGCGCATCGCGTTCGTCACCGACAGCTCCGTCTCGCCCTCCACCAAAATATACAACTTGGGGTTCTCGCCCGGCCCAGGCTCCTTGCCCGTACCGTAGAAGCTGCCCTTGGTCGTGATCGACGTGCCCGTCGCTTCCAGGATCTTGGCCACGTTGGTGCGGTTGGTGACCGCCCATCGTGCTTTTTCTGTAGCGGTCGTTAGTACTTGAAAGAAAGGTAGACGGATCACACTTACGGGGAAAGTCGTTGATCTCCAGCGTGGCGTGGAACGCTCCCGCATCGGGCCCGCGGTTGTCGATGGGCACGCCGGATCTCATCACACCCGCTCGGCTCAGGCGCGCATGGATGTCGGCCACCGCCGAGCCCACCTTGTCCAGGGGATTCTTCGATGCGCTGTTCGGATCCTTCTCCGTCCGATGTACGGTGATCTTGCCGTCAAGGTCAATGCCCTTCGGGACGCCGGGCATTGATGTCGATGCTGTTGATTGCACCGCCGAGATGACCTTGTTGAACCGCTCTTCTGCCTGCTCGTTCTTTTCCTCCTTCTCCTCCTCCTCCTCGCCGTCGTCTCCGGTCTTGTAGGTCCGCCGTTCGCGCATTCGAGCCGCATCGCGTTCCTGGTCCAACCGCTCCAGACCCTTGCCGCCAAACCCTGACGCACTGGCCTTCTCCTTGCCTGCCTTCACCTTCTCTAAGAACGAGTCGACCATCTTCTGCACGGGCTCGGGCACCTGCTGCCCACTTTGCTTCAATGCCTTGGCGATATCAACTGAGTACCGTTCCTGGTCCTCAGTCACGAACGTCACCGCCGTACCGGTGTTACCGGCACGCCCCGTCCGGCCAGCACGATGGACGTAGTCCTCGAGATGGTTGGGTGCATCGTAGTTCACGACAAGCTTCAGCTGCTTGACGTCCAGGCCACGGGCGGCAACGGAAGTGGCGATCAGAACCGGAAAGATACCGGCCTTGAAATCCTCAATGGTGGAATCACGATCGATCTGATCCTTGCCTCCATGGATCGACATGCACGGGTAGCCTTTGCGCATCAGCTCTCGAAGGAGGTTATCCGCAGCTTCTTGACGCTCAACGAAGATCAGTGCGCGCGCATCTTCGTTCTCGTCGTTGGAGTACATGTTGCCCAGAATCTCCAGCAGCCGTACAAACTTCTGGTCGTCGTTGCGCACTTCGACAATCTGCGTGATCTCCGGCGCAACGACACTCTTGCCGCCCACCACGATCTCGATCGGCTTCGTCAGCGTCTTGCGGGCCAGCGCTTCCATGTTCCGAGGGAAGGTAGCCGAGAACAGCACCGTCTGCCGGTCGGGCCGGATGTTGGCCATGATCTTCATGACCTGAGGCTCGAAACCCATGTCGAACATGCGGTCAGCCTCGTCAAGCACAACGTAGGTGACCCTGCGCAGGTTGGTGACTCTGCCGGCATTTGCGGCCAGAAGGTCGATCATTCGTCCTGGCGTGCACACAATGATCTCTGCACCGCGCTTCAGATCCGCGATCTGGTCCTTGATCGGGGCTCCGCCATAAGCGCAAACAGCCCGGAGGTTCAAAGCTTTAAGGAATGGTTTGCAGTCCTTGTGAATCTGCGTCGCCAATTCACGAGTCGGTGTCATGATGAGACCGACCGGGCCTTCCATGTTGTCCAGCGGACGCTGGTCCCTGATGTGGCGGAACATGGGAATCAGAAAGGCAATTGTCTTACCAGATCCCGTCTTGGCCACGCCGATCACATCACGGCCAGACATGATCGCGGGGATCGCTTGGGCTTGAATTGAAGTGGTCTTCTCATAGCCCAATCTGTCGACGACATCCAAGGTCTGCACACCCAGCCCACATTGGGACCATTTCTGCACTGGCTTGGGAACGTCAACACCACGCACTTTAATGCCGTCAAGTTCCAGGCGCAAACTGGCAGCCTCCTCCTCGGACATTTGCGCCAGATCAGAAGGTTCCGTGTAGAACTTCCGCCGGAAGGGCTCATACTCCATCTTCTTATGGTCAACAGATGGGATATCCTTCTTCTTCTTGGCTTTATTGGCAATGGCGAGGAAATCATCCGCGTCACCATCGCCCACAGCCGTCATATCGACTTCGTGCTCGTCACCGAACATGGCCTCGGGCTGCTGTGCTTTTGCGCGGGAGAATTTAGCGCCGACGGCCTTCCTCGGGGGTGCAGCCTCAGCCAATCCAGACATGAACGCGTCCAGCGGGTCGATTTCCTCCTCCTCTGGAACGTCAACCTCCATTTTTTCGGATTCTTGATCTGGGGCATCGTTGACTTCGGTGTCGCCATTGGACTGGGTCTTGAGAGCCTCACTCTGCAAGCGCTCTTCTCGCCTCTCGGCAGCCGCACGTGCTGCGGCGGCATTCTCTTCCTCGTTGTCCCCATCTTGCATGTCAACGTCTTCTTCTTCTTCTTCGTCTTCTTCGGCAGGCGCCTCCGTCGATCCATTTACGTCTTTTGAATCGTCGAGTGGAGGGGTAGGTAATTTTTCCAGCTTCCTTCGGGTCGATTCCTCCTCCCCGAAACCCAATGTTTTCGTGGCAGTCGACTTCTCCGTCTCTGCGGCCTGTTTGGTACCCAGGCCAAATCGACCTACATTGCCTTTCGCCTTCAGGGAACCTACACGCAGTTAGTCTTTTGAACTTTGGAGCATAGCATTTGAAGTAGGATGACATACCCGAGGAGGTGCTTGCAGTAGTAGCAGGCTTCGGTTTCACCTGAGTAGAAACGGCCGCGGATGATTTGACAGACGGCGGGACGGCAACGTCATTTCCCAGCACCGCCGGCGCTGCTGGCGTCGCAGGAGTTGAGGAAGCACTCTTTGCAATCGCCTTCGGATCAAACTTCCCGGCATAGGTACCGGGGGTAGCATCAACGCCAGGTGTTGCAGGAGACTGGGGAGAACTGACAGCCGGTGACAAACCAGACTTCCGATCGATTTCTTCCAAGATACTTCTCGCCCCGCCCGCCGCCGCGGCTTCGCGCTGTTTGCGTTCCTTCTCGGCGGACTGTTTCTGCTTCCAAGCCTCCAATTTGGCCAGTCTTTCCGCTCTCTTTTCGTCTTCGGTCGGAGCCGAGGTTGCTGCTGGGGTTGACGGTTTCGATGTCTGTGACATGTTAAGAGAGCTCCGACACTGAAAAACAGAACCCGGCACAAGCTCACCTCTCGAGATCTGGAAGCCGAGTCTCTAGCCCGATCCCGGCTATCGTCCCGTCTAGACTTGTGCTTCAAGTCAGCAGAATCATCTGTCCGCCTCCGAGCTCTGTCGCGGGAATCATCTCGCCTGCTCCGGTAGTCCCTTTCGCGGCTTCTTCGACGGTAGTTATCGCGGTCTCGGGACCGTCGCCGATCGCGAGAGCGTTCTCTCCGACCTGGCCGATATGTGTCTTCGTCGCGCCTGTCTAGCGAGCGGTCACGTCTGCGGTAGGCATCCCGGTCCCGGTCTCGTTCGCGTTCACGATATCGCCTCTGAATGGGGTGAGAAAGGTCAGCGCAATGGAAGCGGAAAGGACTCCAAGGCATCGGGCATACCTCCGGGCTGCGGGATCTGCGGTAACTCCTGCCATCGTCTCGTCGGCTCCTCTCGTAGCGATCATCGTCTCTGCGAGTCCGTCTGGACGAGGAATACGTGCTGCCTACAGGTGATGGTGAGCGAGTATCCCCGTGGCGAGCCATTGTTGCAGTGTTACTGAGACCCAAGAAAGCTCGAGCACGTGGACAGGATACTAAAGTGAGTTTTACCCTTCCATAAAAAGTCAGAAACTGTGGTCTGCAGGCAGATGCTGCTGCTGCTGCTGCTGTGGATGTTGCTGTGGGTGCTGAGGAGTGATAGTGTCTGTCGCCCGGTCGGTCGCCGGCTGAGTTGACTGCCCGAGAGAAGGATGGATTGGATGGTGGCTCGCCTCAGGCGGCGACCGCAGTCCCGTATCCCTCACGTGATGCCACCCGATAGCGGCCCGCATCACGTGATAGCTCCATTCCCCGATTCGGCATCTCCCAAACGAGGAGGGTCGACGCGACGCCAACCCCCGGTTTCGTCACCGTCACTCACTAGCAGTGCACATCCCCAGCTAGAAGTCTACTGCTAATATCTCCTCCATCTCATCTGCGCGTCGCTCCGCATCCACCACAACTGTCCGTCATTGCTCCAGTGATGCCTTTGAACCTCGCTCGGTGCGGAGGGGGTGTCCTCCAGCACCAGCTCAACCAAGCTTTCTCTCGCCCCGTCCGCCAGGCTATCGTCCAGAGCCATGTTCGGCCTCTGTCCCTAATTACTCTCGGTCGCCTCTCGAGCTTCAATGCTCGGCCCGCACCGGTTTCCGTCGCGCTGTCTCGAGGCCCGTCCAACACCTATGCCACTGCAGCTTCCAAGCCCACCAAGGCCACCAAGGCTACCGATGCTACCAAGTCTCCCAAGTCTCCCAAGGCCACGAAGGCTCAGAAGACTTCCAAGACTCCCAAGGCTCCCAAGGATACCGACGCCCCCTCAAAAGAACGCAAGCCCAAGATGACAGTTCAAGAGAAGGAACGCAAAGACAGAGCCAAGGAAAGGGACCTAGTCGCGAAGACCAAGATAGCGACCCTTGTATCTGAGGAGCCGAAGAGACCCCTTACCGCCTACATGCTTGCTATCATAGACAAAATGAAGGAAATCAAGGCGGCACACTCGGACGCGGACCTGCCGCAGACGGAGATATTCCGCCTGGCCACTGAAGCTGCTAAGACAATTAGTGCCGAAGAGAAGGAGGTTCGTTCTATCTTTGTTGGCCTAAATTGAATATTGCGACTAATCCTTTTCTAAAAGAAATACACGTCCACCTGGGAAGCGAGTAAGGAAGCCTATCCGGGGGTATATCGGAAATGGGTCGAGTCATACACCCCCATCGAGATCAAGCAGGCCAACCTGGCTCGAAAGCAACTGGCCCGGCTCAGGAACAAGAAGCCTCGTTACATCCAGGATGATCGCTTGGTCAAACGCCCAAAGGCCTCCTACATTCTTTACGCAGAGGAACGTCTGAGCTCAAGTGATCTCCATGATTTACCCGTTCCCGAACGTAGTAAACACGTTGGAGCGGAGTGGAACAACATGACGAAAGCACAGAAAGAGGTACTTTCAGCTCCTCTCCCCCAGAAGATGCTGTTATATTTGAAACCACAGACACTAATTTAACGAACAGCCATACGTTGTCCGAGCTGCAGAGGACGCCGAGCGCTACAAGCGGGAATACCTGGCGGCTTACGGCATTCCTGTCCCTGAATCGAAATGAGCACATGTAGCATGGCTGTCAGGAAACGCGGGAGTCTGGATTTGTTCTGTTACTGGGCGGCTAATGGTGTTTCAAGATGACGCTGGGGCGCGTGGTCGGAGCAATGGGTTCTTTACTGTGCACTCGATCTTGGGCTGGCTGTCTTTCCTGTCTCTTGTTCCGTGTACCCTCCATTTGCGATTCTGGCCTCTGGTGGAGGACGTGTACTCTATCAAGTATCAATAACCATGCAATTTACAGCAATTGGCTGTCACAGACCAGCGGGATCTGCGGCTCGGTAAAAGGTAAAAAGCCTCATCGTATCACCATGGTGACGTATCCAAACGATCTTCTCGACCACCCAAGAATCCAGACGCAATTGAGATATTTTTTTTCTGAACATGGTTTGAGAGCGATCTGGCCGCCCTGCATCCTCATGCGCTGTCGGGGATCATTCGATCTAGACCGGCGCCATCTTGAACGCGAGGACCGGTGAGGGCTGTACCCCTGTCAAACATGTCGGAGTATTAGATCACATCCTGGTTGTACTGTAGGGAGGGGTAGTGGTGGTGACAGTGGGAGTAGTTGATGCAGGATATCCGGCGGATGCAGGCACACAGGCGCATATCTGGATGTTGGGCAGGAAGATCCATCCATCCATCCTGGAGTGGGTGAGTGAGTCATTGTCATCAACCCACAGTATCTTGCTAGTGTTAGTGCTACAGGCAATACCACCCGCTGTGGCACCTGGAGCAACTGACTTACATGTACCTATAGACTAGAGACGCTGTCGATACTCACCCTACCCATCTATCTGAATAAGATGTATACTAAAGTAGATAGACAGACCATAGTCCAGGGCAAGACCGGTCCTATCAGCCGTGTCATCTTAAATGAGTAACGAGCGTTGAGTAATGAGGGATCTGAAAGCCCAAGCCCACAAGAATCCGAATCAGGCCAGATGCAGACATAAACATACTTAGTAGTACTAGGTCGGGTCGTACTTCCTACAGAGTATAATTAACATTAATATTAACATCCTGTCCTGTCCTATCCAGTGCAGATTGAAATCGTTTCAGCCGCCGGTGGCTGTGGAATTTGCCTGTCGTGCATTATTTCTGTGGTACATAAAAATCGGGTATTTAGTACATAAGTTTGTATGTACCTATGTATAGTACCTATTAGGTAGGTTGTACTTAGGTAGAGAGCGTAGGCGGGGACACCCCTCTCTCCTCAGGGTCCGGAATGCACGCGCGCATGCGATGCAGCAATTGCGGAACGGACGTCGGAAATCCAAGACAATGCAATAGATGGAGTGGATAAAGACAACTGTCAATGCCGGACGGAGGTTTGTGGATGACAACCAACTCCGTATTGTTGCATTGAGCTAATACGGATATAGATCCAGAGCTCAAACCTCAGTGTAGTTAGTATCTATCTATGTAGGTAAGAAATAGAGACATCGTCCGGTGTCAAAGACTCAAAAGAAGCCCCGACTAAACATAGATTAATAATAATAACATGTATTAACTATTAGCTAGATAGACAGACAGATCGCTAGTGGTTGGGACTCCATTCCTGGAAGGAACGCAACGCTCATAGGCCGGCGCGGGGAGGGGAGAAGGCCTTTGCCTTCGATGCGGTGAAGAAATGGCCAGCACTCACTTCGTCCTCGCCCTCCACTCCACTCCACTCCATCCTTCATTTTCCTCTCACCCGAAATTTCTCGCGCTGCTGGCGGCCTGATGCGTGGGCGGGTTTGCCGGATGATTGTGTAGCTGCAGAGTGAGCGGCGCTTTGTGTGGCTTTGGCTTTGGCTTTGGCTTTGGCTTTGGCTTTCTCGAGGTATGCATGGTATGTAGTATGTACAGAGTACAGTAGAATGGATGTACTGTGTAGATCGCGAGGCATGTGCGGTGTTTGGTGTTTTGATCGCATGAGATCGAGTGAGTTCTTTACTGGTCATATTGTTCTCTGCATACTCTGTCGGTACTCCGTATCTGGAGCAGAATAATGTAGCCATGGATTGGATGATGATTGTTTACTGCTGTTCCCGCGGGGCGAACCAAGGAACCGGTGTTCTTTTAGCTCAGGCCGTCGGGGGTTCGACTGTTGATGTCCCCACTTGGATCGTGACAACAAATCACCGCTGCGCCCGTTTGGGGCGTCCTCCTGATCCCCGTGGACGGATGGGGAGGTTTCTGCATATTCGATCCGAGGTGAAGGGATTCGAGGTTGAGGTTGAGGTTCAGGGTTGAAAGTGAGCGAGTGAGTAGGTAAGTAAGTACCCTGGATTAATAGCATTAATACTAGCAGGGGAGACATATAAGCCTGTCCAGCGTCCGGTCATACGAACGGATGTCACTACATGGCTGCACCCCTCCACTTGTCCACCGACACTTACAGCACTGTAAGTCATCAAGGAGGGGCGCTCTGGCTATCGATAGGACCCGCCGCCCACCGCCCCGGAGTCAGTGTATGACTGACTGGCTCGTGCCTGCGTGACTCCCTCTGAATCGCCTGCTTTTCTCTCCCATTGCTTTGTCGCTTCTGTACATATCTACTTCTTATGTACTTGGATTTTTTTTGCCCTCCGATCGGAGCCACCCAATCCCTCTTTTCTCTGCAGCCAGCGGCGCGTGCAACGCTGCCTACATACATACATACTTACTTACGTGCGGACATAGCGATCCCCGACGCCTCGTTGGCTCTCCACCTCCCCAGCCACCGCATTCCCCTACGAATCCACTCCCTCCCTCCGACCATCCAAACCACCCGTTGATCAATCGGATCACAGGGTGCCAGAAATGTGAGACTGCAAAGTTTTTCCCTTTTTTTCTTCTTTGGCCCTTTTTCGACCTCCCTGAATCCCCCCTCCCCTCCCTTCCCCTCCTATCCGTCCAGCCAGCCCTCCAGCGACCGCGGTCTGACTTCCCTACCTTAGTTCGCATTCCAGTCTATCCATCGCATCCCGACCCGTCCAATCCCATCTCTCCCCCGGGGGATCTTCAACGCCATACCAGCAGCACCAGCAGCATTGCGCTCCCTCCCCTTCTCCTCTGCCACCGCCCTGTGGTCATGACCTCCATGGCCTCTCCTCCTATCCCTGCTTCGCCCTGTTGAACCTTTCCGTCATCGCAGGTCTTCTCCTCACGTCCGCCCACATTCCTCCCACGCCCTTCCTTTCCGGCCGGTGTCGCAAAATATCGGTCAAGCCAATCGATCGATCAATTATCTGGTGTGACGTTTTCGCGTGGTGCTACGGAGTACCTCCTCTCACTACTTTTTCCCTGGGTGCTTCGGGTCTGTTTTCGGAGCGGCGCTCTCGTGTGCTTTTCGCCTATCTTTTATACCCCTCGGTGTTTTCTTCGTTGCCTTATCCACTGTTCCATACGGATCTGTCTCGGAAATCCCTCGCGCCATCGGTGTACTACCTCAATTGGGGCTGATACTCAGTCCTGGAGATCCATGCGCCTGGCCTGGAGGAGCCGCGCGCCGTCTTACAACTGTCGGCTGTTTCCAGTATGGATGTTCTGCTCATCGCCCATCATGACAACCTCGGACCTCCGCCCTCGGGGCATGTCGATTCCCGGATTGGAAGTCTGAGCGGTTGTCGCAATGAGGGGTGGGACGAGAAACATGGTTGGCTACAGACCGGCGTGGTATTGGGGAGCCTGGGTTCCCGCGCGACCAGCTGCGGCTATATGCAGAATACTAGAACAGTCGGGGCAGGGAAGGTGCGTTTGCTCTGAATATATTACGATTACTATGGCGTAAATCGGTCTTCTCGATGCTAACTGCAACTTGTTGAGTAGGACACGGAGAGTTGCCTGTTGAGGGCATGCTATAAAACCGTCCGAGCCCTTGAGGCTGACTTTCAGACCCTCGAACCTCCGGTCTATGACCAGCCCCCGCCGTCCTACGATGATGCGATATGTGATCTACCTCCGGACTACTCCACACTTGCGCCGTTAGCTCAGCGAAAGGACCTAGTTCAGGACTCCGCGCCTGCACGGACCACGGAGGAATCAAAGCCTGGGCCCGCGTCTCGGTGGATCGATCTGGGGTCGACCTCCGGGGTCCGTGAGCACAAGGGAGGAAAGAAGAAGAAAAAGCCCGCTACGCAGCCACAGCGGCAGAGTACGCCGCCGGAGGACAGCGGGGGTGATAAGCCGGAAGGGGGCGGCCCCGGCGATGATCAGAATGGCGATGGTGCCGGAAACGACGGAGGTGATGGCGGTAATGACAATGGCGGGGGCGGTGATGGAGGCGACGGAGGCGAAAGGGGCGATGGAGGTGATGGAGATGGCGAGGACGACGATTGGAACGCATGGAACTCGACTTCGACAAAGAAGAACAAGAAAAAGAAGAAGCAGGAAGAGGAGGAAGAGCGCCTGAGAAAGGAGGAGGAGGAGAAAGCGGCGAAGGAAGAGGAGGAGAGACTCGCGAAGGAAGAGGAGGAAAGACTCGCGAAGGAAGAGGAGGAAAGACTCGCGAAGGAAGAGGAGGAGAGGCTGGCCAAAGAGGAGGAAGAGAAAAAGGCCGCTGAAGACGCCGCCGCCGCCGCTGCCGCCGCTGCCGCTGCCAACAGTCTCAGCTGGGCTGACGATGCAGATGGAAACGGTGATGACGCGTGGGGCGGATTTACGACTACCACCAAGAAGAAGAAAAAGAAGGGCAAGGTATGTTGAATCGACCTCTAGCGATCGTTTGCTTCTAACCCATGAGCAGGCCGCCGACCCCGTCCCAGCCGATCCTCCTTCGAACGCTTTCCAGGAAGTTAGTCTAAATGATGGCGCACCGCAACTCGACCTGAGCTTCCCTCCTCCGGCAGCCGACAACAATAGCTTCAACTTCGGATGGGGCGGCGGCAAGGGTGGCTGGGGCTCGAACGACAAATGGGGCCTCGACTCTGTCGGGAAGGATAGCAAACCCAAGGAGGACAACAACCCTTGGTCTTTCGCCACGGATAACAACGCTTCGGTTGGATTCGGGTTTGGCAGTATAGACCCGCCTGCTCCTGAACCTGTTGCCGAAGAGAACAAGGCGGAAGAAGATCTCTGGGCCGGGTTTTCTACGGCTACTAAGAAGGACAAGAAGAAAAAGAAGAAGGCACTCGAAGAGGAACCTCCACAAGAACCTGAGCCTGAGCCAGAGCCAGTTCAGGAACCCGAACCCGAACCGGAGCCTGAGCCTGAGCCTGAGCCCGAGCCCGAGCCCGAACCTAAACCCGTCCCTGAACCTGCACCTGTCATCGAAAGTTCCTGGGCACAAGGTCTTTCTAAGAAAGAGAAGCGAAAGGCAAAGAAGGGGCAGGTTAAGCCTGTCGAGGAGCCGGCTCCTGAGCCGGTCGTTGAAGAGCCGAAAGTTGATGATACCTGGGCGGCTGAGCCTGAACCGGAGCCGGAGAAGCCAGTCGAGGTGGCCGATGACGATGACTGGGGGGCCTGGGGTGGGGTCACCAATAAAGACAAGAAAAAGAAGAAGGGTATTGTGGTTGAAGAACCCCCTCCGGAGGAGCCTCCTGCACCTGAGCCCCCTGCAGCAGTCGAGCCAGCGCCAGCGGAAGACGACTGGTCTGCTTGGACCTCCAGCTCGAAGAAGAAGGACAAGAAGGCCAAGAAGAACGCGATCCTCGAGGAGCCAGTCATCGAAGAGCCGCCTGCTCCAGAACCAGAACCACCAGCAGAGCCTGAGCCTGCTCCTGAGCCTGCGCCTGAGCCCGTTGCGGAGAAGAAAGAGGAGGACGACTGGGCGCCCTGGGGTGTCTCCACCAAAAAGGATAAGAAAAAGAAGAAGGGCAAGTTGATTGAACCGGAGCCAGAGCCGGAACCCCTGCCTGAACCTGAGCCGGAGCCGGAGCCTGCTGTAGAGCCGGAACCTGAGCCAGTCATTGAGCCTGAACCAGAACCGGAACCTAAGCCTGAGCCGGAACCAGTGAAGGAGCCTGAACCGGAGCCTGAGCCTCCTCAGTTACCGGACAACCCGCTTTATAATAACTGGCTTACCCTCTCGTCCAAGGATAGGAAGAAGCGAGAAAAGCAGCTGGTAAAGAAAGGACTCCCGGTCCCTGGTAAAGATTTCGACTGGCCACCCAAGGAGCCAGAGCCCACGCCAGAACCTGAACCTGAACCGGAGCCTGTCCAAGAGCCAGAGCCTACTCCAGAACCGGAGCCGGAACCTGAGCCTGTTGCTGAACCTGAACCGGAGCCGGAGCCTGTTGCTGAACCTGAACCTGAACCTGAACTGGAGCCGGAGCCTGAGCCTGAGCCAGTCCCAGAAGCCGAACCTGAACCGATTCCTGAGCCTATCCCTGAACCCATCCCTGAAGTAGTCCCGGAAAAGACTTACGAGGAAAACAGCTGGGGCATCTGGAACACGTCGAAGGACAAGAAGAAAAAGAAGAGCAAGATCGCTCTCGAACCTCCTCCGCCCGCGCCTACCCCTCCCTCCTTTGGATTCACTCCTGAGCACGATGACTTTGTACCTACAGAGCATGTACCAGAGGAACCTCTCTATGATGACTATGACACACCTTCGAAGGGAGCGAAGAAGGGTTATGGCGAAGAGGAAGCCAAGCCTGCCATGGGATTTTGGGCCAGCCTGGGTGTAGCGGCCATGGGCAAACCCAAGACAACGAAGAAGAAGTCTGTCGAGAAGCCCAAAATCATCGATGAAGCACCGGAGCCTGAGCCTGAGCCTATACGAGCCAGCCAGTTCTCCGTGGAAGACTTCCTGATTGACGTTGACGATGATCTGAAGATGCCCGAGGCGCCCGAACCGCCCATCGCGCCAGTTGTCGAAGAACCACCCGCACCAGCCGCGCCGCCAGCGAAGGCTTCTGCTGGCACCTCCAAGACCAAGTCATCCGCCAAACTGTCCGTCGCAGAGCGAATCAAAGTGCTGGAGCAGACTAGGAGGGACAAACTGAAAGAGATGGCCGAGAAAGCTAAGGCCAAGGAGACCCCACCCCCACCTCCACCCCCGCCCCCAGAAGAACCCCCTCAGCCCGAGCCCGTCGAGCTTTTTGAACCTGAGCCAGCTCCATACAAAACCCCCTCTCGGGACTTGCTTCCCGGGAGTTTCCCGGACGCATTCGACGACGACTTTGACGATATTCCGCCACCTGCTCCAGAGCCACCTGCTTTCGAACCAGAACCGGAGCCGGAGCCGGAGCCGGAGCCGGAGCCAGTACCCGAACCTAAGCAGCCTGAGCCCGAGCCCGAGCCGGTGCTCTTGTCAAAGAAATCCAAGAAGAAGGAGAAAAAGAAGGCGAAAGCTATCGTACTTGAGCCCGAGCCCGAGCCGATCCCTGAGCCAGTCCCTGAGCCCGTCGCGGAACCGGAACCAGAGCCGGAGCCGGTACCTGAGCCAGAACCACCAGTGGCTGAGCCGGAGCCTGAGCCTGCACCCCCGGCACCTGAGCCTGCACCAGCGCCGATCTCAAAGACTGAGAAGAAGAAAAAGAAGAAGAAGGTTGTCGAGCCGGAGCCGGAGCCGGAGCCTGAACCTGAACCTGAACCTGAACCTATTCCCGCCCCTGCTGAACCCGAGCCTGTTCCCGAACCCATTCCCGAACCGCCGGTCGAGCAAGAGCAGGAATTTCTACCGGAGCTCGATGAAGCGCCTCCCATTCCCAAGCCCGAAAAGAAGAAGAAGAGCAAGAAGGTCTCTAGTCTAGAGCGGACACTGCCACCTGTGGAGCAGATCCCTGCCGATGCCGAAATGGCGAACGCAGCTGAGCCAGCTGAACCCGAAGTAGAAGTAGGCCCTCCAACGCCTCCACCGGAAGTTGCTGAGCCTGAGCCCGAACCCGAGCCCAAGCCTAAGCCGGTGAAGAAGGAGCGCGTTCGGCTTGAACGCGCGCCAGGCTCTACCGCGTGGGGCTTCTTGAGCGCCACGCCGCCCAAGAAACCATCCCAGCGGGAACAACGACATCGTCGGGAGCAGTCGCCACCACAGATCATCCGATCCAAGTCGACCAGGCAGTCGCGGCCCAAGGAGCCTGAGAACGAGGGCGAGAAATCGTCATCTGACAAGGAGCGGCGTCGAGAAGCCCGTCAGAGCAAGGGGTTGGCCTTCTCGAACTTTATCTTGGGGGCGCCTCCGCCTACCAGGACTAAGTCTAGTCGGAGACCTGGGGCACATGCATCGCGATCGGTGTCGAGACGTCCATCCGTGGATATGGAAGATGCGGGCTTCCCGACTCCTCCGCCGGAAAGCAGACGCGACGTGCCAGATAAGGCGGCTAGGATGATGGGTGTCAATGGCACCTCTAGGAGAGAAAGACCGCATGGATCTCGGAGACAATCGCGTATGTTTATCTACCTGATCATCCGCAAGATATTTTGGTCCCGACTAACGCTTGACAGGCATTCGCGATCCGTATGCAATCGACGACGAGGACATGGTCATGGTTGACCGGGATGATATTGATGCTCCAAAGGCCAACTCCAGAGGATCGAGATATTCAGACAGACGGTCAAGAAGACAGGTAAGCTCCAATCTGGACATGTCTGCTTTCACCCTAACACACCCCAGTCGCGGTCCAGACATGAAGACGACGCTGTCATGCTCGACGCAGAACACCCTCACCAAGGCCCGGAAGTCTTCTCGGGCCCCGACGATCTTGCCTTTGTGGAAGCACCAAGGGAACGCCGCCTGAGACGCTCGAGCACGGCCCCAAAGAAACCCGAGTCCACCGGCCTGATGGGTTTCATTGGCTCGTTGCGCAAGTCCACCCGTCCGGACCCCCCGGAGCGTCGAAAGTCGCGGTCCCAGCGTGACGACGACGCCAGATACATGACGGAGCCAGAGCGGGACTACTCCCGACGCCCACGACGCGAGGAGAGGAGAAGACGCCCGGAAAGAGCGGACGTCGATGACGAGGCCTTTGCCTACGAAGGCGGTCCAGTCGGCGGCTTTCCCGAGACGGATATCGACGAGGTGGATGCGAGGAGAGCGGCCCGTCGGTCTCGACGATCCTCCCGCCAGGCACCGTCTGATCACCGCGACAGCGAATGGCGCGAAGCCGAGGAGAGACGTGCGCGGCGGCGAGAGCGAGAAAGGGCGCGGGAGCGCGAGATGCAAGAGCGCGAGATGCAGGAACGACAGCTCCGCGAGGAAGAAGAACGCGAAGACAGACGGAGAGAAGAACGACGAGCACGCAGGGCCGCTCGTGAAGAGCGCCGTGCCAGAGAAGAGCAACAGGCTCGGGCGCAAGAGGCCGAAGCCCAAGCCCACGCCGACGCCGAAGCGCGGGCTGCGGAACGACGCGAACGCAGACGCCGGCGGGAGGCAGAGATGCAAGACGCCCCCGCCTACGAGCCACGGCCCAAGCGACGATCCTCCCGTCACCCCAACCCCAACCCCAGCCCCATCGACGACAGAACCGCACGGGAATTCTACCTAGGCGGCCACGATGGCTTCGATCGCCGCGACGCATACCGTCCCCATCCCCGTCCCGACCGCTCCGCCGACGACGGCGCGCGCCCTAAACGCCGCAAATCCCGCGCCCCAGACCCGTACCCGCCCCCGCCCATGATGTCCGGCGGCCGCAAGGACAAGGATAAAACTTCATCCTGGGTCAACTCGCAGGCTAGCGAACCCCCGGAGCCCCCACCGCTGGTCGCTACCGTGCTGGATGTCCCGCCGGGGCGCGGGGATCCGATGAACACGCACTCGATTTCTTCGGATGAGGAGACGAGGCGTGGGATGAGGCGCAGGGCCAGACTACGGGCTAGATATCCTGGTTTGAATGATGAGGAAATCGATGACTTGAGGGCCCGGAAGCGTGAGGCGAGACGCTCGGAGAGGAGTTCGGGGAGTGCGGATTACGAACGGGCTCGGGGGATGAGGGCATATGACGATCGGTATGATGCGCCGCCGGTGGGTAGGATGCCGGGTTGGTTTAGGAAGTTGACTAACATGGGTTGATTACCTTGGGCTGGCTGAGCTGTGCTGATACTGATGCTGATGCTGATGCATACAATGTTGAGGATGCATGCATGCATGCATGCATCTTATGAGTGAACGATGATGAACCGAAACGACAGACACGATACTTGAAAAACAGCTAGTTATACGCTATATTTGGACTTTTTTTTTTTCCTGGGGTGATGGCGATGTGATGGATTCAAGCCTGTTTGCTGAAGTTCAACACGATGACATTATTTGTCTGGCTGGCTGATTTGATTGATGATATGATTGATTGATATATGTATGTATGTATGTATGATAAATGGAATGGCACTCTGCTCTCCGGAATGTATTCAACATGATTGTTCTAGATATTTAACCTTTCTGTACTATATACGGAGTATTCTAATTCACTCTTCCCTTGTAGTCTCCTTCACGGTAAGTTTCTTTCCATAGAAAATCATCATTCTCCACATACCCCCAGGCTATGCCCTAGAAATTGCCATCGGATAACTATGTTTTCTTACTCAGATAATGGATGCGAGATGTCATATCCGGTAGCGCGAGCCGGCCCCTCGACTCGGACTCCGCCGGGGAAGAGAAGGCGCCATGATGATGGATGGGTAATAGCGTGTAGACTCTAGGACTAATTATGTCTACTAGTTATCGATCTAGTGTTATTTCATCTGCTTATCGTGGTATATGCCCCGGTCCCAACCTCTCCCTCATGCTGATCACCCCGTCTCCGGCTGTCAGACCTAGCATTTTCACACTTATCCGGGTGTCTCAACAGACACCTTTCTAGTCGCGCGAGTGTTTTTGCTCCAATATCGGTGGAAGACCCCTCCCCAAAACTAAAACCCATTCAAGCCACCCTCAAAAGCATGCCTAGCTACAACACAATCGAAGACCCCCTGTCTCAATCCCCCATAAACCCACCTCTGCCTCCACCCCCAGACCCCACCAACAATGGCAATGACAATGACAACGACGACGATACCACCATAACCTGGCGCCCCGCCATCCTCTGCACATCGATCTACCTCCTCATGGGAATAGGATACTACATTAGCGCCGCGCCCCAGCTCCGTCTCTTCGAGTCAATCATCTGCCAACAGTACTACCGCGATTCCCAACCCACGCCCTCCTCAGCAGCAGCAGCAGCAGCAGCAGCAGTGGCAGCGGGTATGGATATAAGTATAGGTATCCCCGAAGATCTCTGCAAGAAAGCCCCCGTCCAGTCCGCCCTCGCGCAGCTGGTGGGCTGGCAATCCTTCTTCGATAATATCCCGGGCCTGCTGCTTGCGCTGCCGTACGGGCTGTTGGCCGATAAGTATGGCCGGAGGTGGGTTATGACGATGAGTTTTGTGGGGCAGTTGGGGGGGGTGCTTTGGATTGTGGGTGTTTGTAAGTCCTTTTTTTTTTTTTCTTCTTCTTCTTCTTCTTCTCCTTCTTCTTCGTCTGCGGGCAGAATAGGATGGGATAGCGGGCTGATCTATGTTTTTTTGGTTGTTCTTGTTTTTTTTTGGAACAGGTTGGCTAGGCTTACCCATCCGAGCGATGTGGCTGTCGTCGCTGTTTCTGGTTGTCGGGGGCGGTCCCAATGTCGCTGCCTCGGTGAGTATGATGGTTATTACGGACTCGACGCCGGAGATTAAGAGGTACATTACACTACATTCACTCATCCCACCTCCCGTCTCTCCATCCTTAGCAGCTTTTGTTCGCCCGTCTCGTGAATCATAACTTGAATCCCCCAGATCCCAGATCTTCATGTACTTCAACGCCGCCGTCGTCATCGCCGAAATCATCTCCCCGCCCATCGGCTCTCTCCTGATGAAGCAGAGCCTCTGGCTCCCGATCCTCTTAAACGTCATCTGCGGAGCTATCTCCATTTTCCTGTCATGGTATATGCCCGAGACGAACTCCTATGCTGTTCGGGGTCGGGAGAGAGGCGGGTATACCGCCATCCCGAGCAGTCCTGGCAATGACACCAGCAGCAACAACAGCAACGAGGAACCGTCGAAGCACCCTGGGTATATCACAGGGTTACTCCACACCCTGCAGGACAGCATGCGGGTGATCTTCACTCAGAAGAACATCGCTCTTCTTGTTGTCTCGTTTCTTATTTCTACGTTTGCTAGAGATTCAATGGCTTTTCTGCTGCAGTATATCTCCACGAGGTATTCGTGGCCGATTGCTAAGGTACCTTCCTCCTCCTCCTGCTGCTGCTGCTTTCTCCCCTCTTTTCTTCCTAGGCGAACACAATGAATAACCATACTAACCCCCACCATCCAGACCAGCTGGCTCCTCTCCTTCCGCGCCGCCGCCCAGCTCCTGCAATTCACGCTCATCCTGCCATGGGTGGACCGCACCATGCGCAAGCGCTTCAAGGGAGACCCACGCCAGAAGGACCTCTATCTCGCCCGGGCGAGCATCATCGCCATAGCGGTCGGGTTCGCGATCATGGGCGTCGCTCCGATTGTGGGGTTGACTATGTTTGGTAAATTCCATTTTTCCACCTCCCGATTCTCCATCCTCTTGAGTACCTCCTCGGCTAACCATGTTGGGGGGGAAAAAAAGGAATCACAATCAACACCGCCGGCTCCGGCTTCGCGACCTTCGCTAGAAGTCTGCTCAGCTCGCTGATCGACCCGACCATGATGGGTGCGCTGTACAGTACCCTCGCGCTGATGGATACATTGGGTTCGCTGTTGGCGGGGCCTATGATGGCGTGGGCGTTTCGCTGGGGCATGCAGTTGGGGGGTGTTTGGTTGGGGATGCCGTATCTGGTTTCGGCGGTGCTGTGTGGGGGAATGGCGGGGTTGGTGTTTTGGATTAGGCTGGGAAGGGGGGGCCGGAGGGGCTGTGGTGTAGACTTATACTAAGACTGTGAGTGGTGGGCGGTGAAGGTGAACTGTGAAGTGAAGAAGAAGAAGAAGAAGAAGAAGAAGTGAGCATGAGGCTTATGATGCATCTTTATTATATATAGTCTTTCTAACTTTATTTATGTAAGTACTACTACCCAGTGCTATGACCTGAAGGCTAAGAAGTATCATGATGGTTGGTTGAGCAATAATATAATACATCTAGGTAGTTGACGAGAGACAGGCTTGCTTGTCTTTTAGCTCAAGCTCCTCGCCGTACATCAAGCAGGCAAATCTATTTCTGCCGCTCGAGCAGTAGACACCTCCGGAGTCCGGATAGGATATGAAGGCGAGGTAAGTTGTATAGGAGAGAGCAGATGAAGACGACGTGGATTACTTAGGTAGTATGTGTCATGTTGTGCAGTCTATTATTGTTGTTGTTCTGTTGTTTTATGGTATTTGTTTTTTTTTATTATTTTTTTTTGAAGAACACCCACACTTACACCTGAGTTATTTATTGATATAAGGCATGAAATGAAACGAACTAGCCCTTTTTAATTAGCGTGTATATACATACGGCATACGTAAGGCTAGATAGAAACCAGAAACAACTTAAGGTGAAAGACACGCTCAATCTCACCATTTGATAATAAGTACCTGGAATCGGGTTCAAAAGTAAAAAAAAATAAATGAATGAATAAATGAAAATAAAAAAAATATAAGATAAAATAAAAAAAAAAAAAGAAAAAAAAAGAGATAACGACAGCGGTGTGATTTGAACACACGCATCCGAAGATATATGATTTCGTGGAATTCGAGTCATACGCCTTAGACCACTCGGCCACACTGCCTTAATTGCTTATAAAGCTCAACATGTTGTCATTATGATGCAAGGTCCAGGAATTTCGTATTCGATTATTTCTCATTTCTCATTTCCCATATGGGGCATTCAAGGCAATAACCATTGCATTGCTTTTAGGACGTTGTATGATCGAAGAAGCGATATATATGGTGCATTCATAATTGGATTAAATCTACTAATTGGTTACTGTGTAGCAAACAGTTGAGGTGAGGTGAGGCTATTTGAGTGAGTCTGACGGTGACAGCCTGATGGATAGTAGGGACTAGGGAACGCGGTGTTAGGCAACGACGACACAGAACACCAAGCCGGCAGAATCTGGCCTTATGCCCTATACAAAGGCGGTGTGGTGGCTTGGCCATGACTACGGACGTGAAGAGGGTTAAATCGTGGGCTGGATGGTGGCTGGACTTACTTCTGTATATCTAAGAGACCCGTCTCGGACTATATTTACCTGGTTATTTATGCTTGATTAGTTGCTGCATTATCCTACCGTGTTACATGATCTTGATAAATTAGGGCTGGGCTGTTAATGGGGTTTATATCTAGTAATTAATTTCTGTGGTTTATACCTGCTATGGAAAGCTTTGTGTTTAAGCTACATGCAGGGCTATTAAAGTCTAATCGGAGCCTGGTTTCCTCGGTACCTGAATTGGGTCAGGTGGTCGGGAGGTATGGATCGTGATGCTAGCTGCTAAGAAACATATGGCTAGCCTATTTACTTTCTAGATCTGTTAAATCGTCCCCATACTGGTCAGCTGTGTGTTGCGTACTACCAGTTTCTCATAAATAAACAGACGATAGAGGTAGAGGACAAGCAGTTCCACAAACTTATCGATTCCAACACAACTCCCACTGGATCATACATACAGTCTATCCCTCACCCCTGAAATCCCACCCAGCCACTATTTAGAAAAATATTGACACATCTCCCCTCCCCTGGTCCACAGTCTCTCATTGGCCAATAGCCCCAGTTACATCCTTACTCATTATTGCACCGCTTGACGGTATCTCCCGTTCCAGGGGGGGTGATAAGTCGAGCCCATGTACTTGTACTTCTCATTCATGATGACCCGGTATTTACCCGGCTCACCGGCGGTAGTTTCTATTCCATCTGGTTAGAGAGCATGATTCCCCATTGAATGGAAATATCCTCGACAAGCAAAACGAAAAGAAAAGAGCAACTCGCTTCCGGAATAAATCCCATCGACCAACGGATACTCATACAGGTTGCTAGTGGACTGAAAGAGCTTCTCCCCATCGCCATAGAACGCGGGGTATTTGCCATAGCCGGCTTTCTTTTCGTCCTTGGCGGTCTGCACGACCTTCGCTTGCTTGAGAGCGTTGTTGATGTCCGTGGTCGTGAATTTGACCCCGTTGCAGTCGACAGGTTTGACCTGTGCGCGAGGGATAAGGTCGCGCTCGATGAGGTTGGTCTCGGGGATGGGGTTGGCGACTGGGGAGGCAATTGCCGTGAGGGCTAGGGCTAGGAGAATAGTAGGGTTGAGAGTGGACAGCAGCGTTTTGAAGGGCTGGGAGATTGGAAGATGGGATTGGATTGAATTGGCGGCTTTCGGTGATCAAATGAGTGCTGAGAGGGGAGCAAATCATTGTTGCGATTTGAATCGAGGGGTATGGGCAGTCCAAACAAGGAGCTTTATACTTCTCCCCCGGGATGGAGCATGTTTTGGAATCTTCGTAACTATCCCATCTTGAACTTCAGGTGGCAGCTGTAGCCCCCAGAAGAACGTTTGCTTTTCATGTTCGTGTAACCTCAACCAGGCAGGGCTGGTCAGCAGGGCTGAATGAGACGCCTTGAGATGTGTGAAGCGAAGCCGCTCGACCGAAATAGTACCTGAACGCAAGGATGGGTGTGATGGTGCTGGGTGGAAGCTGTAGAATCCCAACTACTCGGGACTTCAACTGCTCGAGACCGATTTGTCTTCTCGGATAACTCCGTCCTGCAGGGCAAACAGGACGCCTTACAGGCAACGATGTAGTGTCTGTATGAGAGTACGAAATATGACCTCGGCGGCAGGGACCCCGTTTAGGGCTCACATATCCGCATCCTATATAGCGGCGCCCGGGTGGGGGGCCAAACAGGCTAAGGCCAAGCCCCGGGCTGGGCCGGCCGGCCCCCAGCATTGGCCTTCCGTACCCTAGCACTGGTATAAAGCCGCTGCCGCAGTCCATCTTCTCCCACCCTTCCACCACCATCATCATGGACGACTTTGACCCCGATCTCACCGCAAGACCGGAGTTCCAGGTTATCATCCAGCTGCTTCAAAGCCCTGAAGCATCTCCCATTGAGGCCGTCCAGCGGCTCCTCCAGGCACGCGAAGACCAGCAACAGTCGCAAAAAGAACCCCGGGCAAGAATCGATGGCAACCACGCGTGGTTCACGATGTTGTCGCTCGTCGAACTCGCCACTCTGACTCCTGCCGCTGAGCAGACCAAGCTGGTGGGGTTTGTCTCCCAGTTGCAACAAACACCCGTCACGGATCCCACAACGGGGGAAACCCCGACCGCGATCGATCTCAATCTGTGGACCGATCTCCCTTATCTCCGTGTATACCTAGGAGATCGGTTTGGGTTCAGTGCGTGGACCCATTCCCCATTCCCCCCTCTTCCCCTTTCGTATTCTTGTATGCCTTCATAGCTAATACCTTCGTCCAGACTACTCAACGCAGAATTCCCCCGCTGAAATTCAAGAGTGGGAGAACCGCAACGCATTCATGGCCCAATTGACCGCGGCGGCGGACCATCTCGGCCACGCCATGGACTTCTCGATTTATGGGCTATATACGTTCGAGGAGGCATTCGAGAAGGACAAGCCGGTTGAGGAGGCCGTGCGGACGGCATGTGTGTGGTTCATTTTTGCGGGGAAGCGTCTGTGGGAGAACTGTCGGGCTGGACGGGTGTTTGGGGGCGAGGGCGATCCCCCGCGTCGGGGCTTTGATCTGGAGCGCTGGCAGCTCTGGAAGGGGGGAATCGGTGCGGCGAGATTGGCAATTGGTGGGGGCGATTCGCAAGAGTTGGTTGCGAAGGCGAGTGCGGAGATGGAGGGGGCTGAAGGGCAGTAAATAATAATTTGAGAGATGTCGAGATGCCGATGAGGGGTGTTGTGTACCTGTTGGAACCATCCCCCACCGTCCCGATTCCCGCCCCGCACCGATCTTTCGATTCATCCAAGTGACCATCTCATCATGTCAGGCACAACAGTCTTGGCGATGTGATGATGTATCTTCTCTTATGTTATTGAAGAGTCTGTGGCCACTTTGAAGATCGACATCCAAGGTTGGGATCATCAAAATGTTTTCAGGTGATTGGCTAGAAACACGAGATGCAAGTGAAACCCCCCCCCCCCCCCCCCCAAAAAAAGGGACATGCATATCTTACAGACATGATTGCACAGGCTGCAGTTAGTCAGTCCCCTTCCAGACCTATCTAGGTTGGCAGAGACCGGATAAAAAATAAAAAAAAAAGATATTGCACTGCATCATCCGTGAATCGAACACGGGCCTCATCGATGGCAACGATGAATTCTACCACTAGACCAATGATGCTGTTGACATGTTAAATAACCATTAATGCACATTTATTATTGTGATCCTATATAGAAGTCAACTTTTTTTGCCACCACTATTTCCAAGCTGCTTCTGCTGGCTCGTACATGCAACTCTATCACATAGCACTATTGCTTTGGTTCCTACGCTCAAAGCCTGGGGTGTTAGTACAAATTTCCTCCATGTCAGGTGCAGTGGGAATGGAGAATGTGGATCATGGGATGTGTGCCATGGATGTGGTGCCGTGTGGTATATATATATCGCACGCATAGTCCAACAACTATACTAGTAACAAGGCCAGTCCACCGACCGAGAACAAGACCAAACGAGTTAAATAAGAACCACCAGAATACCGGTGCCGGGACAAACAACATTATTCAGATACAATTCGACAATTACAGTGAAGGATACAAATGAAGTTGGAGTAAATACAGGCTTATTTTCTCCGGGCATGTCCCATCAAATCCGTGGACATCATGACATAACAGAAAGTAGACTGAAATGTAGCCAATAAGGGGAGAACTTTCGACATTATTTTTGTTCTGTTTGTCTAGCTGAGTTGTCCCAAATACAAGAGACTTGAAAGTTTCATGTGGACAGTTAAATAGAAAAATCAAATCATGGAAGATTTCAATTTGGAATTTAATTTGAAAACAAAAATTGGAAAAGAAAAAAAAGAAACGCCCGATGCGAGGCTCGAACTCGCAACCTTGAGGTGTGCTTCATAAAAGCCACACGCTCTACCGATTGAGCTAACCGGGCAGTTAATTGGAATTTGGAAATTCAGTTCGACATACAAGGTAATAACCTCACAACTGGCACTGATAGGATGTCTTAGTGCTAAAGGGTTTATTACATGTGACGATAAAGTGATTATAGAACGAGGCTTTCTGGAAGAACCACCCGTGATGATGAACTTTGGAGCAGGTCTTCAGAGTATCACATGATGAGCACTGCTGCGGCAAAAGGAGTACTCTACTCCCCGCCGGGACACTCTCTGGAAGAGGGACGGAACATACCAATCTTGTATAACCGAAGCAGGTAGAGTACGCCATTACCTTTGTATATCCTGTTTACCTTACCCCAAAGTACAGATATGCATGACCTCCCGGTGTTTAATGTATGATTAGACATATTCTATATGGAACCTCGAGGAGATAAAAAATTACCTGATTATCGAAACGTTGACTTTGAGATCATGGGTCTTAAGTCCATACGATCTTGAGATTTGATGACGACACAGTGTACCTCAGTTTAAATAATACATTCATCTTTAAAGGGCAACTAGTCCGATAAATGAGAGTAGGGGGCTGCCGCTTCTGGTTAGAGAGAGAGTGTGTGACACAATGATAGCAACAGTGTGGGTGACCACCAGCGTATTCTAATGTATGTATGATGTTGCTCACCCACTCGGGCTTTTCTCCTCCCGTCTACTCCCCAGATACTGTCTCCCTGCCTCGTAGATACACAGATACACCCCGAATGACACAGCCGTCCATACTGAGCGGATTGCACCTCCTCTGAATAGTCCCCTCACGCCCTCGTCTCTGACTATCGTTTTTCCCGTCGACCATACACCTTCCTTCTTTGCCCTCTCTCTTTGTCCCTGACTCTGTCTCTGTTCCTGTCCCTCCCCGGCTTTCAACATCATCCTCGTCTTCACAACATCAATCGGCGTCGTCACTACCGACGCCACCGTCCCGGATATACTCGCTGCCAGACCGGTGATTATGGCCCTCTCTAGCATGGATTTACCCCCCCTTTCCCCGCCTCCTCTTCCCCCCCCCGGTTCATCACCCTTATACCCAGATCTATAATCCACAATCCTCCCCCTCAAATACTCAAAAACCGGCCAATTCAGCCCCGTAAACGGCAAATTCCTACCCAGGAGAGCCGTATACCCGCTCCAGAGCGTCCACGGGCGATGAAGGAATTTCCGGATCGTGGGGATGGTCACACCTGTCTTCTTTGTTTGGTGGGAATGGGAATGGGAATGGGAATGGGGTTGGGTTTGAGAGGGTGTTTGGTCTCGGATGATCACCTGCGCGTTCTGCTTTATCACCTCTGCCGGGGTGAGGACGGCGCAGGAGACCGCTTCGGCGGTGCACGAGGAGAGGGTGTGCAGGAGGGGAGTCGGGATCGTGTATTTGCTTTGCTGCGTGCCGAGGTGTTTGAGCGTTTCGTAGGTGGTGAAGAAGGATCCTGCTGTGAGAGTGGTGGCTCTTTAGTGGGTGGTGGGTTGGTGGGTTGGTGGTTGATAATCAAGTCAAGGGGGTGGGTATAGTAGGTGGGTTGGTGGTACTTGGGTTGGGGAGGGTAGGGTAGGGTAGGGTAGGGTAGGATAGGTAGGTGTATGTAGATATGCCATATGCCATATGGCATAGGAACAAATATTGATGATTGATTAATTGATGGGTAGGAAGGAGAAGGTAGTAGTCAGGGAGTTGGGAATTGGAGAATTGAAAAAAAAAAGGTAATTGGGAAAGGGCAATTAGGAATTCCATAATAAGCAACAGGTGCTGGACACTGAAATAAGAACAGAATACAGAACCTACAAGCCGGAATCGTAGCCAAAACCACGCTCCCCACGCCCTGATACAGCCCCCGGAACAGCAGACCGCGATTGACACGCCCCGTCGCAGGATCCTTGTACACAGGCGTGTAGTTCGGCGATTGGATGCGGGTTTTCAGCGTGTCGACCGGGTAGACGAGGAAGTCGACGATGAGGACGGCAAAGGCGCCGGACTATTTGTTCGTTAATTTATAATATATCACATGTACGAGGATATAGTATCATTGGTACATCGGAACATCGGAATATCAGAGCATCGTATTATAAAGCACCAGATATCAGATTGAGGATCTGGGTTTGGTCTGGTCTGTTGCTGTGTATGGTTGTGGTCTTGCGTGGTGTTTGGATTGGATAGGACTTACGATCCAGATGTCTGTGCTTGTGTTTGTGTTGCTCATTGTGGAGTCGTACCGGGAATGTATAGAGAATCGATATAGGAATAGTATAGGTATGTACTATAGGGATGTATAGACTAATAGACTGATCGTCGTAATGCATCAAGATGAGGTCATCACCACGTGCGGATTGTGCCCTAGCCTTAGGGCTCGGCGTCCCGTGGCATCCAGGTACGAAAGTATAACAAAACGATCAGATGATGATCGGGAGAAGATAGTAATGCCGAATCTATTCCTCTGGATAGGCAACAGGAGACATATTAACATCAGCCAGATACAGAATTTTCCCTCCCTACGCCGTTAAGGTCATGCATGCAATTCCCAGAATCCCCGTAGACAAATCATCATCACGCTCGGCCCCCTTATTTGGCCAACTCGCCCGGCAGCAGGTTGCCCTTGACCGCAAACAGCTTGCCCGTCGTCGACGCCACGAAGCTGTCGACCTGGCGCGCGTACTGCTCCACCTGGCGGCTATTGAGCATGCTGTCCAGCCGGCTGGGCTCCTGGGGCAGCTTGAACAGCCGTTGCCACTCGTCCTCGGGGAGGAGGGGCTGCTTGAGCGCCGCGCGGCTGGCGTTCTCGGTCTTGCGCTTGTTCTGCCACGCGGTGATCTTGGTCTGCTCCCGCGCGAGCGACCGCTGGTAGTACTGGAAGTTGTTGGTCTCGGTGTGGTGGGTCTCCATGCTTTCCAGCAGCAGGTCGCAGTTCTTCTCCAGGAACGGATCGATGCTGAGGGAGAGGTTGTCGAAGTTGGGCGCCAGCACCGACGACTTGGCGAACGGAGAGGCCTCCAGGGCGGCCAGGGAAGTGGGCAGTTCCGTGGGGGTCGCCTGCTTGGGGCACTGGAGCTGGTGGACGAAAGAGGTGATCAGGTGGGAGTTGTGGATCTCAACAGGGAGCTCGACCAGAATGTCCTGGTATCTGAGGCCGGACTTTTGCAGTCTATGGCGAAGATTAGCACGGCCCGACAGCCAGGGGGGGCACGGCACCTACTCCTCCGAGGTGAACTTGTTCTCCTTGAACGCCGCCATGAACTTGGGGGACAGGCGGAAGGCGCGCAGGCTCAGGCTGCCCTGCGCACTACGGCTGACGTCGTGCACCAGAGCGACCGTGCGCTCGTTCATCTCCTTCTGGTAAAAGAACTGGTTCTCGATCACGTTCATGTTGACGAAGTTGCCCATGTTGGCGCTGGTGTACCAGCCGACGTTGTTGGCGTCGACGTTGACCTCGCGCAGCATGCGGACCATCTCGGCCTGGTAGGCGGCGTTGGCCTTCGCGCGAGGAGCGGCGGCGGCCGGGTTGGGGTGGCGTTGTCAAAGTGCGACTCGGCGGGCATCTCGACGACGGGGAAGGGGAAGGAGTTGGTGATCTCCAGGGTGCCGTCCACATCCATACCAACGATCGAACCGGTGGCAGTGGTCGGGAAAGACTGCGAGCCGTGCTTGATGATCTTCATCACCACCTGGACGCCAGCTGTCAGCATCGCCGTCGATATGAAGCGGGGGAGGAGAGGAAGTTTTCAGGGCGAACATACCAAGGCCTCGACCTTGACGGCCGTGAGGGGGACTTCTTTCCTGTTTCCGGGGCATCAGCATGGCCAGACAGAAGGCGGGGGATAGGGCATGGAGACGTACTCCGCCATGTTGGATGTGTAGCGCAGGGGAGCGTATATGGGACGGCGAGATGGATGGCAGTCGGCGGCGAGGTTTGTGTGGATGGAATTCAGCATTTCCCACCGCCTATCGCCCGGTCGGGCTAGCGCGCCAAGCCGCATACGAGCGCGGCCGCCTTCCTATTTGGGACGGCTCGCGCTGCTTTTCCTGCAGTAACATCTCCTCACCCTCCATTATTATTATCAGGCCGGACTCTGTCGCTATCGTTGTCACTGTCTCCCATTCTATGGGCATGCAACCATGATGCAGACAGGCTGCACCAGACCGGAATCCCGGCAACTGGCGCCCTGCTCTCCTACTTACTCCACAGATACCGGCACACTAACAGTGTATCCGTGCTAGATCGACTATCTACATTCCATGACCACTATCTATCCTAACCCCTCACTAACCTATATAACATAATAACTGCCCCCCCTTCTCCTCCTCCATCCTCCCTCCCCTACCATCCGCACACCTATACCCATACCCCCCCCTACAATCATAGACAAGACAAGACAAGACATAGACATCCCAACATGTCCACCGAAACCCTCCGCTACGGCACCGACCACGCCCTACAAACCGTGACCGTGACCACCCTCAACACCACCACCACCGACGGCTACTGGGTGATGTACATACCCCCCCCCTCTCCCCCTCTACATCCAACTCCCTCCCTCCCCCCCAAACCACCCCAACTAACCCACCCCCTCTCCATACAGCCTCATCCACGGCGGCGCCTGGCGCGACCCAACCCAAACATCAACTAGCTACCTATCACCCGTCCACACCATCCTAACCACAACCCCAGCCTACGCAACAACAACACAAAACATCACAGCACTAGCCTCGATCTCCTACCGGCTCAGCGCGCACCCCTCGCACACACAAGACCCCGCAACCACCTCCCCCTACGACTTCCGCGCCGCGAAACACCCCGATCACGTGGACGATGTCCGCGCCGCGATCGCATTCCTACAGAAGCGGTATGGGTTCGGGGGACGGTATGTGCTTGTGGGACATAGTTGTGGGGCGACGTTGGGGTTTCAGGTTGTTATGGGGGGGTTGCAGAAGCCGATAAAGACCGGAGGGGGGGTTGAGGGGCAGGATGAAGGAGAAGGAGAAGGGGAAGGGGAAGGACCAGTGGCTATTGTGGGTATGGCTGGGATATACGATCTGAGGCTGTTGAGGGATTGTCATCGCAGTGTGTCGGTTTATCAGGATTTTATTGTGGGGGCGTTTGGGTCGAATGAGGCGCTTTGGGACCGGGTGTCGCCGGCGAAGGTGGTCGGGGCGGGGGTGTGGAAGGGGATGGAAGGGGGGGAGGCTCGCGGTGTTGGCGTATTCGAATGGGGATGGGTCGGTGGATTCGATGCAGAGGGAGGCGATGAGGGAGGCGTTGCGGGAGTGGGAGGCTGGGCGGGAGGGGAGGACGGTCGAGATGTTGAACATTGAGGGGGACCATGATGATGCGTGGGAGAAGGGGGATGAGTTGGCTAGGGCGATTGCGTTCGCGGTAGACAAGTTGCGGGGATAGACTAGTAGGGGTTGAGGTTGCAGAAATGCCAGCTACGCGGAAGAAGCCGATGTCAACAAGCATGCAGTCCATTATGTGTCCCCAGTCGCGTCGGGGACGGACCGGGACAGAAACAACATAGAAACAGCGCTGTCGATTGTCCGGCGCCCTCAAGGCACCCGACTACATACAGGTAGGAAACTAGTTCACATTAGAAGCAAGGAACAGACCCGCCATCTCCGAAACTTCCAACGCCACCAGTGTTCGTGATCATTATTGCAGTGCACATGAGAAAGGAAATAACACAACCCGTCATACGCCCGGGATTCAACAGCCAGTAGCCGGAAAGGTGAGAAAGAAAACCCGACGAAATATCCAGACGTGAGCGAAATGCAAATGCAGGATGCATGCGTACGCGATGTGGATAAGAGGAGAGAGAAAATGAAAAGAAACTCCGATGAACCAGAGAATTACAGGGTGCCTTCAGTTGCCGATATCCATACGGCCCGAAGCGGCATCGCCTGCGACTTTCTCCTCCTTAGTCTCAGTGACGGGCTCGTCGTCGTCCTCCAGTTCTTCGTCCTCGCTGACGTCCTCCGCGTATTTGGCCTCCACACCCGCCTCGCGAAGGTTGGCTTTCTGGTCCTCACGGAACTGATCCTGCCAGCGCGCAAGAGCGGCACTCGCGTGCACCTTGAATCCGAAGATACGGGGCTCGTAGCGGCGAATGCTCTTCTCGGGGACCAGGGAGGGGTACACCTGGAACAGCATGCTATGGAAGGAGGTGCCGAAATAAGCGCCGTCGATGGAGGCATGGCGAGACGACTTGGGGTTGTAGATGTCCTCGCACTTGGGGCAGAACAGACGGACGTTACTCTGGTTGGCAACATCGTGCTGGCCCATGGGCAGGAGGGGGTGTCCGTCGCACATGACACGGGGGCATTTGCCAAAATCACCGCGCTTGTATTTCTCGACCTGCACGTCCGTCAGAAACCCGTTGTCTTCAACACCGCCGTATCACACATACCATCTTGGCCAGACCACGAGTAGTCACTATGTATCTGGCGTGGACCAGGCCGTAGAGGTGACGGGCCGACTTTTCGATCTGCTCGCGTAGATCGTCATCCGCGTCGAGATCAAAAACATCAGTCACGAGGTCCAAGGCATACTGGTAGTAAGCGACCTCGGTGTTCAGGCCGGTGAGGTTGAAGCGGTCGGTCAGGTAGTCTTCGTCAATCTCGCAAAAATACTCGTTGCCGCGGGACGAGATAAACTGTTTGTCAAAGTTAGTTATCTTTTTTGGCAGCAACATGCCATACGAGTATTTGGCCGAGGTGTGCATGTAGAACGTGGGAGGAGCATTGGCAGGAAGAGCAGGAGTAGCGGAGGAAGCAGAGACAGCAGGGTTGGTGGAGGCAGCAGGAGGACGGATGGTGGATGCATCCGATGCAGCGGAGTCCAAGTCCATTTTGTCAGACGAAGCCATCCTGACGTGGGATTGCTGCTACTTGAGTCATAGAGGATGGAGAGGAGTGCATGAGATGAAGCAGAGGTTCATGATGACGCGTTCCTCCTTTTTATCTTCTCATGGGCGCTCACCAGCCGCGACGACATCGTTGAGCGCAGCCACGCATCTCTTCTCACTCACCAGCCGCGGCGGGGACTCAGACAGACAGGGGTGACATCACAGGGATAACTTGACAACTTACCCAATCTCTCCAGTAGCTAGTGTAGTCACTGTCCGTCTCGCTGTTGAAGTCCTCCATGGTTCCCAGAGACAGCCTCCGTCACAAGGAGGGGGTCAAGAAAGATTATTCGAGCTTGGCTGAGGGAGAGAGACGGGGTCGGACAACTCCAGCGCAGGAGAGCCCCCAGAACGGAACAGGATGAACAGTCCTCCTCAGAGCATGCAACAGTCGCGGTCCTGACAAGAACGGCAGCAGAGGGAGGTTCGCGGGGAGGTGAGGATTGGATGGGGGGGGAGAGGTTGGTGGAAGCAGTGGTTGCAGTGTGTGTTTCTGCTCCTTCTGGACGGAACTGTTATCAGTGGAGCACCCTGTTCGGGCTTAGCGCGGGGTGGGCGGTGAGGCCATCCCACCAGGCAATTACTCCGTACGGACTATCACTCTCCTGCACACAGGCACCCTTCTATTCACGGACCTGTCTGGCCTCTACGATGAATCTCACGCCGGTCAGGAGCTGCACAAAGCAGGATTGGAGAGAGGGCGAGAGGCCCTGAGGTGTGCATGTCGGAGACTGACATTTGACATATGATATGTCTATCAATCACCCGAAACAACAAGGAGACAGACGGACGAGATATCCTGTTCGGCTGAGCACTCCATAATCAAGGGTAGGTACTAAGGAACATAGTCAACACGGACTCTACTATCTGTTGCCAAACCGGATCAAGAGGGATAATCATCTTTGCCATGTGTGGTGGGGTCATCTTCATTCCAGTTCTGGGTTAGGTATCCTATTTGATGAGGACAAGAGGAGGATGCATGGGGGTTTCATGTGGATTATCCAGGGTCCCTGCTCGTCGGCTTGGTCCGGTCCTGTCGATCTCATGCAACTCCTATCAAGGAAGCGTGATATGATTTCCAAGATATGGTGCTCTGATAACCAGAGCAAGGCTTGTCGGTGGCCCGAGTCTCTCCTTGGAGTATAAACGAGAAGGACAGACAAAACTATTAATCTGTTACTACGATAACTTAGATCTTCTTGAATGAAATTAATTCTAAATCGAGGATAATAACTATAGCCATGAAGGACAAAACACACAATCCTTCAAAAGAGGGGATCTGGTTAGTTTTTTTTTCTCGTCTTTTCCATTTTCATTCCCGATCGATAATCATCATGGATGTTCAGATATGTGCTTCAAATTAGTAAAAGAAGAAGGAAAAGGAAACACTAGAAGGAAAATAACGACTGTCAAAGTCCGTAGATGGTAGGGAAATAGGCCATGGCCACAGGGCCCGCTCAATGATCTCGCACAGCAATATCACATTCCGCAATGAACTTGCGGATACCTTCGGAGCCCTCGTATCCCGAGGAAGTCACGACGCTGGGGATATCGGTGAAGAAGGCCCGATCACCAAGCTCGCTGGCGTTGATGCTCGAATATCCCGATGACGACGACCTGGTCCACGGGTTCTCTGCGAACAAGGTCACGTCCTCGAAGCTGACTTGGTTGGATGGTTGCCTGGAGAGGTCGGGAGACGCGTCTGTGGCGCTCTCCGGCGACATCATCGCATGCCAGTCTACCACATCAGGCGCCTGTGACTTGATGGTGCTGGGGTGGTAGAAGTAGTCTGCCACATCCGGGGATGCTGGAATGCTGGGTGCGAAGGGGAACAAAAGAGCAAGATCCGCACCGGTACGGATGTCGAAATCCTCGTCCTGCATGATCTTGCCCCGTTGAACTCCGGCCTCGTCACACAGGCGTTCCACAGTGTTCGCATCGCATCCGGGGAACCGCACTCGGATGGTGGATTTGTCGTGAAGCGACATGGGCAAGTCGCCCAGTGAAGCCAGGCGCTTCAAGTCGTTGAGCACGGCAGAAAGGTCCTTCAGGGCACGGGCGAAGTCCCCGGACAACATGTCCAGGAGACCGTCCGAGTTGATGGTCTGAACCTCCCCAGTTTCCGTAGCGACCAGGTTCTTCTGCAGGCCGAAGGCCGTGATGGTGGGGGAGAGCTGGAAGTCGATGAAGGATCCCGGCGCCGTGCGGGGGATCGCGGTCATCTTCCGCTCGGCCTCATCTTGGAGCTTGCTCACAGCCTTGTACTGCTTGTTTCCGGTGACGGGGTCGACACCATCGAATCGAGCCTTCTGTCCGGAGAGGAAGAAGGCGCGCACGCCCACAGACACGTTGTTGATGACCTGCGCGGGCGCAGCCGGGCCATGGGAGAAGTACCGGGCACCGCCGAAGCGGCCGGCTCCAATGGCATAGCCTCCCGCCGTGCGACCCAGTGTGCCGCCGGTCAGGTTCGGACGGAGGGCCGACGCGAACGGAGCGCGTGAGGTCAAGCGACCGACATTGGCAGCAACGCGAGATGTCTTCGAAGCAACGTGCTCTCCTTGTAGACCGCTCCGGATGTACGAGACGAAAGAACCGGCCGCGCGGGTGGAGAACTGGCGGCCGCGGGCTTGACGGATGGCCTGAAGCCGATTGACAGGGCGGTTAACTATACGCGCGTAGGCGGGCTGGAGGCGAACCGAGCCCTGTTCGAAGTGCTGTAATTCATCGGGGAACTTTGACCGGATGGTCCTGAAGGCCTTCTCGTAGGCCTTCTCGTAGGCAATCCTAGTGGCGGAGCGTTAGCGGACGGAAGTACATCCGGGGTGGCGAGTGACTCACCTTGCTGCTCTCCAAAACTTGGGGAGCAGCAGGTGCCCGTTACCAGGAGGCATCCTGACTGCAATTGAGAAGAGGGTTTATTTCCGTTTCTCAGATGGAAGAACCATCGGTAGATGAGAGAGATGAAGGTGAGACGGGGGGGATGGCGAATGCCTGATGACGGGGGATCCCGGCGTGGCGGTGCAGCATGTGACCTGCGCCACGTGCTCTGACGTATTGCCAGTAATCTACTCCGTATACTTTGTACAGTTTGAAGATTGGGTCAAATGTATGCGTGGCAGTGTGATTTTTTTAAATTTGGAATTGGTATTATTCTGTTTATTCTGTGAATTAGTACTCCGTGTATAATGAAATGCATTGTATCTCAAAATCGATGTGCAGAGTATATATTCCCAGCAGTCTTGTCTTCCCATACAGTTACCAGAAACCACTTGAAACACTTTAAACTCTCCAGTTGTTGACAAATGATGGGGGAATCTCAAAGAACTACAAGGCTATATGAAAAACCTGACTACACGATATCAGGATTACCGGCACTGCTGCATCAAGGAGTCAATTGTATGTACATGTTTTATCTATACTTCTATTTCACAGGATATCATAATCATAGATAGCAGTTTACTCGTCATCTCCGAAGAAAACCTTGATGGGGAGCCAGTTGTCACCGCAGACCTTGAAGCGGTCACCCAGGTTGTCCAGCTGACTGACCTCCTCGGCGCTCAGGTCCCAGCCGTCGAGCTCGAAGTTGGCGTCAATGCGGGACTTGCTGACGGACTTGGGGATGACACTCCAGCCCTTCTGGACACCCCACACAAGCAGAACCTGCTGGGGAGTCTTGCCCTTCTTCTCAGCCAGCTTCAAGAGGGTCTCGTCGCGGTAGAGAGGGGAGTTGGTGGAGCCGAGGCAGGAGTAGCCGGTGGAGTGGATACCCTTGGAGGTGTTGTATGCGACAAGCTTGGGGGAGGGGTTGTTGGGGTGCAGTTCGATCTGGTTGACCGCAGGGACGATCTTGGTGCTGGGGTCGTTCAGGAGCTTCTCGAGGTTCTTGATGCCGAAGTTGGAGACACCGATGTTGCGGACCTTGCCGGTGGCAGGCAGCTTCTGCATCTCTTGCCTGGTGCTGTTAGTAATTTGGTTCACATGCAACGAATGTCAGAACATACCAGGTCTTGATGAAGTCCCAGTCGGGAAGGTGCTTCTTCAGGTCGCTGGGGTCGGTGGAGCTGGGCCAGTGAACGAGGTAGAGATCGACATAGTCGAGGCCGAGGCTCTTGAGAGAAGAGTCGATACCCTCAGTCACCCGGTGGTGCCAGGTGTTGTCCAGCTTGGTGGTCACCCAGATCTCGCTGCGGGGGACACCCGAGTCTCTGATACCGTCTCCCACCTCGGCTTCGTTACCATAGGCAAGGGCACTAGCGAAAGAATTGGTTAACGTATGCTTCTCCAATCCAAGCAGACACAACTTACGTGTCGATGTGACGGTAGCCCTTCAGGAGCGCATTCTTGACGGCTTCTCTAACCTCGTTGGGCTTGGATTGCCAGGTACCCAGACCGACAGCGGGGATCTTGTCACCGGTGTTAAGGGTGTAGACCTTCCTATGAAGCAGAGATTGTTAGCAATTGCATCTTCTCCCAATTGCCGAAAGATAACCAAAGAGGGTGGGGAGCTTACTTGGTGTGCTCGTTAGACATTTTGTGCGATTGAGTGGTGGTAGAATCGGGGATAGCAATTGGGGAGAATAAAGGAACAGAAAGACGGTTGGGACCGGGGGAGGGGGCTTTATAGCAAGGTGGGCGAGAGCTTCAAGGACGGAGCGCCCGCATGAGAGGCAGGTCCATCCAGCACACTATGGGCGGGACGATGACGATGGAGGGGCTCCGTTGCCCCTCCAAGCCCGGGTCCAACTCTCCGGTGGGGGGGCGTCTGAAGATATCGCTGGCCAGTGATCAACCGGTCTCAGGGTCGCGTTTGGAACCTCCAGCCATCGCGGACCCAGCCAGAGACGCTTGGGATCCAATCGCGAGTCTGTGTCAATGTTAGTTATCGGTGGGCTTGGGACTGCTACTGTGTAATTGCTGCGCGCCGTACAGTCGGTTGTTCAAACGAGCAACCTAAAAAACATGTATGCGCCAAGACAGGCATGTGATTTTCATTGGCTTTCTACATGACTCTGCAATTGACACCATTACCATGGAGCGGGGAGAATACACCGACGGCGTCCGATAGGAAAGAATCCGTGGCGCAGGATAAAGGCTGGAGTGCAGCCGCCCGCCGCATGACTAAGCCCCTGCGGCATTTTGCCTAAATGGCGCCGGTCCGGTGCGGGTCGGCCTCGTGTCCAATCAGCGTGAGGCGCAGGGTCTTCACCGCCTGTTTCTGCCAATCCACTGTGGCTCTCCGACCAGCGCTCGGTTGAAGACGGTAGAATAAAGAGGAATCAAAGAGCCAACTTGATGATTATCATTGTCTGCAGTGTTGTCTCGGCACAATTGCGCTCGGCCAACCAATAGCATCCCTGGAACTGAACAATCTCACCGTGCTCTGCAACTGACACAGCTCCCAAGCAGCGGTTCCTGCGCCCCAGGGAACGAACGGACGGACTACGGACTCCTGTCCCAGAGCGAATCAACATGTCGTCAGGATTTGTATCCGCCGGGACGGATCAACAGCCCGTCGAACGCGACGATGAATGGGTACGCGTGCAGCACGAGCTCGAGGAGGAGCGCCGGCGCAAGGCAGAGCTGGGGAAGCAGGAGGATGGGAAAAGCCTGTACGACGTTCTCCAGCAGAACAAAAGTGAGTCTCTACATCTCGCGGACCTGCCGGACGGTGCTGTGCGGTGTAGACGCCTTGGATTGACATGTTAGGGTGATGTGTGTTGTGTCGTGAAGTGGCCAAGCAGGAAGCTTTCGAGGAGAAGATCAAGTTAAAGAACCAATTCCGCTCGCTGGACGAAGATGAGGTCGATTTCCTCGATTCCATCATGGAATCAACCCGCGCCAAGGAGGCCGCCGTCAAGAAGGAGACTGCCGAGCAGCTGGAGGTTTTCCGTCGACAGAGGGAAGAGGCAGAGAAAGTCCTGCTGGAGGATACGTCGGCTGATGTGGCCCCCGTGGCCGAGGGGGAGGACTGGAAGATCCCTGCGCGCAAGCGACGGCGTGAGAAGACCAAGGACCTGTTGATACCTGGAAAGAAGCGCAAGTCCTTGGGCGGCGATGCTGCTGGGAGCCCCACGGATGAGCAGAAACCGGATGCGGAGTCTGGGAAAACTGGCAACAATGTCCAACAGGATAAATCGCGGTCGGTTGTGAAGAAGCCGGAGGCATTGAAGGCGTCTGTAATTTCACCAGCTACGAGTGGTCCGGTAAAAGAGACGAAACCCCAAAGCCAACCTGCACCGAAGCCAGCAGCAAAACCATCGTTATCTCTTGGTTTAGGTGACTATGGCTCGGATTCTGAATGATTTTCAGGAGATACAGAAATATAGTGGACATACTACACAGTGTGTGTACTACCACCTGCATTTTTGGGACAATTATGCAGTATCAGCAGGATGCTGAATGACGATAACAAGACTGCCTGATCTCAGGGCTCGAGCTTACAATAGCTGACATGACGAGAACCCTTGGTCACTGGACATGACGCGTGTAGCTTTCTCGTGGGTTAGAAAAGCAGAGAACATTGGTCCGCAACTGTCGATCTGCGGTCCAGCTTGGAACATTCTTGATGTATCAAACAATCTTTGGTATCTAAAGACAATCTTCCCAGTCATGTGGCTGGCTGTAAACTAAACACTTCCAGACAACAAAATGATATACCACCTATACTTATGTCTCAGAGCTCCATTTTCAAACAAATCCATCACATAAGGATGTCCACTATCCCAGCTTTCCGAGAGACTGGACATGTTCTGCGCCTCTGGGTAGGTTGGATAGCTCATTAACTCGGCATTCAAAGAGTCCGGTACCAATCCCGAAGATGGCACATGGCCTGTTCGGGTTTCATCCGGCAGTGGCGATGACTTTTTCTGCTGGATGTTCCGACGCGACAAGATCCCTGAGATACAACCATCCCTTGTGCAACACGGCCAAGATCCACACAGATATTGTGCAGCCTTTCTGCTGCCCGTGAGACGCCTCGTGCTGGTCGTAGTGTACCGATGACATCTTCGAGCAGCTTGACGTCTTCAGTACTCTCTGCTGCAATGACATGTAGGAAAATCACGATAACGGGGGTCAAGGATGAGTAGAAAAGGACCCTGGGAAAAGTATGAGCTTTTGATCCATACATTTGACACGGAACGGGCTAGCGGGCCGGAGGATCCACAGACCAGTTAGCATAGTAATCAGCAATCGTGTAGATACCCGGGCTTGCATAGCTGGGGATACATTTCAGGTGGCTTCATAGCACTCGCTGTCAATTTCGATCCCGTTGACATGCATGGAAGGTGGACGAAGGAGAGTGGTTGAAGTTGAGTAGTACATTAATTCCCATGAGGTCGAAGCCAGTCGTAGATCTTAGGTTCGTTCGCTTTGCTGCAGTCGATCTGGCGCAAGGAGAGGTCTGGTCAACACTGCTACTGGGTAAAATGGGAAATGAATGATGATTTTACCCATCTCGCCCTTCGCGGCATTCGTCTCACGCCAACTTCGGATTAAGCATGCATTCCAATCGCTTGGACGGTGTGCCCCTGACTGCAGTCGCCGAGTATAAGTCGTTGTAGATCCCCCATTTAACCTCTGCGACCTTGATGGCCCAATAGAATGCCTCATCCCACGGCCGAATCGCAGGATCGGAAGATACAGTTGGGACGTCGACGTCGACGTCCAAGTCCTGAATGTAAGACGCTCGGCCCAGTAGTAAATATTTTTTTATCCGAAAAATAAAGTGTCCAGAAGAGGCGGCGCTTGGTATGTTCGTTACCATCGTGGTCTTTTGTGAGTGTCGACTCCCGATGGTATCCGAGAGTTCGACAATGCCTCGCAGCAGCGGAAAGCAGATAATATCCTAGTAACGGCTTGGTTTCATCTTGTGCCTTTAAGATCTATGGTTCTTTTATTAGCATGCCCTGTCTCGTGGTAATATGTTACTAAAGGAAGAAGGGATACCCACACCTAGTCAAAGCGATATATAATGTTCTCGAAGCTGGGTAAGTATGCACGTCATAGCTTTCAACATGAGCCTCAAAGCTCTGCTTGCAAGCAGCAAGATTCATTTTCAGATCGAGAGGCTCGCATTTACTGTCATTTCTTGACGGAAACTCTCTTATTAGGGAGTAAAGAACACCATGAATTGCTGCGACATCGCCAGCAGACACGGCTCGAGTTGGAAAATAGACCTTCTGGCAGAGGCGCTCAAGCAGAGCTAAGACATTGATAGGATAAGAGCACAGGAACAACGGCCTCTTTTCTGGTAGACCGCGTCAATCTCGGGTAGGGAAGTCTGGAAGCACGGGCAAGCTACACCTACCTTGACATATCCGCAGTAATGTCAGCACCACATCGGCTGGCATAGGTAATGCCAGATGTGTCGTATGTGTCGTACTGGGGCGGGTGGCATCAAAGAACCGCTGACTCTGTGAGGCTGGTTGCAAATGACTTTTGAGCGAATGGAGTGCAGTATGAAGACTGGACCCAGGGCTAACAGCATTCGAGTTTGCAATCGTTTCGGCGGCGTCCCTGGCACGAGTTGTTTGACTGGTAAATGATGATTGGCTGATAAGAGTGTGATACAACTCTCTCGAGCCGGGTGTGGGCGTAAAGCAGTAAAGAACATACTTTCTTTGTAACGCTATATGGCCTCTATCTTATATTATGAACGGATGAATGCTTACAACTCGGATATCTGGAACCTGTTGCATGTCGTAACCTTGATCCAAGAGAGCCTGAGTGACAAAAATACAGGACATGTACGCCGAGCAAATAGTACTAGTTATTGTTATTTCATAGAGTTAGAAATTGAGGTTCCCGATAGCAACATTCTAATATATACCCCCGAGATATTTCACGAAAACGTCTCAACTCCTGTAAGGGATGATATCCGCGGGATATGCATACTAGTTACAAGGGTGAAGCCCACCTCCTCCCGGGTGTACTTGAGTATAGTACTAATATATGGGATTCTAGGGGTCCACAGGTAACTGCGGGTAATGTTAGCCTTTTGGCTCACTGGCAACAACTCCCCTAGGTTGGTGTCTTACAACTACTACTAGAGAGGATGATTGGAGTGGATTCTCAGAAAAGAGTCTGTACTCGAAGATCTGCTCAGGGGAATGAACAGCGGGAGTCGATTGACCTAATTGCACGAGACCCAGGCAGGTAGTAGATAGAACCCTGAAAACTCGTAACATTCTACTAAACATAGTCCAGAGTATCAGTGTTTGAGTGCTTAACTATCAAACATTTGACCGACGTGGCCACATAATCGGAGGTTCCTCCTTTTATCGGTGTAACCGTCAGCCGTCTTTCCGCTTCCGATATCAATTCCCATTGTACCCAGATGATTCACACCGATTAGCCGCTATGTTTAAGATGATAGGCAACTAGAGGGACAACATGGGCGGGGGAGTCGTCACCCGCTGGGCGCTAGAACCAATCGGGGGGCCCGCGCAGGCGCGGCGCTCCAACCAACCCCCCCCTCCCCCCCCAACAATAGCGCCCAGGGTGAAGCTATTCCGAACACCTATTTGGTTCTAGGTACACTTTTTATGGTGTTGAGCATTCGAGCAACTTGTAAAATTACGATACCCCCATTTGCCGGGGATGATGGAAGTCATCTTGGGTGGTTCTTTCTTAGACCCATGTTTCCAGGTCATCGAGTTTCGAGACCTGCAATGGGAGGGAGACAGTATCTGGGGAGTAGACGGGAGGAGAAAAGCCCAAGTGGGTGAGCAACATCATACATGACAACATGAATACGCTGGTGGTCACCCACACTGTTGCTACCATTGTGTCACCCTCTCTCTAATCAGAAATGGAACCCCCCCGACTCCCATTTATCGGGTAAGACAAGTAATGGGTTAGTTGCATTGCACCCGCACAGACACTTCGTGTCACAATAAGCAAGGATTATACGGCACTGTGCAACATATCCTGCTGGGCTTGAGTGTATACTTTTTTCTCTCCTCTACAAAATAACACGAAAACAACGGCTTTTTGAGCTTGAAGTTCAAAACAAAAGGGCAAGAAAAACATACAACAGAAGGGATTCGCTGGTGGTCACCCACCCAACTACTAACCTCCCGGCGTGTGGCTTAAGTACGGCTGAGCGGACGGGAAGCCCTGTTCTCCACACCCTATGGTCGTATGTACAATCTCTTTCAAGGAGAAGGATCTTGGAGAGCAGCTGAAGAAGGAGGAAAAGATTCATCCTGGGAAAGCATGGGAGATTGGCCTGCAATGATCGATCTGTAATCCAGCCATGTAGGGGGAGTATTCTCGATATATACAACCACATTTCCCCGATGTGAAGAACAGCCGTCTCAGTCCTAATGGCACATGGCTGAGTAGCTCATAGTTAGTCTTCCTCAGCGCGTTAAAGTGTCGACTTCTACCGTGGTATGGCCCGGTTCGGTCTAGCGTCTCCTGCGTGGCCGCCTCGTCTCCTGGAAAGGCGAGGCCCATCTCTTCATTCCTCCCCCCCCCGCCCCCCCCGACTTGCTAGGATACAGCCATTCGGATACTCTATCAAAGGAGGGTGATAGTCCCGCACGTAACATGCCAGGACTGCCAATTAAGATGAGGTTGAATCGCTGGATCGGGGGCCGTCCATCCAAAATGCCGGCGTCGGCCAGTACCCCCGAGTATCTAGACACTCTGTGTATATCATACATCGGTCATGGATTCCGGATTCCAGGGCCGGTGACTTACCTCCCGGACAGAAGCGTCGGTGGCATGGGACGAATACCATGTCCCACAAAAAAGAATTCAAGCGCATGATCCTTTCCTGACGCATTCCTTCCGTCTCAGCGATTCAGTCGATAACAGCGAGCAACGATGGACGCGGTTCTCAGTGCACTGCTACAACTTGGCCAGCATACCCTCACCCAACAAGCGAGGTCTCCGGACCCTCTCCACGCCGAAGCCCAATCCCTGCGCACCGAGACCCTGGCCGCCAAGTATCAAGCCGAACGCGCGAAACGCATCCGGGCCGACGGGGTTGCCCAGTTCCAGGAAACAGAGGGCATCTACCGCTCGTTCCAAGACGATCCGTGGGCAGCAGCAGCAGCAGCAGCAGCAGCAGCAGCAGAAGCCTCCCAGCGCGATACGGACGGGGATGGGTTGCGACGCGAGACCACCGTGTTGATCGTGGGTGGGGGATATGCGGGCTTGGTGACGGCGGTGAATCTCCGCAAGCAAGGCATCGACGATTTCGTGATCGTCGAGAAGGGTGCTGATTTCGGAGGCACCTGGTACTGGAATCAATATCCTGGTCTGTGGGGATTCTTTCTGCCCATGGATGACCCCTGGCCCGGTTTCTGACTGACCGCTTGGACAGGCGTCGCCTGCGACGTTGAGGCGCTCCACTATCTCCCCTTCCTCGAAGAAACGGGCTACGTCCCTCGAGAGCGATTCGCATCTGGCCCCGAGATCCGCGAGCATGTGGCTCGGATCGTGGAGCAATGGAAGCTGGCGCCTCGGGCGCACCTGGGGCGGGAGATCACGTCCATCCACTGGGACGCGGAGGGCAGTCGCTGGGACATCCAGACGCGCCAAGGGGATCATTTCCGTGCAGCCTTCGTGGTGCTAGCGACGGGAACCCTCCACAAACCAAAGCTGCCGGGGATCCCCGGAATTGCTGAATTCCAACGGGATCACTTCCACAGTAGTCGGTGGCAGCATCATTGTATGGACGGGCTAGCCAACAAGACCGTGGGCATCATCGGCACGGGGGCCTCGGCTGTGCAGCTGGTGCCGCAGCTGGCGCGCGACGCACGGCATCTGTATGTCTTCCAGCGAACGCCCTCGTCGGTGGCGCGACGGCACAACCACGCCCCGGATCCAGTCGCCATCGCCGCGCTGGCGCCCGGCTGGCAACGCGCGCAGATGAATGACTTCGCCCAGATCCTCCAGGGCGAGCTCCTCGACGAGACGGTGGACTGTCCGGCACTGGAGGGGCTGGAGGCCTTGACCATGCGGGCAATCCACGCCGACGCCGCCCGCCTGGGGGTGGATCTCCGCAGCGAGCCCGAAAAGCTTGCCGCAGTGTACGAGCTGGCGGACTTCCGCTTGATGGAGCGGTTGCGGCGGGAGGTGGAGGAGACGGTGCACGACCCTGCCGTCGCCGAGCGGCTCAAGCCCTGGTACGCGTTCATGTGCAAACGGCCGGCCTTTCACAACGAATACCTGGCTGCTTTCAACCGTGCCAACGTCGAGCTGGTCGACACCGCGGGCGCGGGGGTGTCGCATCTCACCGCGACAGGCGTGGTGGCGGCCGGCCGCGAGTACCCCGTGGATCTCCTCATCTACTCCACCGGCTTCGAGTTCGAGCTGGGGGCCAACTTCTACCGTCGCACGGGGATCCACCTGCTCGGGGCCCAGGGCCAGACGCTGGACGAGAAGTGGGAGGCCCGGGGCCCGTCGACGCTATTTGGGATCCATCTCCGCGACTTCCCCAATCTCTTCCATATTGGACCGGCCCAGGCAGGCGTGACGGCCAACCAGCTGCACAACATCTACATCGCGGCCGAGCATATTGCCTCAGTCGTGCACATGTGCCTGACCGCCCCCGCCGCCTGTCATCGCGTCATTCAGCCCACCGCGGAGGCCGAAGAGGAGTGGGGCAAACATATCGAAACGGGGCGTGACATGCGGCTGGCATTTGCCCAGAAATGTCCCCCGGGGTACTACAACCAGGAGGGCAGACCGGAGGAGATCCCGGCTCGATGGGGAGTGTATCCGGCTGGCATTGTGGCATGGGAAAGGGTCCTGAAGGAGTGGAGAGACGAAGGGACAATGAAGGGCATGGAGCAACGACTGGCCCCTTTCCCGTAAAGAGTCTCAATCAGAATCAGGGTCTATTTAATAATAGGCGGCTAGTTCCCCCCTCTCTTTCTGTACACGCACATACCTTATCTACCCTAGGTCCGAATATCCCCGGAAAGCCGAATATTTCGGCTACCGGGCCGGTTGGGGGAAGAAGGGTTGATATTGCCCACAAGCATGATACTATATTAAATATAGGGATACTATCTACCTTCGGACCTGTTAACAAATAGTCCCTCTTCTTTTTCTTCTTCTTCTTCTTCTTCTTCTTCTTCACCATCACCATGCACCAATTCTTCAAATCCACCTGGTTGAACTTCGAAGTTGTGCGCATCCTGGGCACGGCGCCCAACGGGGGAGCCGACATCTGCGAGGTGCTGGAGGCCGTCGAGCAGATTGAGGAAGGCAACGCGGAGTCCTGGCATGACGCCTGGAAGACTCAGGCCGAACGCGCCCACGCAACCGCCCGCCGCTGCCTCGCCGCCGGCAACCGAGAGCTGGCGCGCCGCGCCTTTCTGCGCGCCGCCAACTACACCCGCGCCAGTGGCTATCTGCTGCTTCATGACGCCGACGACCATAACCCCCGAGCGCTCGCCATTGCCGAAGCCGCCGTCGCCCTGTTCCGCCGCGGCATCACCCTCTCCGACCACCCCGTCGAGTTCCTCGAAATCCCATACCCCGGCGGCGTGCATCTCCCGGGCTATCTCTACCTGCCTCCACACGATCCACAGCAGAAAGACCACAAGGTGCCCGTCCTGATCGCCTGCAACGGCGCCGACTCCACCCAGGAGGAACTCTACTTCCTCCACCCCGCCGCCGCACCGGGCCAAGGCTACGCGTGCCTCACCTTCGACGGCCCCGGCCAAGGCCTCACCCTGCGACGGCACCGCCTGACCCTACGCCCCGACTGGGAGTACGTGATGGGCCATGTGGTGCGATTCCTGCACGCCTGGGTATCCGCCCACCCGCGCATGCAGCCGGGGCTGGATCTCGACCGCATCGCCATCACGGGCTCCGCGCTAGGCGGCTACTTCGCCCTGCGCGCCGCCGCCCACGACCCCCACCGCACCTTCAAGGCCTGCGTCGCCCTTGACCCCGTCTATGACCTTTGGGACTTCGCCACCCACCACGTCTCCCCGGCTTTCATCCGCGCCTGGCAACACGGTTGGATCCCCGCCGACGCCGTTGATGCCATCATCAACGTCGCCGCGCGTTGCTCGTTCCAGATGCGCTGGGAGGTTGCGCTTGCCAAGGACTTCTTTCGTCTCGCTCGCCCCTCGGAAGTGCTGTTGGAGATGAGGAAGTTCTCGCTCAAGGGTGATGAGCATGAGCATGGGCTTGGGCATGGGCCCTCGGCAGACGGCGGTGTCGGTGTCTCTTCCCCCGGCCCCGAGCAGAGTAGTAATGGTAGTGGTAGCAGCCTGCATCACATCCAGTGTCCGACTCTGGTCTCCGGCGCCGGAGATTCGCTTTACTTGCCTGTGGATGACCATACCATGAAGATCTGGACTGCCCTGCAGCATCTGCCCGAGACCGCTCGCGAACTCTGGCTGGCGGAGAAGCCCGCCGATGGCGCGCTGCAGGCTAAGATCGGCGCGTTCGCGCTGAGCAACGAGTACGCCTTCCGTTTCCTGGATGAGCAGTTGGGCGTCGTGCGGGAGCGGATTACCGGGTAAGCAAGCGCGCGAGGAGCGAGGAGGTTAAAGGGCAGGATGCGTGCGGCGTTGCGTTGTTTCAGTTGTATAGGTTGCTATTGAGTTGGTATATAATATGGGAAATATGGACTATAGGTATGGGTTGATGCGATGGTACTTAGAGTAGGACCTACTATATGTTTGAACGATTGTTCTCGATATTTGCTTGTGATGATGGTCGCAGCAGCGGTGGCGGTGGCGGTATTAGTAGTCGCAGTAGTTCTGCACGGCCCTGGAGAAGTAAGTCACCTCACTGGCAAGATACCGTCCTCAGTCTGTAGTCAGTATAGACCAAGTACCTAGGTAGTATATAGCACTGAACGTGATCTGTCTCTCTGGCTGCACCCGCAAGATCAGACAAACCCCGTATTTAGATAGTATCAGAAAGAAAACATGCACCATTCCACCCCCCTTGAAGTGTCTGGACACCTTTCTAGTCAAGTAATTTCGTTTGATAGATAGTAGGAGTACCTGGATACAACCCCACACCCCGAACCCCACACCCCCTCCCCACCAACCTGAAAAATAGTACTAAATATCACCAGCAGAACCATAATCATTCTGGAACCAGCCGGGTCATCAGGATCTCCCGTCCAGCCGCACTGTGCAGGAATGTAGCCACCATGGGGTTCAACCCCAGGACCTCGGCGCGGCGCAGCCATTCCTGCATGGTCCACACCTCAAAGGGGTCTCCAGTCAGAGCTTCCATCCGAGGCCTTAGCTGCGGCCCAGTTTCAATCTGCATTTCGCCGCCCTGAAAGGCGTAGCGCACCTCCGGGTCCAGCACGCCGAGCCGGACCGTGTCGACGATCTCGCGCGCCGCGCGCTGCACGGAGATAAAGTCGAAGACGCCCCGCAGCGCCGTGTCTGCCTGCGGGATGGCGCGGAGCATCTTCGAATACCGGAGCAGAGCGCCCATGACATCCGTGTCGGCGGCGTCGGCGCCTGTGAGGCTCGACGGCCGGTGGATCATCAGCGGAAGGCCGTACCGGACGCTCATCCGCTCCAGATACCGTTCAGATGCCCACTTCGACGCGATGTACCCGTTCGAGCCGTCGGGGGCCGGGGGGAAGTGGCGGAGGCTCGCCGAGACGGGCCAGGTCGGTTGCCCCGACAGGGTGGCGACCGAGGCCGTGGAGATATAGTGGAAGGGAAGGCCGTATTGCACTGCCCACGTTGCCAGTTGCTTGGTCGAGTCGACGTTGACCTGCCGTAGGGAGGAGTAGGATTTGAGAAAGGAGACGTCCGCACCGTTGTGGATGATGGCGTCCGCCGCCGCGAGAATGCGCGCCAGGTCGGCCGCGGCGAGACCGAGCGCCGGCTGGGATTGATCGCCCTCGTACACGACCACTTTGGCCGAGGCGAACACAGGGTCTGACGGTGAGCTCGTCGCCCGCACGGCGATGCAATACACTTTCTCGATGGAGGGGCTGGCCACCAGTTCGCGGAGCAGAGCTCGGCCCAGGAACCCGGTGGAGCCGGTCAGGATCACCGCCCGTGGCGCATGGGCACCCAGCACGATGGACGAGGGTAGCCCGGACGGGATGGCCGTTTCGGCCTCCCAGTCGATGCGTGTTCCGTGGAGTGGCGCAGACTCGCGGACAGGCTTGGCTGTCTTCAGCACAGACGCTTCTGCGATATCGGTCGCTGTCGCGGGGCGAGGCAGGCGAGCGTCGATAGTGGCCGCCATGCCGCCGAGCGTGCTCGCGTCGAAGAGGTTGACCAGAGGCATGTCGATCGAGAAGGTATCCTGGATCAGGGCTTGCAGGCGCATCAAGAGCAAGGAGCTGCCGCCCACGTGAAAGAAATCGGACGTGGATTCGACCGTAAAACGCCCCATGACCTCCGAGGGCAAGATCTCTTCCCAGAGCTTCAGCAGTCGAGACACAGTCTCATCGGTGGTGTCGTCGGGCAGGTCACTCCGCGAGGGCTGTGGTGCCAGCCGCTCTGCCATGGCTTGAGTCGCCCGTCGGTCGATCTTGCCCGATGCTGTTCGGGGCAACTGATTGATGGGGATGCACAAAGTCGGGCGCATGTACTGCGGCAGCGGGAGCTCGACCAGCAGCTGTTGCAGATATTCTTCAGTGTTCGGGTGCGAGACCGAGGGCGGTAATTCCACATGTGCCACCAAGATGTCCGACTCTTCGCATCGAGACACCACCGCGTGGAGGATGCGACCCTGGGATGCGTGCTCTATGGTGGCCTCAATGTCCTGCAGGTCGACCCGAAGACCACGCAGTTTAATCTGGGTGTCGCCCTCCATTCGACCCTCCAGAAGCAAAGTCCCATTTGGCTGTAGTCGGCCGCGGTCGCCAGTCAGATGCATCATGGTCCAGCCGTGCTCAATCCACGTGGTGGGAGCGAGATGATCAGGCACAAATCGCTCCTGGGTGAAGTCCTTCAGGTTCAGATAACCAGACGCCACCCCCATGCCACCCACGGCCACCTGGCCGGGGACCCCTACCGGGAGTGGCTTGTGGTTGGTATCCAAGATGTAAGTGGCATAGTTGGCCCAAGGAGTGAGGGCAGTGCTATTCTCACCATCATAATCACCATCATCGCTCAGCCCGGTTAATTCGGCCATGTGCGAAAAAAAGGTCACCTCAGTAGGACCGTAGCAATTGAAGACCCGGAAACCCGGGTGCTGCACTTGTCGTAACGCACCCGTCAAGCTCGCAGTTACCTTTTCCCCCCCGCAAATGCCCAGCGCCCATGCGGACTGCCGCAGGGCCTCTTGATCGCCATATTGGACCCAGCTGATGTATTCCGTCGGCGTGGCGGCGGTCACTGTGACTTTTTCCGAGGCGACGAGTTTCGTGATGGCGACCGGATCCCCGCGAGCTGACTGCGGAACAACGTAGACCGTGCCACCGGCGCAAAGCGGCCAGAGGATCTGAACCAGGGACATGTCGAAACTGAAGGAGGATTGCTGTAGAGCACGGACCACGCTCAGGCTGGACATCCATTCTTGATGCACTGTTTCGACATGGTTGCGAAAGACGGAATGCTTCATCACCACACCCTTGGGCACTCCCGTGCTTCCGCTGGTGTAGAGAATAGCCATAACGGAATCCTCGGTGGAAACATTGGGACATATGGGCTGGTTGACACGCATAGCGACCTGGGAGACGTCAATCTGCTTCACCGTGGAGTGGGATGCTGGAACGGCGGCATGCGTGGTGGCATCCGTGAGGAGGACCGTGGGCCGACAGTCATCCAGGATCGAAGCTAGCCGATTGCTGACGACACGGGGATCCAATGGCACGTAGATGGCACCAAGTCGAAGAACTGCCAACAGGGAGCAGACCCAATCGGTGGAAGCATCTTGGAACACACCGACTTTGGACCGGTCACCTACCCCGGCGTGCGATAGGGCATGGGCGATGGCATTGACCCGCTCGTTCATTTGGTCGTATATTAATTGATGACCGTGCCCATCACTGACAGCCGGTGCGTGGGCGTGGACTGCTGCCAGCTCATCAATCCGGTCGATGAGCGTTCCCTTCCAGTTGGGGGAGCGGAAGGCACCTAGGAAAAAAGTCAGTCAATGCAACTATTCTTCCGACCTGGCGTGTGCGCAGTGTCCAGAGGATCAGTTGGCAAGGTCAACTCACCGCGTCCAAGAGATATGGCGTCGTCCACGCTGTCCGCCGCGTGGAGAGCCGGCCGGTTCAAGCGGGTAGCAGGATTGTGCGAGAAGACAGTCACCAAATGGACCATACTCTTCAAGAAGATGTCGCAGTCGAGGGCACTGTAGTACTCCTTCTGCACCGAGAGCCGCAACAGTGCGTCTCCGCCGGCGTTATCCACAATATCCAGGTTGAGGTCGTACGCCGTCTGTCCACCGTCGAAATGAGTCCAGTCGCAGTCGCAGTCGCAGAACCTCCGACGTTCGGCCACACCCTGGCGGTAATTGAGCAGTACTTGGAAGAGTGGGCTGTGGTTAGATGCGCGCGGCACATTGAGTTCATTGAGAAGAACATCGAAGGGCACGACTGAATTGGCAAACGCCTGTTGCGCTCTCGCTTTGGTGTCCCGAACAGCCTGACTGAAGCTATTCGTGGCGAGCGACGTCGAAAACCGGACGGGAAGAAGATTCAGATAACATCCCAGACTCTGTTGCACGTCAGAGTCCGTCCGATTCGCGTCCGAGACGCCAATGCAAATGTCGTCCACTTCTGCAAAGCGCGATAGCATGATTCTGTAGACTGCGAGGTAAAATTGGAACGGCGTCACCTTCATCCGCTTGCAAGTGTCGTGCACCTGGGCAGACAACTCCGAAGGGATCCGGTATGATGCGAGGTGGGTCGCATACTCGGTCAAGGGTACGCGCGAGGTTGAGGCTGAGAGAGGGAGCAAGGGAAGTGGAGGGGGAATACTTGCAAACTCCTTTCGCCAATATTCCAGCTGCGTACTCCACTTACCATCTGTATACTGTTTTCGCTGCCGGACAGCAAAGTCTGGGTACTGTAGGAGCCCGTTATCTGCCGGCAAAGCATCATCGTACGCCTTCTGAAGGTCGGAAAAGAAAATCTCAAAAGCGACCCCATCCATGTTGATATGATGATATCCAAGGAGAAGTTGATGGATCGTAGGGGTGATGGAGAGCAGGATTATTCTCATTGTCTGTCCGTTTTCCAAATCGTACACATGATCCTTCAGACGAGCAAACTCCTTCTCGACTTCTTGGGCTCCGGACACAGTTCTCTTCTCCAAGCGAAGAATCGAGGATTCCAGTATAGCTTGCATTGGTTGGTGGTTTTGATCCGTGAAGAAGCGAGTACGCAAGGATTCATGGCGTTGCCCGACCGTTGCCACGGCCTGGGCAAGTCCATCCACGCGCAGCTGGCCTCGAAGGCAAATGGAGAATGTCACGTTGAAAGTGGTTTTGTCTTCTAGGTAGGAGCTCAAGAACCAAAATCTGGATTGCGAGAACGAAATCGGCAGCACTCTCTGGACTCCATTGTCGGAGCCGAGCGGCTGAGAAATATCCTCAAACAATGACCCGGATAGTTCAGACGGGCTTGCTTTGAAGTCCAACAGGATTTGGACTGCCGACGATGTGGTTGAACCTGCCACAACGCCCTCGAGGAGTAGATCTTCTGCCAGAGCTGGATCATTCTGGTCGACGGTTATAATTATCTTATCCCGCTGATCATCCACATCCTCTTCTTTCTCCCGCTCCACAAACTGAGCTTCCTGCTGTTGGGCCGGGCGTACCTGCACTGCAGTCTGCAGCGGGGTCCCCTGTGCCGCATCCTTCACCGGAGGTACCCGAATCTGCCCTGGTTGAGGTTTGGTCGAGGACGGCACCGTCGGATCACTTTTGCCATCTTCTGCAGAGATAGGGAGAGGCTGTCGATCGGGGGAAGCCCCTGCAACCACATTGGGAGTCGACTTGGTAGGGAGGATCTCACGAGCTCGATTGAGAAGCTCTCCCATTGTGGAGCCGCTGATGATCTTCAACACCGGCATATCCACGTCCAGCTCTTTCAAAAACCAAGACCGCATATCCAGAGCAATAAGCGAGTCGATTCCCAGGGTATCTGCATTCATGTTGATCACGTCTCGCCCAGGGGGGATCTGAAGCGCCGCTTGCAGTTTTGCAGTCAACGAAGCTACGCGAAATCGATTAGAGTGTCCGATTCAGATAGATGTACCCTGACTATTTCCGGAAAACGAAAAAGAAAAAGGCACGGAAAGAAAGCACAAAACCAACCTTTCATTATCTCATCCACCTGTTCCTCTGTCGTGGCTCTGGCGAGTTGGACCTTGGTCGAAACGGTGCTACTGCTGCCACCGGCGATATGACCCTCCAGACGTCTGTGCCGAATCAAATGTCCGAAAATGGGGTTCGTAGCATACTGTGGTTTGTCCTCTTCATCACTGTAGAAGATTCGCAAGCCGGTGAAGTACTCCGGGTTTGGTCCGACTTGGGGAGGACTGGCTATCACCGCTTCGGCGAAGATCTGATAGAAGTCCTGCTCAGACATCCACATGTTCCCCACTTTCTGCAGAGCCATCTGTTGGGCCAGCGTTAGCTCCCGGGTCACGTAGCCATTTCCGATGATGGCGCCAATGTGAACGGTGGACGCGGCAAGCCCTTGCTGCCTTCGCTGGGCAGCGAGTCCGGCCAGGAACATATTCGCGGCGGCGTACGCTGCCTGGCCCGGATTCCCCGTCACTGACGCCATGGATGAGAGGAAGACAAAAAAGTCGAGGGGCTCGCAGGAGAAAATCTCGTCGAGGTGGACTGCGCCTTGGACCTTGGGCTTCAAGACTTTCTCCATGCGCTCCATCGTCAAGTCGAGGAACAGGGTATCGTGCAGAACCATGGCCCCCTGGCACACACCCGCCACAGGGGGCATGGAGCTGCGGATTTGCTGGTAGACTGATCGAACCGACTGGCGATCAGTGACATCACTAAGACGTGGTGTTAGCACTATCTGTTGCCTTGGGTCAAGGAAATTCTATCAGGGAGCATATACTTAGCGTAGATCTTGACCGTAGCCCCAAGTGCGGTGAATTCTGCGAGCCATCGCGGATCCACCTTGGGGGCTCGACTGGAGAGAGCAATATGCTTTGCGCCTTTATTAATCATCCACCGGCATAGTGACAAGCCTAGGCCTCCAGTCAGTCCGACAAGCCAGTAAGTTCGATCATCTCGAAACAGAGGTCGTGCATCAACAGGCTCGACGCGCATCGCCACAGAGGCCCCTGCCCCCCAGTCAACGACGGATGAGAAAGTCATATCAGGCTGATGTGGTTTATAAATTAAATCCTGCAAAGCCACAACTGGGGCGGTCTGGAAATCGCTTGAGAATGGGAGAGCGAATGCCTGTGCCCGAGAGAACTCCAAGGCCTCCGGGATCCGGTAATCGAATGGATTGGTGTTCAGCCTGCCATTGGCATGGGTAAGCTGGTGGAAAGTCTCGACAGGATGTGTGGAAGAGATGTCTTGGTATAAGGCTGATGACTGCGCCTCATCTGTGCAACAGACGAGACGCGCCACATTGTGAGGAATCATTGCGCGGATCTCGCGCTTCGAAGCTCGCGGATGGATGGCTGTCCATGGTCCCGTCGGTGCAGGAACGCGTGATGTGACGAGATGCGTCAAGATGCCCCTTTTCAGTCCGACAAACTCAAAGAACTTTGCCAAGGTGTCGCTCGGCTCCAGGGCCAGCAGCATATCTCCACGCGCCAAATCACTCATGCATGAATCGCACACCAGGATAAGATAGAAGTTAATGAGATAGTTCACTGTGTGTTCCTGGGAAAAGGAGCAAGGTTGGGTCCAGGACTCTGGCACGGTGATTCGGGACGACAAAGAGGTGGACAGGGATATGACACGACTACCCGTGGCAGTATTGGTGCCTAAGACCACAAAGAATTGGCCAAGAGCTCCGATCCTGACCGACTTCAGTATAGAATACCTAACCTGAATTTCAATTCGACCGCGCCCATCAGACCCTTTCGCGTCGGTTGATGTTGTGTCATTCGTCAGTCGAACAGCATACTCATCATCGCGATGAAATAGGGTGACTGGTTGTGATTCGAGCTCAATAGACTGTGTGATCCGGCGGCGAGATGAGTTATACCGTTGATTCAATGGCTGGCTCAGCATCACCCGGGGAATAACTGCCCTCCCCTGTTCGAACGCGATCTCTGGTTCGAAAGACCAGAGCATGTCCCTCAGTCGTCCATCTCCCTCCCAGGTATCAAACGCGGAAAATCGGATCATCGCCTCTGAGATCAGTCGGGCACTAGGTTCCTCATCTTTGGGGAAGTCCAGGAATTGAACCCGGAGGTGTCGCATTTCTTGTAGAAGACAGCGAGTAAATCCAACGATCATTTTCGAAGACGCTTCACACTGCTTGTAACCAAGGGTAATCCAGAGAACGTTCTTTGACTTTTCAAATAGCGATTGAAGTCCCCGCAACTTAGCCTCTGACGGTGACTGCAAGGCCGGATCATCAAGGTCCTGCAGGCAAATTACGCTACCACCTGAGCATAAGATAGAAGCATCCAGACCCAATAGCGACGGAAGCCGGTTGATCTGCGGATAATATGGAGTGAGCAGATCAACCACACAGGATACGATGTTGGAAGTGTGGGTCGTGTTGCCCCCGATGATTGTGAGCTCAGGGAAGGTTACGTTGGCCAGATCGGTGGACAAGAAGGGATCACGGAGTAGATTGACTCTGTCGTCCACTGCCTGAGCCAACATCACGCACAACGGAAGAGGCTCAGTAGTTCGGTGGGGGGCGATTGAATCGATTCCTGCAAAGCCGGTCTTTTGGAGAAGGTGGTCCCACTGAGAGGACTCGATGCACGGCGATACCGTTCGGCCGTCATCAGTCCCCAGCCACCAACCAGGTAGCCCACCGAAGATAAACCCGAATCGCAAGGGATCATTGTCTGTAATTTCCAGCATAAGTAAGTATCCACCCGGCTTGAGCAGCTGGCGAACATTATTCATTGTCTGCTCTAGCTTGGTTGTGGCATGCAGCACGAGGGAGGCAATGATGAGGTCAAATGAGCCCGGTGCATAGCCTTGGTCGATGATGTCCTTCTCGATGTCAAGTGTCTTGAATGTCATCCGGGACTCGTAAGATTTGAAGGTCCGCATTGCCTTTTCAAAGAAGCCACTTGAAATATCCGTAAATGTGTACCTGAGGAGAAAGAGTCAGCTAACCTCGGTGGGGAGACAAAGAAATGCCTGGGTAAAGAGACTCACGAGGCAAATGCATCCCCAAGCTCTCTCAATATTGACTTGGTTGCACCCCCGGTGCCCGCACCTGCGATATATTAACACCGCTGTACATAATACCAGTGTCAGCGAGCACACAACTAACCTATCTCTAACACGTTCATGGAGGGGTGACGGTGCCCTATTTGCTTCGCCGCAAAGGTCAGGTTTTTGAGGTATTCCTCCATTCCAAGTCCGGTGACATAGAAGTCATTAAGCATATTATCTTGCATCATAGCTTCCAACATGGTTGACTCCCTGCGAATAGCGGGGATGATGTTCTCACCAACCGCGCGCATTATCCGAAGATCGATACTCTCAGGGTGACTGGAGGAACATAATAAGCGATACTAGCAGGGACTCATAGCGAGGAAAGGACGCCATACCTGTCAATGATATTTGAAATGTCACTGCGCGTATCTGCAATCCAGCGATTGCTAGCGAAGGGATGAGAGCCACTGGTAACCCGGTGGAGCATCTGATCTGCATAGGAGAACAGGTTTTTATAGTACCAGTCGCAGGTCTCACGATCCCGCTGAGTCGTCCTGCTCACCAGGTCGCGAAGAAAGTAGTATGCGACTCGCTCAAGGACGAACCCAAACTCAAACGAAACGTCCGTGCTGCAGGGAGCTCGCATTAAGTCTGGATTCGCCAAGCCCCAGATGGGCTCTGAGAAGATATTGACATCCGTACTTTCTGTGGGGGGAACCATGGGTCTGGTCTGCATGCCTTCCAGCCTGACCACGGCATTTGACCCATTGGTGGGATATATATCGACGTCACCATCCACCCGGGCTCTATCATCTTGTCCGACATTGGAGACAAATGCCAGTGACAAATCCGGAGTATCACTGACAGCACAGAGGGCCGGATTAATGGTGATCCGCGTGATCCGCGTGGGAAGCTGGATTGACTGGAGTCTTCCATCGCCAGGAAAGCAGTATGCGACAAGGATTGCCTGGATAGCGGCATCCAACGGTGCTGGATGCATGAGCAGCGGATTCGCAGGATTACCGCCTTGTGGAATCGCAATGAGACCAGTGGCAACTCCCAGTTTCCTCTCCATGGAGGAGAGTGCCTTGAACGGGCCCGTATAATGGTATCCATAGCTGGCAAATGTTTTATAGAATTGGTCTGTTTCAACCGCCGTCATCGCGTACTGCGGTTCTGGCTTAGGGGGTAAAAGCTCGCGGTCCGGAGTTCCAAAAATCACCTGGATCTCACCGTCCGCGTTTAGCGACATGGGTCCAGAATCCTTACTGCCCGTCGAGAAGAAACAGAACCTGCAAGTCAACTCATCTTCGTGCCTCTGAATTTGGGTAAGGGAAATGAGGGTTTCAACGACAGAATCTTCGGTGTCGAAGACCATAGGCTGGCCTATCGTAAAATCAGCCAGCTGTATTAATTTCAAGGGTTCATCCCCAGCAATCTCCCTGACAGCCTCGAAAGCAGTCGACATATATCCTGCCGCGGGGAATACCATCTGTCCCTGAATCCGGTGGCCTGAAATCCATCCCAGCTCCTTGGGGATGAGGTGGTTGTTCCAACGAACCTCCCTCTCTGAGAATTCGGCACATCGAGTGCCGAGAAGCTCATGTGGGAGGTAATTTCGCTCTCGAAAGGCCTTGGACAGGCGCGATTCGTACCAATAAGTCCGGTCATGATCCCAAGCGTAAGTTGGTAGTCCCTTGAGAGGTGTTGAAACGGCCACAGTGTTGTTCATCAGAGCATCGAATCGGGTGAAGTCAATGAACCGGCCTCCGATAGTGGTCCATATGTATCCAAGACCGCCAGAAAAGGCATTTATGCTATTCACTCCCCGACTGAGCACCCCAGTGTAGGGAATGCTGATCCCAAGGGTGTCTTGAATGACCTGGCTAGCAGGACCCTTCAGAGCAGGGTGAGGGCCAACTTCGATTGCGAGATCAAATTGGTCTTCCCCAAGTGCATGTTCCAGCGCCTGTGAGAAGAGAACGGGCGAGACCAAGTTGCTTACCCAGTAAGAGTCGGCAATATTGTCTTCTACGCTATCAATATGCTCATGATAGACGCTGGAAATCCATGCGCACTGCCTCTTTGCCTCGGGTCGTTTGGGGTGAATCCCACATGTGCGGAGAGACTGAAGATATGCTTCCGAGCAAGGCACCATATGGTGGGAGTGATAGGCCTTGTCAACTTTCAATACGCGGGCGAATTTCTTTTCTTCATCGCACACGACCTGAATGTGATTGATGGCCTCGAGGTCTCCGGAGATCGTGACACTCGTCGCCGAATTGCTTGCGGCGACGCAGACCTTGCCGCGGAATCTTCGCAGCTTGCATAACGCCTGTGCATCCTCGTATGAAGTTCCCACCGCAATCATCGCACCTTGTTGGTCATTCTTCCCTCTGGCTAGATGAAGAGTTGCCCCCCGGTAATAAGCAATACGTATCGCATCCGTTGCGCTCAGATAGCCCGCCGCGTAAGCCGCACCGATCTCGCCGGATGAATGTCCGACAACGGCGGAGAATTCGATGCCTGCGGCACGGAGGAGATTCACGAGGATGACCTGAATCGCGGTGCACAGTGGCTGAGAGAGAGCAGCTTCGCCCACGCGGGATGCTGCTTTGCTCGCCAAAAGTTCCTGTCTCAAGGACCACTTGGGGGGGTTCAGTGGCAGATTTGCTAGACTTTCTTCCATACGATCGACTATGGTCTCGACCGCAGGGAGCTGCAAGAGCTCGGCTCCCATGCCAGCCCATTGCGCGCCCTGGCCAGTGAATATGCCCAGAACTCGCAATGGCCCTGATCTAGATTGCAAACTCGGGGGAACAGTCACTTTCTCACCGGTCCCATTGGAGAACTGATCCAGTTTGGCACACAGACTCGGCACATCGGTTGCTGCAAAAGCTACGCGCGCCGGAAAGATAGTCCGCCTGGTGGTGAGGGTGTGGCTGAGCGCGCTGAGGTCGACCGTTGTCTGCCCTTGAAGGAAAGTTGAGAACGATGTTACGAGGGCCTTGAGAGAGGTTTCCGAGACGGCGGAGAAGGTAAAGGGCGTACAGACAAGGCCTTCGCCCTTGTGTCTGTTGGCCCTTGCATGTTTCGTGGATGCATAGCTCTCGAGGATACAGTGTGCATTTGCTCCTCCAAAGCCAAAGGAGTTGACACTTGCTCTCCGAGGTGCATCACCATCCGTGGCCGGCCAGGGTAGACTCTCGCGCGTGATTTGCAAGTCTCCGTAGAACGGTTTCACTGAAGGAGCCAGTGTCTTGAATAACATATTGGGTGGGATAATACCATTCTGCAGGGCCAGGGAGGCTTTGAGAAGCCCGGCAAGCCCAGCGGTTCCCTCGGTATGGCCGATAACAGTCTTGATTGAACCAACGAACAGAGGGCTCTGGCTTACTGTCCGCGGAGAATTATTCTTAAAAAAGGCAGTGTAGATCGCCTCCGCCTCAGTAGGGTCACCTGCTGGTGTACCAGTGCCTATAGAAAGAGAAACATGCCAGTGATGTCAGAAATCAAAAATCAATCCAGTAAGCTTGTCAGGGGAGACGAGGAGGAGACTGATACTGACCGTGAGCCTCGAAGTATTGTGGACGATCCTTCGACCGAGACAAATCCAAGCCTGCCTTGGCATATGTCGCTTCAATCAAAGCCGCTTGGGCGACGGGGCTCGGCATTGTAATTCCCTTTGTTTTGCCATCCTGGTTGATGCCAGTCTCCCGAATGATACATTCAATGCTATCCCCATCTTCAATTGCAGCGGTAAGTGTTTTGAGAACCACTGCTGCCATTCCTTCACCTCGAGCGTAGCCATTTGCTCTTTCATCCCACATATAAGACCGACCGTCAGGTGACAACATTTTGAGATTGCTCTCTGCAATATACTGCTCCGGTCCGAGAAGGAGATTTGCACCAGCAGCTATCGCCACCCGAGATTCACCCGAGCGTAGAAGCTGTACAGCCTGATGAACGGCAACGAGGCTAGAGGAACAGGCTGTATCGATGGTCATGGAAGGTCCCCGCCAGTCAAAGAAGTATGAGACCCGGTTGGAGATGATACTTCTTGCAGTCCCGGTGGCGAAATACGTGGGAAAGTCCGAGGTATCGCGTCCTAAGAGATCCGCATAGTCTGCACCCATGAGACCAACATAGACCGCGGTCTGGGAGCCCTGAAGGGCGTCAATCGTCAGCCCTGCGGCTTCTAAGCTCTCGTAGACTGTTTCCAGAAGCAGGCGCTGCTGGGGGTCGATCGAATGTGCTTCGACTGGTTTGATACCAAAAAAGTGGGCGTCAAAATGGCGATGGTCCTCGGAGAGGAAGTATGAGTGCCGGACATTGCTCGTGCCATGATGGGTATTGTCGGGATGATAGAATCCATCCGCATTGAATCGGGCATGTGGGATCTGACTCTGCACGTCCCGGGGCTCTTTAAGCAAGTCCCATAATTTGGATGGAGTATTAGCGCCTCCTGGAAATCGGCAGCCACTGCCGATTATGGCGATTGGCTCGTTCGTATATGCCTTGAAAGACATTATGGGGTCGCTATGTCTGGCGTTTCTATCAATGAACGTTGAAAGAGAGTCGTAAGGCAAGCGAGGAGCTAATGTTGCAGACCGATGAGAGAGCATTTGTGTGGTGAGAATGAGATCATAGACCAATATCAGAAGCTTTGGTCTAGAATCTCCTGACGCGGTCCTCCAGTGCATTTCGGTGCCGACTCCGAAAGTTTAGGAAGAGCCATGCCGAGCTCGGCGACCGAGAGATCACGCTGCTGCCGAAGATCTCGAGGCCTGCGCCGTCTTCTATTGCGGTCCGCCCAGCGCGCCATCATGAATATAATGGCTTGATTATCTTCGGATTCCTAATCACTGACAGGTCAACGAGCCTCGGTCACTGCGGCGTCGAGAAGCGTAGATATAGAAGTATCCCGTGTTCCCCAATACACGAGGTGTGCAACTCGTAGGATGCGCGATCAAGCGTGCGAGTAGCTGGACTCGAGTGCGCTGTGCGCATTCCCATAGTCTGCATAGCCATCGGGATACAAATCTTCGTTGTGCCCGGAAGGTTAATATGATATTCGAATTACGTGAAGATCCTGAGGAAGAAGCTCGAGGTCTTTCTTTTAAGGTAAGTAGACAGTGGTGAGGCGAAGTTGGAAGATGGGAAGATGGGAAGATGGGAAGATGGCTGGAATCTGGATGAGGGAGACAGTCACATGGCAGCACCCCTGCCTGGATTGGATTGTGAACGGTACATTATGACTAAGCCAGCTTGCACAACTAACACTAGCTAGTTAGTTACACCAATTCCTCCTTTGTTTCTCACGCGTCCCACTTTCTACTTTTGAACAAAACCCGAACCTTCAAGCCGGGGTTCCAAGAGCCATTCGGAAGCGAGGTTTTGATTGGCTTCCCCTCGCCATCGGCAAATCGGAAGTCATAGTGCATGATCAAATGAGCCAATGCAATCTTGAGGGTGCTGTTGGCGAACATGCGCCCTGGACAGGCCATGGCCCCGTCCCCCCAACCGGGCGAGTCGGCACCTGTGCTGACAAACTGATACGTGTTCTCCTTCCCTGGGGTCTTTCGTATCTCATGGAACCGCAGACCGTCGAAGTCCTGGGGCTTGGTCCAACGGTCCTCCGAAGTGTGGATGTGGTGCACATCCACACAGATCAGAGTTCCGGCAGGAAGGGTTGGCCCCGTTGATAGCTTGGTGGGAACTCGGAGCAAACGGTACAGGGCCACTGTCTCAATTAGACCAACCTTCGATCAAAGACTGGGACTGATTCCTTACAGAGACTGAATGGATTTGCTCGGGCCGATTCTCTCATCACGCTGTCCATCTTCCGGAGTTCGGCCAGATGCGTTCTTGGCAGCATCCCATCCACCATGACCTCGTTTAGTTCCTGTCGCAGGACCTCGACCAGCTGTGGCCGGGTGGCCAGTTCCATCAGAATCAGGTACAAGGCCGCTGTGCTCGAAGGGGTGGACTCGAACGAGACGGTCACGTAGTCATGCAGCAATTGAGACAATGTGGCCTCGCTCGGTTTGTACCGCGTCATGAGCGCGGCGGTGAAGGGGACTTTGCCGTCCTCCTTCAGCGTCAGCAGCATCTTCTTGTCGGACGTGGACTGGTACTCCTGCATGTCTCGTTGGACCACTCCGCGCAGTGACCATTTCATGCGCCATTTGGTGACCAGAGCGGGGAGGAAGATGAGGGGCGCCAGGACGGGTTGAAGAAAGCGCGGAAACACACTGATGGCAAAGGTACCAGCCATTACCTCGAAGGGGAACCGACTAACTAGTCCAATCCACCCCTCGCTCCGGGCGAGGGACCTACCCACGAGGCTACAGGCGTTGGTCATCGCGATCATTCTTGTCACGGCGGGAAAGAGCGAGACTTCTTTCCATTCCGGGCAGAATCCTAGGACGTCGTCTGCCGCGGCTTTCGCGTCCTCTTGCCGACTCGCTACCGTCAGGGGCATGCTTCGTGCTAGGTCCACGCTGATGGCCTTCAGCAACGCGGGAGTCTCGGTCCCCGCCGTGGTGTAGTGCCCAAAGTAGGTTTTGACGAAAAAGTCTTGTGCCGATGCAATATGCGGTGGGAGCTTCTTGATTTCATCGAATGCCTCCGGTGGGAAAACAACGTATTCCAACCCTTGAGTTTTGATCGCATAAGGCGAGTGTGGATACTGTTGTTCAGTCGACAATACTCGGTCAGAATGATGCGACGAGATTGGAAAGAATTGACCAACACGGGACAAACGTACTTTGTAGTACCCCTCTTCCACCAAGCGCTCGAAGTCCTTTGTATGTTGTCTGCTGCCCCCAACTGTGGGGATCCCAAGTCTTTCCAGTGCGCTTTTCCTGGTCCAGAACTTCAGGAGAAGCAGGAATGCAAACATCAGTGTTGCGAGCCCCGTAAGAACGACGGTGGCAGACATGCTGCGCACAATACTGGACACCATCATCTTTAATAGTTGCCACCTGCTGAGTCGCAACGGAGCCAGAGTCTGGCGGACAATGGTAATCTGTTCCAGAATGTCAAAGTCTAGCAACATCTTGCTCTGAAGTTGAAATCGACCAAGCATAAAGGGAAGAGTTTGAGGTGGGGGGGTGAAAGATCCAAAGAATACTGTATACAACTGTCGATGAAGTGATACGCTTCTGGGTTAGCGGTGCCCGAACTGGCATATTACCTGGGGATGTAGAAGTTGGCCCTCCTATCATTCTATGTTTGCTGCCAGGATGTAGTTTCGGGGCTCTCGGGCCGGGTTCGGGCGAGACCCCGAAGATGTCGCAACCAGTCAAACAGAACCACTCGACCAGGAAGGTGTCGGCACACCCAGAGAGGGTGGAGATTTGATGCATCTATTCCGATATAACCTGCGGGTCTGTCGTCCGGAATGCCTTTACACCTGTGAGTGAGCCAGGTGCGCTTGTCTTTCGCACTGGTGTGAATCCCTTGCAAGCCTAAGATTTCAGGAGCCCTATATTGGAATCCTTACTGCCAAAGCCTGATATGGCAGTCTGACTGTATGAAGAGTTGGTTCACTAGTTACTCTTCTCTTATAGAGGGTTCTCCAGGCCACACATACGCCAGCCATTACCATTGTGATATAAATTGTAAACCTTATCTACCTTCACAAATTTAACGATATATGGAGTATATCATCAAGACATTGAACACTTGTCAGAAGTTGCCCGGTACCCCCCCTAGACTTAAAAGGTGTTTCGACATCCTTCTAGTCATAGAGGTGCACCAGTTGCAACAACACTGTGTGGTTAGTAGAATTACGAAAACGACAAGACGAATATAAAATGACCAAGAATCGACTATATAGCTCGGAAGATAGCTATTTTGCAAGAATACCTGTCATTGACTACCTACGGTTAACGGGACGTAGAACAGGAAATATCTAGAAAGAGTATAGGCATGCGCCATAGATCGGCTAAATTCACCCTGGCCTATGGATCACAGATGAAAAGTAGGTTACCAGATCTTCTTGAAGCCGCCCATAGTTCCGACCCCGAGATTATCCACAGTCCTCACAATAGTAAGACAGCAATTTTCATCATGCATACTGATTTTTGAAAAGTGGCGAACTGTCCGGGAAGTTGAGTGCTTCGGTCAGGGCCACCCCTCTGAATTGCTCCAAGCCGACGGGGCCTCCACTGGAGCTGCTGGAAAACCCGCTTCCACCGCGTCCTTTCCCGACCAGATACTCGAAAGCGATGTTCTGATGCTCGATGATGAAGGTCCAATGCTGATTCCGGGCGGGGGAGACCAACTCGAGCTCGTAGCCGGTGACCTTATCGCGCAAGGTGCCTGTGACCGCGCCGCCATATGTCTTGGTCATGAGGACGTAGTCGTCCACCGGCGACGCGTGGCCCAGGGTGGAGCTGAAGATCTTCTCTGCGCCGTGCATGAGCAGCACGGAGGTGAAGTCCTGCCCGTCCGCGATGCGCGAGGTGAATCGCATGTAGGACAGAGAATACGGCCCCGCCGTCATCCGCACTGCGTTCATGGCCTTGAGACAGGTAAACCAGTTGAACGGGGACCACAGTCGATTGTGACCGCCCAAGCCCTGCCACGCGAATCGCTGGCCCTTGGCCACCAGATCCACCTGCACGTCCCCGACGGGGATCGGCTCCACCCAGTGGAAATGCGGGGCGATCGCCGTGGACGCGTTCTCCGACGGCCAGGTCGACGCGTCTGCATACCGGGGCAGAGTCTTTGACTTCAGGAAGATGATACCCTTGAGGTCGGGGGTGTCGACTTCCAGCTTGACGCGGCTCATGTCCTTGGAGATCTCAAAGCGGTAGCTGAAGTCCGATCCGGTCCACGCCCCTTTGGTTCCGTGGGGGCACGACTCCACGACCGAATCGCTGGCGTAGTCGACCCGTCCCCAGCGGGTGCCGTTGGCGTAGGCCAGCTCGGCCGAGATGCGTAGATTGCCCGTCCCCATGAGGGACAGACCGGGATCGCGATAGAGCCCGAAGATGAACGCATTCATGCCATCATCCGAGACCCCATCAAATTCCCATTGCTCCCCGCTACTTGAGTTGAGCGGGAGGATCTTGGGGGCTTCGAAGTCGTCCAACGGACTTGTTGAGAGCCAAATCTCGCTCCCGGGGGCGGCGGTCTCGTACGCAGTGAGATGACTGGTGGTGCAGACGTCTGCTACGACCGGGGTCTCCTGCAATTGCGGCGTCCAATTGAGCGGCCAATTCTCAGGAAATGTGTATTCCCAGGCCTGGGCCAGACGGATGGCGTGTACGAGCGCAAAGAGATGGAGAGATCTAGCTGCGTTCATCATGGTGTGAAGTTTTGCAGTGAGGGGGATCAAAATGGAGTTGGGGGAGTAGTGTTCTGCGGGGATAGAATCTTACACTGTCTTTTCACTTGTCGTAAGGTCCAGCATGGTCGGTCTCGGGGCCCATATCATATCATTCGAGTCGGGGCTGTAGTATGACCCCGACTGCACGCCGAACCCTACCTCCGGCGTCGGGCCGACCCCCTCCAGGATATCTTCCCCCCCCCCAAACTCACGGCCTGGAGGCTTGCTGTACCGTTTGACAATATCCAGTCCCTGGAGACCTCAGCTGCTGCCACGCCACATCGTGGGGAAGGGTCAATCCCGTCATCATGGCCGTCACCCAGCTTCCGGCCAACCTTCCTCGGACCCAAACCGCGATCCTGCAAACCCACGGCGGAGCTCTCGAAATCACCCACGCAGTTCCTTTGCCTCATGTGCCTCCGGATCGAATGCTGGTGCGCGTCGTCGCTGTGGCTCTCAACCCGTGCGATTACAAGATGCCCCATCAATTCCCGTGCAAGGGAGTGGTGAACGGTACCGACTTCGCGGGGATAATCGTCGCCATCGGACCCGCGGTGGCCGGGCTCGCATCGCAGCCACGCTGGCAGATTGGAGATGCGGTTTTCGGAGCATGCCATGGAGCCAACGCCATAGACCCGGAATCGGGGTCATTTGCCCAGTACGTCCGCGCGGATCCAGAACTGCTTTTCAAGAAGCCCCCCGATATGGGGTGGGCGAATGCGGCGGCCTTTGGTGCGAGTGGAATTGCGACCATTGGCCTCTCCCTCTTCTGGGGAGGCGGGATGGGCCTGCAAGGCAGTCCCGATGAGCCTGCGATGGAGCCAGAGCAGGTTCTGGTCTATGCGGGCAGTACTTCGGTGGGAACTTTGGCCATACAGTTACTGCGAATGTGCGTCCCATCTGGGCTGCCACGGCCTTCTCTCTTCCTGTTCTAATCAATCTTCTCTTTCCAGCTACGGCCATATCCCCCTGACCACTTGCTCGCCCGCAAATTTCGACCTCGTGCGCTCGTACGGTGCCGAGATGGTCTACGACTATCGTTCGCCCACCTGTGCACAAGACATCCTGGCCGATACAGACAATAACCTGGAACTGGCATTAGATCCTATGACCGAAGCCAAGACACAACGCCTGTGCTATCAGAGCATCGGACGGGCCGGTGGCCGATACATTGCATTGGAGGTGTGGCAGCCAATGAACCACACACGACCCACGGTGGATCCTACTTTCATCATGGGGTCCACCATTATTGGCAAGGAAATTCCACTAGGAAACGGTTATGGGAGCGAGGCTGATCCGGACAAACGTCGTTTTGGGATTGAGTACTATCGCCAGGTTCAAAGGCTTTTTGATAGCAACCGGCTCAAATCCCACCCCATTCGAGTTATAGAGGGGGGTTGGCAGGGGGTCCTCAATGGGTTAGAACTGCTGAAATCGAGAAGTATCTCGGCGCAAAAATTGGTGGTTTTCCTGGGGGATCCGTGACCCTTGGATGACTGTGTGTATCGAGTTAGTCCGAAGATGAACTCTGTGCTTTCGGGTGATGTATTCATGACCGCAAGGGGCAGGATCGGAGTCGGTGAATCCAAACTGGAGGAATCCCGAATGTGGCCCGAATTGTAGTCGAGTAGTAGTATCGGCCCCCATACATATAAACCACAGCGGCAACCCCATTTCAACACTTATCATCGGTCTACGCATTTCGACCATGGCGTTGACAATGTATCTCATTCTTGCCCTCGCCGCGGTCTTGGTGCTTCACTCTTTCCTTTCCAGCAGAAAGTTGCAACGGCAGCGCGGTCTTCCACACATTCCTCTGGTGAAGTTTGATCGCGATGACACGCAGGCAAACTACGTCATGCGGACCAAGGAAATTATGCACCAAGGATATTTGAAGGTCAGTCTGGGGTGATTGACCCTCTTGTATACGGGCTTGTCTTTGACCTTCGCCAACAGTACACTAAGAACGGAATCGCGTTCCGCATCCGCAACCCAATCGACGAGGGAAGCCCTCAGGTGATTATACCAAGCAAGTATTTGGACGAGGTAAAGAACGCGCCGGAGACCGAATTGAGCTTCCCATTGCACGCGATTCAGTCTTTCTTGTTGGAATATAGCGGATCGGCGCTTCCATCCCTGGCGGCAACAAATGTCACCCGCATTGACCTCAACAAGAACCTAGGTAGACTATTTTGCACCGAAAGTGGAAGTTCCTAGGTGATGTGCTAATCTTGTGACGTTGTAAAACAGGGGAGTTGGTCGGGGGACTGAAGGAAGAGTGCCTCGACGCCCTTGGAACAGTGATTCCAGAAAGCACGGGTAGGGGCTGCACTCGCTCTCTGACAGACATCCCCGAAGCAACCCCACTGACAACCATGGACCCTTGCAGATTGGACGCCTCTGAAGCCTTGGGAGGTCTCCCTTCCGCTTGTCGCCCGAATGACCGGACGAGTCTTGGTCGGACCGAAGCTCTGCAGCGACCCCGAGTGGATCCAACTCACAATCGCCAATACCACGGGCATCATGAAATCGGCGATGGAAATCCGAGCCTCCTATTCTGCACGGTGGCAATGGCTGGCTCCCTGGACCTATCGGAGGCGAAAGGACCTGTTGACGCTCCGCAAACGGGCAGCCCGGATGATCGAGCCTCTCTATCGCGAGCGCATTGCCACCAATAGTCACACCGAAAAACACCGCGATGCAGTGCAATGGCTCATCGACAATGGCAATCACGACGGCCAGGTCACGAGCCCCGCAGAGATTGCCGATGGGCTCTTGTTTCTTTACATGGCGGGCATTCACAGTACGAGTGCCACAGTCGTCTCGATGATGTACGATCTGATCGCGCACTCGGACTACATCCCCGAGCTGCTGGAGGAGATCCACCAGGTATTGGCCGACTCCCCTGAATGGTCCAAACAGAGTCTGGCCAAGCTGCGCAAACTCGACAGTTTCATGAAGGAGAGCCAGCGCCTGCATCCGGTGGGACATGTCACCGTCCAGCGATCGACGGTGAAGCCCTTCACCTTCCACGACGGAGTGCGCCTCCCTGCCAACACCCATCTGAGCTTCCCGACCGACGAGCTCACCCACGACCCCGATGTCTACCCTCAACCCGATGTCTTCGACGGTCTTCGGTTCTACCACATGCGAAGGGATGGGGATGCGAGCAAGTTCCACTTTGCGACGGTGTCCAACCAGTCCACCAATTTCGGGGCGGGGTTCCATGCGTGTCCGGGGCGCTTCCTGGTCGCGCACGAACTCAAGATCATTCTCGTGGAGCTCCTGCTGCGGTATGAGTTTCGATTCGCGGAGGGGACGGGCCGGCCCCCAGATCAGCACCATGATTTCACCATCATGCCGAACCAGCAGGCGCAACTCCTCGTTCGGAGGCGAAGGGGCACCGAAAAAGTCGGGGCAGCCAAGTAAGCACGCGAACTTGCTTGCCAGGCAGGGGGGTGGATCTTGGACATGGCGTCAGCCGTCAGCCGTCAGCCGTCGTCAGCAGTACAGAAGAGAGGCAGGGAATGTTGGAGAGCTCGCTCAATTGTGTGGAGTAGCCACACATCTCCGGTGGGAAATAAGTAGTCTTGTCATGACCACTTTTGGCTTTTTAGTTGTGGAATGGATGACTGCCGGCTGAACGAACAAGAATGATAATATGAAGGCACCCTCACCGCCAACCTACCTAGGCTAGCTCCCATCAGTGTTTGCCTGAGGCGGTAAGGCTCAATTGACCAGCTGGTACTAGATAAGTAGTAGTTAGTCTGCAGATGGTCTGCAGGCAACATAAGCAATGCAGGCAATACAGACAATCAACCTAGTAGTAAGATAATAAAAGCATGGATGTTATAAAAATGGCAAGATGCGCTGGGCTCCACATAAAAGGCCGCTTAATTGGTTGGCGGCGGGTGCTCGTAGGTCCCTGCGCCTGCATTGTTTTTCTACATTACTTTTAACCGCCCTGACTGTCTTGTGGGGATGTACGTCGCCACTCTGTTGCCATTACTGTATCATTATCATAAGTTCTGTCCCCGTCTGCTCCGTACAGGGATTATTGGAATGGCCCCACTGCCACGACACCGTGTTATCGTGGGTACCCTAGACCCTTCCCCGAAAAGGCGACGTACAGACTACTACCGAGTACAGAGGCATCTATCTGTCTGCATTCTTCTCTAGCTATGATGGGGACTTCTCTCGGCATACTCGGTCCTACAGGGAGACGATGTAAGGCGACAGGATCCTCGGTGGCTGGAGAAGACAGTCAGCATGGCCGCAGTCGCGTGCCCTGGCACGCTAGCCTGCCAGGGCTTGTTGGAGAGGCTGATATGGCACGTCCCTAGACAGCCTTCAATCGTTCCATCCTTCCAACAAGCCTCTTAGCTTCATTGGCCTGCCTGTTTGGTGTCGGGGATAGTTCGATAGTCAACCTCCCCGAGGGCTGAGACAATCTTCCAGGATGTACGATGTAATATTATTACAAAGACAACCATCAAACGTAAATCCTCCGACCCTCCTTTTCAGCTGACAGGGACAGAATATGATGCCACTGTGATTGTTTGTAAGATCAGTGTTCTGGTCGGATTTAATGTCTGTTTTCTGCGCCTGGCCTGGCCAAGCCCTCGCCCTCTCCTCTCCTGTTCATGCCTCCCCCCACCCCTTTCCCCTCGCGTTTGTTTGCTCTCCTTCGTGTCCTGGAGAGCCACCCACAGCGAGCCACGCAGCGAGACCGATATCAGAATCTATCTCTTCATTGGTAGCATGCTCCAGCACATTACTTTCAATCACGAGGAGCGCGGTTGTTCGGACCTGGATCATGATACCTGATAAGTAGAAGTTGGCCACATTCAGAAGCAGAGCAATAGTCCCACAGCCTTCACCATGAACCCCGAGGCCCGTCGTATTGCATGCGATAGGTGCAGAGGCCAGAAACTGCGCTGTGTGAGACCGTTCAAGACCGGAGACAACAGTCGGCATGCCATGAACCCGTGCGAGCGCTGCCTGAAGGCCGGAACCGAGTGTACCAACAGTCTCTCCTACGGCCAACGCAGGCAGCTGCTGGAGAGCCGACAACCGCAGGGGTTGCAGGCTCAGTCGGGGACACATGGCACATCCCACTCTCCGCTGTACAATCGGCGGGCGGGCTCGGATCGCATCTATGAATCCACCATGCCCACCACGGGCTCGTCCTTCACTGTGTCCGCGCCCCCTTTGGAGACGGTCCCGGCAAAACGAAAGCTATTTCTAGATCCGGGCTTCCATTCTGGCGCTGCAGAACAACACCATGACGGTCTGGCAATGGGTCCCGGTCTGAGTATGGCCAATAATCCCAGCTCGGCTGCAGCCAAGTCGAGGGAGTTCGGAGTGGAGTCCCTTGGCTTTGGCATGAGACTGAGCTCAGAAGTCCATGGTCATCAAGACGATCAGTTCATAGACATGCTCTTCGAGGAGGATCCAGACTCAACCACCACGAGCGCCGCCGCGCAGACGGCAGCGGACCAGACACCACAACCCGGTCTTCATCATCCACCGAGTGGCGCGCCGGCGTTGCTGGGAAGTAAGGAGGACTGTCTCCACTGCCTGTCCGAACTAAGCTCCCAGATCCTGCGCGATGCCAACAAGATCCAATCCATCCCGCTGGAGGAAACGCTGTCCTCGTTCTCGACATGGCCCGATCACAGGAAAGGGCCGTCCGAGCCTCGCATGCAGAACAGCATCGGTCGAGCCTTGGAGCTCACCCAGTCCTTTTTCAATATCCTCCGTTATTTACAGCTGTCCCTGACGCCTTCGTCCGTGCCCGTGCCGGTCTCCGCCGCCTCCGCCGCCGCCTCGGACTTTTGTGCGCCCTCGTCGCCGGCGAACGACTCGGATTGTTCGTACTCGGAATATTGGGAAGACCTCCACGAAAGCGCCCCCGTGGACATGGCTTCGGGGCACTCCATCCCCGCCCTGCCGCTACCCGCTCCTCCCGCGTCCGGCGTCGACATGCCCACCACCATGATCATTCTCACCTGCTACATCTGGCTCCTCCACATCTACGGCACCATCCTGCATCGCGTTCACACTACCTGCGTAGCCACCCCTTCCCTCCCGCCCGCCTGCGCCTCGTCTTCCTCATCGTCCTCTTCCCCCGCATCCACCCCCACCTCCCACGCATCGATCCCCTCGGTGCTGCCCGGTCTCCACGTCGGCGGATTCGACCTGAACAGCCATGGGGACCTGCAGCTGGCCATCCTTCTGCAGCTCATCTCCAAGATGCTGGGTCGGGTTGAGGGGATCTTGGGGATTTCGCTGGTTTCATCGCACGCGGCGACGGCGACGACGACGACGACGGAGGCTGGCGATCCCGACGGTGGCCCCCGCCGCAGCGGGAGCAGAGGAATCCTGGACCATGGGCTCGCCTCCGCCTTGCTCGAGGTGATTCTGAAGCGCAATGACTTGGGATCATCCCCGGAGGCTGGCGGGGGTGCGTCGTCGGTGAAGCAGATTCTAGACAATATTCGGGTCACGCTGGGTCAGCTTACCTGGTAAGATTGGCGGGCGGGCAAGCAGGTTGGTTGGTTGATCCACGGGAAGTGGAAGATCTTCGATGAAGTTCACTAGGCTACGTACAGGAAGATGGAGGGACACGCAAAACCTCGTTCCATGACTTCTGGTCTGATGTGAATGTCACGGGGAGTGGAGTGAACCGAAGCAGATCATTTGCAGAAAGACCATACGGGGGGCTTAAATGAAAAGGAGCTTGGCTGTGGACGAGACCGTGGTCGGAGGGAAAGAGCCCGCCTACTGAACGTAGTAGTAATCAACTGAACAATAACTTCTGTACACCTCCATCCTTCCTACATTCATCCCCCTATGCGTCTAGAAATCCAATTGCAGCTTACACACCTCCACGATTTCCCGCCAAATCTGCGCCTGCATTTGCTTCCCCTCCGGACTGGTCACCATCGGGCCGGGTCTAATTTGCCCCAGATTCAGTAGTCAGTTTGAAGGTCACTTGGACAAAGAAAGAAAAAACAAAAAAACAGGGACAACTCACTCGGTGAAAACGTCGTTCGTCCAGAACTTCCCATGACCGACCGGCCCCAACAGCGTGGCAGTGACCAAGGAGCGACTGCCTTCTTCGGCGGAGCGAGCACAGAACTGCTGCATCAGCTTGCTGGGCAGCACCATATACCACGGAAAGTCACGGCCCAAGTCAGTGGCACACAGCCCAGGACAGGCCACGTTAACGATGACCTCCCCGCTGGGGGCATAGTCCTGCACCAAGCCTTCCATGACATACATGGTTAGGAGCTTCAGGACGGCGTACGAGGTTTCGACATTGAAGAAGCGAGGGGAGGAGATCTGCTCTAGGAGGTTTTGGCTATCATTCGTCCGGGGTGGGAGGTTCTGCTCGGTCAGATACAGGTGCGCGAAACTGCCCGTGAGGGTCAGCTGGCCGGGGCGACCACCACCACCACCACCTGCCGCCCGCAGCAGGGGCATCAATCCCATGGCGAGCAGCGCCGTGGAGAGGGTATTCACCTGCAGCGCGGCCTCCCACCCGGTGGCGGGATTGACGCAGTATGTCGAGGGCGCGACCCCGGCGTTGAGAATCGCCACATCGACCGCCTGCACGCCGACCTCCGGTGCCTGCAGTCGATCCGGAAACGTCCGCACGGAGTCCCAGGACGCCATGTCGAGCGGCACCACCGTGATGCGCGTCTGCGTGCTGGGCGTCGCGGCGAGCATCCGCTGCTTGGCCGCCGCACCCTTGGCCGGGTCGCGCACCGCCAGGATCAAGTGCGCGGCGCCGAGCGCGGCGAATTTGGTGGCTGCGTGGTAGCCCAGACCGGTGTTGGAGCCGGTCACGACGACTGTCTTGCCAGCTAGGGGGTTGAGGCTGGGGTGGGAGCCGAAAAGCTGGACGGGGTCTTGCGGCGGGTGTCGGGCTGCCCAGCGCATCGTGCTGATTTTGCCCATCCCGGGAGGTGGGCCGGACCCTACCAGGAGATTCGGGATCGAGTCTCCCTGCTTCTTGGGCTGGTCATTGTTTCGCTTGTTCTTGTTTAAGTGCGCAGAGCGCGACATGCTGGAGGAGAAAGGAGAGGAGACGATGTAAATGGCTTTGGAAAGTGAGTGCGCGACTGGGGATGAGAGGGGGGAGAGGAAATGCTCCCCCGAATTAGGGTTCGCGGATCTCTTTATACCTAGCAGCATCTACCACCCACGCACGGAATCCCAACCACGCAACTACGCAGGGAACTATCTGCTGTCAAGACTCTTGGATCGCCGATCCCTAGCCACTAGCATGCCCGTCTTGAACAGTCGGGCCTTCATTTGTACTGAAACAAAGAACCAGATGTGCCTATCAGGGGGTGACTTTCGGCGCTACTGTACCGAGCCCGACTTTTTCGGCGATACCCCCCTGCTACCTCGCCACGCCTCGTCGGGCGCCTGATGTTGAGGGAAAGAATTCTTGATTGCTTGGTATTCGATATAGGGGTTAGGGATGGGAGATGTAGAGGGAAGGTAGAGTTTTCACATGTCAAAAACTGTAGCGAAGTAATTTGATTGAACCATGATGTTGCCCTTAACTCTGCTGCCCGTGGTTCTTCTCAGCGCGCCAATCTGGGGTATGAGGGAGAACCGCCACAGCCACCACATCTCGTCCCAGTGGAATTGGGCCACGCTCAATGCGACCCTTCACGGCCGGTTGCAGGGGACGGTCCCGCTGGCTCGACCGTGCTTCGACAGCTACGACGGCCGACTGGCCATGTTCCAGCCCAGTCAGTGTTCCGAGGTGCAGGCCCAATACACGTCGGCCGCCTATCGCGCCGACCTTTACAGCGGCTTCATGCATGCGCAGAATGAGATCTGTGCTGCCTCGACCGACCAACTGACACGCCAGTGTCTCTTGGGTCCCACCGAACCCCTGGTTGACCCGCCGTCGACCTCCTGCGGCCAGGGGAGCGTGTCCCACTACCACATCCCGGTCACTGACGCGGCCGACGTCCAGGCAGCGTTTGCTTTTGCCCGACAGACCGGTGTCACCCTGAGCATCAAGAACAGCGGGCATGATTACAGCGGCCGCAGCAGTCTCCGCGGCTCGCTGGCCCTATGGACCCGCCCCATGCAGCAGCTCATCTACCATCCGAACGACTTCGTCCCCGCGGGATGCAGCGCGCAGCACCGAGCCGCCCACGCCATCACGGTGGGAGCCGGGGTGAACTTCGACCAGGTGTACCGATTTGCGCACGAGCACAATGTGACCTTCATCGGGGGCACGGCGCCCACGGTCGGGGTGTCGGGGGGATTCGCCATGACGGGGGGACACGGGCTGCTGACGGCGCAATTCGGGCTGGGGATCGACCGGGTCCTGGAGTACAAGATCGTGACGGCGGATGGGGAGTTGCGGACGGCCAACGCGTGCCAGCACCAGGACCTCTTCTGGGCGCTGCGCGGCGGCGGCGGCGCGACGTACGGCGTGGTGGTGGAATCCACGCACCGAGTCGAGCCGTCGCGGCCGTTGGTCTTCGCCTCTCTCACTCTGCCTGCCCCCGATGCTAACTTCACCCGCCTCCTCATCCGCCATGCCCGTCGCTGGTCGCTGCAGGGCTGGGGCGGTCCCAACGCCATGGACCGCATCGCCATGGCCAATCCCTTCCTCGATCTCCCCGCCGCCCGAGCCTCCCTGGCCGAGGTCATCGACTACGTCGACGCCCACGACGGCGGCTCCGTCTCGTTGACCGTCTATCCCGACTTCTATCCCATCTACCAGGAGTACATGACCGCCACCGCCGATGCAGGCGTTGGCACGGCCAGCTTCGCCACCAATCGTCTCATCCCCACCACTCTCTTCCAACAGCCCAACGACACCGCACGCCTCCTCGACGAGTTGGTCCTGCTGGCGGCGGAGGGTTACGCCCCGACCCTCTTCGCGACTCCGCCAGCGTACTACGAGAGCCGCCAGCCATCGAATCCTCCTCCTCCTACTACTACTACTAATCATAATGATGATGATAATAATAATAATAATAATACCTCCACAACCCCCGCATGGAGAGACAGTACCTGGATGATCACGGTCAGTGCCGAATGGGCCTGGAACAGTACGCTGGCCGAAAAACGCGCCTTCGTCCGGAATTTCCAGTCCGTGACGCAACGCCTCGCTCGCCTCGCTCCCCGCAGTGGCGCCTACATCAGTGAGGCTGATCCCTTCACCCCCGACTGGCGGACCGCCTGGTGGGGGGACGAGAACTATGCCCATCTGCTCCGCATCAAGCGGAAATATGACCCCGCGGGGCTACTGCGGTGTTGGCGATGCGTGGGATGGGAAGAGGAAAGGGCGGACCCGGACGGTGGGTTTGGCTGTCTGGGTGGCCTTGTTGATGTCTGAATGAGCTAGATGGTGTTACTTATTGCTACTTGTTCCTGTTCCTGTTTCTGTTCTTGTGTGTGTGTGTGTGTGTGTGTGTGTGTGTGTGTTGGAATAGTGGGATAGTACCCCTCACATAAGACTCTCCCTCTATCGATATATAGAACGGAAAATTCAAAAACTACTAGCATGTATTCCCCAAGGCCTCATCCGTAGTGGCAGTGGCAGTGGCGGTGGTAGTGGTGCTTGACCCCTCCTTATACGCCACCAAAGTCTCCAGAAACTCATTCACATCCTGCGCGCCGTTCAATGTCTTCCCACCCTCACCCTCCCCCATCTGGAAGTAGGGCACGCCCAACAACCCCTCAGCGCGAGCCTGGTCCGCCAGCCACTCAATCCGCGCCACCCCGCGGCCGGTCTCCAACCACGCCCGCAGGCCCAGGCCATCGACATCCAGCCCCGGACACGCCTGCGCGGCGATCCGCACCAGCGTCTCCACATCACAGATATCGCGTTCCTCTTCAAAATGCGCCTGGAAGAGCGCCTGCACCACCGCATTCGTGATCTCGCTCGTCTGCCGCTCATTCGCGCTGTCCTGCAGCTCACTCCACAGGATCAACTGGTGCGCGCGCAGCGTATTCCCAATGCGGCCCCCGAATCGGAACTGGATACCATCTTGGAGGCCTAGTCGGCGCAGGTGCGCCTGCGCGCCTGGTACTTTGTCCGCGTCGCCCAGTTTCTGGATCATTCGGTCTGGTTTGAAAGGGATGAGTTTTGGTTTTCGTCTTTTGGAGATGGGAGCGCCGCGCGGAGGGGGGGGGGAATCGGGAATAATGAGAGAATGGGCCAGACAACGGTGCACGCACCAAGATAGGGAACACTTTCCATCGGAGCGTCGCGGTCCAGAAAATAGGGTTTCCAGGTGATTCGGATTTCATCGTTACGGGCACCGGGGTAGGTCTTCTGGAAGAGGGCGATGGCTTTGAGTAGGCGGCGGTAAGCGATGTAGCACTGTCGGTGAGGTGAGACAGGGATCAGTGGGGAGAGAAGTGGGCAGAGACAGGGGTGGAGTGGTGGAAGAGTGGGGGAGAGGAGAGTAGAGACAATCATACCCAAGGACAAACTGGGTCTGAGGTGATGGAGATCTTGATGAGGGTCATGATGTTGGTGTTTGGATTTGGAGTGGAATGGGGAAAAGGAGGAGGGGGACGCAGGATATGCAAGGTTAAATAGATGCCCTCCCCCCCCCCCCCCCCCTGTTCCATCCCCCCGGGTCTCTCTCTCTCTCTCTCTCGCTTTGGCCTTCGCACAAGAACTCGGCCTCGGAGAATTGTCTAACACTACGATTCGCTACTTGGTCGAGGCTAGTCGGCTTCCTGGTTCTTTGTGCTTACTGGAGATTATCAGCCACAGCTCAAACACTTAATTCATATGCTATTTATGAGAAAAGGAAATTTGCTGCCTAACTAACTATCATATCTGTTGCGTCAGCGCAATGCTATCACTCTGTAAGTGCGCCCGCACCTGCGGACTATTTCCACATACCTGTCCTGATGTTCTTACCCAACCTCTTTCTCATCTCTTTAACAGGTTTCTTCTACTTCACTCGCCCCGTCTTCTCTGCGTCTGATGCCATCTATCTATACCATCCTTCAAGCACTGATTTCGAGGACTTGCTGGGCGATGATGATCTTCCGAGACTCCAGCTTTTACAGGGAAAACCCAAGGGCTGCTCTTCCGACACCATCTGAAGTTAGAGCCATCAGCAAGAAGTCAGCTGGTACACAACACATAAGCTTCAATCGCCCACCACCGGTCATGATTTCATCGTTAGGCCTTGTTGTCAAGTACGGCGCCGATGTAACTGTCGTCGAGGCCCAAACCCAATTGATGTTGAGCAAGCACCTAAAAGGCCAGATCCCCATCCCGGACGTCTTTGGCTGGATTGAGGATGGTGGCCAATCATTTCTCTATATGTCATTGATTCAGGGCGAAACCCTGCAGGAGAGATGGAGTGACATGAATGAAGATGAGAGACTCTCTGTGTGCCAGGAACTCAATCGCATGGTGAAGGCTGAAGGCTTGGAGGGCTTTGAAGCAAGACAGTAAGGACTGACACTATTATCGGTAAGTCTCATCGGTTGCATCAAACAGGCGTAACTAATAATTGAAAGGGAGTCTGGGTAGGCAACCACTAAACGAGATCGTTCTTTCAAGTCATCCAGAAATTACGGGACCATTTCAAGGCACGGATGCTGTCCAAAGGTTCCAAGATGCTTGTGGTATCGAAATTTGGGAAGAAGTGCCCATTGTGTTTACACATCATGATCTTGTTCACCCGCCGTCCCGGGGCTGGCTGAAGATAGCATACATCCATACGAACAATAACTTCAAAGCTTTGATTAGAATATGCATAACTTGAATAATCTAGGTTTGCATACATAGAGGAGTCGAAAAATCAAAAGCATTACTTCTCTCACAAGGGCAAAGAGGGGGTTGTCAACTTTACATTCAACGTTATGAAAGACATGCGCCTGTCCAAGTCCGCTAACCCTTAGCGCCATAGCTCAGATATCAAGGCAAGTTGCGTCTTGCAAATACATCAAAGGCCTTTTCGACCGGACCGCACTCCGCGATGATGAAATTCGACAATCTATGAACAAATTGGTTCAAATTTCCGAGCGACTTTCCAAAACAATCCTGGCCTTCCATTTACCATCATGAGCACCCCAACCGGATCATCACCAGACTGGGTCAAGTCTGTCAGTCTTTCTGGTTTTGAAAACAGCAAGGCAGGCCGATTTCTCAGCGAGTATGCGCGCATCCCAGGCCATGAGCTTGAAGCCCACGTAATCACGATTCTACGGCGTACTGTGTATTGGCAGAGCCCGAGAGAGGCGCCTGCCTGAGGCATGACAGTTCAGGCTGTGTCAGCAACCGCAGGGCTGCTCCCTCACGTGGGCGGTGTGGAGAAAGGCACAACGAAATTAGCGAAGGACGGCGCCGCGGATGGGCGTCATGGGTCGAAGGTACCGTTGGGACGCGCTGCAGCCAAACCAGCGTCATTTGCGATCCACGAGTAACAAGCACCAGCACAATTAAGATTATTACTACTGCCACTCACCGAATCACCTCAATTGCGACTGTAAACTCCCTTTTTCCATCTCTCCCACCTCTTCCCATCTCCCCCTCATTCTTCGGTCCACGCCCAGTGGACGCCGTCATCACGTCTCCCCCTTCAGCGGCCGGGATTCTTTTTCTTTCTCTTCCACTCCGCCTTGCCCGTCGCTCCGCAGCTGGCCCTGCTTTGGCCTCGCGCCTCCATCACCTGTGCATCTCCCCCTCCCCCTCCCCCTCCTTCGCCTCGCTCTCTCCGTCCCCGCCCTCTTCTTCCTCTCCCGCCGCTCCTACTCCTCCAGCAAGAAGAAGAAATCCAAAATGCCTCCCAAGAAGGCCGTTGTTCAAGAGAAGGTCCATCTGGGCCGTCCTGGTAACAACCTCAAGAGTGGTATCGTATGTGAGCATTGACCCCACCGACTGACTATTTTTTTTTTCTGCCCCTCCCAGCCTCCCAGCCTCCCTATTTTTTCCCTCGCTTGTCCCGGCCACTATTTAACCTCCCTCCCCGGCCACATTTTTTTTTCTTTCTCTTCTTCCTTCCCACACATTCCACGCAATGTAAAATTCACCAGAGGATCATGGTTTAACCTTTTCTCTCTAGGTTGGTCTCGCCAACGTCGGCAAGTCCACCCTCTTCCAGGCCATCACCAAGTCGTCGCTGGGTAACCCCGCCAACTTCCCCTATGCCACCATTGACCCGGAAGAGGCGCGTGTCATTGTCCCCGATGACCGCTTCGACTGGCTGTGCGAGCACTACAAGCCCAAGTCGCAGGTGCCCGCCAACTTGACCGTCTACGATATCGCCGGTCTGACCCGCGGTGCCTCGACCGGTGCTGGTCTCGGTAACTCCTTCCTGTCGCACATTCGTGCCGTCGACGCCATCTTCCAGGTCGTCCGCTGCTTCGATGATGCCGAGATTATCCACGTCGAGGGTGATGTCGACCCCGTCCGTGATCTCAACATCATCAGCGAGGAGCTGCGCATCAAGGATATCGAGTTCGTCGAGAAGGCCTACGAGGCCCTCAACAAGCAGACCAGACGTGGCGGCCAGTCCCTGGAGATGAAGAAGTTGAAGGAGGAAGAGGCCAACGTCTTCAAGGTTCTTGAGTTCCTCCGGGCTGGTAACGATGTCCGCAAGGGAGATTGGTCCCCCAAGGAGGTACGTTCGATTTTTTTCTTACCTTTTTTGCCGTCCCATTCCCCTATCATGATGAATAAGAGCTTTGCTCGAAATAACCCAGCTCGTCGAGTACCCCAACTTTTTATAATCCAACGGAGGTACCATGAGATTACGTCCAATCTGATCACTTGCTTCATAATATTCTGTCGTCGTCATTGGATTGTGCAACCAGACGCTGACTTTTGCTATGACTAGGTCGAGGCTATCAACCCTCTCCAGCTGCTCACCGCCAAGCCGGTGGTGTACCTGGTCAACCTGAGCGAGAAGGACTACATCCGCCAGAAGAACAAGTACCTGCCCAAGGTGTTCGAGTGGATCAAGACCAACTCCCCCGGCGACTCGCTGATCCCCATCTCCGTGTCGTTCGAGGAACGTCTCACCCGGTTCGAGACCGACGCTGCCGCTCTCGAGGAGTGCAAGTCTCTGAACACCAAGTCGGCCCTGCCCAAGGTGATCACCACCATGCGTCAGGTGCTGAACCTGGCCAGTTTCTTCACCACCGGTACCGACGAGGTGCGCCAGTGGACCATCCGCAAGGGCGTCAAGGCCCCCGGTGCCGCTGGTGTTATCCACACCGACTTCGAGAAGACCTTCATCCAGGCCATCGTCTACAACTACGCCACCCTGCGTGAGTATGGCGATGAAGCCGCCGTCAAGGCTGCCGGTAAGGTCATGACCAAGGGTAAGGATTACCTGGTCGAGGACGGAGACGTCCTGCTGATCAAGGCTGGTGCTGCCCGCGGTTAAGTAGTCATGTAGCATAAAAATCCACTCATGTTACTCTACCATTGTCTTCTCGTAATTCTCAATATCTTGATCAGCTCTAGTCTCCTACGATGTAAATCTACACCTGCTTCGAGATTATAATCGTCAGCGACGACGCACAGCGGATGTGCTCTCGGATCAACGTGGTGATATTCCCAGTCCCAAGCAGAGGAAACCATCGGTTGTATGTAGATTTTTCTTGACAAGGCTTTGTAACAAAGGCCTCAGGCAGTCTTATCGACGAATAAACCTTGACTACGCCTGCGGCAATCGATACTAATCACTTGCCATGAACAACACCAACATCTAAAAAATCTATTAAAAATCTACAAACCTCCAATATCAGACCTGTATGTAACCTTCATAACTCGCAAATGAACATCCAACTAGTCAACTAAACCAACCAACAATCCCCCAACCCAAGAACATATTTCCCCAATCATGAATGACCACAACTTACAACTTATAACTCACAAATCAGTGAATCACAGCACCAACATCCCTCCAAACTCCAGAGAGTGAGTGAGACAGACCAGTCAGTGATCACGGCAACATACTACATAACTATCTAGCACACCCTCAGGCAACAACCACCCCCACCTACGCAAGGCAAACAACCACCAACCCACCCGCCCACGTGACCCGCTCCCGATTCCCCGCAGCTGCCGCTGAAGATTCGCGATAGAGAGCTGCAGTCAATACTCCAGACAACCCACACATCCCCCCTCGCCCCCGACAAACCACCATGTTCAAGAAAGAGTGAGTCGGTCTGCAGTGGAGAACTGCTCATATCTTGTCCCCTGGTGCAGCACTGCAAATTGAGAACGATTTCTTTGGAGGTTGTGGTTTACCCCGCCCACGCCGCGGCCGGGAATATCTTTGCTGCTGCTGCTGCTGCTGCTGCGAACACCTACCTACCTACCTACCTACCTACCTATATCCCAAACCTATACCCATTCCAATCCAGTCCAATCTCCCTCTCTCTACCCATCTCTATCTCTCACACTTCCTACCCCACCCCGACCCCAAACAAAGAAAAGGAAAGAAATACTAACAACTTACGTCAATAGTATCCCCCCGAGCAACCGCTCGAAAGTCAAGTCGTCGGTGCAGCGCGGTCTCCGCCAACGCTTCCTAGACGCCTACCCGGGTTTCGAGCCTTACATTGAAGATGTCCTGCCGAAGAAGGCGCAGCTGGATGCCGTGAAACTGTACATCCCCTACCCCAACGCTCTCTTTCTTCTATTTCACCCCCCGCCCCAACCCCGGGAACAACACAACACTAACACAACGTTCGTACCCCCCCAAAAAAAAACAGCCCCGAAAGAACAACCCTCTACACAATCGACTCAACCCCCCTCTTCTACCAACCGATGGACGGGCCCCCGATCCCGCACCTGAAGCTAGTGCACCAGTACCCTGACGCCATCCCGACGGTGCAGATCGACCGCGGCGCGATCCGGTTCGTGCTGTCGGGCGCGGCGCTGATGGCGCCCGGCCTGACGAGTGCGGGCGGCTGGTTGCCCGAGAAGGAGAATGAGGTTAAGGCCGGAGAGGTGGTCGCTGTTAAGGCGGAGGGGAAGGACACGGTTTGTCTCATTGGCATGTTGAAGGCCGGTACCGAGGAGATTAAGGAGAAGGGGAAGGGCGTGGTTATGGATGAGGGGCATTATCTGGGTGATGGGCTTTGGAGGATGAATTTGGATTGATTGATTGATTGATTGATTGATTGAATCGTGGGTTTTGGAAGGGGTTGGGTGGGTGGGATGGAATGGATTGGAATGATTGGAATGATACCTGTGGGGTGGAGGAGGGGAGAGGGATGAGAGATAGATATGATTGATGATGTATTGTATGACATTGAATGGGGTCAAAAAAGTTCCTAAGCGTCTAGTATGGGTCTATATACATGCAGCTGCAGCTGGTCGGGGATTCGGTTGATGTCTGTCTGGTCAGGGGCGGTCGTCGGGTTCAGTCGGACGTGGAGAGAGCGGCGAGCTGGGTGATAGCGATGACCACGAGGGCGTGCGAATCGCCAGCCCGAGTCCTTTCACGCTTGTCCCCGACCCGTTCCCGTTCAGGCCAGTGCCCGCCAGATTCCCGTCTCGGAGTCCGGCCCGCGTCACTGCCCGCTGGAGCATATCCCCCGACCCATCGAGCGCGATCAGGAACCTCGCGAGCTCCGCGCACAGCTCCCAGTCGTTCTTCCGCGACGCGAGGTACATCAGCCGGACGACGTAGTCTTCGATAGGGGAGTCGTGGTCGTCAGTCTCGTCCTCGAACGCCTGGAGCACGAGAAGGTAGCCCACCGCTGTCTTGAGCGAGTTGAGCTTCAGCGCCTGCTCGAAGAGGTCCTTCGGAGGAGGCAGATACGTGAATAGCGTACGCCAGGACCGGAGTTCCGTCTTGCGCGTGCACTGGACGACGATGTCCAGGTAGACCGTCGTAGGCAGTGACGCCTGCAAGAACGAAATGACCGTCGGGAGTAAGGGATCCCGCTTCTGCGCCGGGTCATCGATCTTGCTGTCTTTGCTCGCGTTGTCGACTTCGTCGTCGAGGACGTGGTGTAGCAGGACTTCAAGGGCATGTGGAAAGTAGGAGAGGTGCGAGAAATGTTGGCACAGCGACAGCGCTGCAGGCATGTCGCCGTGTGTCAAGCTGTATTGGAGGAAATAGGGAAGAATGAGGTGTGTCTGAACAGTTAGCACGGCCCTGGTATCCAAGGGATGGTGCACTTACTCGGATAGCGAACTTCAGCACAGAGAATGTGACATCGCGTCGCTGGGTCATCTCTGCCTCCACTCCGAGCACGATGCCCTTGTTCAGGAGCACCGACAAAGGATAAAAGTCCAATGGCACCTCGAGCGGCTTGGCGACGTCTTCCCGGCGCAATACATCCTGTACGTCGCTCCAGGCAAGGAGCTCCTTCCCACAGAATGTCCAGAGAGAGTCGCGCAGTGAGAGGTTGCTGTGATACATGTTCAGGGCCCGCTCCACCGAAGGACTGGGCGGCTGTGACTCGTCCACGGAGGGCGCAAAGTTGAAGGACAACTGGTCGCGCATCAGAATATAGTATTCGACTTCGTGGGAGACCACTCGCATGTCGTACTTCAGCTCCCCTGCATCCGACAACGATGGCTGCAGCAGAACCAGGTTACCATCAACCAGCAGAAGCACCGATGCAACCTTGACATCCTGCGAGGGGTCACCGTTCCCTACTGAGATTAGAATAGTCCATCTATCAGAGCAATCTACTCACGCATCTGGTGTTCTGGCAAAATCCAGCTGATCGCCCGGACCCGGGTCGGTGCTCGCACTATCCCATGGAATGCGATCTGGCCGACCGGGACCAACGTAATCCGAGAGTGCGACGAGTTGATGATATAGTGGTAAAGGATGTTATCGTATGTATAGACAAGAAGGGAATCTTCGCCCGACGGCCCAATAAAGACAACAGGGGAAGGAAGGTATTCTATATGCAAAATCGTTTGATTGTTCAGGGGCATCTCGCGGGAGTAGAGACGGAGCTGCATGGCGCATAGGTTAGCCTCAGCACTGGTCGTTTTTGGTATATGCCATGTCTTAACGCACCTCATATGATCCATCATTGTCAATAGCGGCAATTAGAATATGTCCATACCAGCACATGCCACCCCGCACGGAAAACGAGTTCTCGACCTTGGAGTCCTCGAAAACCCTCCAGCGGCCGCTGTTCACGCTATAGTGTGCCAGCCCACGTCTGCCAGCGATGGCCACGTACCTCCCATCCTGGGAGACGACACTTGAGCGTATGGGCCACTGGGAGTGCAGGTAGGTGGGGGGGTATTGTGCGTGGTGCCAGAGTGAGTCCTTGCCAGAGATGGTCATGAGATCTGGCAGGTCGTGGCCGCGATAGAGAATGATCTCCGTTCCGGTCTGCAGGAGCCCTCTGGCCAGATTCGCCGAGGAGTAACAGCCCGTCAAAGCACTCCGCGCCGTCTCCAGAATCCACAAGCGACGATCATCCTGGCTCGCGAGTATGATTTCGGCACCTCCACCGATCCAGCAGCCATGAGAGGCACCGGTAACCCAGTCCTCATCGTTCGATTTGGCAAGAGACCGGTCCGCTGTAAAGCTGTTCCCACCCGGCTTGCCGAAAACGCTCCAAGTCATCCAGCCGTGCTCGTAACCGGCAAACAAGCAATACCCATCGGGCGAATAGGATATAAACGACAGACTGCCAGTAGTAGTAGGGGAAGCCGGTAGTTGGAGGTTGTGCGAGAGAGGCACGTTTCCCATATAGTCCTTTGCCGTGTAGACGAGAATATCCCCGTTGGCGCAATTCACTGTCAGAAGCGAAAACCGAGCGTTGACAGCAACTTTCATAGCTTTTTCACCATCATTCTTGGGGTCGTGGAAGCAATGTCCCTGGAAAAGCTTCTTTGGAGAATCCGGGTCCTGTGCTCCTTCTGGGATGCGCTGGACCGCATACGCTTGCCCCTCGTTGGTGATCCATACCAGCAAGTTGATGGCACGATCGTAAACCATCTCCGTAATGGATGTGCGCTTCGACACGCCCAGGATGCGACTCAGGAGCTCCGACGTGGTCTGGGAGCCGTTCGCATCTGGCGTCCATCGGATGCATTGGATGGCTGCCGGCTTCACCGTTGCCACAACAAGCTCATTATCCAGCGCAAGGGCCTTCGCAACCCCAGATTCTATCTTGATGGCCATCCTGAAGCGAATGCTCACATCCCTAATTCCAGTGGCTTCTTCCTCCTCGGACAGGCGGGTGAGGTGTTGGCGGCGGGTGGAGCTAGTGTGATCGAAGTGCTGCTGGTATACGCGGGTATTGGGGCCGACGGCGATGGTGTATGTCAAAAGGTATCCATTGGAGGTTTGCACGACGAGGATGGTCGAATCGGGATGCATCAGCAGAGCTACATTGGTGCCATAGGTCCCCAACGACGCGGCGGACCGGGCCACAGCAGCAACCACCGCCGTGGGCTAACCGCCTGTCAGCACATGCGCGTCATCTCAAAGGGTATCAAAGACATACTCTAGTTTGCCAGACGGCGATGGACGAACTGGTCATCGTCGCGAACATGAATCCGCTCCGGGAGACACAGAGCCCGGCAATGGGCTCGTCCGCCCACGCCGCGTCCGCAGCCGGGGGCTTCGGGGGCTCATTTTCTCTCAAGGCCAACTCCTGCTCGGCGGAGCTGTCATATTCGAGGGATGCGTCATCGTCGGAAGGTGTAACCGGGATTGCAGGGCCGTTGATCGCATAGACCCGGGGGACTCCATTGGGCCAGTACATGGCTCGATACAGGCGCGAGAGTCACGGAGGAGTAGAGCGAGTTCACATCGAGTCATCTTCGGGGAGATGGTGAGAAGTTAGACCGTCGGACTCGGGACAGAAGCGATCCCACAAATACCGACCATACTATCCACCCAAGCCTCGATCTGACGGCGAAGGATGCAGGGGGAGGATGACTGCAGAAGAGGAGGAGGAGGAGTAATAGTCTAGTATGGAATGGACGGCGGAAGCACGGGGGATCACGTGCAGGGGAGCTCCGAAGCAAACGTGCCAAACAGCCGAAGTCCCCGCATCCAAAACCCCCGCGACGCTCGAAAGTTTGCCGTGATAAGCATCGGTTTCCCCTTTTCCCTCCCTTGTGATTCCCATCTCCCTCTCACAATGGTAAGAGATCTCTACCCCTTGGATTATGTCCGATCCCCTGGAAATACCCCCTGACGTGTTGGTCTCTCTAGGCTCCCACAGAGTCTAAGAAGCGCTTGGCGCTTGCCATCATCGACTTCCTCGGTGCCAGCCTCAAGGACGGCACTCTGACCGCCGACGACGCCGAATCCATCGAGATCGCCCAGTCCTGCATCGCGGATACCTTCAAGGTCGACCCGACAAATGAGGCCGCCGTCAAGGATGCCCTGGGTGGCCAGTCGCTGGCCAGCATCTACAGTGTCTATGAGAAGCTTCGGAACAAGCCCTCGGGCGAGTCTGCCCCCGCCGGTGACAGCCCCAAGCAGGCTGGCGCCCCCACTCCGGAGTCCGATAAGCTGAAGTCGGAGGGAAATGCCGCCATGGCCCGCAAGGACTACACCACCGCCATCGACATGTACACACAGGCTCTGGCCATTGCCCCCGCCAACACCATCTACCTCTCCAACCGTGCCGCTGCCTACTCCGCCGCCGGTCAGCACGAGAAGGCCGCTGAGGATGCTGAGCTCGCCACCGCCGTCGATCCCAAGTACTCCAAGGCCTGGAGCCGTCTGGGACTTGCCCGGTTTGACCTGGCCGATTACCACGGTGCCAAGGAGGCGTACGAGAAGGGTATCGAGGCCGAGGGCAACGGTGGCAGTGAGGCCATGAAGCGCGGCCTCGAGACGACCAAGAGGAAGATCGAGGAGGCCAAGCAGACCTCTGAGCCTCCTGCGGATGCCGTCGATGATGCTGCTGGTGCGTCCCGGGGTGCTGGTGGCATGCCCGATCTCTCGTCCCTCGCTAGCATGCTCGGAGGTGGTGGTGGTGGCGGCGGCGGCGGCGGTATGCCCGACCTCGGATCTCTCATGAGCAACCCCATGTTCGCCAATATGGCCCAGAACCTCATGAGCAACCCAGATATGCTCAGCAACCTCATGGGCAATCCCCAGCTGAGACAAATGGCCGAGAACTTTGGCCGTGGTGGTGGCATGCCGGATATGTCCTCCCTTATGAGTGACCCCAGCATTGCCGATATGTAAGTTGTTTGACACGAGTTCCGTGTTTTAGTCCATAAACTAACGGGGTCTCAACCTTAGGGCTCGGAACATGATGGGCGGTGGCGGTGGCGGCGGTGCTGGACGCGGAGGGCAGTAAAGGAGGGGAATGATTAGCCAATTTTCGAACCTTGATTTTACTAAAACATTGTTAGTCGCTAAGTGCGCATTGACCTCGACTAAACTCGCATTGCAAGTATGATCTTAATTCGGAGGAGCGGATAGATACCGCCACGCTTGACCTCCATCTTGAACTTCGGAACATAATTTCTTCTTTCTCTGTGTATTTACAGAATCTCATGGTGATCGACGAGAACGTCGAGAATTCGGTCAAGACTTTTCGCAAGTAGAGACCACAACAAAATAGGGGGGAAACAAGCTGGACACGGAGCCAGATGCAAGACTTTCATCATCAGAGGAGTGGAGGGGGACATTGCAAATCAGATAACAAGACTCCCGGAACGCCCAAGGAAGTACAGAAAGATGGACAACCCATGCTCAGATGCACTTGGGCCAAACAGAACCGCAACGCGGTGGGTGAGTCCCGCGGAAAGGGAGATCATCCGGCGAGATTAATCAGGTTACTATCACAGACATTCCACGAAGCGCCAGTTCCGCCTGGTCTCTATTTAAATAATCAATATTGTACAGTCGGATGATATCAAAACAATCGAGAAGAGAATAGAGGCGTCATAGGCCAAAAATCAGGCAGAGATGGGATGATCGTCGGGCGTCAAAGGTAAGAAGGAGAATCGAGGGAGGAAGGGTGTCTGATGTGGTGGGGTTTAGATGTAGTCCCGAGCAGCCTTCTGCAGCTCGATCAGTCTCCATCCGCGGGTCTCCGGGTTGTTGACATCCTCGGGTATCCGCGTCAGACCGATGGCGTAGGTGACCAGCTGGACCTTGTCCTCCATGCCCGCGGCCAGCTCGCCGGTCTTCACGTTCTTGTAGACGTGGACTTCCTGGGACCGGCAAGTCACCACGAACACGGGGATCTCACCGGGATCCAACATGCGGGCGTGGGAGACGTCCACGCCACGGATATCAAGGATACGGCCGTCGGACTTGAGGCCAGCGGTGGTGTACTGCTGCGCAAGAGCAGCGTAGACGTGGAACTGTGCGTCGGAGAGCCACAGCTTCAGGGTCTCAACATCGCCCTTGACATAGGCGTCAAGCACCTCAGGCAGGATGTATTCACGCATTTCCCGGAGGAACGACTCCATCTGGAAGTTGGGGTCCATTTCCCGGAACTTCTTGACGACCATAGCCGTCTCGTTCTCAGCGAAGAACCCGGCAACACGGTCCGAGATGCTGCGCGCAGTGCTGACCAGAGGATTCTCCGACTCGTTGTAGGACTCCTTCAATGTGAAGAGCTTCTGCATCATAGGGTTCGAGTCCTTGAAATCGCGCCACGACTCCTTCCAGGCAGAGTCCTTGTGAAGCGTGACGTTGGTTCCGGCGCTGTGAAGTGACCGTTAGTCGAAAGCTCGACCGAGCTGCAAAAAGATGACTCACGTAGGATCTTCAACCATCGGCTCCAGGCGGCGACCGGACTTGGCCTCCTGTTCTTCACGCAGCTTCCTCTGCTTGCGGCGCTCCTCCTTTTCAATCCAACCACCGTAGCGGGAGCTGCTGCCATCATCGATGGCGTTCTTCACGCCGCTGACGGTGGTCTTGTAAGCCTCGGTCTCTCTCACGGGTCTCGTGGCCTTCTCAATACCGCTGCCAGTAGCTTTGACACCCTTCCTCACACCCTTCACGACGGGCGTGTTCCATGTCCATGCGGCTCCCTTGCCGATAGCCTGACCGGTCGACTTCAACGCGGTGGTGGTCTTGGAGGTTGCGGCTCCAGAGGCCGCTTCATAGGCGGCACGGGCCCGCTTGATGTTCTCGTTCTCAGAGAACTCATGTGCGGATGAAGCGAGAGCCTTGGTCGACTCGTTCCACTCCTTGGAAGCCTTGAATTCCGTCTGAAGGGTGTCTCTGAACACTTGCCAGGGAGACTTGTCACCGTGGGGTGGCGGAGGCGCATCCTTCTTGTCCTCGTCCTTGGGCTTTTCTTCCTCACTCTTCTCTTCATTCTTCTGCTCGCTAGATTCCTCGGACTGCTTTCCCTTCTGTTGTTGCCAGCGGGGGGTGGCGACGTGGAAGGACCTGGTCAGCGGGAGAGCAGCGTACGGGGAGAGGAGTTGGGAGACGGGGCGGTTCGCGCGCTGGGTGTTCAAAGGGAGGGTGGCCCGAGCCGCGGGCGATGTCGCGTACGAGCAGGCCTGAATCAAAGAGCGCTGGGAGACGGCAGCGCTGGAGTGAGTCGTCTTCAGGCCCGGCACCTGAGACCGTAAGGTGGCCGCCCGCGCGGTGGCTGACATCCTGGTAGCCGAGATCATGCTATATACGACAAACCAGAAACCCGACGGACAAAAATTCGTGTGAGAGTCAACCCCAAGGGGAAGGCGGGAGACGCGTTTGGAGGGGTGGGTGGTGAGGAGGGAGAGATGGGGAAGACGGAGAGATGGAGAGGAAGAGAAGGAGGAGGAAGCGATGTCGGCAGTTACTCGAACCAGAAGGGAAAAAAGTTGAGATGCTGGAAGAATCCCGGCGGCGGCCACCGCCAAGCGCCCGTCGAAAATTCGGCCCTTTTCCGCCGCCTTGTCGTTCCCGGCCCAGACAGACAAGGAGACCAGCACCACCACGATATCCAACTCATCTCCACACCACAACAACTCCCCCGACTGTTGTCTTCCCTCCAGTCCTGTTCTGCGCCTCATCGCGTTGGCCGGTGCAACGGCCCCCCTCCCGTCCTTTCGTCCGCCTTTCCGCCTCCTCGCTTTTTCGCCGCGCTTCTCCGGTCGATTCACGGAATCGCAGCCATGAACTCAGCCTTCGTCACTGCTCTCACGAGGGCTCTGCCTTCCTTGGGCCGATCATGTCAGCTTCGTGCTCCAGCGGTTAGTCTGACGAGACCTTTCTCGTCAACTCCGACCACCCTCGAAAACCCCAAGGACTCAGCCCGCGAAATCGAAAGGCAGATTCTGAACACCGCCTCGGAACCACAACAGGCCCCGCGCCGGAACAGCTCACTCTCTGCCATTAACCACATACTCTCGGATCGCATGAAAAATGAGAAGCTGAGCGCCGACTTCATCAAGATGGCGGACAGTCTCGAAGCCGAGATGACCAAACAGCGCCACGCCGACCGGTCTCCTCCCCACCAACTCCACATCTACACCCATCGGCACAACCTCCACTTGACCCTGACACGGCCGAACGGCAACCCGCTGTTGTCGATGAGCTGCGGCCAGCTGGGCTTCCGCAAAGCCAAGCGTGGAGGCTACGATGCGGGATACCAGTTGAGTGCCCACGTTTTCGGTCAGATACAGGAGAAGGGACTCCTTCCGGACATCAAGCGCCTGGCGCTGAGTTTCCGTGGGTGGAGCTTGGCCCGTGAGGCGTTTATCAAGGTCTTGCTGGGCAATGAGGGAAGGAACATCCGGGGCCTGGTTTGTAGCGTGACTGATGCGACCCGGATAAAATTCGGTGGCCCGAGAAGCAGAAAGGTCCGTCGTCTCGGTTAAAGCGATATGTCTGGTTTGTTGGGAGTCGGGTTTTTTTTGCCGCTTGTTTGGGGGATCTGTGTTGCTAGAGGGGTTGGAGGAAGGGAAGCACCCGGCCGGACACGGTTCATGATGGATACTGGATACCCTCAGAGATGGCATCATCTGCCAAAGTCCAACGATGGGACCTCCTCGACCGTATGGTGAATACCAGCCTGTTGTTGCGCGGTGGACGCGGTGGACAGGGTGAACGGCTCTGCCTTCCCTGGCCGGGAAGGGTGTTCTCTATATTTGTATACTAGCCAGCCTGTTCCCGGCGTCTACGGGATATATTATTGTTTCTGTGAGTTTGGATGAGTGTCCTACTATATGGGTGGGCCCCTGGGGTTTCCAGGCGACCAGCTCGAGGCATCAGTCGCCCTCGTTTGTTCCGTAAAACCCCCGACATCCAGGTCGCCCCGATGGGGAATAGCGCGAGGAGCTCTCCGGGCTGCCACTCCGCCGAAGCTGTAGGCTGAGACCCTCAGATCAACAACGCCCCCAATTCCTTACTATCCCTCCTCCCTCCCTCCCTCGTGCTTCACCAGCGTGCACCGTCCCTTTTAATTCTGCGTCCCCCCTCTCCAAGTGGCCGATCCCCGTCTCTGCCCCCTACTCTTCCGGGTGATTCCCACTCTGCCCCGATCGGATTCCCCTGCGGGCGCATGCGCCGGAGCTGCTCCTCTGCGACAATCGAGCAGCGGAACCCCCCTCCCTTTCGAGACCGGTCGAGACGGCTTCATGAGTGCCAGTGATCCTGTGCTGGGCCGTCGTCCAAGACCGTTTGGATGCACCCTCTAAATCCCTTCCTCCGTGCCTTCTTCCGAAGCACTGTGCCGGGCCAGTGTATCCCCACCGAGAATCATGTATGTCCCGCCGAACTCTATCGGGCCCGGCCTGCATCGGCTTCTGACGTTCGCTCCTTAGGTCCTCCTAGTGCCCATCACCGAATCCCTGGTCGGGTCGCGCGACCGCGAGTCGTCGCTCTTCTACTCCGACCTCGTCGTCTCCGAAGAATTCCTGGGAAGTCATACGTTACGAATACCCGTATCCACCGGCGCTGGTGGGGGCAAGGATGACTCCAACATACGCGACAGTCGGGGCAAGGCCAAACAAGTGACCACGGTGAACGGGAGGACGGTGATCATCAAGGAGAATTCGGTGTATAGCAACAAAGGTGGGCAATATTTCGCAGGCACTCCCCTCGATTCGCATGCGCTGAACTCTACCTGTAGGCTTCAAGACCCTGAGTCAGGCACAGCTGCTGTCGGATGCCCTGTATTACAACAATAGCAACGACTCTCAGTCATGGCTGATTTACTACATCTCTCGGCCGTTGATAGGCACATTCGACCCGGGAAAGATCATAACCGCTGTCGTGCCAGGGATGATACCGAAGAGAATTGGTTTGAGCAACGGCGTCAAGTCCCCAGAGCCCGTATCGTCGCCACCCAAGAAGGAAATCAAGACTTTCGGAGAACTGCTGGCTCACTTCCCCATGATCGCACGGCAGATGCAGCCAGGCCTGGAGAGATTGTTTAAGGAGTTTGGGAAAGAACTGGGGAAACCCTTGCCGCCGCCCCCGTCACGGTCCCCTTTGATGTTTGATGAATATGAGCGGAAGCAAAGTGGCGAAGAGCGTCCCACCGATGAAGCCGCTTCCATACGAAGCTCGTCATCTCGCCATAGGGAAGGGCTTCCCTTCAATTCCGAGGAGTACTTTGAGGATGATGAGGATTTGATGCGCCGGAGCCTGGAAACAGCTGTCACGGCTGCGATCGACTTGTTCCGCTTAGTCGATAAACAGCAGTTATCCTTACTTGGTGCTACTACTGATCTCACGGGCCCATTGGTCGAACGGCTCATTGAACGATACGTCGCGGAACAGGTACACGGGTCCCTTCTCTTCCCTCGCCTTTGCAGCTTCCGTCAACCGGAGGACGCAGAGCTTGATGCTCGAACCCGCTACATGGAGAATATCGACATCTCGCAGGTGGGAATTGTTGTTGAAGGTGGGCGAGAGGGCAAGCGGGAACTGCTGCAGCGCATTGGTCGAGCAGTAGAAGAGTTCCGCAAAATGCTGGATGCAAAATGCCCCCATGACATGCTAGGTATTCTGCTTGAGACGGTGAAACTTCTGTCATATCCTGGAAACTACGACAGGGCGAACTCGCAAGAGCCAGAAAAGCAGTACGCTCCTGTAACAATCAACGCCGACGTCCTGGTCTCGTTGTTGCTCATCGTGGTCATTAGATCCCAAGTCAAGAACCTGCAAGCGAGACTGATGTATATGCAACACTTCATCTACATCGATGATGTCGACAGTGGTGAAATGGGTTATGCCCTGAGCACCCTAGAAGCGGTTCTGACTTATCTTGTGACTGATTCTGCAGGACTTCGAAGAGCCAGCATCCGCAACAGGCGCCTCTGGAATGCCACTAAAGGTGGGCGTGTTGTTGACATGAAGGCCATCTTGGAACCGAACGGTGATCAGGAATCGCTGGATGACGTTCCCTGCGAGGCGGAAGAAAGGACTGTTGCATTTCGAACCAACGATGATGCTCTCTGTCAGACCCCCCATGAACACCTATTTGTCCCGGAGGCGCAAGTTGCTGGCGAGACCGCGCATGATGAAGCCCCCTTCGAACCACCCCCTCTTTCCCATGTGTTTCCCTTCCAGACATGGGCGAACGCTTCCCCTCCAAAGGAAGTTCAACGCCCAATCAAGAAAGTGTCCATGGATGTCCGCAGCTTGTCCGAGTCCTCTGGCATATCCCTAGCTTCCAGGACCACGGGAATGGGCTCCATCGCAAGCGCGATCGAAGGTGACAGCTCGATTGAGACTTTGACTAAGACGCAAGACCCCGCTGGCGATTCGATTCCAATGATGGCCGTGGAGAGTCGCCAGCTGGAAGCCCTCAAGTACCTGCTGAGCCTGCAAGACTACTATCCGCTGGCGGATATTCTCGAAGATACCAACACTGATGGGACGACATTACTAAGTGCTGCTGTTCAGCTGGCTCACATTGAGATGGTTGACATGCTACTGAACTTCCTCTTCAGTTCCACCGACAAGCACACCATTGCCTCGTACCTGCAGAAGTCCGATATGCACGGCCGCACAGCGGCACACTATCTGTTCAGCACTCCGTCAGTGATGCATCGGCTCGAAGGGCTTTTGCCCTGGTGTCAACGTGACAAGCACGGACAAACGCCGCTGTTCGCCCTCTGCAGATCCTACGATCACCCGGACTACAAGTCCATGGTCAATGCAGCCCTGACGGCCGCCCAAGCCGCCCAAGGCAACGGTATGCCGCTGCGACTCGACAGCCATGTGGATTCCAAGGGCAATACGCTGCTGCACATCGTCAGCGACCCGGAGATTACCATTCGCATCCTCCAGGAATGCGACTGCGATCCCAACGCCACCAACGACAAGAAGTTCACGCCCCTCATGATGGCGAGCAAGTACGGCCGCATCGACCAGGTTCGGATCCTGTTCCTAGATCCTAGAGTAGACGTCCACCTAAAAGAGGCCCGCGGGTTGACGGCGGTCGAATTGGCGAAGGACGACGAGGTCCGGAACCGCATCGACGATCTCATCCTCCTCTCCGATCCCCCGTCCGCATACGACGAACAGTCTGGCCGTGTCACCACCGTGGTGCGCTCGTACTTCGTCGAGGATGCAACGGTGCGGTTTGTTCTCAAATCCGGCGCTCCCAACCCGGCCGTCAACTCCACCGAGTCTCGACCTGCCTCCGGCACCACCTTCACGGTCACCACATGCCGGCGCACTTTCTCAGACTTCGAGAACCTGGCCCGGTGCCTCTCCGTCGAGCACCCAGCCTCCTACATGCCCTCGCTCTCCGACTTCCGCAGCCCGTTCCAAGTCCACTCCAAGCCATCTCGCTCCGTGCTCCACGACATGCAGGAGAAGCTCGACCGGTTCCTTAAAGTCCTTCTCTCGCACCCCACCTTTGCCACCCACGAAATGCTCTGGGAGTTCTTCCTCGTCCCAGAGCTCCAGCCCGAGATGATGGCCGACCGCTCGCACCGCAAGGCCCAGGTCCTCAGCGAGTCGATCAACGACGACTACGAGCCCGTCACGCCCGAAAGCATGCGCGAGACAGAGCAATTCGTCTCGCACGCCCAGGACATGGTGCGTGCCGTGCACGTCAACACGCGCAGCCTCCTGCGGCGCGGCCACGCCTTCCAAAACGCGGCCTCCGACATCGCCGACGCCCTCGCCCTCTGCGCCTCCGTCATCTCCACCCTCAAGGAACCCACCAACGCCCTCCCCCAGTCCCACGTCGACGCCTTCACCCGCTACGCCTCGCACCTCTCCACCTCCGCTTCCGACTCCTCCCCGCTCCTCCAGTTCCTCACCGCCCTCACCTCCATCGACAACACCACCACCGCCATCCTCGCCTCCCTCGCCCGCCCCATCTCCCTCATCTCCACCCTCTCCTCGACATCCCGCAACCTCGCCCGCTCCCGCTCCTCCCTCGTCTCCTCCTCCCTGCCCCGCAAATTCAACATCAACTTCCCCGGCCTCGAAGAGTCCCGCCAGAAATCCGTCCGTGACCTCGAATCCAAGATCCAGGACTCAGAGGCCCACATCGCCCGTCTCTCTCGCGAGATCTCCTGGAACAAGGACGTCGTCGTCGGCGAGTTGGCTGGCTGGACCTCCTGGCGCGAGAAGGTCGGGCGCGATGCCATCCGCTCATTTGTCAGGGCTACCTTGGTAAGGGAGCGTGAACGCGGGAAGAGATTGGAACGCTGTTTGAGGGGGGTCAGGGACATGGCTTGAGATTGATCTATCTTACTGACTGACTGTTTGTCTGTCTGTCTGTGGGTGGGTGTATCTGGGTGCCTATCTGTGGGTGTGTCCGAGTTGTGTCTGTATCTGAGTGGCATTTTTGGCATGTGTGGCATGTGTATGGATGTTGTTGTGGATGTGCTCGTGGATGTGCTCGTGTTTGCTATAATAGACAAGTTTGTTCCAAGTGTAGATTTATTACCGGTTGCGGTTGCAGTTGCGGTTGTTGTTATTGTTGTTGTTGATGATTTTGATTGGCCCTGCTTTCTATCCGATTCGATTCCATTCTTCCTTTCGATGGCTGTCTTCTTGTCTTCTATCTATTTTTTTTCCCCCTCCTGATTGTCGCTCCTTCTGGTCTTGATGACTGCCTAGTATTAATATAATCTCGATGATGTGATGATGAGACCCTCGCGATGGATGGTATCATGGTAGCTTTGACTGGGTGGGCTTTGTTTGGTTTTTATTGGTGGTAGGGTGCATCGCTATATCTACACGATACCAGTGGTAGTAGACTACATGGCACAAGAGTGGGTACAATTTGCTAATGAATGAATGGTTTCTTACTTGTCTATGAACCCCGCCAGTTCAGCGCCATGTGGCCGCTTAGAGCAGACCAAAATCAAGAGAAAGCTATGAAAAGTGTAAGCTACTGATGCAAACGACCACACCCCTCTGGGCGTCTTGAGTATGACCAAAAACAAATAAAGAAACAAGCCGTGTTTATGCACAACACCACAGCATGCTGTACCATGAAAACAAAGCACTTTTGGAAGCCGGATAGAGGAAGGGACGTAGTAGTCAGCGCGTCAATGATAGCCTCCTTCGTAAGCCGAAATCTAAGTGTCTCGAGTGACCAGTTCAAAGCCTTCTGGATGGAGCTCTATATCAAAACGAGAAAAGAGGCGACATGGTTCTTTGAATAGCCGGGAGTCTGAAGAGACTGTTTGCTCCAAAAGACTCGCGCTTCGAGTCACGTTTGGACTCACGCTTTTTGCTTACTGGGGATTCGACAACAGCCTCGCTTTCAAGACTCAAAGGTGTCCGCTCAAGAATCTCCGGAGCCTCTGAACGGTGTATGATTGGTCTGACCGAAAAAGATGGCACTGGCTTCAATGGCGAGGGTACGACGACGGGCGACTTCGGGATCGAGCCATGACGTTCATGACGCAGCGCCTTGAAAGTGCTAGCAGGACGCTCTGGGATCGTGTTCAGCTGGGTAACAGAGCCCGTTTCTCCCGCCGCAGGACCAGGTGTATCCAATGCAAGCGTAGAAACGCTCTTGCTCGCCCGATATACCCGTGTCACAGAAGGACCCTCCTGCTCGACGACGTATGTCGAAGATCGCGAGCGGCTTCTGCTGAACATCAAGGTCTCTCGACTCATCTGCTGCTCACTCGTGGGCTTTTCTTTCTGGGCTTCCTCCATCATGGGGAGAGCCGAGTATCGGGAAGCTGCATACTCTCGCTTCTCGCGTTTGTGTCGCTCCCAGCTCCGCTTCATCTTCCGGATGGACAAGACCCCAAGAAAGATAAGCGCCATGATTGTAATAGCAGTGAATATACTGGCTGCGGCAATGGAACTTTTCTGATAGCTCCAATGCGGGATTAGGTTTCTTGTTGTGCTCACGGGTTGGGAGAGGCCCACCCGAGTGCTCCCAGCTCGTGCTCCATCCTCTCTCGCTGTAGCCCTTAATTTTGAGGGGCTCGCTGGAGGTGCAATCCGGGAGAGCTCTGCGATATCAGGCTCGTAAAGCCGCTCGTATATCTCATGGTTCCATTCCTGGCCGTTGCCGTTCTTCAGCTGCTTGTTCAGAAACGTAGTATCTCGCGGGTGGTAGTTGCTGCCCAAGGTCCTTGGCCATGGAGATCCCTGAGGACTAGGGGCTGTAGCGTGGTACACTGTGGGATCCAAGGAGGCCGAAGGGATCGGGAGGATGAAAGGAGCCATAACGACGGCTTGGCCCTTTAGGAGCACCGCCAGAAACAAAGGCCTGCAGCTCCTAAGAATGGGTGGTGGTATTCATGTAAAGAATGCAGATGCAGTGCGAGTGGATGGTGACGTCTCGGTACTGCTATCGAATGCTCGTCGGAGCAGAATATCACAATAAGTGCCATGCACCGGCATGCAGTGCGTGGGGATGGAGGAGAGAAAGGAGAGGGTTGTGGCATGGGAATGGCCTGGCTCATGTTGGCGGAAAGCCGCTGTGGTTGCCTCGAGAAGCCCGCCTGCGTCGCACCTTCCTAGTCGCGACCCTGCAGCGTCGTCCTTAGTAGGTAGGCAGACCGGCTTTCACTGGCCGCCTTCGCCTACTTAGAGAGGGCCCACCACCTTCTTCCTGTTTCTCTCCATGGGTTCGTCAGAGGTAATAGAAAAGCAAGACTTCAGTCTGGCTCTCCGTAGTGTTGTGGACGGAGACAACATAGACTGACAGGCCCCTCTGGAACCCCCGCATGGAACGTCGGCGCCCCACTTCCGCTATCTACCAAGCGCCCCCAGCACCCTGACCGCCAACAGAAACAGACTAGTTCGCCGCCTTACTACCCGAGGCAGAAGGCTAGGCTATAATAGGAGCGTGCTAGTCAGGTGATTAAATTAGTGAGTAATTTTCCTGTCAGCGATTGTATGGCCGCTCGTGCGTGTGGCCATGTAAGTAGCCAACACAGGCAATACCTCGCAGGCAAATATCTCCACGGGCAACGCGGGCAACGCGGGCAACGCGGGCAACATAGACAACACAGGCAACGCAGATAATACAGGCAACGCAGGCAACTCAGGTGAGGAATTTATCAGTAAAAGATTTCTCATTATCAATTAAAGTAACCTGACCGGTCGTTACAGTAATCAAAAATCAAATTTCGAAGTGATGAAAATACGCGTATTTAAAGGTATTTCTGTTTTACTAGTAGAACAACACTACAGGGACTATACTACTGTGTACAGGCAACACTAGGCAACACTAGGCAACACTAGGCAACACTGCAGGCAACACTGAGGGCGATAGGGTCTGACCTGCCAAGTCTGCGCTAATTATATTGCCGGCATTGTCCTAGTCCGGCAGGCGGTGGGATGCTGCCCGATTGAGAATATGAGGGCCCACAGCAAAAAATAGGGTTAGGACTAAGCTTTCGTTGGCTGACTCATAAGAATCCTTGGTTCAGAATTGTCGGACCGAAATACCACTAAACCAAAAGAACATCTATCTATACATGGATCTGGATAGGGTAAGGCCAGGTAAGGTCGTATGGTTATGGTATGATAGAGTCCCCTGTTCGTGTGATAAGAATCCTCCCATAGTATAAAAGCTCGCTTGGTCTCGCAATGTGCCTCTTCCTGTCTGCTCCCTCAGCAGTTGGATAGACACTGTTTGCGTACGCCACTCACTTGACAAGGATGTTTTCCATGGACGAGGCTTTCGACCCCCCAGTCCCCATTCTATCTTCAGTCGAGCGGCAGAACCTTTCAGAGAAAGAGCCCATAGCTGCGGCGGGAAGCAAGAATGAAAAGTTCGTGGAACAGCCGTTGGGAAATTCCATCGGAGACCGCAATCCCGATGTCATCCTCGTGGACTATGAGGAGAACGACCCGGAAAACCCTTTGAATTGGTCACCAATGCAAAAATGGCTGATTGTGTTCGCTATCTCGTGGATGGGTTTCGTCAGGTGAGCTTTTTTTTTTTTAATATGTTCTCTCGCCAGTCTCTGTATGTATATCTGCCGTCGTCGACTGACCGATTAGTGTCTTTTCGACAATGACAATCACGCCCACGGCGCCGCAGATCCTGCAAGAGTTCCATTCGCACAGTACGCTCGACCAGACCTTGCTCGTCACGATCTGGGAGCTTGGAGAAGGCATTGGCCCGTTTTTCATTGCGCCGCTGTCCGAAAGATTCGGCCGGCTTCCCGTCTTCCACATTGGAAACCTCCTCGCGCTCTGTTGCCTGGTCGCCTGCGCGCTGAGCGTGAACATTCCCATGCTGATTGCGTTTCGGTTCTTAACGGGCTGCTTCCTGTCGATTCTCACCCTCGGGCCCGCCATCATCGGGGATTTGTTTGAAATGGAACAAACCGGCCTGACCATGGCATTGGTCATGGGCACTCCGATGATAGCAGATTTCATCTCCCCTGTCGCGGGAGCGTATATAGCGCAGGACCTGGGCTGGCGATGGTCGATTTGGTTAGCGGTCATCGTGCTCGGATTCTTCAGCGTGTTCTTGCTGGCCGTGCTCCGGGAGACATACGCAGTCGTGATTCTCATGCGGAAGGCGGAGCGGTTGCAGAAGGAAAGCGCGGACGACGACAAGACGTATCGTTCCAAACATCAGGCCCGTGTCGATACATCCACCCTATTCGAAAGCGTTATAAAGCCGATGCAGACCCTGGTCCAGTCTCCCATCCTCATCCTGACGACGAGCTACATGGCCGTACAATACGCCTTGGTTTCATTAATCTTTGCCACACTCACGGAAACCATGGAGTCGACATATCCCGCCGTCTTTACTCGTGGCTCTATTGGTTTGACGTTTCTAAGTCTCGCCATCGGCAACACCATCGCTTTGATCTTCTACAGTCTCACTTCCGACCGCTACGTCATCCATCAGCGGGAAAAAAGGGGCGACGCATTCAAGCCGGAGTCTCGGCTGGTACATCTGCTCATTGCCGCAATCATGCTTCCTCCAGGCTTTCTCATCTACGGATGGGCATTGGCGTTTCGTATTCATTATATCGTGCCGCTCATCGGAACATGTGTTGCAGGGTTCAGCATGACGCTTTCCACCCTACCGATCGAAACATACGTGGTGGATGTTTATAAGATCCATGGCGCATCTGCTATAGCTGTTGGTGTGATCTTCCGAGCGAGTGCTGGGGCTTTTCTGCCATTGATCGGCCCTCCTTTATATCGAAGCATTGGGTTGGGCTGGGGTAACACTGTTCTAGCATTGATCGCAGCCATCTTTATCCCCCCGTTGGGCTTGCTGGTGATATACGGAGACTGGATTCGCAGTAAAGAGCGATTTGGATCGTCTGTGCGATAGATTGAATGTCGGCTGCAGCAAACGTTAACGTACTTGATCAGCATGCGATACAGAATCTCTGTCTTATGACCTATAGGACTTTTTGGCTCGAGGCTTGGAAAGCTGGGTTGAACAGAGAACTGTCAGTAAGTGAGGAGCCTAGAGGGAATAATAATAGTGGTATCGACATACATAGTAACCAAGGCATTGACGAAATTGTGGAAAATAAGAGTTTCTGTAAGAAATGTGTCAGGAGAAAGCTGATGCTGTACGGACTAGTATGAAATAGCGAAGTAACCTCTGATGGGATGAGATGATTGGTTGACTTGAAGAAAGAACGAGTCTCGTGGGAATGTTAGAATACCCCCGGATGCCAATCTTCTTCTAGCGGTGAGTTACCGCTTCATGGTTTGATAACATGTAAAAAACGGTTTTTGGTGGCTTTGTCCCTTCCTACCCACCTAGGTATAGTAGTCCGCTGTATCTAGGGCTTGCTCCCACTTCCCTGCTAAGTGAGGCTACGCGGTTTGGAGAGGCCCGTGCGGATAATAAACTGGGAGAGCCGTGATTTATCTACCCCATGTCTTTAATATTACTTTCCTACTCTGGAAAGAGTTGATAGGCTATTCCTGCGAGCCTGAGGATGATAGGCTGGGTATCATGGAATGGCTATGTTCAAGCCACCTATAAATTTAACTAAGATCTTACTCGTGCGATAACGACACTCTGTATTTAACCAGGATACTCTTCCTGCGATGACAGCAGGCTGAGGTTTGTGTGTTTGTGTAAAATGTGCTAGTGCTTATCTTAAGATCAAGAAATATTAATTAATGTTGATGGAAAAATTCAGGGATTAGGTACTACCGCTTATATCACTGGAATCGCGTCTCGTTTCCTGGGTAATATATCTAAGCATGAACGCTGTTGTTGGAGGAATAATGCCGGAGCCGTGGGCGAGCAATACTACAGCAGCCATGACCACTGCTGACTCTGATGACTCGGTCAGAGCGAAGATCCAGTACCTTGCCAGGGACAGCCAGCACCAGCTGGTGAAACCATATTATTTGTACCTTGACTACGACTACGGCCTTGCTCCAACAAACACAGCGGCCGATGATCATTTTGTCCAGATCCGTAATGCTCGGAGTCTGGGTATTCCGTCAAGAGAAATGTTCTTCGAGTGGGGGTTTGCCCAGCTGCGTCTTGATTGTCCTTTGACCCCCGAGGAGTATTGGTATAACAAGAAAGTGGAAGAGATCCTATACCCCAAGTACAAGTCGATTGCCCGAATTTTGTTCCCAAATGCTGCGCGAGTTGAAGTCCTGGAGCACGCAGTAAGCAAAAACCCCGAAGACGGAAGGCTTCAAAGGGCTGATTGACCGGAGCCAGGTTCGCAAACGTCACCCTCGTTGGATGTCTGCGGATATAGAACGACACCATCTCAAAACGAACCAACCGAGTGATTATGTGCACATTGGTACGTGCTCTTAACTGTACATATAGCAATTTTGAACTTGGTGCGCTGATCGTTTAAACCCAATGAGAACAGGCAATGTCTAATCCAATACAGGACCGGGTTTATGGTCACTATGATAGGTAACAACGAGCACAGGAGGCGTAGACATATACAGATCATGAGACTTTCCTGGATGAAAGATTTACAGGAAACGTGGAACAGGAGGATATCTTCTCGTCGTCGCCTCTTGCGGGCTGTATCAAGCTGAAATTTCGTCGGCTCACATAGCCTGACGTCTATGGAATATGGAGGACCGGTTTAGTTATATAAGGAGATTTATTTACTACCGTCATAATAGAGGGAGGCGATACAGCCATACCCGCCTGGCAAGATATTGGGATAAGCGAGCTATTAAAATACAGGATTCGTCTTTCGCCCCAGACTATGCTGTCCCAACCCCTAAGAAAATAATCAAGGCGCTGAACCCACCCTCTCTCCAGCCCCGGGGGCAATCGTCCCCGGGCTCCCCATCTCCAACCAGTCGCAACAATGGGTGCATTCCGTGGTCCAGCCAGCTACTGTACCAGTCGAGGAACTCCGGGATCGAGTCAAAGCGTGGCTTGCGCCCATACAGCGTTGTCGGGTTTTCGAGATCCGCGTGGACCATCACCACCCGCCAACCCCAGTCTTTATGTCGGGGTTCTTCGCTGTTTTTGCTGTTTTCGTCATCGTCATTTCCCTCCACGTACCGATGACAGTAGAGATACATGCTATACCACACATCATGTTCGTGTCGGACGCGTAACCCCGTCCAAAATCCCTCTGTCATCTCCAAGTCTACGTCCATTCTTCTTCTTCTTCTTCTTCTTCTTCTTCTTCTTCTTCTTCTTCTTCTTCTTCTTCTTCTTCTTCTTCTTCTTCTTCTTCTTCTTCTTCTTCTTCTTGAGACAGTTATAGATAGAACTAGTACATCCCAAAAGACCGTGCTATACCACGTCCCACGTGACCGCAGATCCCCCGCGACCAGGCTAACCCGAACAAGCCAAGCTCAGCAGCTGCGCCCCGGCCATGATGTCATCACCACGTTCTCCGTCCCGCCGGGCTCCATATAAATAGTATGACTCCGATCATCCTCCATCCTCCATCTATCTATCTATCTACCCCATCGCTCCCCTCTGATTTGAAAACCGAGCAATAATTCATCAATACCTCTCATCAAACACCGAAATTTCCTCATTCATCCCTGTCGGTACATCCACAAGGAGAACAGAATAGCAAACAGCAACATGCCCCTCGTCGTCCCCGGAATCAACAACACCGAAGGTTCAAGCCAGGATGAATGGCTGAATAAGTTGGCTGGGAAGACCATCTCCGAGCAGGGAGGAGGTGATGCTACTGTATGTTATGCTATGCTTTTTTTAACCCTTTCTTTTACCAACTCTCTCTTTTAACCTCTTCCCCCCCCCCCCCGCCCCGCCCCCCGGGCCTTACTTTCCATATCTTGATGACTTTTTTCTTTCCTCGTCATCGCATCGCATCGCATCGCATCACTGAGTGGAGGGATGGATGGATGGATGGATGGATGGATGGACATGCTGTTGTTAACTAAAACAAAACTAACTATATTGAATTATCTGCAGTCCTTCGCGAAACAGGACCTTCCCAAGTCCCACCGCATCGTCAGGCCCGGACAACCGGTCACGAGGGATTGGAATCCGGAGAGGTTGGTTTCTTCTTTCTTTCTTTCTTTCTTTCTTTCTTTCTTAACCTCATCTTGTTAAAAAAGTCTTTGCTCGGCTTTTTCAAATCCGTACTTGTTGGGATATGTATGGATGATATGAATGGGATGATCGATGCTGGATAATTGCTGATGCTAACGATTGTGCAATCAGGTTGAATGTCCATGTCAGTGAGGAGGGAACGGTTCAGCATGTTAGTTTTGGTTAGATGGTTGGGGGTTACATGCATACATGCATACATACATATGGTGGTTATGATGATGTCCTGGGCTGAGATGAGATATATGTCTTGGTCCTATTATGGGATGATATGTTCTGCTATGGAATGATATGGGATGTCAGGGCTGCGATACTGGATGGGGATGGATGATATGTTGCGATGTGATAATATGCTGTGTATGATTGACGAGAGAGAGGCTTGTATTTCCAGAATGGACGAATGAACGAATAATGTTACTGAATAACTTACGTACTCTCTTTCATCCCTGAAACTCAATAGCATACCAAGCTAGTTTATCCCCTGCTCTTGTCCAAGTCTTGCTAGATGGAGGAAGTGAGTAAGCAACACCAGCAGATCTATCACTGTCTAACAGCAGATAACTAACCCAAAGAACTCTAACTACTCCAGCTTCCACCGCAGCAAAGTCAACGAGTGCTTCGGGAAGAGATACGCCCCCTTCGCTTCCCAAGTCGACTCCGTCACGCCGACCTCCTGCTTCCCATTCATATTGCACGCCTTGACACTGTCGCCGGAGACTGTAAACACCTGGACCGCCCCCACCGACCCCTCAATAGTACTCTGAATCCCCCTCTCCTCATGGATATTCACCACCGCGACATTGACATACCCGTCTTCGCCTAGCGTGGCACTAACATCCAACCAGGGCGTGTCCTTCACCCCACGCACCCACTTCGGTGAGGTCTCGCCTTCGTACGCCGCGCAGGACAGATGCACGCCGATCGTCCATCCCCGCATGTACTTCGAGAACAGATACAGGGGCCACCAGGTCGTCTGCTTGGTGATGCCGTCTTTGGTGGTCATGAGGGGGGAGATGACGTTGACGGTCTGCGCGATGCAGGCCATGCCGAGGTCTTTGCTTTTGCGGACAAACACGTTGAGGTACACTGCTACGGCGAGGGCGTCGGATAGGGTGTACGATTCTTCGGCGCCCTTGCTGCCTTCGGCACGGATGGGGTCCCAGACGTTCCATTCGTCGAAGCAGATCGTGGGCCGGAGTTGGTCGGGAGGGACTCCGTTTTCGATCCGTGCGAGGTCAATCAGCGAGGATGTTATCTCGATGGCGCGTTCGGCGGCGAGAGGGGCGGTCACGTTGGGCACGTGGGAGGACGAAGAGGTGTACATGTGGATACTGTGCATGTCGATCAGGGGGACAGCGCTGGTGGAGAGGGCTGAGTGGGCGGGGAGCAGGCATTGCTTGAGGGTATAATAGTCCCATGAAGCTGTGCCGTCCTGTCCACAGAGGACTAGCACTAGACTGGGATCAAGGAGCTTCAAGGCTGGGTCAGGTTAGCGTAGGCCATCGAATTGAAAGAGCGGCGACAGCGCACCCTTAGCCCATTGGAAGGCTTTGTGAGCATATGCTTCCTTGGTCATCTGCTCCACCTGCCATGGACCCCATGTTTCATTACCAAGGGCCCAGTATTTGACCTGAGGATCTATGTGAGCACAACGAAGATGTAAGTCCGGGGTCTCATACATTGTAAGGCTCTTCACGGCCGTTCTTCCGTCGAAGGTTGGCGTAGTAAGTGTCTCTGGTGCCATTGCAGTACTCAACCCATGCCAGCGCTATGATAGATCTATTAGCCTCGTGAAAGAACCGGATCATAGACCCAGGTAAGAGTTACCTTCGTCCAGAGTGCCTTATTATAATGTCAGCAGTGTACTCCAGAAGGAATCAATCACATTACCCGTTCCAAAGTTCAAGCAAAAGTAAGGCTCAGTCCCGAGGACCTCGCACCACTTCAAGAATTCATCAGTTCCGAACTGGTTCGTCTCTGTTCCCAGCCACGCAAGCTCAGGTCTGTAGAAGTCAAGAGAATAAGCACCAGACAGCACAACGAAAGCCTCAAGCGGGGTGGCAAGAACATCCACAAGTAACGCCCCCAAACAAGACACAAGTACAAAAAAGGACCACCACTAGGAGGGCACGACATACCTCGCAGGCCGTTGCTCCTTCGGGCCAACACCATCAATCCAATGATACGTGGCCATAAAATTGCCGCCGGGATAGCGGACAACAGGGATATTGAGCTCCTTCAGAGCTTCAAGCACATCCTTTCGAAAGCCATTCTCATCCGACAATGGGTTTCCCGGATCGTAGATGCCCCCGTAGATGCACCGACCCATGTGTCTGCCCACATGTCAGCCTACCACCGCCTCCTCCACACGGAGAACCAGCCACGGTCACTGAGCTTAGCTTACTCTGTGAACCCCGCATAGATATTCGGGTTGATCTTGGAAAGGCGTCTGGCCGGGTGGATGGAAATACTCGGCGCAGCCGGCTCGCTAAGTTTGGTGAATGTTGTCATGGCGGCGATTCACCTTCAACCCTAGACTTTCTGGAGCAGGAAAAGGAAACAGCCCTAGTACTGATTGGTATGGCACGAGGATCAAGATGGGCAGGCTTCGCCAGAGAGTAAGTAAGTATCTGTCAAAGCATCGGTACGACGGCAGAGCCGACAACAAATATTAATGTGCTGGGGCTATTAGACCCTCGGTATGGATTGGGGAAATCCCCTGCGGGGGGATTCCAGACCCCAAGTCATCCCCGTATTCTGTGGGCAAGTGGTGATCCCTCCGGCTGGGGGAGGGGGAGGATATGCAAGATGCCTGGCGCCGTTGGGTTGGGGATGAAGCCGAGGCAACGCCACAGCAATATTCCATCAATCAGCACGCCCGCTTTGACGGGTATCTCTGCTTGATCCAGACAGCATGCTGACAGCTAGCTGTCTTCCCGCGCGGCCAAGAGTCCTTGGCTTGACTAGGGTCTGGCGATAGGTCACGCATGGCATGTTGCTTCGTGCTCGAGTGGCTTCGGTTGTGCTGAATCCTGGGGGGGGCACTTTTTGAAGTATGATCATCGGCTGTCATGTCGCGCATTGCCTCCCTCGCCTAATTTCCAATTAACCGAGACCCTCAAACTGAACCCGATGAACGATGAGGTTAAAATGGCCCAGGCTGACTATACGCCTGGGTTGGGCGGCTCGCTTCCCCGGATGTTCATAAAGGGCCGGGGTCCTGTACCCCAGGATCGATCTCCGCATTCTCCATAGTCCCCAGTGATCTAATTCATTGGAGCTGTGTCGATCCTCTTACTCAACATGCGTCTCTCTCCAGCATGGTACCAGGTATGCGCTGATTATTGAAAACACATCCGGGAATGGTGTTAACCTTTTCCCAAGTTCCTGGTGGGCGTCTTCGCCTCGCTTGGTTCCTTCCTCTATGGATGTAAGTCTCATTGACGGCTTATCTGTTTGTTCCTCGCTAACGGTTATTTCCATAGACGACCTAGGTGTCGTCGCTGAAGTGATTGCAAGTGGATCATTCATATCCAAGTTCGAGGCAGACACCACCCAACAGTAAGCCTACACACACAAGAAGGTGATGCAGGTTTAAACAATGACATTGTCTGACATCGACTAGAGGACTGGTGGTGTCCATGTTCACAGCGGGTGCTTTCTGCGGTGCAGCATTCGCTGGACCCAGTGGTGACGCTCTCGGGCGAAGATGGACCATCACTGTCGGTTGCATTGTCTTCTGTCTGGGAGGAGGTCTCCAGACAGGGGCACAGACGATCTCCTACCTGTATGGCGGACGATTCATCGCCGGTCTGGGGTAAGTTCCACTCGCTCCAAGACGGAAGTCTGTCCTGACATCTACAGCGTTGGTTTCCTCACCATGATCATCCCTCTCTACCAGGCAGAGATCTGCCATCCCGACATTCGAGGTCGAGTCACAGCCTTGCAACAGTTCATGCTGGGCGTTGGGTCACTGTGTGCAGCATGGATCTCATACGGCACATACATCGGATTCTCTAATACCAACGATGCCCAGTGGCAGTTGCCCCTTGGTCTGCAAATTGCACCCGCCGTGATTCTAGGCCTTTTGATCATGTTCTTCCCAGAGGTAAGTAGAGGGATATAGTTGACTTCCTTTTACCCAGACTGACCTGCAACAGTCCCCCCGCTGGCTCATTGACCACGGTCATCACGAGAAGGGTCTGAAGACTCTAGCACAGCTCCACGCGCACGGAAACGAGGATGATCCCTGGGTTCGGGCCGAATACAACCAGATCCTGGAGAGCATCACATTCGAGCACGAGCACGAAGCCAAGTCCTATAAAGAACTCTTCACATCCCGCTCATCGTTCCGCCGTCTATTTCTCTGCTGTGCGGTGCAAGCTGCAGGACAAATGACCGGCGTTTCTGCCATCCAGTGAGTTATCCTCCCCCCCCAAAAAAAAATAAAAATAAAAGAAGAGACAGAAGCTGACGAGCAACTCACAGATACTACTCCGTGACAATCTACGAGCAAATTGGCATCACCGGGGAAGCGACCCTGCGGTACCAAGCCATCAACTCGATCATCGCCCTGATAGCCCAATTCTTCTGCATCATGCTGATCGACCGCTTCGGCAGACGCTGGAGCCTGATCTACGGCAACCTGGGCAACATGGTGACCTTCATTGTGGCGTGCGTGCTGCTAGCAAAATACCCGGTGGACGCGAACAACACAGGGGCGCACTGGGGCTTCATCATCATGACCTGGCTTTACAACTTCTCGTTCTCGTGCACGTGCGGGCCCCTGACGTGGATCATCCCGGCGGAGGTGTTCGACACGCGCACGCGGTCCAAGGGCGTGTCGCTGGCCACCATGACCTCGTATGCGTTCAACACGATGATCGGGCAGGTGACGCCTATCGCGATGGCGAATATCCATTATCGCTATTATTATCTCTTTATTATTTGTAACTTCACCAATGCCGTGTTCTTCTGGCTGCTGCTGCCGGAGACGAAGAAGCTGCCGCTTGAGGAGATGAATTATCTGTTTTCGAACTCGCCGTGGCTGGTGCCCGGGTCGAGCAAGGAGGATTATGTCCCTCATGATCTGCAGCGCAGGGTGGAGGAGCAGGAGGAGAAGCAGCAGGTGTTTGCTACTCATCGCGAGTCGGTCGTGGGTTAGTTGCGAGCAGGGATGAGGTGAGGTGGACCTTTTAGCCAGCTGGATGATGCTATCACTGTCTGTCAGCCAGTCAGCCGGTCAGCCAGTCAGTCTCGAGGACATTGCGTTAGCTTGAATTCGATTGTGTTGCCGTCAATAGAGTGAGTGGGTGGGGCGAGAAGACTAGAGTAGAGAAGCAGGTGAAAGAGAGGAAGAAGTTTGGCGGGAGACCGTAAGTAGGAGAAAACCTCAACAAGAGGACAGAGCCAAGTTACGCGTCAATCACTTACACTCCACCAAAACAACCACACTCGATAAACACACCCACGCGGGCCATAATAAGGATATAATAAGATCACCCCACGATCGAATCACACACATCGCCAACGAAAATAATCGATATAGTACAAGCACCGCACGGCAAAGCCAGGCATGATGATGTCCCTGACTCCCTATTCCTCCCAACCCCCCCAGTCATCCCAGACCATGTGGAAATGGTAAACAGTAAAACAGAAAGTGAGCGGTTCCCACTCAACGCCAGGTCAACGCCAAACACAGACAAGCAAGCAAAAATTACCCCGCCGTGGGCCTACGTTTCCATGGCATCGCCGGCCTCGGATTCGTTGTCCACGACTCCCAGGAGCTTGGCGTACGGTACCGTCACTCGTTGGAGATCACGATGTTTTCCTGGTTTGAGTGTTAGTCGGAAGAAAGAGATGGGGGGGGGGAAACAAGAAGGGGGCTGCATACCAAGTGCCAGGATGACTTCCTTCAATAGCACCTCCCGTGGCCAGCCACAGAGAGTCTCCGAGCTTTCTCGCCAATTCCGGTCGTCCTGCTCGTTGTCCTGTAGGCGGCGGACAACGCCTGTGTCGTCCTCCTCGAATAGCCCGCCGATCAATCCCTTCAGCAGCTCCTCTACCTTCATTTTCAAGCCTTCCGCGCCGAGTCTCTTCGCATACATGGAGAGATACAGGCGGAACTCTTCCTTGGCCCCGAGGGACAGCGCGGCAGCAAGTCGGTTCTCCAGGTGGGCAATGGAGACACTGGACTCGAAGCCTTCGTAGCCCTCCCGAGACAGAAGGACCTTGATCAGTCGTTGCAAGAAGTAAGCCCGTCCACGCAGCAGCATCTCGTTGGTCGTGTTGCGCTCGAGGAACGGTACAATGCCGGCCGACACAGCTGCCTTGGCATCAGGATCGTGCTGTGCATCGGTCGACTGGAGATTGCCGACAGGTGTGTCTGTGGTGTTCCAATATTGACTACCAACGGCCCACCACGCCTCCGAGACCCGCTGCCAAGTGTACATGGACGGGGAGTAGGAATAGCCCTCGCCATTCGACAAGGCGACCACCACCCGGCCTTCGGAGTTGATCCGGGCGTTGGTGATGGCGGGGGCAGCGGTGGGATGGGCGCCCAGCGTGTGGATTGCTGCGTCTAGCACGGGTTGGAGCGAGATGGGGGGGTGAGGAGAGGAAAGATGCTTGACGTTCCAAACGTAGCACATGCCCACGGCCGAGATGCAGAGAATCCACGGGCCGTTGCACTCGAGGATCACTGGCTGCGCCTCGAGGACAAGGGCACTGACCAGCCGACGGCCGGCTGGCGTCCAGATATACACAGATCCGTCTTCACAGCCTGCAGCCCACATGCTGTGATTCCCGGTCACCAGAAGGACACTCCGGGGAAGGAAATCCTGCCATAACGGATGTTCGCCACGGAAGAGGGTGAGCCGGACGGGCTCTCGGTCGACAGCCCGTCCCGTCAGGCTGGCCGAGGACGGGTTGCGCGCTTCAAAGACAACGTCCACGCGCGATTTGTTGGGTTCGCCCGACGCACTGGGCGGTTCCGTTGGCTTCCCCGCTGTATCAATAGCACGCAGAATCAGACTGCGGGTCTTCGGGACTGCCAACCGAAGCTGGCTGACAGCCATACAGGGGTTCATGACGGCGGGTCGGATGAACTCGGGGGTTTGTTGCTGACCCGTGGGGGCAGGTTGGGGCTGCGCAGGGAGAAGACCATCCGGGGTGTTCGCAAGAATAGGGGTGGCGCCTTCTCGGCTGGCCACAGCCACACGTTTCTCAATATGCCCATCATCATCACCCTCCAGTTGCGCAAGCTTTCGTTTGTTGCCGAAGAGCAACGCGGCAAGCCCTCCCTTAGGCAGGCCGTCAAATGGCTTTGAGAGGTCCACAATCGACAACGGCGTATCAGCCTTGACCTGGCTGCTCACCGAGGCCATAAGGCGGGCTTGAGGGAGAGAGGACTCGGCAGCCCCGGCACCAGACACCAGGAGAGGAGCAATTCGCTTTTTTCCATCCTTGGTGTACGTGGGACGCTGCTTCAGACGTTCCAGCTTGGCCTGATATGGATCGGGCTTTTCTGGTTCTGGCGCGGCTGGCGTTCCCACGCTCCCATTCGGCTGAGCCTTCTGTGTATCTGGGGTGGGAGACGGAGCGCGGGCGGGCGTCACACCGTTCGATGTCCCTGAGCCGGCTTTGCCATTGACCGCGCTATCTGCTGCCGCATGATCATCGCCCATCAAAGCCCCCATGCGACCCTCAACGCCTTTGATCTCACCAGCCTTACTCTTCTCTTCCAAAAGCAGTCCATCTGTAGTCTCTGTAATTCCCGCGCCTCGACGGTTGGTACCAAACTTGGTAAGTGACTTCTCGTTCTCCTCCATCGCCATCGTAAAGCCCAGATCCCCGTCCTCGAATCGGACCGCGAGAATCGTCCCATCCAGCGCAGTCGCATAGAGGCATTTCCCGTCCGGGCTCCATGCCAGATCAGAGATCGACTTGGCGGCCAACTCTTGCGCAACCACAATGGGTCTAGGGTTGCTGGTAATCCAGATGCTCAGCGATTTATCGCCGCCCGCACAGGCGATGACAGTAACGGCATTATTCACCGTATGTCCCTGGCTATCGACGGCCGTTCTGACGACCGGCTGAGGCGTGTACAGGCGCGGGGAGAAGGCGCAAACCTCGACGGGCGCTTCATGTCCAATGAGGTTGATGTCCCCATCCCATGATCCCCGGTTGATGATCGCCACCGAGCTGACAGGACCGTTTACTGCATTGGCAGCCGCGATATGCATACCGTCCGGGGACCAGGAGCATCGACGGAAGTAGGCGGTTAGGGGCGAGTTCGAAAACGGCGCGGAAATGGTCTGTTCGAGGATGAAGTTGTTCATTTGGTCATGGGCGGTGGAATTCGCGGCCGGAGAAGTAAATCGGAAGATGCGAACAGTACGATCATCGCTGGCCGTGGCAAAGTACTTGTTCGCAGGGTCGAATGTGATCCCTTTGACGTGACTCTGGTGAATTGAAAGGGTCTTGAGCTTTTCGAACGTATGCCCCGACCACACCACGACCTTGGAGTCCAACCCGACAGAAACCAGAATCGACGAATCGTATGACCACCCCAGATCCTGAACATCGTTGTCGTGTCCGATCAATCGCCGAATCGTGCGCCAGTTCTCCACGGGAGGTGCCTCGTTCGATCCTAGAAGCAGCAACACCGATCAGTCTCCATTTATCCCTCGAACCCCACCAACGTCCCAGCAGCACATACCAAAGGTCGACGTATGGGACGGAGGATTCGCGTCCAACGTGTAGATGCACACGATCTTATCATCCGCCCCCGACGCCAGATATTTCCCGTTGGGCGAAAATCGAACCGTGTGAATTGTTCCGGAGTGGTTGCTCATGGACGCTAGCTGCTTCGGCTTGCTGGCACGCTGCGGGTCATCGGTATTGCAAATGGCCTCTGTAGACCAGATTCGAACGTATCCATCTATATTCGACCACGAGACAGCCATCCCAGTCAATAACGGTTCGATCGGACCCGGACTGCTGCTCCGGTAAGCAGGGATAGGACTGGCACTGACCTCCAGCTGCTGTCACCAGGCGACTCCCATCGGGGGATACGTCGCAACTATAGACCTCGAAATCCTTCCGTTCACCTGTGGGAAGAGGACAAAGCAGTTCAGTCAGTCAAACTCCGTCGAAGGGGCCAAGGCAAGTTCACCCCCGGGCCATAATTATGTCCAGCGGGGAGACCTGTAAAGGAACAACAAATCGAGATCGAACATACCTCCGTGTGTTAGCCAGACTGGCTTGATGATATGCATGGTCGCAGCGACGCCGTTGCGCTCTTGAGTTCCTCCTCTTTCTCTGGGTTGGCCGTTCGGGCTGGATCACAGGCAAGTGGACGTGATTGAGGGACAACTTCTTTGGACCATCGCAAAGCACCTTCGCCCCCAGCTCATCGGGTCACGGGGTCGTCCGATCGCAGGTGGAACTCAGAGGAGATGGGGCGTAGAATCAGAGAGAAGACAGCCCGGGCTGGCCAGAGGAGGATAAGTTGTTGGGGGAGGAGGGGAGGATGCAAACAAAGAGGCGATGAGGGCGCGCCGGATTTCCATGCAAGTCGCGATCCCCAAGGATGGGCGGCGCGGGAGGCGGTGGCCCGAGCTTCTGCCGCCGATCTATTGACCCCCAGTGACCAAGTAGCTCATCGCCTACAGTCAAGGTCTACAGTACAGTACACATACATATGGCTCAAGACTCGCCCGCAATCTGCTTTTGTCTACTGTACATTATCGCCGACAAAGACTCCTCGCAACAACCAGGAGCACCTCGTGAACGGACACCTAAAGCATGGGAAGAAAGGGAGACTGTCCTGGACGGAGAAACTAGAAACATAGAGTTACAAGGCGGCAAGAATAGTGAAGTGGTCATCCGGAGATTCGTAAGGTGGGAGGCAGATGCAGCAGCCGGAAATGGAGAAGGTTCAATCGCAATGAGACAACAGGACTAGGTAAAGTCACACAGACGACATCCGACACCCACCGGGACTGCTTCGCTCCCTCAGTTCTTCTGCTGGGTGGTCTCGTCAAACCCCTCCAGCACATCTTGAACGGCGGGGTCATGAACCTTCTCCTCCGACGGGGCCTGTTCAGACTTGGCGTTGGAAGAGGCCGGCACTCCCAGCGACTGCTTTGCGATCGCCTTCGCCTGGCCTTCGCTGATCTTGCCGTAGACAGCCATGGCACTCGCGATCATACCGCCCATGTCCCCGACGTTACCAGGGACCACCACGGCCGTACCCTCCTTGGCAAGTTTGGAGAAGGCGTCGACGTATTTCTCGGCAACGCTGAGACTGACCGCTCCGTAGGCGTTCTCCTGGCCAGACTCAATCGACTTCGCCACGCACTCGATGCCCCTGGCAGTAGCCTGGGCCTTCAGCAGGATCGCCTCAGCCTCACCAGAAGCCTGGTTGATCTTCTCGGTCTGCATGGCCTCCGAAGCCAGGATGACGGACTGCTTCCGACCTTCGGCAATGTTGATGGCGCTCTGGCGCTGACCTTCGGACTCGAGGATCTCCGCCCGCTTCGACCGCTCTGCCGTCACCTGGCGGTGCATGGCCGCGACAACTCCTTCGGGGGCATGGATATCTCTAATCTCGTATCGCAGGCACACGACCCCCCAATCCCGAGCTGCCTCGTTGATGGCCTTTGTTATGTTGGTGTTGAGTGTTGTGCGCTCCTTCAGCACGTGGTCCAGGGTGAGCTGACCGATTTCCGAACGCATGGTCGTTTGCGCAAGCTGGGAGATGGCATACTCAGCGTCCTCCACTCCGTAACTGAAGACCGAGTATCATATTGTCAGCCAAACCGTACAAGCCCCAGGATCCCGGGAAATCATTTCCAAGAGAAATAGGAAGGTCCTTTGGTTCAGCCGCCTACTCACCTAGCTTTGTATGCGTCGAAGACCCTTGTGTACAGCACCCCGTCCAGTTCTAGCGTAACATTATCGGCCGTGATGGCATTCTGGCTGGGGATCTCAATAGCCGACTCCTTCAGGCTCTTGACATAGGCGATCCGATCAATGAAAGGGATCATAATCGCCAGACCCGGTTCTAGAATCCGGTGGAACTTGCCCATCCGCTCGACGATCCATGCCGTTTGCTGGGGAACAAACCGAACGACGGTGTTGACAGGAAGTGCAGCGGCATGGCTAGAAGCAAAATATGTAGGCGGTGCGCCGGAGTGTGAGGAGCCTAGAGGCAGCAGAGACTCCGGGGCAGACCTGCGAGGGGTGCTGGAGGCATTTCTCCGACGGACGCGATTTAGCGGGCAGGCGGTAGTAGTGACGGTATATGCGGGAAGGCAAGAGTTGGAGAGGAGAAGACGGTTGTTGGAGGGCCGAAGCAGCCTCGTTGTTTGCCGGGAGGCGACTTCCATCGTGGTGGGAGCAAGCGCCGCGAGAGGATTCAGTGGCAGGGAGGAGGATTGGAGTTGTCTGATCGGAGAGAGACTGGAAGTGGCCGCAATGAAGCTCACGGCTCGGGGGAAGCTGGTTGGCCGCTCCGAGGGCCGCTCCGAGGGCCGCCGCGGGGCCTCAGGCATCGCTGAGTCATCACCCCGGACTGGGCGCTTCAGCTCTTGCTCTTGCTCTTCTTACGCATCTCACAGCGTACATCAGACTGAAAACAGTGAAAACGGCAAATTCTCATTGACCTTACTAGTATTGTACAGCAAACATTAGAAACATGTTCCATCCCAAAACAAACTCCGCCTGGCCGTCCTTCCTATGTAACTCCACCTCCCAGACGACAATATGCGAATGAAGCGAATTCACCCCGGCTTTAGAACCAATACTACTCGAAATTACTCGGAGGCACATCGCGATACTCTCAAGGAAGCCCAGGAAACAGGGATATCGTCACGAACATCATTGGAGACCCACACACCCCAGCCAGTGAGATCCAGATCAAGGAAGAGGACGCAAGCACCATCTTGGAAGGGGTCAAGTTGGGCGAGCAGCGTGGTCAGTGTCGATATATGCTTCATGGTCGCATTCTGAGTATCAATCTGTCATCGGAAAAATCGATCCACCCCGCTGGGAAGAGTGAAACGAGCAAGAGGCTTTTATCCTTTTCGGGTTTTTTTTTTCTGGTTCCATTCGTACTTAAACATCGAGACAGCAAGGGTAAACAGTACCGCGGTATTAGGGAGCAATAGAAACCCGGATAAACATTCTATGGTCGCGAAAGGAACTTCAGCCCGGCCCACAGAAGCAAGCGTCAAGAGCAAGAAGTCCTGCCCAGTAAAACATGCCCGGACTCCAGAAATTTTTGAATCCCCCCAGGACTGAAGCAGCAAAAGGAAAAGAAGTGAATCAAACAAGAATAATGAAGAAATGGTGTGGAGCCGAGACATGGAATGTGCATGGTTCAATCCGTTGCATTGGAAAGACTGTCATCGGCGACTCGAGAAGGTAGATGCAAGTCATGGGCAGAAAGCAGCATGGAGAGACATAGATGGTGGAGAGAACAAAACAAAATGAAAATTGGAAGAGAGAAAAAAAAGACATAATTACTTTTCCAGCTCGGCTCTCAGGCTAGAATACCTAGCACAGTCGTCCTCGGGCGGCTGCAGGGTTCGAAGAATGCATGCGCAATAGCTCACAGGGCCCGTGGCACCATGTGCAGCATGACTGATGCCATATAACTTCTTCTCGCTCAGTCCAATGAGGCCCGGAAGTACCCCTCAAAGCAAATCCCTGCTGCTCATCGAAAGACGCTGTGAAAGGTGAATAGTCTGCTAGAAAGACGTCGCTGACGTTTCGTGCAAGGAGATCATCAAACGCTAGACTCTTAAATTCATTGTACATTTGTGCATTGAAATTTTGGACCAAGAAACGTGACCATATCTGGTACAGAACGTCCATTTCACGGTTGCCGTCCTGGTTGCCGTTGAGAAAGTCCGTTCGTAAAGTACTCGTAATAGAAGTGTGTAAAAGGTCGTGGGGAATATTGGTTGAAGGCAAAGGATAGAAAGTGGAACATCCTGCTCCTTCACCCGGAATACCGGCGGATCAGCCTTCGCAGTCTAATGAAAGGCCTGCGCATGGCATGAAATTTCGTATGTCGATGACCTGGCTGCATGGAATGAGCGGCGAAAGGCTTGGGGTTAGAGACAGCTTGAGTCCTACCTGATAGATTGGTTGCCGGGATGCCAGGTTGGGAGAGGCAAATGCTGAATTCAGCTAGTCCACCTACTATTGCAAAAGGTTAACATCTATGTTGCAGAGAGCCAGGAGCGAATTTCCATGAAGAATAATTTTCCTGGTGAGTTTTGTAGAGCGCGGCCCATACACCACGCAGGCCAATCATCAAAGCAGTGATTCGAGAAGGGGCAGTCATGGGTTCCGTACATTTGAAACTTCAGTCTGAGCACTCAGATTGTTAGAAGGCGAAAATTCTGGTGCTGCAGACGATAGTGAGGTCTTGGGACCGTGGGATTCGGCCGTGCCGTTCGAGAGCTGTCCATTTGCCACTCCATCAACCTGAACCTGCGACACAAAAGTCTCCTCGGGCTGAGCAGTGTGGCTGGCAAGGGAGGGACCCTCGTTCTGGGCGGTTTGATCACGCTGCTCCAGAGGCAAAACCCACTGTCCCCAGTGCTCCTTGGGACGCAACCGATCAAGACCATCTTCGCTTGCGAAGTACTCAACGGTCCTCAAGTGACGGGAAACATGACGCAGGAGCTCGATATCTTCGGTCAGGGTCTTGATTCTCTTGAAGCTAGCGATGAAAGCCAGTCCGACAAAGCCCTGAGAATCCATGTGTTTGCGGAGGAACATGTCCTTGCACAGATTGTCGACAGAGAAATAGTACTCCAGCTGCATGGAAATCATGTTCATAAGAGAGAACGGCTCCACGTACTGGGGGTAGGGATAGGCGGTCATCGGCCCAGCGTGCATTGGCTGATAGGCATACATCGTGTTGATGTCACCGGGGAAAGGATAGGCCCCATACATGGCAGCCGAGTTCGGCAAAGAAGGTGACCTGATGTTCATTCTGTGTCCTTGCGAGCCATTGACCGCACCGTGTTGCGACCGCTGCCGTTCATTGAAGCCGTAGGCCTTGGGGTTGGTAAAGTTGTGGTGAGAAACGTGGTTGTTGGGGAAGTGGGAGTTCTGAGAACCGCTGAAGCCTCCACGGCCTCCGCGGTGAGAGCCCCGGCCTCGGTCAGCACGCGACTCGCGAGGGAAGTCCTTCTCCTTGCGGTCGTGGAAACCGGCAAAATCCGCCGACTTGGGGCCATTCTCGAAGCGGCGGTCCTGTGTAGGGCCAGACCGGGGAGCGGACTGGGCATCCACGGACATCTGGGGGTTCCGAGAGCCATGCTCGCCGGCCTTGTGACCTGCATCATGGCCCTTGGCAAACTGCTTAGCATCGCGGTGGTGGCGAGGGAAGGTCTCGGCACCGTTCACGTTTTTCCCGGCATTCGCATTATCCGCTTTAGACCCACGGCCACGGTCCGCTGCCTGGTGCTTACGACCGTCGGGCAATCCGGCATCAGCGCTGTTGGAACGTCTCGTCTGTGCAGGGAGCGAGTTTGCGCGACCGGAGTTCTGGTCGTTCCGTCCTCTGTCGGCAGAAGCGGCCTGCTTACCCGTCGAAGCCTGGGCCATTTTATCGGCTCCACTGCCATGAGTCCCGTTGCGAGTGTTTTCCCTTCCACCACGAGCAGTTCTTCCGCCTCTACGAGCGGTAGGGAGAGGGGTGTTGAAAACGGCAGTCGGTACGTAGGGAACGGGAGTCCACTTCTCCTTGCCATGAGGCCGGATGACAGGGCTCTTGTCAGCCTTTTCGGTCTTGTCCTGGACCTTCTTCTTCTCCTCACCCTTGGCAACCTGGGGGGTGGGCCACATGCTGGCATCGCCTACCGGAGGAATGCTGGCACTGTCCTCACGTCCCTTGCCTCCATCGGCCTTCTTGCGCTCCTTGGGGCCTTCCGAGACGTCAGAACCCTTCTTCTTGGAAGCGGGCTTCGAGGGCTCTGGCTGGTGATCACCGGATATCGAGGAAGCGGCGGACGTAGTCTTGGAAGTTCCGGCGTTGGCACTGGGCTTCAGCGCTGCGATGGCCTTCGCCTTGGCCTCCTGTGCCTCCTTCCTCTGGTGCCAGATGTTCACTGTCGGAAGAGGGGCGACTTTCAGCTCCTTAGCCGGTACACTCTTTTCTTTCTCAGTGGTCTTATCCTTAGCACCCTCTGCGCTGGTCACCTTCTCGGTTCCGGAGACCTGTGACTGCTTATCCCAGGTCGATTCCGAGGTACCGTTGGGCGTATTTAATTCCTCCTCATCCTTGGGGACGGTAGACGTAGACGAGCTGCCATCGCTGGGAGAAGCTGTTCCGGAAACGCTCGTTTTGCGGTTGGCCGTGTGATCGACTTCCTTGTCGGCGGCCTCGGTCACCTCGGGCTCCTGAGCCGTCTCGACCTTGGAAGAGACGATATCTGTGTTTGCCTGAGAAGTGGAGTCGGCGGTCTGCTCTTCGGTGTTCGAAGACTCGTTGGTCAGTTCTGCCTTGACTGGCGACTGCGCCGGGGCAATGCCCTTAGCTGCTTGGGCGTAGGAGAATGTAGCGGCCATCTTCTTTACGTGAAGTAGAAGTGGTCTAATATATCCGTTCTAATGTAGAGAGGAGAGCGGAGAAGAATTCTGTTCTGCCAGAGAACTGATGCCTTCCTGGGAAACCCTCAACCGAAATTTGGCTGGAATTGCTCCAACAATGTTGCCAATCAGAAGAAACGACTTCCGCCCTCTAGGCAACCCCGCCAAGCTGCAACTTTCCGCCGGGAGATCGGTCCTACTCGGAAGCAAATCGCTGGGTTTTTGTATCCGTTCAATCGGTCCAAGACACCGTAACGATCCTTCAATGTAGGCGTAGGTGTTTAGACAGATAGAGCCGGAGAATCGTGGAATCTGAATCTGACCCTAGCACGCGAATCGCATCGATATGCAGTCAAGGGCTTTTGTTTGGGAAAAAAATCCGTTTGAATGGCGAACGAAGAAAGGATCAATAAGAAATCGACGTCGAATTCGTAGCGGATATCAGGGAAGGAGGAAGGGTGTCAAAAAAAAATCAGGTCGGCAAACACGATATGTCGCGCTGGCCGTGCTGGATGTGAGGTGAGACTTGCTTTAGAAGCACTCGCAGCGTACAGCTATGAGATATGAGCCGTGAAAGCGGTGCTAGGCTAATCGAGTCGTAGGAGGGAAAACGACGACGCGGACAGATGCACACTGCGGTTTGCAAGAAAGCTGGTTAACGGTGCCCCTTGAGAAGCGTAGACGAAAGACAAGACGCGATTTGCACGTGGTGATAACGCTACTAGACTTGGTGGTTCTCAACTTCGCCTAGTACAAACGGACAAAAGGGAAAAGAAGTGAGGAGCTGTGACGGCAAAGTTTCAAGCAGGACCCGTGCGGAGAAAAAAAAATCAAGACTGGCAAGACTGGATTGATCAACCGATCGGAGTATCCTGCCAACAAGGACAGAAATATAGAACAAAAAAGCGGTCCCGCTGAAGACAAGGGTATGTGTGTGGAAGGAGGAGGATTGGAAGGCGGGCAGGGCAGGGCGCGCAGAAGGCGAGCACCACTTTTCACTGCAGCAACACACTCACAAGTAACCGATGCAGGGAAACTAAGAGGGACAGGATCCCAGGTCGTTGAGGCAGCGAAGAGGGGAAGGGAGGAGAAGAGGGGGGGGGGGTTAGGGGGGGAAGGTGACGAGAAGAGGAGAGAAGGTAGAGAAAAGAGTAGTGACCGAGAGTGTGTGTGTGTAAGAGAGCAAAAATAATAATAATAAATCACTTACAGGCCGGAGGGACGTGGAAAAGCCGAAGAAGGCAGGCAAGAAAAGTAAGTACTAGTCAGAACTGTGGAATCCGCCAACAGAGCCCAGAGGGTAAAAAAAAAAAAAAATTCAAGGCCGCTTTTGAGGTACAGTACTGTATAGTAGAGTGTCTCGGTTTCCCGCGCGTAAGGGCTGTCGTTTCGCGGCTAAACACTACGTGTATTAGTAGTACGTTGGCGGTATCAATATTCCTACAGTAATGTACCGGAGGTAGGTCCTGCTACTCAACCAAGGGCCAGGTAAGGGCGTAAAAAAAATGTAAAAAGCGCAGAGCCAGAAAAAAAAAAGACCGAAAAAAAAAAAAAAAAAAAAAAAAAGAAGAAGTGAAAGTTGTGAAAATTGTTGTTCCATCCGTATACCCACCCAGGAAAAGAGGATATGGTTCGTGGACTTCAGGGCTTCTGTGGGTATGAACCATTCTTTCGCTCCATCTGTAAATATTCCGGTACCGCTGAGACCAACAATGCAATTCGGATTGCTAACAGAATGCGATTTGCGATGGATATCGTATCGTATTCAATGAAGGGGAGGGGTCGGATTTACGGCAATTGGATGGAGCTGGAGAGGGGGGACTCGAGCATTTGCTGGTACCTGACTACTAGATTGCATCTCCAGAGCATCCCATAGCGTATCGCCGGTGTATATAACAGCGCCTCAGACATGTCTTGGGGGGCATACACAGTAGTTACAGGGAGGGAACTACCATGGCCGGGTGGCAGACATCCCACGCTGCTTCCGGGCGCCTTTCCAACCCCTCACTTCCTTCCCCTCGATGTGCGCGCCCAAACCTGTAACTGGCTGCTCCTGTCATGATTCGGAGATTCAGCGGCACTAGCCGCGATGTTTTCCGGGCTTGATTCGGGTCTCGACAGTCGATAGCCGTGCTGTTATTACTGCGCCATCCCAATTTCTAATTTCTACGGCTCGTGCTGGTTTGACACCTTGAAGTCCAAACCTTAGTTATAGTTCATGTCCTGGGGCCCTCCGAATGGCAGATACCCTCCGCAGCCTTGGGCAGAGTGACACTAGCCAGCTTGTCTTAGCATCCCACCCACCAAAAAGGCAATTCACTGCAGATGCTCGACTATTACCCGGAACCACCGATGGCGGGGCTCGGAGGGGTTCTGTGATCAATGCATGGATGGGGCTAATGCTGCCTCTTGAACCATGTCGCTGGTTGTCAGGGTCTACAAAGTATATAACTACCTACCATCCCCTCCCCCGGATCACAGGACGTTCGGCTGAGCGGGTTCAACAATAACATAGTATGGACGTAGTGATTATGAGCGGCCATCATATTGGGCTGAGAGTATCACTGTATATAACGTGCCTCTGGACGATCCTCGACCTATGTTGCACTGTACATTCAGTCACTGCGGAGCACAGTCGGTATAATCATAATGCATATCAAGTGAGCATGGCGCTGCTCTATAGAATCGAGGGTGCGGGGATAGCATCGAGTCCATCACTTCACATGTTTCCGTGTATAGGCAAGACGCAGGAATTTAGTAAACGTCACATGATACAAGCAATTTTGCCCATTGCAGTTTGGCATGGGGCTAGTGCTAGTGCTAGCAGCAGACCCTGGTAAGTCTATACATTAGACTCGCGGTCCTAAGATGCAAAAAACGAAAGCCCCCGGCGAGGGTCGAACTCGCAACTTCCAGATTAGAAGTCTGGCACGCTACCATTGCGTCACGGGGGCTTTAGTTGAGATATACGTGAAACCTTTGACATCATATCCCTTTGCAATGAGCTGCGCCGAATTCTGCCCCATATCTTGTCCGCATGAAGTTACGTACTCCATACGATGTCAGCTTACCCTGAGTCCCTGACATATGGTTCTACCCACTGACTCAACCTATAAGGAAGGATCATTTTCAATGAATAAAATGCATAGTGCAATGTTTTACAACTCTGTGTGTTAATTAAATCGCTGACTGCAAATCTAGTGAATTAAGGTTCTGCTCCAATGTGAATCAATACCGAGGCTTGATACCGATTCCGCGAAGATCTACAGGTACAAAAAGCGAAGCTTTCTACCCCATCCAAGCCACCAGGAGTCATGTCTCCAAGACACCTTGATGGACTTGTCTGAAGGACCTGCATATTACTGATAACAATTCAAAAGGCCAAGCCCCTCTGGATAACCGGTTTCCCGCATGTAGGGAGACAACTCCATACCGCAAACCCACCCGACCACTTCGTACTGCATATTGTCTCTACGAGGCCCTTGATCGTTGATACCGTACCAACACCAGACACCAGTCTAACTCGAAATAGTCAAGGGCTTAGGAACCCAATCAGCTGGAAATTATGCCTTGAAGAACACGGGCCGGAGAGACCCTTGAACTCAACCCAATTTCCAGGGTAAGACGGGTACTACTATCTCGATGGGGATAGTCTTCCTTTGCCCCGATTCCTTCCATCCATGATGACGGGAATCGGGATAACTCGTTAGGCCTTATGACTTACCTATTATTATGTGTACCGTAGATAATAATAGGCATGCGTACGGAGTACTATACCTAGATAGATCGAACCTGATACCATGCAGGGGTAGTCCCTACCACCTACGTACGTACCTTATGTACCTACGGAGTACTTAAGTGACAATCCATAGTTATATCCCTGATCATCCATCACTGCCTCCCCCAATCAGAACCGCCAACTTGGTACAATTTTATTATATCGCTCATCCCATGCATTCTCCCGCAGCATCATCCAGCATCCTTCATCCATCCCATTTTCAATAGTAATTAATACCTGGAACCCTCCCATCAGCCAGCCAGCCAACCAGCCAACCAGCCAATCAGCTATGTACAAAGCAACCCTGCCAGCCCCGGTCCGCCCATCCATCTATCCGCCCTTTACTTTACTTTACTTTACTTACAGTACAATGTACATACATAAACCCTCCGTCCGTAGTCCGTACAAAAAAATCTCCAGCAATTAATTATCTTTAAAAGAAAATCCAATCCACCACCCAATCACAAACCCGCAGAATTCTCGCCAAGTCGACTTAACAGCTGAACAATTTACCGACTTACCGACACAACTACTATACCTTGACCACCGCGCTCCCGGCTCCGACCAAATTATGTATTAATATTAATATTATTGCTATTTTGACTTTCGACATCCTTCCCGAACAATGGGAATGAATCCATAATGAATTAGGAAACCTCCCGGACTCCGGGATCCTCCCCCCCATACGCGTACGGAGTATGTACTCCGTAGTTACTATCTATGTATGTATGTATGTATCTATCTATCTACCACATCCCGTCTATTCTCTGTCGTCTACGGCACTCCTACGTACTAGGTAGGCTAGGTATTCTCCTAGTTATCTAGTCTCCTAGACTACTACATAGTACTTAATCGCTTCGCAGGCCCGCGTGATTCACGTCAATTAGGGCTGAGACGCGCGAGTCGTCCCCTCCGTGGACCGGACCGTGGGATGTTTGCCAATTTGCCGGATTATTCGCAGTGGGTTCGAACCCGGAATTCCTCGGAATCTGGACTGGGCTTGGGTTTGGTCCGGGCCGTCGGCGGGTTCACTACGTACTTAGATACGTAGGTACTATAGGTAGGTACGGAGTAACTAACTACGCACTACGCACGCTCATTTCTTTGCCGTTTCAGGTTGGGGTGGCCATTGGCCGAGATATCTCCTCTCCTGGTTTTGAATGACGGTGCGGACGGTTCGGCCAGTGGACCGAGGTGTCACGTGGTAGCTTGCTTGGGGGTATATATAACTTAGTAGGTAGGAGCTGTAGTGTTGTAGCGTTAGGTTGGGGTTGATGGATTGTATTTCTTTGTATGGTGGATATTTTCGAGGGTTTGCTTCTGGGTTATATATCTAGTGGATTTATTGAACGCATAGATGGAGTTCATGGTTTGCTTGGTACGAGTGGTGTTATATAGAAACACCTGAGTATATGCAAGAGTTGGGCGGAATGCGCGCTACAGCTTGTGACCTACAGTACTATAGAGTCTGCACAGATAGAATATAGACGCTCGTTCCATCTGTATTAAGATAAGGTGGTAGTTCCATCCAAGGTTCATAACTCATCTACCAATGCCGCACACTCACCAGCACCTGCTCTCTCGAGTCCAGTTGAATCGACGACTGCTGCCCCGTCACCAGTCCCAGGCGCATAAGGATCTGCCAAACCAGCTTCCGCTTCAGGCTCTCCCGGACAGGGATCTTCTCCAGCGCGTCATACCCGTTAAAGTATTTGATGAAGGTCGGCCAATACTTCTTCAGGGACGTTTGAAGCCCCACATACTCCAGATCCCCGTCAGAAACCTCGCCGCCTTGGAGGTCGGGGAATCGCGACATGACTTCGTCCAGCCACCGGGATTCCAGCGGGGAGGCGCGGTGCGGGTAGTGGATGAGCGAGGAGGTTTTCAGCGAGGTGTTTCGGTCGAGGAAGGAATGCGAGACGGCGAGCTCGTTGTCTTGCTTGTATCGGCCCGGCATGGGGGTTTCTTCGCCGCTGTCGTGGCTGTCGAGCGACGATGATGATGATGAGCTGACATCGTCGAAGTCTTCTTTGGTCTCGTCGGAGGATCTCTTCCTCAGGTATTGCTCCACCTCCTCCCGGCGAAGAACCGTCTCCACGGCCATCTTGATCTCGGGGGGTATCTTGATTCTCGCGAACGCGCGCAGCTGAGTCACCCAACCGCCTCGCAAGAGCCATGCGAGGATGGTGAAGTACGTGTCTTTGTGATCCTTACTTGGGATGAAGCTTCCATAGGGTCTGGGTGTTCCACTCATCGCGGACAGCATCTTTGGCAGACTAGGAAGAGTCGGGAATGTTGTTTGATACACGGAGGTGGCCAGCTCCAGCTTGCTCAGGTCGCAGTTAGGGGACACAACGTAAGTATCCCGTTGATGGAGTGGCGGGATAGCGCGTGCTCTTCTCCAGTACACCAGATGGCTTGCCAGCATCTGGATAGTGGACAGCGGTATGCCAGACGAGACGGATATCTGCGCAAACGACTTCGTTGGCTTCGAGCATCGGATATAGTGGGCAAGCGCTGGGGCGAGAGCACCGCCTGATGCTTCCACATCTTTGAGGATGGCCGCTTCATTGTCCAGCAATAGCAGCGCGAAGTGCTTGGCGAGCACCTGGTGCGGCGCGGTGTTTTCATCGGCTGTGGGGTCATCGATAGGGGTGACACTGTCTGCCGTTGTGAGCCAGAGACCCGGGTATGCCTTGTCAGTCGGGCCTGGAAGCCATGGCGTTGATGTCAGCGGGGGAATTTGCAGCGAGATGGACACATCCGCACTCAGCGTCACAGACGCAATCTTTGACGCCGAGATGCTCGTGAACATAGTGTAGATTGCCCTCGCAAGAGAAGACTGATTGATAAGTTCCGAATAGAGGCCATTCATAGACATTCCTGTATCCAATCGTCAGCAATCACTCACATCTCCTCATGTCACCATCTCAATGGCCATCAAACATACGTTTCTCCTTGGCCTTCTCCTTGATATGCGATATATGCTGGGCCTCTTTCCAAACATAACCCGTCCGTGCCTGCTCCCACTTGAGAGCCTTGGAGAACTTCTTGATAATGTTATCATAGATCTCGCGTAGTCGCATGGAATACTCCAACAGCGGAGGATCCAGCACGAACGCCACATTGAACATGGTCATCGAATCTTTATCATCCGCATCCAATGACTCACTCATCGTTCTAATCGACTTGGAGCTCGCCATGGACATCCACTGCGACTCCGAGGCAGCCATCTGCTTGGGACTCAGGGTCTCCGTTGATGCATCAATCGCCTCATCGTCCCTGACATCCTCCTCCGCGTCATCCCCAGGGTTCTCATTATGCCCCAGCTCACCCCCCTCCCACGCCGCCCGAGGCTTCCTCTTCTTCCGCCTCTGTTTCCTCCACGTCCCATCCTCCCGCATAAACACGGGCCACCCCACAAACGCCAGATCGTTGATCCCGACCTCAAACCGCCGCTTATGCCACGATCGCGACGGACTCAGCAACTTCTCCCACACATCCGCCGGAAGCCCCAACAGCGACTCCCACGGCGGCCGATACGGGCCCCCGTCCCCTCCAGCCTCATCGTCCTGTCGATCCGACGCCGCGCCCGCATCGTCCTCCGCGTCCGAATTTGTCCCCCGCTTGCGCATCATCCCTCGTCCGGACCCGACCGACCCCGCCCGCTGCGACTCCCCGCCCGGCGACGCGGACATCACTCCATCGTCTAGGCCGAAATTGCTCGACCGTCGGCCCGCCACGGGGTGGCTGCCGGCCATGTGCGATTGGTTCTGGGGTGGCTGGGTCTCGTCCTCATCTTCGGAGGAGCTCGAGCTGCTGTCCTCGCTGGAGCTGGAGTCGTTGCTTTTGGATTTCGTGCGCGAGGGCCGCCGCGCTTTGGCCGCGCCTCGGAGCCCGTTCTCGCTGAGTGGGTTCGGCGGGTAGTGGAAGACGAAGCGCGGGCCGGCTTGCGATCGGACGATTAGGATTATGGCGACCAGGCAGGGGTCTGGTGGCCGTACAATTGACGACATTGGTCGTGTGCTGGGGTGGGGGTGGTTGGTGGAGGGATGAGGAGGAGGAGTGACGGAGCGGCTGGTTGGGGTTGTTGGTTTGACGACTGCGGTCGCGGGCCATCTTCCCCGCATGAGGCCGGCGGACTCCAATTCGGATTGTTCGATTCGTTTGATCCCATCCACGTATGTTAACTGTTCACCTAGCCGTATAAAATTAAACAGTATCTCAATAAACATAACATTACACATCTAGTGAGATATCATCCCAAGCATATATACACACATAGTAACAACCATCACAACGCCGGAAACGGAGAAGTCTCTCTCTATCGTCAATCATCACGCCAAACACTCCATCTATACACAGAACCCTCCAGCATATCATACAATATCCCCTGGTATTCTGACCCGTTAGTCCGACTATAATTTCTTCTCTGCATTCTCTCCGGGCGTCGTCGCGTTGTCCTTTTCGAACACCAGTCCGAGGTTCTTGAAGTCGTCCGGCGCCATGAGGTTACTAGAAAACGAAACGAATATTAGATTAGTTTCATCTTATCTAACGTAGACGAGAGATCAGGATGCGATTGGGAACATACTGGTCCATCCGACAGGTCAGGTACGCCTTGGCCAGTTTCCGGCAGTCGTTGTCGTTGACGCCCCGGGCGGATTTCAGGCATTTGAGGTAGTCGCGGATAAGGGGTTTGCATTCGCCTGGTTCAGCGGTAAAGATACATGTCAGTTCATGTTTTGTGTCGGGGGTGTAGCCAGGGGGGGGCATCTCAAGATCCGTCCGAATTTATAACGCGACGACCGGGATAGAATTGAACGGGCTGTGCTGTAGACGGAGTACACGGGGAAATACCTTCGTGATCTAGAGGGAAGCTGCCACGCTCGGGACTGGAATATCAAAGTATGGTTAGCTATACTCTTCTCTCTGAATTATCCGGTGCTTGTTGGTAGGCCTTATCCCAGGACGGACGGACGGACGGAGACTGGAGTAACTCACGGCGTGGGCTTGTAGTTGGTTGCGGAGCCACCTGGAGCTCCGAAACCCATGATGGCGGTCGAGCTGTAGGCAAAGGAAAGAACTCTGCTAAAGCAAAAAAGAAGAATTGACCGATGGGGTATTCGTCCGGTATGTCTGATCATCAGAGGAGGATGATGATGATGATGGCTTCTGAAAAACGGCAACGCGGAGTGGCCTGATGAGACAAACAGGACAAACACTATCTGCTGATCTGTAACGCGCGACGCAGCACATCGGCAGTCCATCTACAGGTTATATGTATCGTGGAAATTTACTATTATTGACCTTCCTGGTAGGATACATAATATTCTCGTCGTGCAGCCCAGCAAAAGTCTACGTTTTATCCCGTGGTTGCATACGTGCGGGGTATGAGACCGAGATGCACAGCAGACCGTCCACTAAGCTAGGCTCAATACGCTGTGGATGGACAGGACAGAATGATAGGACAAATGCGGGCCACGATAGTTGCATAAGAACCACTGTATCGCAGGAATCCAGACCTGGTCCAAGCCTGCGGTCCCAGCGCCAACCCCTCATGGACCCAGAAGATCCGAGTTCCCTGATACTGTAACTCTTCTAGATCGATGACGTTTTACCCGCTGCGCGGGATTAGTATATAAAGCGCATCGTGGTCCAGCTGGCTAAGAATTTATTCACCTTGCTTTTGCACATTGTATCCTTGGGCTTCATACACTCTTAACTAACAACTTATATACGTACCACGATAAGAATATGCCGATGTAGGTCTCCAACTTCATTTCGCAGATATATCACTCCAACCCGCCAACATAACAACCCGGATCGGTCAAACCCATACATGTGATACTAACCAACCATCTCAGGAAACTGGACGGAAGCTGCCAATGCGGCAGCATCGAATTCAGCCTTGACACCTCCACCCCAGTCCCCTACCAGCTTTGCGCCTGCAGTATCTGCCGGAAGGTAGGCGGGTATAGCGGCAGCGTCAATCTGGGCGGCATAGCCGATAGCCTCCAGATCAAGAAGGGGAAGGACCTGATCAAGTATGTGGATTGATTCCATCCCCTCATGATTGTTATATTTTTTTTGGAAGCATGCGATTGCTTTCCATTGCGGGGTTCACAAGCGGTTCGAGCGCTGGCGCTGACCGGCCGGTCAAGGAAATATTCCGCGATCAAGGGTCGCGGAACTTCAGACGAGCAGATCTGCTCGTCCGAGCGGAATTTCTGCTCCAATTGCAGCACTATGCTCTGGCTTTGGGATCATCACTGGCCGGAGCTGATTCATCCCTTTGCTTCGGCGATTGATACCGAGTTGCCGGTTCCTGATGAGATGGTCTGCATCATGGAGAGCTCGAAGCCGGCATGGGTGCGGTGGCCCGAGGGGAAGAAGCAGGTGCACCAAGTTTACGGGAAGGAGAGCCTGGAGGGATGGCACAAGAAGCACAATCTGTTTTACGAGTAAATACGTGACTAGGAAATGATACGAAGTTTTACGAGATCAAAGATAAAATTACGAGAAAGCAGAGAGTTCAGTGAAATCATGTATTGTATTTTTATCAATGTTGCAATGAGACCTGCAAAGCATAAGGTCAGCAGCTGAGATGGCAAAGCGCTTATGCAAAATAGGCAGTCTTGAAGGTTTCAGTTCTCCAAGGTGAATCTTGTTGTTTCTTCAATGTAGTTCGAGTAAAAACAGCAATGAAAGAATTCATCATGCAACAGGCCAAGAAGGCGAAAAGGGCACACTCACGCTTTCAAGGCAACATCGACAGCTACGTGGGATGTGGTTCCTATTACTTCATTGAGAATTAGCAACATATCCAAGACATGCATGAGTGATTCATTGCAATGAGATGTCAACTATGTCAGGCTAAAGTGAGAAAAAGTTAGCATGATTTCAGACCGAAGGAGCAACGGGAGGTACCAACCTCATTAAATCAGATTTTTGTATGGATTGTTCATGCCCGTGCAGAAACACGGATCAAATAGTGTGAATAACAAGTGTTCATCATTTGATGTTGACTTTGGGAGTATGGGCAGAGGGGATATTCAAGAGTAGAATTACCTGTCATCACTAGTTAGTATGACTGGAATCCACGAGTATTGATAACCGCAGAACGATTGAAGAAAACTCAGGTGACGAGATCTCAACAATATGTACACCCACCCAACACCCGCAGAGTTTGTACGCTCCGCTTTTATGGATGCGGGTGGAATGTACACGTTCTGTCCGCCCGTTCGTTCAAAATATCTTCATCGAGAGGGGCCAACAAGGGCAAAGATGATGGAAGTAGTGGTATTTACCTATCAACAGCAAGTTAGCAGTGGTCACACACGAGCTGGTTGAAGCAAGTAGGCAGTAATAAGTTTGTGTCAGACAAGGCTGAAACTTAGAGTTAAACACGAATTCCACATAGTATTTTAAGTTTGAGGAATGCCATAAAGCGTGTCAAAGGGTCATCACACAAGGGTAGGGGATTGGAAAGACCATGGATCTCGATCTCGGTTCTCGCATACCTTTTTTAAGAATTAGACATTATGGTTGGCGAATAGAAGTCATGTCATCATTAAACATGAAAAGGTCAGCTCCAGCAATTGCTTGCATTGAGCATCCCAGATGCTTCGACTTGATCAAGGTCAAGTCGGGGTGGCATCGAACCCGAGTTGGTGATTGCGGTTGCAAGCTTGGGCAAGTTGAGAAAAAAAATTGTTGTGGGTCGCGCCGCGGTTTTATAGGTGGGCAGCTGGCACCACGGTTAGCGATGATTACCAAGAGCGTTGTTTGCCGAGGAAGCAAACACAGCGGGGCCAGGCCCACCTTCCCAACTGGTACATCCTCGCTACCAGGTGTACGCTTCGTGATCGTTTACTTACAGCGGGCCGTATCGACAACTGGGAAACCGGATCTTTAATTTCAGGATTTGATTTCTCTGCTCACAGAACTTGATATGTGCTTCACTCTATTCCTGAATCATGATTCAAACTTGACTAGGTCTTTACGAGGTCAAACAGGCGTTAGAGGCGCCTCCCAAAAAATGAAATTTGGCCTGATAGCTAATAAGGTACTTCCGGTTTGTACTTCCGTTACGCAGCTCAAGCTTACATCACGAGCAGCTCACATGTGAATCATAATGACGGGCAAGCATTGGGTCTATATAACCCCTCCCCTCAGGACAGAGTATCCATTCATGTTAGAAAAATCAGCACCATCATCAATCAGAAAGCAAACATTTACTCCATGGACTCCGCATGTGCTAAAATTGACAAGGCACCGTTGCCAGATTTTTGGGCATCGTTCCTAGCTTCCCGGGCATCAATCTCAACTTACCAAGCAATGATGAAAGATGAGCTTTTAACAGGACAGTACTATGACATGAAAATCACCTGTGAAGGCTTCACTTTCAAGGTCCATCGCGTGATCGTGTGCTGTCAGTCTCGGTTCTTTGCAGCCGCACTAAGGAATGATTTCAAGGTGAGCGTTCTCTATAGATAGTAGAGCGTTTTTCATTAATAATCCTTACTGAGAGATTGCTTAGGAGGCGATCACTCAGACTATTGAGCTGCCTGATGATGATCTTGAGACCGTTGAACGTGTTATTTCATACCTCTATATCCAGGACTACATGTCCACAGGACACATAGTGCCACTCAGCTGTACGTCAGATTTACAAACTGGGAGCGTCGACCCGGAGGAAACATCAAATAGCCCAGAATCAGACAGTCACGGCCATTGGACAGCCGATCCCACAGCTGCAGAGGCATACAATAACTTTCGGGTCTACTTGGCCGCCGACAAGTATGGAATAACGAGCTTGAAAGATCTTGCTGCGAAAAGGTTCGCTCTTTGTGCACGTGCCCATTGCGAAACCGAAGCATTCCTCGGTCTGTTACCAGTTGTAGTGAGCTTGCTGCCTCCGCATGACCCAAAGATCCAAGAAATTATAGCGGATGTCATATCCGATCACTCATCTCATTTCAAGTCGCAAGAGCAGATACATGAGATTCTGAAATTTGGAAATATCGGACAACTGGTAGTACTCAACCTGTGGCGAAAGGGAATAGACTTACGATCAAAGGAGGAGAAAGATAAAGGCGGTTACATAGCGCGTCTTGGACAGAAGCTGGATGGCCGATCTTCCTGCAGACAGTGTTCGAAAGAATTTAACGTCTCATTGCAAGGAGATGAATATGAGCGTGGAATATATCGCTGCTCTGCTTGTCGAACACGGCATTCATTTTTCTAACATGGCCCTTTGGGACTCGGAGGCAAGCAGGATCTGGAGACAGTGGATTTGTTGCTTTTGAATTTGGCGTCTTCACCAACTCGAGGGCAGGTAGGTACTGATTGGCGTTACCTCTAATCCTTCTGTGCGATCTACATGTTCCAGAAGAGAGCAGCCGAAAGACAATTGCCTGTTTGTGTTTTAATATCAAACAGTTCATGCTAGGTCGCAAAAATCATAAATCCATTACAGAGGAAATTGAGCTTTGCAAATCATGAGTCGAACGATAGTAGACTAGTAAAAGAGCAGAGGTATCGACAGTGGGACTCCAGGGTGGGGAAAACACATGATAGACGAGCTGGCGCGGAGCAGTACGGAACATCATCGTCCAGGAAGAAGGATAGCGACCCCTGCCGATCCTATCGAAACTGTCCTGCTTGACTGGATTGATTGAAGCATGTACATATATACAGTCAAGTGTGAACGACTAATATCAACATAGTAAATGCTTCTGGGGCCTTTTGAGACCATATTCGGCCTCCTGAGCCATCACCAAACCTCCTTGAACAAAACCCACAAGATACCGAACTGTACTATCTAGACAGTACTGGCAAAAGACTACAGTGATGTATGAGATCTACCGAATTGTCTAGAAGCCTGCAGCCCGACGGGGCCGGAGCTCCGGTGGGTCCGCCAGAACGTCATCCGCCATCGGGATCAAGACAAAGACAACCACAGTTCACCTGCGTCAATTTGACGTCGATTCCTAGTACCGGTCCCTCTTCTGTTCTACCATTCCGTGCCTGGAGATGGCTATAAAGGGAGCCTTCGCTCAGGCGAAGTCTTGCCACTACTGAAATCCAATACTCCATCAACAAGACAACCCCAAACTCCCAATTGACCTCCATTATCCAAAATGACAACCTACTTCAAGCTCAACACCGGTGCTCAGATCCCCGCCATCGGCTTCGGAACCTGGCAGGATGCCGAAGCGCAGGAACACGCCGTCGTGGACGCCATCAAAGCGGGATATCGCCACATCGACACAGCCAGAGTGTGAGTTCTTTCGTTCGTTCGTTCGTGCGCTCCTCGAATCCGATTCCGCCGGTACGCTGACGATGGCGCGAAGTTATGGAACAGAGAAGGCTGTAGGCAAGGCTATAAAGACGGCTGGAGTCCCCCGCGACCAGCTTTTCGTTACAACCAAGCTCTGGAACAACAAGCATCACCCGGACGATGTCGTGCAGGCTGTCCAGGATTCGCTCGATGATCTGGATCTGGAATACATCGATCTGTTTCTGATCCATTGGCCTGTGGCTTGGAAGCGGGGGGATGAGCTGTTCCCCAAGGAGAATGGGAAGGCGGCTGTTGTGGATACTGACTATATCGATGCATGTCTACCTTATATATAACCCCGCCACCAACCACGGGCGACTGCGGTGCTAACTCGATGACACTAGACATACAAAGCTCTCGAAAAAGTTCTCCCAACCGGAAAAGTGAAAGCGATTGGCGTCTCCAACTTCTCCCAAGCGGAAATGGAACGTCTTCTCAATAACACCTCCGTCGTCCCGGCAGCCCACCAGCTCGAAAGCCACCCCTGGCTGCAACAGCCCGACTTCGCCGAGTGGCACAAGTCCAGAGGCATCCATGTCACCCACTACTCTCCCTTCGGGAACCAGAACGAGCTGTACTCCTCCAAGGAGGGCGCCACTATCGGCAAGCTGATCGAGGACCCTGTGCTGGCTGAGATTGGCAAGAAATATAACAAGACTGCAGCTCAGGTCGCTCTTGGTAAGTCGTCCCACTCGCTCATCTATGGAATATGGTCATCAGACGTCCGGTTCGCTCATACAATACCTACCCTCCAGCCTGGGGCGTCACCATCGGCCACTCGGTACTTCCCAAGTCGAAGACCCCCTCTCGCATCAAAGCCAACCTGGAAGGCGACTTCAAGCTCGACGCCGAAGATATGCAGAAGATCCGGGGCATTGACAAGAAGCTGCGGTTCAATGACAGCAGCGCTGACTTTGGAAAGGAGTTCTTCACGGATCTGGATGGGAAGAAATAGACTTCTTCAGTTTAGGTCTTCTTTCCATGGGGGGTCAGCCTTGTATAACTAATCTTATGTTGTATATACATGCAGAATGTGCACGAGAAACGAATGCCATGAAATTCACACCTGCTCATATAACGTCTCTCTATCACTCTTAACTCATAATGTCCTCGTGTTTATCTGAATTCGACTCTTATGCTCTCCTAAATGTGGCGCAGTTAGAGTTCCTGCGAACCACGATAATCATCTGCTCTGCCTAATTACTGAAATACTGGCACTGGCACAGGCCAAATTCCCTTGACTGAGCAAGAGCCTGTGTCCCGAGGGGTCACCTGCCGCGAACTCAGGATAGACCATAGTCACAACAGCAGCAGCAGCAGCAGCAGCAACAACAACAACAACAACAACAACAACAAGTAGACCAACACCTTCTTTGCTTCCCCTTATCTTACCCCTTCAACCTGTCAACCAACCCTCCAACCAAACACCCTCAAAAGAACCAACCCATTCCACCAAATCCGACGGACCCAAACCTCCCCCCCCCGACATCGAGCAGCATCAATGGCATCTCCCTCCCACAAACCCGAGCATTCCACTACCTCCACCTCTACCTCTACAGCAACCGCACCGCGCGCTCTCGCGCTCGCACATATCCCTAAGCGTCTTATTCTATCATATGTCATCGATTGGATACTTATCATGTGCGTCTTTCCCTTTCAGTTACACTTGACTATACATCCTACCCCCCACCCAACACACACACACACATACATACATACATACATACATACATATATATATATATATATATATACCTCCACCCATCCCAAAACGCAATATAGTCAGTTATACAACTACCTAACCAACTAACCGAACAACCGAACCCAATCAACAGAGCCATCGGCCTCACCGGCTACGGGTTCTCACACATCACGCCCAGCGACCGCCCGTTCTCCCTCTCGGACGCGAGCATCTCCTTCCCCCACAAAGACAACGAGACCGTCTCGACCGCCGTCTTAGCGATCGTGTCCCTGCTCGCGCCCGCAGCGATAATCCTCCTCGTGACGGTGACGGTCATTCCCTCCAGCTCAGGGAGCACGCGGGCACGACGATGGAGATATAAGCTTTGGGAGTGGAATGTGGGATGGCTGGGGCTGGGGATCTCGTTCGCGGGAGCGTATATGGCGACGGAGGGTCTGAAGGATTTGTATGGGAAGCCGAGGCCGGATTTGCTGGCGCGGTGTAGGCCCGATGTTGCCCATGTGGGGGCTTATGCGGTCGGTGGGTTGGGGACGAGGCTTGCGGGCGCGGCGACTATGGTGACGTGGGGGATTTGTATGAATAAAGAGGGGGATGTTAGGGGGCAGGGGTTCTCGAGTTTTCCGAGTGGGCATTCTTCGCGTGAGTCAGGTGATGGTTTTTTTAAGTCGCGTTCTATCTGTCTGTCTATCTATCTAGGGGGTGTTTGGGTGTGGTTGGGGTTGGGACTTGGGGCTGAAGCTGAGGCTGAGGCTGATGTGTATGCAGTTTCGTTCGCCGGGTTGGGTTATCTCTCGCTTTGGCTGTGCGCTAAGTTCGCCATCGGTTTCCCGTACCTGGACCCGTACCGCGGTTATGGGCCGGATGGGCGGCGCAGTGCGATTCCATCCCAGGGAGCGGCGCCGCCGGTTCATATGCTCATCGTTGCCCTTGTACCTGTCGCGGTGGCTTCCTTTATCTCCGCATCACGTTGGTTTGACTACCGCCACCACGGGTTTGATATCATATTCGGGTCCGTTCTGGGGATGTTCTTTGCCTGGATTGGCTTCCGAATGTTTCAACTTCCTGTCATGCGTGGTGGTGCAGGCTGGTCGTGGGGAGCAAGGAGTCGTAAACATGCTTTCTTCCGGGGGATCGGACTGCCGAGTCATCTCGTTGCCGATACCTGGGGGACTTCCGGAGATAGCCCCGAGGCGATGGAGAAAAGAGCACGCGATATTGATCTCGAAAGTGCTCGACAGGGCCCGGACGAATGAGCATGACATAGGCTTCCACATTGGTCGAGTCGTTATGGAGGTCTTTGACGTTGGTGTTTATAATTATGCTCAGCTTCCCTTATCGCGTTGCGAGTTCAGCGATATGCAGTATAATGAATAAGCGATTCCACCTGCCAGTCAAGTCAGTAACCTTCCAATAACACCAAATCCGCCCACTCACCCGTACATCACCTCCACCCTCCCACTCTACCCTCATCCCACCTCGCCTTGGCCTCTCGTCTTGCCGCCAACTTGCCAGACTCCGCTCTGACGCGTCTAATCCAATCCGCGACCTCCTTCTCAGTCGCCCGTCCATGATGTTCCCCCTCCAGAAAGCTCTCCTCCACCGCCTGACAGACCGCCTCCTGCTCCGCGATGGAAGCAGCGAGTCGCTGATACAAAGCCTTCGGCGACCAGGGGGCCAGCGCGGTGTCCATCTCGGACTGCTTCTTCCGCCAAGAGACCTCCAACGACTGGTGCGTGAGGAGGAGGGTTTCGGTGGAGGAGCGCAGGTCTTTCACATGGGCCTGGAACTCGAGGAGCCGGTTCGCTAGGTCCTTGTTGTACTGGAGCAGCGATTGGAGGTTCTCTTGGTGTGCCGTGTAGGATGGGTGGTGGCTGGAGAGGGCGGAGATGAGACCGGGGTCTTTGAGGATGGTTTGGAGGTCCACCGTCCTGTGGAGTTGGCGTATGCGAGTTAGCTGGATTCGATAGAGGGGGCAGAGCTGGGATGCGAACGTACGTTTTCTCTTTCACACCGCTTGGGAGCCAGCCTTCTTCGATCGTGGGGGGCTTGGGCAGCGCGTTCTGGGGGCTCGGGTTGAGCGTCCCCGGAGATGAATATCTGTTGTTGGCTGGTTGCATGCCGAATCGATCCGGTGCATATTGCCCTTCGGCGAATTGCTGTGGCGGCCCTGGTACAGGTGGGTTGAGCTGAGGGGTGCCTCGCCGACTGGCCTCGTGGCTGCTGGGCTTCGGGGGCGGTGGCGGGGGAGTGTCTGGGTTCAATGCTGGGTTCATGGCGACGGTTCGGTTGTGAGAGGAGAGGGAATCCTTAGTACTGTAGTAAGCAGAGAGGCAACTGGGCTGGTTGCAGGTGGTCCGGCGACAGGCAGCAATTGGAGGGTGAGGCCAAGAGTTGCGCCGGCCGAAATGCGGGGAAAGACAATACGAATACGGCACGCCATAGCCGCCATCTGTGCCGGTGCTTATTTTTGGGGGGGTTTATTTTTGGTGGTTATGAACGGTCTGGAAAACCATACAGGAATCATATGAGATAGTTATAGTAAGTAGGGTCCATTGGAATCTATTCTCAACCTAGGTATTCTAAATATATCCAATCTATCCAATCGCATTAGGTGAAGTCATCAAATCTTTAGCATTGCGTATAATGTCTCTATGACCCCTGCTGTATTCCTCCTGTCTTGAGTCTGGCGCGAACATTGGGCCTTCGCTCATAGCGTGCTGTCCGATCGATGCAAAACAACAGAAGGTCCAGACCTCCCATTGCTGCCCGAGGCCGCATCGTCTACAGATTGACGGCACGGAGCGACTATGTCCGAGCCTTGGATGCTTTGAACCTCGACTCGACAAGAGACGTCTCACGGCCTTCCGGCACACCTAAGACACGGCGAAGCAAGCAAGACGGAAACCATTGCTGGTAGATGGCCAAAGCCACCACCCTCAAGCCTGGCTCTTAGTCGGTTCTGCGCCGCACGCCCCGGTCCTCCGTCTCAATACTCGAGCCCGAAAGCGCATCCATGACCAACTGTCGCAGTTCGTTCTGTGTAGCCTCGCTGTGGAAATCCGGCCGGGCAGCCAGCTCGTCGATGCGCCGCTTGAACTCCGGGTCGACCTGGTCCATTCCTGCACTGGCTTCCTGCTCCGACACCGTGCCCATGTTCACCTGGATGTTCGGGGGCAGCGGCAGAGCCGGGTTCAATGCGTCACCGGCTGATGGTTGGGCCGCCGGAGCTGCAGGCTCGACCCCCGCGACTTGCCGCAGGTAAACGGCAATCTCGGGGAAGGAGTCGTCGATTTCGATGCTCTCCCAAGCTGTCAGGCCCTCGTCGTTCCTCCGGTTGTAGTCCACACCCAGCTCCTCCACCAGGCACTTGGCGATGTCCAGGGTTTCCGTCACAAACAGGCAGGTTTCACTGTCCTCGTCGAGGAGGTTGACGTCCACGCCGTACTCCTTCACCAGGGCGCGCAGAAGGTCAATGTGTCCGTAGGAAGCCGCGGCATGGAGGAGGGAGTATCCATGGTCGTCCTGGCCTGATGCGATGGCCGGGTTGGACTGCAGCAGAGTCAAAACGGCGGACGGATTGTCGGCGGCCAGAATGAACGGGTTGGGTTGAGTCATCGCGACTGTAACTAACTAGCGACTAGGGTGAGTCAGTGGAGGGGGTTATCGAACCACTCGAGCAACCAGTGCCGTACCTTGAGTCACACAGCAAATTAAAGCAACTGGGATGGGGAACAAAGGAAGAGAGAGCAGCACGATGGGCTGAGACAGCAAACGGGGTTGGGTTGGCGAGGGGCTGAGAAGTGGCGCGGCGGAAAAAAAGCGCGGAGGGCAAACGGGCGATCGTCTTCTTATGCCCCGCAGCTCGATAAGAATCTCCAGCAACTGCTGATCCTGACTCAACCACCCCCTTCCCCCCCAAGTCATTCCCTGTCGTACGAGGCTCTGTCGGAGATCCCGTACAAGGCATCCGGCCAGGCACGATCTGCGAACCTCTCTTTAAAAAGGGAGCAATTGCTGCCCGATTTGCCGCTGATTCCAACACTCTTTGCGCGTGCCTTGCCCGTCTGACCTCATTCCTCTTCTCCTACCTCACCCCACCAGTGACGGCAGCTTTCAAGGGACGGATACATAGCACTGTCGATTTTTTTGACTAGAATATCTACTACACGGGGCAGACAGATCTCACAATGGTGCAGCAGGACGAGCAGGAAGTCGCCCAGCTGGTCACCAGCCTAGACCTGGCCACCAGGAAAGGCACCGCTCATGGAAAGAAGACGTTCGTATGCAAGAAGAATACCTTCAACGTGGCGAATTCCGACAACATCCGTGTGGATTCGTGGAAGTTCATGGACTGGGATTACAAACGCAGCGACCTCCCCACCTACGCCCGCGGACTGTTCACCACCAAGAGGAAGGACGGCGCCCATGAGATCGCTGTCCGCGGATACGACAAGTTCTTCAACGTGGAGGAGGTGACCGCAACGAAATGGAGGAATATCGAAAATAACACCCGGGGTCCCTACGAATTGAGCGTGAAGGAGAACGGGTGCATCATCTTCATTTCTGGTCTGGAGGATGGCACCTTGTTGGTCTGCAGCAAGCACTCGACAGGTGTCAGGGAGGACGCAGAGCTTAGCCATGCTCAAGCCGGTGAGCGTTGGGTCGAGAAGCACGTTGCCTCTGTCGGGAGAACGGTCAAAGACCTGGCACGCGAGCTGCGCAGACTGAATGTCACGGCGGTAGGCGAGCTTTGTGACGATACCTTCGAGGAGCATGTTCTTGCTTACGATGCGAACGCGTCAGGCATCTATCTGCATGGCCTCAACTTCAATGTGCCGCACTTCGCGACCCTCCCTAGCTCGGAGGTCCACACGTTCGCCGACGCATGGGGGTTCAAGAAGGCCAACTTCGTTGTCTACGACGACCTCGACCAGGTGAAGAGCTTTCTCAACAACTGTGCAGAGACTGGCACCTGGGACGGTCGGGAGACGGAAGGGTTTGTAGTTCGATGCCACTTGGGCGAGAGTGGCCGTGGCCCGTACCAGGATTGGTTCTTCAAGTACAAGTTCGAGGAGCCATACCTGATGTACAGGCAGTGGCGTGAGTGTACCAAGGCCGTCATCTCAGGCAAATACCCGAACATCAAGAAGCACAAGACCGTTACGGAAGAATACCTGTCGTACGCGCGGAGACAGCTCGCCCAGAACCCTCACCTAAAAGAACTTTACAAGGCCAACCACGGAATCATCGCGATGAGAGAAGGGTTCCTCAAGGAGCGAGGACTCAACGGGGCTGAACTCATCCAGATGGAGGCCGAAAATGAGGTGACGCAGAATGTGGTTCTAGTTCCCGTGGCCTCTCTGGGCTGCGGCAAGACTACCGTGGCTCTTGCTCTGTCCAAATTGTTTGGATGGGGTCAAGTGCAGAACGATAACATCCCCAAGCAGAAGAACAAGCCCAAGAAGTTCGCATTTGATATCACCAATCTCCTTGGCCTCCACCCTGTGGTGGTTGCAGATCGGAACAACCACATGAAACGCGAACGGGACCAGCTCATAGAAGATGTGGCAGCCGCCGTCCCCAGAGCCCGCTTCGTCGCACTCCAGTATGTCCACGAACCCAAAGACCAAATGCTTCCGGGCATTCGCGAGGTGACGCGGAAACGAGTTCTCGATCGTGGAGACAACCACCAAACCATCCGGGCAGGAAGCAACGCCCAAGAGGAGATCATCGGAATCATGGAAGGCTTCCTGAAGCGGTTCGAGGCCGTTAACACCGACCGCAAGCCGGACAGCAAATTCGACCAGGTGATCGACCTCGACGTTGCAGCATCTTCGCGGGAAAACCTGGAAACAGTCGTCAAAGCCCTCCACTCGTTCTACCCCCGGCTCGTACCCGAGATCCCAACCGCCGAGCAGCTCGACGACGCAATCAACTGGGCCATGAACGACTACGAAGTCCAGCTAGACTGGAGCCACCAGTACAGCTCGAAGCCGAGCCAGAAACCGAAACCCCCCAAGAGCATCAACAACAAGATCGCCGGCACCCGCCCTGAATCCCCCCCCGCCGCCCCTCCCAGCCCCGAAGCCCTCTCCAAGAAACTCGAATACTTCAGCATCTCCCTCCCCACCGCCGAAGTAACCACCATCCTGCAATCCCTCTTCCCCGACTCCACGGCCCCCGAAAAGGCCCGTCTCTACCGCCAACTCTCCAACTCGCGCCGCATCCAGCCCGCCTTCCACGTGACCCTGATCCACCGGGCCTCCAAAACCTCCCACGCCGATATCTGGGACGGCTATGTCCGCCAGTACATCGACAAGATGAAGTCCAAGCTCGAGTCCGACCCCACCATCACACCGTCCCTGGCTCCCGCGCGCGTCCGCCTCGAACGTCTCATCTGGGACCACCGTATCATGACCTTCGTCGCCCGCATCATGCCCTCCGATGACAATGATCTGGCGGAGTGGCCCTGCGCTAATGAAACCCCGCATGTCACTGTCGGAACCGTCTCGCCGGAGGTTAAGCCCGTCGAGAGCAATAACCTGCTCAAGCGCTGGCATGAGGTCGGCTCCGGTGGCGATACGGGTATCTGGGAGGCGGAAATCCCAGGTGTTAGGGTCGTGCGTGGCTCTGTGGGGATGGTTATGTCTCGGGGGAGGTAGATTGGTGAGAACTGGGAATTGGGAATTAGAATGATGGAATGATGGATAGATGGATGGATGTGGGTGGGTTATGAGTGATGATATCCAAGAAAAGAAGATGAAGATGGAATATAAAAGGGAGGTAGGGGAATCTACTTGCTATCATGCTAGTGGCTTCTGTAGATATCGCTAAATACCCAATATTGATGATACATATACACTTGGTTTTCTATCTCTCTTTCCCCTCCCCCCCCCCTTCTGAACAGTAAAATAGATTTGTAATGGTGGCAGCGTATCCTCATAGTATGTATGCACATCGACTCTATGCTGATTGCTGTCATTATCTCTTACCTACTTACCCACCTACCTACCCACCTACTGCCTATCCACCTAAATACTCACTGCCTTCCACCTACATACCAACCCGGTATCATAACCATAACCACTACACCATGCTCACTATCCTCATCCACAACCTCTCGATTAAATCCCCCACGAAGAGTGCGCATACCGTATCTACATACACGCATACACGCATACACGCATACACACCCCAGAACCTCAGTATAACGAATCCACTCATTTCGTCACCCATCAGATGAGATGAGATGAGATGAGATGAGATGAAATGGGATGGATACGAAGTAGTACTACTAGTAAATAGTAGTTAGCAGGTACTGCATGTATGCAGGTCGGTCTGTATGCGTGATTCGTACGATTGAGGCTTTTCTTTTCTAATTATTTTGTTTTGTTTTTAGGTTTGATACCTCGCTGCGATGGGATACATGTATATCCTCACTACAGAAAGGGAGAAAGAAAGATAGTGATAGGCAGACAGACATACAGGTTGTGATATTATCATGTAAGTATGTATGCATGTATGTATGTATGTTGTTCACGGGACTACCACTAGCAAGGATAGGGTATCATAATTAATAGTTGGTAAAATTATATGTAGTAAGATGGATGGGGAAGGAGGGAGGGAGGTATGTATGTAACTGTACACGAGTAACAATGCATGCGACATCGAAACCATATCTATGTATCATATCATGATCATGATCATGCAATCGCGAGGGAATCACCTATACAGCGAACAACTTCAAGGCGAAGCAAGATAGTCCGGGGCCCGGTTGTATCGAGATGTTGACAGCATCAGCATCAGCTGGTCATCCACGAAGTGACACGCTGAGCGCCGAAACGACCCATGAATTGCAGCCCAGTGCTACCCATGGGGAAGTAGCTGACCAGGTACCAGAGCAGGGCGGCGAGCTGAAACAGCGACGAGACGAGGGTCAACAGGGTGGAATGGAGCTAGAGGACATGAGACAGTCAGTAATTGCTATCTCGACCGTATGTTGTGCACGGCCCGCCTGGGGGGGCAGCAGTAGCGCTATGCACCTCCAGCCTGCTGCGGTTGCAGGACGACGCGAGAGATCATATCCACTAGCCGGGCGCAGATGCAGTGTGATGTCATAGCTGTCGACTAGAGGCCCCGACTGTGCGCACACCACCCCGTATGCCAGATCCTCGAGCGACGGGTTTGGATGCGATCGCAGAGCGCGCGCGCAGATGGCGCAGGCCGACGCGACATGCACCGACAGGGATGATCCTGGGAAACCGAAGAAGAGTTAAGGAACAGGCTACTTACTCCCATAGCAAAGTACAAGGTCATGGCGATCGAGCCGAAATAGGCCGCCGTGAAGGGCAGGCGTGGTCCCGAGACCAGATGTTTTGCGTAAACCCAGGGTCCCATGAGGACCGCCCATGATAGCAGAAACAGCAAGGAACCAACCGACCATCTAGTCCAGAGGTAAAACCGGTTCGGTCAGCCACAGATCCATAACAAGAGCGCTTGGCAAGCACTGTGGGTGAGGCGTGACGAGGTGCAGCCCAGATACTGGAATGTAGCCGGATCGGAGATGCATGATGCATGCTGCTCAGCCAGGGCATGGCAGGCACTCCACCGCCTCGTGCCTCGCCGGGGTGGTGAGGTAGGGGATGGCTGGGCTGGGATGCCAGGAGATCAGCCGGGGTCTGGAGAACGACTTACAGGATGGCAAACTTGCGGGGTTTGAGCGAGAGCACCGGGAATAGGAAAAAGCAAAGCAGGAAGCAGACGGTGGCACCCAGGTTGCATGCGATGAAGATGAGCATCCGATCCCATCTACTTACTGTAGAGGGAAAGTATGATTAGCATTAGGCCAAAGTTAAACGACGGAGAAAAAAGATAAGGAAAGAGGAGAGAAAAAAAAAAAAAGAAGACCCATAGAACCCAAAGAAGAACGAAACAAAATAAAATACAAATCGGAAGCGCGCAAGTACAGTCATGCAAGTAGCGCGATGGTAGATGTACATCATCCACCGTTACTAGGGCTTCCGTGAAACCCGGTCAGACGCAGGAACTGAGTCGCTGTCACCTGGACCAGGCAGTGCAGCAAATCAAGGAAAAGGACTTCTGCTCGGAGAATCGGTCATGCGTTCGGAGCACTCACAGGCGAAGAAAGTATCTTCCTCTTCCCGTCGACTTGCGGCCGGTAGAGGAGCTCCTGGAGCTTCATGAGTGGGCAGCTGCAGATAACCCTCCCCTTGACCAAATGGATTCCAAGACTGCAACCGTGAAAGAATGGGGGTGTTGGACGAGTTGGTGCGCGCGGGGAGGTCTGGTTCGCGTCGCGACCAGCCCAATGAGTTGACTGAGTCGCGGAATGAAGTCGTCGCCATGACTGTTATTGGCCTCGCTGCTAATGGGCCCGGTTACGCCCCGGGTGGGAGGGGGAGGAAGCGCCGGGGCCGGGCCGGGGACGGGGAGAAGGGGAGCAGAGGAGTCGGCTCTAGTGCCAACGGCGAATCGACCACTGGGGAGGGAGCGACACTGTGGTGACAAGGCGAGGAAGCCTCTGCAGGGACTATGCACGACGGACACCAATATGTGCGTGCAGATGATCTGCAGATATCAGCGAAGGAGGGGGAGACGACGACGAGCGAGCAAGCGGCGGTGATAGGACCGAACAAGAGCGGGCCAGATGACTGTTGCGCAACCGGACTAGGCTCCCGAGGAGCTTGGGCACGGGACAAACCTTGAGCCTGCTAGCAGATGGTATCTAGTACGGAGTGGTCTCGTCCAGGGTGGTGAGGTGAAGCTGATAAGCTTGTGATCGCCCTCTTGCCCGATTCGTAACCGTCGTGCTATCCACCGACGGACGGGATTGCACTGCTGGAGCAGCCGACCTATTATTAGAGAGGGACGGGCTGGCCAATCCTCTCGGGCTTTCGTACGGCGTAGCGCAGACTGAAACAGTATCTCCGAGGGCCGATGTAACACTTGCTAAGTAGCTATAGACCGGGGCGGTCCCACGGGCAGGAAGAGTACTTAGCCTCCCACCCACGCGCGCAAGGAATGTCGAGGTCCAAAGGCCAATGACCCAGTAAGGCGAGGGAGTAGCGGGCGACCGGGGAAGAATGGGAGGGAGGGAGGGGGAGACTGCTGCAAGATGATGACGATAATGGGTCGCGAGTATCCTGGATGGCGTAACGCTGGGGCCACGCTATTTCAAGACAGATCGTCTCTACACAGGCTGCAAGATTAGCCAGTCGTCATATGACTTGGGGAGGGGAGGGAGGGGGTGAAGGAGGGGGGAAAGAGGAGCGAGGCCGAGAGGGGGTAGAGAAGGGGGGACTGTGTGTGTGTGTGTGGGTGGGTGGGTGTGGTGGTGGTGGTGGTGGGTGGGCGTTGGTGTGAGCAGGTGGTCGTGAGGAGAGAAGGAAGGTATCCGAAGCCAGGACGGAACCACCACGACCACGACCATCCCCATCCAGATCCCCAGCACAGGCACCAACCCCAAGGAATCAGAACAGCGAGTCAATTAGGGTTACATACCAGAAGACAATGAAGAACGCTTCGCTGAGAGGCTGTGGAGAGAGGATGTCGAGCAGGAAGGCGAGTGATTCCCACGGATGTCGCGATAAGTCGAGGAATACGGATTACGGAGTCTACTGGAATGGGAGTTCGTCCACCCGGCCTGCAAGCCAATCAGCAGCCCCGTTGGCCTGGACGGTGTCCGGGTGACGGGGCTAAACCCAATGCGAGCTGGTGACCCCAGCTGAGCTGCCGATCCACCAATGGCTGCTTGATGGTGCGCCATGGCGGGCAGCCTGGATACATTTGATTGGCCCGTGATCTGGCCGTCGCCCTCCGTGCTTGAGACCATTGGAGAGTTGGACTACACCGCCCATGGGGTTAGCGCCTGTTCCGCTGACCTTCCCCTGCTCCATATTCAGTACGGTAACTGCGGAACCGTACCACGACTCACAAGATACGGGGTTCGACCTTCTGGCGACTCCTGCCAACTCCCTGCAACTTGCTACTTGCGACGGGATTGACTTCCCCCCCCCCCAAAACAGACTCAGGATGGGTTGGCGCATGCCTATCTTTCGACCGGCCTCTTGGTCGGTCGAATGAGCTCGTCGATCTGCTCGTCCAGCGGAGAGGGTCTTCGTTTAGACCGGTGGCGACCTGGGAACCTTTCCGGCTGGCCTCGCTCTTAGTCCAGTCGATCCTGGTTAGAGCAGCCGTTGATGCAGAAGCCTACTTGAACTTCAGTACTTCGGTACCATCTATACAGCAGCATACGTCCTCCCCTCTCTATCTGCATCCGCGAACTACTGCCCCCCCTGGTGGGGTTGCATCAGGCAACTCGAGGGGGAGACACATTACGTAGACGGCAGCAGCCTGCGACTTTCGAAGTTAAAGTGAGTGCAGAGTGATCTACCTTATCATCATTCGGATTGATGCTCCCGTTGCGCACGCAGGTTAACAAGATACTTCCCAGGCACTCACTCGATCAGCGCTAGGGTCGACTCCGGCAGCAACCCTGGTCTCCACGATTCGATTGTTTTTTGCCGTGAGGTTACAGGGTACAGGCCCCGCCCCATGTTCCCCCACTCGAAACACATCGCAGCCGTTTGGCTCCTTGATCTATCCGGCAATGCGACTGTCTGATGCCCGGCCATACAACATGATATTCTGGTACGACTACCGTCACAAGCCCCCAGCCCGCAGCGTAGCTTTCTTCCTTGCCTGCAGGTGAAAAGTAACTAGCAGCTCCTAGTCCTATAGTCTCTGCACGTAGAGAGACCGACAGGGAAGCATGGGGCGAAAGCAGCTCCTACCTTCGCCTCCCACCATCCATCCGATCCGTCCAGAGACAGACTCCTTGCAGTGACCGTGGATATCGGCCATGCACTCCAAACCTTGACGGGACGGGACGGGCGCAAATTGCGGGAACCAATGCTGTCCACCCTCTGCGCTTCCAGTGTTGGTTGTTGGTACATGCCCGGCTTATCTGGGAGGGCGCCGCATCTGGTCGCATTGGCCGGATGGGCTGACCCCCGATCCGCCTCTACTCCCGTCATTCCACCAGGCGCTGGATGTAAAATGAGAGAGACGCGGTGTGGTGGGTGTGGGCGTGTATGTGTGAGTGTGAATGTGGCATGCCGCGTTATCCTCCGCCGGAAGGGCCTACATAGTTAGTCCAAAGTGCAGGAATTCAAGTCAGTCGCGTGTAGTCCGTGATGGATCTGGTTGGATCGTGACATACCATCCATCGACACTTTGTACATTGTAGCAGGGGGGCCGATATCGCTACTGACTGCCGGTGGCCGTTTCCGGGCTATCAAGGCCCCCCGATTGATTTGATGCTGAGGGGTGATTGGTGCATGGGTTAGTTTGACAGCATTCCAGGAGCAGGTGAGTGCGTGAATCATAGCTCTCCCCACATTCTTGGTGACCTGTATTCCAGATGATCGGAGATGGAAAGGGCAATGGATGGATGGCGAAATGGGGGTATAGCAATCTCCTGAGGGAGTGCTGGCGATGCAGGTGGGTTTCGCATAGGAATCAGGAATCAAGGCTGGACTTGGACGACCGGTCGGGATCACGGAGAGGAATGGGGAGGTTGTTCAGGGGAGGAAGGAGCTACATCTTGTACGGAGTACTCTGTACATCTATATATATAATTATCGCTTTTAGATTTCTTTTGCTACGGGCCTTCTTATTGATTAGATCTGCAGCCTGCTTAATACTATGAAAATAATTAAGATTTTAAATAAGATTTATAATTCATATATTAATATTATTAAATAAGAAATTATAGTCGCACGCTCCTCAAGCCTTGTCAACAAACATGGGCGCGAAAGCCCGGAAAGGCAGGAAAGCCAACCCTCCCCCCCACTCGGGCCTATCAGATGGCCAAGGCAGACCGTCTGCACTCCTGCTCGGGAAGCGACAGGCAGGCTGCACGGTGTCACGGACCGCCTTTCTTGTGTCAGTCCCGACCTGGAGACGCTCGGACGCTGCCTTGGCGACCTGCTTTGTAACATTATCACATAGTAGTATGAAATTCGCAGACAATCCTCGTCTACGCGGCTCCATCGTTCCTCGTCGTCATCGTGGTCAGTGTGCCCTGTGCCCTGTGCCCTGTGCCCCCGTGGAAGGAAGGGAACGGGAGTGGAATACGGGTCCCCGTATCGAACCATGTGCACTAGATAATGATATGCCCTATCGCACCCGCGAGAGCTTGATAGCTGATAGTTGATTGATTATATCTAAGCGGGGCTAAACCGCATCCATGATCCATCCCTCGTACCGTGTTTGTTCTCTTGCCCCGGCGTGCTGTCCCGCTCGTCGATCCTATTAGCGTCCAGGGATGCCAGAAACCCATCCATGAAATGGGTCCCCCGCCTGGACAAAGAAAGGTAACTTTGGGTCTTATCGGGGAGAGGGGGGATGGGAAGGAGATCTATTCCTTCATCTATGCTTTCCGCACGGTCAGCCTGGCAGCCCCGATTCATTCTATCATTCTTTTCCCGATCCGGAAGTGCCTAGGCACCTAGGTAAGTAGTTAGTTACCTTGTAGGTACTAGGCAGGTAAGATAACCCGAGTGGGCGCGGTATCCCACCACCTCCACCACTTCCTCCACCATCATCGTCTGCCGTCGACCCGGGAGATTATTTTTATTTCCTTTTGCATGATTATCTGCACCATTTCTGCCTTTCGACCTAGCCGCAGATGATGTCATCGGTCTTGGATCCCTCGAACGCCATGGTTCTCGAAATCGCACGCTCCAAGGTCACCGACTAGTGGGCGCCCAGTAGCGTGAATGATCTTGGTATGCTTGGGGCTTGCCTAGTCTGGCATCTGATACATTCCCCCCTACGACATGGGTTATCGCTGATAGCAGACGGAATCTCCTATCGTAAACGTCGGGTTGTAAGTCCGAGAACGCGAATAACCACTAGCCTTGCTGCCTACCTGCTATCGACTTGCTATATTCCAGCCCTGCTATAGGTAGCGGAGCGTACCGTCGTCGCATGCTGCCGTGGTATACTACTAGTACTAGTAGTATGTAACATCTGATTGATAATGGACTATACCTTCCCTCCCCGACCAGGCCCAGAAGCTGACCCGAGTGAGTCATGAACTGCCCTGGCAGAGAGGGGACAGGTGACAAATATAGTAGTACCTGCCTGCTCATGGGATTGGGATGCTCGTTATCTTCCCTCGTCCATCCGGACGGTGCTACCCTCCTTGATTGAGGGTTTGAGGGCTACTGCCCCCCTCCTCCACCAACCACACGCGCCCCTTCCTGCTTGATTCAGGGCTGGCCGATGACTCGATACATACATCCATACGTCCATACATAGTACTTACATCCCCCCCCCTCCATCTTCATACTGTTACTGTACTAGCCTCGTTCCTCGGACCTGGCTGCATCGCCACTGGCTCTCCTTCTCTCCTCTCCTCTCCCCTCCTTCCCCTCTCCTTCCCCCTCCAGTCCTTTCCCGTAATTACCCATTTATTCTTAATTTCGTGGTATTTATTTTCTTTTTTTTCCAGATTTCTTTTTCTTTTTTTTTATTTTCCTTTTCCCTTTTGTCCTTTGATTTCCACGGCCTCTGTTTTTAATTAATTAATCTAACATTTATAATTTTAGTGGCATTCTAGCAGGCTGAAGAACCGGTTTACGCGCGTAATGCCCGTCGTAGATGGCTTGTTAAGCCTCGTCGATTTGAGGATCGACGCCCTGCATGACCTTGACCGTGATATATCAAATGGGAGGCTGTGAAGAACGCCGCGCGACGTCCTTAAAAGCCTTCCTTTCCCTCGTTACTCCAACCTGGATATGCTTTTTCCTTCGATCTGATTTGGTTTCTGCTCGTCCACCGCACACATACTGTTCCCGGATCCCATCTCATCTCTACTAAGGCACGCATTCGCCCATTGCTATCGCCGCGACACCACACCACACAGCACTCGGCACCGCCGAATTCGAACTCCCCGCGAATCGCCTGTTTACGCCCACTGTCATCCAGGGAGGTCCCTACTAACCCTACCGATATCCCCTCCTGTTCAGCGTCGCTGGCCGAGCACGAACCCCCGCCTCGTTGCCTGTAAGTAATCACAGCTAAATACCTGGCTTTCCTGCGCCCCGAGCGCTGCATGTCTACTTTCCCATATAAGCCCCTCCTGCCTCTGGGTCTGAGACAAGGCTGCTCCTGGGCGCTTCCATTGTTACTCTCCCCAGTTGTTTGCTTTTTCACCTCTGTCTGCCCATTACTGGCCTTGAGCCTCGCCCTTTCTCCCTCTGTCCGTCTCCCTACTGTCTATGGGGTTGGTCTCCTGAGATCTCTGGTGCTGTCATATGTTATCTCTGGACTTGGCGCTCTCGCGGCTCTGAGAACTCTGTCATATCAGCCGGTTATTGGGAGTCGAGCAGTCGCTGACCGTGATTATTGCAGGACACTCGACGAAGTGGATATCACATTTCGACCTGACCTGAACATATCTTTACCTGGTAAGTAAATATCTTTTTTTTTTGCTACGTTGTATCACTGTTCCTTGCGGGCCATTTCCTTCTTTCTTCATTATCAACCCCCATCCCAAGCCCTGTCGCATCGCGACAAAAAGTGCCGTCCCTGTGAGGGCGTGAGCCTGAGGGTCTTGCCCACTGTCGAACAATGGAGAGGCAGAGCGGGCAACGAGCAAAGCGAAAAGAGGGGCTAGTCCTCCCTTTCCCCCATGATGGCATCCCTGGCAGCACGATAGCCGGGTTGGCCTGTCCTCGACGGAGGGGCTGTTTGGGGTAGAACGCCGAACGTCGCAGCGCAGCGCCGTTGGGCTCCGACCCCTGCATGCTGTCTCGGCGGGGGGAGGTGATACCCACCGATCGCGGGGGGTCAGTGGGAGGGGCGCGTATGCGACTCCCCATCCCCCAAGGGGTTGAGTTACCGCGGGGCAACCTCGGAGGGCTCTTCGGAGGGCTCTCCTGGTTTGTCTCACGGACCCCGAGACGAGCGATTTCCGGCTGGAGGGAAGCGGGGGGAGGGGACGTCGGTGAGCAAAGAGGGGAGAGGGGGAGAGGGGTGATGCAGCCTACGACAATCATCATCATCATCATCATCATCATCATTGTTGCTTTTGTCGTCATAATCATCATTGTCGGCATCGGCATCAGCATTGGCATATCTCATCCATCAATGCTCAATGACTGGAACGGGGCGGGTGTCAGATTCCGGGGCAATGAAAGGCTGGCGCAGTCGGGCTCCACCGTGAACTGCCTGCACCGACCGCCTCCCTGAACAGGAAATACAGTGTACCCCCCCCCCCACGGTGCCTGTTTCATCGCCCCTCCACACTGGCTGCTGTCTGTTCTGTCTGTTCTGTCTGTTCTTCTCGCTCTCTCCGTCTGTCGCATACCCCAGACAGTTTCCCACATCCAACAGTTCCCAGTCTCCCCCTCCCACTCTCACATCTACATTATTTGCCTCCCTTGTCTGCCTATTTTCCAGTTGGATCCGGTTCTGTCGCCCACAGACCCGCACTCACTTGCCTGTCTTGCCTTATCGGGCCCTGTCTGCCTGGTTCCCTTCCCTTCCCTTCCCCTTCCCCTTCCCCTTCCCCTCCATTGTTCCAGGCTTCCAGGCTTCCAGCCCGTCGCCTCCGCAGCCCCATCGCCCGTCGCCGCCTTTTCGTTTTTCTCTTTTCCTTTTCTCTCCGCCTCTCTCCCTCCCTCCATCCTTTATTATCCTTTTCTGTCTCGCTTATGGCCACGCAACTCCGCCTTTTCCTTTGACCGGCTTGGCTTCTGTCCTGTCCTGTCTTTTCTTTTCCCGCTGATTTTGACTCTCCCTCCGCGGTCGCTCACAGCCCGACTCCTTAGACAGTCTCATTTGGCTCGGCGCCGCCGATCGACGGGGCAGCCTATTGGATCTCGGACTCCGCCCACGATAGTGGCATTTTCCCGAGTCGTCGTCCGCTTTCGAATCTTACTTTCACCACCTCTTCGCCCACTTCGTCCACCGCGGCCAGTTAACTCCGATCACGAACCCCCTCGCATTCTCTCAGCTCCCTCCCCCAGATCAGAACCAATCGTATCATCAACCCATCCAGGAGGCATCGTCTGCATCACTTCTCGCTGCTTGATTACTTGATAGAGAGAGGTTCTCATTCTTCTGGTGAGTGAACCACCCCAACGCCTTCCCGGATTTGTGGTGGTCTGAGCCACCCCCCCCATGTTTCTCCTTCTTGAGTCACCTCGCCCCCTCCCCCCATGGCTCGTCGCGATTTCTTGCTCTCTCCCTGTTTGATAGATCGCTAACAGACTCTGGCTCGATCTGTCAGATTGCCTCCCCGCCACCCTCGGACTTTGCGTGATCCTCTTTGATGAGTCTGCTTCACCGCTTGTCAGCCTTGGATCAATACCCGAACCCGTTGCCGTGACGCTGAGAGTGCCGCGCTTTATATTAGGAGCCCACCTCGCTCCTCCAACTTGAGTTTGGGGCCCTCCCTGCAGTCACCGACCCCATCTCCCCACAATCTCTCGTGAGTGCCGATCTTGGTTCGTAAGGCTCCCTTGAAGAAGCGGTCGGCTTTCTGCTTGAGAGCTTGCTCGGGATAGCTGCGAGATGGCAGAAACGAGCATTTTCATCAAGAACGAGCCTGACGAACACAGCAGTGATCTGCATCAGTTCATGATGTCGCAATCCGGCTACTCCATGTCGAACCAGTTTGGGAACCCCAATGAAGGGGTGGACCCGTCGGAGCTGAGCATGCCCAACAGCAATGGGTTCATGTCCTACCCCTTCAGCTCGCAGCAGAGCTTCAATTTTGGAAACTCTGGCATTGACACTGACGAGCTGTTGGACTTGGAGATTAACGGCCAGAATGGCCTGCAACAGAACTATATGCAAGACCAGCATTCTGGCGGTATCTCCATGAGTCATCCCGGCCAGATGTCCCAGATGTACTCCAACACACCGGACGGCGCTCCCATGCACAGCCCTTACATGCAGAGCTTCAACAACTATGAGCATTTCCGGAACATGGGCCAGCCAGGACAGCCGGGCTCTCACCTCCAGGGCGGATCTCACTTCGAACAGAGCTACCTCAACGGCAAGAGCCGGCCTAGCCTGCAGGCCGTCGACCGCGCATCGCTCGATGCGCGCAGCCCCATGACCCCCAAAACCCCTGCCCTGGGCGGATTGACCCTTGGAACCCCGGAGTCCGGAAGCTTCCCCAGCCAGCCCATCCGGACCGGCCTTCATCACCGACACCAAAAGACCCTTTCCAACCAGTGGGATGGTACACCGGGCAGTGCGCATTCCTTCGTGGAGTCTCCTATCTCCTCGCCAGGCCACCCGTCCCATCATGCCGGGATCTCAGAAATCCTCAAATCCGGAAAGCATGCTTCCTTGCCGGCCAAGGTTGATCACATGCCGGGCAGTGCCCAGGACCTGGAGTCCCAAGAAGCGAAGCGGCGCCGTCGGAGGGCCTCGCACAACCTGGTTGAGCGCCGGCGACGGGACAACATCAACGAGCGCATCCAGGACCTCTCCCACCTGGTTCCCCAGCATCGGTTGGAGGATGACAAGGTCCGCAAGCAGCTTGTCAACAACACGGCCATGTCTGCCACCGGAGCTACTCCGAACGCCGCGACGTCTCTGCTGGCCGGGGGCAATGGTCGCCGGGCCACCGCCGGGAACATCACCATGGGCCTGCCGATCGAGGAGAAGGAGAAAGGCCCGAACAAGGGCGACATCCTGAACGGAGCCGTAGGCTGGATGCGTGACCTGATGTGGTCTCTGCACGTCAAGCTCCAGCAGGAGTCGGAACTCGCCGAGTTAATCAGCAGCCTGGGAGGCACGTGGCCCTTTGAGCAGACCGAGGAAGAGAAGCGGATGCGGACGGAGATCCTCGACGCGCTGGAGAACAACGACCCTAGTTCTTTTAGCTACAGCCGCGCGCCCGGGAGCGGACTGCGGGTGCCGAAACACACGAACATGGCAGGCGACGCCGTCTCAGGCAACGGAGCGTTGAGCCCGCAGAGCCTGAGCCCGCCGTTCCACGGCGGCAGCAGCAACGGCACCGGGCAGGCTCAGTACTGGAGCAGCTCCGGGCACGCGGGCATGAGTTTCAAGGAGGAGGACGAGTATGCGATGGAGATGAACTAGAGGCATTCCAGCGCTTCCATTTCTTCAACGAATGCATGTCATGACCTGTTGCATACAAAGGCGTCTAACGGACGGGTGGTTGACCGGCGTACGAGGAAGTCTTGGTATATCATCGAGGCTAATTGTCCCGTCGAACTTTTTGCTGTCATGGTTGGGTTTTCTTCTCATGTTTGCGGTTCTTCTCTTTATGACTTTGATTTTCACTTCTGGGCTTGACCGTCTCGGTATTCTTTTTGGTGGTTTTTCGCATCTGTTATTTAGTGCTGCGTTCTGATTGACGAACTGATTCTTTCGGAGTGCATTCCTTTGTTTTCTTTTCTTTTGTTTCTGGCCCTTTGCGCATAATGGTGACCAAGATCGGGCCCACGACATTGCTTGCGTCCTTTTGCCGTTTTTGCTCCCATTATTACTCTTTTTTTTTTTCAGTTTTCATCATCGATACCCTTTTCCCATCATGTCTGATACGCTCATGCTCCTTAATAATGGATGTCGCTTTTTGAACTTGACCCTTGCTTTGACCGTTGAATCTTGACCGTTGAACGCATGTGAATCTTGACCATTGAACGCATTTCGGATGCCAATCAATCAATCAATCAATCAATCTACTGCAAGCTGAGATTTCTCTCCATCTCCAAATATGTTGTTCTATATAGTTTGAGCCCTGATACATTGGTAACGTACACATGCACACATGCGTATGCATGCTTATGCTTATGCTTATGCTTCTGAATGAGATCGATACTCGATCTGGTAGTCTATCCTATAACCCAACCAACCGCTTTCCTTCCTTGCCTGCCTGGCTATCTACCTACCTACCTACCTATCTACCCTCTACATCCAGCGCCATGCCTGGCCATCGGGAGTCTAGAATTGCCAGACATGACAATGATAATGACAAGGGTTAAAGTAAAGTAAGGTAAGCAAGCAAGCACCGGGCGTTCGTCAAGTCAAGCAACTAAGTCAAGTCTCACTCTCGACGCATCGTATCTAGCGCCGCGCCGCGCCATGCACTGCACTCACTGCATGCAGTATCTACCTTACCTTACCTTACCTTACCTTACCTATCTCATAGTAGTTAGACTTGGGCTCCATCCCGGCTACGGCTACGACTAATACTACCTAGTACCTAGTACCTGCAGCCCATCTATAGGACATACTACTACTACTACTACTACTACTACTACTACTACTTATTATTATTATTATTATTAGATTGATCAATCAAGTCGTTCGTCAGCTAATCAGCTAGTAATCAGTAATCCATCATGTATATAAACATCCAACTATGCCTATACATGTATGGGTCATCACCACTACAACTACCACCACGATCACCATTCATGTCAGTCTAGATGTCTATGCTCATTTGCTTGCTTGCTTGCTTGCTTGCTCACAGTGGCTTGTCAAGTCAAGTCAAGTCAAGTCAAGTCAAGTAAACAGAATAGTCTGATCAATCAACCACTCAATCACGTAATAGCCTGACTCATGCATCCATCTACCTACAGTATGTGTGGTTAGTACCACCACTACCACTTATGTGTGTCACAATCTAGATGTCCGTGCTTGCTTATAAAGTAAACGGGAATAATCCAACCAACCAACCAATCAATGAATCATGAATGAACAGTCCAATGAAAAAAAAAGAGAAAAAAAAAAAAGAATCTATTCACCCAGCCCCCAGCCAACTCATCCAATCAACGGAATCCCCTTCTATTCTATTTCTGAGAAAATCAAGTCTACTCGCCGCGCATGTTCCGGAAGAAGTCCATCACACCGGTGAACACGACGAGGAGGATACCACCACCGGGACCGAGACGGAGAACCTTGGGGATGAAGCCCTTGTAGAGGGCGCTGAAGCCCTCCTCCTTCATGACGGTGCCTAGAGCAGGCCAGGCCCAGTTGTACTTGGGCACCTGGCCGGGGACCTTGGTGGTGTTCTGGATGCGCGACTTGACCACGTCCATGGGGGTGTTGAGGATGGTTCCGGCGGTACCTCCGATCGAACCGGCGATCAGGTCGTTGCGGGTCTGCTCGGCCTTGTTTCCGGGGGCGGCCTTGGGGAGCTGCGCGCGCACCTGGAAGATGCAGCCGAAGTAACCGGCGTTCCAGAGGATGTGGCGCCACAGCGTCGACTCCAGACCGTTGTACATGGCCAGCGGGCCCTCCGCGGCGACGATCTTGCGCACCACATCCAGCATGCCGTTGTATTTCGACGCCCGGTCCTGCAGACGGATCTTGACCAGCTCGAAGGGCACAACCACGAATGACTCTGTCGCTCCGGCCGTGGCGCCCGTCAGGATCGCCAGCGATTGTGTCTGTTCGGCTTGGCCGAAGAGGTTGCGGTAGAATGAGCCCCAGCTGTCGTTGGCGGCGAATTTGGTCGCGCGCTTAGGCGCTTCCATCAGGATGGGCGCGGAGATACCGCGGTAGAGACGGGAGAAGCTGAGGGGGGTGGGTTGGGTGGTTAGTGCGGGGAATCTTGCAGTGGGGGTGGGGGAACTCACCCCTCGTTCTTGACGATCTTGCGCATGCAGTCGAACATGCCATTGTAGTAATCCTGACCGGGAACGGGCGCGCCCTGGAGCTGACTGGAGTGGGGGTCAGTGGGCTGTTTGGTGGTCGGGATTGCAATTCCGTGCGAAGGCAGGGAGGGAGGGAGGAAGGAAGGAAGGAAGGAGGGCTTACACTCGTGTCTTGACCACATCCAAGGGGTACCTGTGGGAGAAGGGGGGCGGTTAGTGTTGGAGAGATGGGAGAGCCGTTGGAAGGAATTCAATTGCGCACATAACAAGAATCTACATGGCTCGGTTAGTCGCGTGCTCGCCGGTCAAGGAATCAGACCATACGTACCTCGGACACACCGGCCACGGCACCGGCGATGAACTGGTAGCCGAAGGGCAGGGGCTTCTGCTGGGTGTTGTTCGACATGATTGCGGGGGATGGAGGGCAAATCGATGAGGAGACGAACAGCAATCAATTGGGCGGGGAGGGGAGGAGGAGAGGAGGAGAAGAAAAGAAGAAGATGGAGGGAGGAGGGACTGAGGCCGAGTCGGCGAGGGTCGGGGCTTCACCGGGACCGTTCCTGATCAGGTTTAGCGCTGCCCCACGTGCCGCCCCACGGGGCCCTCGTCTGTCACTTTGCGCTCTCCAGACATTGTACTTTGTATTGGATCATTCATGGTGGCTACGAATTGAATCACCTATGTCCATCGTATGCTTTTCAAATGCTTCGAAATTGGATAGTTACATGTTTCTACCCATGCTGAGGTATAATCTCACTTAGTATATAGAACAGTCAGCCAGTCATTATGCATCATCATCATCATCATCTCATTTTCACATCATCCTATATCGTCTATCATATTCATATCATATCAAATCAAATCATGTCAAATCAAATCATGTCAAATCAAATCATGTCAACGTGATTCATCATATCCAAAAAGCCCCGGCCACAGCCACCCCCACAGTGAGTCCGAGGGTCCACCCCGACCATGCAGGCCGACCACAACCACCCGTCGCCGTCTCCTTGGCCACCGTCTCCGTGGCCGTCGACGTCGACACCGCCGTGCAGCTGGCCCCGCATCTATATCCTGTCGGACAGCAGCCTCCTCCAACGGTTGCGGCGCAGCTGAACCAGCCACTTGCGCATTTCTCCGTCTTGCTGGTTGTCGCTGTCGCTGTCGCTGCCCCCGTTGTCGTTGCCGTGCCCACGGGCTCTACAATCGTCACGCCGTCGCTGGTGAAGGTCGTCGACGCCACCGTCGGACAGGACGTCGTATCGCAGTCGCGGCCTGTCCGACAGCATCCTCCCTGGTAGACAGCCGAGCAGGCGTAGAACCCGGTCGGACAGACCGATGCCGTGTCGGACGTCTTGGTGGTCTGCGAGGTTGTCGCGGTCGAGACGCTCGTAGCTCGAGCCGGAGGGACCAAGTCGCCCGTCGACTGGGTTGAAGTCGCCGTGGTCTTGGCGATCGTGTGCGTGGAGGTCGACAGCATGACGGTCGAGCTGACGGTCACGGTGATGGTGAAGACGCGCATGCCTGGGCAGTTCAGTTAGCCTTAGCCTCAGTCCACAGTCACATACACGATAGATGGTATCCGGGGATTCCGGGATACTTACAGCCTCCACTAACACACGAATAGCCAGGAATACAACACCCCCCGCCCAAAGCCGACGAGCAACTGGTGTATCCATCCTGACACGACCCGATGGTGCCCGAGCACGTCTCCCCACTGGGACAGCAGCCCACATCGCCCGACCCGGTGTCCGTAACCAGGACGCAGGTGTCGCCCGTGCTGCAGCAGCTATCGGGCCGATCAATGGACGTGCACCCGAACGTGCCAGACGGACATTTGAATTCTCGCCGAAGAAGCGGTGAGAAGTGCTCGCTCCACCCGCGTCGCTCGACCTCGAGGTCGTCGCTCGGGAACGACGGTTGGAAGGGGTACGAGCGCGGCTGGAAATCGACTCTCTCGCTGGTTTCGGTTTCCACGCTCGGGGGTTGTGTTTGCGAGGATGACCGGTCGGGAATGTCTGAGGCGTTGCCGCCACTGCTGACTGTGTGGGGGTGGTCTTCGTCGAATTGCCAGTAATCCAGGAAGAACTTCTCGCCTTCGTCGGAGGTCATTTTCCGGACTCCGCGGATGGGCTTCTGTGTCAGGTAGGATTCGATGAGGGCATTGTGTTGGAGGATCTCGTCGTCGTGGGTGATGCTGATGGAGGTGGAGTTTGCGGAGGCCTGTCCGGCGATCGAGGACCCCAGTACACAGGCCAGCAGTGGTACGAGCAGCATTGAAGCGGTTCTGGATCTAAGCCATGGTTAACTTGGGAAGGATACAGAAAAAGAGAGCAACACATACAGGCGGGGAGTTCTCAGCGCAGCCGGGTTTTAGAGTACAGTACAAACAACTGCCTGACGGGTGTGATCGATCGGAATTGCTCCGGGATATCAACCCTCGAGGATGGAAGAAGAGTGACAAGGATCAACTGCAGATCATGTCCGCTATAAATATATGGCGCACTAATTAGCATGGTTACCACAGCAAGGTCTAGCTGGAGCCTGGAATAAATGCGTGGCTGGGAATCACTGCATCCCCCCAACCCCAATCGGGAAACCCGCCCTGGACACCGGCAGTACCTCACCGCCTTTACGTCATTGCAGCGAGTGTCAGTTTCTTGATCATTTTTCCTTCTCGCCAACTACTACCTCCGATTTCGACTCTACGGACAGCTCTTCACTTGCAATGTACCAGTGAATGGCACTCTGCTTGGTGTCTAAAGACCATGCTATTAATAACAACATCTGCCCTACAGATTGAACACCCAACGGAGCACCCTAAAGGACTTTTGGGGATAGTCCATATAAATACATCATGCTTTTCTTTGCACTTTCAACATCAAGGGCTTCATGGATATAGGGTGTCATTTCTTGTTCCCATTGCCACAGATCACAGATATCGGTGACAAGACCTATCAGTACAAGGTCGCGACTGATCATGTCATATTCTCTGTTGATCACCCTACCAAATATAACTCAACCAGACGTCGCAGCAAGTCGAACCTTCATCCTCGTCCCATCCACCGGCTTCGCGGTGACCTTCATAGTCTGGTATCGAAGTCAGCCACAATTTCAGGAGAAGAGGCGCAACACTTACGTTGAACAGCTCTGATTCAACCTCATACTGTCCCCTGGCGTTCAGAATAGGCTCCCCACTCGCATCCCGGGCAAGTGCCCCCTGCCCCATCTTCTCAAAGTCGAACCGTCTCGCCGTGCACGCGAGAATCACCCGAGCCTCGATATTCGCCAGCTCCTGCCCGATGCAATTCCGCGGGCCACGCTCAAACGCCCGCCACGCACTGACAGGGATTTGACCCGTCGCATCCGGCCCGTTGCGCTTTTCATCCATCAGACCCGGACCGGTATCTGTATCCCCCAGCCAACGTTCCGGGACGAACTCATCTTTCGTGGGGCCGTAGACAGCCTCATCTCGGTGAACCAACGTCGCGCAGCTGTATATGATCACCCCATCCAGACAGAGCGGGCTCCCGTCCGGCAACTGCACAGTGAACCCCTTGCCTGGGGGCATATACCTCGCGGTCCCGGAGGGCGGATACAGCCGCAGGATCTCCTTGATCACTGCAGAAGTATACGACATCTGTCGAAGAATATCACCCCCTCCCGGCGCCAGCAGCTTCTCCTGAACGACCGCCGCAGAGGTCCCGGCCCCGAAGATCTCGTCCAGCTCGCGACGAAGCATATCCAGTACACGTGGGGTTCGACTAAGCTCGTAGAATGTCCATTGCAGCACTATACTCGTGGTATCATGGCCAGCGAAAAGGAAGCTTTTGAGCTGATCGCACGTTTCTTGGAGGACCTGCGCATCCAGATGTTCGACATCCTGCAGACTCAGCGAAAGAATGCTCCGGGCTGGTTTATCGTCGGATTGGGCCTTGTACTCCGTGAACTTTGCCTGGATGTGATCGGTAATAAGGGTGTCGATTCGGCGAGCCAGTGCTCGTCGCTCCCGTTTTACGCCGAGGTTTAGGAAGTCCCATCGTATGGAGTTGCCAGCGTCTCTCTGGTAGGTGCTTGTTAGCTGGCGGTAGAGGCAGACGATCTCGCTTTGTTGTTCGGGGCCAAGCTGGGCGCGGAGATCCGTGTCCATCGTTACTGCGCCTGGACGATGTCAGAAAAGCTATAGTAACCCTTTGGCAGCAGTGTAAACCGCACCGATGATATCGAAAGTCAAGCTCACGCATGGCTCATCCAACGCGAACTCCTCGCCGCTGCGAGCGTATCCATCCAGAATCTCAACAAACCGGCCCGCCTTGTCGAGAATACAGGGTAGGAGAGTCATGAGATGATGATGCGCAAAGCCAGAGTTAAACCGCTTGCGAAGCGCCTTCCATTGCTCTCCCTGGAGACAAAAAGCATTTTCGTCAGCGTGTCGTATTCCCCAGTGTACCAAGAAAAAAAAAACCTCCCAAAGATCAACAAAACAAGAAGAATAAAGCATACCTCCGCGGTAAGAATCGAATGCGGGCCCAGTAACGGCGCGAGCTGCCACATCGTGGGGGACTTGGACATGCTGTACGGGAAGGCCTTGGTACTCTTGGAGATCTGCTCCGCGATCTCATGGCTCCCGACCACGCACAGCGGTTGCTGCAAAGGCCGCAGGTCGAAGAACATGAGCGGAGGATTGCCCATGTATTTCCGGATCTCGAGGAATACGATGTCTGGAGTGCGCTTAGTTGGTTGATTATATCGGACGTGTGATGATGCTGTTTAGTGCAAGCAGAACTACGCAGTAGTAAAGAATGTCCAGATAAAATACAGCAGTGGGTAGTACCGACCGATGTGTCGCTTCGCGTCTCCCCGGGAAATAAACTCATGCATCGCTTTCATGTGTCCCCAGACGAGGGACGGCGGGAGTTGGGGCCAGGCGGCATACTGTTGGTAGCGGAAGTGGCGGGATCGGTCGAGGAGGTAGAAGAGGAGGAAGGGGAGGAGCAGGAGGAGGAAGAGGAGGATCAGATGCGTGAACATGGTGGGCTCATAGTTAGAAGAGCGAGGACATTTGATCCAGATAGATATATGCTGAGCTGCTGACAAGCAGCAGCTGCACTTTCGTGCTTCGGCAGGAGCGGAGGGGAGAGACCAGGATGGGAAAGGATGGGGGGATCCTGGTCGGAATCCTGGTCTGGCCCTGCGCCGGAACCGATGGATCACACCTCGTATTACGTGCGCGGAATTAAACTCTGCAGTAGGCAGCTGCCTAATTGTTTACCCTGAGCCGTGCTGCCTTGAGAACTTCTCTTGATATCGGCCAATAATGGAGGTGACCTGGGAATAGCACACGAACTGCACTATTCCTCATTCGGCGGTAAGGCGGGGGGGAGCTACGGAGCAGGCCGGCGAGATCGGCGATGTCGGCGAGGCCCGGGTCCTTAATTAGAGTGTTCTGATTGGTCCATAAAATGGTTGTTTCGAAGGGTGCTTAGCATAGCATACTAAAGGAGTATGCATCTACTCACACAGCTAAGTTACTCTTATTACTACAGGCTGAGGATAGTGATTGGTGTATTTTCTGGACATCTCAACATATACATTTCCAGCTGATAAAGAGCAATGGCAGTCGGAGAATAATTCCGTACTTTATCTAGTAGAATCTCTGATCGGCGCTGTGGCGTTCGCTCTAAGATCGGTATGACGTCATTGGACATGAGCAGTAGATATAGTAGTTAGCATCGATCTATCTTAGTTGTTTGCAGAGATAAACGACAATGTGATTGAGTCTGTCTAGGCTCCCGATCTGGAAACCCCAGATCTCCATCTTAATTACAAATGATAACCCTACACCACCACCACCACCACCACCACCACCACCACCACCACCAACCAACCAACACTCACTTCACCTCCACTTTCCCAAGAGCAGGGAGCCCCTCAAGCGCCCGACAAGCCTCGTTCCACGCCTCATCCTGAATATCAAACACAGTGCGCAAATACGCCCAACTCAACCGCTGCACGACGGCCAACCGCTCCGGACTCTCATCGTCCGCCGCCTCCGCGGTATCATACCCGGAAACCCCACCGAGCCCATGCTTGCCCCCGACCAGAGTAAGCAGCGCCTTGGGCCCCTGACTAGTATAATACCCATCCATATGCCACGCTGCCCCACGAGTCGTCAGATGTCCCGACGCGTCATTATCCCCGACGACCACCAGCGTGGGCGTGGCCATATCCCGTAGACTGTAGTCGGTGAAGAACCCGAACCGTTCGTTCACCATCGGCGTGACGCTTTCGCCCCCGTCTCCGTTCCCTGGCGCGGCGAGCAAGATGCCGGCTTTGATGCGGGAATCGGACATCTCGACGGGGGATTTGTCGATGGGATCGAGCAGTTTCCCGCCGAGGAGCATGCCCGCCGTGTGTCCGCCGAGGGAATGACCCGCTACCGCGATGCGGGTGTGGTCCAGCCGGCCCTGGAGGAGGGCGGGGAACGAGGATTCGATCTCGTCGAGCCGGTCCAGGATCGTTTTCATGTCTTCGATGCGAGAGCGCCAGAAGAGTGGCTCGGAGGTGTTCTTTTCGCTGCCCAGGTTGAGGGTTTTGGAGGACAGGTGCGTGGGCTGGATGACGGCGAAGCCGTGCGCGGCCCAGAAGTTCCCCAGCGGGCCGTAGCCGTTCAGCGAGGAGAGGTTGTTGGATGCGCCGTGCCCGTGCGAGAGGAGGATTATGGGCAGGTTGGGGCCGGTTGCGGGGAGGGTGAGCTTGAGGTGTAGGTCGGTGATGCGGTTGGGGGCCGAGAGGATGATCGGGTTGATGGTGAGAGTGGGGACCGCCGCGTTGATGGGGATGTTTGCGGCGGAGCCGATCAGGGCGTGGTCTTGCAGGTTGGGGATGCGGGTGGGTGGTTCGGTGGGAGTGGTGGTGGTCATGGTGCGAGAAGGTTTTGGAAATGTGAGAGTGAGAGTGAGAGTGAGAGTGAGAGTGTGGTTTGTTGGATATATGGATGTAGGAGAGATTGGGTGTTTTTATAGACGTCAGCTGCCATATGCCGACCAAAACGGACTTATCGCAATTCCAAAAACCGGTAAATCAGAAGTCCGAGCCAGACTTACGATTGGGTCAGGATTGAAGGTCTACAGGCCAATTCGATCCTCGGCTCCCTGTGGAGATAAGCAGGACTCGGGCGGAGTTAGGCTTTTGGAGGTAAACCCTTTTATTCCTAGGCTAACTAACGATCGATGTTGCATGTATAGTACATATTCCAGGTCCGTTTCCATCACCCCACCAGATCAACATCGATATCATGCGAAAAGCTCGAAAGCGAAAGTTGCAAAGCAGTTGCTTGATGAGACACAGCTCAGTACTGGACGGAAAGAAGAGCCTCGAATCCACCATTCAGTCGCTCTTTATCCTGTCGCAGCAGCGTGCCATCTCCCGCCTTGATAATCAAGCGAGTCGCTCCATCCAAGCTGGTCGGAAAGGCTTTGGCAACCAAGGTGCGTACAATCTCCATGCGCGCGGTGGGGTTCATGATCGCATTGTAGATGGCCCCGAAGATATGGCTCTTGTTCATGAATCTCACCTCCGGCTCGCCATGCAGCAGACTTTTCATTTTGCGGTTGTAAAGAAGACGGTAGCGCGTGAGCAGCTCGGGGGAGTCCTCGTGCTCATCCTCGGGGTAGTTGTAGACCACAGGGTCCAAATCCCGGGTGATCCAGTTAGGAAAGCTCGCGAAGCCCAGGAATCGAGGCATGGTCTTCACCTCATCCCAGTCGATGAACCCAGTCACATGGAGCTGGTCGTCGATGAGAATGTTGCTCGCATCGAAGTGAGGCACTGACAGGACAAAGCTCTCGCGGTCATCGGATTCCCAGTCCGTCGACAGCGGGAGGCACAGGACCATCATCTCCAGGAACATGCGACAGCCGGCTTCGGGGGGCGCCTCTTTCTTTCTGGGGGTCTTACTCGGGGGATCCAGCATGCGAGAGAGCATGTACGTGACAGTCGCGCTGTACGGACCAGACTCCTCATACCACATATCACTGTCGGAGATCTTGAACGAGTGACAGGGGTTCGTCATTTGATGGCCGCGATTGTTCGCTTCTATTGCGCCGATCAAGTCGAACTGGTGCCCACGTAGCTGCGCCATAGTGTCCGCAACGCTGTCCAGGATGCGCAGCCGCTTTTCTTCCAAGGGCATCAGGCCGGACTCCTCGAACCAGACGTCGGATATGGGGTTGCCGGGAATGAAGCTCTCAACGACGTACGGCGCCTCGATTTCATTTTCAAACGAAGCGTCAAAGTCGTAGATCTCGGGCATGGGGAAGTGGGTACGCTTCTTGATGACCTGCATCATTTTGACTTTGGCGACGAAGGCACCCTTGGCGATATCGGTATAACGATCATGGCCACCGCTGAAGGGCAGGCGAACGACGTAGCGGAGCTTGTCATCGAATTCGACGATATGAATCAGGCTGCGGGCGCCTTCGATTCGCTTGACGAGGGCGGCGGAGGTGAAGGTGTTGGTGGTAAACTCTCGACGGGTGTTGATGGCCACAATGACAATGGAGTCACTGGGAATGTCGAGGAGCTCACCGAAACGACCCTCTGGAGAGGCCGTGTTCAGGTCCTCAGCATCGGATGACTCGCTGTGCTCATCCATGATGCTAAGCTTTTGCGGGGGATGAACCGTATGGTCTTAGGAGCAGAGGAGAAGGTGGTTGGGAGGTGGATGAGTGACAACTGAGGCGGTTCGCAAGGAAGGTAAAGCCTTGTGTTTGGTCGATGCAGGTCAGTTGCCAGTATTCACCACTGGCTGCAGAGTTTATAACCAGTGAATATGAGATGTGGTGAAGACCGGATAGTATACTGCCAGCTATGTGGGAGGTCAAACAAATTCACTCGTTTGCTTGCAAACCCAAGCGCTTTCATATAGCAATGGCACAAAATTACTGTAGAGGCCTGAGTAAAGCTATGATGAACAGGAGTATGGATTCGATATGTAGACCCTTAGCATACATGCTCTATGTAATGTGTTTCTTTGGCTATAAGACTCAAGCCTAGGACCAGAGTTTTGAGCAGTCAGAAACTAATATCACTACCAGTGCTATGCTTTCAAGCATATGTGCAGGTATAAAGTTGAATACAATCTGAATGAGATATAGTAGCTCTATCAAGCCTGCTAGTTGAAGTCAGATCAGGCCAGGAGCTTCTTCCAGAACAAAGGATATCCCACGCTGAAAATGTCCTGTGTAATTACACCTCCTAAGCTTGTATGTATTGATCTTGCAGACTTTCTAGCCGGCTAGAGGAAAACACATCAAATAATGTCAGGGCTTTCTGCGAGACCTGGCTGGGAAGATCCCCTTTTTCTGCAGTGATATCCTTCAGACAATGAATGGTATCTATGGCAGGATGCAGGCTGGCTATTTCCTGCGGTTGCAGGGAGCTGCAGACGGTGACTCTGGGGTCCCTCCAGCTCTAGATGGTTGAATAAAATACAACATCAAGATTGGCCATGATGCCAGAGGAAAGTGTTGTTTGACGACCCCGTGACTGCACGTGGCACATCGAGGACACTCGACTCTTTCCTACTTACTGTTCTACTACCTATCTATTGCACCTGTCTAACAAACAGCCACGCGCAACCAGTCCCGGCAGTATATTTCATTCTCATATGCTAAATTAAGTCCAAACTTGCTCTCCCGACCGTTTAACCTTTCTGGAATATACAATGACGTCCGTGGCAGCAGCAGATCTACGCGCTGACGACTCCATGAGATCTCCCGAGTCTATATCAAACACCGTGCGGCTCAACTCGTGGTCGAGAGTTTGAAGCTCACATACCGAAGGGATTGTCATCCAGTCAGGAAAGGAACCTCCTCGTGAGATGCAGGTGCCCACGTACGCCTACCGGACGGGCCTGTCCCCAAGCCAGGAGTGAACTCAAATCACAAGACCAGCAATGACGAAAGGCATCAAGCCTTGGCCAAGAGAATTACCCCCGGGACGCGAAATCACGACAAGCACCGGTGCCAATAGACATCATGTACGGAGTACAACTCCCAGCTTTCTTCTTCCCCCTTACAACACTCTCCCCCAAGTCCACTCTCCGAGAGGCTAATGATCTGCATTATGTAGGCCTTGGCGATAATCCATCCGCGTACTCGTCCTGAAAATCTTGTCCCCAAGACCCTGTTTCAATTGGGGACATCGCTCGAAATTGCTTCTCCAACCCCCCCGAGTCCTTCAAGAACGTCGCTGCCTTGAGGCTGCGGTGATCCCGCCAAGACTAGAAATATGTGAAACAGTCCGCTTTCACCGATGCAGGGGATTTGATTCTTAATTCACATCCGTCCATCCCCTGGCGCGCCTGACGGATTACTCACCCCGACGGCGACAAAGCTGAGAAACATCACGCTCCACAATCTTATTGCTCCAGTGACCGATCTTATTATTCCTGGAGTCGGAGGATTTGTCTTCTTGGAATTACGTGGCGGTCACCGCCCCGGGTAGATTGTTTTCGTGGCTGACGACCGCCCATGCAAGGGGCAGCGGCGAGCAACCTGCAGCCTGACAGACATTACGCCATTCGTGGGGTCGAAAAGCATAGAATCTAAGAATGCACGGCTGTGATATTCTATAGGCGTTTTCCTGCCCCGAGGATTACGTATGGGGCAGTATCTTATCACCAGCCAAGCGGTGATTTGTATCGAGCACTGTGATCGACAATGGGTCCAGCGATCATGTTTTCAGGACGATCCACACCGTTCTCGCTTCTATGGCAGTTGTATTTATACCCAGGTGCTGTGACATATTCACCAGGTATCTGGTCCGGAAACTTGAGCCCGAATCGCATCACTACTTTCAGCCACAATGGGACCACCGTATGCTACGTCTGTGTTTTAAGCAGGAATCGGGCTTGCTGACGATGCAACAGAGTAACAGGAGAGCCAATTCCTTGGCATGAGCTTCAAAGAGTTGCTCCTATCGCTCGAAAGGGAGCTGTGGAGGTTAGTATCCTGATGTCTGTTGCATTGGATGCGCGCTAACCGAACCAGCAATTGATTTCTCTTTGGAAGAGGCAGAGGGAACGAACAGATACCGAACCACTATGGGGCGATGAGGTATGATCCACTCTAAATACATAGCGATGGCACCTGACCGTTCAGATTGAATATACCCTAATCAACCTCGACGCACGCAAATCACGAGCAACGCTACTCTTAAACCAAGAAGAGGTTCTCCAGAAATGCCAGAAGCAATGCGCAAATACAGGGGAAATGTGAGCATATTGTTAGAATTTAGGGATGTGATCTGACACATGGCAGTGAACCCTGGAACGAAGTCATGATACAACCGGAATGGGGTCGATATATGATTGAGGCGACTCCCGGAGAGCCGTACGGCGGGGAGATTATGGATCTGCTCAGAGTGGAGGGCAACATGAAGCGACGGTATGCCGCTTTGCAGCCACCACCTTTCCTGATGCTAATAATAACCTTAGGCGAAAATTGATCCGGGAGTGCTTGTCGCCCGATCAACATCCAGCCTCGATCTGTGTCTTCCCAGGTCTAGGAATGAGAGAACAGTTCATGATACCAGAAAGATCCCAGGAAAGCCCGACACAAACACCACATTCCGAAATCTACTGCCCTGTTTCGCGTTACATCATGGTGACCAAAAACCTAGCTGCTCGGCGACAAAGGCGTGTGGAAACCTATATCCCGGTCTATCGAGATGACAAGACGGAATCCCCGTTCCATGACAAGACCGGGTCGTACGAATACCCAGCCGAGCACCAGCCACCAGCTGATGCAAAAGAGGGCCACGTGCATCTAGATGGAATCGGCTTGGGGCTGGGGAGCTGCAGCATCCAGGTCACCTTCCAAGCGCCCAACGAGTCCGAGGTCCGGTGGCTGCATGACCAGCTAATCGCCATGGGTCCGATCATGTTGGCACTGACTGCTGCAACGCCGATCTATAAGGGGTACCTGGTAGACACAGATGTGCGCTGGAGCCGGATCTCCGACTGTTTCGATGACCGCACACCAGAAGAGCTAGCCACCACAGTAGGCCAACCCACCCACCCAATGATCCTCCCAGATCACTAAACATAATACAGCCACCGCGTTACTCCTGGAACCGCACCTACATATCCCAGGAAAAGCCAGCAGACGCAAACAGCAAGAGCCCCTTAAACCCCATGGACCAAGCCGTCAAGCAGCGTCTACTCGACGGAGGCATGGACGAGCCTCTCGCGATGCACTTCGCGACCATCCTCTCCCGCGACCCGGTCATGCTAAACCGAGTCGATCTCGAGAACTTCGACCCCAACGGCACCGGTCTCTTCGACGTCCTCTACAGCAGCGTATGGCAATACGTGCGCCTCAAGATGCCACTGAGCGACGACGGGCCCGGCTGGCGTGTAGAGTTCCGACCCATGGAAGTCCAACTAACGGATTTCGACAACGCCGCGTTCTCCATCTTCATGTACCTTCTTTCTCGCGCCATCACGACCTTCCACCTAAACTTCTACGTCCCCATCGACAAACTCACCGAGTCCATGGAGCGCGCGCAACGCCGCAACGCCGCCCTCGAGGAGCGCGTCTGGTTCCGTCGCAGCGGCTGGTCCTCGACAACCACCGAGCAACAACAACACGACCGAGCACCCCGCCAACGGAAGCCCTGCTGCGTCAAATCCTCCGCCTCCACCTCCCCGTACGCCCTCCTCACCATGGACGAGATCATCAACGGCGAAGACCCCAAGACCCCCTGCCGCTTCCCCGGCCTGGTCAACATCGTGTGGGCGTACCTGCAGTACAAAAACACCTCCCTGCAGGAACAGTCCAAGATCAAACCCTACCTGGACGTGATTAGCAAGCGCGCCAACGGGGAGCTTCCCACCCCAGCGCAGTGGATGCGGTCGTTCGTGTCGGCGCATGACGATTACAGGAGGGATAGTTACGTAGGGGAGAAGATCCGCTATGATCTGATGCAGGAGATAGTGGGGATGGGTGAATAAATGCGATACTTACCTACCTACCTACCTACCTACCTACTTAGTAGTCTTTTGTTTCACTTCTTATGCACAGGGTTTACAGTTTTTGTCTTTTTTTTTTCTCTTTTTTTTTCTTCTTCTTGGCAATCAATGTACCTAGAATACCTAACCACCGTACGTAGTATTTATCTAACTTGTTCAATTTACAACGTCATCATACATCCTTTCCTCCATGCCCTAGCATCAATGCTCGTCTAGCTGCAAGCAAGGGACGTTGTATCTGTATTACTCCCTCCTTGATGCAGTGTAAGTGGGTAAATCCGTCGTGAACTCCTAGTTAGTTAGTTAGTTAATTAGTTAATTATTTAGTTAATTAGTTATTTAATTAGTTAATTAGTTGGTTGGTTAATTAGTTAATTAGTTAGTTAGTTGGTTAGTTAGTTAGTTGGTTGGCTGGTTGGCTGGTTGGCTGGTTAGTTCATGGTGTGTTTATTCTGTACTGTAACTACGGACGGAGTACTCGAATTAAAAATCTACCTCGGGGTCAATTTCTTTCACTGCCTGGCCTGTCTCCTCGGGTTCAGTGTTCGCATGTACTAGTTATACCGACGGCTCTGTACGGAGTATAGTATGTAAGTAGTAGCCCTAACTCTAATCGTAAAACGCTCCGGAGCATTCATCCATCCAATACAATTAAATACATCCAACCACCTACCTACCCACCATATCAAATAAATATAAGAGTCACGAGGCACGAAAGAGATGTTTATTACCAAATATGGTACGGTACTGAAATGGAATGAATATAACAAACATCCATTATATCTGTTTCACAACAAAAAAAAAAAAAAAAAAGAAAAGAAAAAAAAAAAGAAAAAAGAAAATAGGGGAAGCACAAGGGAAATCAAAATCAAAATCAAAATCAAAATCAATCCCTATCAGCAAAACTACTCCTAGCCCTCAACCTCTCGCCAAACCACCACAACACCCAGGGAATGGGACAGCCGACCACAAGCGCCACAAAACCCAGGATACTATTCCCCCACCCGTAGCCCAACGCCTTATACATGACGGGACTAAACATCGGGAAGCCGAACCCGGTCAACCCGCGCAGGATATACACGCCGCCGTTGGCACTCGCGCCGAAGACACTGTACGCCTCGAGCAGGTAGGCGTTCGTGCACTGGAAGATCACCGTTGCGCCCATCAGCGGCAGCGCGATGCCGATGTCCGGCACGATCCAGTGGGTTTTGTACTGCGCGGACCAGCCGTAGATGAAGAGGCCGGCGGGGACGAGAAAGCTGGCGGGGATCATCAGTGGGAGCCGGAATTCTGGCTTGCCGGTGCCGTTGTTGCTGGATTTGAGATGCGTGTAGATCTTGTCGGAGAGGAGGGCGCAGAATTGTGCCCCTAGGAGGTAGCCGATGCAGGGGGCTATGTAGTGCAGGGAGCCCCGGCTGGTGGAGAGGTGGTATTGGGTTTCCCAGAGGGTGGGGAAGGTGGATAGCACCAGGTAGACGAGGCCGTAGAGGTAGCCGTAGTAGAGGGAGAGGGCTTGGACGATGGGCTGGGTGAGGAGCAGGTGGAGGGAGCGGAGGAGCGTCCGGCTGTAGAGGGCTGTGAGGGCTTTGGTGGTCGTTTGGGATTGCGGGTCCGGAGTGGATGTGGGGGCGTCTTTCTCGAAGCGGGTGAGGAGGGTGAGGCTCTTGTATGCTGGGGTCGATTGGAGCGTGTGCTTCTTGCGGCGCAGGAGGACTGGTGGGTAGGTCTCGCGCGAGAGACAGAGACCTGTGAGGATGGTGACGCCGCCGAAGATGGAGGTCGCGTGGAAGGCCCACCGCCAGGTTGAATAGTCCGTGATGAACCCGCCTGCTATGGGGCCGAGGCAGGAGCCCAGAACGGGGCCCATGTTGAGTAGTGCGAGGCCTAGGCCGCGTTCCTCCTTGGGGAAGACGTCGCCGATGGTGCTGGCGCCCGTCTGGGTTGGGTTAGCGGGTGATCTAGGTAGGTATGTGGATGGAGGATGGGACGTACGGCTAATGAGGCACTGGCGCCTAGACCACTGAGTAGCCGGAATACCAGTAGCTGGGTCATGCTTCTGGAAAAGCCTCCCGCTAGGTTGAAGGCCAGGAAGACAACATTGCCCACTTGTAGGACGGGTACGCGGCCTACCAGCTCGCTGAGGGGGCCTAGCAGCAGCGGTCCCAGGCAGTAGGTGAGCAGAAACAGGGAGACCGTCAGAGGGCCTTCAACTGTCGAGATGACGTGGAATTCGGCGGAGATGGCGTCCACAGCGGGGGCCAGGATGGTGGATGACAAGGGCATGAGAAAGATGGGGAGGGTGACGGTGAGCAGGATTGTCCATTTTCGATAGTTGGGCCAGCTGTGTGGATGCTCGTGAGGGTCGAAGTCGATGATCAGGACCTGGCTGGGGAGGTCGCCTTTCTCCTCGTGAATGACCGGGTCGATTTTGTCGTCCATGTTGATGGTTAGGGAGCGAAATCGAGGTAGGTCTGGTCGAGCATACGCCCGCATTTGAACAGGCCTTCTTATGCGATCGAGGAAGATTAAACCGGAATCAATGCAGGCACATTCCAGGGAATCTCTGGCGTGGACACCCCGAGGGTCGTCGTGGCCCTTGCATGATCGACATGGAGGATACGGTGCAATGATGAACCCGATTCGAAGTGAGACCCGCGCATCCCCTGCTTCACCACATGTGGTGTCATTTCATCCTTGAAACAGGTTGAGTTTGACGAGCGGGGAGATTATCTCCTTGAATGATGATACTTTGGGTGCATGGTTAATCTAGCATTCCTTGGTGGCCATGATGTGAACCCACCAAGTACAGATGACAATGTATTTGCAAATCTGTGATGTTGTTAGTAATAAGATAATGAGATGTGTTGATAGAAGCAGCGACAGCGAACTGGGGGAATGGAGCAGAGAGCAATAAAGTAAGAAGAGTGGTGGAGGAAGGAAGGAAAGAAGGAAGGAAGAGTGGTGGTCTCAATGGGATAACTCACCTGTCCGGAACATTCAATGCGGTGGGTGTTCTGCTGGCTCGCTACGCCGTAGCCCCCGTGGTCAGTATAGTAGTAGTACACCATGGAGATAAAATATACTATGTCGGCACCGTTGGGTCCTCTGCCTACTACGTAATTTGCTGGACATTCAACTGTTTCTATTCTAATCCACAGCATGATAACGAGTCTTGAAAATCATCTGTATGAACAGGGGATGACAATGACAGACGGCACGGGAGAATTATGACAGATGACAAAAAAAGTGCTATTCCCTATATCACAAGCTCCAGTGGTAATGCGAAGAAAGAGTATTGACACGCCTATCAATCAACTTCAATGAAACAAGAAAACAGGAGACCAAGATGACCTGAGCCTCCCGTGTATCATCAATGGTCATAACAAGCCACAAACAAGCTGGCAGGGTATCGTCGATATGCGAACAGGCAAAAGCGGCAGCTCCGGCTGGCAGGGCCAGCCGTCGTGGGTGGAGCAGCCCAAAAGTCAGGAAAAAGAAATGCAAGGAAATTATAATGAGGGTCAAGGCAGGGGCAATGGTGGTGACAAACGAGATAAATCAAAAAGAGAGCAACCCGAAGGTGACCCGAAGGTCAGGACGCCGGGAAGATGTAGAGCATGATGAGGATGAACGCGACAAGGATCATGTTGGCCGCAAATGGGCCAACAGGTTCGTATTCCTATTGTTCCGTCCTCGGGTTATGTTCGTCCGCCGTGCTCTCCCGGTCAGTCTCCTCGTTCTCCTCGGCATCCAAAAACGTTTCTTTCGTCTCTTCCTCTCCCTCTTCTTCCTCATCCTCCAAGGCCGGGGCCTTTCCTTTAGATGTGTCCTCCTCTTCCCTAGCGGCTTCCTCGCCGCTCTCGGCGTCTACCTCCTCGTTGGCGTCCGGCTTGGCCTCGGCATCGTCGGGCTCTTCATCCGTCGGGGGTTCAGCCTGCGCTTCTTGCGCAGCTGCAGCTGCAGCCTCCGCTTCCGCCTTCTCCATCTCAGCCGCTCGAGCCTGTTGCCTCTCCCAAACTTCCCTGCGAATGCGGTCATCCTTGGTCCGACGAAGTCTTTCGGCCTCTTCCACACCGCCACTCTTCTTCAACTTGCCCTCCTCAACGAACGCCCCGAGCTCTTTCTGGAAGAGTCCGACCCGGCGAGTCTCCAATTCCTTCTGACGCGCCTTCTCCGCCCGCTCGATCGCTTCCAGGCGGGACTCGTGATTGGGCTGCAGAGCACGCACCTCGCCCAAGACGCTGTCTTTAGCTTTCGAAAGGTCAACTGCCGGGTCAATCACCACGTTCCGAGACGTGTGACGTAACACGGGACCTCCAGTGCCGTTCTGCATCGTCTGCTGCTTCGTGGCTTGCTCGACAAGGGCGAATGTTTGCGCTGCCTTCTCTAGATCATCCTGGAGATCGGCCGCGAGGTCTTCTTGCATGGTAAGCTGATCACGCTCCTCGCAAACCAGTTGAAGCTCCTTCTCCCAGATCTTCGTCCACACGGGCTTCTCCCGCTTGAGAAACTCTTGCATCTTCTTGATCTCCTTGGTAACGGCACTGATATCTTTGCTGACGGACTCCAGCTGCCTGGGGATGGGTCGAACACCACGGGTGACAACGTCCTTACGGAGATCCTCGACCAGATCCTGCAAATCATCAACGCGCGCCACAAGGCGCTCGGACTCCTCCGCAAGCTCCTTCTTCCCGGAGTTAACGCGCGCGCGGCCTGCATCGCCTTCAAAAGATGGAACAGAGACCTCCGCTGCGGCAGACTTGAGGGTACCTGCCTTATTGCGGATCGCGCTCATCGAGCCTGCAATGTCAGTCGAGAAATTGGAGTATGTCTGTCGGAGTACAGCTAAATCGCGTCGTAAACTCTGCAGCTCTGCAATCTGACTGTCGCTCCCCCTGATCGGATCCTTCCGGCTTTCGCCAGTCTTTGAAGCCCCCGTAGCGGGCGCAGGAGGCGCTGCAGCAAGACGAGCCATTTCTTTCGCTGCCTCAAGTTGACGATCTGACACGCGTTGCATCATACTCTCCTGGCCCTCCAGGGCGCCCTTCACTCCCTCGATCAGGCGGCGGACTCCACCGAATTCGTCGTCAAAATGCTTCTTGACCTCATCGAGTATGTCGACGTTCAGAACCAAGACAGACCGATCCTTAACATCGTTCAAGTCTTCCAGCTCATGCCGCACCCCTGACACTGGGTCTTGCACGTAGATTTCGGGCAGGTCGACTCCGTCGTTGTGTGTGTTCCAGGCGAACTTCTCGATAAAAGCGAGCTGAAGTCTTCCGATAGTGAGACCAGCGTATCCTTCTGGAAGGACATACTTCTTGATCTTGCTCCTGTACTGTAAAAACAACGTGAGCTCCTTGCCCGGGGACTGCTGCTCAGGAGAATACTGAGATGACTGCGGGGGCGTAGAAGTGGTGGCCGTAGGCTGTTGGCGCTCTGACTTGGGGGTTCCAGGAGGGATAGCTGCAGATGCTGTGGTATCCTTGGTCGGTTCAAATGCCTCCGCAAGCGACGGCTCTTCAGAAGGACGGGGTAACTCCGGACGTTGTCCAATGACCGAGTTGTCTGCCGTGTCGCCCTCAGGACGCTCGGTGGGCTTGTCTTCGTTTGCGGTAGGATCTTCTGCAGGGAGCTCTGCCGGCGACTCAACGCGAGGCTTCGAACGCTCCTCCTCAATACTGGGGACATTTACAGGCGCCTGTGCTTGGGTGGTCTTCACTTCCTGCAATCGATTTGTCGACCGCTGCCGCCCATGGGTGGATCCACGCAAACGCACAGCATTCAATGATTCGCGGACATCGCGGCCGCGATTAGGTATCGGAGAATTCTGGGTCGGGAGGACTGGAACGCCGTTGGTCGAAGTACCAAGGTGCTTTTGTATTTGATACGCGGAAAACCTTCGAGACGCACGGCGCTCCAGCTCTCCACTCCTCTGCAAGGCACCTAAAGCATCATCCTGTTTCGGGGGAGGCGGAGGGGGCGGTGTGGGATAAGCCGCGGCGTTGGTCGAAGACCCGGTGTCTTTGGTCGTGTCTAGCTGAGGGGTCTGGGACAAAATACTTTGTGCCTCGCGCCTCGACGCTTCTCGTTCGGAGAAGCTCGAACCCCGCGCATCAGTCGATGGCACCGAAGATGCTCGCGCCACACCCGGATCCTCCATGGAGCCACTGCTGCCATACCGACGAGTCGATCGCTTTGGTGACGATGATACCGTGGAAGCTGTTTCCTCATACGCCTGGTTCAACGCCGCCTGTCCTGAGGTTGCGCTGCTCGCACTTGTATGGCGACCGGGCAATGGCCTGCTTTCCTCCTTCTGTTGTCGGGATCGCAAGCGAGCCTGTTTCTTCTTTAGCCCATGAAGCAGATTGATGATGATGTCCCGGATCCGTGGAAGGTAGCGATCGAGGCTCTGTGGAGATGCATCTTGACTGAGGGTGTCTTCGAGAATCGTCCGGAGGAGATCCGGTACGGGGCCAAGATCTGAGGTGTCGACTCCGATAGCATTGAAGGCGCGACAGGCCAGGTTGAACTCATACCCCAGCCGAACGTAGACATCTGACACCTCATTCTCCGATGCTTGTCGACGAGACCATTGCGTGAGAGTCTCGAGTAGTTGCTTCGTGGCGACCAAAAGATGGGTGACGCTCTTTTCGATCTGGTTAATCTGTCTCTCGGGCTGTGGATCAGATGCATCACAAGGTCAGCCGGAATATTTGTGGAGTTGGGGGCGGGTGGGAGATTTGGGCGACGACTGCACCCCAATCCCAATATATGTAATGCAAGAGAAGAGGACTTACCACCGTGCTTTTCGAGGACTGCGACCTCGTGGAGCTGGATGAACTGCGTGGTGCGGAAGCCATGGCGGAGGAATCACCGCTGCTCCCCGAGCCGGACGGGAAATGCTGGGCTGATGGACTTCGCAAAGAACGGGAAAGGCCGGAGGACTGCATGGATGGGAGAGGCAGAGCACGGGGACGGATTTTCCTTAAAGAGGAGGCTGAGGATGACGGGGGAGGGAACAGGAAACCAGGGAAACTAAACTAGAAAATGGGGGGGGGGGGGCGCTATTAGGAGCGACAAGAGACGCAGGGGTTGTTTCAGAGGATGTGTAAGGAGGAAGCCGAAAAAGGGTAACGAGGGAAATGCAAAGTGGCGCTGAGCAAAGAAGCGAGAAAAGGAAGCACACGCAGGGAAACAGCGAAAGATGGCGGCGGAGAAGAAGGGTGATAGAGCGGGCAGGGTAAGGTAGCCAAGAGACCAGCCCCTTCTGGTAGATAGTAGTGGTGGTGGTGGATGATGATGAGGGAGGGAGGGAGGAGGAGGAGAGGAGGAGGAGGCAGTAGAACGGACTAGTGAGAAGAGTAGTGAGGTGGTGAATGAGTATCTGATAGACGGTTGGTTAGCCTGGCTAGTTAGTGCTAAATTGGGCACAAGCCGGGCGCCGTCCCAAGAGTCGGTCCCGGCCTAGCTGGGCCTAGTTTGGCGCCTCTGCCGGTGCCTGAGCCCTGAGGCTGCCACGTACAAAGAGTTCCAGCAGACGCGGTCACATGTTCCCCGCCAGCCTCCCGGATTCTCGCTGTGCGGTTCCACCTGACAGATATAGTAGAATGATACTTCATATCTACAGAGTATCTACTCCGTTCGGCTAGGCGACTTACGATCATGCTCGCATTGCACATCCGATTCGATTCTCTTCTCGGGCGGACATAATCTCCTGGACTAGTACCAGTCACACCCTCGCATGCGAGGGCACACGCGCTCATGATGACGCTGATTCAGCCGCCGTCCATGTCAGACTGCAGAACACTGGCTTTAAGGTTCCAATGGCGGATGGTCACTTCCATCAATTTTCCGCAAATCCTATCCTGTGTGACTGTAGGATTCTGCAGTCTACCGACCACCTCTTACTCCGTACTCCCCGTCTCCTTCGATCGGATTGTCTCAACTCGCATCCCCAGGAAGGCTTCCCTCGAGCCACCCATCTTACGTAACCGTGGCAGCGGCTGAGTGAACAATGGGCCGGCCTCATGATGCTTAGCATGGCCAGTAGGTAGTCATCGGATGTCTATGTATAGCATCGCAATTGGGCAGTGGGCGTATTAGCGTGAATCTTCATTGGAATGGTTTCGAGGCAGGATCTTAGCACAAGCAGATCTGCTTTACCGATATTTCATCGCCCAACAAGCGGCAGGGAAGGGAAGGGGTAAGACAAGGCCGAAGACTGATGCAGAAACAGACAGCACCGGTTTGATCGCCGAGGCACCTTATCAGCAGCGACCGACCATTTAGCTCGGCAGCCCTACTCCATCACCGATCGCATTAGAAGCTGCACAAGAACGCAACCTGTCTGGTTGACTGGGATGCAGGACTGGCTCTCGGGAGGCGTCTCCGCCCTGATGAAGCCATCCATATCTAGCCAAGCGGGGAGTGAAGTCACTGGTCGCCTGGAGAGAGAGTTATGGGATGTGTTGGCAAGACAGCGGCCCTTGCTCGCGCGAACCTGAGCTGCGCGTTTTAATTGATCGATTGCCATCGGATGGTAGGAATGCCGTGTGGTCTTTCTTTCAGTTGCATTGACGGCAAAGAAACCACACAGCGGAAGAGAGCTTCCATGCAGCAAGGGATCATTCCAAACCTAGATAAGTCATACAGATTAAACCAGCATGAATAATTCACCATACAGCAGTGGTGGGCCTGACTGAGTGGGTTCTGACAGGCCGCAAGGGCGAGGTTCATTGAGATTGGCAACCCGACTGATGGAAGCAAAGGCAAGTGGAGTGAGGCGACATGGTGCGTCTCAGTACTAGTAAACTACTAGCGAGGTGGAACACACACAGCAGCTGCAATCCGATTCCCGGGAGTGAGAGCAGAAGCAGGAGCAGAAGCAGGAGCAGGAGCAGGAGCAGGAGCAGGAGGAGGAGGAGCAGCAGGAGGAGAAGGTGTATGGGCAGATCAATTATTGTAATTTATAGTTACTCGTTACCAGAGACCGCCCGGAGGACTTCCATGCATTACATACCTAAAGTGCCTTAATAAGGTAGTTACTCGGTAACTACTCCATACAGTAAGTCACCCTGTGGATGTCCCTTCTTGAGGGAGATCATGCCATAGACTGGAACAGGAAATAAAGAAGAGACTGATACAAAAATTTCATGGCGATTGTATTTCCCTTTGTCCCCACTTGGTCGACAAGCAGACATTCAAGTGCTTTGCAACCATGGGATTTGCGCAACTAAACGGGCCTCTGACAAGCCCGCCCGCCCGCCAGCCGGCCAGACCCAGCCAGCAACAGACAACTACGCCCTCTGGCCCTCCGGAGTTCCGTACTTACGTCGGTCTGTCTCTTGTCTGTTACGCTGTACGGTGCTGTTACCCAGCTGGACTCCCAGAACTCCCAGACTCTCGCTCCTCCCCATCCAACCCATCCAATCCCTTGGACCTTTCTATATCTCCTTCCTCTTAACAACCACCGTAACTACTACAACATCCTCCAACCAACACCCCTCCTCCTCCTCCTCTTCCTCCTCTCCCCCTCCCCTCCCTCCCTCCTCCACTCCCCCCCCCCAAACCCCAAAGTTTGGCCTGGATCATTTGTCCTATCCCTAAATCCGGACAGTAGTAGTCTCTCTCTTTCTTTCCCTTTTCCCCTCTTGATCTTTGCTTTCCTCGTCTTCTCCACTTCCCGTTTCTCCTCCCTCTCTCCTCCTCCCCTTTCCCCATTTCGCCCTTCCCGTGGAATTTCGTTTGGGGGAGGTCCCGTGACTCCTCACTGCTGCTCTCTTCTCCTCAGCTTCTCTTTTTCCCCTTCCACCCCCGCTCCTCCTCCTTCCCTCATCCTCCCTTCCACCCCCCCCCCATCACCGTCCTCTCGGTCCTGTTAGCGCAGGCGGTGTGCTCTGGCGTCGTGCCCTCCGTCCGCTCTCTTTACGGCTTTGCGTCGTCCGACGACGTAGAGCTTCGTTCGGTGACCGATCCAGCCAGATGGCTTCTACCATCAACTCCATGCCCGCCGCCAACAATGCGTCGGGCAATGCCGTGAATGCGCAGTCTTCCGGTGCCCGGCAGACTTTGAGATCCAGCGCCAGTACTAGGGCGTCGGATGGGAGCCGCCGTCAGTCCGGCAGTCCCTTGGATGGTGGTCAGAGGTATGTTGTGTTGTCCATCCCTCATTGCCTCTTCCACAACCCACTTGCTCCCATTGTCTGTGCTTCACCGCTTGTCGCTTCACGAAAGCGTCGCTGTCTGCCTTTTGACTGTTCTTGCTTCCCCGATCTCGACTCTCGGGAATCCACATGCTGTGCCAGTGTTGGTCTGCTGGCTGTTGCGCACTTCCTGTCGCTCCTTTTGCGTTGTTGTTTTTCACCTTGTCCAAACTCAATTCCCACCCAACCTAAGAGCAACCCCCCTATCCCACCAGGGCGCAATCCTCAATTCGTGTGTCGAGCACAAAATTACCACCTTATATTTCGCATGCACTAACCCGTCTCTTTACTCTTGACAGGCGCAGCAACTCTCAGAAGGCCTGGTCTCAAAATACAAACCCCATGACGCAACGTTCCTCATACGCACAGCAGAACGGCAACCTGTCCCAAAGACATGCTGCCTCGCCCAGAGCCTCCCCGAGGGAGTCAAACACCCCGGATAACCATGCTCATGACCGCCTTGTCTTCCTGCTCACTAGCTTCATTGTAAGCTTATTGCGCTCTACCTGATATTTATGTCCGATTGGAAAGCTCATGGTTCTCAGGGCTTGACCGCTACCGTCACTACCAGAAGTGGAGAGAAATTCACCGGAATCTTTTCTTCGTCGGCATTGGAACCTAGCGAGTCTACCTTCGTACTGAAAATGGTGCAGCGTCCGTCAAAGTCCGAACAACACAGATCGAACGGGGTAAGCGAAGCCTCCAGCCCCTTCATGGGTTCGGCACCAGATCATAGCATGTCCTTTGATTTCAAGGATGTGGCCGACATCTCTGTGCCGAACGTCTCTACGGCTGATGTCACGGTGAAGGGTTCAAACGGTAGGTCAATGTCCCAGTCCAGGAAGATGTTGAGAAAGCCCCCAGTTGCTGACAAGCCGGTAGGGGCTTCTGTAGGGTTCAAGACGGACGCCGACATCTCCGGAAATCTAGCCATCCGTGAGCGGACCTTGAAGCGCTGGGAGCCAGCAGCAGATACAGATGTCGATCTGTCTCTCGAAACCAGCAACAACTCAAGTGGGTGGGATCAATTCGAAACGAACGCCAGACTCTTCGGGGCTACTAGCAGCTACGACGAGAATATGTACACCACTCGCATCGACAAGTCGGATCCTACCTACAAGCAGAAGCAAGCAGATGCTGCTAGAATTGCTCGTGAGATCGAAGGCACTAATACCGACAATGCCCATGTCCGCGAAGAAAGAGGGATGGTGTCCACGGATGACATCGATGAGGAGGCGAAATATAGCGGCGTCCGCCGTGACGAGAGAAACTTTCCTCCTCTTGTTTCGGGGCAGCCGAACAAGTACACTCCGCCAGCGCGTAGGCAAAATGCCGTTCAGCCCGCCGTTGCCACAGGCGCTCCTGCAGGCGCTGTCAAGCAAACTCCCGGTGTCCCTAAAGATGCTATTACTACAGGACCGCCAAAGGAGAACGGGCAGACTCCAGCGCAACCTGCACCTGCCGATACTACTGCAGCGACCACCGCCACGGAGCAAAAGCCTGCGTTGTCTAAACCCCCGTCGGGCGTGACAGCACCCGCTCCTGCGAACGCTACCTCTAACGTGGAGGCAGAGGTGCTGGACTCCTTCCGCCAGTTCGCCCACAGCGAGAAAGCAAAGCTGCAGGAACGCCGTCGTAACCAAGCCTCATATGACCGCACACTCAAGCTGAACGAGTTGATGAAGTTCTCGAAGAATTTCAAACTTGCCACTCCTGTGCCCAAGGACTTGGTTCCAATTCTTGCCAAAGATCCGCACAAGCAGGAAGAGATCATTCAAAGAGCCCAGCAACATGCTGAGGAGAAGACGGTCATTAAAACCCCGGAAAGTACTGCTGCTGAACCAAAACCAGCGGTCCGTGCTCCTGGAGCTGCTCACCAAGAGGCGGTAACCATGCCTCCCCCAGCACAGCCCGACCATCAGAACTACCCTCGAGGCCGCCAAATGTATCCCCCTGCTGGACCGGCTGGGCGGCTTACGCAGCCGCCAGCCCATCCAGGCCGTCAAGCCACTGGTATGCTCGGCCATCGCCTGGCAGATAACATACAGCAGCGGAAGGGGACTGCAATGGGATCTGTTCCAGCACCCTTGCCAATCCAAGAGGTCCGTATTCCCCCAACTGGTCCAGCTGGCGATCAGCCTAGCATCACCAGTCCGAACAAATCGCACACCCCGACCTCTGCCGTGTCCACCAAGTTCAACGTGAAAGCATTGGAGTTCAAGCCGAACCCTGCCGCAACCACTTTTACCCCTGGCGCTTCGTCCACCTCCTCGCCGTTCGCCAGAGGGCGATCTGTCTCGCGCGCCACCAGTCCCTCCGCATTCTTTGGCACCAAGAAGCCCAGACCGATCTCCGAGCGGCCATCGCTTAACGATCAATTCAACCCCATCAAGCGTATGAAGAAAGAAAGCGCGGCGAAAGGTGATAAGGACTACACCTTCAACGGAGGAATCCCCCCTGCTTACAAAACTCTGCCTACCTGGGATGTTTCCGCCGGAAACGAAGAAAAGACCTATCTACAGATGTTCAAGTCGCCTGTCTCTGGACCCGCCATATCTCCTCAAAGCCGCTCTGCGTCGAACCCGCAGATCCCCCACCCACCCCAAATGCCCTTCCAATTCCCGCAGGGGACGCCGGGTATGCCTCCCACTAGTGGTCCTCCCCACGGGCCTCATTTGCATCCCCAGCAACATCACAATTCCGGTCCTCCGCATTTCGATGACCCCCACCGCATGCAGATGTCCGCGTCAACCTCTCAGATGTTCCCGTCCCCGAGACTGCAGCATGGCTACCCATCCCCAATGGCGCCACATGCCCAGCTTGCGTTCGGGCAGGGGGTGCCACAGTTTTACATGAACCAGGGTGGTCCGCAGCCTGCGCACATGAGACATTACCCCGGTGCTCCTCAGTTTGTGAACCCACAGTCGGCCATGGGTGCGCCAATGATGGTTCAACAGCCGTCCAGCGGGCCGTACATGGGTGTTCCCCAGGGCGTAGCCCCTTACACCCCCCAGATGCAAATGTACTCTCCAAACCCAAGCCATGCTTATCCTCAACATGCGCCACCGCCCCAGCCTCATAGTGGCTATCCGAGCCCCAGTCGGGGTGCTCCCATGATGATGCACCAGAACTCACAGCCGGGTCAGCCCCCGCAGCCAGTCATGTTCATGTCACCCGGGCAGCATGGGCAGCCCGTATACCCCGCCCAGCAGCCGGGTCACAGTATGTGTCAGTCCATTCCAGCGGCACCTGCAGAATGAGTTGCTGATATTTGACAGTGCCCCCGGTGCGAGGAAACTATCAACAGCAGCAGCACTTCCAGTCTAGTCCCCATCAAGTGCACCACTATCCACCCCACCAGCACCGGACACCCAGCAGCGGTTATAACCAGATGGCTCAGGTTCCCCCTCAAATGCCCCCTCAACCCGCGCCAGCTGCCGCATCCGGCCCTCAAACGCAAGAGGCTGCAGATGAAGTGAAATGAGCCGTCGTCTCAGTAGCGTGAGACGCCATATCGCTGGCTTGGCGACCCGACCAATACTGCCGTTTCAACTCTCTTTGGCCATCGGGCTCCATTTGGACGTGGACGAAAGTTGTTCACAATTGGCGACTCCAGTGTCTCCCGTCGTCCGACCCTCACTATGTTTACCAAAGCTATCTGTACTTTGTACTTTTTTGCTGCTCTTCGTGCACCGAAGACCCAGTCTCCCGGTGAGCAAGTTGCGACTCACTACCGGTAAGCCGGCCGAAACCAACCATCGGATCTTCTACTGACGAACAAGGCGAGGTGGCAGCTTCCTATGGAGTATCGCGGTCAGATGAGGAGTGTATAAGAACCAAGCCACTGGGCTATATGTTGAGAGATGACGTTTAGGATTGGTGCGTCGACGAGTAGTTCGGCATTCGACGGCCCCGTGGCCATCCTGCGCGGACCTATACTATACGCGTTCTTGGAAGTGATCTACCAGAATTCGTGAGGAATTCAACCCATTACTTTCCAAGCTACTGGGGTACTCATTGCTATATGCCAATGATGTTCTGGGATTTATTATTTCGTTTCGCTTATGTCTTTTATGTCACCATCTTCCACCAGGTGCGGGGGCTGGGTTGGGGCAGGGTGGAGCTCGGACGAACAACAAAGGGGCTGAGGTTGACATGATCAACTCGAATGTCAAACAGGATGTGTGGTGTGCAAAGGGGGTATGCTGTCGTTATGCGAATGAAGCCGATGCTGCACGTTGAAATGGATGTGGACGGGGTCAGCGGTCGGAGGGGTGACTTGTTTCTAGCGTCTTGAAGGAGAGCAATGATATTCTCTAAGCCATGCGTGGGCCTTGCGTAAAGCCATCACCTACCTACCCGAATGTGAGTAACAATGCAACCATAGCACCGTAGTTGTAGGAATGAACAATTGCAAACGAGAAAGCAGTCTCCTCAGGTCTTTTCAGTTTATATTTGGTCGTCATTCAGCCAGGAATGCCGACGTCGCCGCCGCGGTACTCCAGCCCGGAACCGACCACTACCGCAACGTTAGATTCCACGGCACCGAATCGAAGCAAAAGCCGCATCCAACCCGCGCTTCAATCGAACCATGTCCGCCGCTTCTCCTCCCACCAGCAGTGTCATGTTTAGGGATTGATGTTTGCCGTAGCCATTGGTTTCTGAAGTTCCTCATAGAAGAAAAGCGGACCAGAAACCCCAAATTACGGCTTGGATTTAAATTTGCTGTACAACATGGATCTCCAAGGTAAAAACAAGACCGTGAGCCTCGCAGCCAGGACCTTGTGCCTTTTACAAGACCATGTGCCTGCATAATGGAGAGGAGGAGAAGCGGTGGGAGCGGACGATATCCACGAAGGTCTTCCACGACACCACGACATTGGCGGAGGGATTCTGAACATTCGGATAGCGCATTCGGTTGCGCGGGATAGTGAGAGCACACATCGGGGTCTGTGGCGACGCGTATCCTGGCACACGCGGTCTGACCTTTTACCAGTGTCACATCATTGGAGAATGTCTGCTTGGGGAGTTGGGGAGGGGGGAGGGGTTCGTAGAAACTGGACGGAACATGACATGCCTTGAGTTAGCTTTGATTGCTTGGGTCGTTAGTTGGATAGCAAGGTCGGGAGCATCATCATTCAGCAGGCGTCGCGACGCGACAGTCGGGGGAAGGACGAGGAGGACAAAAGGGCCGAGGAGCTGCGGCGCGTTATTTGAGGAGCTCCGGGCCGGCGGGGCTAAACCCGATCGGGGGCGGGGTACCACGGGCGGCGCCAAGGGGACGGACACTAATACTTACAGTACTGCCTTCGCTGTCCAGATCTCCCCTCCTCGCGCTGCCTGTGATCTTACCTCGCCTTGCCTCGCTATAGGCATCACTGATGGTCGCATACGTGTCATCTCATTCCCGCTTGCATCCTATCCCCGCATCCCCCTTTTCCTGCCGCAAATCAGCCTTCCCGGACCTGTGCGCGAAAGCGTCTTGAGACCAGCTACAGGCAGGTAGCTAGCTGCTTGCTCGCCCGCCCGCCGCCCCCTACACGGACGCTCACCACCGACCATGGATTTCCTCAAGTCCGCCGTCCAATCTGCAATCGCGAAGGGCAGCTCATTCCCTTACTCTCTCGGGGACAGGGTCGACATCTCCGACTCGATATGGACGCTTCATAATGCGACGAAACGGGTATGGCTGCCGTGCATGCTTCGTGCGCCTGGAAATAAGACTTAGGGGCTAATGCGACCCTGATTGGCTTGGAACCCTCTAGGAAGACAGTTCGACATGCAGTATCTTTACCTTCGATGTCGCTTCCAACAAATCCCGCCTCCCATTGGCGAAAAACGCCGTGCGCAAGTCCCGGACTTTGAGGCATCCGGGCGTGATCAAGGTTTTGGACACGATTGAGGTACTTGGGCCTACGGCGGCCGGAACACCATGACTGCGAGGACAGGGGGCTTACGAGCTACAGACAGAGGCCAACATCTACATTGTCACCGAACGAGTCGTCCCCCTCTCTTGGCATGTGAAGCGGAGGAGTCTGAGCGAGGAAACGTCGAAATGGGGCTTATACACTGTGGCGGTATGTTTTCAGCTTTGGGGACATGGGGATCTTTTTTCTGATGAGCGTGGTCCTGCAGTCAACGTTGAAGTTTATCAACGGAGATGCGTCCTCCGTGCACGGTATCGTCAGAGCTTCCTCGGTGTTTACCAGTGAAAGCGGAGAGTGGAAGCTGGGCGGATTCGACGTCTTGAGCTCGATGAATGACGATAATGCGGTCATCTATGTCTGTACCACCTATTCCGGACCCGACGAACCACCGTGCTAACACCCTACCTGCAGACATACGGTAGTCTTGTACCCGACTCTGCGCGATACACGCCTCCCGAGGTCGCCAAGGGCGGATGGGAGGCCATCAAACGTCACCCGCTGACGGCTATCGACTCCTACGGACTGGGGATACTAGTTTACGAGGTATTCAACGGCAACTTCACTGGTGGCGAGCAGGTGGGCAAAACGACCAACATCCCACACGGCATGCAACAAAGCTACAAGCGCCTTTGCACGGCCAACCCCAAACTCCGGTTGAGCCCTGCGCATTTTGTGGAACAGGGCAAGAAGAGTGGTGGTTTCTTCCAGACCACGCTCATCCGGTTGACAGACGATATAGAGAGCCTGGGGCTGAAGAACGATGCCGAACGGGATGAATTCGTCAAGTGAGTACTGTTTCTGGTTGGGGTGGACTTGGAAATGAGTACTGACTGGGACAGTGAGCTTGATGGGCTGTCTGAGGACTTCCCCGAAGAGTTCTTCAAGATGAAGGTGCTCCCGGAGCTGTTGAAATCCGTTGAGTTTGGCGGAGGTGGTCCCAAGGTCTTATCGGCCATTCTCAAGATTGGGGCAAAGCTGTCCCCAGACGAGTTCAATTCGAGACTTACCCCCGTTGTGGTCCGGCTGTTTGGAAACCCGGATCGAGCGCTCCGTGTCTGTCTGCTAGACAATCTCCCGGTGATGATCGACAACCTACCCCAGAAGATCGTCAACGACAAAATATTCCCTCAGATTGTTAGTTTTTACGGTGGCGTCGAGTTGTGTTCCAGTGCTGATATGTTGTGCAGACTTCTGGCTTCACTGATGCGGCGCCCGTTGTTCGAGAGCAGACGGTCAAGGCGGTCTTGCCGATTATCAACAAGCTTAGCGACCGGGTTATCAACGGCGACCTGCTCAAGTTCCTCGCACGGACTGCCAACGATGAGCAGCCTGGGATCCGTACGAATACCACTATCTGCCTGGGCAGAATAGCGAAGAACCTTGGACAAGGCGTGAGTGGACCTTTCTGGAGGCAGACTATGTGATGCTAAGATCTACTGCAGTCAAGGACGAAAGTCCTCATCGCCGCGTTTACAAGGTCGCTTCGGGATCCGTTTGTACACGCTCGAAATGCTGGTCTGCTGGCCCTAGCCGCAACGATCGAGTTCTTCACCGAGGAGGACTGTGCAAGCAAGGTCCTGCCAGCCATTTGCCCCTCCCTTCTTGATAAGGAAAAGTGAGTGTGTCTCTATTCTCTCGTTATTCAGATCTAATGCTGTGCCATAGGATGGTGAGAGACCAGGCAAACAAGACACTCGACCTGTATCTCCAGCGTGTACGGAAGTTCGGCAACACCATGGCAGACACGGTGATTCCGCCATCGGCCAGTGCAGACCCCGTGAAGGATACAGCTCGCATCGGCACATCTAGCGATAAGTCCTGGGCAGGATGGGCCATCTCATCGTTCACCAATAAGCTCACGGCAGCCAACGGAGAGATCGAGCCCACTGCCAACGGCGCCACGCCTGCTGAGGTGGAACCTCCGCGTCCAGCGTCTGTGCCTGGCCCGGCAAAACCATCATCGCCTTCGGTGCAGAAGGACATTCTACGTCCTGCGATCCAGCCTCTGAACCGGTCCTTCTCGGAGCAGCCAGCGGCATCTCCGGCGGCGGATGAGATCGAGGAGGATGTTTACGACGCATGGGGCGGGATGGACGACGACGATGAAGACGCGCAGGAGAAGGAGGATGATCCGTTTAGTGCGGCAGTGGCCAGCCCTAAGATTTCAGCTCCGGCCCCCAAGCCAGCCAAGCCAGCCAAGCCAGCCGCGGTCCCGTATGACGACGGCGGAGAGCCGGACTTTGCGGGATGGCTCGCCGCACAATCCAAGACCAAGAAGCCGTTGCCCAAGGGGCTGAACAAGACCAGCCCTGCGGTCGTGTCCCGAACATCCAGTCGCAGCAGTAGTACGGTCAAGCCCAGGACCGTGATCGCTCCGGCGAAGAAGATCGACACGAAACCCAAGCAAGAAGAGGAGGACGACGGTTGGGGAGACGCATGGGATTAGCCGGGAGCTATCCGAGTTGATAATAGGCAGCATATACTTCATTCGCTGTTTTCTGGGATTTCTTCCATCTCATCTGGACATCTTTTTTTGGGGGGGGGGGAATTGGAGGCAGGAGTTTGGGCGCCGGTCGTTGTTGCTGATTGAATTTGAATATACCATGCATGCATGTGTGAAGTGCGACGGGATAGAATCGTATCTTTATTGCATATAGATTGATTTAGAGCTGTTTTATAGTTGGACGCAATGAAAGGCTGAAGAAGAGACTAGACGGGCGGCGGGCCCCGTGACCACATCGGGCGCCGATCCTCCCGTCCGTCGCCGTCGCTCCTCGTCATCCAACGATGCCCGCCTGCTGCTCATCCCCCGTGCCTTGAACATCCTCCATTCGCCTTGCAGGTCTGTCCTCCCCTCCCCCTGGTCCCCTCCGTCTGCGTCCCTCCACCCCCCCCCCCCGGTGTCCGTGTGCAGTGCCACAGAGCTAATGTTTGGCGCCACGGTCTAGATAATCTTGCTGCCTTCCACTGTCTTCCACTGTCTTCCAGCTAGCTCCCCCCCGAGAGTGACGTGAAGGCTGGTGGGTGCTGCATATCATCTCATGCGCGATGGATGCCGGTTGATAAGCCTGAAGGTCTATCGTGGTCCCTCATTTCAACTCCCCTCCTTCCTCCCTCTCCCCCTCCCCCTCCCCTCCCTTGGGATTGTCCGCCCTTGCCGCAATGGATTCCGACGAGGCCCCTCCTCCGCCCTACTCCACGGTCGATCCGTTGCTCGTCCAAGCCAACAACCGAAATGCCGCTGCCTCCGCGGAGGTGAACCGGGTCATGGACCGGCTGCGCGGAGGAGACCCGGCCCTATCTGATACCCCGTCGAGCCCGGCGTCCACCTCCGCCGGTGGTGATCTTATAACGCCTACTACGTCTGCCGCCGCCTTCCCCGCCCACTTCACATCCGCCGCCGGCTATTTCACGGAGAGACGCCCTCCGACGACCTCGACCCGGGAAAGACAGGTTGTGGAACACTGCGTCAACATCTACCCACGGAGCCAGTCGAAGGATTTTCCGCGCCGCCCTCGCTGCTGGAGCTCCCGGACCGAAGACATCACCCAGCAGGACTGGGACGTGTTTCTGAGACATCTCTTCCCCGCACATCTCGGACTGGCATCGGTCTCGACGCAATTGCCCCGCCAACTGAGGGCGGAAATCCAGCGGGATCGCAAGGATCGACCACAGGAGACCGATGAAGAGCGCAAGAGGCGCATAGCCGCCGTGATTGCGGAATGGAACCAATACTTCTTCGAGCCCCGCTCGGGCCGCGTCGTCTACGTCTACGTGATGGACGCTACCGGTGCGCCGCGATCGTCCCTATGTCCTCGATGCTATCCTGCCGCCACGAATCGGGCCGCCCAAACGCCCGACGCCGGCCGAAATCGCCTCCAGCGGCCAAACCCGCCGCCACCAGCTGCAGAGCAGCCAGAGGCACCTCCAGCAGCAAATCCTCCCTACTCTCCCGGGCCCTATGCCTACCCGAACTACCCTACACCCCCTACGCCTGCTCCCTACGCACCCTATCCCCCTCCGGCGTTATACAACCCTGCCGTCTACCCAGTCCAACCACAGTTATATACCTATCCTGCGCAACCGCCGGCGCCTTATCAACAAGCTCCGTGGGGGTGGAATGCTCCCCCATACGGTGTACCGTACCAGGACACCGGCCCCTCCAAAGGGCCGCTTGGCTGGATCTCCTCGCTAGCCGATCAGGCTCAAAGATACGGCGAGCGCTTCACGGAGCAAGCCCAGCATTACGGAAGACAGGTGGAGGAACAGGCACTTGCCCACAGTCGCTGGATCGAGGAGCAGGCCGGCTTCCAAGGACGAAAAATCAGCGGCTTCGTTAGTCCCCCTCGGGACGAATGGGCCAACCATCCCCCCAAGCCTGGATACTACCAGACCCAGAACGCTTATCCCCGACCCCCTGCGCCTGTCACCAGCGCCCCCCAACAACCCATCGCCACTCAGCCCGATCGGCCCCGTCGAGCCTCAATCGACTCAGATGCATCCGACCAGTCATTCTCCTCGATCGATTCCCTCTCAACAACATCCGACCTCAGCGCCTCCGACCTCGCCACCGTCCGCGCGCAGCTCCTCTCCCTAACCGACCACCACGACCGTAAACTCTACGACGCCGCCGTGGGCCTCCGCCGCCAGCTCGACCTCCGACAACAATCCCGCCGACAGATCCGGGCCGCCGAACGCCCCGGCTGGCGCAAGGGCTGGGGCCGCCGGGACTCCGCGCAACAGCAGCAGCAGAAACAGGCCGAAAAGCAACTCGTCAAAGAAGAGACCCGGGCCACGCGGAAAGCCTTCCGCGATGTCCTTCGTCGTGCGCGCGAAGAGCAGCGCGAGAAACGCCGCATGAAGCGCAGCCGCCGCCGCCAGGAACAGCGCGCTCGCCAGTCCCAACGAGACGAGGGTTTGGATCCCCAGTCCCAGGCCCAGCCGCTGCCCCTAGACCAGCACATGCAGCATCTCGATCTGGATTCCAATCGTGAGAGCCGCTCCACCGTCCAGTCTTTCACCTCCTTCCCGTCCCCTGTGCGCTCTGTCGCCGAGTCGGAGATCAGTGAGATTAGCTCCATCAGTACCCCCAGCACGAGGTCTTCGCGGGCCAGCGAGAAGGAGAAGGTCTCTGGGAGAGCGGAGAAGGGTAGTACTGCTGGTACTGAAAAATCGGCCCCTGCCCCTGAGAAGCAGGCCACGGACCCGGGGAAGTATAATCCTCCTACAGATAAAGACCCCGATCGACCGGATCGGGGCCCGTCACGGCGTAATTAGAACGAGCGCCTTTGAAGATGGATGGATGTCTATGTTATTGTCTATCCATCTACCTATTATTCCTGACAGAACGATGCATGATCGAAGCGGTGATTCTTTTTTTTTTTGTTTCGTTTATTTTTATTTTTTTTTTGCCTTTTGCGGAAGATTGGGATACACAGCATTGATTTCTTTTCTTTTCTTTTCTTTTCCTTTTTTGGGGCTTTCTTTTCCATTCTATTCATGTATTATTGGCCATTGCACCGGCGAATTAGTGATAGTGATATCGGGTATTTAGCATGCATACATACATACATACATACATGCATGCATGCATGGTTTTATTTTATTTGTCTACGGACGTGATATTTGATTTCAGTGATTGATCGGGTGGTCGGGTGGTCGGGTGATCGGGTGCCAACCCAACTCTCAACTGCCAGCACCCAGCACCACTTTTTTGATTGATTGATAGATAGATGAAACTAGTAGTGGGTAGGTAGTTTGTCTGTTGACGTGCAGAGATGATGCAGAGAGTGAGTGACTCACTCCGGAGAGTATCTCATCTCATCTCATCTCATCTTCATGCCAGTTGCGTATGTATGTACTTATGTATATACTCGTCCTCGTCCTCGTCCTCGTCTCCACCGCCCAAATGCATATGCATATCTATACAATGAACGAACGAACGAACGAACCCAACCAAGCACCAAGCATTGATCACCAATCACCAATCACCGAAGACAGTCAACCAGCCAGCCAACCAGCCAAATAACCAGCCAGTCAATCAATCAATCAATCAATCAATCAGATAGATAGATAGATGGATAGACAGATAGAGCAAACACTCTACTGCGCCGTCTGCGCCTCATTCTTCTCCACGAGATCCCCAACCCCCAACCCCCTCCCCACCTTCACCCGCACCATCTTCTCCTTCTCCTCCTCCTTCTTCCCCAACTCGCCCACCTCATCGCCCTCGTCGCCATCCTTCTCGTCGCTCGCCGCCCGCTCCCGGTCCTTCCGCTCGATCTCCGCCCAGTCCACCCACATATTCGACAGATCCATCCGCATCGCGTACGCGTCCTCCCCGTCCGCGTAGTACTTGCTCTCCACCGTCTCGACTTCGAAGCCCAGCGTGTCGCGGTATAGTCGCAGCGCGGCGGTGTTGGACATGCGCACGTGCAGGGAGACGTATTTTGCGCGGTGGGATTCGGCCATTGCGCGTTCTGGGGATGAGGGGGGCAGGGGCGAGTGGTTAGCTTGTTTTTTTTTTTTTTTTTCTTTCATTGGGGGGGTTGGTTTGGGTTGGGTTGGTTTTCTCTGTGCACAATTGTCGAGGGAAGAGATATGATGATTGTGTACGGAGGATAGCTTGATCCGTTGGGTCATGATAGATAGACACCAAGTCACCGGCACCGACACCAGCACCAGCACAGAAGCACGCACAAAAAGGCAAAGGGGACAAAATAAATAGGGAACAGGGCAACAGATGGATAGCAAATGCAGGAAAGGGGAGGAAAGAAAAACAAAACCAAGAACAAAAGACAGAAGAAAGGAAAGGGGAAAAAAGAAAAACATACGACTCATCCGCATCAACCTCTCCGCAATGCCCAATCTCCGATGCGTCCTCATGACACTCAACGAAGTAATATGCCCATGGGCAACGCCATCCGTCGGCTCCTCCTCCATCTTGGCCAACACATACCCGACGACCTTGGGATACTGCTCGGCGACGCTGCCGGCGCCGCTGCCATCGGGCGCGGTGTGCTTGGTGTAGCCGTTCTTGGGGCGCACGACCGCCACGAACGACAGTTGCGGCCAGGTCAGCGCGTGGTACAGGTAGTATTTCAGGAAGTAGTTCTCCGGGAGGTTGGTGATGTTGCAGGTTTGGATGGACGGGAGGAGGTCGATGTACGAGGGGTAGCTGCTGAGGGGGAGGATGTCGACCATTTTGGCGGTTGTGGACCCGTAGGTGTGGTTTGAGGGTGTGTACAGGTTTTGTTTGAGGGTGGTTATGTTGTTGTTATGGTTGGGGAGGGGAGGGGCCCCGAGTTGAGTGGATTGGAGTTGGATGGAGGAGGGGGAGGGGAATGGATGATGCGGTTGTAATGGATGGTGGTGGATATTGATCGAGGCGGAGAGGCTCGGCGCCGAAGTGCGTCGTGGTCAGCCGAGTCCCGCGCTAGCCGTCTTGGGTTAGAGGTCTGGTGCGGATATCTGTCGGAGCGGTGTTTTGGACTTGGGGTTACGGGGAGAATGAAAGCCAACTGTACAGTCGTCATGCATCGTGAATGGAAATGTGCCCGCATCGCAGAACTCCAGACTCCAGACTATAAGTATATACTATACGCGCTGCGCAAATCACATCTAAAACGCTGACGACACCAGGAATTGCACCCCCGCCATCACCAGTAGCGCGCCCATCGTGCTGACGCCCGGCATCAGATTCGACGCCGCAGACGCCGTCCCGCAGCATTTGGCGCTGTAGGTCACGTTGTTCATCTCTGCGGCTACCTCGAACACTGACCCGTTGAAGTTGCCGTCATTATAGTAGTCGACCAGAAGGAAGTTGGGGGGACGGTTCCACATGGCTGGTTGAGGGTTAGCCGGTCATCTTGAAAAAAAAAAAAAAAAAAAAAAAAAAAAAAAAGGAATAACTGTAGGGCTGCTTACCAGTGCAGTTCTGGGCCATCAGCCCCAAGCTACCATATCCAGAAACCGCGTTGGTCTGGTTGAGCGCCGCGGTGTTGGGGAGCAGCAGGCTGATGCTGGCAATGCTCACGTCAATGTTCAGGTTGTGGTTGGCCATGTACATGCGGTCTTCGGCGTCCTGCTGCGACAGGTTGGGCGGACGCTGCTCCGTACAGGGGAAGTCGCTGTCCGTCGGCGAGAACGGGGTCTCCCACAACTGCGAGAACTCGTCCATGAGCCACGGGTAGGCCGTCTGGTTGGCCTGGTAGTCCATGAAGATAACGGCGCGCTTGCCGGACAGGATCATGTTCGACACCGTCGGCCAGTCGTCCAGGGCCATGGGGATCTTCGGCGGCGTGAACACATAGTCCATCAGCCCGGAGTTCTGAATCGGGGTCGTGAAATTGCCCGGAGCCACATAGTCGTAGTTGCCCATAAGAATGGTGACCACGTCGTACGGATGGGTTTTGATCCACTTGGTAACGGTGGTCAGGTAGTCCTCCAGCGTGCCCACGTTCAAGAGGTCACAGGTGGTGTGGCAGAGGTAGAGGGTGCTGTTGATCAGGTGGACCTGGAATTGCACTGTTCGTCCACTTGTCAGCTTTCCCGACGCCAGACGCACGGTTCAGAAGACTTACACATGCGAACCCCGTCGTCCAGTTGGTCTGTGACGGGAAACGCTTGGTTGGCAGCCGCATTGCCCGCCTTGACGAAGGGACTGTTGTGGGCCGCAACCATGGTGATGTTGGAGTACTTGCGCGAGCAAAACTCCGTGTAGCCGTTGCAGGGCTGTGTGTTGACGACCGGCGTCGACGAGGCCGAGGTCGACGCTGTCGCCGTCGCGTTCGTGGACCCATTGGCTGCCCCCGTGTGTCCACCACCCACCAGCAAGGTGAGCGACTCGGAGCTCGTGCTGACCATGGTGGCATTTCCCGAGGTTGTCGTGCCATTGGAGGAGGAGGAGGAGGTGACCGTCGATTCGGCGCCGGTGCCGGTGCTGGTGACGGTATGTCCGTTATCGAGGGTGATGGTGCTGGTATACGAGAGGTAGTGACCTGTCGGGACTGTCGCTTCGCTGATGGATGATGTGAGGGTGCCATCCAGGGTCAGGATGCCGTCCGTCGCACTGGTGGTTTTTTTGTCGTCCTTGGTGGTATCGTCCTTGGCCAGGGCCGGGAGGACAGCTACCAGCAGGAGCGGCAGCAGATGAGCGATCAACCGCATGATGCCGGGGGACGGAGCCGCAGCAAGTTGTTGATGTTCGGGGATTTATATAGAAACCCAGGATATTGGGGAAGGTTCGTATAGAAAACGTGATCCTTTCAGCCACCGACGGGAGAGACCCTGAGGAAGAGAAATCCCAAGCGGAAGGTTAAGAGTTGACGAGATGAAGTCAGTCAACCATGGAAAGAGTGGATGATGTAGAACCAGTATTACGGACCACTCCGTACTTACTAACTGAAGGGTCAGGGTCAGGCAGGGTCAGGCAGGGTCGGCGGGTAATTTTAGGTGGGTACGGTATCGTCAGACCCCGTAGGGGCGGGATTTCCCCCTAATTGGCTGCCACCCCCTGTCTTATGGCCCCACATGGCTGAGTCGATCTTAGCACAGTCAGACCCCGCTTAGTCGAATTTAGACTCTTGGGGCCGATCGCGGTCGCATGGATGGTAGCCCGCCGGCCAATCAGCGGCACCCAGGCCAGGCAGCCGAAATCTCTGGACCGAAACTGGGCCGAAACTGGATGAAAGTGGATGAAAGTGGACGAAAGTGGATCGGAGCTGTCGATGACGTCGTACCATTGCCCCTCCGCCCAATCGCTAGCTCGAGCGCCAGAAGATGGGAAGAACACTGTTCCACTCTGGCACTCAGGAGCCGCTGTGGGCGTGGTGATGGGCGGTTGCTGTTGCCCTACACAGCAGTATCAAGTATCAACGAACTGCCAGATCAGCCCCGATCGCTGTGCGATTGGGTAATCGGAGCAGCCCAATACCGGGCTGGCACCATCACCAGCCACTCAGCAAGCCAACCGCGGCCTGAAACAGCACGATCAACGGGGTTATCAGCTTGCATCAGGGCAAACGACGCAGGATCTTCCTCCGCCGCCACAGCCCCAGCCCGGATGGAGTCACGATGGCCCAGAAGGGCAAGTCCAGGGTGCCAAGGGCCCAACCCCTGCCCCTCTGCAGCCCCGTTCCGTCTCTCCCAGGGCCCAGACCGGCCCGACCTGACCAAGAAATCATGCCGAGTGAGAAATGACATGGCCAGAGCGCGGGTGAACTGACCGTTACTGCTGCTGAAGCGGCCAGCGTTACGCTTACGGCCCATTACGCCCCTGCCACCCTTACTGGATCTGCTTCGGCCGTCTAAGAATACTCTTCATTTGCTGCCGCCAAGGTGTCGCCGTCTTAACTTTTTTTTTTTGTCAACCTTATAGTCGGCCCAAAACAAGTTGCTATCTTCTCTCTCTCTCTCTCTCTCTCTCTCTCTCCTTTCTGATCTTCCTGATTTTCGATCTTCACACCTTTGGGCTCGCTTAGAAGGATCATAATTCCTCTCCGCCTCCTTTTCCCCTCAGGGAATCATCGCCATCCGTGGTTCACTGATTCCCTCCGCCGCGTACCACCACCACCACCGCACGTGGTCCATGGCGAGCAACGTCATCTACTAGTTACTAGCCCGCCGTTGGAATTTCTTTTCTCATATACCAACACCACCACTAGATTCTCCGTCCCTCCCTACGACTCCATCCCCCTGTTGCCCTACATCTGCGCCTATTCTTACCCCCCCGACTCCAGCTCTATTTCCACCACGACCACGTGGTGATCGAAACCCACCGGTCTGCAGTCCATGGCAAAGCTTCCCCTGTTCCAAAAGGGCTCCGGGCGACCTCAGGCCGGACGCACTCGGTCCAAGGTGATCTGGCATCGCCTCCTCCGGTCCTTCTGCTACCTGATCGCCTGGATCTTCCTGCTTCTGGTCTGCCTGGGCAGTCTCGCCAACAAGCCCGTCCTGCGCGACACCTACTTCCTCGAGATCAACCTGGCCAATATCATCCCGCTGTCCGTCCCCAATGCCGACCTGATCGATACCATCGCCCGCTCCATTGGCCTGCACGACTTTTACCAGGTCGGACTATGGAACTTCTGCGAGGGCTACCAGGACCAGGGCATCACCCATTGCTCGACCCCCAAGCCTCTCTACTGGTTCAATCCCGTCGAGATCATCCTCAGTGAACTTCTCTCCGGCGCAACCAGTACGTCTATCCCCTCCCCAGACCCCAATCTCTCAACCAACTAACCATTCCCCCCCCCCCCCCAGTCGCCCTCCCCGCGAACATCACCTCCGCGCTGAAGATCGCCCGCATCGCCTCCCACTGGATGTTCGGGCTCTTCATCACGGCCACCGTCCTCACCTTCATCCTGGTCTTCCTATCGCCGCTGGCCGTCTCGTCTCGCCCTCCGCAGACCATCTCCGCCGACCCGGCCGTCAACCAATCCCACCCGCAACACCGCCGCCGCACCTTCGTCTTCCTGCGCGCCCTCCCCTTCCTCCTCCTCACCTTCATCACGGCGCTGTTCACCATCGTCGCCTCCGCCGTCGCCACAGTCATGTTCATCATCTTCCGCAACGTCTTCACCTCCTCCAGCTACGACCTGAACATCGGCGCCTGGATCGGCACCCGCATGATGGTCTTCATGTGGATCGCCTCCGGCTTCAACCTCATCGCCTTCATCCTCCAGCTCGGCTCCTGCTGCGCCTCCTGCTGCGGTGGCCGCAAGGCCCGCAAGCAGCTCAAACGCAACAGCGCCAATGGCTCCGCCGCTACCACCGCCTCCGTTTCCCCTGTGCGCGAGAAAGAGGAGCACGAGAACGGCCACAGTCCCGCTACTACGGACTAAATGGGCCGGTCATCTCTTCTCACCTCCTCTCTTTCAATCAAACCACCAATCAGTCAACCTACCTGCACCTACCCCTCTCTCGTCTCCTACATACACGCCTGCATATATACCCGGGCATCGATCTCCGGACTGAACTGACCGTCTACACTTCATCTCATCTCATCATCTCTTCCTCCCTTCTCCCTTCTCTCTTCCATTCCATTCCATACCCCGCGATGGCATCCATCCACCATCCACCATCCACGGACAGGACGGGTTGGATATCTCTTGATAAATAGACCATAAAGAAAGGTGCGCGCATCTAAGGGAGTTTACAGCTCACCAATATATACAGATCTGGTTATGTATTATAGTGTACGTCTTATTATTTCGTTTTCGCTTCTTACATTCTTACCCTGTTGGACTAGAACCCATGGATATAGATTTGGACATTGTTGGTTTGGACGGATGGCTGGATGGCTGGGATTGGTGGGCGTGCAGTGCAGGTGAGCTTGCCCCTGGACGGCAAGTTACGATCTTTACGACTTTGTTATGAATATTACGAGGATGAGGATACATAGGATTGGTTGGGTATATATATATATAGATGTAGGGTACTGCTGGGGAAAATATATCTGGATTTTTTTATAAAATATGTTTGGATTTCATTTATGTATTGGTGGTATTGGTATCCCGAAAGGTGAACTTGTTTGTCTATGTATGCAAAACCAGAGGCCGCGCACGCTATGATGCAACTGTGACAGCAAAAGAAAACGGGTCAGAGCAGGGCGGTCTCGTAATCCGATCGATAAGGGTAAGGGTATCAAAATGTGAAGAGAAAATCAAATACGTCAATCAGCTCTGCGTCAATTCTTGCTCCATCATACGAGCCAAGTCATCGTCGCTATCGGCTAGATCGACTGACGCAATCTCGCATGAGGCTTGCGCCGGTGCGTGGCCCCGGCTCCGCCCGGCATCTTGAGGCCCACCTTCCGCCCTGGGGGATCCTTGGGCTTGAGGCGCGGGGGTCGCGCGGACGCTATGAGGGCCGGCGTCCGCCTCGGCACCAAGCCAGCTGTATTTCTTGCTTCGTAGCGATTGAAGCATTTCGGCCCGTCGTTGGGTTTCCTCCGGGGTTGGCATCACCGGAGCTGGCTCATCATCACCAGTTTCCTCGGTCAGGTCGATCGTCAATGGTTCCGCTCTGGGCGCAGAGGAGCCTGGAGCTATGTTCTGGCACACATGACTAGCAGGAGCGTTTGGTGCAGACGATGACACGGGCTGCAGATGTGGAGGCTGTGCCGTGGGTGGAATTGTGTGCGAACCGGGTTGCAAATGCGACTGCGACTGCTGGGTCGGATTGGCCTGGCGAACACGTGGAGGCTTGTATCCATTTGGTATGGGAGCAACGGCGGGGGCTTCTTTCTGTGTCCGGAGCTCATATAAGAGATTGTTGTAGGTCGTACCCAGGTCGTGAAGCTTATTCTTCCACTCTATGGTCTCCTGTTTGTACTGCTCAACCCTACTTTGGTGGCGCGAACACACTCGTCGCAGCATCGCGTTCTGATCAAGTAGCAATTGTTGGTTTGTCTTGCCCGTCGCCGGGTCCACCGTGATCAAGTCCGCCAACTGCGACAATTCTTGTCGGTATTTATTCCGCTCGAGCGACAGCTGCTGCACTTTGTTCCGCAGGCAATTGATACGGTAGCTGTTACGGTCGTCCGTGACTTCAACGTACCTGACGTGGACTCCAGGGGTTGACGGGAGATACCCCAACGGCCCTCCATGAGCTGGATATGGCGAAACGTACTCGGGTTCGGGGTAGACTCGCTGCAGGACCTCTCGGTTTGTGTTTGCAATGACATGGTGTTGGTCAAGAGAGAACCGTGCCTTGGTGATTTCGCTGACAGAAGGCAAATCGCATTCGTCGAATCCGAGAGCCTCTTCAGGGATCTCAATTTTCATTGACGCTGCCTCTTTCTGCTCTTGTTCGTTAAATGCATCCTGGAGATCAAAGTTGAAAGGGACTTCGCCATCTGGGATGTCTAGAGAAACATCGAACGGCGGGTCTGGGAACAAGAGATCCATCGATTCAAACATAGCAGGCGGCTGTTGTTTCTCGATATCGACTGGTGTATGTGGCCCCGTGCCGCCTTGGTCGGGCTGAAGAGAACAATCAAGCGACGAAAGCGACGGTGTCTTATCAGGAGACTCTGTAAGGCCTTGGATGAGCTCGGTGGCCTGTCTCTTTCGGGACTGGTCCCAGAAGGCATTCTCCTCGGGAAACGCCTCCTCACCAGCCCGCTTTTGGGAACGGAAGGCCGCATCGAGCTCATCAAAAACAACATCCGAGTCGAAGAGAGGGTCGTACAGATCTCCAGCCGTATCGTTTGCTCCATTAAACTCCGAAGAATGAACATCCAGCCGTGGTGAACCTTTGGACTGGTCTATGTAGGCGCTGCCGCCATGTCCATCATCCGAAGGTGCATGGTCGGGTTTTTCCTCGTTTCCATCGCCTTTGTGACTGTATGAGTGATCTTCGGCGTGGTATGTGCGGTTATGGACGGCGTTCTGAGCTGAATTTGTTTTTACGTCCCGGTCAGACGAGCCGCGTTGTTCACCTTTGGAGGCATCGAAGTGCTGCAGCTGGGATCCAGGGGAAGGTGTAAGCCCCAGATCATTGACATGCAGATGAGAGAGTGGTGGGGGGGACGAAAGACCCTCAGAGGTGAAAAGACCTTGAGGGTCTGAAGGGCAGGTCTGTGAAGAGGTAGAAATACCTTCCGCCATGCTTCCATTCATCCCAGCGAAAATTTGTCCAGTTGGGAAACGGATTAAGCCGAAGAGACCAAGGCGGGTTCACTCGGCTATACCTCAGGATCGTAGACCCTTCCCAACTCGCCGACCAGCTATGCAGAGGTAAGAACGAGGTTCGACAGTGTCTCCTAAGTTCCCGGCGCCGAGAAACTATGAAGCGTACCTCTTGGGAGCAGTGTCCTACTCGGGAGGACGAACTGAATCCAGCCTTGGTGATGGGAGGATAGATGGCGCCCCCAGTGGCCTGTCAGCGGACTCAGGCTAGCCACTGATACGCGCCTTATGACAGAAGCGTCAGTTGCATAATCTGGATCCGACACAAAAAATCGAGTCTGAAGTCAGACGAGGTGCAGGGAGAGGAATCGGGGAGATTTTCCGGAATAAAATGTCCCAGCCTTCTGCGGCACTTGAAGAATCCGTCTGCAGCAGTGAAAGGAAAAGACAGCCAGCGTGCAGGCAGGCAGGAGAAGGGGCAGTGAAGCATGAAGCAGCAGACTGGATCCCTTCAATCCAAATTTAAACCGCCGCCATCCTGGCCGCCTTCGCCACCGCCCCGCACACCGCCCACGTGACCGGCCACGGGTCCGCCGCCCGAAGACGGCGTCGGGAGGTAAAGCCGGCAGGATAGTTAGCTACTTACTGGCAGCGGCGGATTAAGTAACACACGCTCCTCCCCCAAGTTCTCCGCCGTTCTCGACTCTGGACTTCCCCCCCCCCCCCCCCGACCCTCCCCGTCCTATCAACACCTCCAAAATGAGCGTCATCCTTTGTACCGGTAGGCGATGTCCCTGACGCCCCTTGCGCCCTGAAGCCCTCCATCTATGCGGCCCCGGGAATTGGCTGACCATTGCTCTATCACCTCCCCCAGCCGGCTATGACCACACCATCCGGTATGTCAGGCCGCGAGTCTTGCGACACGAGCGTTGCGCTGGCTAACACCAGGTTAGATTTTGGGAGGCGCTGTCCGGAATCTGTTCGCGTACGATCCAGCATCCAGATTCCCAGGTTAATCGGCTATGCATCACCCCCGACAAGCGCTACCTGGCCGCCGCCGGTCATAGCAACGTCAAGCTGTATGACATCAAGTCCACGAACCCGAACCCCGTCATGACTTTCGACGGCCACACGAATAACATCACCGGCGTCGCGTTTCACTGCGAAGGGAAGTGGATGGTGACCAGCTCCGAGGACGGCACCGTCAAAGTGTGGGACACCCGGACCGGCAGCCTCCAGCGCAACTACGCGCACAAAGCCCCCGTCAACGACGTGGTCATTCATCCCAACCAGGGCGAACTCATCAGTGGTGATCGCGCTGGCATTGTCCGGGTCTGGGACCTGGGCGAGAGCGTCTGCACGCATCAGTTGATCCCCGAAGACGACGTTGCCGTGCATAGCGTCAGCGTCGCAAGCGACGGATCTCTCCTTTGTGCGGGAAACAAGAAGGTGAGACGACGGATTGCGGAACTGAGTCGCGTTTCCCCCAGCTAACACCCAGTGACCGGCTCCAGGGCAACGTCTACATCTGGCGCATGATCCAAGACGCCGAAATAACGCGCATCGTCCCGATCTGCACCTTTCAAGCGCACAAGGACTATCTTACGCGCGTTCTCCTCTCCCCAGACGTCAAGCACCTGGCGACCTGCTCCGCCGATCACACTGCCAAAGTCTGGAATCTCGACCTCGATTACCCGCCAGCCAAACTGGCCGCCGCGAAAGCGAAAGCGAAAGCCCTCGCCGCACCAGAGGCGACTGACATCCCTCCCTCCCCCGAATCCCTTCAGAACCAAAACCACACCTCCCCCAACGGCGTCGAGCCTGAGGAAAACCCCTTCAGTATCTTCCAGGGCACAACCCCCCAAGCCACCACCGAGCCCCAGCAGACATTCCCCGTACAACCCGACGGTCCCCCGATGGACGCCACCGCCGGCACCCTCTTCCTCGAGACCACCCTCGCCAACCACCAGCGCTGGGTCTGGGATTGCGCCTTCTCCGCCGACTCGGCGTACCTCGTGACCGTCTCCAGCGACCACTACGCCCGGTTGTGGGAGCTGGCCTCCGGCCAGATCATCCGACAGTACAGTGGTCATCACCGCGGGGCGGTATGCGTTGCGCTGAACGACTATTCCGAGCCGCGCTGACGGATCCACTACCGGGTCGATTGGATGCGACTGCCTGCCGGCAGTTGGGTTTGTTGTTATTATTGTCTTGTCTTCTTACGTACGGTTCAGGGATAATGAATGGTCAGCATGGAGCCTGGTTTGGGCCGGAGCACCGAGGCGTCTCGTGTGCGCCTTGTCTTGTGCATTGGAGTTTGGGTTTTCTTCCTTGTTTCCTTGTTTGTTTGTTTAGTTAGGTTGTATGCTTTGGATGTTAGCGCGCTATCCAGGTATGATATCCCGTATATGCAATATACTATAACGTTGAATCGTCTACTGTATAATTAATCCCGTCCCTGTGTAGTTTGTTGACTGGGTTCGGGTTCGAGGAATCAGGATTCAGTCTCTCAGTCGAATACTTATATAACTAATAGATCATTGCTAGCAATAGTCATAGTAATAAGAATGGCACAACGCTGAGACAGCTACACAACTTCCCACCCACCCACTCAGAAACAGAGTATAATCCCATATAAATATAAAGAGACACACACACACACACACACACACACCCTGAAAACGCAACCCACCAGCAAAAAAAAAAAAAAAAAAGATGGTATATCTCCCTTCCATTACTCTAACTCAAAACAAACTACCGACCTAGCTCAACGCAAACCACGTCACACTGACCACGACATCCAGACCCCGCTCCTCCGCACCAGGGTACTTGAACGTCCACATGCCATCGCGGTTCACATCCCAGAAGGCCCCGGAGGCGGAGTGCATGCCGCGCTTGCCGGCGTTGCCGGCGGCGCCGTCGGCGGCAGCGGACTTGTCGATCAGGCCTTGTTGCACGATGGTGCTGTTGACGGTGAAGCGGTAAGGGGGCGCCGTGGAGGGGGTGGTGGGGGCGGTGGCGGTGATCAGGGCTTTCAGGATGGAGTTCTATTCACCCATTGGAGAGGGGGGTCGTTAGAGTTGAAGAGACAGTTGTTTGGTGCTTGTGCTTGTGCTTGTTAGGGTGGGTGGGGGCTGGGGAGGCGTACAATGATTTGCGAGTTCCATTCCCCGACTTTGGTGTGCTCGTATTCGGTGGCATCCTTCAGGGAGGTGTCGCAGGCCTGAGGGCATTCCGGTGGTTAGTTTGGGGAGGGTGTGGGCGTTGTCGCGGGTCGTTTGCTTGGTGGCAGGAGAGGAGATGGGAGGAAAGGAGAGGAAGCAAGTCAGGCAAGGCTGCAACACACCTCGGTGGCGATCTTGGTCAGTTCGGGGATGGGGACGGGCTAAAGCGTCGCATCGTCAGTAGAGATCCATGGCCGTTTGTCGGTATAGAGGGGAGGGGTCGATGACGTCCAGATGCGGGCAATCAATCCAGGAACGAGGGAGGGAGGGGGTGGTGAGTGGTGACACACCGAAGACGGGGGAGCAGTCTCGACAGCCATTGTGGATGGGATGCGATCACGGAAGTTCGGTAGGTAGTCGGAGAGATAGTCGCGGGACTTGAGGCCAGCAGGTTAGCGGAGTTTGCACGTGTCGGGAAAGTCGAGGTTGTTTGTCTGGGTGGAGATGGTCGAGATGGAGGGGGGGGGGGGGGGGGCTCGACAACCACGGAACGCTGGGGATGCGATTGTGGGGGGGAACCAGATGCGGCTCCTGGACCGGAGCACCAAGCAATATTGCGTGGAGGGATTGACGGGGGAGGAGGGCACTCACTCAATGCGGGTTGCGATGCGCGACAGTCTCGAGAGAAGCGTTGGTAGCAGGTGGACAGTTGGAGAAGATTACAATCACTGTTTGGGGGGGAACTCGGCGACTCGCATCATGGCTGTGGCTTGGCGGCCGTTGATTGGTCGGGGCAAAGCTTCCGCTAGACGCGATCTGGCTTGGATCAGAGGTTCCTTCCCCGTCCCGGACTAGCGCCGTGTCACCGGTGCCTCTCTGTGGCTGAGAATCTCCGAGCCACGACGGAGTAAAGAAGGACAACGAGGACAAGGAATACTTACTTTACTCCCTACAAGGTACGGCTAGTCTTGCATAATCTGCAGGCCAGGGTTATGTTTGGCGACAACGTCTGCCACTGTCGCTATGGCATTCCTTCCTCTTCTCCGCGGATCTTGCATTTCTTTAGAAGACGCCGCCTTGACCGACGACGACAACATCCTACACCGACTGGACGATCCCCGGAAGCTGGAGAAGTTCTGGGCGCACCTCACCACCCACCAGGCTTGGATTAAAGCATTGGTCGCATATTATTATTGGACGAAGCATTGCCGGGTTGCCGACGAAGCGAATTGGCTGTTTGGCAGCTACGACGTCTGCGTTCCGGTGTATGCCAATGGGCCTTCCAGAGACCGCGTCCTGGTCCGGATCTCGCTGCCACACAAGGTCGAAGAAGCGAACAATTCCGGGAATGTGTAGGAAGAGCTGCGCTCGGAGGTGGCGAGATACTTCCGGATCCACGAGAATTGTCCTACTGTTCCTAGTCCGACCCTCTACGGGTTCGGGTTCCCCGATGGACAAACTGTAGGTGAGCCCGGACTTCCCGTGGGCGTCTTAGTTCGCTAGACCATCCTGCGTGACACTGCTTTCTCGAACCCGGTATCATACTACGCGGACTATCCGCTCGTGGCTCGGATTCCCCGTCGCATGGCCATATGTCGGGCTGCAACGGGGGACATGGTCATCGGCTCCGTCGAGAGTGGCCGCATGCTCTCGGATACCTGGGCCACGCACCTTCTCGAGGATAAGGCCCGCAGGCAGACCCTCTTTAGCGACCTTGCGAAGATCATGCTCTCACTCAGCTGCTTTCCAATGCCGCGGATCGGCTCCCTGGCTCTGAATAATACTGGCCACCTTGGTCTTATAAATCGGACGTTGACTCTACGGTTTCAAAGATTTGGAAATTAAGGGAATTCTACAATTTAAAGACACTCAACCTACCGGTCTGTCGAGCCGTACGTCCTGGATCTTTTGCAATGTTATGACAACCGCATTTGCTACCAGCCCAATGCCAGTCACAACGAAAAGAATGGCGAGGAACAATTTACCGCGTTGACCATGGTGCGCAGACTTCTGCATCAATTCGTCTCTCGTCAGTACCGCAACGGGCCGTTTGGACTCAACCTGACAGATCTACACCTGAGTAACCAGTTGAACTACAGACTTCCCCATACTGACTGACCGGCCGGGTTTTAGACGACCGTGAGCACGGAGAGCATCCACAGACCTTCGAGAATATCCTGGCCGAGTTCATCGATGCCTTCGAAGAGGTCGAGTACCAGGAACGAGTACGATAACGGTTCCTGGCGGATCGCGAGTAGTACGGCGTACTATGTATGTCAAACAGCACACTCCACCCAGAGCCTCCTCCCAGCCATCCTTCCACTGCTCCCAGCCAGTCAGTTCGCCCCAAAGCAGCCTCAGGAGGTCTTCTCACCTTCTCGTCAACCCAGATCGACCGGTAAGGCGTAGGCAGCCGATATCCGAAGGCCGTGGCCGCGTAGCACTACTGTAGACTACCCCGGACTAGCACACACCGTCACCGCCACGGCGGCAGAACCACGCTTCCGGAGTGGGCCGCGCCGGTCAATCACAGCCACCGCCTGCGGCACGTGCGCTCTCCCCGGCGGTGAGGGGCGGCAGAAGAGGGGGCGCCAGACCGCAACGGGCCAAGACCGGCCCGTCAAGCGGGGGCCGCGAGTCTCGATTCAACCAGCAACCGACCTTAAATCCTCCCGCGCTTGAACGACCTCACTTATCACCAGCTGCTGCTGCTCCTTTCTCAGCCCCCAATTGACCCCGTGCAGATTCTGCTTCTTCCCAGCTCTCTGCTCGACCGCGCTCTCTGCAATCCTTCCAACAGTATACGCACATTGGCTGCATTATAGCTGGGCTCAGCTCTTATCTTCGTTCCTTCACGCATTCCTTCGCGAATCGTCTTATCTCTCCTCTCCTCTCCTCTCCTCTCTCCGAAGAAGAAGAATCCCCTGCTCTCTTCTCATCTCCTCTTCGACTCTCCACCAAAAACAAAACACAAGATGTCCAGCCAACCTCTCCTCCAAACTGCCCCAGGTAACGCCCTCCTCACTCCCTCCCCCTTCCCAAACACCACCACCACCACCCCAAGCTAACAACAATTCCTTTTGGAAAAACAAAAAACACAGGCAAACGCATCGCCCTCCCCACCCGCGTCGAACCAAAAGTCTTCTTCGCCAACGAACGCACCTTCCTCTCGTGGCTCAACTTCACCGTCATCCTGGGCGGTCTGGCCGTCGGCCTGCTGAACTTCGGCGACCGCGTCGGCCGCATCTCCGCCGGTCTGTTCACCCTCATCGCCATGGCCGCCATGATCTATGCTCTTGTGACCTTCCACTGGCGCGCCCAGAGTATTCGTAAGCGCGGCCAGAGTGGTATTGATGATCGCTTTGGGCCGACGATTTTGGCTCTGGCGCTGTTGGCTGCTGTTGTGGTTAATTTTGTGTTGAGGATGGTGGAGTGATATTCTTCCTTTGTTTGTTTTTTGGGGGTTTTTATTTTTTTTTTTTGTTATATTTCTCTTTGGGGGTTGGGTTTGTTTTGTTTGGGGTGGGGGGTGGCTGTGGTGAAAAAAAAGAGGGAGATTGAATACGAATGGTATATATCTAAGACTAGGTAGTGAGTGTTTAGGTCTGGGTGTGGTCAGTGCTGGTCACTGATTGATGGTGGTGGAGGAGGAGGAGGAGGAGGAGGCTATTGTGATAGTGATAAGCGGTGTGCGTCGATGACGGTGGATGTGAGACGGCTTATGCGTGTGGCATGCTTGTATTTCTTATGGATAACCCGCGTTCATCTGCTGAGCGTTCGTTCAGATTGTGCTTTGTTGTTATTTCTAGACTGTGGTTACGTGCAAAAGTCATCAATAGTAGCATTGGTTTGAATTGCGTAGCATGGGATGATAGTATGTACATGAATGAGATATAACCCGATGGGGATAGAGGTTGGCCACATGGGTCAGATGTCAGATATCAGATGTTAGACACCCTCGATGAATCCGTCGTCAATGAACGTCTCGTAGCTCCAGTAATCGCGCTGCTGTCCCTGTCCGTCCACGCTGGTGTTGCCCGTGTACTTGGCCGTCCAGTAGGAACTGCCCTGCGTGTACTCGCCAAAAGCAGCCAGTCCCGCGTTGAGGTTCCTCTTCCGAAGAGCAAGCGAGTTGTTGTACGTCGTCTGGATGGCCCACTCGCCCACGAACACAGGGAACTTGCCGTCGCTCGATCTGGCGCGCGCGTCCGAGTACAGCAGGCCGGGCAGGTTCTCCGAGGTGGCAGGGCGGTTCTCGAAGTAGTAGTTGTGCACGTCGAACACGAGGTTGGTGTCGGCAGGGAAGTCTCCCGCCCAGTACGACGGATACTTGAAGCTGCCCTGGAACATGACAGGGACCTTTGGGTTCACGGCGGCCACACTCTGGACCACGGCTTTGATGTATTTCAGCACCCACGCCGCACCGTGGTCCGTCAGGGCTTCGGGGGTCCCGAAGGTGATCATGTTGGTGTTGTTATCGGCGGGTTCGTTGATGGGCTCGATGGAGTACGACTGGGGCGAGCCGGAGTTCTGCACAAATGAGATGACCTTGTCGATGACCTGCATGGAGTAGTCGAAGTTCGTTTCGTTCCAGAACCAGTCCCAGTGCCCGGTGGCTTCGCCGGTCGTCAGGCCGTTTACGCCTCCGGGGAGCGAGTGGGTGTCCACAATGATGTGCATGTCGTATGTTGAGATGGCGTAGTCGGCGATTTGCTTCAGGTAGACGGTCTGGTTCCCCGAGTATAGCTGAGAGCCAGGCACCTTGATCCACGCCGCATACGTGGTAGGGATTCGCAGGACCTTGACTCCGCCGGACGCCAGCTTGTCGATGTCCTTTGTCGTTATCCACGTCGCATATCGATGCTCCAGAACTGGGCCGCACTGGGACCCTAGGTGCTCACAGAGTCCCCATTCATCGGACGCCCCACCGGAGTACTTATCCCAGAACTGGGTGTCGATCGTGGACTCCTGCTCAAACCATCCTCCAAGGTTGACCCCGTTGGCCTTGAAAGTCCGCCAGTCGACATACGCAGAACTTTGGGGGGTCTCTATAGGAACTGCGAAGGTTGGTCGGATGCAACCGAGCGCAACAAGAAGCCCTAGTAACGCATACATATCAAATAACATGGTAATACGATATTCAGCTGGCCAGACTGGCTCTATCACATCAGGGAGTCAGCCCAGATGCAGCTCTTTTATAACTGGATTGGCATCGTTGGCCCCCCGTCGCCAAGACCGAGGCCATCAGGGTTTTCCGACGAACGAATCTCCAACGTTTGGGCATCGGGTTGGTAAAGCCCACGATTGAGATGAGGTGCTGAAGGTCGGACCATCCGAGGTGCTAAGCAACCATATCCACGTCGTCACTTGATCCAAGACTGGTGACGCGGACCTATCAGAAGTGGCTGACTGCCACCTGATTATATGGGTGCGAAGGTCAATCTCACTGACCATGGTATATTAAAATGGATATGTACAGGAGTTTCCCCGGTCTGACTTCCGGAACATGTGCGGGGTGTGGGGAAATAGCGTCGCTCGTAGGATATTAATCACTCATCGTCAGACAGCTGACTCCCCAGCCAGCACAGATCAGCGTACCTGAGCGTCGCTAAGCTTCGCAACTGTTGGGACGCACTCGGAAATCCCAGACCTCGGGAGTCCCGAAGGAAGGTCATCTTCTCGTATTGGACGTCGGAGGGTTTGTCCCCTGGATTTAAATAGCGAGGGCCCCGACTTCTCATTTCCCAGCGTTTTTCCCTCAGGGGAAGCATGCTTTCTGGAGATGCACGATTTCGGGCACCCTGCAAGGACAGGGCAACTCCGACGCCAGCTTTTCATGTCAGACAACACAAGGCCGCTGGAACCTTACTGGATAGCACTATCGCAGCCATCCTGAGGTTCTGTGTATGGGTCACGGATCGAAGACGTTGCTATGCTAGCAACAGTCACCACGAAGGGTATTGAGCGAGGGCTGGAGACATCAGTGTCGGAGGGATGGGATGCTATGTATCAGCCAAGAAAGTCAGTGGATGCGATGCGATTGGCATGCCCCAAAGGCTAAAGTATGGGGGTCTCCCCCCTCCCCGCGCGAAACAATCGGGCGGGAGAACTCAATTGCAGCAGTGTTGATATGAGTGGAGACGTAGAGGGAAGGTGGGCAAAGTGGATGATGTAACGCGATGGTGCTAACCGCGACGATCGGGCGGATCTGCCCATCAGGAGAGACAACAATGACCATGTGTGACGAACCTTGGGGCGGGTGGTTGAGGGACGGACCCATGGGACTTGCTCGTATGGGTGCGTTGGCATGGCTGGCTGGCGAGTGAGACATGGCGAGGAGATGGAGGAGGGCAATCTGGAGTCCGGAGAGTTCTAGATAGATGGATATGTCTGACACTACGGAGTATCTGGATTCTAGATAGTGTACGGATTAGTTACGGAGTACTTCGTAGGAAAGTCTGAGCTCAATACAGAAAGTACGTACTAGGTACCGTACGGTACTTCCGACGAGTGGCGGTAGCGCGGCAGTACCCCGGCCATCCATGGCCCAGTCCAGGCCCGGCAGGCGCATCACATCATCGCCCCACCCGCTTTGGCTCCCACTGATTCGACGTGTCATGGCCGGGATCACTGATCAGCATCAATCGTTGTAAAGTACGATACACTGCCTTTTCTGCTGAGTGAGACTACTAAGGTAGTTATGTACGTACTAGATACTGTGTAGCCGGGAAGCATCAATAAGAAACACACACCTAAACATGATACTCAATCATGATGAAAGAAAGAACTAGGTAGGTCACTGCACGGGAAAGTGAATGTCTGCCTGTCTGCCTGATCTCTCCCCTCTTTTCTACCTTTTCTACTCCGTACCATCCCTCCCTCCCTTGATACCTCCCCCATCCCGGATTCTTCCCTCTTCTCCCAACTTCTTTTTCCCTCTTCCACTCCCCTCTTCCCAAATAACCTTTTGTGTCCCTCAAACCGGTTTGGTCATTCTGGTCCCTGGTTGGACCTCGCTCCCGATTATCTTACCGGTCGTACTGAGTACTACTGAGTACTTACTTACTTCCCTTACTACTTTGCCCGCATACTTACCACCACGGCTTTCGGACGACGCTCTCCTCCAAGCCTACAACAACAACACCAACAACAACACCTCCCTTCTTCTACTTCCTCTTCTTCTTCTTCTTCTCTCTTACACCATATCTCCCTCCCTCCCTCTTCCTCCCCCTCCCTCCCTCTCGACACATTCTCTCCTCTCCCTCCACTACCTATTATTGTCTCTCTCTCTCTCTACTATTTACCTCCTCGACCCGTTTCCACTGTTTATTATTAATAGATTACGCCACCGCCCAACCGTGCTGGGGGAAGTTTGCCTCTCGAGTTACCCTGACTAGCCGTGGATCCGCGCTGTTCCTCCTCTTCCGGGCGTACATGTGACTTTGGCTTTGGCTGGAGGGAAAAGATACACATTCGATCTATTCTTACCAGAACTGACTGTCTCGGACGGACAGCCAGGCAGCCAAGCAAAGGACGAAAGCCATCGGACGAAGACCATTCACAACTCTCCGTCTGGCCTGGATCGCTCCCCCGTCCATCCATCCATCCCTACCTTCCTACCGCTTACTTCCTGATTATTATTATTACCACTCATTACCATTTCTACTTCTACTACCTATTACTTACTACCTTTACCTACTACTGCTACTGCTACTGCTACTCCTACTCCTACTCCTATTCCTACTCCTCCTATCTACCTCTCTATCCCTCCTTCCGGTCATCCTGACCGCGCAGGGCTGTTAATCCACCCCCTTCGTCCAATTTTCAACCAGAACTCAGATCTAATCCAATAACTGTTGCATGCTTCTTCCACCATCGGAGCTTCGGGCGTCCGTCGTTTCTGGTTGGGGTCCCCCCGTGTTTCCTTGCCCCTTGCTGGGTTTCGGCCGGTCGCAAACGACGTCTGACCGATCGGCAGCAACGTCCACTCCCTCGTTGCCTGCTCCTACATTTCTCTCCACCTCCCCCATTTCTCCCCGGATTTAGATCGCATTCGCATGCACTGGTGCATGCTGTCTTTGCGCCGCGGTTAATCTTGTATTCTTGTACCCTGCTTCTCGCGTGGCGCCGGGTACTGTCGCATACCTCGCATCACGCGGAGCCCACCCTTCTACTCTTCTGACTTCACAACTCGCATGGCATGTTTCGGCTGCTCCCTTGGTCCTCTGCAATCGGGGGAAATAAGGTGATGGCCGAGGAGCTCAAAATGCTCGCGACCTCGCCGCACTGCACTGCGCCCGGCGTCAGTGGCCTGCCGCTGCCTCAGCTGAAGCGCAAGCGCTCTGACTCTAGCGATCCGGCCTCCGATCGCGATGCTCCGGTCGCAACCAAGCTACGCGCGGACGATGCACTGTCAAACCCCATAGCTGTCCAGCAGAGCTCTCCGACCGTCAACAGCACGCCTGTGTCGCGCGACCCGGCCTGCGATAATCCATCGCATCCGTCGCATCCATCGCCACACGCCACAAATACGATCGCATCCGACCCGCCTGCTACGAATCGCGACGTCAGCGCCCGCAAAGTAGACGCGGATACACTGCGTGAGACGTTGGAGGCACAGCTGAGCCTGGAGGTGTTGTTGAAGCACAACGAACTGCGACTGATCGACCAGGAGATCGCCAAATGTCAAGTCGCTTTGGAACAGCTACGTCGGTGCGCCGAAATCCCATATCCCGGCTCAAGCGTGGCGGGCCACTCGCAGTCCGTCAGCAACGGGACGGGTCTGGCGGTATGGGCTCCTGAAAATGGACCTGCGCCGCAGTCGCCCGCGCCCTGGGGGGTCATGGATGGGCCTTACTCGCGTCACTATTCTAGGTGGCTACTTCCCGACCCGCGTTTCGACGGAGGAGAGCTCGATCCCGAGACCCCTCTGGCTGGAATCCCTATGGAGGGCCGTGCGACGCGCGGCAGTTTGGGGGATCTGGGCTACTTGGCTGGCAAGACCCGACCCTCGCGGGGCTCAGGCGGCATGAAACTCCAGGCTCTGCCCAATGGCTACCCGGCAGCGAAGGAGAAGGTCGGGCCCATGTGCATTCGACGAAAGTCGGATAACGTGATGGTGAAGTTGGTCTGCCTCGACTGCCGGCGGGACAACTTCTCCAGCACCCAGGGCTTCATCAACCACTGTCGCATTGCGCATACCCGGAACTTTGCTAGCCATGAGGCCGCTGCGGTGGCGTCGGGCGAGCCGGTCGAAGTCGACGAGGCTGGTGCCGTCGTGGGGGGCAAGCCTGAGACATCTAGCGCGGCCACGGCCGGCTTCGTGCACCCGCTGATCCGGTCTGCCCATGTGATGGAGCCGTCCTCAGCGTCTGCGTCTGAGGCTACGGGCGACAGTGCGACTCCCCGCAAGCGATCTTGCCCGAGCCGACGGGCATCGTCCGGGGTGGAAACTCCTCGGGGATCAGCCCGTCGTCCGCCTGGGAAACGCGCCACGCCCGCCACTGGGACTGGGACTCCAAGTGACTCATTCCTGGGCTCTCCAGCCACTCCCCACCTCTCGTCTCTGATGCAGTCCCGGGGCGTCGGGCTGGACCTGGATCGGTTGGTGGGCGAGGCGAAGACGGCGGTGGATCTTGGCGACTACTCGTCCGACGAGGGCGAGTCAGATTCCGGGTCTGTGCCACCTCCGACGGAGATGAGTCACGAGCAGACGACGCCGCTGGGTGTCCGTGCCGGCAGGCAACCGATGCGGACGACTGCCTCGCAAGCGACCGCCCAGCGACCCGGCAGCCGCAAGGGGCTCGATCAGACAGGTCACACCCCCTTCCCCCTCGAGAGTTTGACGCCCACGAAGCCGGCGCCTTACGAATCCCCGTATCTGCCCGTGGCGTGTTCATCGCGGTCGACGCAGATCGATGAGCTGCGGGGGGTTGATTCGGTGCCGTCGATCAGCCCAAACGCGGTGGAGTCGAACCAAGCGCCGAGTCTCGTCAGCGACGACGATGACTATGAGGCGGCATCGGATTCGGAGAGCCCGGGGCCGAGCTCGTCGGAGGCGGGCGACCCGGAGGACTTTGGGCACATCGATGTAGAAGACGATGAGGACAGCACGACGTCGACGGCGGCGCCCGAGGCGAAGCCGGACATGGGAATGGCGAGCGCCGCGACGCCCCGACCGCCGCTGTCGAAGCCGCTGCGGCGCAGCACGAAGAAGAAAGACCGAGTGATGTCGGCGCCGGTCGTTCCACTGAGCCGTACCCGCGACGAGAAGCGCGTGAGCTTCGTGAGCCCGGACGCGAGCCCAGCGACGAGCAAGAAGGACAGCCCGCGAGGACGATAAACGCGATAGACTTGCCTGCCTTGCCTTGCCTGCTTTTCTGTGGGGAGGGGCGGGACACTTTCGGCCGTTGTAATTGTGACGGTGGCATCGGTTTTTTTTTTTTTTTTTTTTTCTCTTCTTCTTGTATGAGACTTTCAGGTATTGATAAATTGCGGTCTGGTTGATTCTGCGATGGAAGTTCATGTCTAGGGGTAACCGTTCAGCGAGTTGCGAAAATTACGGATTATGATTAGAAGATGATGGGGGCAGTGTCTGATATTAATAAGATATCATCTCAATTCTACCTCTGATTAGGGCGTCAGTCTATATAGTAGTAGTGCTCCCTAGGGAGAGAGTAGATATAGTACGCGTCCCGCTCGTATCCAACGTGACCAGCTAACTGCACGCTCTCTCTCTCTCTCTCTCTACCATTCTACAACCAACAACACTCTCACCATGAACCCCTCTAATTCCACCCCCATCCACCCTTTCCACCCCGCCCAAATCACCTTCCCCACCTTCACCACCCTCCTCGCCCACTATCCTGCCACCGTGGAGGCCCGCGCCCGCCGCAAAGCCACCGACAAGATCCTCCGACCGCGAGGCAAGAAGCAGAGTAAGGCCCCAGCCTCAGCCCCAGCCCCAGATCGCTCGGAACCCACTCCGGCCCAGCGCGCACAGATCCAGGCCGAGGTCGACGAGATTTTGGATCTGGATGCGTTTCGGTATGAGGTGCTTCCGGGGAGGGTGAGGGAGAGAGAGAGAGCTGATTATGGGGAGGAGGGTGGACATGGACATGGGTATTTGGAGAAGGAGGAATTGGTGAAGTTGGTGCAGTGGAAGATGTATGTATTCCTTTCAGTTATTCTACTGAGTACTGTCGGTCGAGATCTACTTCCACTACCCTATAAATACTACCTACATCTAGTTATACAGATAGTTAGATACGACGTACTAATCAAAGCAGGAAACATGGCATCTTCCGCCCCGCCCTCCTCGGCCTCATCCGCTCGAACCCCGACAGCCTGGTCAAGACGGCCACCGCGCGGGCCTTCACCCTCCTCGCTAGCGAAGCCAAGGATAGTGATAGTTCATTTCCAACACAAAGCCTCGACGCCCTGATCAAGCCACTGCGGGGCGTCGGGGTGGCCACGGCGTCGCTGGTGCTGGGTCTGAGCGGCCGGGTGCCGTTCTACAGCGATGATGTGTATCTGTGGGTGTGTTTGGGGGAGTGGAGGAGTGAGGGTGGGATTGATGGGGATGGGGTGGTGGAGGAGAGGGTGCGCAAGGGGGTGTATAAACGGGGGAATGGCGAGTTGGATGTCAAGTATAATCTGGGGGAGTATCGGGGGTTGTGGGAGGGGGGATGGGGGTTGAGGGGGAGGTTGGGGGAGGTGCAGTGGACGGAGGTGGAGAGGGTGGCTTTGGTGGTGAGGTATGGAGATGAGAACGAGAAAGAGGAACAGAGTAAGAAGGGGGGGAAGAGAAAGCAAGATGATACTACTCCTACTACTACTACTGCAAGACGCAGGAGCAAAAGGCTGCAACGATGATAATTCGCCATCGGACTTTTTGATGGTGTCAGGGCCAGTGCCAGTCTGTAACTATACATTTGACAGATGGATATATGGATATCCGTATGGATGTATGGATGTATCACCCCGTATCAGTACCGTCGGTTCTTGACTCCTCAGGCACCGGCGAGAATATCCCCTCCAACCATCACAACTTCTCCTCTTCTTCTTCTTCTTCTTTTCTTTTTCTCTCTCCTCTGCAACTAGCCATCCTCATGCATCATCTCCAATCTCCCTATCATCCATCATACGCGTCACCCTCCAGTCTCCGCATCCCCGGCCAATAACTCGCCTCCATCACGCAACCTCCCATGCACCCTCATCTCCCCTCCCCATCCGCCCAGTACTGTCCTCCAATCTATTTCCGGCCCCGGCCAGATATCTGCCTGCCTGCTAAAGTATACGCCGTCCTGACCCCCTCCTCGTTCCCTGGGTCCTTCTTATCGTCTATCTAGGCACCTACGGTACAGTCTGTCTGCCTCCGCGTGGTTCTCCACGACTTAGCGCCGCCAGCAGTGGAGACGCCGCTTCGAGAAAATATCCTGATTTCCCTCCCATCCGCGCCAACGTACGAATCTGACATCCGGCCTCGGCGCTAGCGCCGCCTCCACCACGAACTTCTGGGGCCTGGCTGGACTTAGCCAACCGACTCGTCCCCCCCCTGATGGGTCCGGCTATGTACATTCCCGTCGCTCGTTGGATGGTTTGGGGCTGATGGGCAACCATCCGCGTCATGCCCTGTCCCACCTCCTCCTAATGCCTGTCCCTGTCGGTCGGCCTTTCTTTCCGCTGGCCAGCCCAGTCGCTTCTTTTTCTTCCTGTCACCATGCACCTCCCGCCGGCTGTCGACTGATTTGCTGTGCGATCCGGTGTACATACGGAGAGTACACTGTTGTTGTCGTCGTCCATGGCCGTGCTGCTGGTCGTCTGGGCCCTACTGCCCGTCCTGGCCACGGCCTTCTCATGGCATGCCCTCTGGTACGAGCTGGGCTTCCTGGGCGCCCATCCGACCCTGAAATACGAGTCCTTCGACCAGGAGTCCCCCGAGGTCAATGTTATGCGATGGGATCCGCGATGCGAGGAGGGCTACGTCTTTCTGAGCCCTCGCGGCCACTCCTACCCCGAGCCCGGCCCGTTGGTCTACGAGAACCGCGGGGATCTGGTCTGGATTGAGCGCGACTTCGGCGAGATCATGGATCTCAAGGTGCAGCGCTACCGCGGCCAGGATTATCTCACCTTCTGGGCCGGCGACGACGATGGCACGCGAGGGACCGGCCAGTACTACATGGTGGGTGTCCTGCTGAAGGTCCGAAACTAAGCTGACCGTCATAGCTGAACTCCTCCTACGATGTCGTCCACATTGTCTCCGCCGCCAACGGCCTGATGGGCGACGTGCACGAATTCAAGATCACCGACGAGGGCACCGCGCTCATGACCATCTACGACATCTGCCAGGCTGACCTCACCTCCGTCGATGGCCCGGAAGACGGCTGGATCTACGACGGGCTATTCCAGGAGATCGACATCGAGACGGGGGAGCTGATATTTGAGTGGCGGGCCAGCGATTACTACGACATCGACGAATCGTACTTCCCGCTGGGCGTGAAGGGCTTCTCGCCGTCCGCCGCGGACGCCTACGACTACTTCCACATCAACAGCATCGACAAGCACGCCAACGGAAACTACCTCGTTTCGTCCCGCTACATGCACACGGTCACCTGCATCAGCCCGTCGGGCGAGATCCTGTGGGTTCTGGGCGGGAAACGCAACACGTTCAAAGACATCTCGCCCGGGAAACTGGCGACGGGGATCTCCTGGCAGCACGACGCGCGCTGGCAGTCCGACACGGTGATCAGCCTGCTGGACAACGGGGCGCACGAGCACCTGAACACGCGCGACCACTCGCGCGGGTTCATGATCGAGCTGAACTTCGACGACTGGACCGCCGACACGCTGCACATCTACGACAGCCCAGGCTCCTTCAGCAGCCACTCCCAGGGCAACCTGCAGGTGCTTCCGCGGACGGGGAACGTGTTCATCGGATGGGGCAAGCCCTCCGCCTTCACCGAGTTCTCCGAGGACGGCGAAGTGCTCTGCGACTTCCACTGGGGGCCGCGCCTCTACTTCTGGCTGGGGTGGATCAAGTCGTATCGCGCGCAGAAGTTCCACTGGGTCGGGCGGCCGCGCGTGCCGCCCGACGTGGTGATGGACGAGGACGGTCACGCCGCGTTCGTGAGCTGGAACGGGGCCACGGACGTGGCGGGCTGGGTGCTGCAGCGCGCAAGCAACTCCAGCGCGACGGAGGCAGACGCGGACTTCACGAGCATCCTGTACCAGCCGAAGGAGGGGTTCGAGACGCAGGTCGACCTGCAGGGCGAGGGCCACTTCCGTCTGGTGGCGGTGGATTTCGAGGGCAACGCGATGGGCGTGACACGGGTGTTTGAGAGCATCTGGCAATGGGTGAGTGGGCTGATCCAGGTACTAGCGAATTATCTCGATGGACCATACTAACTTCGGCAGGATGCGGACGACACGAGCAGTGCCTCGACGTTCTTCGTGTTCTCCGAACGGGCGTTCCAGTGGATGCTCGTGGGGACGTTCACGGCGGGGGCGGTGGTGGTGGCTGCGTGGCGCGGGAGGAAGCGCATCCAGGCGATGGGGAGTGTTTGTCGGGGATACTTGCGTTTGCGTTCTGCTTGATTGATGACCACTTGATGATACCCAGATATATATATATATATATATATATATATACTCTCACTTTAATCTATCCTGATATTGATTACATGTCTATCCATTACATTACACCCCTCTATCCATCACATCCATCCTCTCCAACATTAACCCTCACAACCCTCACAACCCTAACCCACTCCCCCTCCCCCTCCAGAATAACCCTCTAACCCCCCCCCCCCCCCCATCAGAACACAACCTACTCAGAAAGTGAGAGGTGAAGGTCCCTCAAACCCAAACCCCCGCCAAAACCACCCCCATAACCCCAGAAATGCCCATACCCATGCCCATGCCCATCCCCAAAGGCCCATTCACCGCCGCCCCCCCGGAAGACTGCACCGTCGCAGCGGACGTGCGACTCGCGCTGGCGGTGGTCTTCGTCGCCGGCACCGTCGTCTTCGCCGTGGCCGACGTCGACGACGTCACCGTCGAGTACAGCGAGTATGCCTCCGCCGCGTTGCAGTATTGGATCGATTGGTCGGAGGCGGTGCTGTGCGCGGGGTCGGTGGGGCAGTCGTTGTAGCATCTTTATTTTTTTTTATTATTCACATTAGCATTAGCATGGGTATTGGTGTTAACATCAACATTCATATGAGGATTAGTATTGGTGTTAGGGTTGGGGAGTAGGGAAGGGGCTGTGTTTGTTTGATCTTGGGGTCCTCATACGTAAGAACATTCTTGCTCTGCGTGCAGAGACAGGCCCAGTCGTTTGCTTGGCAGTTCTGGAGCTGTGGGTTCATGATTTGGAGACATGCGTCGAGGATACTATTCATTCATTCATTCATTTAGATTCCATTTCATTTGTTAGGGTTTGGATTTGGGATTTGGGTTTGGGGTTTGGGATTTGGGTTTGGGATTTGGGATTTGGGTTTTGGGTTTGGGATTTGGGTTTTGGGTTTGGTTGGTGTATGTATGTATGTATGTATGTATGTATGTATGGGATGGGATATGGATATGGATATGGATATGGAGGTATAAGGCATGGATCATGGGGTGTAGGGCTGGATATAGGATATAGGAAATAGGACGTGCAATACAATATAGATAGAAAAAAAAAAAAAAAAAAAAAAAAAAAAAAAAAAAAAAAAAAAAAACTCACTTCTTCGCGCACTGATTATAAGCACTACTACTCGAGCTGGTAGTCGTCGCCGCTGAGGAATCCTCCGTCTTCGCTGCTGCTGCTGCTGCTGCTACCGTCACGGCTAGGGTGGCCGTGAAGAGGAGCTGGAAGAGGTGGAGGAGATGCATTTTCTGGAGATTCTTTTGTCGATTGGTTGGGTGGCAGGGTTGGGTGGTGATATCGATGTCAATGTCAATATCAATATCAATATCAATAGAAGTGAAGTGTAAGTATAAGTGTAAGTAAGTGAGAGAAATAGAGCCCACAAGAAATAAGGATAAGTATAAGTATAAGTAATGTATACAGCCAGCATGCAAGCAATTCAGAATCAGAAGAGAGAGGCAAGAAAAAAAAGAGAAAGAAAAAGGAACAAGAACCCAGCCAGAGGACCAGCTCATATGTATGTATGTATGTATGTATGTATGTATGTATGTATGTATGTATGCCCTGCCCTCTACTATAACTACTACCCTACCTACCCTGCCCTACCTTGCCCTACCGACACAGGTAGATAGGTAGGTAAAAAGGTAAGTAGGTAGGTCAGTAGTACACAACCCACCACAAACCCCACAAAACTACACCCCTCTCGTGTTCTCGTCCGTCAGTATCTCCCAGATACAGCAGAAAACCGGCATCTCACCGGTCGAAACCGGTAACAAGAGGTCCTCTCTGCATCGGCGTGCAGGAACTATCCCCGCCACCGTGCCGACAGGGTCTCGAAACGGAGGAATTATTGGCGAGGTACCTCCAGAAAATAACTACCCCGTAGATACTTTAGCCTATCTATCTACCTTCTACCTAGGTAAGTACTTAGGTAGGACATAGTCGGTGTAGCAGATCGGAGAGGTCAGAATACATAGTCAACCGACTGGGTGGAACGCCATGCAGGAGGGTCGGATAGACAGACAGATGAATACGGGACGGCGATGGGATTATTGAATATTGAGTTCGGGGTTGGCGATGGCCTCAAGAAGCACTACGATCCATCCTCATTAACAATCTACTCCGTACACCGTGGTGATGATTCTCTGCCCCGCCAATGGCAGCATCGCCAGCAATAATACAGTCGGTATATACAATTCGCCCCTCGAAACTAACGGTCAAACGATTCCGGTGCTGCCCTCGCTCTGTTCCAATCCCCTAGCCCAGGTCAGATGCAATATCTCGCTCCGACCACGCTGCAGCTCTACTCCTGTCCGAATCCTAACGTCTCCTCCACCGCGATCGACATCTTGTGCTCCAAAACATCATGCGACTTGTACGGGGGAAGATCCAGGCGGTTGAAGCTGGGGCGGTTAGCAAAGGAAAAGAAAGAAAGAAAGAAAGAAAGAAAAAACCATACCAGGTATGCGACTTGGGCAGCGCGCCCGGGTCGCCCGACTTCTCAATCGTGAACCGTCTCGGTCCGTCCGAGCCCTGCAGGTCCTTGAATCCGTTGACCGGGATACGAGACGTTCCCGTCGTGAACTGCAGCAGTCGCGACTTCTGCTCCGCATCCCAGGTGCGCACGATCTTCCAGAAGTTCTGGATCACCTCGTCCTGCTCCTGGTACCCGCGGTAATCCGTGTGCTTCTTCCAGTCGTCCACGTCAATGTCCGCGATACCGCCGATCAGCAGCTCCAGCTCGCGCTCGTCAAACACGTTCACCAGGTCCGCCGGGATCAGCTCGTTGAAGCCCGACATGAACGCGTTGAACTGCTCCTCCACGCGCTTCACGATCTTCCACTCCGTGACCAGCCTGCATGCGTCAGTTGGGGTCGGCGCCCTTCCGAGGGGAATGTACTTACTCGACGTATTCGCCCTTGTTCTCGTTGGTGACGGGGATGTCCCGACCACCCGGCTTCAGATCGATCGTGGTGCGCTCACCGAACTTCTCGTCGTCAACCGAGAAGGTCAGCTCGATGATGCCCTCGATATCGTTGTCCCTAACGGAGCGTTAGCCTCGACTCGACCACCACCAGCACAGTCACGCCACATACAGAGTCCACGCCAGGTTGCGGTGCAGGTCCTCGTCGACACCCTCCATGTCCTGCAGCGAGACCTTCTTCCGCAGCATCATCTTGTAAAACGCGCCAATGAAGAACGAATCGAGGAACCGGCGGTGGAAGATGGCCAGGCCGACCACACGGCCAATGAACTTGAAGTAGTTCAGGTGCTCCGGGTTCACACCGGAGTGGGGATTAATTTGCAGGGTATAATTATCATGTGCGGAGTACTCGAAAAGACAGTAGAAGGGGTTAAACATTTCGTGCGAGAGGAGGAAGAAGAATTCACTGTCACAGGTCAGCATCGCGTCGTCAGTTCTCCCTGCCAGGAGGCGCCTTACCGGGAAAGACCACCGTAGTCCAGACCATCTTCGCCGTCGAACTTGATCATCAGGCGCTTCTTCAGGTCCGAGGCGCTCTGCCGCATGATCTCGGCATACGAGTCCTCAAAGATGTTGTTGCGCCGCACCTTGACGTGGCACTGGCCGGACATGATCCGCAGCGCGGGCTGGGACCGGAAGTAGATCAGCTTGCGGCGGAAGTCCCGCTTGTACTGCGGCACGCCCTGATCCAGCGACGACGGCAGACGGGGGTCGTCCCACGTGGTCGTCTTGGTGTTGTGGTCCACGAAGTACACCCGAGCCGTGTTCGTCAGCCGCATCTCCCACCCGCTGGGCAGAGGCCCCAGCTGCGACACGGGCTGCTGCTGGATGGTGGTGTTGCCGCCGTTCGCATTCTGCCCGTACATGCGGATGTACTGCTGCCGTCGGGGATCCACCCATGTCGTCGTCCGCGTGTTGTGGTCGACGAAGTAGGGCCGTCCCTCGGGCGTCGTGCGCTGCTCCCAGCCGGGCGGAAGCTCACCAGTGCCTGCAGTGGTGGCTCCCGTGGCCATCATCGACGCTGCACCGGCGCTGCCACCGGCGGGCGGGGTCGTGGCCTGCGGCGGTTGGCTCTCCGGCAGATTCGGCGAGCTGGCCCCCGTGCGGTCCTCCGGCAGCATCCGGCTCTGGTGGGCGCGGCGCTCCAGCTGCATGTTCGCCTCGCGCTGCGAGCGCTGCGTATGCTCGTTGTAGTTCGACGACGGTCTGGTCCAGGTCGTGGTCCGCGTGTTGTGGTCGACATAGTACGTCCGTCCCAGGTTATCCTCGCGTCGCTCCCAGCCGGCTGGCAGGCGACCCTGGCTGTCCTCGAACGAGCTGAGATTGGTGCGAGAGCTTTGGTTGCCGTTGGGAGGGGGCGCGGCCGGGCCGGCGGGCGGGGGCGGCGGGCCCACGGTGCTGGTAGGCCGGGTGGTGGAAGGCACTCGTTGCGGGTTCAGAGAAGCACTCGACGCAGCGGCCGACGGCTCAGCCTGGCTGGGGCTGGCGGAAGGGTGCGGACCGGACGATACCTGTGGGACGAGGCCACTGGAGGTCGAGGACTGGGCATGTGAGCGGTGCAGGCCATTGGCCTGGTTGGGGATCGGGGCGCTGAGGTTGGTGGACAGGTTGATGATGAGCTTGCCGTGTACCACCAGGTTATCGTTGGATTTCTTCAAATCTCGTGTGAGCATTTCTATCGGAGGCGAGGAGCCTACTGTCAGCGATGCCCGTGGTACATGGCACAAAGTCACTCACCGTCACCACCCATCTGTATGTCTATCACATCTCCAATCCTCACGTTGATGACACCGAGAAAACCTTGGTCCTTCTTCTTAAACTTCTTCTGGTCAAATATCTGGATGGCGAGGATACTGTCTTCGTTGACTCGGCTGCAAGGATCGGATGATCAGTATCGGGCGCAGAGGCGGCCGGCGGGGTCCTTACAGATCAAACATCTCGTTCCAGTAGGGGTTCAGCGTCTTCTTGATGACCGAGGTCGTGTGGGTTTGCTCACCCCCGACGGTGGCCACCGCGAAGGGATCCGGGAATCCTGTATGCCAAAGTAACAGTGTCAGTTCCGAGTGCCAGCAGATCGCTATCAGGTGGCGGGACGTACGGAAAACATCACGCTTGTATAACCCATCCGCCGCGATAACTGTAGGAAATGCGTCAGTCTCCGTCGATCCGCATCGGCCCATCGGAGGACTCGATGGCCGGGCACAGATGGAGCGGCTTACTTGTGACGCGAAGATTTGGCTGGCTGCACGTCGTCATGATGTTAGTTAGCCTCGACCGTCAGGAACTCACGCACACACGGAGCGTGGATTTCAGACACCACGCAAGGGGAATCCGGGACATGCACATACGCTGGCAGGTTGGAACCCATCCTGGACGGAAGGCTCAGGCAGGCAGGCAGTTACGCGCCTCTGGGTGCCGTACAAGGCCGATCCGGGCAAGCCTCAAAAGGTAAATCGTGGCGTGCGCATCCACGGCCGTCGACAGGCACGGACACCGAGCAGTAGCGGAGATGCGTCAGGAGACGGTCGTGGGGGAGGGACCGACGGAGGATAGTGGAGGGAGGGGCAGGGTAGTGAGGGGAGAGGAGGGGGGGGGGGACGAATGGAGCGGGGAGGAGTGGGAGGGGAACAGAGAAAAGTGAGGTTGACGATAACCCGGGGCGTTGACAGTGAGGGACAGAACTGGAGATGATGGAGGAGGAGGAGGCGCGGGTTCGCAGTAGTGGTTAGTAGTAGTTGGGGCTGAGCAGGGCAGTCCTGACGTTGCGCGCGAGGAGCCAATCACGGGACGGCGAGGGGTTCGACCGAAAGACTGGCTGGTTTTGGTGGGTTTTGGTGGATTCCCGCGGGCGATGGCAGTAGTGATCCAGAAGGGGGATCCAGAAGGGGGATCCAGAGGGGGGATCCAGATGACACTGGTGGTGGTGGTGGTGGTGATGGTGTCAGTCCGTAGGCAGTCAGTCAGGTCGAGCTGGTGGTCGTGGCGAAGGAAAGGAGGGGGGGGAACTGGTCGAGCAGCTAGAGTGGAAGAGTGATAGTTCGAGGTCGTAGTGGTAATTAGTCGTGGCAGCCTGACTGCCTCGGATGACTGATGGGGACACCCTCACCCTCAGGCAGCCATTCAATTGATATTGACTGACTGAGTATCTAGTAGATTATAGTATCTATCGACTGAGCGGCAATGAACAACTCTCACACAACTATTAAACAGTGATTTAAACCCTCCAGACAATCAAAATACCCAACCCATCAATCACCACCCCATTCTGATACCGCCAGTACTGCGCGGCTAAGGCATCCAGGCCCCCCGGCAGCCCCGCGTCTCTTTCATCATCGGCCTCAGGCCAGTCCAGCCAAGGCAGCGAGATTCTTTTCTTCTGCGCCTCCGATATATCGCCATTTTATACACACATCCTGACATAGCACCCTGTCTTCTGTGTACTCCCCATCCCCATCCCTATGTATTATTCCGTATTACTACCCGCAGTTCCAGTATCGTACAACAATCCCGGCCGCGCACATTACGACCCAATACCCAGCACAGTGGGGCCAATCCAAGGCAGAGACAGAGCGCGAGAGATGATTATTTCCTCTGGCTGCTCCGCTCCAGGCGAATAGACTCGTCAGCACCTCGCATGGTCAGCCTTCTAGACCCCAGCGCGCACGGTAAACGGCTGCACATCTTTCCCCTTCTGACCTTGCCGATAGTGTACTTTTACTGTGTAGGGCTGTCGCGCTGCCCTGCTCGCCTTCATTGGTGTTGCCCCAAACGGTGACGCCATGGCCCCCAAGGCTACGGGACTGGGACTGTGTATACCACATACCACCTCGCATGCTTGAGTAACTACTGTACAAGGTCCCCCCCCAATTAACAATTAATAATAAGTCTAGCTGGGATGCAACAGATGGTCAGGCCATTCATTAAGCGCTATTCACTCCAGAGCAAGTTCCATTCGTTGGTGGTCCCAAACGGTCCCAAACGGCCCCAAATGACCGCCCTGTTAGCAACTAAGAACCCCGGCTAGTCGGATCGTAAAGCAATTCTCTGTAGACGGTATGCTATCACGGAAACAAAAAATGACTTCAGTTCTCCCGCCCATCAGGCCCAGTCCGAAATTGCCGGATGGTTATCATACAAAGTACATCCCAGTCCATAACTCCGAAGAAATTCTTTCCTAAGAGACGTATATCTCGGGTTCAGCCAGCGCCGCCGCCACGGACGTCTCCGGCGCGCTGCTGTTGCTTCTTCCGACGGCCTTTGCTGGGCCACTTTGCGCAAGGCAGTCGCCGTATACGTTGTTTTCGCATCGGGTGCCCTTAGTAGGGTGCATAGCCACGGCCCCGGCCACGGTAGCCGCCACGATATCCTCCACGGGGGAAACCACCGCCGCCACGGTAGCCCCGGCCTCCGCCTCGGAAACCACCCCGTCCGCGTCCACGGGTCATGCCGGGCAGGTTGGTGCGCTTGGGAACGACCTATGCATCGAGTGTCAGTATCAACCAGGCAGGATGGCATCAGACGGCGGCCTACCTTCAAGTTCCGGCCGCGGAAGACACTCTCGTTCAGAACAAGGGCCTGAGCCACCAGACTCGGCTCTGAGAATTCGACATAGGCGTATCTGTACCCGGTGTCAACACAGCAGCTCCCTGACCCACTGACATGCAGCAACGTACCCCTTGGGCTGGCCCGAAAACTTGTCCAGGAGGATGGTAACGCGGTTTATCGAGCCGCAGCTTTGGAAGTGCGCCTGGATCTCCTCGGGGGAGGCACCGTAGTCCACATTGCCGACGAAGATACTCCGCGCGTCGATCTCTTCCTTATCCTCCCGCAGGTTCTCCGACTGTTGGTCGAGTGTGGCTTGCATCTCGCGGAGCTTCGCAGCTTCGGATTCCATTTCGGCTACCCGCTTCTTCATCGCCGCAATCTCCTCCTAGTAGGCAAGAAAACAACATGTTAGAGTAATCCGGCAAGCACGGGGCGGCATCAATATCCGGTCAAAAACGGGGAAAGAGCAGGAAGCTCCCGGTTGCCAGCTTCGGCAGCGCAAGCAGCCTTACCTCATCGTCACCAGCCTCCTCCTGGTGCTCCAGGATCTCGTCCTTGATCTCGTTCTCTTCCGTAGCCATGATGGGGGGGGTGAAGTTGAAAGTGGTGGGCGTGCTTGTCACAGCTCGAGTCGCAATGAAAGCTCGTGCGGCAGCAGTAGCTTCCGCGGGTCTGGTCTAGCGGGCGGGGAGTAAACTCTGCAGGAAAAAAATGGATTCCGACAAGGTATGCGGGGACAGGCGGCTAGAGACAGTCGAGGGGCCCGTTGAAAGAGTGAACAGTAAGGATAGGTAGTAGGGGTCTGGAGAAGGCAGAAAGCGAATGTGATGCTTGCGTTGATCGACGCCGAAGTCACTGCTTGCTCTTTCCGGCCTAGCAGCCTTGTCATTGGACCACTCCCGTACCGCTCGACGGACTGACGAAATACGCCTGGAACTGAGCCCCGTATAACCAAGAACCCTTTTATGTCTCCAAAAGGGTGGTTCTCTTCAAAAATACGAAATGGCGGACCTCGAAGACAATCAGCATGCCTACTATTTCGCAATTACCCCGACTCTGAGTCGCCGCATTACGATAGATAGATAAATATAATACAGACGTAGCCCATGGTCCGTCGTACCCATGAGTCTACCTTACTATGTGCAACGTGTCTGCGCAAACTGCGCAATAAGACGAAAGTATCATTTCAGCATAGATCAATACCGGCAAGCATCAATGTACTCCCTCAAAGGGGAGGGGGGAACAGGGTTAGAAAACATCATTATCGTGCATGGTTCTATTATATGTACAAAGGGGGAATCAAGAAACGTCAACTCATGAGGACGGGAAGTTGTTCTTGCGGAAAGATACTTTCTCAACCGCGACCGTCTCGACCCCGTTGACGTCCGTCTTCAGCTGGTACACATACAACACCAGCACATCACCTTGGATCTGCTAGCGTATTAGCAGGTAGCTCATATGCAGATCTGGAAAGGAGGCATGGGGTAGCACGACTCACATCCATCAGACAGAAACTCGGTGTTGGCTCCTCCCCTTCCGGCCCATACGCTGTGGTCATGGCCCCGGTGGCACTGCCAGGGTTGACGAAGAATCGGCCCTCCAGCTCAAAGGCTTCGAAACGATGGGTGCCGCCCCAGAGCAGGACATCAACGTCCATCTGGCGCGCAGCAATGAGCAGGGCATCGGCGTCCCCCGGCGGAATGATGGTGTGGCCATGGGTGAAGCCGATCCGAAGGCTACCGTGGGTCACGACTTTGGAGAGCGACAAGTTGGGGGAGTCGACATCGAAGTCACCCTTGACTAATTGCAAGTCTGGCGCGACCTGGCGGAGGAGTTCGAACGTGCTTCGATCGGTGAGGTTGCCGAGACAGAGGATCTGGCCGATCTTGCCTGGAGTCAGGAGTTTCTTGAACTGCGATCGTGTCAATCGGGAACGGAGGATTGTAGAACGGAGAGGATCAATCGAATGGAGGGATGGCGCGCACCTTAGCTGGGAGGTCCTAGCAAGTACCGGTCAGCAGCTGGATCAACACGTGAAGGCGCGAGAGCACGTACAGGGGCTCTGTCGGGAATGAAGAGGTCACCAATGACCAAGACCAGGCGCGAAGTCATCCTGGAAGAAAGAAGTGATAACTCAAAGGCTCATTCCAAGTAGAGCTTTGTTGGGGGGGGGGAGTGAAGTTGTATAGGATGGACAGCAGAGGGGATGGGGACGGAATTAAGCTACGTATGATGCCTGCCTATCTGTTACTCCTCCGGCTCGATGGAGCTCCGCGGGGAAGCTGACGGACGCCCGCCTTGTCAGCTGCCTGCCCTAAACCCTACCCTGCCGTCGGTTTGGGATTAGCCCGTCGACCAGGGATGCAGGGCATAACTTAGAACTACTAACGTCTTACACCTGGGATTCATGATGGCTTCATTTCAGAAGTATTATAAAAAGACCGGGATGTGCTCTTGACACAATAGCAGAGGCTTGCTTATTCCTGGCCCCAGTTCAACGCCAAACGACCACTGCTGATCTGATACTCCTTCAGCATCCTCAAGACGTCCTCCGCCTGCGTAGCCTCCGCAATGATGCCAGCATTCTCCGCGCTCACCAGACCCTCTTGGACGGAAGTCTTGACCCACTGCAGCAGCCCGTTCCAGTAGCCGTTGATATTCAGCAGAACGATGCCCGCTTTATGGATCCCCAGCTGGTTCCAGGTGGTCATCTCCATGAGCTCCTCCATGGTGCCGAACCCTCCCGCAAGGGCAACAAATCCAGAGCCAGGGCCTCCCTCGAGGACCTTCTGGGCCATCAGTCTCTTCCGCGTGTGCATGTCAGGAACAACGGTGACCATCCCGTAGTTGGACTCCTGGACAGACTGGCTTACAACACGCTCGGCAGCCTTGCCTTCCTTGCTTACAAAGGCCTGGTTGTCTGGGCTCTTGTACCCTTCTTCGATCTCAACCAGGGCCCGAGGGATGATCCCGTGGACCGCCTGGGGTCCTGATAGTGATACAAGCGTTTTCGCGAGTTCGCCCATGATTCCAGCGGTGCCACCGCCGTACACCAGTTGGACATTCTGCTGGTGGAATTCTTTGGCCAGCGCGCGGGCTGCTTCTAGATGGCTCGGCGAGTTGCCAGGTAGTGAGCCGCAGCTGGTCAGGCATCAGCATGGGGCATCCGGTGTGGATCTTTCAGTGGGATGAAAGCCTACAAGACACAGACCACGGTGGGCTTCACTTCTTGGGGATCCATTGCAACGTTTGACTCGAATGGGAGCTGTGGGGTATTTTGGGGAGCTAGAGAAGGTGGGTACCAATGATCGTAGCAAAAAATATCTGTCTCAGGAGGTGAGAGAAAGAATGCAGAGGAGGCCAGATGTAATTCCTTCAGTCCTGCCAGGCATATGTACGGTACGGCGGGACGTTGGAACTGGACTTTAGGATTTGACGATAGCGGAGACCCACTCGGTAAGATAACTCTGTTGACTGTACGGAGTAGATACCCTGTATACAACAACGTCCATCGCATATTGGAAGGGTGACTCCATTTGCGCTTAGAGGCATTGGAATTTGTAGGATTGTTGTTCGGCCGTTACGACAACACGGCCGTTCTGGGGGGTACGTTAGGCCGGCTATCTGTATTGTTCGCCAAACGCCGTCTCCTCGATGTAAATTGTCTGCAAGTCCCGGGTGGACATATACAGTCATGCTGACTATGACTTCCTGGACAATCATGGCCACGGATCCCAATGGGTTTCTTATCGACCAATCTCGCGAGTTCCAGATCCGATCTGCTGCATGTCACGTATGTTGGCAGCATGGGTGTGCGCCGGTTGTGGCTGGTGGTGGTAGGGTCTATTATGCCACCATGATGATAGATAAGCGGTGATTCCCATAAAGGTTCGGAACAGCTATCGAGTATAGACACGTAAGGAGGTTCGAAATGCTGCGAGGGTAGAGAGTATCCAGGAAATATGTCATGGGTGTGAGTCAAGCTGGCGACGGGAGGACTCGAGGGGACGGAAGGTTCCGCCCGCTGGAGGGCGACAAAGGCGTCTTCCGGCCGATAGCATGCGAGAGAAAGGGGAAGGAAGGAAGGGGAGGGAAACGAGAAAAAATCTGAGCTGCACGGCGACGACAGTCCAACCAACCCGTCCAGCCCGTCCAAACCACCAATTCCCCCTCGACAGTCCAGCCATTGCTTCAATTGCACACTTCCCTCTCGCGATCTGACTGCAGAGAGACTGCAACCGGATCCATATACTTCATCAGGCCCGGCGATCCCCGAAGGAACCAGGGCTTGCCTTGCCCCCCCCTCCCCCCCCCCCTCCATCGCAGCCAACCTCCTCCGTCTACCCCGCGGGCTCTCCCGTCGAGAGCCGACTGACCGGCACGCTGGCCGCCAAACGCACGCAGCAGCGCTTGAGCCTGATTTCCAGACACCTGGATCAGCGCCTACCGCTGCCTGAGCTTAACACCCCCTTCTCGACCGAGAGGAACTCGCTGGCTCCCGACGACGTTGAATATAAGCCCGTCGACCGCACCTCCACCAACTCTTCTCCCTCTCTCTCTCCCTCTCCCACATCATCTGCCACTCCCTCCCCCTCACAGCCCGCATCACCTACCGCCAACATGTCCCAGCAAGCCCCTCACCCCACCCTCCTGATCCCAGGACCCATTGAGTTCGACGATGCCGTCCTCCAGTCCATGTCTCACTATGCGTAAGTCCCATCGAGTGGCTGACATCATGCACTACCCCCTCACTGACTCTCGATCGATCGCAGTGAGAGCCACGTCGCCCCCGGCTTCGTCAAGACCTTTGGAGAGACCCTGGCGCTGACCCGCAAGCTCTTCCAATCCACCAACCCCGCCGCCCAGCCCTTCGTCATCTCCGGTAGCGGCACCCTGGGCTGGGACGTCGTGGCCTCCAACCTGATCGAGAAGGGCGAGAACGCCCTGGTCCTGCACACCGGCTACTTCGCCGACTCCTTCGCCAACTGCCTGCAAACCTACGGCGCCCACGCCACCCAGCTCAAGGCCCCCATCGGCGAGCGCCCCTCCTTCGAGGAGATCGAACAGGCCCTGAAGGAGAAGCCCTACAAGCTGATCACCATCACCCACGTCGACACCTCGACCGGTGTGCTGAGCGACATCAAGCGTGTGGCCGAGGTTGTCCGCCGCGTCAGCCCGCAAACCCTGGTGGTTGTCGACGGTGTCTGCAGTGTCGGCTGCGAGGAGATCGCCTTCGACGAATGGGATCTCGACGTTGTCCTGACGGCCAGCCAGAAGGCCATCGGCTGCCCGCCCGGCCTGAGCATCCTGATGCTGTCCGGCCGCGCCATCGACACCTTCAAGACCCGCAAGACGCCCTCGTCCTCCTACTACGCCTCCCTCGGCAACTGGCTCCCCATCATGCAGAACTACGAGGCCTTCAAGCCCTCCTACTTCGCTACCCCGCCGACCCAGCTCGTCCACGCCCTGCACACCACCCTCTCTCACATCACCGCTCGTCCCATGCACGAGCGTTTCTCCATCCACGCCCACGTCTCGGATCTCGTCAAGGCCGCCGTCGCCGACCTCGGCCTGCACCAGGTCGCCGCCAAGCGCGAGAACCAGGCGCACGCCATGACCGCCATCTGGCTACCCGAGGGCCTTGCCCCTCCGGACATCCTCCCGGGCCTCCTGAAGCGCGGCGTGATCTTTGCAGCCGGTCTGCACAAGGAGGTTGCAACCCGGTACATTCGTTTCGGTCACATGGGCGTGAGCGTCACGGACCCGAAACGTACGGACATCAAGGATGCCATTGCCGCCTTGAAAGAGGCCCTGGCGGAGGCCAAGCTGGCCAAGGGATTGTAATCAGCAATATTATGACCTAGATAACCGAAAAGGAAAAATTTTTTTAAAAAAAAAAATTACAAAATATAATTACAAAATCAATGATCCATACCATCTTCATTCTTCACTACACCGTGCAAGATAATCTGTTCGATGAGCTTCCACAAAGTAAATGAACTCACCGATCTCGGCCCCCCAGGCAGCGATAAGTGATTACCACATCGGGTTATCATTTCCCGCTCAATCGACTCAACAGTTAAGGCAGCACTATCGATTTCTCTCTCTCTCTCTCTCTCTCTCTCTCTCTCTCTCTCTCAATTACCCACTCTCATCTACTATCTAGAATTCTAGACGTTACATTAATATCACCATTCAATATTCACTAGAGCAATGCGATATACCCAGTTAGAACTGCCGACGGGTCATGTGCGGAGGGTTCTCTAGAGTCGGGGATGAACCTGGGTTAGTGCTTCCGCGGCAAGAATGCCTCGGTTATTTATATATCTGCGGGGTGGAGGTTGACTACTTACTACTAGTATACAGCTACAGCAGATGAAATATATAACTGCAGCACTGTGACAATTGAACTATGGTACTATCTATGTACTATGATTCTAAGGATAGCAGTCTGGGTTGCGAGCTCTTGGTCCGGAGAAAAGAGGGTTCAACTTGTTGTTGTTATTGTCGTTCGATTAATTACTGGTGGATACAATGGGTTTCCAGTAGCAATGTTCATATTGAGAAGTTGGTTTGAGAATGGTCTGCACTCATACGGTCAATCCAATTCACCCACGATCAAAGCGTCTCTATCTCCAAAAGGTAGGCAAGGTAGAAGGATATATTCGGGAAAGGGACAGCAAGATTGATGATCCTGACTCGGGACAACTCACTCCATGCAAGCAAAACAATGACAGGGCAACCAAAACAGACACAGATGTAAGGATGGGGAGAAGATAAGTAAGATGAAGTAAGGAATTACAAGAATCGATAGGGTTGCAAGGAAAGGTAACAGGAGAGGGGTATGGAGTAAGGAACAATATGCTAGACACTCATCATGCTTTCAATCAGCCTCTTCTTTACATGGGCCGAGCTATGAATGCGTTATACGACTTGCGTGAACATCAAACGGGGCTTTCTTGGGTTTTCTTTGCTGCTTTTCTCTATGGTCGGGGGGCTCCCCCCCCCGTCCCCTCCGCGTCAGGCTTCCGCTTCTCCCCTCCGCAAGGCCAGGAATGCACGCACGTCGGTCACATACTGCAAAGCTTCTAACATGGGGACGAGGTGGAGCAGACCATTATCCGTCGGATCATTAATCCAGCCCTCAATCGGGATCGCATTATCTGACATCGCGTCAGACCATGTACTAGGGATATACAGTTGCGGGAGAATCGAACGCACCTTCGTGAAAAATATAACTCATAGGACTGTTGTCCAGGATCATCACCTTGCTCAGGTCGGGCTCCACAGAACTGAGGTCCTTGATGTATGCCCCGTTCCGCAAGGTACAGTGCTGGCGGTAATACCGCGCCTGGAAGTATTTCCGCTCTTGCTCCAGCCAGTCAATGACCGGGTCCGCATACTCCTGCACGCTGGCCGTGAAGATGACCAGCTTGTACCACTTGCAGATCTTGCGCAAGAAATCATCGCAGTGAGGCCGCTTGTGTACATAATACAGGATCGGATGCTGGGGGCCAAGAGTCGTGGGGGGCCCGCCTGGCGTGAGAGCCGTCGTCATCGGCGCGGTCAACTTGACCTCGACCATATGGCCGCTGGACATGCGGCCACCCTTGGCCAGGGAATGAATGAGCGTTTCATCCAGGTCAAGCACCAGGGTCTTTTGCGGGCTCTTGGGGCTGCGAAGATTGGCCGTGTAAGACGGCACTCGGGGCGGAATCAACGGACGAGGCGGCACGGGCGAATGCGGATACCTCGTCACCCTGTGCACCGACGGAGACGTGGGCGACTTGATCGTGTCGAGGTTGAGAGTACCTTGGGTCCCATTCTCCGGTATCTGGCGGAGATCCGCACTTTGCGATCGACGTTGCCTCTGCCGCTTAAGGGCCTCTTCGTTGTGGAGCTTGATGCGGATCGAACGACGAGGAGTGCTCTCATCTGGTGCGGGTTCTGGAGGGTAAAGCTTGGACTTGGAGGATCGAGACCGACTGCTGGTGAGTTCCTTGGGGCCGCGACGGTCCCCCTCCGACTCGGATGTACTTGAAGCGATGGAATCTCGTGATGCGTGCCCTTTCGGTCTCCGTAAAGTCCCAGACCGTCGTTTGCTCTCCGCTAGCCGACTGCCTCTGCCCATCGCTCCCGTCATGGGGCGAGTGGACATCGACCGTCGTAGGCTTCTGAGCGGAGCCATGGGGGAGTAATGACCGTCGTCGTCACGAAAACAATGAGCAACATATAAACCGGGAGCAGCTAAGGTGGATAGAATGAACTTGATCGTTTCGGCAATAGCATCGAAGAACCGCTGAGCAACAAATCCTAACGTGCTTCGCGTAGCAAGGGAACCATCTTTGTGAATACTTCGTAATAGGGGCGCTTTTTCGTCAAACGGATTGTCGTTGAAGTCTATGAGGCCGGGCGCGTCGAGGGTATCGCCGTGGGTCTTCTCGTGGCCGTCGGTGGAATGGAAGTTGTCCTCGCTGTAGGAGCGGAGCTTCGCCAGGTCGCCTGGCTCGCTGGCTCTGGCGACGTCTCCCTGAGACCGAGATCGTTGGCGGCTGCGACTCGAGCTGGTGGACTGGCCGATGACTCGAGCCGACAGGATGTTGAGCGAGTTCATCTTCCCACACGGCCCACGGGTTGTCCGGGGTGGCGCAGGTGTCTAGACGGAGAAGGAGCGCGGGTCAGCAAGCAATCGTTCCAACAAGGCAGCTGGGACCGGCAGCGGTGGTGGTGGGTCGAGATCAGGCGAGATCCCGGGGCATGATGCGAGGACGATCTAGATGGCCTTCCGGTTTCCGGTTGGGCCCTTCCAGATGGCAGGTGGTACTACTACGGACCTCAATGCGCCAGTCGACAGCCCGTGTGTTTCGGAATCAGTCGGTAGTACCCCGGGGCCTTGCTGGGGACAGCGGAATGACGACAGGATAACCGACGAGCGGACGAGCGGCCTGGATCCGCGGGAAGAACGGGCGGAAGGGGGGGGAGAGAGGCCCGATCGAGCGGAATGCGGGAGGCAACGAGAGAAGGCCTCGCGGGGAGGCAACAGCGGTGGAGGCAGCAGTCGAGGTGAGATGGAGGAGAGTGGGGAGGGGAGGAGAGGAGAAGGAGAGGGAGGGCGAGGAGGTGGTGGTGGAGGAGGATCGATCTCGTTGCTGGCGGGAGTTCGTACCGCCCGGTACAGGCTGTATGCCCGTATGGTATCGATGCTATGGTTGGGTTGGGCCGAGCGGGCGGCGGTTGAAGCGGGCAAAATCCCACATCCCACCTTCGCTCTCCAGCTTCCTCCGTCCGACCTCTTCTCTCCCCTCTGCCCCAGCGCATCGTATCTGGGACCTCTCGAGTCGTAGCCTGCTCGAACGCTCCAGGCTCAGCCGTCCTCAACAGGCCCCAAGAAGGTATGCTCACACTCCGTTTGCGACCGCCTGCCTGCATGACTCCTCCAACCCGCTAACAGATCTGTGCGCCCAGGAAAGCCATTGAAGCTTGCTAAACACTACCCCGGTCTCACACGCCCGCTTGACTTCACACCCCCCCCCCCCCATCTCCCTCGAATCGCAACCATGCCGTCGTCCTCCGTGGCCTTGACGCCGGGATTGGCGTCCTTCCTCAAGTCTTTGAAGACGAACCCGATTGACACATCCATTGACGATCTGATCTCGTGCGTGCTCGACGTCATGTCATCTCCTGTCGCGCCAGCTCGTGCGCCGTGCTGACAAGCCCCTAGTCTCCTCAAGCGCAGACAGATCCGCCATTCGAGATCGTGCGCGACTGCCACCGCCTACCTCCTGCGCAGTGTCATTTCCGCCTGCAGGACCTCGGATGCAAACAAGTTGATCGAACGGGTCCAGTATGTGGGTAGACGTGTGATGGCTGCCCAGCCCAGGGAAATGGTGGTTGGCAACATCGTCCGACGTGTGCTAGGATTGATCCGCGACGAAGCGGAGGATGACCGGGAGGCCGACTTCACGTTGAGCGACGCAGGCTCCGAGAGCCAACCGCAGACCCCTCGTATCCTCGATGGTAGGTTCTGGTTCCACCATGGGGCGTTCCTGAGACTAACGAACTCGGATGTAGACATCTCCGAGTCTCTCTCTGCACGCCATGATGGCTCCGACCGGTCCTCGAGACAGCCTTTCACCTCGCTGTCCGCACCTCCAATTTCCATGTTCAGTCTCCTCTCACACCCGGAGCCCGAGTCATCGTTGCCTGGTACCCCAGCTTCTGCGTCGCCTTCCGGCAGGCTGCCCAGCCAGATTCACAACAAGGACATCCGTGCCGAAGTGCTCGACGGCATCAATGAGATTATCGATGAACTGGGCCAGGTAGACGACCAGATCGCGGCCTATGCCCTTGACCACATCCACTCCAACGAAATCATCCTCACACACACCTCGTCCACTACCGTCCAGAAGTTCCTGCTGAAAGCTGCGGCCAAGCGGAAGTTTACTGTCATCCACGCCGAGTCGTACCCCAACAACCATGAAGCGACCCATGCCACCGTCAGCGGCCAGACCCCCGACGATGACGAGCTTCTAAGCACCGAGGCTTTCCAGAAGCCTTTGATTGCCCTGGGCATCACCGTCATCCTGATCCCGGACTCCGCGGTCTTCGCGCTCATGTCCCGCGTCAACAAGGTCATCTTAGGCACGCACTCCGTCCTTGCCAACGGCGGACTGGTGGCGGCGGCCGGCACACGGGTTATCGCCCGCGCGGCCAAGGTGCACCAAACCCCGGTGGTTGTCGTGAGCGGTGTGTACAAGCTCAGCCCGGTCTATCCCTTCGATTTCGACTCGTTGATCGAGTATGGAGATGCCAGCAAGGTCATTGGCTACGAGGACGGGGATCTGGTGGACCAGATTGATGTCCAAAACCCGCTCTACGACTATGTCCCGGCGGAGTCGATCGACCTTTACATCACGAACCTGTAAGTTTCCCTGCACATGGTCATCTTGGATCATGACGAGCTAACGCGAAATCTTCACATCGCAGGGGAGGTCATGCCCCATCCTACCTGTACCGGATCGTTTCGGACCACTACCGCAAGGAGGATATCAACGTCTGATCGATCGGGTTGGGATTCAGGCAAAGAAAGATAAAAAGACAAAAATTGAGACAAAAATGAGACACTATCGTGGAAATGCCGATGACTGGGTAATGAAACGCAAAAGTCTGGTTATATAAGGCGTAAGGGCATAGACAATGAAACGCAACGATACCCGCAGGAGCAGTCTATATCAGGGTTACCAGTCCTTATCGATTGTCGATTGTAATGTAATAAAGCCAGTCAGTATTCATCTGAATCTGATAGCAATTTGCATGTAGTATATCGGGATCATTCCCCGCAAACACTGCCTACGTACTTAAAAAGAGACGAGACAGACACAAGACTACATCATGATGGGTTGGTTTTTTTTTTTTGAAGAGTTTGATATTTTAGGGCCCTCCCAAAGAAATAAATCATGGCGCCATCTTTTATGGATATATCAATCGTAGTAGCTGCAATGGTATTTGCAGGGTCATCCGTCCTGAACCATCAATTCCAGACCATAGACTGTGCCTCCCGAGCTTCCATGGAATGGGGCCCCTTTCCCGAAGATTTGAATTCCCGCGTGGTGGTTGGGTTGTTTAAGAGCGGGGCTTCTCCTTCTTCTCCTTCCAGAGAGCGAGCAGACCGACACCGGAAACCTTGACGACCTTGAAACGGACACCGGGAATATCACCCTTGGCCTTGCCCTTACGACCGAAACCGGCGAGGAGGACCTCGTCGTTCTCATCGATGAAGTTCAAGCAACCGTCGTTGGGGACTAGATGGGTAAAAGAAAATGACATGTTAGCTGATGCTCTGCTGGGCCCCCGATTGAGTTTTTCCGTCTTCCTCCTGAATCGTTCTTCGTCTTCCTCTTCCTGGTTCCTTCCATCTCTTCTCCTCATCCTTCTGTAATCTATCTCCAAGCGACCAGTTCCATTCACATCCACCATCATCGAAAACCGGGGAAAAGAAAGAAAAGAGGACTACCCACCGAAAGCAGTGACCTTCTTGCCGTTCTTGATGAGCTGGACCTTGACACACTTCCGGATAGCGGAGTTGGGCTGCTTGGCCTCAACACCGACCTTCTCGAGGACGATACCCTTGGCGTGGGAGGCACCACCGAAGGGAGACGACTTGTAGGCTGTACCGAGAAGGCGCTTCTTGTAGTGCAGATCGGCCCAGCGGTTCTCACGACGGGTGGTCGCGAGCTTGCGGGCGGCGTTCAAACCACGGGGCTGTCCCTTACCCATCTTGACGGATTATGTTCGAGGGAACGGTGAACTGTGTAAGATGAAAGAAAATTGCGTTAGAAAAAAGAGCTTGTTGTTTGATCGTTCGGGGTTGGCTGTTGTGTGCGGCGGGGGGTGTTGTTCCGGATTGAGTCTCTCCTTCTCGTCCTCGGAACGGAATCTTGTGTTTTTTCTTTTTTTCTTCTTTTTCTTTTGTCGAGTGGTGTGATATAACCGCGCGCAACGGGCAAATTCAATATGGGGGGGGTGGTATACGTACCGACTGATGGAAAATGGGTGGGTGGGTGATGGTTGTCGAAAGTCGAAGCGGTCGAAAAGGGTTCCTTTCACGGCCGGCGGTCGCTCGACTAGATCGAAATTGTTCTGCTGTGCGGCTTCGCCCTAAACGGCCGCTAAGCGAGAGGCACGGGACCGCCAATCGTACGGATGCAGGTCACGTGAATGTTGACATGCTGACTCGCCCGCGGAGAAACCCTCGGCCCGCCCCTCGTCCGCCCCCGGATATAGTACATATGATTGACTGCTGCTGACGCCGGGCATGGCCTGATCCATCCCCGGAGCTGCGCAGCCTACCACGGCCCATCGTGGCCAGCATCCCCTATCCAATCCCGCATTAGCGCTATCGCCTCACTCGGCCCAATCCCTAGCTAGCTAGCATTTATCGATTAATTTGCTCGCCATGGCGTCCACCCTTCGAATGGATCCCAAGATGGATCCCAAGATGGACACCCGCAAGATCAGCTCCCAGCGCCTTCCCCCACCCGTCCTCTTCCAAGGCCCGCCGTCGCATAATGCGTCGAATATCTCCCTGCCTCCGCCTGTGTCTGCAGGAAGCCCTACACCGGCAGGGAGCCAGGCGCCGCCTCTCCAGCGCGTGCGCCCGACTCGGCCTCCCGGCTCCCTCGAGGCCCCCTTTCTCTCCCGCAAACAGTCCAAGGGCGAGGTGGACGGCTCCGACGCGATATGGCAGGAGATGCAGAGTGCGCTGTCCGAGGTCGAATTGAGTGCCACCACGGGCGAGCACGTCTTCGGGGAGAAGCACTCCGAGGCGCTGGAGGACCTTCGAATCAAGCAGCTCAAGCTCGCGCAGGCGTGGGCTCGCAGCGAGGCCGACGACGAGGTCGTGGAAGGCAAAGGGGCCGCCGTCACCAAGGGCAATGGTTCCCTGAGACCCGGGTCGCGGAGTACGGCGGGGCATGGAGAGGCGGGGAATATCGAGGACGACTCGTCGTCTCGCAACTTGGATCAGGAGACGGAAAAGGATATCCTCCTGGCTCGGGAGAGACGCGAGGCGAATGACAGGTACTTTGACCGTGTCAACAACGGCGTCTTGGATGTTGTGGCCAAATTGGAGGAAGTGGCCCAGGCCATGCGCGCCGTCGAGAGAGAGAGTAAAGATATCTGGAGCGACACAGATACCATGAGCACGACGACCCAGTCGACGACTGATACCGGGTGAGCCTGAAAAGCATGTCCTGCCGTGCATGATCCATGCACAGGTGCGACTTGACTCCTCTTCATAGCGCGTGATGCGGTCACCGACTCTGCGTGGTATCGGTCAGTCCGCATGGCAACTCCGAGAAGTGCACATGCATATCACCAGCGCAAGTCTTTTGTCTCCACACGGGTCGGCTCCTGCTACGGGTTTATCGCTCAAGGCAAGCTTCTCGGGTCTGCAATACTCCAGGCCATTGCCCCGTCGTGCAAAGGCAATTCCAACCACCCATTCAAGTCCATATGGCAACTACCCATCATGACCTGAAAATGACCCTCAAGAAAGTAAAACCGCAGCCAGAAAGGAAAGCCAATGGTAGCATTAACCGCTAGTCAACAATCAAATAAAATCAAGGGTATCTGAGCAAAACAGCCATTCCCACCCGACCCGCACCCAAGTATACACATACACACGTACTCATACACACACGCGTAATCCAATGAACCTCGCACACAAGGTAGCCAGCCACAGAACAGGCTCCCTCACTCCCACTTAACAAACCTTACCACCGAGTTCCAACCCTTCGCAGCCGTATGACGAGCATCCTCCCACCGACTCTCATGGGCCTTCCGCGCCAGTCCCTCCACCTCTTGATTCCAGCGATGCTTCAGATGATCTTGCAGGGTCGGTTCCGGAGGCGTCGCCTTCTGTTCCATCAGCAGCAGGTCTTCTCGTGGGAGGAGCCGGCGATCATATGCGCCGGTGGATTCAGCCACCCAGTTCAGAGCCCGGGTCTGCTCGCGGATGGTCTGGCGCTGCTCGAGACGGTTGGATCGGTGTGCTTGGACGGCGAGGTAGAGGACGGAGGAGGTGAGGGCGAAACCGCTGCACTGGAGGGGGGATGGGATGTTAGTCTTTGCATGGATGTATAGTTAGTTCACTGATCGGGGTGTGCGGGCGTAGGGATATGGTTGATTGATCGTAGGGTTGATTGAATAGAAGTTAGAGAGTGGTCGACGTACAAACCCGGTGAAGAAACCCATGATGTTGCCCCTTCAATTCCGAATCCAAGTCAAGTCCACAGCCGGTCAATGGGGGAGTGAGAGAGAGAGAGTGTGTGTGTTGCGTCCTGAATGTTGCCCGAATTGCGGCCCCGAAGTTCTTCAACGACGCGGATCGGGGCTGCCAGGCCGCACTCCGATTGGCTGGTGCGGGAATCGAATCTTTCCAGCGCAGCACATGAACCAAACCAACCAAGTCGGACGGCATCTTCAACTCAACCTCACCTCCACTTCCAACCTCCTGCCACTCCGTCGCTCCCCGCCCTTCGATTCTCCCAACGAAGTCCCTCCAATCCACTCCGGCTGCCCCGACTCAATCGCCCCTATCCACCCCGAACCACGCCAGCACCCCCCCCTCCCTCCCCCCATCCTCATAACCCTCCTTCACCATGGCCGGAGGCGCAGCCAAATACCGCCATCTGAGCCGCAAGTCCTCGCACCGTCAAGCCCTGCTCCGCAATCTGGTCACCTCCCTCTTCCAGCACGAATCCATCACGACAACATGGGCCAAGGCTAAGGAGGCGCAACGTCTGGCCGAGCAGCTCATCACCCTGGGCAAGAAGAACACCGAGGCCAGTCGGAGACGCGCACTGGCGACTTTCTACGTATGTATCATGAACACCCAGCCAGCCAAACAACCAATGAAAGAAAGAAACAAAGAAACCAAGAAACCAAGAAACAACCAACCAAACGAAGGAAGATACCGATCTAATTTATATGATATCATGAATATATAGACCCCCCACGAAATCCTCCCCAAACTCTTCGGTCCCCTTCGTGAACGCTACGCCGAACGTCCCGGCGGATACACCCGTGTGCTCCGCGTCGAGCCCAAGAAGGACGACCAAGCCCCCAGCGCCATCCTGGAACTCGTCGACGGGCCGAAAGATATGCGCTTTGCGTTGACGGCGCGCGCCATCGCGAGACAGCGCTCCAAGGGCTTCGAGACCCTCAATGAGATCGCTACCCTCAATGTGCGCAAGGTGACCCAGTTCCGCAAGGATGGTGTCGAGGATCTGGAGCGCGAGATTCAGCGCCTGGGCCTGGAGGGGAATGAGAAGGATGAGGCCAAGTCGAAGCCGAAGCCCGCGAGACGGTAGATATCAATAAATAAGTCTTGTGTTTGGTTGTTTGGCGGCTTGGGACGGGGAAAGGAGAGAGAGAGAGAGAGAGAGAGAGCAGGGAGGGCGCTGCTCTACTCTTGGTTTCTAGCCATGGGTCAAGCTTGCTTGGGTGGTCCTTTTCTTTTTATTTTTGTATCTTTACTCTTTGACCACCGTGTGTTTTTCATGATTGTGTAATTTTAGCTGTTGCCTGTTGTGTGTGCACATTGTACCTCTTGGTGGTGTCGTTGGTTGGACTCCGGACATTCCAACTGTAACTATCTGACCGAATGGGTACGACAAACCAGTGTAGGGCTTATAGTACTATTACTTGGTAGGCCTGCGGCATTTCAGCTGCCTTCGGTTTCGCGCTGGTTGGGATCGGTTACGACTTGATTCATACACTTTATGTATCTAAGCACTATCACCACCCCCTGAGCCAGCAAGATCTAGAAAACATGGCAAGGCGGAAGTACATGCATGTCAAGCTTCCACTATGTCCCCAACGACGCCCTGAAACCCCCAGACTTCAGCCCCAGTGATTCTACGGTGCAGTCAGGACTCGGAAAATTGGATTGAGCTCGCCAAATCATTTTGTCCTGTGACCAGGGGTACACCATGTCCTCTTCAGCTCCCGTTCCTAATCTTCCAGAGATAGAGAACAGCCATGTCAAGACCCACATCACAGCCAACGCACCACAACAACGATGAAAGATATGTACTTTTGGAGAAGGCGTGTCCCCCCGCGGAGACATCATCAGTTTGCGCTGAAAGGCAGATGGGCGCTAGTTTACCCTTGGCAAGCTTGTTCCGCCGGAAACAACCAGCGGTCCATTCTTGGCGGTTGGCAGCGTGTTGCCCGAGTAAGGAATTGTCGAGTTGGGGCCACTCCGGTGCTTCAAGTCGAAGTCAGAAGGAACCTCGGACGGGGGTGGCTTGGGGGGCAGATGGGATGGTGTCCCCCATTTGGTAATGGAATCTCTACCGCCGACGGGCACCCCGCGAATCGGGCCATGGCCTGCCGACCCGGAAGCCTCCTGATTATTCTTGTTGACATCCGGAAATCCGGGCCACTGCGGCTGCATGCCTGCTTGGATGCCGGGGTACGGACTCATACCATGCTGGCCGTTCTTGCTTGGATGCCGCGCTAGCGTCGCGCCACCGGGCACAAAAGAACGTGTTTGAGGGTTGAACGGCGACCGATTGAAGCTGCCGGGCAAGGGGTGGGGGCCCGAGAGGTTCTGCATGCCGGGGCTCAAGGGCTGTCCGGGATATTGCGGATAGGGGAACGATGTGGGAGTGGGGGGCTGGGTCTGATAATTTCCCCACGCAGCCGGCGGCGGGTTGCGAGGTGTGGGTTGTGGATATCCGGCGTGATAAGGCGGGGTGGACCAGCCGGGAGTAGGCTGCTGGTATGGGACCGAGTTGGGCATAGGGTAGCTGCTCAGTGCAGGAGAGGACTTGGTGGATGCCATCGCCGGCGATTGGTTGATAGTCGCATATCCAGAATAGGGAGACTGCTGCGGTACAGGCGCATTCTGCCACGGACCGCTCGGCGTCATCTGGGGAGAAACAGGCATCGAGTAATGAGGCATCGCATTCATATTCATGGGACTGGAGTACATGGGGGCTGTCTGCCCACTAGGAGGGTAGCCCATACCCGGTGGAGACACGCCAGGCCCAACCATGCAAGGCTGATTGGGGAAAGACGGATCGTTCATCGCCACGCCATAAGGCATCGACCCGTTGTTGTAGGGCATCCCAGGGTAGTATGCGTTGAATTGAGACCGAGCCTCGAAACTGTCATCGTGGGGGGTCTTCTGTCGGTGCGCCTTTTTGCGGCCACTCGTCGAGCTCGAGCGTGACATATTGGCACTGGAGTCGCCATTCGTATTATCTGCCGACTTGGACTCGGGGAAATCGCGAAAAATTCGCTCTCTAGCCTCCTGATACTTCGCCTCTCGTTCCTCTCGGGTTAACGTCAGCCTATCTTTGGCCGGGGTCGCGCCGGCGGATGAGCCGCCCCGTTCGCCATCGTTCCCACTGTCGCCCGCTTCGGATCCATTCTTCGATGGAACGGAGGAGCTTGCCGCGATGCTACCTTCCGTAGAAGGTCGCTCACCATCATGACGGCGCATGATTTTCATTGCGGGCATAGCTGGAGGCGGGGTGCTATGGTTTGCGGCGTGGAGAATAGAGAGGGGCGTGGGCCTGTAGAGATCAATCAGCCATTCATGCCATCAAGCCTTCGTGAGAAGATGCGGGCATCGCAAAGGAAGACTTACAGCCGACAAAACGGCGTCCTATGTAGTCGGACGGACGTGACATTATTGTCCACAAAGTGGGTTAGATGATAGTAATCGCCCAGTTTATGCGCAAGAAGTCGCCCAAAAGCATTTGATGGCGGAAGCTCCAAAGAGTGCTCCCTGGATAATAGTTAGACCATGAAACAGCGGGCAGGCAAGATGACGGGGCGACCTACTTGGAATTCTGGATGAAATGTCGAACCTTCTCTTCTAGTTGTAAGATCAGAAGACGATCCTTGGGGGATTTCATGGCCTCGAGGAGTTTCTCATCTGGATCCGAGGGAAACCCATGTATGGTTCGTCCATTCTGGAAAGCATCGGCATTCGTGACGAAGTTATTGGCGACAGCGTCTGGGAGAATAGCACCGTTCGTGCGCTGGATACCATCGACAAAGATAGGGCCCGACGGCTGCAGTATGGCCCGTGGTCTTTGCATGAAGCCGCGGGCACCCGACTCGGAGCCCGTCAACGAATTGGGTGCACCCGAGGCAGGCCCAGAAAGCGACTCCTCCTCATCAACAGCCTGGACGCTAGCGCTATCATCAGGACGCAAGGAGTCTTTCTCGTCCATTGCAAAGGTTGTCACTGACGCCATGCTCTTCGAATCAAAGCTGGTTGGCTTAGTCGAGGAGTTGGAAAGGTGGGTACGATCGTCCTCCTCAAACGAGGTCTCTCGTTTCAACGAACCGCGGTCCTGGGCCTCGGCCGAGAACATGGGACTCTCGTGATACTTCTTCTCTGCGATGTGAACGCCTTGCACAGCGTGCGAAAGGCCATCGACGTCTCGATCAACGATGGCAGCCTCGCCTCGGGCGGTACACGGGCCTTCTTTCGAGTTGGGTTGTTCGGAACACGACGGTCCGTCGGGAGACTGAGAGCCGTTCATCTCGTCAGATACGACGGAAGCTTCCGGGTTTGATGGTGGAGGCATGGCAGCAATCTGCGCAGCGGGTCAGACGGGATCATGCGATGCGTGGAGGGGCGGCGGGGCTTACCTTTGCAAAGGAAAGACGATGCTCGTCCCTCGGGGAACTCCGAGATGTCATGATAGTCTGGATCCCCCAGCAGAACTTGACGATTTCTTTGTAGCGTTCCTTTCGCTGAGACAGTGAACGATCGGATACGGACGAATTGGATAAGGGGAAACCCCGACGAGAGAGACTGACTCGGCTCGTTCAGGTTTTGAGGAGGACGAAACCGAGGAGACTTGAATCGATAGAAAAGCCACTCAAAGATCCCACTTCACACAAGCCCAAAAAGAAAGACGGTACATCTCTGGAAAACGTAATTCGCCATAGGGAAAGCTGCCTCGACGTCAGGTCCGGGGGGGGGGTGTGTGTGGGATGCAGGCGACCGGTTGATCAGGAGCCAGCGGGTGTGGGTGGGCAGATGGAGGCAGAGACAGGCAGGAGGGAAGGTGACTGGTCTTACACGATGGTCAGAAAGCGTGGCTCATGGTATTCGGCGAGGTTTCTTTCCGCGGAAAAGATTCAAGAGGGGGGGGGAAGTGAGGTTTCCTCGTACAGAGAAAGAAGTCTGCAATAAGAACCAGCGGGAGGCTGGGGAGGGAAAAGGACCCTCGACTTGGACTCAAGCCGGGATTCGGACGCAGGAGAAGAAGTACTAGTACTATCAGGGAAGACCGACGCTGCTGGAGCGACCTGGCGATCTTTTTGGGGCGAGAAGGAGCGAGCAGCAGCGGAGGAGGGAGTTGAATGAATGAATCGCTTGGCTCCTCCTTCGTGGGCCGCCGCTCAGCCGCGCGGCTAATCCAGTCGGTCCGGCCCACACGCTGCCTGCGACAGCCGCGATGACATGGAACTGGATACCTGCCAGGATACCCTCCATTCATCCCCTTTCCAGTTCTCCAGCAGGGCTGCTGCCTGACGGATCCTCTCTGCCTGCACTTCTCTTCGCCCCGTTCCCCCAACAAGACTCAGTTCCCGCATGAATCGGTATCGAAACGCTCCCGGGCTGAGAGGCCCTACCAAGGCGACTCCGAGTACCTTGTGTCAAAAATGCCTAAAACGAGATATGTACCTGTCCGCCGGTCTCTGATGGACGCAAACTGACCGTCTCAGTACGGCACTACAGCTATGAATGTACAGTGACGACTCAGGAGCGGCCGTACATGTCCCGCCCCTCGCGCACGCAGCAGTTGCAGAACCCCAAACTGCGCCCTCAACTTTCGGCGGACGTTCTTAGTGAGGAATCTCGCACGTATGTCAACCGATACCCCCAATCCTGCCCAGACGGGCCAACTGACGATATGTTCAGGACAGGGCTGGCTGATGAAATTCTGGCAAAGAAGCGTGAGGGAGAACGGGGTCGCAAAAGAGACCTGGATGAAGTAGACCCTCATGATAGTCGGACACAGATGTCGAAGCGAGCCCGGTCAGCCTCATCGCACTCGGTCAGCTCCGTCGCAACGATATCCACCAGTCGGTCACACTCCCGATCGCCCGCCCGCGGTGGAGACTACGGCGCAAGACGAAGCCAGGAGCGAACAAGATCTGTCTCCCCACATCCCAGGAAGAGACGGTACAGCGATTCATCCTCCCAGTACTCCGATGCGTCTCACTCGTCTGGCGAAAGGGGGCCTCGCTCTCGGTCGCGCGAGTGGTCGGATGACAGAAACACTCGGCGGAGACATCGAGAGTCCAGCCCCGACGAACGAGGGCGGCCTCGACACCTGTCGCGAGACGGGGGCCGACGGGATAGGACCCGAAGTCGGAGCGTGGATCACAGCCGAATTGCCAGAGCACGACGGTCTGTCACCCCCAGCACACTGCCTGAGAGCGGCCACTCCGGGTCCAGGGAGCAGCATATGGACCATCCGGGTCCCTCCCACAGCCGTCCTACCAACTTCGGCAGGGGAGGCGGACGGGATCAAGGACGTGGACCTCCACCTCGAAAGGAACGGAGTCTCAGCCCATACAGCAAGCGCATTGCGCTGACCCAGTCTATGAACCTGGGCAATTAGGCGTCGTTTGTTTTGAATAGAAAAAGTGCTGATCAAGGATGCATGGGAGTTTGGCGTTTTCCCTTCTCGAGGTTCATCCCCGCCGGCCGATTTGCCTGGGTTTCTGAACGCGGCACTGTACTATAGCAAGATTACACGGAAGGTTAATGCAATAAAAAGTAATTTTTCCCCCAACAAAATATGTCGGCAAATAATCCTCAACGCCGGGCGACACTCGTCCCAAAAATCCCCACGATGAGCGCCTGAAGTAAAAGTAACGTCGCAACTGCTATCATACATGTTTTCCCGGGGGTATCAAGATCATGCCGTTTCGTCCTCCAGCTCGCGCTCCTCTTCCCTTTCGCGGACGTGGATGCCCTCGACCAACATTTCGCCTTCAATTCCCACTTCTTCGCCGTGGCCGCCTCCGTTGGACCCGGTGCCCTTGGCCTGAGCGGCGCGCTGCGCATCCTCTATCCGCTGCCGTACGAGTCTCGCAATGGCGTTCTGTGTCCTCACATCGAGGATGCTCATCTTCTCGTCCAGGTCCCGTTTCAGATCCCAGTTCGGCTTCTTGGGCTGCAACTTGAAGAGATCGATCGGTTGGTCCACTGCCTCATCCTTCTGGGCTTGCTCTGCCGTGGCCTTTGCAATTTCAGCGGCCTGCGCTTCCAATGTGAGCTGACCCTCTATCGGGGCCGCGTCGAACCCCAGCTTCGGGCCCCGGGTCTCTGCGTCGTAATTTCTCCCGGACAAATACTTTCGGGTGACGTCTGAGGTGGCAGGTTCGGTTTCATCACCCGCCGTTGGTTCAGTGTCCGGCTCAGGCTCAGGCTGTTTCCGTTTCAACGCGGCGAGCTTTGCAAGGCGTGCTTTGCGGTCGGTGGCCGCCGCATCGAGAGAGGCATGATTGGACGACATGACGGAGGAGAGACGGAAAGGGGGAGGAGGAGAAGGAGAAGGAGAAGGATATATAGATGGTTGTATGGAGAGGAATCAGTCAGTCAGTCAGTCAGTCAGTCCAGGTTGTGGTGCGCCACATGGGCGGCGGGAGGCACACACCAGCCACACGCACCCGGCGCCGGAGGAAGATTCGAACTCCGCCGTCCTCTTGCTTGCTTGCTTGCTTCCTTCCCTTCCCTTCCCTTCCTCCCCGCGACATCGCCGCCATTCAATTCATCTTCTCATCTGCCAGCATTTCCCTCCCGTTCCCTTCCGAGACATGCAATAATTCCTTTCTGAATGTCCCTCTGCTCGCACCCCTCTCTACGTCTCTGCCTCCGTGCTGGAGGCCACTCCTATGCACCGGAGCATAGCCTCTGCCTGGGCAGGAGTCGACGGGTAGCTGCCCGGCATGCAAGATCCTTCGGCAGCAGTACGCCGCAGCCTTGGAAGGCCCCCCATTCCTCCAAGGAGCTCAAGCATGGTCACCCGAAGCCGGCTTCGAAAGCCACCGCGGCACCCAAATGGAACCGAGTTATCTACCGGACCCAGGTCTTGCGGGGCAATGTATATCAGCCTCTGAAAAGATTTCTCGGCGAAGACGTGCTGGCTATGGAGAAGGAAATCCGGGATAATTCATTAGCCTCCGGAGAACATGGATCCTCAGCTCATACTCAATGGCGAACCATCGCTGCGCAGCTGCGAGAGGGCGTGGATCCTGATGGAATTAGCTTCCATGATTTCCCATTGGAGTCCACGGAAATAGACCTTCTTGCAAAGATACAAACAGACTGCCTGGGAAGCTTTCGTGAAGCTTGGGAAAAACTTGACCTCAACACAAAGGCTACCGCTTGGGAGCGATTATCACTGGCGCTATTGCGTCACCGTCACTATGGCCTCCTCTTGGAATTTCTTTGGGTCACTAGCCAGGGTTCTGAGAAGCCAGTGCTAAAATTGGCTTATGACTGTCTGAAAAATATCATGGAATGTTTTCCCGGCTACAGAGACTGGACAAATGGGGAGCTCACTTTCCGCTCTGTTGTCCAGACTTGCTTAGCCCCTGAAAATTGGCCTGTTGTCATCATGACACAGAATGCCATGCGCTTATTTTTAGATTGCACAGACGGCGATGGTGTCCGCCGGGCCTGGGATCTCTCGCGCAAGAGAAAAGTGCATATAGTGGCCCCAACGCTTCTTCATTTCATGTCCCATTTCGTGAAGCTCAAGGACGCTGACATGGCATTGGAAGTACTGAAAGTCATCTTTGATCTCCGACAGGAAGGGTTCACAACACGGGACTACCTAGTTACGAGGGAAATTGCTGGACTCTTGGGCCTAGATTCAGTTGTGGACGGCCCAGATGGGCGGAACTTCCATATCTTGCCCAGGATTCTCAAGATTGGAGTGCGGCTTGATATGACCATGATGAATGCTATCCTGAAAAACACTTTCAAGACAGGGGATCCTCAGTTAAGTGATGATATACTGGAGTATATCAAGAAACAAGGCATGAAGTTCAATGCGGGCACTTACATAGCTCAATTGGGTGATGCTCTTGACCGCAGAGATCAAGACCTAGTCAAGGAACTGCTGCAAGAGATCGATACACGGCCTGACCTTCGAACGCACCCATGGCTCGCGAGCAAGATTTTTCACGCCCATTTTGTTTTTAACGTCAAGGGAAACAGATTCATAGGGGGTGAAGGTCAACCGGATCTCACCCCTGAACAGACCTTCTACTCCATGCTAGACGTGTATAATAAGTACTTTGACATCGCACCCTTACAGGAACTTTACATACTAGCGCCTGGATACACTCCTCCTGAATCGGACGTGGCTAAGTTGGAGCCAACCCGTGGTGCCATGTTTCTCCTGATTGCGAGTTACCTGCGATGCAAAAGAAGTGCGGCCGTTGGGCAACGCATTTATGCCAGGTTCATCGAACTTTTGGTTCAGGGCGACAAATATGCTGTTCACCTAGCCAAGACTGATCATATCTTCAACGAGTTCATTATCTCGTGGCGGAATGATCCTCGCGGGGGGCGACCGTCTGTGCGCGTCGTTGAAGACATGCTATACTTGTCGGCCCAGGACCCGGAAAAATTTGTCAAACCAACGGTTTTGACTTGGACAGTATTGCTAAGCGTGTTTATCTATACCAAGCAGCAATACGCCGCCAACAAAGTCAGAGAGATGATGGCTAAACATCAGATCGTGTACGATTTGTCCACCTGGAACCTGATCATCAGCGGACTTGTGATGAACCAGGATGTTGACGGGGTCGCGAAAGCAATTCAGACCATGCAGCAGGAGGGCCTGTCTCCAGATGCATATACGATTAAGCACGTGAACGAACTCGGAGATTTGCAATCCCTGGTAGACATCGTGGGGGAACTCAACGAGAGCGATGCTTTAGCCAGCGAGGGTGCTGCCGCCGAGGCCTACCAGGCGGAGATGATGGAAACCGAGCGATTGGTCGAGGAAGGTCTGGTGCGTCTGAAGGCGGACGAAGAGGACAAGTCGTGAGATATCCCGTTGGTTTCCCCGTTGGTTTCAGTTCTTCTCTTGCATCTCTAGCGTGGCGCGGGAGGATTCGGTGTTTTCGGATAAAACGTATATAGATGGAATTCCCTGGATGGTACTCCGTAGACAGCACCTTGTATGTACGATATGCAGCATGATAATTATGGGGATGAATCCCGAGCAAAAACGCAAGCAGTAAAAGAAGCTACAGTAACGCCAGTGCCTGGTAGAATGACCACCATGCTATCCTGAGATCGTAAGGAACGCAAGCCCGCCCAATCAGCCGCCGAAGAAGATGGAGACCTGGATGAAACCGGGGGCGTCAGCATTTCCACTCGTGCATACATGCATACATACATATATGCCTGGGCCATTGTACTCCTGCCGGGGACCGGGTATACTCACAGCCATCACCACGCAGCATATGCTGACATACGGGCTCAGCCGCTCGCCAATCCGTGCGCATTTCCAGAAGATCCCGAAGAAGCTATTCGAGCGCATTAGCGAGCCGTCCGATTATCTCGTCCATCCCATCTGTCGATCTGTCGACGGCGCGTCCTCGGTATGTATAGGCCACTCACCCGCTCTGGTTGCGGTCCATGATTCCCGGCATAATGGAGTGCCCATACGTGCTTGTGCAGATGATGAGCAGGAAGACCAGCAGGAGTGACTGGAAATTGAACAGTGCCGACTACATCTCGCTCTCACTTGTTAGTGGTGATTGTGTTGCTTTTGCGACTGCGGGCGTTATTCACTGACCATCTTGACAGGTTATAAGAGCGACCGGTCGTCTGGCCCTCTCAGCCGTGCCTTCTTTCTTTCTTTCTTTCCTTCTTTCCTCTTCTTTCTTTCCTCGTCCCCAGATCCAGTCGATGTGTAACACTCTCCTGTTCTCGTTGGAGACAACAACACGCAGGCAGGAGAATCCGAGTCGAGTGCTCGCTGAGACGAGTAGTGAGCAACTTAGTCCGTCGTAGTGACGAACTGCCACTCGCCGGGAAGTCCATTCTGCCACCATGTCTCCCTCCTCCCCCGCCGACCGCCTTCCCCCTGCGGCGGCGGCGACAGCAGCAGCAGCAGCTGGCTCGAGAAAGCGAAACACTCCGTCTCGTCGCCGTCCCCAGTCCCAGTCCCAGTCCCAGTCTCTGTCACTGTCTCTGTCATCGCAGCAGAGCCATACCCCCGCTCCTCCCCGCCAGCCCAGCACTGGTCATGTGCCGAGCCATCTCGCTCCCCCTTGGCCCTTCGATCCCCAGGAAACTGCGCTAATCCGCGCCGGATATCGCCCGGCCTACAAACCGAAACCTATCGCCGCGGCTACCCATCCAACGGACATAACCACCACGGCTGCTGCTGCTGCTACTGATCCCACTACTGCTCCCTCTAAACGACCCAGAAAGATGGCGGAACCTCGAGCCCGTGCCGCCCGGCACAAGGGGCAGATGAACTTTTCGTCAGAACGTGAGTTATTACTATTCCCCGCCCTTTTCTCCTGCTCTTTCCACAGGCTTGACTTCCACTTCCACTTCCACTTCCACCTACACCTACTAACGACCCACTTATCCAACTATATAGTGCGCCTCCTCCTCCTCGCCTACGGCGACCCCCGCCCCCACCCCTCCTTCACAGCCGAACCCCTCCCGGAAACCATCCGCGTGCTGGACGAGATCGTCACCGACTTCGTGCTGGAGATGTGCCACGGCGCAGCGCAATACGCCAGCTACTCGCGCCGCCAGAAGATCAAGGTCGATGATTTCCGGTTCGCGCTGCGTCGGGATCCGAATAAGTTGGGCCGTGTACAGGAGTTGCTGCGCATGGAGCGAGAGTTGAAGGAGGCCCGGAAGGCGTTCGATCAGAATGATGACCAGGTGGGCAATCTCAAGGATGCGGGTAAGAAGGGGCTTGAGGAGGCCGGCGAGAGTGTCGATGGGAAGAAGGGGAAGGGGAAGGGGAAGAGGAATGCTAGGAGGGATTCCGATGCTACCGAGGATAATACGGTGCCGAAGAAGAGGAAGGTTGGGGCGTGAGGGTGGCGTGGCTTGTTTTCGGTCTTTCTCTGGAGCTTGTTTTTACTCGTTCACTCACTTTAATCACTGGCGTTACGGGCTGGGCTGGGCTGGGGGACTGGGTTTCCGGGCTTTGTATGTACCTTATCTGTCATGCGTGATATCCTATCTGGTTGGCATCGGAGGCGTTTTTATCAAGATGATTTGTTAGCACATACATACATACATATATTGCCACTGGGCTTGGCTTATCGGCATTGATTGCTGCTGGAAAGGGTAAAGCTGCGGTACTTAGATTATAGATAAGATGTACTCCGTAGATCTACATTATCTACCTCTACATGCCCTTCCAGCATATTCGTCAGGTGGAGTCTAGATAAAACATAACTTCATTCACGTCTATCCGCAAACATCATGCACGGTAACAAGCAATGCAAACCCCTCCCCCCTAAAGCCACTCAACCTCCCAGCTACACACTACATAATCCTGAAGGCCTAACAAGGCGGGTGTAATCAAACCGGGACCGGTTAGATGCCTAGCCAGATTGTTAGGTAGGTAGGTAGGAGGAAGCAACAGCCCTTCTCTTTTCCCATTTTCCATTCCAAGCACTCTGATCAAAGCCAGGTAGGTGGACTCCCATACGCCGTGCTCTTTTTCATTCTTTTCGGTTCCGGCCTGTTCGTTTTCTCTGCCCCCTTTTTTGTCCCCCTTTTTTTTTTTTGCTCTTCCCGTGGTTGGTACTATCCCAAATCCCAACTCCAAGACCAGGTCTCTTTTTAACCCCTGGAGGTGTCGGGGTTGAACGTGGGGCGTCGCAAATAAGAAACAGAGAGAAAAGGAAATTTTTGCACAATGAATAAATGTTCAAGAGAAATGGAAAGGTATCGTTAGAATAACCCTATCTCCCCTTACGCGCGAGCCTCCTCTCCGCTGCGCTCTTGGTTCCGCTGTTGCCCGCCCCGGCCTCCCTTGCCGCCTCTTTGGCCGCCGCGCTGAGCTCCCGCCTCGGCGCTGCCGGACTCGCCTCCCAGGGTCAGCTGGGCGGTTGCTAGCCGGTTGGACAGCTCCATCTGTGTACGGATGGTGTTGGCCAGGTAGGACACGACCAGGACGTCCTGGATGTGGTTGTTGCTGCGCACCGTTAGCAGGAGAAGATGAAGGGCAGGGAAGGGAGAGGAAGAAGTAGTCCACCCGGGGAAATACGTACAAGTCACGCTCGATGTCAGCGGGCTCCACCTTGGGCGCCAGGGCCAGGGTGTTGAGCAGGAACTGGCCCAGGGCCGTCGAGGCCGGCGCCTCCTCGTCAATGACCGACTCGACGTAGCGAGAAACACGGTCGATCATGCCCAGCACCTCCTCGATCGCACGCTCCAGAGCCTCGATGTCGGTGAACAGGTTGGCGGCCCGCTCCTCGGATTCGCGAGCGGCGGCCACGGCCTCCAGACCGCTCTTCTCGGCCTCGCCGTACCGGATCTCGTAGGGGACGGGGATGAAGGCGGCACTGTCGGCGGCTCTCTCCGCGGTCACGCCGACGGGGGCGGAGATGTAGGCGCGGGTCTCGATGTCCTTGCCGGCCTCGGTGGACACGGTCAAGTGGACGGCCGGGTGAGGCCACGTGCCGTCACCCTGGCCGCTGTAGAAGTTCTGGATCAAGGCGCTAAAGGTGTTCAGCTCGGACGAGGTGGCGTACCACCCGACAAGGACTTCCTTGGGGTTGGCCTTCAGGTGCAACGCCAGCATCTGCTTCTGGTATTCCATGTCCACCTCGACCTGGTCTGTCGTCTCCGTGTGTCCCACAGCGAAGGTGCTGCGGATTTCCACCTCGGTGCCATCTTCGGTCCTGGTTCCCAGCAGAGTACCGATGACCCGCTCCTGGTCGGCGTTACGACGGAGGGAGTGGTCCAGGATAGAGAAAAGAGCCTAGCCACGGCCGTCAGCAACCGGACACAGCGGATATGATCCAGCCATGGGGAGGTAGGGGGAGGGGGGACGTAGATATATACCTGAGGCTGGATGACCACGTTCACAGGCGCGGTAGTCGGGGCAGACCCCACAGCCACGGGGCCCAGAGGGCGAGCAAGGTGCACGAAGGAGTCGGCGTCAGCCATGATGGGCAGGTAGAGTTGAGGAGAGTCGGTGTTGGGGCTGATCCTATCTCGTGCTGGGCGTGGGGGAGGGCGTCTGGGGTCGGGGATGCCAATTAAATCTTCCGCCTCTCTGAAGTTGCGGCGGCGGAGGTTCTGCTGCTGCGAGGCTCAAATTGTGTGTGCGCAAACTTCCCTTCCGCGCTAAGATAAGATAAGCCGCCCTTCCTCTTCTTCTTCTTCTTCTTCTTCTTCCTCTTCTTTTTTGTTCCCCAGCAACCCGCAAAAAAAAAATAATTCGCTCTTTTATAAAGCTCACCCCCCCCCCCCACTCGACCGGTTTCGGCTGGATCACAGAGTCAATGGTTTTTCAAAGAGGTCGAGGTTCCCGGGGACGTGGCATGGGCCGCGGACGAGGTCGCGGCAGGGGACGAGGCGGGAGAGGCCCCGTCAGTCGCAGAGATGCCTTCCAATCCTCCCGAGTCGACGAGATTGAGTGAGCCCCCCCACTGCAGTCGGGCTGCTATGTGTAAGCTAACCGGTCCATTCAGATCCGAAGGCTCTTCCGAAGGTGAGGATGGCTCGGGGGACGAGTCCATGGAGAACGACATCGCCGACGATCAACAGATGGACGAGGGGTCGTCCAGCGACGAGGACGAGGATCAGCAGAAGGGACGTTCCTACAACGAATTGCTACAGCTCCTGAACGCATCCACCGACTCCAAGGGCCCGGCTCGTAAGAAGAGAAAGGTCGACCATCGAGACTCCGAGAAGATTGCAGTTGTCGCGGACGAGGAGGAGGAGGAGGAGGTGCCCGAAGAGGACGACTTGGAACAGCAGGAACCTTCCGACGAAGAGGACAACGGCAATGCCCCCGAGGAGGATGCAGGATTGCAATTGGATAGTGACGATGAAGACGGTAGGGATTTCTTTCCATTGCCTATCTACATGGTTCTCCAAGCCCGCTAATGCCCCGCCAGATAATGATCCTTTCGACACACACTTTTCGATCCCGAAGGAAGACGAGCTCACTCAGAAAATCAAGGCCATCGGGGAAAACAAATGGAAGACCACTAAGAAGGAGCTTCCCGAGGAACTGAAGTTTGTGCGCTCGGTGCCGGATACCGGCGACGAAGCGTCCTGGCTCCCCGCCATGAAGAACATCTCAAGCGCCAAGGTAAACAGCAGTGACGGTATTCCTATACATATCGCAACGGAGGACTGACGGAGACATCTACAGCTCAAACGGAAACTCAAAGCTCCTGCCGCGGAAAATATCCCTGAGATCAGTGGCCAGGCCCAGCAGCTCGCCCCGTACATCTTCGGCTACCAGGACGTGCTCTACGGAGCCCGGTCCACCTCCAACGTGGCCCAGATGCGGGACCTGCTGGCTCTCCATGCCACGAACCATGTGCTCAAGACCCGCGACCGGGTGCTCAAGAACAACGCCCGCCTGGCCAAGGAGCAGGACGCCGACCTCGACGTCCGAGACCAGGGGTTCACTCGGCCCAAGGTCCTGTATCTGCTGCCGACCAAGCAGGCGTGTGTGCGGGCGGTCGAGTCGATCGCGCGCTTCTTCCAGCCCGAGCAACAGGAGAACAAGAAGCGCCTCACGGACACGTTCTCTTCCACCGACGACCAGTCGTGGGAGAACAAGCCGGATGATTTCCGGGACCTGTTCGGCGGGAACGACGACGACATGTTCCGCCTGGGGCTGAAGTTCACCCGCAAGACGGTCAAGTACTTTGCGCAGTTCTACACCTCCGACATGATCCTCGCCAGTCCCTTGGGTCTGCGCACGATCATGGATCAAGCCGAGTGAGTTTGCCTTTGAGTACCGCCGCAGGGGCCCATCGCTAACGCCATGCAGTGTGAAGAAGCGGGACCACGACTTCCTGTCGTCGATCGAGGTGGTGATCGTCGACCACGCCGATGCCCTCCAGATGCAGAACTGGGACCACGTTGACTACATCCTCAAGCACCTCAACCTGCAGCCCCGGGAGGCGCACGGGTGCGACTTCAGCCGCGTGCGGACGTGGTACCTGGACAACAACGCGCGCTACATGCGGCAGCTGATCATGCTGTCGTCGTTCGTCACGCCGGAGATCAACTCGGTGTTCTCGGGGCACATGCACAACGTGTCGGGCAGGGTCAAGGCGACGCCGATCCACGCGGGGGCGATCGGGGAGCTGCCCCTGCCGGTGTCGGTCAAGCAGACGTTCTCGCGCTTCGACTGCCTCTCGCCGGCGAAAGACCCGGACGCGCGGTTCAAGCACTTCACGACGACGGTGCTGTCGACGCTGGTGCGCGACATCGCGTCGGGGCGCGGCAAGGCCAGCGGGGGCGGCACGCTGGTCTTCATCCCGTCGTACCTGGACTTTGTGCGGGTGCGCAACTACTTCGCGACGTCGGCGCAGACGACCAACGTCTCGTTCGGGGCCATCTCGGAGTACACGGAGATGCGGGAGGCGACGCGGGCGCGCACGCACTTCATGAACGGGCGGCAGTCGGTGCTGCTGTACTCGGAGCGCCTGCACCATTTCCGGCGGTACCAGATCCGCGGGGTCAAGCGCATCATCATGTACGGGGTGCCGGAGAACCCGAGGTTCTACGGCGAGATCGTGGGCTTCCTGGGGCTGGATCCGGCGGCGGTGGTGGAGGCGGCGGAGGGAGGCGTGCGGGCATTGTTCTCCAAGTGGGATGCGCTGAAGCTGGAGCGCATCGTCGGGACAAAGCGCGTGGGGAATATGTTGCGCGAGAAGGGAGGGGATACCTTTACGTTTATGTAGAGGGATGATGTATATAGTAGTTAGTATAATCCGTTGTGTATAAAAAGACATGTCTCATCCACGGCTTTTCTTCGACTGATTGTATCCGCAGTGGCTACTCTGTAGAATGGAATGATTAGGGCTCGGGGTTTGCGCACAGACTGCATAGTTCAGTTACAGCTCCTGATAGCCTGGGTAACTCCTGATCAGCACCATCTCGTATAAATTCCTTCCTTTTGCAGCCTGAGTGGTGCCTTGGAAGGTCACACGAGGGGGGCCGATTAGTCATCAGGCATGCACTTCAGCCGATCGTCGCCGGGACTAGTCCTATTCCAGTCTGTCGCTTCTCGCCGATCAAGAAAATCAACATTCCCAACTGCCAGGTACTTAAATACTTGCCCTGTTCCACATCCGATCCGGATCTGACCTGTCTCTAGCCGAGAACAATACCATATCTACCTATCTATCTACCCCTCCCATACACATACAATAGCCAGAGAGAGAGAGAGAGAGAGAGAGAGAGGGGAAAAGCGAAACAAACTTCGGGCCTCGTTCCTCTCCCATCCGCGCCTTTACCTGCCTCGCCCTCCCCACCAGTCGGGTTCGCCAACATGGCCTCCCCGGATGCCACCTGCGTCACGCCCTCCCAATCGTCGCCCGCGCTCAGTTCTCTCCCCCGCGATTCCTCTTCGCCGTCCGCGGTTCGGTCGGCCCAGTCCCAGCCCCAGTCTCAGAGCCATGGCCATGGCGATGACCACTATACCGAGCGCAGTCCGCTGCTCGCTTCTTCTCCCTCTGCCGCCTACTCCTCCTCCTCCTCTCCATCTTCCTCGTCGCCTTCACCCGCTGCAACAATGTCCGCTCAATCGTGGTGGACGACCATGTCTCATCCGGCCCGCGAGTTCTGGGCCCAGGGCAAGGGCATGATCCTGGTCCTGGGTGCGCAGTTCTTCGGCGCCACGATGAATGTCATGACTCAGTTTTTGGAGATTAAAGGGAAGGAGGGGAGAGGGTTGGATCCGTTTCAGGTGCGTGGACTTTCTCTTTTTTTACCGGGGAGGGGGGTAGGTAGGTAGCTACGGTGAGATGGGATGGCTAGTGGTGATAGTGCGTGCGTGCTGGCTGGCTGGCTGGCTGGCTGGCTGGCATGCATGGACTAGCCTGCCGCCGTCGTCGACTACTAAGTAGATACTGTCTCCGCGGGATACCTCGGCTAATCTATCCCGTCCCAGATCCTCTTCGCTCGCATGTCGATTACCGTGCTGGCAAGCTACCTCTACATGTGGTATGCTCGCGTGCCCCATCCGCTGGGGACGCGCGACGTCTTCCCCCTGCTGATGCTGCGCGCCAGCGGCGGCTTCTTCGGGGTCTACGGCCTCTACTTCTCGGTCCAGTACCTGCCGCTGTCCGAGGCGACGGTGGTGACCTTCCTGGCGCCCATTCTTACCTGCTACGCCTGCTCGTTCCTTATCCCCAACGAGACCTTCACACGCAAGCAGCAGCTGGCCGGGATCGTGTCGCTGGCCGGGGTGGTGTTGATCGCGCGGCCTTTCCCGTTCATGCGGTCGGGGGCTCCGGCCGACGACCCGGAGCTGGGCGACACGCCCGGGTCCACGGACAGCTACCACCACGTGCTGGCCATCGTGGTGGCCCTGGTCGGGGTGCTGGGGGCGTCGTGCGCGTACACCACGATCCGGATGATCGGACAGCGCTGCCACCCGCTGGTCTCGGTGACGTACTTTTCGATGTTCACGACAGTGGTGGCCACCCTGGCCATGCTGTTCGTGCCCTCGATCCCGCTGGAGCTGCCGGGCACGCTGCTCGAATGGACCCTGCTCCTCGGGCTCGGGGTGTGCGGCTTCCTGCTGCAGTTCCTGCTGACCGCGGGGCTGTCGTACGTGCCACCGCCGCGCAAGTCCAAGGGCCGCGGCGAGTCCTCCCCGCCGACCTCGTCCGGGTCGCGGGCCACCTTCATGATCTACATGCAGATGCTGTTCGCGGTGTTCTACGACCGCACGGTCTGGGGCAGCACGCTGTCGGCGGTTAGCTGGGTGGGCTCGGGGATGATCCTGGGGAGCGCCATCTATGTGGCGATGGCGCGCGAGGGCGCCAAGGGGGCTGGAGCAGGCGAGGGGAAGGAGACCGAGCGTGCGGCGGTGGAGGAAGGCGGGGAAAGGCAATCGGGGGCTAGCGCGTGAGGACGCGAGGCAAAAAGGAGGCGCTGCTATGTGTGAGGGATTTGACCTGCGAGAAGAGTCTCCTGGAGTCTAGTCCCGGTGTCCAGCTGCATGGGGCTCGGTTGGGTGGACGCCACCAGTGCTGAGTCCCGGGGGGGGGGGTGCCGTTTGCATTTGGGTATATACGACATACATGCATACATAGACGGCGGGGATGCATGAATCATGAGGATTATGAGGAATGAGACGAATGATGAAATGGCAGTTTCAGCGACAGCGGTGCAGGAGTGCAGTAGACAGTAGATACTATCTATCTATCTACTCTACTACTCGTAGACACTAGACATGTGCACTAGCCCGACTGGGGAGGACTGCGGGGGAGCTCCACTCAATTGGCGGTGCTGATTGGCAGGAGACATCGAGCTCTCGTCTGCAGCGGGGCGGTGGGTTGCCAGTAGTAGATCCGGGGGTGGGCACTTTTCAATCTGAATCTGATATCAAGAATGCTGTGGATTATCCATCAACCTCCAGCCCATAAACAGAGGACTCACCCACTCCTATATTATTCCAATTCCCTCCCTCCGTCCGTCCTCTCCTGATCAATATCATGATCATGATCAACACCACGCCATCCATCCCATCCGAGACAACCCACCCAACCACAGCTGGAGAGAGAGACCCGGAGCACTCTGTTCCTACGCGCCCGGCCAATCAACATCGCACCGCATGCGGCAGCCCAGCCCGCTCTGCTGATTGGCCGCCACGGCGTCATAGGGTTGCACGGCGGCCGTAAAGTCCCGACGGAACCGCCCGAGATTGACCGGCCTTTGTATAAGAGGCGCTCTGTCGCAGCGTCATAGCCTTCAATCCCATCCATCGTGGAATATTGATCTTGAATCCCACTCGCCTTCCGCTGGCAGGAAGCAGCTTCTCCTTTATTCGATTCGATTTGATCGACCTAGAGATTCCATAGACCATCTATCCATCCATCTATACAGCCAATTCTTATACATCCATACCTGTATACAGCCAACCACTTACTGACTTACGCATCACCCACCATGCGTCATTTCGACGCCTGGCTCCTCCGCGACCCCTACTCCATCTTCCACTACTACCCCACCGGTCGACGCTGGCCCGAAACCGTCCGCGAGCTCATCCACACTCGCCAGATCTGTAGCCCTGGCAGCTCCCTCACCACCAACACCAACACCAACATCAACAGTGACCATGACAGTGACAGCGACAGCGACAGTGACAATCACCACGACGGCAACAATAACAATGAAATCCCCCCCTTGGACCCAGCCACAACGAGTGCCTCCCAGCCCCAGAGCCCGTTCTTCGCCCGTCTGCCCCCGGAGATCCGCCTCATGATCTACGCCTACGTCTTCGACGCCCCGACCGTTCACCTCGTGCAGATCCGCGATCGGGTCCGCCATGTGCGCTGCGCCGTCGCGAGGAGCATGCCGCTGGATCAACATCGTCTTTGTTGTCCGGTGACGACGGCGAGGTGGCGCAATGCGGCGATGGCGGGGGGGGTTAAGGCTGTTGCTACGACCAGTGCCTCTACCACCACCACTGCAAACTCCCAACAACAACACCAACACCAACCCCCCCCACAGACACAGACACAAACACAGACACAGACACAAACCCCCCCAACCCACAAAACCCACCCTCGACCCCCCCCCAAACTCTACCCCCACACCCACCCTCCCTCGCCAACAACCTGACCACCCAAACGCCCGCCCTCCTCACCACCTGCCGAGCCATCTACACGGAATCCCTCCCCGTCCTCTACACCCTCCCCACCTTCGACACCGACGACCTGCACACCCTCCTCTCCTTCCTCACCACCATCTCCCCCGTCGCCCGCGCCCACATCCACCGCCTCACCGTCCAGTTCGCCCCCGTCTGGCAGCCCCTCGCCGGCCAGGAACATTCCGTTTCGGTCTACGCGCACACGCATAATGATCGTCTCTGGAGGGGGGTGTGGCGCGTTGTCGCCCGGTTGGCGGCGCTGGAGGAGCTGAGGCTGGGGTTGGATTTGGGGTGTGTCAGTTTGAGTGTTGGGGAGAATAATAATGCGAATGGGAATGGGGGTCTGGTAGGGGCTGGGTTGTTGGAGTTTGCCAGGGATGTGCCCTGGCTGAAGCCGTTGCTGGGGGTGAGTGGGTTGAAGCGGTTTGAGTTGGGGTCAAGGTGAGGTGTGATGCCGCCGCGAGACGGGTGTTGGAGGGGGAGGGCGGGTTGGTGGCCAAGGTGGAGGGGGTGAGGGGCTGGTTGGGCGAGGTTTTGACTAGGGAGAGAGAGATCAAGAAGAAAGAGAAGGGGAAGGGGAGGACGAGGTTGGCGATTATGCCGGCTTGAGGGGATGGGTGGTGGTGGTGATTGATATATATACTATTGATGATAGATACCCTTGTCAGTTTGGTGTTTGGTGTTCTAAACAATACGTTACAGCTGGCTATCGCCGATCCAGGTACCCATCCATGTTCTAGTATCAACAATCTAGTCTGTACATTATACCATCTCCCTCATTTTCTTGCTACTATAATAGCACCCACCCGCCCACCTCCCATCCCATCCCAAATGATACCATGATACCAACCCATCCCGGACCTTGCCACATACATGCATGCAATTTCAATCAATCAATCAATAAATAGGTAGGTAGGTAGGGCATGGTCCCCTACGCGGCGCTCTCCAACAGATCCCAATCATGGCCAATATCCTTGAAAGGACGCGTAGAATCAAACCAAACATTACTCATATCACGGCGAGGAGTTGGAGCACGGACGGACGACGGAGGACACGAGGTCGGATCATAGCATTCCCTTTCTTTCCGTTCGTAATTTTCCTCTCCCAAATAAACAAGAGGCCAGCTGCCGCGAGGAGCCAACAAAGAATCCCTGGATCTTTCCCTTCACTTAACTTACATCATGGCTGACCAGACCGAGGCCCCCACCTGCAGGACTCCCGCGTCTGATACTAGTATCGTTCCGTAGATTAAAAACAATTATGCGATCCGCGCCGCCTCGGACGCTCTGCCGTTGCTGCGCTCCGCCTCCGACTCGTGGTCTTCCTCGCTCGTGGGCGACGGCGCTCGACTCCCCACCAGGGATCGACGACTGCGCATCTGTGCCCTCGTTAGTCTTCGGCTCCATCATGCTCGCGCGGAGAAAACTCACCCATGCGCGAACGCCGCCAATCAGCCCCAAGCTGTATCCCGTCGCGAAATCCGGCTCGTTCCGGCCGTTTCCAATCACGCTCTCGGGACGTCCCAGCGCCTCCACCCGGGAGACGTGCGCCTTGTTCCCCAGCACGGGCTGGTGACGCCGCTCCGTGTGCTGCCCAGGTCCACGCTGTTTCGCGCGCTCGACAGCGGGCTGTTCGGCCGGCTGTTCTGCCAGAACTGCCGCAGCTCACGCCCCAACTCCTGTCCGGTCGTGGTCCAGTTGTTCCGAATGCTGTCCCGGAGCTCCGTCACGTGGCGCTTGACCTCCAGCTCGTTCTTCTTGATCCATGACACGTTCAGTTCCTGTCTCGACGCTCCCCGCTTGAATTGCCGGGAGATGTAGCGGTCGTAGTCGCGGACAATCCTAGACACTGTGAGTGAGAACCCCCGACCCCACGGCCAGCCACAACTCACCTGGTGATGATCCCCGTCGTGCTCACTCCTTCCGTCCGCTGCGTGACCAGGAACTTGCCCTGGGCCTTGATCGGGGCATAGATATCGTCGCCCTCATCCGCGCCGTAGGGCAGGTCGTCATGTGCCACGTAGTCGATCTGGTGGTCGTCGATGAACTCCGGAGTCACGATCCACGGACAGTCGGGGATCACTTCGTCAACCCACTTGCAATGGCGAAGACTCTCAGCCCGCTCGGCACCGCTCAGCACCGTCAGACCCTTGCGCTTGTGCGTCTCGTCGTCCCCCGTCACGCCGACAATCAGATACACGTCGGGGAACGCCCGCTTGGCCTGTTCTAGTTGTCGCTGGTGTCTAGCACACCCACCATGTCAGCATCGCCCGCGCAGTCCAAGGAAAGTCAACGTACCCCAAGTGAAACAAATCAAACACTCCATCGGCATACACCCGCACCGGCCGTCCCGTCGGGGGAGGGTTGGTGTGATAGCCCACGGGGTCCTGTAGGCCCGCGCGCTCTGGCGGCTTCAACAGCCGCTGCCGCTCCGACGTGTCCACCTGCAAGCCCGGCCGGCTCTTGCTCCGGCTCTCAATGTCACTGCTGGCCAAAGTGGTCTCGGACGGCTCGCCCGGATCCTCCTTGCTGATCGCGGACGGAGCGTCGACCATGTCGACCGGTTCGACTGCGTCGCCGTTGGCTTCGCTTGTGGACGCCTTGCGGGCCCGCTTGGGCGGGGCACATTGCCCGAGGTCACGTCCAGGGACGCTTGTTTCTTGTGTTTGGTGGGCCCCGGGATGGCTGAGCCCGTGGACTCGTCGCCTTCCTCGCCGGACGCGTCGCGAGAGGAGGGCTGCAGGAGTTCGGCCGGGGACGGCACGGCGGCATCGGCGGAGAGAAGTTGGGAACCGCTGCGCTTGCGTTTGCCTGATGACGGCGGAGAGGACATGGTGGCTGACCGAGGGAGCACAGCTCAACTTCTGTCGGAAGAGGATGAGAAGAAAGATGGACAGAAAAGGGGGAGGAGGAGGAGGAAGTGGAGGTTGAGGTTGAGGAGAGAGAGAGAGAGGGACGGAGAGGTCGGGTCGGGACTCGATGGTAGTGGTAGCGTAATGGTAGTAGCACGGGGCGGGTGTGGTGAGACAAGACCGACGCGAGGAAGACGTAGACGAAGAGTCCCGGTGGAGGAGGGAGGAGAACGGAAAGAGGCGAAGTGAATCCCTCAACAAGCCATTGGGGGGGGGGAGAAAAGGAAGAGGGAGAGGGAGAGGGAGGAAGAGAGAGAGAGAGAGCAAGGCTAAGGGTCCTGGACAGCAATCGGCCAACAGGGGAAGAAACCGAGAGAACAAACAAAAAGAGAGCGAAGGACAGGAAAGACAAGAAACACAAGAAACACAAGAAAGCCAGAGAGCTCAAAATTTGCCCGACTTGGCAGGCCGCAATACGCTCGTCCACTATACAAGTATGGTAAGTACGGTACCGCGTATCGTACCGACCCTCCCAAGGTACACCGCAGGTACTCGTCGATCGTACGATGGCCCACCGGCGCCCGGGTAGCTGCAAAGGTACCGCCCCCGAGGTACGGTACGGTAATGGGCCGGGCTCCTCCCGCTGCCCCAACGGCCATCACGGGACGCCGCGGCTCCCTCTCATTCGACCGTCGCCCATCGCGCGATCCCACCAGTATCTATCCAGTATCGAGTATCAGACCTAACCTGACACACCTGTCTACAAATCCTACCTACACAGGATGCGGCCGGTCCTGCTCTGCTGCACAGCCAACGGGTTCTATATGCATACGATATGAAAGGGTCCTGAGATACTCCGTACATGGCACGCTTGCCTCCTCAGTCCGGGAACACCAGTCCACCCCCATATTTGACCCTTCTAGGCTTCTTCGGGCCGTCGATCCGCCATCCATCCCCCAATACGCCGCCCGGACGCTCCATCTTAGGTGGTCGTCATCTTCGCCAGCTTCCCGTCGCAGGGTACGCCGGGGTCGGCACAGACACCGCAGGGTGTGGAGGAGGAAGAAGAAGAAGAGGAGGAGAAGAGAGATAGTATAGTCAAGGAGCAGGTAGAAGTAAAAGAAACGGAACAGTCATGGAGATATCAAGGTTCATCAACAGTGGCGTTTTGTGCGGTATCTTGTGTCAAGGCATAAAACAGACGTACTCTCGTGAGGCCTGCCGCTCGCGGCTCTGCATAAAATGGAAAACAAAAACGAACCCCTCCTGCCCCATCCCGTTCCCATGCTCCCACCCCGCCCGGACGGGCTGTCTCATCGCTTCGGCAACACCACCGGGCCACTACCAGGGGAGGGGGATGGGAGGCAAGTCGATCGATGGAGCGGACAGAATAGAAAGCCGGGCGCTGGCGAAGGGGCGCTGAAGAAGAAGATCACGGAAGAAAAAAAGGGGGGAAGGGAAATCGAGAAACGGCACGGTCGTAGAATCACACGAGAATGGGTTTCAAAGAACCAAAAGAAAGAAAGGAAGGCAACGATATTAGGGGGCAAATGCAAGAGATCCACCAGGACTACGAGCTCGGCTTCTGCGGCGTTCCAGGGGCCTCCGCGGTGGACGGCGACTCCGATATGTTGGCAGCAGAGGCTCCGTCGGCCTTGGGGGCATCCTTCGACTGCGGCCCGGGGGTCCCCTCGCGTTCATTCCGAACAGCATCGGGCGAGTCGCGGCGCACCTGACCGACAAGGTCCCGGTCTTCCTCGGTATGGTCAAACAGCTCGTCATCGTTCTGCTCCGGAATCAATTCAGTACCGTCCCCCAAGAGGATGATGCGGCCCGACCGTACACTGAAGCCACGCGCACGGTCGTTCTCCATGTCAAAGTCATCCGGGTTTTCCTCGAATTGGTTACGGATACCGGGGCCGCGGAACTCAGCTGCACCCCCCGTTCAGTCAGTAGGGAATGGGATTTGAGGCCGTGGGATCCTCGAGAGACTTGCCGTACTCGGGCGGAGCGCAAGGGCCGTCGCCGTTCGCAACGCGCTCGGCTATCTGGTTGTACCACTCCTCTTTGCTCCTACCGTTCAGGAGGCCGATGATGATCATCGTCATGTTGTCGCAACCAACGCCGCCGGTCTCGCTGTTGGAGGCAAGGCAGTTATCCATCATGTTCTCACAGATCCGGTGGAGATCCTGCTTGGCAGCGATGCCGCGGCGAACGAATTCGACCACGGACTGAGAGGACTGGCAATCCCAGATACCTGCAACCCACGTTAGCGCCATCCAGCCAGCGCACCTGTTTGTAGGAAAAACTCACCGTCACAGGCAATGACGAGGAACTCATCATCGTCGCTGAGGTCGTGCACTGTGACGTCCGGATAGGCCGTGACGATCTGCTGCTCGGGAGACAGCTCGGGGCTCTTCTTGAATTCGAAATCGCCAATGGCCCGCGACAAAGCCAGGTTGCCATTGACACGGCCGAAGTCGACGAATCCACCCGCGGCGCTAATACGAGCTTTCTCGCCTGTTTCCCATCGTCAGAGGCATATCCCGATTCCAAGTAGACCGAGCCACGTACCTTCGTTCTGGGGCTTGTGATCGAAAGAAAGGGGCTTCGCGCGGCCCTTCACACCCAACACGGAGCGGGAATCACCAGCATTGGCCTGGAACCAGTCAGCCGTCAACCCAGACTACGCCGACGACGAGGTGAATCCGGAAATACATACCACCCAGATCTTGTGCTTCGAGATCACGCTGACAGCTGCGGTGCAGCCAGACACTTCCTCCTCGTACTTCGGGTCTAGCCAGGTCAGTCGGTTGCTGCCTGGGAGGGACAGGCCAGTCACAGGAAGAGGCGGGTGGGGAGGTTGCCCGGACTCCAGGACCAGAGCGCTCACGAACCTTCCAAGATCGCCCGGTCGGTGGCCAGGAAGCCGTCCTTGAGGGACTGCTCGATATCACCCTTGGCGAAGGACTCTTGTTTCGACACGATTTTGTGGACATTCTCCCCGGCGAACAAAGCCACTTTGTCTCCGCCGTGCCCGTCATATACACCGAAGAACGCGAGTCGTTTGTCGGGGTCGGTCGGCTTTTCCTCCTCATCCGCGAGCTTGGCCTGGAGGTCTAGGACGGCAGCATGGGCGTCCTCCATGCTGATTCGCCAGCCCTGCATGGCGGAAACGCCGTATATACAACACTCATCTTGACCCTCATCGGAAGTCTAGTCCCCGCCCGATTAGGTTAGCGAGAATGCTACAAAATGACGAGTGGTCCGGAACACAGTAGAATGATGACAGGTCATCCGTCCGGAATTCGCGTGCAGGAAATTTTCATCATCCTGTGGAGGGACCCCGCAGGGGGGGGGGGGAGGGGGAGGTTGATCACCACGCTGCAGCCCCTCCGGCGACAAGCGACACGGATACTCGGACACAGGGTAGACAATAGAGAAGATAGACATAGATGTCGAGTTGGGTGAAAGAAAAATCGAGGCACGAAGGCAGACGGTTTTTTGGGGGGGGGGGGGGGTGCGGCAACGTGGATAGAGAGGAGGGATTGGAATTGCGTAAGGATGCTTGCAGTGTGGGGGAAGACCAAGACCAGGCAAATGGATGGCCTCGTTTTCACTCACCTTATCGACCACGGGCTCGGACAAGGTCTGACCCATGATGTCTATTGGATCACAATTGAACAGTTCACACAGATGAAGGACCCGATGTCAACGTACAGGGTAGAGGAAGGGGACAGGAGGGCAAAGTTAAAAACGGAGGATCTTTTTTGGGGGGGGGGGGGAAAGAGAGACGGAGGGGGAGGGGAGAGGAGGAAGAGAGGGCGGATCAGGTGGGAGGGAAGATTAGGTTGGCCTGGAGGGCAAGGGCAGAATGCCGGTTAGGGAGGCGGCGAGCGGGAATGGTTCAGCACTCAGCAGAATTGTAGGAGAGGAGGGAGAGGAGCGAGAGAGAAAGAATCTGGCAACAATCCAGCCTGGTACCCGGGAGGGAGCACTGGGACTGAACCGCCGTAGTAGGTAAGTCAGGTGTATTAAAAGCACCTATCAATGGGGAGAGTGGGGAACCGATCCCACGATGACGATAGCTCTGGATTGGGCAAAACCGGTCGGCGTGACAGGGAAGAAAGAGCAGGCGCAGAGGACACTTGGTTGGGAAATAACAAGAAAGGACCGAGAGATCGATCTAGGAAGCAGCAGCAGGAGTTTGAGAATCCAACCACCCAAGCTAGGAGGGGTGGTGTCACAGGAAGGGGAAGATTTTTCTCTGCACGATGATTACTATCTACTAGTATCTGGTCATGTAGGCCTAATCTGCTGCTCACCACGTAGTCCCTCCGGTACGACGGAGTATCAATCAATCAATGAAACAAACAAACAATCAATCAATCAATCAATCAATGCCGCAGATGGTGAGATGCTCCAGCCTCCAAGCAGCCTCCAAGAGGGGTTGGGTTGGCGTAGGTAAGGCGCATGGGATAGTAGTTACTTCCTTCACTGTATACTAATTTACAAAGTTACAGTACTCCGTACCGGGGACAGACACCAGCGTGGGCGGTACTGTCGTATTGACAGGCGGTAGGCCCGAAGAGGGAAGTCGCGTGCTTCTGAGTTCTGAAGTGAAAGAAAAAAAAAAAAAGGGAAAAAATGACGAAAATCCTTGGCGTCGGCTGACCCAAACATCAAGCTTGGTACGAGTTACTTCCGGAGCAGTCAGTACAGTACCTTAAGTGTATGTAGGCACTCGCCCCTACCTGCCTCTCTCTGCCTGGCTCAGCTGAAATGCCGTTGGGGCGACGGCGCTCACCTGACCTCGTACCTCGACGCCTTGCAACTGCACATCGACTTCGGATCGAAGTGAGGGATGCCGCATTAGATCTAGTGGGTGCCTGGCTAATAATATCGGGAATGTGCTGGTCCCCCGAGGATGGAAATTCCCGAATGCAATAGATATGTTCCTTAGATTTAGTACTTCCATCCATGAGGTACCGACCCCGACTGCCTCATCGGGATAGAAGCACCTGCCGTAAGTACCGTACCCATTGCACCTTGCATGCCAGCCAGTTAAGCAATTCAAGCAATTTACCTACTGCCAGTACATTGGTAGTACTGTATACAGTATAGACATTAGATGCTAACTAGATAGATAGTACCTACTTACAGAGTACAGCTGTCGGGTGCTATTAGGATGTGGCCTGTGCATGCGTCTAGCTTGAAACCTAATGTCGGCTTTCGCAAGGGGTCCGGATAGCCTGCCTAGTCTGGAGGCACTGGCACTTAACTACTACTACTGTAGGAGGTGCCAGTCGGTGGTAAACAAGCGAGGTACCGACCGAGGTAGGCAGGTACTAACCCAGTAGTAGTAGTACTCCGTACGCCCAGATGGGAAGCCAGGGGTGCGACCCGGTCAAGATCATGTGAACCGGGCTCACTGGTATAGCTGGCTCTGTCTTCCCTTCTTCCCATACCCGAGCATAGCACTACTAGTACCCACACACTAGGTCTCTCTGTCCTCTGTTTATGCATTACTATGACCAGTGTCACCGCTCAGGTCGTTCTAGTTCGTGACATGAAACTATAAATAAGATGGTTCATGAATCTACTCGGTGGGGACGCGGAGAGAAGCAACCGCCAACCCAGCTGCCGCAAACAAGACAACCCCAATCATCCACGGCAACCCCATCCAAACCCCCTCCCAGGCCATTCCCACTCGCAAGGATCCGGCCGTGAGAGGCCCAGCCACCATGAGTCCGACCCCCTGGGCCAGTGCAATGGATGTATTGAGGAGTCCAACGTGACCCTCCCCAACCAGCGCACTCCCGGCGCTGCGGAGGGAGGCATAGAACCCCCATCCGAGGGCGGTCAGGGCCACCCCGATGATGAATGGTGCTGGATGGGACGCGAGGGACATGAAGCCGAATCCCACCGTCATGACACATGCACTGGCCTTGGAGACCCAGAGATCCTTCCGGACAGGAGAAAGATACCCCTCGAGGATCTTTGACGCCAGAGGGAGTACGACAAGGTAAGACGCGAGGTTAAATCCGCCCTTGATGGAAATGAGAAGACTGGCCTATGGGCCTGGGTCAATATGCAAGAAGTCTGGGTTTGGTTTGGGGTATCATACCTCTGCCATGCTCCACGAAAAACGCTTGGAGGCATATTGAACCATGAATTGAAGCGCCTCAAGCCCAAAGCCGGAAAGCAAGAATGTAAATGAAATGACGATGGCAGTTGGATATTCGAAGAAAAAGTCAGTCACCTGGTGGATCTGGGCGCGAGCAGAGCGGATAGTATTCGACCACATGGATGAGTAAGTGAGCCTTTCGGGTGCTTCAAACTCGTCTGCCGACTCAACCAGAGGCTCATCGATTGATTTCGGTTTGGTTTCCGGGATCATGAAGACAGTGAGAAGTCCGACTATCTCAAAGGCTAGTCCTAGCATGTAAGGTGCCCAGAGACTGGAGGACATCATCCAGGCGCTCAATGGAGCTGCTAGTATTTCAGACGCCAGGATAGCCGCGGACAAGACAAAGTATGCGTTGGCACTGGACGGTTGCACAGTCAGTCAATGGGACATTTCAAAGATGCTTTACGCGTACCGTTTCTCTGCCGGATAGACATCTGCTATAACTGTCCAAGCTACAGCGTTTGTTACTGCTGTGCCGCCACCACAGATTTGGAACAGTGGCGTGAACCAGATTGCCTGGGGAGGAATGACTGTATGATACCAGCCTTCCCACGGCAGAGTTAGTTACATCACCATCTAGTCACAGCAGGCTCACTCACAAATGATGCGGATTGCAACCTCCTGCAGCGTAAACCCAACCAATCCCAGCAACATGACCCGCTTGCGACCGACTCGATCCGCCATCAGACCGTACGGAAGGGCAAGGATGATGCTCGGAAGCTGATCGAAAGTGCTCATCCACCCTTTGAGTACCGCCAACTCCCCTTGCACATCAGCCGCCTTACAAGATGCGATGGGGGCTGCGGGTAGCAGTCCGTCGAAGAGCTCAGGATGCAAGCGCTGGCAGATGATGGACTCGTATAACTGGAGCTGAGGTGCAACGGAGAGGTAGGCGCCAAAGTCCAGAGTAACCGCTACAAGACAGGCAAGCAGCAGGACCTGCTGTCCCCTCCGAGAGGTGGACTTGCCATGTGTAGGACGTTCATGGTCATTAGCCAGGAGCGAGGTCGATTCTGATGGAATATCTGGTAAAGAGGAGTCAACTGCCATAGTGGAGAAAGGTCGGAACAGTGCACATGAGAAGAAAACCGAGCCTAGGCATCGTTGGTGGCAGGCATTAAAAAGGGAGGACCCCCAGGTAATGTACTGTATCGCTTGGCCTCGTCAACCCCGATAAAAATAGTGGGATTCAATTAGCCTCATGCCTGGAAGACGCTAGGAGCACCACAGCACAGTAAGCCCTTGCGGATTCGCAATCCTGGCTGGGCCCCGTGTTACATCAGCCGGGGAGGACATGGATCTCCGATGCTAACTAGATACCAAGCTTGCATCACGCACCGACCTATCGTCGGTAGGTAAGACGGATAAGGATAATATCGACCCCATCGCTCTGATATGGATGGTATTAACTAGATTAGACACTAGACTGCCCAATGGCTCACGGGTCCATTGTGGTACACGGTATCCGGGCCAAACAGTAAAAGAGAAAAGGAAAAAAAAAAAAAAAAAAAAAAAAAAAAAGTCCAGAATGAACATGAATGAAGTTCAGAATCCATGGATATCACGCTCGCCGAACACTTTTTGTAATAAGCCAGTGTATAGTGGAAGACGCCCAAATCAGATATCAAAACAAAGACAAACCTCCCTCATCCCACCCCCTTTTCCCCCTCCGCATCTCTCCAGTCTTCCTCATTTACACAAAGGCTGCCGTGTCACTTCGCACGCTTCCTGTCAGGTCTCTTGGGATGGCCATGGCCTGTGGCTCGTCCCAATCTTGCTCTGCCACTCGGGTCAAGCTCACCCGACGTGGTCGGTTGTCGTGTGGGATCGAGAAAAGGGAGGGACTGTGTCGCAAAGGCGGCCCAGTGCCAGGCATGTCACCATGTGAGTAGGAAGTGGCCTGGAGCCAAGGGCGAGTTCCTCCCCCGGTGTGCTGCTCATAGGGTGGGTCGTTTTCTTTGCCAAACGCGCCCCCTCCATAGAACCGTCTTGTGCTGTTCAAGCTCAGCTCGCTGTAGGGCCGAGGAAGCGGCGCGATCGCATCCGAGTAATTCTGCGCTAGGCTGGATTGACTGGGCAACTTGCGCACTGAGCCGGGCATCGGCGTGTCGAAGGATTCTTCAGACAGGCAGTGTAGATAAGCGGACTGGCGATTATCGTCGGTGTATATGGAGGCAGACATTGCCGTCGACCACGGACGGTCCTGGATGGAGTGTCGATAATCATCGACATAGTTGGAGCTCGCTAACGTGTCCGCCCTACTGACTGTACTCCGGGCTCGTTCTAAGGCACGGCCGCCCGAAGACGCCCGACGGCTGAATTGGCCGGCAAACAGGGGGTTGGAAGAGTTCCGGCTCTTCGCACGGCTGTGGACAAATGCCTCCAATGAGTCTGCCTCGGAGATTGTGAGAGCGTCGGGCTCTACAGTTCGGAGACTCATTCGTTTCGGGTATTCTGCACTCTCTCGTGTGCGCGGCGGTGGTCGAGGGAACAGAGGGGCCAAGTTTTCCACATCGCTATCATCACTCTGGAAGCCTGCCTGGGTGTTTTGCCAGGACATGCGAACCACGCCGTGCCCTGGAGGCCCGAAAACACCTGCCCCATGTCCAGCACCGCTGAGTCTTACTGGGAGCCCCGACGCAACTGTGGAAATACCACTGGACCGTTTGGAATACCTCCGTGATCGAGACGCAGTCGAATTTCGCTTCAAAGATCTCCTGGGTTGAATCGACCTGAGAGGTTCGCGTTTCCTGGAATTGGTCGTGGTCTTTCTGCGCAAAGGAGGGCTGTTCTGGAAGGACAGTCGCTTCGGCTGTGCTGGTGCTTCTTCGACCGGTTTTATCTCCTCCGGCTCGGGCTCTCCTCCTCGCAGAGGCGCAAAGTCCCATTCGATGGTCGAGCCTGGGAAGGTGTTTTCCTTGTCAGCGGCGTCCCGGAGATGCCCCGTGTCGCCTAGGGGACTTGCGCTCCACGACGGTAGCTCCAATTTGGGGGGCTTCGATGATGGTGAAGGGCTTCGAAACATCTCTGGTGGCTCGCCCTGAGTGGTGTCTTCAAAACGTTGACAATGAGTAAAGCCACCACCATCGGGCTGCAGTGATAATCTCTTCTCAGATGATTCCCCATCTTCGGGGGAGGTGGCGGCTGCTTTACGTTTGTGACGCCAGCAACAGAACAGAAGTATGACGGTACTCAAGAACACGAACGGAACGACAACCGCAATAGCGATAATGCCGGCTTTTCCTGCGTGACTGCTACTACTGTGGCCTGGGTCTGGATTATCAACCGGGCCCTGGGCGTCATCTGTGTCCTCTTCCGACACCGCATTGATTGTGAACTGGCGAGTGTCCTCTGCCGTCTCTTCTCGAGCCGTGAGGTTGATGTGGAAACTCCCCGGGTCAATGTCCGAAGGGACCTGTCCGTAGAGAGTCTTGTTGTCGCGGTTGTAGTGTAACCACGACAGGTCCTGTCCCATATCCACGTCGAGCTGGACCGAGTCATTCGTCAAGACAGCGTCGTCGAAGATGAACGTGAAATATTTCCCGATAGTGGCATCACATTCATCTGGGTTATTGTGGAAGAACTGAGAAAATTGCAGGCTAACAATTAGCGTTGCCACATCATGGAATCCATCTGTCACGCTGATGGTGACATTCTGGTCTGTTGCATCTGCCGGAGGAGTACCGCTCAGTGAAATGGTCTCCTTGTCCAGAGACAACCAACTCGGGGAGTCCACATGGACATCCTTCAAGTCATCTTTCGTTATATCGTGACCGTCTAATGTCAAATTGCTTGCGAATTGAGGGCTGGTGAACTGTTTCCCTCGGGAAGGAAAGAAAGTCTGCGTGCTCCGATTGAAGGCCAGGATATGTGGGCTAACCGTCATCTCAAAGGTCATGATCGCTGCACTGAACCCCGCCACATCCGAAGCAACTAGATTGAAACTGAAGGTCTGAGGTCCACTAGCCGGTGTGGCCCCCGAGAACTTGAGTGACGCTTGATCGAATCCAACCCATGATGGCAACGGGGCGTTATCGGGAGAAGTCCCATAGTAAACAGTAGATGGGCGCGTGTTGGTGAATGTTTCGGGCTCGAAGGATAACGAGAATGAGTCACCCGAGTGTATGAAGATCGTGTCTGGAGCAGATGTTGCACCCATATTTTCGAGTTGCGGAAGCAATGGCCTCCCAGGTTTCGGTCCGTCATCTGTCGTCACGACCAGGGTAACCTCCATGCTGACTGACCCCGACCCATCTGATGCTGCGAGGTTGAATTTCGGGGATCCTTGGTCTTCCTTCTGGGGCGTGCCGGATAGTGTACGGCTGTGGCTGTCTAGTTTGAGCCATGACGGCGCGTCGGAAAGCGAGTATTGGGTGTCCGGGTTGCTACCAGAAAACGTGCCTTGCGAGAAGACGAATTCGAATGGCTGCGATACCCGAGCTACCGGGGGTAGTTGTGCATTGATAGGATAGCTTACTTCCAAGGCTGCATTGACTGTGACCAGGATGCTGAGAAGAGCCAACGCAATGTGTGCCATATCTCCAGGGCTGATACAACGGTTCTGGCAGATATTCAAAACAGCGCGCGAGAGGCACGTTCGTGTATGTCCCCCAAAGGAATCATCCGAAGACAGCCTGTCGAGTACTGTCGAAAAGTGTGAAAAAAGCAGCAACAAGTGAGATGGGCAATTGTGGGAGCAAAGGCAGAGAAAATTGTCCTGCCCTTAGGGCGCGAGGTAGACTCATCCAGGGCATCCGCGCCCAAGGGCCCATCGGGCACAGGAGAGGCGCGAAGCGTGTGGCCCCTTCAACAAAGCCATACCTAGATATGTTTGACGTCACTCAAGTATTGGAATGGTCAGGGAAGGATGGTTCGCGGCGCGGCGCGATCAAGCTCACGTTGCGAAATGCACGCCCATGCAAGGGGTGGCTTGCAGGAGCCCAGGAGAAAAGCCCCCCCCCCCCCCCCCCCCAAAACACTTCCGTCTCCCCGTGGCTTCCTACTCCTCGTGTAAGTAGAGAAGGTATTTGACAGGCTATAACGCCCTATATTCCGAAGCAAAAACCTTCGGGCTCCTTCCCATTGCATGAAGGGAGCAAGCCTAACGAGGGGCAGAGGGACATGCTTAGGAGTGACAGGGGCGGGTCAAGGGCCACTCTAGAGATCGAGGACCATCTTGATTCCCGTCCGCCCTGGCGCATAGTAGTCCGGGATTTGCTCGCGCTCCTCGAAGCCATTGTGGGCATACAGAGATCGTGCGGATAATCTTGCCTTGTCTACCCACAGGTGGATCTGCTGGCATCCCTCCCGTTGCAGACGGGCTCGAATGTAGGTCATGAGCTGCCGCCCAACGCCTTGTCGACGATAGACTTCGGCCACACAGACCTTGTTCAACAGGGCCACTCCCCGCTGGCGAACGTAGACAGCATAGGCTAACACTGTCGGGCGGGCACTTGCAGCCGCGCGGGTCACATACAAAACCCTCGTGTTGGGCTTCTTGCGCCAGAGTTCCTCACTGAACTGGAAGGCCTCATTGGCAGGGAAGGTCTTCTTCTCGACGCGTGCAATCTGGGCGAGAATCTCAAATGCCTGATCCTTCTTCAAGGAATGGATGTCTGAGATGGTCAGATCCGGGTGCATTCCTGCGAGCCCCTCCAGGATCAACATTCACACCTGTTTGACGAGGGGGGGATGACAGGGCTGGTCCCACACGGAATCGGCAGGAATTTTTGAGTTTTGAGGTTAGATAACCCTTGATGGGGGGGGGGGGGGGGGGGCTCGGGCGCAGAGATATTCTCACGGGTGCCCAAGATCCCTGTGCTCCGATCCAATTGCCCGGCTCTGACTCGTAGGGGTCAAGTCAATACTGAGTCCTCGGTAGAATGTTTGTAGTATGGAGGATCCCGTCGCTGGAAGAAATCCGACGCTCGAGCCCTGAGGCCAATCAGATACGGGTCTGCCGTCGATCCTCGCGACTATACCCATTCCAGCCTAGCGGATATCAGTCCGGGCGATACCGGTATTCTCAGTACGGGTTACCTTACATACCAGGCAAAGACAGCAGCAACAACATCCCTCCATCTTCCATCCACCATCCATCCTACACTCCATAGCATCCATCCATAGTAACTGCCACACATCTTGGCCAGCCCCCTCCAAGAACCATCCTCACCAGACATATATACTTTCCAGCATTCTCCTCCGTGTTTCAACCCCAACCCCAACCCCAACCCCCCACTCCTCTCCTCCAGGAACCCCAAGCCTGAAAAAAAAAAAAATGCCTTTCAGAGATGAAGAAGACTACGCGGAGAAAAAGCAGCAGGCCGCCCACGATGTTATTAGCATTCTTCACGAAATCTCTAACTTGCTCGTACGTGAGACTCCCCCCAATGCCCCAATGTACTCCGTTCCTGCCTATCTGCCTCTGCATTCTGGTCGATGGCTTGGACACCAGCCCGTCTACTCGCCTACTACCTAGCTTAGTAGCCACTACCTGCGAAGCCTAAAGAATATCCAGCCAGTAGACCCTCTAATGACGGCCCCCCCCCCCCTCTCCACTTCTCTTTCCCATTCAGGTAGATGTTAGCCAATCTGGCATGCTGGAACTAACGCCCCATCTTTCCAGAACACTGATCTGACCCGCAGACAAATCACTTTGTGTGCGTCGCTGATCGAGAATGGTGTGAATCCTGAAGCTCTGGCTGTAAGTCTTCTTCTATCTTCTGCTTCTGCTTCTGCTTCTGCTTCTGCTTCTGCTTCTGCTTCTGCTTCTGCTTCTGCTTCTCTCCTTTTTCCCCCATGGGGAAGGCATGGGAAGGGAATGTTAGTCAGCCCTGCCATGTATCGACTTGCTCTCCCCGTCTGTTTTTCTTGCTATTATCACAGGTACTCAGGGTTAATCTGACCGCGTCTAGGCGGCGATCAAGGATATCCGTAAAGACGTACTACCGGCGCCATCGCGCGGGGGCCGCGAATGAGCAGCTGGGGTTGCTGGATTGAGTGATCTGTGTCTGTTGATGCATCTGGGCTGAGATTCTGATTGTGTTGGTGTTGTTGTTGTTGTTGTTGTTTGATTTGGGGGTCTGGGGATCTACTGTCGAGTAATTAATCATGTGATACCCCTTCGTTTGGTCTGGCTTTGCGTGTCATATATGGTTCATTGTTTCAAGAGCTCAGTTATCATGGTTAATGCTACATATGGGAAAGAAGAGACACATTCGTAAGATACTAGATGGGATGTGGCCGTCATGACGGAGATCGATTTCCATCGCCCGCATTCTCCCGATTCGCAGTCTTTGGTATCATCGTTGTCGGCTGGAGGCATAGAGGATGGGATAGTTGGGATAATAGTGGATAGCAAGGGTACAAGGAGAGGTGTGGAGGGTTAGACAGGCTGAGTCAAAGGGGACAAATGAACGATCAAGCGCTTAGGGTAACTCTATGACCTCCCGGCACCTTCGGCCTTACTCGTGTCTTTCGACGCTTCCCCGGTCCCAGCCTCCGATGCGCTGTGTTCCTTGGTCTTGGTCTCCTTCTCCTTCTCATCCTCGCTATCGCCCAGGCTGAACGGATCATGCTCTCCGACGGGTGATGGTTCAACGGTCGACAAGGGCTGCCACTTGCTGGACTTGCCTGTCGTCGGAGGGGTTCGTCGAACGGGTTCGGCGTCGTAAAGATTATCAATCTCCGCAGGCGGGCCCTCCTGGAACGACACTCGGCGTCGATCCGGAGAGGGCGAGGAGGCCTTATAGAGGTTGGGGTTGGCGAGAGGTCGAGGGGGGCGCGGGGGAGGAGCTATGAATGAATGACAGTCAGTGAAACTATTAGGGTTAACCAAGGATGGAACTGGAGCCACGGACCTTCACTATCCCTCAATTCCAGCCCAGAGAAGTCGTCATTCAGGATCTGGGGGTCGGCATCGTAGCGTTCGCGATCGCCGCTCCGGCGTCCTAGGTCCCCGCTGCGCCGAGGTCGACCGTAGCTCTCCTCAGGACGGCCTTGGGTAGAGGTACCCGAGTCCTCGGGCTCTCCGTCGAGCCGCTTCTTCAGATTCGTGACCCACGAGTTGACCTTGGTCTGGGTATCTAGAAATCCTTTGCGGATGTTCTCGCGGATCACGGGGAGGTCGTCTACAAAGTCCATGGTCAGCAACCAGACCCATCCGAGCCCCAGGTAAGTCACCCACCATCAAAGAAGCTGTATTCCTTCTCCTCGGACATATCGCTCCCTCGTCTCTGCCGCTCCTGTGGGTAATCGTTTCCCCGACGGGATTGCGGCGCGCGACGGTTGTAGTGCTCGTTCAGCTGGCGGGCATACATCTCATCCGCTTCCAGCTGCCTCTGCGCAGCGGTCGGACGTGGCGGTTTCGGGGGAGGTGGAGGTGCATCTTGTTCGGCGGCAGACGGGTCGGTCATGCCTGAGGGATTTGGTTAGCGATGGTACCACATGACAGAAGCACTGGTGTAGGTGCGCACGTACTCAGTAAGGCATGGAAAGCCCGTTCCACATCCCAGTTGCTGGCCACCAGGACTGCCTTGATCACAGAAGGGTCGATCGATGGGAAAGCTTCCTTGAGGGTGTTCTCGGCCTGTAGTCGGGGACTCAATGGGCGGGGTGGCTTTGGCGGGGCAGCTTCCGTGGCCCGCTGCGGAGGAGCGGCCGGCGAGGTGGACGTGACGCCGGACTCTTGAGGCTCGTCGTCGAAATCCATCGGGCGCGCGGTGGTCGGCGACTCTGGTTTGGGGCTGAGAGGGCCGGTCGACAGCCTGTTGGTCGACTAGCATCTGCGTTAGTGACCAGGACGAGGAGGGAGGGGGGGGGAAGGTAGGTATAGAGTGAGGACGTACGGTCTTGTCTTCTCCGGACATGGTGAAGGGCGCTTCAGGCGACGGAGGAAAGAGGAAATGCTCGCAGGTCGACGAGGATGCCAAGATTGCGCAGGCACTCGAGTTTCGGATTTATAGGATGCGACGTGCAGAGTAGGATTCGCCCAACAGGCAGAAAGCCGCGGCCATCCTCAGGCCTCAGCCACGCCCCTTTCTAGCTGATTGGGGGAACCACCCGCGGAGGTGACGTTGTGCCACGTGATGCGGGTTGCGTATCATTAGGTAAGCTGCATGCATGCATAAGTATCGGACGGTACCCGTATGGTAACATCTTCGGAGCTTTGCGACAGAGCATCATCGGTGTTCGTCCAACATGCTCCAGAAGAGCCTTCGCACTCCCTGACTAGCTCGACGCCCCTTTCCGCTCTCGATCGAGGGTAGAGGTGACCCGTGATCCCCCCCGGAGCATCCAATCGCTATGGCGGCGGAATTGGATCTTTCGACCGGGTTTATCCCATCTCTATACAAGCCCGCCGCATTGCTCCCCATCGCGAGACACAAGCAGAGCTTGCTGTATCTGGTCGAGACCTACCCTGTCACAATCGTTGTCGGGCACACGGGGAGCGGGAAAACCACACAGCTACCCCAATATCTCGACCAAGCAGGATGGTGCGCAGACGGGAAAGCCATCGCAGTGACCCAGGTGGGACTTCATCCATCTTTCTCCCCTTCCCCAGTCACCAAACACTAACGGACTGCAGCCGCGGAGAGTGGCTGCCACCACGGTGGCAGCCAGGGTTGCGGAGGAAATGCGTTGCAAGCTCGGCGAAGAGGTGGGCTACTCAATTCGTTTTGAGGACCTGACTTCCGCTTCCACCAGAATCAAATTCCTAACGGATGGCATGTTACTTAGAGAGGCCCTGGTTGATCCTCTACTATCGCGCTACTCCGTCATTATGGTGGATGAAGCGCATGAAAGGTCTCTCAGCACTGATGTCCTGCTGGGGATCCTAAAGAAGATCATGAAAAGACGGCCGGAGCTTCGGGTCGTGGTCAGCAGCGCGACCCTGCAAGCCGAGGATTTCCTGCGCTTCTTTGCGGGGGAAGACTTCGACAGTGATGCCGAATCTGGCGAAATCGGAGGCAAGACGGGGAGAATCATCAGCCTCGAAGGTCGCACGTATCCGGTGGACATGCTCTTTCTTGAGTCTCCCGCCGAGGACTACGTCGAACGGGCCGTGAAGACCGTATTCGACATCCACCTGCAAGAGGCCGAAGGCGATGTGCTGGTGTTCCTGACTGGCCGGGAGGAGATCGACTCCGTGGTGCAGCTGATCTCGGAACGCGCTGCAACACTGCATCCTAAGGCGCAGAGCGTGCTGCCGCTCCCACTCTACGCGGGTCTCACCACCGACCAGCAAATGTACGTGTTCGAGCCGGCGGCCGAAAATACACGCAAGGTCATCGTGTCGACCAACATTGCCGAAGCGTCCGTGACCATCAATGGGATTGTGTATGTGGTTGACTGTGGCTTCGCGAAACTACGGGCCTTTAACCCCAATACCGGCATAGAAACACTGACGGCCGTGCCGATCTCAAAGGCCGCTGCAGTTCAGCGCGCTGGTCGAGCAGGGCGAACAAAGCCCGGGAAGTGTTTCCGCCTCTATACACAGCAGGCATACGAGCAACTCCCGGCCGCTACTGTCCCGGAAATTCAGCGATCAAACCTTGCCCCGGTGATTATGCAGCTGAAAGCTCTGGGTATTGACAATATCGTCCGGTTCGACTTCTTGACTCCACCCCCTGCCGAGCTTGTGATCCGTGCATTTGAGCTGCTGTTCTCGCTGGGGGCCGTCGACGACTACGCCAAACTCACCAAGCCTCAGGGGATGCGGATGGCCGAGCTGGCCGTCGACCCGATGATGGCCAAGGTTCTTCTCTCCGCACCGGCGTTTAACTGCCTGAGTGAGATTCTCACCATCGCTGCCATGGTCAGTCTGCAGGGAATTGTATGGGTTCAGCATGAGGGCGATCGGAAGTCATCTGAGAGCCACCGCAGGAAATTCGCCGTCGAAGAAGGTGACCATCTGACGTACCTCAACGTCTATCAGGCCTTTGTCACCAGGGGAAAGAAGGACTCCAAGTGGTGTCGCGACAATCTTCTCAACTACCGATCTCTACAACGAGCCGTGAGTGTCAGAGGGCAGCTCAAGCGGTATCTGGAGCGGTTCGGAATCCAAGTCGATGAGACACTCTCCGCGCGATCCAGGCAAGAGGACACCAGTAAGCTGTCGGAGCAGATTCGTAGGTGCCTCACCACAGGCTATTTCGCCCATGCTGCGAAGATGCAGCCCGATGGGACATTCAAGACCGTCAGCGGAGGTCTGACCCTTCATGCCCATCCGAGCTCATTGATGTTTGTAAGTTGACACCCCTACCCCTCACCCCCTCTTGTGTATGGCATGCACACGAGCTCCGCTAACTGGCGCCTGCAGAATCGCAAAGCCGACTGGGTCATCTTCCATGAGATTCTACAGACGGGCGAAAAGACCTTCATCCGAGACGTTACGAAGATCGAGAAGACCTACCTTCTGGAATATGCTCCGAACTATTACAAGGTTCATTGATCGGAGCCTATCCTCATGATGACATTGAACGAGACCTTTCCCATAGACGTCCAGCGTTTAGTTAGCTATTAGAGTGATATCCCCTTACGTTCCGGTATGCCAGTTCTCATAGTCATGATCATCAGTATGGCTGGCTATCTGGCCGACGTAGCAATAGAACCAATTAACAAGAGGGGGTGAATAATGCCGGGGGATGCTGTAGTCGACCACAGTATCCCGTAGCAGTACTAGTAGTATATAGTATACATACTTAGTTGAAAGAATCGCCACCCGTGAAGTGAAAGCAACGGCCCGACAATCCCCCAACATCTCTGAACCCCAACACAGATCTATCTCCAAGACAAGATCGACGCGATTCTCCAGGCCACTGTGGGCAAATCTGCGCCTACACCCTGCCTCCAATCTACCGAGTCGTCCACACACCCACAACACCAAACCACCCAGGTTGCTTGCCCTCGACATGTCGGGCCATCATCATCATCATCACCACGACCATAGCGGTGGCTGCCACGGAGAAGACCACGACCATTCGAACGACCTCACCCCGGCGATCCAGTCGCTCCTCTACTCCCAAATCCAGTTCGACTCCATCACAACCCTGAACGGTGCGCAAGCAGACTCAAATCCCTCCTGCGCCGACGCGGGCTCACGCGCTTGCTGACCGGAGCTGCAGAGGCCAGTCCCAAATCCGGGGCTGCGATCGTGCAAAAGACTTGGGCCGAGAGATTGAACGATGAGCCCGAGCTGGAGAGCGATGCAGACGAGCAGCTGCTGATGTATATCCCGTATGTCTCTCTCTCTCCCTCCCTCTCTGTCTTTGTCTGTTGTGTTGCGTGTGTCCGTCCAACTTCGGGGTCAATTGCTGCTGTTGTTGTTCTACCCCGCCGAATGCCCCTCCTTCACCCAACCTCCCCGACGCGACGGAGAACCAAACAATCCGATGTTCTATGCTCTGCTCTGCCCTGCCCTGCGCACCATCCATCCCATCGCTAACACTGACTGTCACTGATTCCAGGTTCACCGGCCAAGTTAAAGTCCACTCCCTTCTCGTCTACACCGCCCCGACCTCCTCCGCCCCGAAAACCGTGAGACTGTTCAAGAACCGCGACGACTTGGATTTCTCCACAGCCTCCGATCTCAAGCCCACGCAAACCGTTGAGATCCCTCAGCCCGTGCCCGGCGCCGATGTCTTCGACCTGCCGTTGAGCCGCGCCCTCTGGAATGCCACCACGTCCATCACGCTGTTCTTCGAGGATAATTGGAGCGACGGGGAAGAGGACGTCACCAAGGTCGGCTACGTTGGCTTCAAGGGTCAGTTCCTGGCGCTGAATCGGGAACCCATCAGCTTTCTCTACGAGGCGGCGGCGAATCCGAATGACCATGTCGCTATCCCGGGTGTGAGTGGGGTGGGTAGCAGGATCCTGTGAAGTGCGTTTTGGCTTTTGCTTCCATGATGCGATGCAGGTGAGGGGCAGTAAGACCGGTCTATGTGTGCATTCGTTTGGTTACGGAGCCGGACTCTCATATTCAGACAATGTATACAAATCCGTGCTCGACCGTCTAGTCACACTAGGTAGTGAGATAGTTAAATAGCAGAGAAATCTAACAATGCGAGACAATGTCATCCCTGGAAACCACCAACGCCGACAATGCTAATAGCTGTAAGTAATAGAAGCGCCTGATCGGAGTATCAAAGGCGAAGGAGTGAGTCAATCTCAAGCAGGAATCGCGGTGCGCTCCTCGACTCGGGCCTTGGATCCTTCGGCGGGTTGCTCGTCTTCTTCGACCCCTTCGCCCTCCGGGAGCGTAGAGACGGGGACATTCGGCAGGACAACCGGGCCCTGGGTCGCCCGTTGTAACTCTTCCAATTCCTCTTCGACGTCGTCCTCGTCCTGGGTGGACAGACGTCCCGCAAGCATCTCGCTGATCTCCTGTAGAGCCACCAACCAGTCAGCCCACGACCATTGCCAAAGAACATCATCCGCCCCAACATCAACAGCCTTACCTCCTGGTAGGCTCTTGCCTCCTCCGTCTCGCCCATCAGCTTCTCCACCCCCTCCAGGCCGCCCATTTCCTTATGGATGGTCTGCAAGACCTGCGTCCCCTGCTGCAGGCCGAAGAGAACGTCCTTCTGCACGAGCGCAAACTCGATCTGTCCCGTGAGTTGTTCCAACTGTTCCAGCTGCTTGTCGGTCTTGTCCAGCAGCGACTCCTGGTACTTTTTGCGGCGGAGAGCGAGCAAGGCGCGTTTGCGATCATTCCGGGCCAGACATTCTTTCGCGATCGCAGTTTCTCGGTCGGTCAGAACCACCACCCGCTTCTGGTATTGGTGGAGTTTGTCCCGCTGGTTTTTGAGATCTAGGATGGCCCTGATATTGAATGTTAGGGTGCGTAGGGCGGATAGGGTGTGGGGTGGGGGGTCTGGGGGGAGATAGGACGATATCCCTGCTGAGTACTAGTGGGGACGGGACAATTTCGATTTGCAGGAGAGAAGAGACAGAAGAACTCACCGGTCCTGGGCGGAGATCTTATGGGAGCTGGTTGTGTTTCCCATTGTCAGCGCATGATGGAGAATGGTATGGAGAAGGAGAAGGAGATGGTGAAGGAGGAGATGGTGAATGCCGGGTTAGCGATAACAGATGACGTGCAGCCCGGCTGTGCCTAGGCTAACAGTACCTTCCTGATGGGGAAGTTGGACCTCTACATTACATTATAATGTATTGAGGTTTTTCCCGTATAACAAATACTAGATTTTATTCTTTTTCATATTTCGTAGTCTATCAAATTACGACAATCAAAATCAACCTGTCTCTCGAGATGTACAGTTTGCATACTCCGTTCCTGTTATCGTAATTACCGCCCGTCTCACGTGACGCGCAAAACTGCCGGTAATTTTCCGCTCTCCGCCGGCGAATCGAAAGTCCGGCGGTCCCAAAATTGTGGGAAGTTCTCCAGATTCGACCGTTATCAATCAGCCCCAGCATATCCCCTTCGAGGCAGAAATAGCCCCTGGACTGGATACGATGCGTCGCGGGGGCAGGACGACCTTGAGGCAGGGCCTGGACAAGGATGTGCGACCCCTCTCCTCGAATTGGCCCCGAAAGACATGCATGTGCATGCGCTGACCCTCCCCCCCCCCCCACTCTTCGCCTACAGGTCTACCAGGTCGTGCGCAAAATCATAGACGACAACGCTGAGAACGACCAGTTCCGTCTGTCCGTGCCCGGAATTTACGATGCGCTCAAGCGGTCGAACTCCAATCTGAACAGAAAGCCCAAGAGGATCCTGGAGGACAGCATCGAGCGCGTGGTGGAGGTGTTGAAGGGCGATCTGCTCGGTGACGATGAGAATGATTCCATCGAGGGCGACTTTGAGGGTCTGGAGGAACCGACAGCGGCACCGGTATGCAGCGCACATGTGCCTCGAACGAGTGGAGGCTTTCCAGCACTGACTGACTGGATCAGGAATCCAACAGCCTCAACAAGAGTCTAGTTGGCATGTGGAACACCACCCCGGCCACGAAACCCTCGAAACAGACCGAGTCGAATACCGCGGAGTCGACAGCCCCGTCTACCTCAACGAAAAAGCGCCATCACGGCGGTGAATCCAACTCGTCAAAGCGACGCAAAGCCGAGGCCGCTGTCGATCGGTCGCCGCCGACTCATGTTAGTCTCGCCGATCTGGGAGGTCTGGACGAGGTGGTCCAGGACCTTGGTGATCTCGTGATTCTGCCCATGACCCGTCCACAGGTCTATATGGCGTCGAACGTACAGCCCCCCCGGGGTGTCCTGCTTCATGGTCCGCCGGGTTGCGGTAAAACCATGATCGCGAACGCTTTCGCCGCCGAACTGGGCGTTCCTTTCATTTCGATATCTGCCCCGTCCATTGTCTCAGGAATGTCGGGTGAATCGGAAAAGGCCCTGCGCGAGTACTTTGAGGAGGCCAAGAGAATCGCACCCTGCCTCATCTTCATTGACGAGATCGACGCTATCACACCCAAGCGCGAAAGTGCGCAGAGGGAGATGGAAAAGCGAATCGTGGCCCAACTCCTGACGTGTATGGATGACCTGGCCCTCGAAAAGACCGACGGCAAGCCCGTCATCGTCCTCGCGGCGACCAACCGCCCCGACAGTCTGGATGCCGCCCTCCGTCGAGGCGGTCGATTCGACAAAGAAATCAACATGACCGTGCCATCCGAGCCCGTGCGAGAGCAGATCTTGCGGGCCCTTACCCGTAAGATGCGGATGGCCGACGATCTCGACTTCAAGACCCTGGCTAAGAGAACCCCCGGGTTCGTTGGAGCCGATCTGAACGACCTTGTCGCAACGGCAGGCGCTGCCGCCATCAAACGGTACCTGGAGTTGCTCAAGTCCCACAGCGGCGAGGAGATGGACATCGAGGAAGTCGACGACATCAGCCCCAAAGTCAAGGAGCTGCGCCGGCTCATCATCCACGCAAAGGAAACCCCCATGGGCGACGAAACCCAGACCGTCCTGGTCTCCAACGCCGACTTCTTCACGGCCCTCCCCAAGATCCAGCCATCCTCCAAGCGTGAAGGCTTTGCCACCATCCCCGACACCACCTGGGCCGACATCGGTGCGCTGGGCGGCATCCGCGACGAACTGTCGACCGCCATCGTCGAGCCGATCCGCAACCCTGAGATCTACGCCAACGTGGGCATCACCGCCCCGACTGGCGTCCTCCTCTGGGGTCCCCCGGGTTGCGGTAAGACCCTGCTGGCCAAGGCTGTGGCCAACGAGTCCCGCGCCAACTTCATCAGCGTCAAGGGCCCCGAACTCCTCAACAAGTTCGTCGGTGAATCCGAGCGCGCCGTCCGCCAAGTCTTCGTCCGCGCTCGCTCCTCCGTGCCCTGCGTTATCTTCTTCGATGAGCTGGACGCCCTCGTCCCCCGTCGTGACGACACCCTCTCCGAGGCCTCCGCCCGCGTCGTCAACACCCTCCTCACGGAACTCGACGGCCTCGGCAGCAGCCGTCAAGGTATTTACGTTATCGCCGCCACCAACCGCCCCGACATCATCGACCCGGCCATGCTTCGTCCCGGCCGTCTCGAGACCCTCCTCTTCGTCAACCTGCCCAGTCCGCTCGAGCGTGTCGAGATCCTGCAGACCCTGGTCCGCAACCTCCCCATCGAGTTCGATGAAGACCTGCGCCGTCTCGCCGAAGAGTGCGAGGGCTTCAGCGGTGCCGATCTGGGAAGCTTGCTCCGTCGTGCCGGTTACTCCGCCATCAAGAGACGCGATTCCATCAAGTTCCAGGACTTCCTGGCCGCCAAGTCCTTCATTCGCCCCAGTGTTACGGATCTGAAAAAGTACGAGAAGTTGAGGAGGGATTGGAGTGGCGGCGTGGTGTAAATACCTTACATATTAGAGATAGATATATCCTTGACTTTTCACACATCTTCATCTCTTGGCTTTATTTCTATGTATTGGGGTTCGGGGGACAAGGTGAATTCGACCGATCGAGTCTTTCTGGTTCGGTCCCTGTATCCATTCGTCTATATATATATGGACCGATCAGCTTTACCGGAGATCATGAATTAAAAGTCCTGATCGATGTAATGTCAGTCACGGGTAGTCATGCAGGTAGCCATGTGAGGTCAATAAGGCTTGCACTATTCTAGATGTGCCGAAAACACAATGTGGATTCGTATACGAACGAGCCCTGAAGTTCCTGTCTCAATAGCATACTGCAATATAGTAAACATTGAATAAGATGTTACGCGTCATGGAAGCGGAGGATACAAAATTTATGTACGCCTGTCGGATATGAAGGAGGAAGTGAAGTATGAACTTTTTGTATGGATATCAAAGACTCTAAATATGCACACCAAAAACGCCTATCGTGTGGATGGAACAGGGCAGAAAGATCACAAGGAAGGCGGATAATATACGCTGGCAATTCGACGTGTAATTACATCCAGAGACGGCATGTTCCATCCGCACCGGCACTGACACACCAGGCTTCACGCGGGTGCCAATCGATGTCCAACACACCGAGTTCGCCGGTGATCTTGTGGCCCTTGAGGACCTTGAGAGGGACGATGCTGGCGTTGCTGAGCATGTCTCCGGTGACGCTACCGTGGAAGATCTGGAGGGAGCCGTCGTCACTGGCATCCGCGAACAGAGGGTAGCGGCCGCTGGGGTGGAACCGGACCGCACGAATGGCCTTGCGGTGGTAGCGGAGGGTCTTGTACGGGCGCTGGGAAAGCTCGAGATCGTGCCACAGCAGACGACGGTCGTAAGATCCAACGATGATGTTGTCACCACCGGAAGCGGTGGAGGAAGTTGGGTGAATATCGAAGGAAGAGATCCAGCGGGCACCGGGCTGGATGATCTTGACGAGGAGTTGGCGCGAGAGATCGTAGGCACGGACGGTCCGTTGGTTGGCGACAAAAAGGATCGGCTTCGAGGGGTGGAAGTGGGCGGTCTGAGGAGGACCACCACCCTTGATACGCCGGCTGAAGGGGTACTGGGTCAAGTGCTTGGAAAGGGTGTGGATAGCAATAGCCAGGGAAGCCGGAGTCGAGGCACCTGAGCAGACGGTGACGAAGTAGTCACCGCGACGATGCCACGAGATAGACTTGGGCACATAGCGGAGGGGAATGACGGCGCAGACACCGGAGTCTGCGAGAGCCGGCGAGGGGCGAACCCACTGGGGAGGAGGCGTGGTCTTCTTGCCATCCTCGGAAATCTTCGGGGCAGGCTTCGATGCGGCGAAGCCCCAGCCAGCGTCGAGGAGTTCCAAGCTCGCCTGCTCGAGTTCGGGATCAAGGACCGGAGGCACAATGAGGAAAATGTCATCACCCGCGGCAGCGGCCAGAACGACGGCGTCCTTTCCAGGTCTCCAGCGAACCACGTTGACGGGCTCCTCGTCGCCCACCTTGACGCTCCATAACTGGCGACCAGTGAGCAACTCCCAGACACGAACCGTTCCGTCATCGCCACCGGTCGCAAGCCAAACGCCAGAGGGGTCGACGGCAAGAGAACGAACACGGCCCTTGTGGCCTCTGAACACCGTGGCACACACCGACGGGAAGGGCTTCAGCTCCTCAGGGCTGGGCAGCTTGGGCAGGAGACTCTCGGGGTCAATGTTCAGCTTGCTCCTGCGAACTCGAGGAGCCAGGTAGAGATCCAAGCAACGCTCAAACTTCTCCTTAACAAACTCGCCATATCCAGGGACCTTGCGGAGAGAGCCAAAGTCGGTGGGAAGATACTCGCGCTCCCGATCTTCGGGGTCGGCCTCCTCCCAAGTCTTCCGCTCCTTCTTGTCGGGGATATACTCGGGGGGAGGGTGGTAACTCTCTTCGTAGCCGGGCGGAGGAAGTTTGGGGGCAGGAACGTGCATGATATGATCAGGCCGCTCAACCTCGTCAGCCCACAGGTCGTAATTGACGAGATCGAGGCTCTCTTCCTTCTCCTCGGACGGAGGCTTGTAAGGCAAAATGCGGCCTTCTCTGATCGCCTTCACAATTTTCATGACCCGCTTGGCTTCGTGCTTGGAAGGAACAAATCGGCGCTTGGGTTCCGGGGCAGCACTCAGGGGCATGATCTCCTGCTTGTTACTGAACCATTCCATCAGAGGCTCATAGGGGTTGTACCCCTCCTCGGGAATCTCATTCATCTGCACCTTGCGCAACAGCTCCAGCTCATCCTGGCTCAGCTCCAGGGGCTTTCCGGTCGAGGGATCAGTGAGACCGGTGAAGCCCTTGGGGATCTCGATACTGTCAAGCAAGGCATCCAGTGCCTCGCCCTTGGCGGGACGCATGATCTTCTTTCCATTGATATCGTAGCCAATGTGGGGGTACTGGTCGTAGAAGGACAACGGGATGTTGCCGATGGTGTTGCCGCTCTCCTCGACGTCAGAGTAGTCGGAGTTGTCGTCCGGGTTGATCTCATCGTAGATATAACGGTCGTTTCCGTTGGCATCTGGCTCGATCCGGAAGTTCACCTCTTCCTCCTCGCTCGAGCTGTCGTCGTTGGTAGGCATCTCGAGGTCGGTGGCATTCTTGCCGGACTTCTTGACAGGCAACTCTCCATCGGAGGGGATCTCGTCGCTGTCCAGCGCCTCCTCATCCTCGTCCTCATCGTCATCACTGAAGTCGTCCACCAATTCGACTTCCGAATCCTCCTCGTCGCTCGACAGATCGTTTGCGTTGTCGGAAAGCGCGCCGTTGAGGTCGCCGTTCAATTCGTCGCCAGAGAACACACCGGCCTCCTCCTCGACATCTCTGGTGACGGCCTTGCGCTTCTTTGAAGCCTTGGAAGCATCCATGATGGCGAAGCAGCGCGCTGGATGGGCTTTGAGGTGCTGACGAGAAGCGCCTTCTGGGAGAACTCGAAGCTTTGCCGCGACTTTTTTTCCACTTTTTTTTCTGCGGCCAGCCCACCGCCCACGTGACTCACCGCCTCTCTTATCGCCGCGCTGCCCGCAAACTTATCGTCGCCATCCATCCTAAGGAAGGAAAGGTCCTTACTTGCTTCAGCCATCATGATGTCCCAGGCGATTACTCCGGGGTGTGCCCATGCGAACCCGGACTTCTCTACTCCCACGGCTCCCAGGGATGCAGCAACCACCGAGGCCCCGCCGGTAAAGAGGCACTCGGCGTGTGACGAATGCAGTATGCTTCGGACCACTACTAGTAGTATAGTTGACTATACATGGGTCGTTGACGCTAACTGAAGTCCTCTGGGATAGGAAGTCGCAAGCTGAAGTGCTCCGGCCAGCCAGCTGGCTGCTCTCGCTGCGTCAAACAAGGGCTCTCCTGCCACTACTCGGTCCAGAAACAAATGGGACGCCCCCCGAAGAAGCGGTTGCGAGAGGATGAGGACGACCTGCTGCCCCCCTTTACCCTTTCGGGCAATGAGCCATGGACAAGTGATTCCGACCTGGCCTCCCTCCCACCTCTGGTCTATGAGAGCAGCGAAAACACCCCATCGAGCTACGCATCCGAACCCAGTCCCCATCTCTTCTTTGCAGGTGGGAACGATAACCACTCGGGACAATTCTTTCTCAAGAAGCCCATCAGCACCATCCCGGCGACAACAAGCCCTTGGCCCGATTTCGCCAACGTGTCGACATCATCGGCCAATCTGTTTGCGCTGCCTCCAGATCTCTCCCAGATGCAGTCCAATCCTGCGACTTCCGATTCCGAACCCCCCGATGGCCAGTGTCCCTGCCTATCCTGCCTATACCTCTGCCTCAGCCACCTCTCGTCTCTAGCGCCATTTCCAGTCTCCAAGCATACCTTATGCTCGTTGTACATCGCAGCCAGAACGGCCCGAGCTGTCATACGCTGTCAGGCATGCCCGACGCGCTTCTCGACGGGTATGCAGAACGTCACCTTCACAGGAACACTGTTGACGGTCATCGCCGATACCTGGCTACGCGTTTTTCAAGCCAATGCCGCGGACCTTGGCAGGCAGGCGACACCGCCTGCATATGCAGCCACAGTAGAAAGATCCCCAGACCCCCCGGCAGGGTGGAGGGACTGGCTGCAGCAAACAGTGCGACGAGGTGTTATTGGTGGGTCCTATGACCCGGCTGGCAGCCCCGTGTGTGCGGAAACACCCAGCCTTCTGGCTCTCGTTGAGGAAATCGAATCCCGTCAACGTCGGTGGCACAGATTGAATCCACTGCCAGTCGGCGAACGCCTCCTTCCCGTGCCGGGGTCTAAGGAGCCGTTTGATGAGCGCGATGCTCTATGTTTGCGGATCATTGGAACCGCGCGTGATGTGATCGCGAGATTCAATTTCCAGCCGAGCGACTATCCGGAGGGCGTGACTCCTGTGTAGGCTTGGTGTCCATGGCGGGGTTGGGAGTCTTATGATGGCCTTGGCTTGAGCCCCGGATTTGTTGATGTCCAATAGCCTGGCTGCTACTTGAGCATGCTAGATGGTGATGCCTTTGATACCCGGGCATTACTAGACCGGTGGCTTGTGTTACGATGAACATACGAAGAACAACGACTATTCTCACACCCCTAGTCGGGTTGAGTGTCCATACCCTCATAATATTAGCAACTCTTTTAACGGTCGAGACAGGTCGACCTGCACAGTATGTACATATTTGCAAATTGCCGGTTTAATGTTTATTTTGTAATGTCCTGGAAGAAATCAAAGTGCAGCAGGGAACGCGGAGATGGACCATTCATGCGCCGATAACGACCCCCCGGGTTGATGGTACAATTAAATGTCATTAGCATAGGAAAGCAAGATTCATAAGAACCGTGAGGCAATGCGGAGGAGGGATGATAGATCTAGAAAAGCATTCACTCCTCGTCGTCGTCGTCCACGATGTAGCGGTTCTTCTTCCGAGTCGGCGGAGTGTTAGCCCCAGCATCGGGAGATGCTCGTTTCTGGCGGGGTCTCGCGGGCGGCTGGTCTTCTTCCTCGCCCTCGGCATCCATATCTTCATCTTCAAGCACATCCTCCTCATCGTCGTCATCGACGATTTCGGGTTCTTCGTCACTGCCGACAAGGAAACCGTCGTCCTCGTCGTACTCATCTTCCCGGGTCCGTCCGCGGCGGTCGTAGTCCTCCTCATCGTCGGTGTAGATCTCACCACGACGGTTAGGCTTGCGGGGCTTCTTCGCACGAGGCCGTGTCGTTAAGAGACCATCGTCATCTTCCAATCCACCCACAGTGAGGCCAGCGCCCCCGGTGCGATGTGAGAACCCGACGCGGCGTCCACGGTCAAGCTCCCGGTCTGCAAGTTGCTGGCGGCGACGCGCCGCCTTCAATTTCTCGCGCTCCGCCAGTTCGGCCTGGCGCTTAGCAAGTTCTGGATCTTCCTTCACCTCAATAACCGGCGCCGAACCATCCAGCGTCTTCTTGCCTCCGCGGGCGGCAGCCGCGAGGGACTCCTGCAGACGCTGCACAGCATCGTCCGTCTCCATGGTTGTCGGGTAAACGGTCAACCCATGAGTGAGATGAGAGGTCAGTCGGAACACCGAGGAGGCCTCTGCGGCTGCTCCGAGGTAGACGTGGGAGTCTAGTTTGGTGTCGTATTCGCCGGACTTGTTGAGCGGTGCAAGGGGCTTGGTCGAGATGCGATACTGTTCTTTTGGTGCGGAAGCTAGCTGCAAGGTCATGGAGCCGTCCTCCCAGCGGATGATCCGAGCATTCGACTGAAGGAGCGACTCGTCTTGCGGGTCATAGCGCCAGCACAGAGATGTGGCAGCTGTCGCAAATGGGGGCGCAACATAGGTCGCCGGGTTGAACTCTTCTGTTTCGACCGATAGGAAATGGGGGACCGGCATTGTGTACACCTGGTCGCGTTACGATGGGCTCCCAACACCCCCCCTTCGTGATCATGTCAAACATACCTCGCCGTTCGAATTGACTGGCTCCGGTGCCCGGCTCAGACTCATATCCATGATGTTCACAGTCTCCTCGTAATCCTCGCCCCTGTCGTAGTCCATCTGATCACCCGCCCGATCATGGCGATCCATGTCATCCCCGGAGTCAAGCTCCTCATCGTCGAGTCTCCGCTGGGGTCGACTAGCGACAGGTTAGTGGATCTTCTGCCACAGCGGGGGACAGGAATCGGACGTACTCATTGTCGTCGCCCAGACCTCCGTCGGACGCGTCCGAGCCGAACAAGTCCGCATCATCATAACCGTTCGCGTTGCCCGCATCTGAGCCGACGGGACTTGGGCTGCGTGCCGGATTGCTGTGTTCACTTCCAGACGGGCTCCCTGGCTGACCGGCACCAGTCCCGCGCCCGGGACGGCGAACGTCTTCGTCCGAAGAAGACATGGTGGTGGGGGGGCTGAAGAAGGTGGTAAAGCTGGCCGAGCTGGAGCAGGGACGGACAATCCAGATGGGGAGGAAGAATGGGTATGTATTTTCAAGAGAACAGACCAATCGGTCATCGGTCAATAATAATAATGTCAGGCCGAGCGAGCATAGCAAGCATGCGGACTTGGGGGAGAGAGAAACACGGAGAGGGGAGATGATCCGAACCGGGCCGGAAAGGGGAAGGCTCTGGGCGGGCAGGGCGGCGGGCCAGACCGAGCAAGTCTCACTTGAAACCGTCAGGCCCAGATCGGAGGGGGTTCGTTCATCTGCTGCTTCGTCTTGTTCCTTCTTCTTCTTCACCTTCACCTTCACCTTTCTCATTCTCCTCCCTCTTGTCCCCTCCCTCCCCGTCAACCCAACCAGCTCTCCTGTGCGCGTGCGCTTCATCATGGCGACCTTCTTCCAGAGTGTGTATGTGGTTCCCCTCCTCCCTCAACCATGCGTCGGCGTTGCGTGTCCGGCCACCGTATTATCGCGCGTATTGTCGGCCAGCACCACCCTCGCTCCTCCCTCCTCGGCGGAGTTCCAGGGCCGCAGCATGCCTACGAGCTCAAGGAATGAACGCCCCTGAATTTATGGCCAGGCCACGAACACCGTGCTGCCCGTGGTTACAGCGCTTCACCTCCTGACGCTCTCCTTTTTATTCCCCCCCCCCCTCCTCCCCATCCCCACATCTCTCTCCCTTTCCCTCTCCCTCTTGGGTCCAACTCATACTGACTTGCGATTCGATTGCCTTCCCAGTCGCCAAGGGTTTGGTAGAGGCAACAACAACAAGAATAACAACAGCGGCAACAACCCCAAGATGAACAGTGGAAGTCCCGCCCCGTCACCGGTGTCTCAGGGCCCTCCCACTGGCCATGTGCCCAACTCCCCGTCCTTGACGTCGAGTCTCTCTGTGGATACCACCTCCGCCTACGATCCCGACGCCCCCAAGTACTTCTTCCAGGAGAAATACGCCCCTTTGAACGTGAAGGGCAACTTCTTGACCTTGTGTGCCTGCCCGAAGAACGTGGAACTCGGAGAATGGCTGGCCCATCAGAGTAAGCTGGCCCGCTAATGCCTCTCCTGTGCGGAGCCACCGAGATGCTGATCACTGCCTCTCAATACAGTTGTCGAACAGTACCGCTTGCTTCATGGCATGCTCCAGGTCATTCAGGAAGTCAATAGTCTCACTGGGCTGCCGATCTGCAACGAGAGCACCTGCCCCACCATGTCTGCTGGTCGGTAAGTCAACCGGTCCTCTCCGCGGCCATGATCTCACAACCAATCCCGCTGACCTCTGCGCCATGCTATAGTCTGACCTACACCTGGCTCGTGGACGGTCGCGCCGCCAAGATCTCCGCGCCCAAGTTCATCAACCGTGTCGAGAAATGGATCGTCAGCAAGATTCACGACCCGGTCATGTTCCCGACAGAGAAGGTGGCTGGCATGCCGGAAACCTTTGCGATCAACGAGGCCGGAGGCCCCAGTGCGACCTCGGGAGAGGAGTGGATCGGCAAGTCGAGCGGCTTCCCGCAGACGTTCTACAAGGACTGCCAGGGGATCATGAAACAGATGTTCCGCTGCTACGCCCACTTGTACCACGCGCACTGGCTCAATCCTTTCTGGCACATCAACAAGCACGACATCCTCAACATGTGCTTCGTCCACTTCGTGACGGTGGCCAAGTACTACAAGCTCGTGTCCGACAAGGAGATGGAGCCCATGCAACCGCTCATCGACCTGTTCATCAAGCAGCAGCGGATCCCTCCAGAGGCCCTCTCGGGCGGTCACTGGGGCCAGCAAGCCTCTAGCTGAGCTAGAGCGCTCTCTCCTTTCACCAGCAATGAAGAAGTTGTCTGACCTGGCGTTGGAACTCACTACCTGATTCACGGTCAAACTCGAATCTATGACCGCCGCTCCCTTGGTGTCTTGCCATCCACCAGGAAGGCGCGGGTTACATGAACCAGAGTTAACATTGAGCATTTAGCATGCGGTGTGAATATCTTCTTTCAGTTACCCCTGCATATCCTTTCATGTGGTCGCTTGTCCTGCTGCAACCCCCACCTACTACGCCGCTGTATTAGCCTAGATTAACCGGGTGCATCGGGGCCGGACGGGACTTTTGTTTTCTGTTCTTTTCTTTTGAGATTCCTGGCACTAGCCTGATGTGGAGATGACACTGATCAGCCTAATTGAGACTATGAACCACAGACCATGGAAACCTGTCCCAGCCAGTAATGTAGCATGAGGCGCAGCCCCACCAGCATGCGCGGGGTGGATGATCATGCGGCCAATTTGGAGGGGATGGGGTGCGTCGGAGATTTGATGGGGTATTAGGCGATAGGCATTCCGAATCGATTGCGACGTCGTGTCCACGGCGTGTCGGTCAACAGCTCAAGGTACCCAAGTCCCAATGCCTCATCGGTCATCCGGGGTGGCAGTAGGTATGGTGGCGTAGGTAAAACGCAGGCCCTTGTATCCTCAGCCTCCATAGTAAGGAATGGCGACAACGATCCTCATCAAAGGTAGACACCTTCCTCATCTTGGTCCGCTTGAGAGTCGGCAGGAGTCTCGGAGGCTGCGGGGGCCGCAGCCCCATTGACGGCTGATGCCTGACCCTCCCTTTGATGCTGATCATGACCCTGGTCCTGGTCCTGACCCTGGCCTTCGCCCTCATCCTCCTCCAGTTCGATCCACTGTTGCCCGCGGGCTTCAACCTCGGCCTTGAGCAGGGCGATCCTTTCCGTCATGGAGACCAGAACCCCTTCATTCTCCACGATGTAGCCTTCGAGTTCCCGCTTGTCCGACTCGGTCTCGCATGACTCGTTCACGAAGGTCCTCAACTCCAGGTTGGAACGGTGCAGGTGGGCGATGGAGTTGCGGATCTCGGAGACCTTGGCGTAGAGAACGGGGAGGGTGAGCTCCTTGATGGCTTCGGCGAAGGCGGCGGGCGCGATGGGGAGAGATTCACCGGACATTGTTTGTTGGGTGATTAGTGAGGAATTGAAGGTGGATGGAGGACTGAGGAGGAGAAAGAGGAAGAGGAAGAAGAGGGGAAGAAAGAGAAAGAGGGCCAGCAGCTTATCGCCACGTGATGGGCTGGTCCTTTGGTACTTATTTATACAAAGTACTTAGATGTGGGTTGACTGATGGACAGGAGGTCCCAGTGGCAGCCGGACTTCTTCGGCTGTACATCTATCTCTATCCTGACTTCGGAAGGGAAGAGTCAGACTGTACTTAAGACCAGCGAGCCCTCTTTCTCTTCTTTACCGGAACAATTCTCGGCAGGTCGCGCAAAATCCGTGGCTCCTCCGCACAACATCATCCACATCAACAACCACAACCTCCCGAGTCCATCGCACCAGGGTCTCCACCCTCCGTCGCAGGAGATGAGCAATGCGTTCGGCGTAGCCTGGCGCATTCCATGCCCGGGGCTTCGAGCCTCGAGCCTGCTCCCCTCCGTCCTCCCTCCATCGCGTCCCCATAGCATCCTCGTCTCCCGGCGACTTCTGGGCTCCCTGTCAACCCCCGTGCTTCCTGCCTCTCGCCTCCCCCGACCCCAATTCCTCTTCCCTTTCTCGACAGCTTGCGTTCGCTTCTTCAACAGCTCCGCCCCCCTCCGCTCCCACCCTTCGCAGCCCGATCCCCATCCCCCTGAGGACCAGGAACAGGAACATGGCACCCACCCCCGTTCGCGGCCCTTCTCCGCCACAGAGCTCAAGGCCATCTTCGGACCCCGCACACCTATCTCCAAGCTCATGGGAAACCGGATCCTTGCCGTCATGCAAGGTCGTCGGCTCCAGGGCACGCTCGATCTAGATCTCCCCGCCGACATCACCAGCTCCGTGCAGCAACACAGTCTCGACGCCGCCCTGCAATACCTCCGCAAGCAGTACCCCATGGACGAGGATGCGGCGATCATGACTCGGATCGAGCGCGAGGAGGTAGACCCGGACCGGTACAAGCCCCAGAGCGGTTCCTATGGGGCTGAACTGGGCGAATCGAATGACCCCTCCGGCAAGAGTGTCCTGCAACAGATCCGGAAAAGGAATGAGACCCGGCTCTTGGCCGAGCAGGAAAAGAGGAACAAGGAATGGATGGAGGGTGCCCAGCGGGACCATGACAAGATGAAGCGCTTGGTAGCGACCAACACGGCCCTTCAGACATACGAAGGGACCTCGGCCGTGCAACGTGAGCCGGTCTCAAACTTTCCCCGAACTGGGAGATGTCTTTTGCTGACGCATATTGTGTTTGGCTTTGTACAGTACGGCCGCGTGCAGACCTCCGTGAACGCCCGGCTCTTGCCTGGGTCCAGAAACACTACCTCCGCGCCGAGGAGGACTTCGATGTGTCGAAGATAGCATCTAAGGTACGTCCTGGAACCCCCAACCTGTCGGGCTGATGTGTGGATGTTTTGGCTCAACTATGCGACGGACAGAGTCGCCGGATCCTCCCCTCGCTCGCGTTCACGCTTCTGACCCTGAGTCTTTGCTGCGCCTTCGCCGTCTACTATGAGCCCTGCGTCCCCGCCGACCGCATGTGGCCCGAGATGCCTCGGGCTGCTGCCGCGGTCCTGGGTCTCATCGGCATCAATGTCGGGGTCTGGATCCTATGGAAGTGGCCTCCGTTCTGGAGGTTCTTCAACCGCTACTTCATGCTGGTCGCCTCCAACCCCCGGGTCTTCAGCTTGGTCGGAAATACCTTCAGTCACCAACAACACAGGCATCTGGCTTGGAATGCGCTTTTCCTGTGGATTTTCGGCACCCGAAGTGAGTAGGCCAGACTACACCCCATTCAAGCTCTCCAGTCTGCCTGCAATAACAGGCTAACAGGCATCGCACCAGTTCATGATGACATTGGCCGAGGAGAGTTTCTCGGCCTCTACGTGGCATCCGGCACCGTGGGCTCATTCCTCTCTCTCACGTCCAGTGTCCTGACCGGGAACTGGACTACAACCACTCTGGGCGCCAGTGGAGCTGTTTACGGCTTGCTGGCGTGCTGGCTTACGCTTCACGCCAAGTACGCATCAATCCGCCCCCCTCTACCCCCATATCATCCGTTCTCGGAAAGCTAACCCGCCCCGTGTAGCGAGAAATTCACCATCAACCTCAACCCAAAAGACTGGGGCATTTTCCCCAATGACTGGGACTTTGTCCCCAAAGACTGGAATCTTCTCCCGAAAGACTGGGCGTTTATCCCTGATCCCTGGAAGGATGTCTTCGTCGCTCGTGGGTGGATCATTCTCGCCTGTCTTTTCACCGTCGAAGCAGCCAATATGGCCCTGAGGCGCAGCACAACGATCAACCACTGGGCTCATATGGGCGGATACCTCACCGGAACTGTCTGGGCCCTGGCCCGGAAGGACGAGAAGAGCCAAGACGGTGGCGGGAAAGGGAAAGGGAAATAGTGGAACTAGTCACCCAGGATCTATATCCTTTCCGATGAGATGATAGATGAATAGGGTGGATAGGGTTAGCTTTCACCTTTTGGTATAGCTGCCCTCCCTCCTCCGTGTACTTTTACTTTTTGCAGTAACATGCCTTTCCATGACATGGATAAATAGATATTGATCTCTCTTTCTCCTCATCCTCCTCTTCATCCTGTGTTGGCATGGTGTGGTGAATCTATTCACCCCGACCCATGATTCATTCCCTATTTGCTACCTGCTGCACCTTCATCTAGATCGTCTAGATCGCCAATTTCGCGTAATTTGCCCCATCCAGCGATCCAGAGAATATTCCGGGTCCTCCAAGAGGACAAACACAAACAATGTGGACCCGGGGAAAGATACCAGAACAAACACCTAGACAAACATGGAGGGATTTTCCGGCTGTTGAACCTGTTTGCCTCTTTTAGAGGAGAGAGAGGATATTCACTGCCGTAGTGGGTGAGAGTGATGAACAGCGCCCCCCCCCCCCCCCCCCCCCTCTCTGTCCTCTTTGCGGCACGCAGTCCCCGAAATCGCAGATCAGCCATGCCCAAAATAACACGATATACACAGGATCTGGTGTTCTGCGATTTGTGGGTGTGATGGTTCCGTTACGCGGATTGATAGAGATATGATATCTTTGTCTCTGCGGGATATTTGCATTCTGGGAAATGAACAATGGTTCTGGCAGGGTTGGATATGGGTGTTTGTTTATAGCTGGAAAGTGTAGATTCCTTGGTTTTTCATGCCTTATGTCACTCTTAGGACAGTGAATGTCCATTGACTTAGACTTATGTGTTGTATGTTTGCCTGTCTCCACTCTTTGCTCTTGAGGTCTGAGGTCTTTCTTGGGTTGTATTCTTCTTCCTCTTCTTCTTCTTCTCTCACTCCTTGCGAGTCTTGTCACGTCGAGGATCCCATGTTTTAAGCTCAATCAGTTTCGTCCTCTGTTGAATCTCCAGCTTCTGTTGCTCGTTCTGAATTCCTCGTGCGGCTTGCACGATCCAAGATCTCATTTCTCTCGTTCTCCTGACACCAGACATATCGTTGCTCCGCAGCCGGACAGACGCTGGCCCAGTGAATATGCCACTCCGTCCTCCCGTTCAGTCCGAGGGCGAGCCCAGCTCTGAACTGATGAGGAGCCAGAAAGATGTCAAGGTCGACCAAGCTGTGCTCGAGAATGACAGCCTGTCTGTCGGGGACTCCTCGCCGACTCTCTCCGATGAAGCCTTGAGTATGGCCCAGGGGGAGATCTTCAAAACCTCCAGTCATAGCTTCGGTGAATATCTGGAGACTGCGTCGGCGGCGTCAGACGACTCCAGTGACCACAACCAGGTCGTAGGCGCCGAACTTCCAATCTATATTGTCCGTCGGTCAGGCTGGAATATCATCGACTACCATTTGTATCTTGTCCACAATGAGAGGGGCAAGGATGAGTGCATCAGACGCAATAGCATGTTCTTGTATGACGGTTTGGACTGTCGTCCCTGTCTCTTCAGCGAGCTGTACCAACCCGGGATGCCTCGCCCTGAAGATATTATTCTGTTTAACATCTTGCCCATCATTGAACGACACAACCCTGTCAACTGCAAGGGCTATGTGTTGGGCTTCGATGTCGGCAAGCAGACTCTCTTCGCCCGCCAATTCCAGTGGATCCCGGACGTTGTTGAGGACGTCTGGTGCGTGTGGGACGAGGGTATCGACAAATACAGTCTGGACATCAAAGACCTGCTTACCATCCTTCGTCTCTGTATCGATGACCACAAACTGTCTCCGGGCGAAGGCATTCTTACCTACAACAAACTTGTGTGCGAGGAAGACAAAACCGATGATCCTGGCATGGAGCTTGTCATTGTCGTTTCGTTCTGCCAGTGGATTTTGGACGTCGCTGGGCCGCTTTTTGCCCCCAACTTGCCCGGATTCGCCTACGTCATCAAGGAGCTCGAGCGTTACATGAAAGCATGCCGCAGTATTTTGCAACGCGCCTCGAAGAGGGCTTGGGAGGCCATTGGAAATGGCTATACCAAACAGATGCGTAAGCGCAATGCATCCGTGAACCAGTACACTGATGACCTGTACACCTTCGTCAAGTCCGAAATTGAAGTTGATGCGGAACAGGGCCAGCCGTACGCACCCGGCCTGGACACTTGCCACAGACTTCGCCGGCGATACGAGGAGCAGCGAAAGGAGCATGCGGAGCAGCGCTTGCAGAGCTTGTTTGCGGCGCCCGACAAAGATAGCCTCCCGGAGTCTGCCCAGGACATGCTCCAGAAAGCGGTTGCAAGATCACGGATGGGACTGGCGTCCGGGGTGCTGCCGTCCCCTCATACGCCCCCGGCCAGTTCACCTCCCCAGCTTGACAGCGATCCTGCGGACGGCTGGGGTCCTCCGTCCCCAGAGATTGTCACCCCGTCGATTGAAAAATATGAGGATCGCGAAATCACGGAATACGATACGCTCCCGCTTCCAGCGCTCATGGGACAAGCCCTAAGCATATTGGCGGCACATCCCTCCCGCGACAATCCCCAGTCACGCGCTCGGTTCGGGGAATTCCTGGGGGAGATTGGAGTGTATCTTCGACGGAATCCGGCTGGCGATCTTCACATGGGGGGACTGACCACCAACCACCACGCGACCTGGGAGCTGTGCGTCTTGGAAGAGGGACAGGAAGCTCGGGGCATTCGTCGTCTGCTTCCTGGTCCAGTCTTTGATTGACCGTGAGGGCCTGGTTATGAAATTGTTATGGAAATGACGACACCTGGTGGAGTAACAGCAGAGTGCGTTGGAGGCGCCGCTGCTTGCTGCAACTTCTGGAGTGATTGCTTATGGGCATGGTGGCCGGTTGGTCTCGAGAATTGATAACGCTGGTCCACAATCGTCTGGATGGGTTGTAAGTGTAGGATAATACCCTGGCTGTTTTGTTGTTCTTCTGCTTTTTCTGCTTCATTTCCTTTCTTTGCTTTCGTCTCTATTGCTTTCCGTTTCTCGGTGTTCGTCGTCGTTTCGCTGTTCCCAATGTTCCCAATGTTCCCAATTGTAAGTAGTCCGTCTTCCAGAAGCCCGATGGTAGGGTTGACAGATTAGAGCAATGTGATTTCTCGCCAATCCTTGTACGGAGTAGAACGGAGGTACGGAGGTAGCAGTGTGTAAGTAGATGTGGTGATGTGTGGCTGGCTGGCTGGCTGAGGGTGGCTCAGCCACGCCCCCGGAATCCTGCGATTGGCCAAGACCCCGGGCTGGGCATCCTGGGGGCCCCTGTCCAATCAGGGGCCCGTTCGTCTCGCGAGCCAAGGGAAAGAGCGATCGGCGGGTGGTCGGGTACCGTACCTGCCCTTCTCAGTTCTCAGACTCTCAGGACGGAGTACTTCTGCCAAGATCGCTAATCGGTCAGTGATTTCAAATGACTTTCTAGTCCTGAAGTACTCGATGTAGTAAGTACGGACTAGTTAGGTACTGGAGTAGTACCACTACTTCTCCCCCCCCCCCTCTTTCTCTCCCTCCCTCCCTCTCTTTCTCTCCCTCTCTTCCCTTCAGCCCTCCCTGTCTGTACTCCTACACTACAGCCCTACTCCTACAGTACTTCTCCTAATAATCCACCCGCTCGTTCATTATCGCTGGGGCCTACCGTAAGCACCTCTTGTGTTGGCTCAAACTCAATCTGAACCACTCTTTTCCCATCCTGACTCTCTTTTCTTTTCAAGTTCCTTGATGTTCCTTGATACCCTTTCTTGCCTATTCCGGATCGGTACTTGATCTCCGTCGTCATCACCACCACCACCAATTATTATTATCTTTAGCACTCCTTCCCATCCTTTCGCTTCTCCGTAGCTGGCTTACCGTCTTCCCCCCCCAAATCCCCTCCCTCATCGCCAACATGACCCTCCCAGGTAATTAAATTCTCTGTCCAAGTCACATTCATCTTCATCCCCCTGGCACAATGTAACCAATATAACTGACTTCCCTAGATAATGCTCCTGCAGCGAGCAGCAACGGCCAGGCGTCTGATCCCAATGCCCCGGTCGACGTCATTTGCGGGCCTCTGATCAATTTCAAGAATATGGATGTCACCCCATCATCTTCTGTCTGGCGTGGAAGCATCTTAATCGTCACCAAGCCCAGCCAGAGTAAGCCGCAGTTGCGTCTGCGCCAGGCAGGCCCTGTCACAAACGACATGGCCACCAATGGAGCCTTGGCCAGTCCCTCGGCGGTCGCCATTGACGGAGTCCGTCTGTACGAGGACCCCCTGAAAGCGTTCTGGCGATTCTCCATCTCTGTGACCCTCGAGCCGTATGAGGCGCGTTGGGAGTATACGATCCCCGGATTCCGATATGCAGAGGGCGGCGAAATTCCCGGCTCGTGGGATTTTGCGGTCCCGTCCGGAAGCCAGTCGATGCGCCTCATGTTCCATTCCTGTAATGGCTTCTCAGTGGGCACGGACATGGATGCTTGGGTCGGGCCCAATCTGTGGAACGATGTCCTGCGGGTACATGCGCAAAAACCCTTCCATGCCATGATCGGGGGTGGGGACCAGCTCTACAACGACGGCATCCGAGTGGACGGGCCTCTGAAGGAATGGACGGCAATCAGCAATCCTCATAAAAGACGCGCACATGGGTTTGACAACAATCTGCGTGCCCGATGTGACGAATACTACTACGCAAACTACGTCAGGTGGTACTCAACCGAGCCATTCAAGGCGGCGAATGGCCGCATTCCCCAAATTAATGTCTGGGACGACCACGATATCATCGACGGATTTGGTTCTTACACTGACCACTTTATGCGCTGTTCTGTTTTCCGGGGTATTGGCGGCGTTGCCTTCAAGTATTACTGCCTGTTCCAGCATCATATCGCGCCGCCAAAGTCGACCTATACCACGGATGCCCCACAGACGATGCATGCCATCAATGGGACGGCCGGCGCGGACCCTCGGCAGCTGGAAAACACGTTTGTTTTAGAGGAAACTACGGAAGATGACAGCTGGATCATCGGGAAACGCCCCGGGCCCTATGTGGAGGAGAAGAGCCGGAACCTGTATATGCGCCTGGGCAAGCGGTTTGCCTTCATCGGCGTTGATGCTCGGACCGAGAGGACGCGTCACCAGGTAAACTATCCGGATACCTACGATCTCATCTTTTCTCGGCTGGAAAACGAGGTGGCGGCGGCAAACGGCGACATCAAACACCTGGTCGTGCTTCTCGGGGTGCCGATCGCCTATCCCCGCCTTGCATGGCTGGAGAATATCTTGAGCTCGCCCTTAATCGCCCCCATCCGCCTGCTGAACAAACGGTTTGGCTTCGCGGGGGGGTTGTTCAATCAGTTCGACGGTCAGGTGGATCTGTTGGACGACCTGGACGACCACTATACGGCTCGTCAACACAAAAAGGAGCGCAGGATTTTCATACAGCGTCTTCAGGGGTTCTCCAAGGCCCATTCGGTCCGTGTGACTATTCTAGGTGGAGATGTGCACCTGGCCGCCATCGGGCGGTTCTATTCAAACCCCAGCCTTCGCATCCACAGTGAACATGACCCACGATACATGGTCAATGTCGTCAGCAGTGCAATCACCAATAAGCCACCTCCGAAGGCAGTCGCAAACCTCCTCGCGCGGAGAAACAAGCTCCACCATATGGATCCATCCACCGATGAGACCTTGATGAGTTTCTTTGATCGCCAGCCCGGGGGGCAGGAGAAGAGTGCGTCCTGGAATAAGGTGACGATGCCGTCGCGAAACTATGCGTGTATCACCGAGATCGGCGGTGCTGTGCCCCAGGGGGAGAACGGGGAAGCTGCCATATTCCCTCTCCCTGCAGACGGGCACGCGCCGCTCCACCAAGGCGAGGCCGATGCTGGCTCGGCCCATCCCGCCGCCGATGGATTCAGCAGCAGCAGTGCGATGCCGGGAGGCTTGGACGTGACCGTCCGAGTGGAAATCAACCCCCAGGACCGGGACGGGGCGACCGACGGCTATGCCTTCAGCAGTAAGTTTCGTATCTGGATCTCTCAGTTCAAGACGGGGATTCGCTAACTTCTATTCCAGTTCCTGCTTTGGCCTATGTGCCTTCGGAAGCCGACTCCCGCCCCCAATCACGCACTCGGTCGTTGCGACCTCGGTCTCTTCGCCCTCGGTCCAGCCAGGATGCGCGTCCCCGGAGTGCTGTCAATTAGCTGGTAGGCTGCAAGCTGACCTTTCATGCGTTGTCACACGCTCAGTTTGGATCGCGAACCCTGCCTGGGTGAGGACGGACTCACCCTGGGTTTGAGCATGTAGTAGTGTAGGATATATCCATCTGCTGTTGTATAATTCGACTGACGCCCTGTCTTTTACCTCTGCTGCGTTTTTCCGCTGCGCTCGGTGCACCGCTGTAGGATGCTGGGGTTGGGATTGCATCTTCACGTACTTCCTACTACTACCCGCATGGGTAAGACATCGTCATGGGCGTTCTTGCCCCGGTCATGCATGTCTCACCTGCTGCAATTCCTCTCTAATGCAAGGGATGCGCTGACTGGAGCCTTCTTAGGTCTTGCATGTAGGTAGTACTCGGTCCCTACTGTGTACCTGCCCATCACTAACTCGACAAGGCCGTATATTGCCTGTCGTGTCACATCACCGGTGTCACATTCAGGCCTAGCCTGCAAGGGGAATCACCCAATCGAGACATCCACTCCCCCGGCAGGCACAACAGGGGTCTTATGTATTCCTGCAGGTGTATGCCATCCTGCTCTTCCCAGCTCTCTCATCCTCTCCATATCGTGCCGTTGTAAGGCAACACTGCTCACGTCGACTCTCACAATGGATGCGCCCATGGACGGCGGGCCGATGAGCCCTCGCGGCACCATGCAGAACACAGTCGCACGGGGACTCCTGCCGGACGATAAACACGAGGGGGGAGGACACGGTCTTCACGAGGAGGAGGGATTCGGCCTCGGCGACACTTTGGGATACAAGCCGGAGCTGCGTCGCAACCGCTCAGTGACCACTCTGCTTTTTCAGACGCTGGCCATTGCGGCGATCCCCTTCGGAGAGGGAGGCCCTCTGCTCAGTGCCATCTATGGCGGCGGCCCACTGTCCATTTTCGTTGGTTGGGTCGTCGTGTGCATTTTGTGTGAGTGTATTGCGCTCTCGCTGGCAGAGCTCGTGTCGCGATATCCCACCTCGGCCGGTCCCTACTACTGGTCTTACCAGATCGCAAGCAGCTCCAAGCCGGCCGTGTCCTTCGTCACCGGTTGGGTCTGGTTGATCGGCAACTGGACCATCACCCTGTCGGTCAACTTCGGCTTCGCGTCGATGGTCTCGGCCTCGATCTCGATGTTTCACCCGGGATGGACAATCTCCAGCTGGCAGCTTCTGCTCATCTTCTACGCCATCTGTCTGGGAACGCTCCTCATCTGCACATTCGGTAACCGATACCTACCGCAGGTAGACATGGTCTGCGCCACCTGGACGGCCCTGACCATCCTCGTTATCTTGATTGCGCTCTCCGTCAAGGCCGGTGCAGGCAGGCACAGCGCTGCCTACGCCTTGGGGCACTTCGATTCCAGCTTCTCGGGCTGGTCCGGCTTCACCTTCTTCATCGGACTTCTCCCCGCCGCGTACACCTTCTCTGCCATCGGCATGATCTCCTCCATGGCCGAAGAATGCACCAGGCCGGCCGTAAAGGTGCCCCGGGCGATCAGCCTCTGCGTGCCTGTAGGCGGCACCGCCGGGCTGTTCTTCATCCTCCCCATCTGCTTCACCCTGCCTCCGATGGAAGATATTCTCAGTGCGCCCGCCGGTCAGGCTCTCCCATACATCTTTCATGTCGTAATGGACAGTCCCGGTGGCGGTCTTGCCCTCACCATCCTCGTCCTGATGGTCACTCTCTTCGCCAGCATCAGCATCACTGTCGCCGCCTCCCGAGCGACCTGGGCTTTCGCTCGCGACGACGCCATCCCTCTCTCGCGGCTTTGGTCGCGCGTGAACCCGCATCTTGGCGTTCCTGTCTGGTCGCTCGTCTTTGGGACCGTCGTGCAAATGCTTCTAGGGCTCATCAACCTCGGCAGCACCAGTGCCTTCACGGCCTTTGTCTCCGTCGGCGTCATTGCTCTGGCTGCCGCATACGCTATCCCCATCGCACTGAGCCTCCTGAATGGTCGGCGTGAAGTTTCCCGTGCGCAATGGACCTGCGGGCCGATCCTCGGTTCGATCGTCAACGTCATCTCTCTATCTTGGATCTCCTTCGAGCTCGTCCTCTTCAGCATGCCCACCTCGCTGCCGGTCAGTCGAGCCTCTATGAATTATGCCTCCGTGGTCTTTGTAGGACTCATGGCTTTCTCGGCATTTTGGTATGCCGTGTATGCGCGGAAAGGTACGTCACTTTTGACCCTTTTCTAAAGCCTCCCCCCGTCCATTTCGTCCCACCTTTCGTACATGAGTGGTGCTGATTATACTCTAGCTTTCAAGGGCCCACCACAAATCGAATTTGGCTAGATTCCTCGTTCTAGGTCGTAATGAGACCATGAGCGATACAAGGTAAATGCACCTACCCTGGATGGTTTCGGCCTTATGCATCAGGTTTATACATAGACATAAACGCCACCGAGAAGCTATTCCAATGAATCTTCCAACTCATCTCGTATTCATCCCTCCGGAATACTACGTATCCTCCTGTCACATAATATGCAGGAAAGCGACATTTCGGATAACATAATGACGACGTAACTTGTACATGGGGCACGTGCCTGCGACGGCTAACCGATAGTAAATAGTAAATACTGATACGGATACAAAGGTTCTCGCTTTCACATTGAAAATGGGCCGCCTCACTAGATGGATGGTTTGAACGCGTGGTTCCAGAATTCTACATATTCCTAACGTAGCGCTTGATGCAATGGCAAACCCTACATTCTCAATAGATTAAAGCGAGAGATACAAGACAAATCGTTGGAAAGCGGATCGATGAGCGATCAATAATTGGAGTCATCTTGACAATCCAAAATCCCCGAGAAACTGATCGCATCTTTTCCGTGGTCGATACTATACCCTCTGCGCCGACGAGGAAGGGCCTCGTTGGGCATGCGACGGGTCACCAGAGAGGGATTCTCCGAGGGCCGTCGGCGGCGGACGACCTGATAGCCCTTGTCGAGCTCTATCTCAATGGCACAGCGCACCTTCAGTGCGCCTACGGCTGGCCAAACCCCCCGTTCCCCTTTCAGAGACCAGTGCGCAAGGCTTTCTTTGTTCGGGTTCTGGAAGAGTTTGGGCAAGTCCGTGAATGAGAGGTCCGGCACGAGGGTGAGGTTGGGTCCGGGGATTGTCTCCTCGATGAGGAGTCGAGCGACCGTGGTCGGAAGGAGATTCGTATAATCAAGCTGTCTGAGTCGGTGGCGAATTTCGGCCACGACGAGACGCATCAAGGATCGAGTGATGTTCAACTGGCCGGTTGGGCGTCGGTCGAGCAGATTCAGTTCGGATCGTAAGAACGGGACGAGGTATGGCCGGGCCTGAGACACGATAAAATGGTTGACGTTGAATAGCTCCGCTATTCGCGACAGCGGGGACTCGCCATCGTTATAGTGGACGTGGCGCCACGATTGAAAAGTCGCGTCCCGGGAATGTGGCCAAGGCACAATCGAGCCGGTCTCATCCTTGCAATATATCGTGACTGGCTGGTAGAGCGAGGAGTTGGTTGCATTGGAGGCTACAGCGGCCGACCAAATCAACTGGGGGGTTTGTCAGCTTCTGCTAACACTGCGAAACAGCGTAAAATACAGAATGGATGCAGGATCACGTACCACATTCGGTGCAGTCAGGTAGTTCAAAAGGTTCGGAGTCGCGTTCTGATTCGATGTAGCGACCGTGATATTTAGAATGCGCTTGGATCGAGCATATGCTTCCTCGAATGTCAGATCGCCGAGATTGGCCCGCACACATTCTTCTAGGACCTCCGCATCGAAGAAATAGCCTTTCTGGATATATCGCTTAACCCGTCGTGTTAACGTCCCCAACCAGCCGTCCCCCAGGTCAAACGATAGCCATCCTACATCTTCGCCAAGCGCCTTCGCTCTCCGCCGGCGATCAAAGGCACTTAGATCAATTCCATCGCTATCGAGAAATTTTAGCAGTTCATCTTCGGTATGGATACCTACGAGTGCTGCGATGAGCGCCCCGGTCGCTGTCCCAGTGATGATCCTGGGTAGGATGCCTCGCAGATGAAGGGCCCTCACCACTCCGAGATGGCAGAGTCCAAAGATAGACCCGCCTTGCAAAAGTAAAGTGGTCCGCCCAAAGGCCTGCCGGGTGTCATGCAGAAGCTCGAGCTTGGCTTGCGAGGTGAATCCACTGTCGTGAGCCGGGGAGGTTTGCAGGGCCGTGACCTGCTGAATGGAGAGCGCGACCTGAGTGATATAGTCATCTATGAGAAGTTTTGTGCCGGCATAGGCATGTAGGAACATCTTGGGAGATGTGATGTTGCCCAGATTGCGAACCAGCCCGGACCGAAGAAGGTTAACCAAGGTCAAAATGTCCTCCTCTTCCCGGGCACTCATGAGAGCCTCCAATCGCCCCAGAATCAGCCGATAGTCGTAGTGTCGACTAGTTGGGTTCTGGCGCCTGTCCATCATTGTCAGAGACTGAATCTGAGCATGTGATGTTTGATACCGATGCCTCGAAGCGCACTATGGGATCGCCATCATACATATGTGATAAACTCACCAGAGGTCCATGCTAAGGATCTCATCGAGTTCGAAAGCGGCGTCCTCCCATTCCTCGTAGGTGGGAGCAGTAGCCAGGGCATGCTGATATCGCTGCCGGGGAGATTCTGATCTCCACCAAGACAGAAGTCTCTGGACGGAGGGAAACATTAGCTGTGCGGTTCTGTTAGGCGCTCTACGGCGTGGGTGAGTGTGGGGAGCAACGTACCTCCTTCCAGAACTGCGCGACATCTAGCATCATGTTCAGAACCGCGGGGATTAGGCCACAGAATGATATCCAAGACTCCATTGTGACAGCGGCGGAAGAAGCGGGCTTTCTTGCAGGGGTTCAGGGAGGGCGTCGGCACATGGCGAGGGGGGGCAGGTCATTCACATGCTCGGGGGCGTCAGCTGGAGGTATAACCCGTCTCGGAGATGGGATGGGCGGTCGTAAGACAGAAAGAGATGGTGTGATGGTGGCAGATTGGAAGGGAAGCTGACGCATACATGAATCGAGGGTGTTGAGAGAGAGGGAGGGGGAGATGTTCATGTCGGAGAGGAGAAATGGGAAGTAACTATAGATGATGACATGATCGCGACGGAGCTTCCCCGCAAAACTACAACCATCGAGTACACTTCCGCATTACCTGCTTTACACCACTTTTGTACCCTCACACTACACTCCCATCCCCAATGTTCAATGGTAGTAAGTATTCACGGTGGTCTACATTGTTTGACGAAATAAGAAAAAAATCGGATTGCTCAAGAAGGCAAAACATTTTTTGTAAGTCTACACAGCCGCGCTCCCCGCGAAGAAAGAGCCTTCCATTCCCGTGGACACGTAAAAGGACATTTGAATTCCATGATTTTGGTTTTGAATTTCGCGTTGCTCCCTATGCAAGTAGGCGAAAAATATATTCTCCAGACATCCTTCACTACCCACCAAGGCGGACAGACACCGTTTACTCCTCGACAATGTTACCCCGCTCCGACACGTACAGACCGTCAAGGAACTATTCCGGATGACTCGGGTCAGTAACAACGCTCCCCCACCAAGACGGCATTGGGCTGGTATGCTTACCTTACGGATATCCTTGTTGCGGACTCTGCAGATCTGCTGGATGTCGGCGGCGCTCTGGGAAACACCCTCCAGGGAGTTACCGAAGAGCTGGAGCTCGTCCTTGACGTTGGGAGAGGTGATGACCTCAACACCGGGCTGGGCGGTCACACGGCGGACGTACTTCTCACCCAGGAAGTTTCTGTTCAAACGCAAGACCCATCAGTAACTGTCTTTTCCCATGGGGCGGATTGTCCCGACACCGTAAACCAAGAAGCACGAGACTAGACAGGGAAAACACCCGCGCTCGCGCTTCCCTTCACGGAGCGGTCCCCAATTCCCGCGATATGATTTCGGCATACCTGATCTCGACCTCGAAAGAGCCGGTCTCGGCGTTCTTCTCAATGTTGACATTGATGGGGAAATGGGCGTAGACGTAGCGCATCTTGTACTTGAAGCCCTTGGTGACACCGATGATCAGGTTGTTGATGAGGGTGCGGACGGTACGGAGGGAGGCAATTCCCTTGCGGACACCGTGGTGCATCTGAATGGAGATGACATCCTTCTCGGGGCGGCCGAAGGTAACGGCGATGTGAGAGAGGTCCTTGACGAGCTTGCCTGAAAAAGGAGGGAAGAAAGACCATGTCAGTGTGTCGCTCGAGATTTAGCAACCCGGCCTATTGCTTAGATGCAGAGACCATGATGCCAGGGGTGACGAATTTGTCGAATTCGTTGTGGGAAGTTTTTGCATACCACGGGGTCCCTCAACGGTCACAACGCGAGAGCGAATGTGAACCTTCACTGTATGATGAAAAACCAATCAGTCCAAGTCCTCGTCCTATCATGTATGTCGAATCGCTTAAAAATCACTGGGACAGGCATTGTGTAGCATCTCTCTTCCCAGCGAACGCCTGTCGAAGGTTGCGCGTCGCTATCCCAACTCTGCCCAGGCCCCCGATCCACGATGCATGCCTGTCCCTCCATCCAGATCCTCTCCGCCTCCCACCGGCGAACGCAGCGACAATGCTTGGGGGAGAATCGAAATGCTCACCATTCTCGGGGATGGGCAGCCGTTCCTCGGAGTAAATGTACCGCATCTTGACTGCGTGGGCTGTGGTGTGTCCGAGGGGGGATTGTCGATATCGTCGAGCGGTCGGTCGTCGAAGAGATCGAAATTCGACAAGGCAGACCGCAGTCGAGGAGTGGTGGAGCGAAAATCACGGGTTGTGCGTCGCTTACGGTCCAATCCGGCTTAGCCCACATCCGCCTAGGGTTGGCCATTTCAGGTATAGTCTCGGAACGGCCTCCGGATTTCTAGATCCCGGAGTATCACTTTCTCCTTTTTCCGAGTCAAGGTAGAGATGATGACTAAGTACTATCTCCGACGAAATAATTTCAAGCATGTCGAAAGTAGCACTATCTACTCCGCAGATGAAGACCCCCCCCCCAAAAAAAAAAAGGTCTCTCTCGGCGTACAACTTTAAAATTCATTAATTATTACCAAGTTCACTAAATGCTTGGGAATGGTTGATATATCTATACTCCTACTGAGAATGCGAAACGCACAAACCCCCATGGAACCAATCCTTTGCCAACAAGGCCCTGTTCTGGCAGCTTAGAAACACATACATCCAAGTCTAGTACTAGTAGATAGTCGCTTCATTCTTTGCGGCGGGCTTCTTGGACCCACTTCCCACCCAAACTTTTCAATGTTGATGCCAATTCGTCCTTTTGGTCGAGTGCCGCCACATCGTCCCCTCCTCCAATGCTTTTCCCATTGACCAACACGTTTGGGACAGTGCGGCGGCCGGTATTCTCCCCCAGTAAAGTCTGCAGCGGTTGGCCCAGCTCATGCTGGTCCAATTCCACCACAAATGGCGCGGGGACGATCGAGTACTTCTCCAGCAGGATGGACTTCGCTCTGGCGCTGTGGGGGCAGTAGGATTTCGAAAAGATAATAACTGGGAGCCGAGGTACAGAGTCAGCAAGCGTCCTCAGGGAGAGGCGAACATCCCAAGTGGCCCATCACGTAAGAAACATACTGGGGGCCCGTTTCAATATCCCATTCAGCTCAGCCACCGCGTTCGCATGATTATCGGCCTCGGGCTGCTCCGGCGCCTGGACCTGGACAGGTTTCTCTTTCTCTGGATCGTTTCGGTTTTTAGGGACGGTTATCTTCGTCCGGCCTGCGATCGGGATCTCTTCCACGTCGTCCGCGACATTGGCTTTGGGAATAGCCGGTGCTTCCCTGTCGTTGTCCGACACGGCCTTCACCTCTTCCTTGGCACCATTCCAACTAGGCCGCTCTTTTTGAATCGGAATGTTCGCTGCAGATTCCGCCTCTTTGGCTTGTTTTCGAGCCTCCATCGCGGCCACAGTCGAGCGATAGAATCGTTGGTTCTGGACACTCCGCGCTTCGCTCTGGAGGAAAGTCGGCCGTCATCAGTCACTGGATCGAATTAGATCGAGGGAAGGGCGAGTTACCGAATAGTAGAAGGCCATGACGACCATCATTACTACGGCAATGGCCAAAAGCCTCATGCGCCGTTGCGAAAACATCTTAAAACAGGAGACACGTTGCCCGATACGATTGATTGAGCTGATGCGAACGCGTTTCGACTGGTTCTTCGTCTCTAGACAGTCCTAAGTATTTTAGTTCCGCAGAGACCGGATCTCAATTTAGCAAGCTGCTCCGCGCATTCGCCGGGGTGGTTCAAGAGTAGGCCGGTTGAGCCGGCAGGTCAGTCATAGGTGCAGTGCCAAAACCAAGAATGGCTGGACATTGACCGAGCAGGCAAATACTGATCCCTGCACTAGGCGAATAACAAAAAAAGGGGGCGCACAGGATAATAGAATATCCTGCAGACCAAACAGATGACGGTGCTGCTCCTGAATGATCCCATGGGGAGGGAGAGTGGGGGGGGGTTGGTGGAAGGGGACTCGGAGGAACGGCCGAGTCCGACAGGCAAGCAAGCTCGGGCGGTAGTAAAGTATCTAGTAGTACTACGGAGTACTTATGCTTAGTCGTCCACCTGACAACATCCCCCCCCTCGCCATCATTGACACATAATGTGCTTATCGTCCGTTGGTATCAGTAAACAACGGGCTAACTAAAGGATCGTAAATGTGGATTATTAATTAAATTACCGGCTATCTATGCTATGGTTGGGGTATGTGGCTATAAACGGATGGTATCATGATCAAAGGGGGCACGGCAAAGAAAAAAAAAAAAAGAAAAGAAAAAGAGCTGGGCATCAAGTCTTGGTCGCGACGTGCATAGAGGCATATGAATGAAACTCGCTCATGGATGTAGGACAGAGGACGGAAGTGAAGCCTTTCATAGATGGGAGCCGCAGCACAAAACCACCGAACCTGCAGCGGTATGTTTCAGCAATTCGAGCAACGTGGGTGGCAGATCCCACAGGGATCCATCATCGCGTTCTCTACCCTCCATGCATCCCCCTCCCTCCTGCCGCCTTTTTTCGGCTTCTTTGCCTGCCAAACGGTCCCGGTCTGGCGACAACGAGCTATCACCGCCCCTCCAATGTTCAAGAGGCCTGGACAGCAATTCCTGAGCGTGTCCCTGTAGTGCCTCGGCGCTTTCCCTGGACCACAATCATCCAATCTTCCCATTCTTTGGCAATTTCCATCAGGACATTGCCCATCACAGCTGCGGATGCCATGAGCCCATGGCCCTCACCTTCGAGAACTCGGACCTCACAACGCCGCATGGTTTGGCCCAACCATCGGACATTGTCAACAGGAACACGCGTATCGCGACTTCCATGGTGTATCACAACATTCCGAGTGATGTCTACATAACGAAACCCAATCGGCTGGCGACGTTCCAAGCAGACCAGCAAATCTACCGCCGGGTTTGCGTTGGTAGTGGCTAGATCCCAGATTCTATGGGTCAGTCGATTGTCGTAATCCATCTGGCGCTCATGTTCCTGGGACGAGGCAACCAGAGTCTGACCCTTCGTGGAATCGGCCTTCTGATAGCCCTCCCCCACAGAAACATGCGGTGTCTTCAATCCCTCTAGCGCTTTCAGATCTGCCTCCTGTTGGTATAACTTGGCTGGAAGCCGCTGCATGCCCTTGGTCTCTAGACCAGTTGGGCTTGAGCCATCCTTCGGTGTCGTCTTTCGTTTGGCCCGTCGAGGGGACTTAGGCAAGCTAGAGGTAAGGCTTGCACTGGTCGCGCTCATAAAGCTCGAGTTGGCCACCTTGAGAATGGACGTTGGCAATGCCCGAAGTATCCGTTGAGAGTAAGGGACAGCATTGGTCGGGACGGGGGTCTTTTGCGAGCCAATGCTGGACAACTGAGACGGAGGAATCCACGGGGCCAGTAAATGGATGCGGCCGCGGATATGTTGCGGGATCCGTAGTGCAGTGGCCAATGCGTAGATGGCGCCGGCAGAGTGGGCCATGATCGAGAACTTAGTGACTTTGATGTGATTGCATACAATGGCAACATCATCTAGGTTACGTTAGTGGGGCTATTCATCGCGAATCGGGTAAAAAACATATGCAGCAGGTAATAATACTCACCAGGCCAACTCAGAGGGGTTCCCGACTCGTCCACATACGGAGCGCTTTCACCTACACCGGGACGGTCCAGAGTGATCAACCGAAGGTGCAGGGATCGTGCCAGTTCATCGTAGAATGCCATCAAGTACCTGGTTAGGCCCATGCCAAGGCAACAAAGAACTACATGGCCTTTGGGGTCCCCAACCTCCGAAAACGCAATAACGCGACCCGAGGTGGGATGGAAGACCTTCTGGGTAAGTGTGGAAGAAGATATATAGTCGTGAACCGCTAGATCGATGGAATCAGCACTAGACGGGCGATCTTCCCCGGTTGAAATATTGACGGGGGAGCCCGCCTCGGAAAGAGAACGTCTGTGAGGCTTTTGTGAAGTTGACTGTTCCAGAGATCGGCTGTAACAGGTGAGTTGGTCTGACATGTCCAAAGATGGTGGCAATGCATTGGTGGGCTTTGAGGCGATCGGGGGTCCGTTACGAAGTGGGGAGCGACTCTTGCCCGTCATGATTGCCGGGGCTGGTGCGCTCTCGTCGAGGGCGGACTTTTTCTGGTGCGTCATCTGTCGATGTACAGCAGCTTCCCCACTTTCACCAGGACGGGGCGACTCTCGAACAGGCTCCACGATCCATTCTCTAGTGGGCTTGTCGGGGGTATTGTCTATCTCTAATTCGTTCTTGATCTTTTGCTGCTGGTCTTTCAATTCCTGGATTCTCTTCGTAACTTGTTCGGCCTCACTCCCCATTTCTAACACGGCGCTGTCCACTTTCATCTCTCTGCTACTTGTCGAGGGATGCCGGCTATGGCGAGTGGGTCTGTGGTGCTTGTGGCTGGAAGAGAAGCTATGCCGTAACGAAGACTCTCGAGCAGGGATAACCCGCCCACTGCCGATTCCACCAGGCGTACTGGGTGCGCTATCGCGGGCACTTTGCAACGAGAGGCGCTCCTTACTGGAAGGCCTGCTGAATGCGGATTCTCTGGTGGGTTCCGTGGCCGAACGGATTGGGCGTCCTTCCTCGGCGACGTCAGCCATAGAGTACAGGGAGCGTAAGCTGGCTCGACTGCGCGGTATATTGTGCCTCAGCCCGTCGTTGAAGCTACTCGTCTTGCGCAGGCGGTCGGTCTGCCGGTCCCTATCGCCGCCAAATTCCCGTGATGACTTTTTGAGGAGACAGAATTGGTTCCTAATGCTTTTCCTGGAGCCCGACGAAGCCACACTATTTGCCGTGGAAACTCGAGGCCCTGGTTCCGCCGTAATCATACCAAAGGCGGAGTCTTCATAGGCCGCCTTCGATGATGTGAACGAACCCCTGGAGGTAGGTCTTCCGAGCGATAAGGCAGGATCGAGAGTTGGTTTAGATTTGGGAGACGGGGGCGCCCGGGCCATGCGAATGACAGGGGCAACGGCTGCATCGTCTGGATGCAGAAATGGACCCTGCAGTGCCTCCTCAGACACCTGCCGCGCCCCGAAGCTTACTCCAAAGCCATGCACGCTGGAGTGGCGCTGGTCGGGACTGGAATGTTGGCCGGGCGGTAAGCACACTGGCGACAACGTGTCGGTCTCCGAATCAATGCGCGGGACTTTGTCGAAATGGGTCTGGAGGGGCACGGAGATGGTCGAAAGGGACGATATCAGAGAGGAGATGACTTCGGGAGAGGCCGGATCGACCGTTGTTGAAGGGTCGGTGGTATGCGAGCGTGAAGGGATGGACTTGCGCCGTCGGGAGAGCAGAGAGGAGGGCTGAAAAGGGGCAGCATCAATGTTGGATGCCGAAGGACCCTCCACACGATCCATGGCGGCCACCGACAGGGTATATGACGGTCCAAAAAAGTTCGGCCCCCGTCAGAGTCAGGAGACAATCACCGACGATATATGCGGTCGAGTGTCGCACGCGCTTTCATGATCCAGTGAGAGCGCAGGATAGCGTCTGCAAGCTCGGTAGCTTAACGGGTAAGAATCAATAGACTGCGGGCGCTTGATGCAGGTGCCAGTCAGAATGCAAGTTGGAGTTGGGAGGATCCAAGGCGCGGCGGCGGACCTATCGAACGAAAACCCTTGCGGTCTGCAGGCAAACCAACCAACCAGCCAGCCCCCTTACTAAACGTTGTTGTTGTTGTCTGAAAGCGAACCTGAAACGGTAGGGGGAGGCAAAAGAATTGCCGATCTTGAATTGAAGGAGGGGAGAGAGAGAGGAAGGGGGGGGGGGCCGGGGAAGAGAGGGGTGTGCACTGAAGGCAGTTTATTTGTATAGAGCAGATTGAAAAGACGGAGGGAAATGCAAAGGGAGCGGATAAGATAATTATGGGTATGATGGCATTAGATCGGAATAGGAAAAGGGGAAGCCCAGGGAGGCAAAGGACGGAGGTACGATCGATAGTCAGTCCCAGAAAGTACGTAGTCCGGAAGTACTGACTGTCCTGGAGAAGAGGAGAAGAAGTAGATACAGTGAGAGAAAGGAGAGAGATGCTGCTCAACCTCATCTGATGTTCTCTTCCTGCACCTTCCTCCCTCCCCCTCTCTCCTTGCCATCGTCTTCCGGGCGCTCTTGTGTTGTCTTCTGGCGCTCAGCTGATCCTTGATGGATGCTTTGGGTTTTCCAGGAAGGAGAGATTATTTAATTTCAAGACCCGGTCGGCCATTGTCATTTGCCTGGCCGCGCCCCGCCCAAAGTTAGTCTCCCTGCAGGACCTCCACTCACTCGTCCATCAATAATCAATCCAAGGAATCATCAAGGAATGCCATGCACCCTTTTCACCCTCCACGCGGTTCGCAGATCCAAATTTCAAAAGGCTGAATGATGGTGCTGGTGGTGGTACGGAGTATCTATCACAGTAGATTAGGTACGTAAGTACTAGGTATCTACTGACTCTGTACTTAGTGTTGTCTTCAATTGTTGGTGCGGCAGGAGCCAACCTAACTTCGAGGGAATCTGAGAACCCTCCTCCTCCTCCTCCTCCTCCTCCTCCTATCAACTTTGATGGTAATCAGCATCATGTAACTCTTCCCTCTTTCCGGGCTAGTCGGCCTAATGTCCACGGGAGCAACGAGGTTGAGAAGCCTGGGAGGTTGGAAGGATTGGCAGCAGTAGTGGATGAACTTCTTATTTTTATTATTCTGGGCTCTCGACGCTTCCGTCGTCAAATTCCCCACCGGACCACAGGCTGGCTGGGATCGAAATTGAGGGTCAATGCCTCAAAATGGTTCTGGGTCCGCGGTTCTGGAACGGACTTTCCCGTCCCTCCAATGCCGACGTGGCTCATGCTTGCAGCTGGTCGATATGCAAGGACGTTTATCTAGATCTCGTGTGGGCACACTATCAGAGGGGCTGGAGATCCTTCGTACTCCGTACTACTAAGTAGCCTCAGACCTCCTGCATCTACCGAGACTGCAGGATGTTGCGTCATGAGAGGGATGGGGAAATGGGAAGGGGACCGACCGATCGACGCTGGGGTGGGCATTATTGTTGTTCAAAGCCTGGACAACACATTATGGCTGGCTGGTATGTCCAGTCCAACAAGTAAGTCACTCTGCAAGATTAACAAGCAGATCCACTAGCATGCTTCAATACAGTATATCTCTTAGGTGGTAGTAGCATGCTTGGTACTATCTATATACTAGTACTTGCCTCGCTGGCCTTGCCTGGACTTGACTCGGGGTTCCTTCCCTCTTGGCATGTTTTGAGTCTGGAGCCAGCCAAATGCCTGTGACAGACAGACAGATACGCTGCAAGGTATATATTTCGAAAGAATGGTTCAGGGGGACACGTTCAGCTTGGAGGATGCCCCGAGTGAACTTCACGACAATGACTCAAAGAGTAGCTTCCTGGCCTTTTTTTTTTTTTTTTTTTTTTTTTTTTTTTGTAGCGATACAGTTCAGTGTAGTATAAACATCATGGACTGATTGATTGAAACTAAGTTGACGGGCTGTATGTATACTAGTACTAAGTATATTTTGGTACCCGAAGTATATACAGTAGTAGTAGTACTAGGTAGACACACCCCAAACAAACCCTGGAGTGCTCCGTAAATTCAAATGCTTTCCGACCCTAGAATCATCATCATCATCATCATCATCATCATCATCATCATCAATCTGGCTATCTAAGCAGCTAGACAGACAGAGTGACAGGCACCCTCGCACGTTCTCCATCCCTCATGATGATGGCGCGGCGGGTGGATGCCCGATAGAGGTTGGCTTGGCATGTTTCGGCGATGTCAACCGAACGGACCATCGGCCGGTTGGTTCATCGCCAAACGTGAGTGAATCTTGATCCAGGTGGAAGCCCACAACTGCACGAGCCCAAAGAGGCCTTTCCGCGACGTGCGCTCGACTTGGTCACGGCGCCTTATCTTTGTTTCATACGCAAGCCTTTCAAACCCGGTAGCCACCTCCCGTGGCGGCCTTTGCAGACCAGACCCCTCGATCCCACCAGACATGCGGTGACCGACAGGCACCACGAAGCAGCCTGTGCCCGCAATGGACGCCTACCCGGAAGACTATGTCGCCCATAACCTTCCATTTATCCTGCTCTCCGGTCTCGAGTCAAGCTCGGATGACGACCAGCAACCCGTGCGAGCTGACTATCCGCTCCTCAAGGACAAGGGCGTGAAGATATACTCGGACTTCCAGCCGTTGAGCGGCTCAGTCGCGGAGGAATTGAGGCGCGTGCTTCTGGAGGAAGATGCATCCCGTGTCCCCTGGGAGCCGAGAGATGATGCATATGCAGATCCATCCAAGTTCGAGTATAGAATTAAGAGTATTGGACGGGTATGTTGGTGCCCATGCCTCCTCCCCTTCCCCGCTTCACCTGGATCCCGGAATTAAACAGATAGCCCCATCCGATTCTCTCTTCCTTCCCCCAATACCAATTTTATCGCTCGCTCGGATCGAGGTGAAGTTAGCTGAACTTTGGTCTAGTCATATAGTCTCCCCCCACGCAAGGCTGATCCCCCACCTGCCTCTCCTCCCACGAGCCCAACGACCGGACAAGACAATGGCACGTCGCGTGGGGCATCTGTCGTTCTGCACTCCCCCATATCCCCGTTGACCCCGAGCTCGCCGACTTTCCCAGATGGCCTACTGACTCCGTTATGGGTCACGAAGCACCAGAACATCGTCCCCGCGGCGGTGATAAACTGCTTCCCATTTTGCTTCGACCCCAACATGAGTTCACTGCGCGATAACCAACTGAAGATAGAGATCAATGGACTGAAAAAGCAATGGTCCTCATCTGGCTACAAAACTCGGTTCATAGTCGTCCTCTTGTCGGAAGAAAGCAATGGTAACTATGTTGCGGATGCCGAGGACAGGGTGGCAGGCATTCGGAGGGCAACCAATCTGGATCAGAAGTCCATGTTTCTCCTTCCATCAGACGCGACGTTAGTGGAGCTGAAGGAATTCGCGACCTCCCTGCTGTCTCTGCTCCAACCATCGGTGATGGAGTATTATCGGGATCTATCGAAGCATGCCAGGCGCAAACGCAACCGAGGCAATATCCCCCCACCGACAGCGCCACCGACAAGTGGGACGTCGCAGACTTTGTCGACTCAGGGGTGGAATGTTCGATACGAGTTCAAGCTGGGAATTTTCGCGGAGTTTCGTCGAGAGATAGACGCGTCTCTGAGAAATTACGAAAGCGCCTACGAGACCTTATTCGGGCAAGAGGTCTTCGAATATATCGCTGGCTGGAATCCCAGATTTAATGATGCACGTATGTTAGGCGATGTATTGGCTATACGCATCATCCGCTGCTTGCTGTGGACGGGACAAACAACACCAGCGGTGCGGTTTTGGGTAAGCCACCGAAACCGTTCGAAGGACATCGTTGATCGTCGGGGTAAAGGCACCAAAAATTATGGCTGGGAAGCCTGGGAAGCTAGATGGTCAATGGTAATGGGTCAACTCGTTCGTCAAGCTAATATCCCCCAATTCACTTCCGTGGGTATCCCTCAAGACCAGTTCGAAGAACAATACTCAATCTTTGTTCCACGAGACAAGTCTAGCTCCATTCAAGACATGTATCTTCCATGGGAACAACTCCACCACGAAGGGTACTGGATTTATCGAGCCGCGCAGCATACAGAGTACCGGCGAACGTGGGCGGAGCAGATCCCGGAGGATGATCGGATGCCACCAGGACAGTCTCCTGCCTCTCAGATAGCAAACAAAGCTTACCTGTATGATACCTATCTGGTCCCAGAGCCACACGTTGAGGCACCTCAACCAGGGGCGGATGGATTCAACCACTCATTGTTGAGATTGGATGCACTGAAAGCGGCACTGGAAGAGTTCTCTAAGCGAGACCAGCATCGGAAAACGGAAAGCATTAGCCTGGAGATTGCGCAAGAATACATGCGTATGGGCTCATGGCCTGAGGCCTATGAAGTTCTTCGACCACTATGGCCTACCCTTACGTGGCGGCGCTCGAGCTGGTGGCAGCTCATGGAGCAGTTTGGCTGGGCTCTAAGAGAATGCGCGTTCCGATTGCATGATAGCGATATGGTATTGCGGGTGGATTGGGAGCTACGACATTCGGGTAAGAATGTTCCCACTCCCCAGAATACCTTGATGGCATCGTTTTTAACGTTTAGATCTTAGTTTTTCAACCGCGGGCAGACTGGCACTATGACCTCCATGAGAGCCTCGAAGGTATTCCATCGGTTAAGCCCAAGCCATCGGTTGTGCTGCGGGCGGAGGATGTCATTTCGAGTGGTAAGTCATCGTCGTAGCCTTCTATGATACATCTATGGATGCTGACAGCATTCTCCTAACAAGTAACGGCGTCATTCGTATTCCAAAAGTCGGAAGGAAACGTCGGTGAGCCTTTACAAGGCCAGCTGGTAATCAAGTCCTGCGGCCAGTCATCAGCCAAGCCCATTAGGTTTTCCGAGATCAAAGTGGTCTTCGAGGGTTGCCTTCGTCCAATAAAACTTCAATCAGATCACAACCTGATTGCCGACAGCACCACTCCTTGTACATCAATGTCGCCATCGCTACGTGACCCCAGCAAGGCGGAAGGTCCGTCGTCTATTCAGTCACCTACCAGTGGGCTAACGGCCTTGACTGGCATTGCAGATCTAGCCATCGGTCCTTCCCAGACGAAGGTGTATGACCTCACGTGCATTCCCAGGGAAGCCGGAGAGTCTCGTGTTGCATCAATAACATTGGCAATTGAAGAAGAAAATTTTGACCTTGCCAGCGCCATCACTGATCTGTCCCCACGTGAGTCATACTGGTGGCAGCGGACCTCGAAGGGCCTGAGCCGACGGCGTGTGGGCAAAGGCCGCGATACCGGCCGGTGCAAGATATTGCCTAAACCTCCAAAGATTCGGATAGAGCTACTGAACCTCCGAGAAACATACTACACCAACGAGCATATCATTCTCAATGTCGCCATTCATAACGAAGAAGACGAACCTGCTGATGTTTCCGTGGAAACCAGACTCTTTGGTCGTCCGGAATCAGCGGCGAAGATCCGATGGTTTGGTGAGAAGGGATCCTTGGAGGCGCACGGTTCTGGGGAGAGTACCCCAACCGAGGGAATTTCCCATTATATCAAACGACCGATAGGCGTGATGGAACGCTCCTCTCACCGAGAGGTGGCGATTGTGCTCACGGACACCAGTGACGCTTCCGATTACGAGATTGAATTATCGACCGTGTACAACCTTGTGTCTGATATCCAAACACCCATCATTGCAACCGTGCGAGTGGGCGTATCGATCGTCAGGCCGTTTGAGGCCAATTATGAGTTTCTCCCACGCCTTCATCGCGAGCCTTGGCCGGACTTCTTTAGTGTAGACGATGATTTACTCGCACAGGGAGAGGATCCCACCCCCGGGGGATTGCAGCAGCGATGGTGTCTAAACTCCAAGGTTGTCTCGTTTGCCTTGGAGCCCCTTGTCATCGAGAAAATGTCCTTGGTCTTACTCGGGCTCAACGGCGCAGCAACCTGCCACCTCGGATCGGAGGAGGTTGTCAGCCCTGAAGTGGCAGAGATCCATCCCGAGGAGCTCCGCGAGTCCAATTTCATCCTAGATCTCCAGAAAGCTATTCTGGGCGACCGGAGGCCTACCGCCTTGACGCTGGCTCTCGAGATCCAATGGAGACGAAGTGCAGCGGACGACGGTTCGCTCACAGACAATTCTGCCCTCACCACATCTACGCTTGCTATCCCCCGCTTTGTCATTCCGGCGGGTGAGCCTCGAGTGCTCGCGTCGGCCAAGGCCTCCAGCACTCTTTCCGGGTTGATCCATCTTGATTACACCCTAGAAAACCCGTCGATGCACTTCTTGACCTTCAACTTGACCATGGAGGCCAGTGAGAACTTTGCCTTCAGTGGGCCGAAGACGATTGTGGTCCAGTTGGTGCCAATGAGCAGGCATGTAGTCCGATACCATCTGCTGGCCTCGAAACGAGGCTTGTGGATCCAGCCACAACTCCTCGTGGTGGATACGTACTTTAACAAAACACTCCGGGTTCTTCCCACGGAGGACATGCGGTCGGACAAGAAAGGGATTCTGGTGTGGGTGGATGCCGAGGACTAGATGCGATCGATCCAGTTAGTGATTTACGGTGAAGGAAGACGGATCCGCACCGAGCATAGCTACCTAAGGAGGTAGGGAGTGTTGTTTATATGTAATTGAAAGGACCTACTAGACACCTGCCTACTACTCCTACCTACTAGTAGTTGACCATCACGTGCACCGCCCTTATCACGCGCTGCCCGAAGCAGCCTAGCGGCGGAGATCGGGGCGACGCCCGCAGCTCCTCCCCAATCCGGAGACTGACTGACCTGAAGAGCGAAGAGCGAGTGGACTTGAACTAGAACTTGAACTTGCGCTGTGATTATTGTTTCTCTCTTCTCCCCCTCCCCCCTCTTCTCTCTTCTCATCTCCCCCTCCCCCCACATCACCCTCCCCCCCCATCCGCAGCCTCCAAGTGCCTCTCGGGCCTCAATTCCAAGATCTCTCCAAACATCGCTCCTTTCTCATCCTCTTTCTTTCGTCTGCCGGTCTCTCCACCGGCCGGTGCAACACAACCTCTAGCCTGACCGACTGCCTCTACCGCCATCCGTTTGTTCCGGTAATTCACCATGGCGGCCCAGGTAGCTCTGATCACCGATACAATCGTGGGCATGAAAAGAGCCCTGCGGAAAGAGAATGACTGTACGTTATTCCCCGTCTTCCTCTTCTCTTGCCTTTCGCCTTCCTGACGTAGTGTCTCTTGCCCGACCAGACTCCGGGCCCGATGATCCGATCACGCAGCCGACAAATCGAGGCAACAAGTTACGCGCGAACGCAAGTTTTGTTCGGGAGGGTGCCCTCGGATACGTACACCCAGAGGAGATGTACAAACAGGTGGGGTTTCCTTGGATAATCACCGAAAATGTCTGGTTGACGACGGACGAGGAGCTGACCATTGCTGAACCTTGTTTTCCCTTCGCGACAGAAAATTGACCATGCCGGATACACACGTTATATTCTTCAGCCCAATCCTGTGCGCTACGATTCGGAAGGCGATGAACTGGACGAGGACGACGAAGACTCCGAGGCTGATGCCGCTGCAGCGGAAGAAAATCCGTTCTCTGAGATTGCGCTAGAAAGTGAGATCCTTTCTTTCGTCTCATCAATGTTCAAACTATATGTTTTTTTTGGCTAACAAATCTGCGTACGTCCCTGGTAGATTTCCTCTGCCCTCTTAAACATCCATCCGAACTGCCTACCCACCCGTCTCTGTCACACGCTTATACGTCCAAGGCACTGTTACATATGACCCAGGCGATCGAGGCCAAACTCCGTCAGGAAAGAGCACTGCTATGGCGGGCAAGGAACTTGCACCGACGGTTCTTGGGTGATAGCTCCTGGATGCCATCCGGGGCAGTTGAAACGCATGAAGACAGATGGGTTTTTGAGCCTCGAGTGGTCGGTACATCACGCAGCTCCCCTACGAGTCAGTATAGGTCGAACGGGACTGCCACCCCTTTGGCGACAGGGGCACTTGCTGCTCAAAAAAATGGCTCACAAGGACCGCCGTCTGTGGCAAGTGGGTCAAATTTGCCCCAGCCCTGCCAGAACAACGCGGTTCTGAGCCAGTCTGCCGTGGAAAAAGATGTCGAGATGACCGACGCTCATGAGCAAGAGCTGGTCCGCAAGGACTTTATTTCCAGCACACTTGAACAGACCCGGGAACCTAAATCCGAAGAGATCGATACCCCGGTCGGAGACCTACCACATCACTCGGAAACTGCACACCCCGAGGCGCAAATAAATGGAAGCGATCCGGCAAAGCCCAGAGCTGACGAGGACCGGATGTCGGACTCGGATGGCACCATCGACAGAGACGGGAAGGAAGACAACAGAGGGACTGCAACCCATGGAGATGCGCAAGCTAGGCCCGATCGTGGGAACACTTTTCAGGAAGATGAGACGGACAAGGATGCGGAGATGCAGGACGGATCGTCGCCCGAACCTCCCCGGCGAATGACGACTCGGGCGCAGGCCAACGCGGCGAATCCGCACCAGGAAGATGAACTGGGTTCCCTATCCCCATACCCTTCCGACGATACCATCGGTAGTCTCCCAACGCCACACCCACTCTTTCTCATCCCAGAGACCGTCCGGCCAGACCCAAACTTCGGTCTTCCACCCAATGAAGCGGAAGACACGCGCCGCTTACTATGGTCTTATGTTCAGAAACAAGAGGAAACTGTTAGAGGGTTTGAGCACATGCTCGAATCTCTGCTTCGGGCCTGTCGGATGAAAGAAGATGTTCTGGAGTGGTGCAAAGCGGAAGGCCATGTCGGCGAGATGAGCGATGGAGAAGATTGGTATGACCGGGAGAAATGGGGACTTGTCGAAGGGGAGGATCTGAAAAAGGGTGCCGATGAAGATGAAATCGAGACGGTGGAGGAGAGCCGGACGTCGAATAAGAGAGGCAGGGGTCGGCGAGCATAAGCTGGGCCCCTCGATTTGTTCTGTGTTCTTCTGTCCTTTCATTCCAGCCTTAGTGGGGGTCGTCACTTCTACTTTCAGGAGTCATAGCGTGGAGTTGCCGGTGTTTGGTTGAGGGAACGAAGTGTCTTCTGGCTACCGAGGACAATTGTGGGATCGTCTTTCTGGGGCCCATACAGTGGGCCAAGACGCTATATGGTTCGCTTTGGCATACAGTGTAATTTATGATAGTTGAAGGTCATCTCCAAACTACACAGGTGTAGCAAATGATACCCGTTGTTTGTTCCTATTCGTGTAAAATGCGACATTAAAAAATTAAAAATGATACACTAAACGCAATCACAACGCTTTTCTTCCCCCTCCTCTATTTCTTTTCCCTTTCCTCCTCCGGTTGACCATTTTGCTCTAAGCGAAGGTAGCAAGGCATGCGAGGCAGCTTTCATGTCTGTTTGACCACTGCCTCTCATTGGTCTCCGGCTCTGTTGACTGATCAACAGGCTAGCTGTCTGATTATCGTTGAAGATTGACGGTGCGTTTTCTGGAATCTTATACCCACGTCACCTAAACCATAGGACTTGGTCTTCCCCCAAATGATATTTGGGGACTCACAGGAACGGTATGGATGTTGAAAGTCCAAGGCCCCTCTCCTCCCATCCACACCAGAAAGACGTATTGCTAGTGTCATCACAATGCATGGTCATTCTATGGGAGTAGGCGTCCAGCCAGACCCTCGGGTGTTCTGTTTGCAGGACTGCATTTACAAGCGTTTGCCTCCTTGCTTCGACTTTGCGCGCTCGCGCTCGCGCTTGGCATAGATCTCCGCCGTAAAGGGACTACCACGCCGAGGTTAGTGGGTTACGGAGTCCACGTGTTTGGTTTTTGCATTGGGGCTTGAAACGGCGAAGGAGGACTTTGGTTGCAAGGGCATTCATGGCCACGAGGGCCAGCAGGAAAAAAGATCGGACACTTACTCCTCCCACTGGAGAGCGAACCAGTACATGACGAATACTCCGGCTGATAGAAAGACGCCCGCCACCTTGCCCTTGTAGAGGGCAACACCCAAGAAGTTCAGGGTGCTGCCCCAGTACATGGGGGAGCCGGTGACACTGAACGGGAAGCCGGTGACGGGGGCATCCATCAGGATTCCGAAGTAGTCTCCCAAATAAGTGCCGGTCACACCTAGGGCATACATGCTGGACAGGACCAGGACGGAGCCGACGGCAAAGAGGAGCCCGCCGAGAATCGGTTGGTGCACAGGGGCATAGTAGGGCTGATCATCCAGGGCCAGTTGGTAGATGTGGTCTCGCAGGATTCCCAGGCCGAATATGGTGACCGCGAGGAAGTAGCAACCGTAGTAGGGATTGCCGAATATACGAGTCAGGTAGTGATTCCGATATTCTACAGGATGAGATGCAAGGCATGTGTCATGAGCCACTTATACTGTGCACCAGGAGGATAGTCGGGGGCCTTCCTGGAGACGGAAGGACGGGGGTGGGATGGGGGTGTACCAACCAGCACGGGCGACAATGCTGGACACAAAGGAAAATAAGTTAGTCATTGGGAGTGTTGAATCAATTGGGGGGGCAAGAGAGCAAAGCAAGGACTTACTTCCAGAAGATGGGGTTGAAAGCGACGGATAGCAGGGCCCCTGGAGAGAAAACGCGGGCGTTGAGAATCACATGCGGGGAACGGAACGGAAATCCAGCAGGGGTGGGTAAGGCTACGTACACTGTAAAGACGGCTGGGAGAGGTCGACAAAGTCGGAGAGGAAAGCCATGGCTTGGTGGTTGGAGTTGAAGGTGAGAGGGAGAGAGGGGGGAGAGAATGATGATGAGAGAGGGGAGAAGCAGCGGAAGAGGAAGAGGAAGAGGAAGAAGAAGGATGCTCAACAAAAAGAAAAGAGAAGCAGGAGGAATGGCTCGGAACAGCTGACTGGCTGACGTTTGAGGAACAATATACGGAAGGCGGCCCGGAAGACGGGAGTACAGTCAGAGTACGGCAGTGCTACTTGGTAACATACTGGACTATGCTGTATCTGCTCGGTACCTTGAGGTACCATATACACAGGCACTCCGTATGGTAGGTTCATACCTACGCAGGTAGTAACTAGTAGGAGGTACCTAGGTTCCTATGACGTATGTACTGTGGTACCTACGGTGTACTCGGTAGATGTATGGAGCACAGTACCCAGTACTCCGTACCTGCTCCGTACCTTACCCACCTTGGGAACCCACGGAGCACCACCACCTCCACATGATATCTACTTACTATGTAGTAGATACACTACAACACAGTAGTCGTAGATTCTTATATACTAGTGCTAGTAGGCAGAACATGTACGTCTGTGGCATTTTATAGTACCACGAAACGATCTTTACTTACTTTCTCAGGTATTCATCCCCGTTTTTCTTATAAGCTCCCAGAGTACCTATTTAAATAGCAGGTAATGTTGTGGACTTTGTGGTACCATGCGGTCCGCAAACCCCCCCGGGCCCCCTCCCCGGTGGAGTCTCGCCTCACCGCCGGCCCTTCTTACTAGATACGTAGTACTCCGTACTTGGTTCCTCTTACTATCTTTCCTCTCCCCCCCCCTCTTCCTCTCTTTCTCTCCATCCAAAACTGATCTATCCACCGATCATCCGAAGCGCCCGACTGGAATATCATCATGTCTCGCCCAGTCTTGCTGTTTGGTCTGCTCTCGTGACCGGGCATGGCAGCGCATCTGCTCCCGGGAGAATGGCCCTGAAGCGTCGTGAGCTCGTCGTCCTCGGCATTGGTGGCTTTGTAGCTTGGGGGTTGGCCGTTGAGTGGCTTCCTATCCTGAGGTATCTGGGGTATGCGCTGGCCTTGGGCGCATTCCTTTCCTCGGCCATCCTGATAGGCCTCGTGCTCCTCACAATCCGCCCCCCCAATGGCCCACCTTCCCTTCCCTCGAAGTCGCCCCCCATCGCCTTTCTCGCTCACCCCCACTGGGGAAAGGAAGCACAGGCTGTCCGAAGTCGCTCGATCTATTATCCGCCGTCTCTCTATCCGCAGTCGTTCGTCGTATCCGAAGGCATTGACGAGCTCCTTGCTCTGGCCACCCGCGACTTCATCGCATCATGGTACCAACATATCAGCCCAAACCCCACATTTGTCAACGAGGTGGACCAAGTGATTCGAACCGCTGTTGGAAACCTGCGCGATAGAATGTTGGCAGAAGACCTACTCTCCCTCTTGGTGTCCCGAATATTCCCTATTTTAACGGCCCATCTCAAAGAATTCGATGTCGCAGAGCGATTGGTGCGAGGCAGGAATCTTACGAGAAATGTCACCGAGTCGGAAGAGCTAGACCTTGCCATTGCGGCCAAGTATCGCGAGGGACATCTGCATCCAGCGGCTGTTCTCTCAGTCTCCGACCAAAAGTTAGTGGAACAGGAATATCTCCGTAAGATTGCCGTGGGGCTATTGCCACATGTGTTTCCTGAGTCTGTCCTCAACAGTCGTGTTGTCTCCGTCTTGATCCGTGAAATTATTTCATGCGCTGTTCTCTTTCCCCTCGTCTCTGCTCTCTCGGATCCGGACACGTGGAATCAACTGGTGGAGGCGTACGGGCGAACTGCCATTCAGGACCGTAAAACCGTTCGGAAGCTTCGGGCAGCCTTGGACGAGCATGCATCACCAGCCCCCAGGTCAAAGAGGCATTCGTTTCCTCGGTTGTCCCCTCATGATTCGGAACGTGCTTTTGAGCGATTTGTCCGGGCTATCCGGCGCTGCAATAATCTTTCAGAGGCTAGACGATTCAGAGCTCTTGTCACAAGTCAATTGAAACGTGAGACTATGGTGGAAGGGCAAGACCAGGTCTATCTTCGACGGTTGGAGACGGGCAAGAGAGTTCTGGACCAGAAAGTAGCCAAGTTGTCGGCACCGGGAGGTACTCGCCTGTTGTCGCATGCCTCCGCAGCGGTAACCCATTTCCGCCGTAAGAATTCGGTTCCTCAGGAGGCATCATTGGTGGACGTTATGCATGACGCATCGGGTCTTTCCTATTTCATGGAGTTTATGGACCGGCAGCAGCTTATGTCTCTAGTGCAGTTCTGGATCGTGGTGGATGGATTCCGCAACCCTCTGGAGGACGATTTTGGAGATGAAAGTTCTCCAAGCTCAACGACATGGACCCCAGCTGATCGCAGCGATATGGCACTTATTAGTGAAACATACCTTTCAAAGTCTGAATTGAAAGTCACGGATGAGTCACGCCGAATAGTGAAAGCTTTTCTCAGCGCAGGGAGGCGAGCTACACCAGAGCAGTACCGCAGGGCTCGAACCGTGATATTGAGTGCTCAGTCTGCCGTACTCGAGGAACTTCAAGAGAACTACTACCCCAAGTTTAAGCAATCCGATCTTTACTACAAGTATCTCGCATCGGATGAAGTTTCACATTCTGGCACTCAATCGCCTCGCCTCCTTTCTCCCAGCGCCGCAGAGGTGCCCGAGAGACGTCCTCTTCCTCCACTGATAGCGCGCACCTCCTCGCAACCAGGCGGCAAGCCGAAGGATTTGCGGCGCGCGGCCGTTTCGTCGAATGATGTCAGGAGCACGGTTAAACTGTTCGACGATGACGAATCCCCAAGACGCTCCTTTGATTCTGAACGTTCAGCGCCCCTGTTCGATGATGACTATGACACGGACCCTCTTGCCATGTCAACGCAGAGTATCGGCCGAGACTCACAGAATGGCGAGACTGAGACGAATCAAAAGGAAGTTATCGAAAACATGGAGGCTGCCTTGAATGATATTATCGCGAATGAACCGAAGAACAGCAGAATAGAGGATTTGAAGACTGCTGAGGCCCCTCCAACAGGACTGCCTAGTGCCGATCAGCCCCCCAGGTCTCCGCGCAGCTCGATAGAATTCTTCAGAGCCGAGAACCGGGCAGAGGAAAAAATGAAACCGAGCATTGCCTCGCTGGGGCTTGTAGACCGATCTTCCCGGCTGGGTGTCTTCGATGATGACCTTTTCCCCGACCAGCAGAAATTCATCGAAGATGAGTATGATGAGCCTATGGGGACGGACAACGACCCAGCTGATCAAGTCCATGAGGCTGCTCCCGGGGACCTCGGATTGACTGAGGCGATCGAGGTTCTTTCAGCGGATATTGAAAAGCTCGGATCTCAAGAATCCGTGGTTGACACTCTCACTCGGAAGGCAGAGCTGACAAATAACACCGCGGAATTGAGGATTCTACGCAAGTCGAAAGCGAGCATCCAGCGGGAAATTCATCGCAAAGAGATGCAACGGCAACAGTATATCATTCAGGAGAGCGATAACAGCTTGTATGGCCGGTCGACCGTCCGGATCAAGTCCATTGTAGTTGGCAAAGAGGAGGATGGCCGCGAATTCGCCATGTGTACGTGACCGTCATGCCTGGCCTGTATCTGCAGGCTCCCTCTCTTTCTCTTCCCAAAATTTTCCAGATGCGCGATGGACTGACATGTTCTCTAGATGTGGTTGAGGTACAGAGAAATGCCGGTGAGCAGATGCCAGCGGCTTCCTGGGTCGTTGCCCGCAGGTACAGCGAGTTCCATGAACTCCACCACAAACTGCGCATGAGATACCCTTCCGTCCGACACCTGGAGTTTCCACGCCGGCGCGTAGTCCTGAAGCTCCAGAAGGAGTTCCTACAGAAGCGACGCTTGGCACTCGAGGCGTATCTTCAGAGACTACTTCTTCTCCCCGAAGTATGCCGGAGTCGTGACCTACGAGCATTTCTTTCCCAGCGGGCCATCATTCCACGCAACGAGGCCCAGAGCTCCAGCAATGGAGAGACCAAAGACCTGGTCACTCGAATCTACAACTCTGTCGCCGACGGCATGGATGACTTTCTAGGCAACTTTGGGGTGCTCGACCAATTATCTACGGCCGGGCAGAATCTCATCTCCGCTGCTACCAGTCAACAAGCCAGCGCAGTTTCCGACTCTGGGCTGGCGACAGAGGACGCGGTCACCGCTGCTGAAGCCGAGGCCGAACTGAACGCATTCGACGACCGCGAGCTGGAGCCTTTCATTAAACCAATCTGCGACCTGTTCTTAGAGACCTTCGAGTTGAACAAGGGCAACAACTGGCTGCGAGGCCGCGCCGTGGTCGTCGTCCTTCATCAACTGCTCGGGGGCACGATCGAGCGCAAGGTGCGCGAAGGAGCACGCTCCCTATTGCAAGACGACTCTGTCCTCCGCTACCTCACCCTGGCCAAGGACACCATGTGGCCCGGGGGGGTTCTCCGCCAGAGCAGGATCCGCACGGCTTCGGAGCGACTGAAGAGTCGCACGGAGGCCAGCTTGGTCCTGGCTACGCTGCTCCCCGATCTGGCAGGCAATGTGGTCGGACGAGCCAATGCGCAGGCTGCAGCACGGAGGATCTTTGCGACCCTAAACAACCAGCGACTGAACGCGCACTTGGCTTTCACCATCCTGGATGAGATCGTCTTAGTCCTGTTTGGTGGGGCCGAGGCTGGACGAATGCGTTGATGACTTATCATGTGTGTATGATAGCTACGGGTTTTCTTTGTCTTTATCGCGGCCTTGCTCTTCTTGTCTTCTTTCCCTTCTTCGGCGCGGGGATTGTATCGATATTAGCGGACGTATTGCATCATTGTTCTTCATCCCGCATCCCATGCCCGCCCGTTCTGCATAATGTGTCTTTTTCTTCTTAATGGCCTGGACACCGCTGTGTCAGCCCCACGGGGCTTGTCGGGTCATATCTCGCACCTACTTGACGCATTTGCATGGCAGGGCTTGAATGAATTCGGAAAGATACAGCGCGATCATCCGATGCCGATAAAGCCACCGTGCCTGAGACTACCGTGTTAGCCCCCATCTACTGGTCCCGCTAAACAATAACTCTACGGTAGTTGTTCAGCTGAGAGTATTCTTTCTTCCTCTGTTTCGACGCTGTGAGTATGAATGAAGGAATTACTGCTCGAAGATACAAGATCGTACGATTCCCAGTGGGTCAACCCAGCCGCACAATCAGTGACAAGTTCCCGGTGAAAGCAGAAAGTTGAGAAAGTTGAGATAGAGCATCAAAAGTCAAATTACAGGGATCATCATACGTTCAGCCCCTGCTGCGACGCCCCAGGGCACAGCTTCAGATGGCTTCAGGGATTCGACTGAGGGCAGACAAGAAACGAAGCATCATGGAGTATGGTTGGGGTAGTCCACAAAAGAGAGGTTAGACACTAGAATCATGGCTGTTCTATGCTTCATCGGCTTTCTTCTTCTTGGACTTCTTGCTGGGCTGCTGGGGAGGGCCTTGCTTGGTCTGATGAACAATGAGGCGTGTCCAGCACTCATCCTTGTCCCACTCGAAACCAGCGAGGTAGGGCTTGTCCAATTCATCATCGGCCTGCAGAAAGTTCATGTCAGCACTGAATTGTCTGTCCCAAAAGAGGTGCTACCCAAAACCCTTGACTTCCTATTCGGACATAGGCCTACCTTCTTCTTGAACTGCTTGTAGATCGCGTCCAGCGCATCCTTTATCGTGACTCCCTTCATGTTACGAGCAGTCACTTCCAGTCCCAGGGGAAAATGCAGATCAATCTTCTTGACCGGAGGGTTGACCAGATGGAGCTTCAGAATGTCTTTGTCCTCGACAGTGGACGGAGAGGTATTCAGCTTCCTGTGACCTGGGTTAATCTCATCTCTCATCTCTAGTGCTTGTTCGTGTGTGCAATGACTCACCACCCTGTTCTTTGCGTTTCGATTGGCAGAGTTATCTCAATCTTCTTGTCCTCTATGGAAGGGAGTAATCGTTAGCTGTCACATGTGCTTCTCAATGGATTCGCCGTCTTTACAATGGAAATGCAACGAAGGAAACATACCAAGATCCTTGATATTGTAGACGCCCTCAGCATGAGATGAGGTGCGTCTGTGAGACTTCTTGGCATCCTTATCGGGGGCTTTCTCATCCTTGGGTGATATCGTCATGCCAGCAATGGCAGAGTCGACCTTGGTGAGTTCTTCAGACATGGTTGAAGGTTGACAGGAAGTAGCTGGTAGCTGACAGTGATGTTAGTATCTCAAGAAAGCCGTTATTTGCACGCCCAGGCCGACATGGTGATGAGGACGAGGATGGTCGCGGAGATGGGAGACGAAGAAAGAAGATTCACGGATTGAATGGTTGGTGTGTGACAGGACATCTGACCACAAGGGAGAATTGAGAGGACGGGGGGGGGTTGAAGGGATGAAGACTTACCAGTTACTGAAAGGGCACGAGTGATGATAGAATGAGATGGTCAATGGGGAGGGTGGATGGATGGATGGTGGATGGGGGGAAGGATGGGAGAAAGAAGGAGAGAAGAGGGGGGGACAGAGGAAGAAGAAAAGGGACGATACGAGCAAAGCAGAGCAGGTGACTTTGATGGGCCAACCCAGAATTGAGACAGTCTTCCTTGGAGTGGAAGGTGCGGGAGGGAAGTCTGGCAGTCTGGGGCACGGCAATAATGGATGTGGGTTCCCTGACGTACTTTCCCTCCAGTACAGTCTGTCTGTCATGGATACTTTAGTAGTAGCTACTACCTACTTTACTAGTAGTATGTACTTCCTCGCCCACTACATACGTACCATACCACCTAGGGACAGTCATACAACAATAACAGTACACTCCCTGAGCTTGTCCATCATCATCATCATCATTCACTACCGCGATGCCACCCTACTAGGTAGCTAAGATGTACTTCGTACAGGGGAGTGAACGGTGGTGTGTTCCGACTGACAGGGAGCAAAGGGGTGGGATGATGGACCCCAATAGATGGTTGGATGGCTGATGTAGGGATGATCTCCGCATCGGGGCGCGTCGCATCACCATCCGACCCATCACCTGATGGTTGTACGGTTGTTTCACCTCCCTGTCACCCACATTACTATTACTATTATTATTATTATATTATTATTCAATCATGCTGTTCTCATCGGGGGCCAGTCCAGCCGGTGGCAACCGGATCACACGAGCAGCGCTGACGTCGAGAGCTCCAGGCGATGGGCCACTAAGGCTGCACCCCGCATTCCCGCCCGCTCCACTTAATTCGGTACTTTATTTTCCAGCCCGCCCGCTGCCTGTCAAGTGGTGGTGGTGTTAAGTCAATGATCTCTTCAATTCTCTCTCTTCTTCTTCTTCTTCTTCTTCTTCTTCTTCTAGAGAGGATGGAAAGAATGCTCTTTCACCTATTCACGCCCATAGCTTCCATTCCATCAGTGGGGAGTGATGATGAATGGCATGAATGACCTCATGGCGCCCATTGCCTTTCATTGTGCCAGTCCATTGGCGGATTGATACCATGGGACAGACTGTATTCACATACCTACAGTACAGTGCCTTACTACTACCTGTAGGTACAGGTAGTAGTCAAGCAGCGGTATTAGGGGCATGTAACATATACTGTATTGTACTTCTCCAATCAGTACCAAGGTACCTAGTAGGTAGTCCTAGGTAGTATAGGTACGTATATCTGCCAAGTATCTGGGCGATAACAGTGCAGGTAGATAGTAACTTTTACCTGTTCACTTTTAGGAGGTTGGCTGGTAACGTTGCCCCGACCTTCCCCTCCTCGCTGAGCCCTCGGGGTGCATACTTGGATGGCTAGTAGACTGGTGGTGGTGGTGTGGTGGTGTGATGTATATATAAGTACTCCGTACATGGTACCTGCTACTGATGCATCTAAGGTATCGCACACAGTAAAGGGGTAGACTGCTTTATGAGTTGCTGGCGATCATATGGCGTGCTGCAGGCAATTGGCAGGCTTGGGCGGGGTTTGTGCGCGACCTGCGAATCATGGTGGGCAGCCTATCTATCTAAGTACCTAGTTACCTGGTAGGTACTGTTGTGATGTAGTGGTAAGTTACCAAGGTCCGGAGTACAGTACCCGTACCTACTAGGTAGGTAAGGTAGGCAGCTACTATCTTCTTAGGAGGAGGTAGGGTAGGTAAGGTACTGACACAGATACGTTACGTACAACAGAACAATGAGCTTGATTTGCCAATAATAATATAATCCATCTACACGGAGACTCCGATTCATGCCTGCTGAGTCAGGATCGAACCGGAGGGAGCAGGCGGTGAGCGCGAGCCGGCAGAAGATATTGGAATATTGCCCATTGCCCGTTTGGACCTGTTGTCAGGCTGGTCGAACTCTTTCCTTCTCCCTCCCTCTCTCTCTCCCTCGGTCTGCAAGTGTCAAGTCCTGCAATCAGCTCGCCCGGCGACATCCGAATTGCATTGTTACGAAAATCCCCCTGCACTTCCACCTCCAGTCCACTTCTGCTTCTCCCTGGTTCTTCGTCGCGCGTTCCCGGAGCCCTCGGTTTCCTCAGCGAGCTGCGTTACTTCGACCTAACCCATCTCCTTCAGAAGCTTAACTTCTCTCCGCTCGAATGTCGTCGCTCTTTGGTGGGGTTGCCACGCCGTCAACCACGGCTGGTCAGACGAACACCACAGGGGACATCTCCAAAGATGTCGCCCTCAATACACCCCCCGATGACAGTATCTCGGATCTCCGCTTCTCGCCCGCCAGTGAGCATCTCGCCGTCGCGTCGTGGGACAAGAAGGTTCGCATATACGAGATCAACGAGCAGGGCCAGAGTGAAGGGAAAGCCCTGTTCGAGCACGAAGCCCCTGTGCTGAACTGTTGCTGGTCACCTGTGAGGCTTCCTCTCCCCCATCGCATCCCCACGCCCGAAAGTGACTGACGGACTCCCCGTCGTCGGACTAGGATGGTACGAAAGTGATCGGAGCTGGTGCCGACAAAGCCGCCCGCATGCTGGATCTTGCGGCCAATGCGACCACCCCCGTCCAGGTCGCCGCTCACGATGCGCCCATCAAATGCTGCCATATGATTCCTAACCCGGCTGGGAACAGCCCGCTTCTCATCACCGGCTCCTGGGACAAGACGGTCAAGTACTGGGATCTCAGACAATCCACGCCCATCGCGGCCGTAGAGTGCCAAGAGCGCGTCTACACCATGGATGTCAAGAACAAGCTCCTCGTGGTTGGCACGGCAGACCGGTACATCAACATCATCAATCTCGACAATCCCACCAAGTTCTACAAGACCATGCAGTCCCCCCTCAAATGGCAGACACGGGTAGTCAGCTGCTTCGCCGACGCCACCGGGTTTGCTGTCGGTAGTGTCGAGGGCCGCTGTGCTATCCAGTATGTTGAGGAGAAAGACTCCAGTTCCAACTTCAGTTTTAAGTGTCACCGTGAAACCCCTCCTAGCCAGCGGGACATCAACAACATCTACTCCGTCAATTCCATCTCCTTCCACCCTGTACATGGCACCTTTAGCACCGCCGGCAGTGACGGCACGTTCCACTTCTGGGACAAGGACGCCAAGCACCGTTTAAAGGGATATCCCTCCGTGGGCGGCACTATCTCCAGCACCGCTTTCAACCGCAACGGAAACATCTTCGCGTACGCCGTGAGCTACGACTGGAGCAAGGGGTATTCCGCCAACACCCAGCAACTGCCCAATAAGGTTATGCTACACCCCGTGGGTCCCGAGGAAGTGAAGCCCAGACCGGGCACCAGAAAGAGGTAATAGAATGTTTTCGAGGATCGGTGAAAATAGGGGCGTCGTTGGGGCCAGCCTAGATCGGTGTAGGGATTGATTTTATTACACGCTCGACGACCCATATATGGATTGGCTAGTCATGGTCTGATTGTCAGTTTCAGTTTTGTCTTGCCTCTTCTTCTTTTCTTTTCTTTTCTTTTTTTCTACAACTTCTCATGTACCCTTTTATCATTGTTCTCTGGGAATGCATATGAGCGATTCATTTTAGGCCTATGACCTTTCAGTTTCTCCGGTGGTTACAGGGCGCGGTTGTTTCTAACTGAGGAGAAGAGGACGCGCGTGGGCTTGCTTGCTGTAAACGGTAAGTAGTGAGGGAAATGACTCCTTGGTCATTGATGAAGTTCTTGTCCGGTCCGTGGTCTGGAAGCTATAGAAAGGTCTTGGGACATATATATGTAACAGTGAACCATCACCGAAGATCGTACGTAGTAGTTTGAGAGTCATGTTGAATTCCCTAATTCAGTTGAATCGTGCACTCGGATAAAGACGAAGGGACAAAAAAAAAAACCGGAAGCCAGGACCAAACCCATCAATCATCAGCCGTACGTCATTGCACCTACATCGTATCTCATATTAACACTTCACATGCATCAACATCAACACAAATCAAGAGGGAAAAGTAGACGGGCAATTTGGCAATTCGCGACAAGAAAGATAACAACGCTCTAATCATGAGGATATGAAGGAATCCAGTAGCTACTCTATAGACGTGGTCTTCTTTGAGTATTGACTAGGAGGAATCAATATCTAGCACTCACGACGTAGGGATCGTGACCTGGGCTACTCCATCCGTGACCTTCTCAACGGCCTCATCAGTCTTGCCCTCAGTCGTCACATCGATGTTCTGGGCACCTCCTTTGGCGGACGACTCGACGTCCCCGCCAGCTTCAGCAGCAGCCTTGGCCCTCTTCTCCTTCTTCTTGGCCTTGGCGGCATCTTTGGCGGCCTTCTTGGCTGCCACCTTGGCGGCTTCCTCCTCCTTCTTCAGCCTGTCCGCCTGCGAGCCACCGAACATATCACGCCACTCATCGGCCTTCTTTGGGTCAATCCGAGAGAACAGGTACTTGGCCTTTCCGATCTTGTGGCCGGGCTGGATGGCAACCGGCTTCCAGCCGTCCTTGATGTCCTCCAGGGAGGGGATGACTCCGAACGGTGCGTCAAGCTGCTCGTTGATCGCCTTGGAGGTAGCGGGAAGGTAGGGAGAAAAAACGCTGGCCAAAAGGTGGATCAGGTTTAGCACAGTGCCGACGACCGCGGCAGCACGCTCAGGCTCATTGGCGATGAGAGAGTTGTCGAGGCGATTGGCCTGGATCAGGCCGTTTCCGGCCTCGGCCAGCTTCATCGCGCTCGTAACACCCGCACGGAGGTGGGCGCCTTCCATCTCCTCGATATACTGGCGGAGAGTTGTCGTAACCTCGTCCAAGGTAGGCTGAAAGGTTTCAGGAACGGTGAATTCAGGAACGGTCGAGCCATACGAGGCTGCCACAAGCTTGATGACACGGTTGACCAGGTTGCCCAGTTTGGCTAGCAGCTCGCTGTTGTTGCTCTCGACGAACGAGCGCCATTCAAATTGGGTATCGCCAGTTTCCGGACGGTTCTTCAAGAGGTAATAGCGCCAGACATCCGGGGGCACACCCGTCTGCTTGGCGTTGTTGCCAAAGACACCAATACCCCGAGACTTGCTAAACTTGCCACCTTCGTAGTTCAGATACTCCGTCGTGCTCAGGTGATGGAGCATGGTCCACTTTTCCTCGGTTCCCATCTGGCAGCCAGGGAAAATGACACTGTGGAACGGAACGTTGTCCTTGCCCAGGAATTGATACAGCTGGACATCCTCCGGGTTCCGCCACCAGAGCTCCCAGTCTGGGGTGTAATTGGCAGTGATAGATGGGTAGCCGATGCAGGCCTCGAACCAGACATAGAGCACTTTGTTTTCGAACCCTTCAAGAGGCACGGGGACACCCCATTTGAGGTCTCTCGTGATACCCCGATCCTTCAGGCCTTCCTTCAACCAGGACTCGGTAATGACGCGCGAGTTCTTAGGCCAGTCACCCTTCTCGATGGCCGCGCGAGACCACTGTTCGATCTGAGGCTGGAGCTTGTCAAGTAGGAGGTGGATGTGTTTCGTCGAGCGGCGTACGGGGGTGGCGCCATCGAGCTTACACCGCGGGTTGATGAGGTCGAACGGATCGAGAAGATGTCCGCACTTATCGCATTGGTCTCCACGGGCATCGTCGTAGTGGCATCGGGGGCACTCTCCTTCCACATAGCGATCCGCCAGGAAAGACCCATGGGTCTCACAGAAGGGCTGCTCCGCAGTCTTCTCGGTGAGATAGCCGTTCTCATACAGTCTCTTGAAGATGGCCTGGGAAATCTCGGTGTGCTGCTTCGTCGGGGTACGTCCGAAGTGGTCGAAGCCGATGCCGAACCATTCATACACCTCTTGGTGGATCTTGTTGTACTTGGCGCACAGCTCCTCCGGCGTCACCTTCTCCTCCAAAGCTTTGGTCTCCGTCGCTGTTCCGTATTCATCGGTACCACAGATGTAAAGCGTTTGATGCCCGGAGGCCTTGTGGAACCTGGCAAGGTGTGAGTACGTACGGCAGCATTGGAGGGGAGGAGGTAGGGCCGGAGACAAGGCGTTAAGTACCTGGAGAAGACATCCGCACTGAGGACGGAGCCTACGATGTTGCCCAAGTGCGGTACATTGTTGACGTAGGGCAAGGCACTGGTGACCAGGATATTGCGCTGGCCCTTCTTGGGCAAAATCGGGGAATCCGAAGCCATGATGGGATGGAGGCGGCTGGTGGGGTTTGATTATCAGTGGATGGAGGGGTAGAAAAGTTGCAGCTTTTTCGCGGGTGCGGATGATTCATCGCTTCGGCCGGCGCTTCTCCGCATTTTTCATCTTCCCTTCCTTCTTTCTCCCTTCTTGCCTTCTTTCTTCTTCCCTCATCCCTACCTTCCAACCCAACCACTCATCTCAGCTCCATTTGACTACAGACGGGAATTGCGTTGTCTGTCCGGCTCGTCTACCCCGTCGGGAACTATACCATCCTGCTACCATCGCCCCGACCATGGAGAGCAACTTACTCGAAAGTCTCCTGGACTTGGAGGAGGAATTTTACCAGGAAGGCTATGACCTGGGCGCTGCAGATGGTGCACAAGCCGGCTACACTGAAGGCAGTGTCTTTGCTGTCGAGAAAGGATTCGAGAAGTTCGTTGAAATGGGGCGACTATACGGCAAAGCCCTGGTTTGGGCTCAACGACTTGCAGATACGCAACCGGCCGATAAGTCGGACCCGGGCGATCAGGGCCAAGGGTCTTCTCCAAATTCTAGTCTGGCAAGTGTGGCGCAGGCCGACGCTGCCTCCTTGCACCCCTCTATTTGCAAGGAGATGTCGAGCGTCTCGTCTAGTTCTCGGTTGGCAAAGAACCTTGATACCCTGCTAGAGTTGGTAGATCCCGCATCCTTAGCGATGGCAAATACGGAAGAGGCGGTCAATGATGTAGACGAGCGTATGAAGGGCGCTGCCATCAAGGCCAAGCTGATCCAGCGTGCCTTGGGAGAGCGGGAGGATACCTCGGACATCCATCCCGATGCCAAAGACACCCCCACCTCTGGCGACGGAACAGGCAGCATCGAAGACATTAGTTCCTTGAACATCCGCCACTGAGGGGTATCCTTCCCTGACCGCAGGGACTTACCGAAGGACGCCATTCTGCTTTTGCCTGCAATATCCCCGACTCGAAGGTTCTCCCGCTCGCCGCCCCAGATGCTGCTCCGTCCCCAGGATGTGATGGCTGGGAAACGCCATATCTCTCCAGATGATGAGGGGAGAGGTGTGGCTACTTCCTGGGTGACCAGCAAGTACAGCGATCGTTCCGCGAACTTGCCATTACCCCAGACCAACGGAGAATCCGGTTAGTACCACTGCCGTCTCAAGAATGCCAGTCAAGTCTCGAACCCCCCTCAGGTCAACTCCGCGCGCAAACCAGGTCTCTCTGTAAGGCTGTGGACCATCCCAATGGACCTTTTCTGATGGCGTGACGACAGGAACCGAGACCTATCCTCGAGTGTAGGTTGGTCAGAATGGAAGCTTGCCATTCCGACCTACGATTCTCCAAACCGAACGTTTAGTTCTAGGCCAATGCATCTATACAATCATCCATGCAGCTGGTGATGTATGCTTTTGGACAATTGTCTGCCAGACTCGCTCATACTCAGACCCTTTCAGGTGGTTGCGGTCCGTCCGTGACATACGTTGATCGCTGTGAAAATGTGCTGTCAAGACATCGATATGTACGTAACAACCGTAGATGCCGTCACGACAGTTGGTAATATTACTTCAGTAGCAAGGCACCAGACCCCAGAATATTGCAGAAAACCAACATCAGATAGGCTGGTATCAATGTATTATCTATGCCTCCAGACCGCTACTCCAGACGTGCAGCGGCGACGCATCCAGCCCGACCCACCGCCTTCCCGTCTGGGCTAGAAGGCTTCCTTAATGGCATTAATATTATTATTATTATTGCGACCGTCGTTCTACTAAGTACTCCGTACTACTTACTAGTACTGCTCACCCAGCTGCCTGCCTGCAGCGCCATCCTCGGTATCTGTTGCCCCCCTTTCTTGAGTTTTTTTTTTTTTTTTTTTTTTTTTTTTCCTTTTCTTCTTTTTTTTTGTTTTCCCTTTCCTGAATCTTAGTATTGCGCCTTACTTCTCTATCCTGAGCTGCTGCGCCCGTGAGTTAAGCTTCGCGCTTCTGTCAGTGGCTTTCCCCATTACCCGCCCAGGCGTACTATTTTGCCCATTGCACGTGCCACGTGAATTCAGGCCAATCCATCATCATATCCAAGCAGCAACAACAAATTCTCCCCCTCCCTCCCCGCTGGCAAGATAAGATCTTCACAGTTCACATCCGCAAGGAAGTCGACCATCGGCATCGACCCCCCCCCCTTTTCCCCTTCTCTCCTCTTATATCTCGACCAGACAAGGACAACCGAACAGACAAGAGAACACTGGCTTCCATGTATCCGTAATCCGGATCCCGTCGTCCCCTTGTCACGCTCCTACCCCCAAGATTTTATTTCTTGGAGGCTGTCCAGTCAGTCAGTCAGTCAGTCAGTCAGTGGACACCGCCCCGCGTCTGTCGTTCCTGCCACGGCCAGCAAGCATATTGATCACCTCTGCCTCGTCTGCCTATACGAAACGCGTCCCTAGGGTCTATTATTGTCCGATGTGGCTCTTCCGGGTCTTTTCGTCGGCCGCCTTTCTGGCCGTCACCGTCTCTTCCATCCCGCTCGCCTTCGACGTGGGTGGGAAAACATGCGGTCTGGCCTATTCCCTCTCTCTGGCGACTTTCTACTTTCTGTTCTCGCTCCTGCGGCTCACCACCCCCGATCGCTCATGGGTCCGCTCCTCCCTCATTGTCCTCATCAGCTCAACGCAATGGCTCATCGTCCCCATCCTGCTTATCTGGGCGTTGAATCGCTTCTCGATCGACACTGACAACGCGGGTTCTTGGGTGGAGCGAACCTTTACCGGGAAAAGAGCCCATGACTCGTCGATACAGGAGTGGCTGTTTGGGCCTGACGGGCTGATGGAGTCAGTAACGATCGGGAACTGGGACAAACTGTTGAGATGGTCCACGCCGGTTTTCCAGCTGGCTGAAGGGTTCTGTAGCCTGTTGGTCATACAGGCTGCGGGTCAAATCACCCGATGGCTTGTCAACCGCGGCGGACGAAGTGATAGTTGGATGGTAGGTACACGACATTCCGTGGCACATATCTTTGGCTAATCGTGGTCGGTTAGATTGGTCTCTTGGTCTTATCGGCCTCCATCATTTCGAGTTCCGTATACTTCCTTTGGCGGGTCCTTCAGTTTCCCGAAATCTCCAATGTCGACGCTGCTTTGATCGGTGTGTCGATCACCTGCGCCGTGATTCTATGTGCATGGGGAATTGGCAGTGGCCGTGGAAACCCAGTGGAGAGTTCGCTGCTATTTGCCTATATCGTGCTGTGCATCTATCAGATTTTCACAGACTACAAACCATCACATCCCGTGGAACAATTCCCCTCACCTGCGCAAGCAGGGGACTTTCCGCCGCTCCCGCCTATAATCATGGCATCGTATACGACTCTAATGCACGCTTTGTCTCTGTTACCCTCGATCATCCACGCCGCCTTCAACGTCATCGCTGCAGTTTTTGGCGCCGTCACTCCTTCCGTGTTGATATCCCTCACGTACCGCATTATAGTTCTGTATGCATCCACTCGGATCATACCTGCGGTCCGCGAATCTGGGGCGCGTGCTCTCTCCCAAGAAGCGTCATTGGACGACTCCGATGCGGCCGGTCAGTTTTTGGGCCTACTCAGCTATTTCTCGCCATCTATCCTCATAGCTGTCTATACCAGTCTTCTCATGCAGCATTTCGCCTCTACCTCTCAAGCGATGGGTGGCAGTGGCGAGTGGTGGAGCAGTCAAGGAGGTGGTGGAGGGAATCTTTGGCGTTGGGTTAACCTCGCTGGTACGATGGCCTTATACGCCGTCGAGCTCTACCTGGGTGAGAATGACGACCTGGATTCTGGACTAGCTGGTCATTGGAAGACCGATTGAGCATAGCAACGAAACCGAGAGCAATCTCCGGTGCCTGTGGAGCTGGACTGCAAGGGCTTGCCGCCTTGATCCGGTACGAATGACACGTCAACCACTTCCGCGCCTTATGAACAGCGTTTCTTATGCGCATGGACTGCGGACACGGACTCATGGAGATCTATATGATCGAGGGCAATTCCACCCTTGGAATCTTAACCATTCAAGCTAGACTATGCCGTGTCGATAGTTTATGCTTCTCGAAAGATCCACAGGGGCTGCTGCTTTGGATGCCAGCAATGTCACCTTACTATCCGATACTCTCGCTTTCTTCATGTGTGTTTGGAAGCATAGGATATACTCCAGTATTTCTCATTTGCAATATCTGTTTCCGGACGAGTTTGTTGCTCGCAGAATCTACGACTGCAATCATCTCGCAGACCTCTCCCTTGGCAGGTTCGCCAAAGCGCCGCATACCTCCAAGGAAAGGTGAAAGATCAGACATAGCAGGTACTGGTACTCGAAGAGGCACGCCGACGGGTAGCGCAAACGAACCCCGCTTGCCTAGCTACTCCTGCTTCGCCCGTTGAGCCCGTGGCTTTTAGGTCGTGGGCTGTTCTAGCCTCCATTTTCTTTTTCATCTTCGCCACCATCCATATCGATCGTTGTTGCTTCCTGAATATCCTTCACCTCTTCACGATTCTACGAACAGATGTTTCAACTATACCCCTGGCCATTCGTTGAATTCTCATTCCTCTTAGCTTTCCACTCTTCAGGGATCATCGTATATCTGCATGTTTTGTGTCAACCTCAGGCTTTGTTTTATCATTTGATTGTCTGCCTTAGACGAACACTTATACCCAATTGCAGATTGAGATGAAATGGAACACCCCGTGCACTCTGTATACTTGTAGTGATATAGTTTTTGTGGTATTTACAACACGCATCAACGAAACTGGATTGTTTGCTTGCATCAAAGGTCCGAATGCCGATTTTAAGCTGAACAGGCCCTAACACCCATCCCGTCAACTTGAATAACCTCGTTGATACCAAGTCAGGTCAGCTGCAGACCAAAAGATTGAATCCAGTGAGTGCCCTTTCAACAGGAATCGCATCCTACAACTGTTTGTTTGACGATGTTGTTTCAAACAAGACATGATTACCATAGTACCCTGCGACAGAATAGAGAATCACTTTTGTATACTAGTAGCCATTGAGCCATTATGACTGCTGTTTGATTTTGACTTTCTTGAGTGTGAACCATTATGTACCCTCCTATGCTAAACAGGATTCCTCTCGACCATGAGTCATTCAAGACTTTTCGTAAGTATCATTGGTACCAGATATAGGCCTGCGGCTGACCCAACCCGTCAGGGAATCAGCAGTGATGCAGGTGACGATTATGCACTTGCCCCCCTGAGAATCACTCTATCTAGTGTAGTGTATCAACGTAGGGCGTCCGCAATCATGAACAGTCTGATGCTACGAAGAGGACAACGTCGACATATCAAATACGACTTTTCTCGTGGATAGTCACCGATAGAGCCATGCCATGCATGTGTGTGTGTTTGCGAGAGTATCGAGAGATCAAAAAAAAAGAAGCCGGGAAGAATATAAGAATTGAAGCTAGACGTGTATCCAGCACATATTAACAGGTTGTATGCAAAGCATTATCACATTTTGGGAGGCATCACACATGGAAAGAGATAACAACATGAAGGGCATGGGCCAAGGGAGAAATATGAAGGGCACGTGGCCAGGCAAACATGAATCGGAGAACAGTAAATGGCCAATATATGATCTGAAACCAATATGGACAAGAAGCGAAAAAGGTCGTTTAAACTGCAAGCATGGCAGGAGGTTTGGAAACCTAAAAGAAGCAAGAAAACCACAGAAACGGCTTGAGCCGGTCGAGCTCCCCCCATCAAGGTGTTTATGCTCAAAGAAAAGCTCCTTTTCCAATCAGGTTGACCATGGTTCCGGCGCTTCCAACTCTCCCGCATCATCCTGGCTTGTCCCGCTCTTCAGGATATCACGTCCACTATGAGCGGAGGAAGACTTGGTTGTCGTAAATACATCAACATCACAAGAAAAAAGGAAAAAAGGAAAATCCATAGCGCCGGGCTCTTTTAATGCCACCCTACCACCAAATGGAACAACAAATAGACTGAGGCAAAGCGGTTGCAAATGGGTCAAAGGAAATTCAGTTGACATGACCACCTATTGCCGAATAGGGACACCGCCGCGAGCAGGGGGGGGGCTCACACTAGACTCATCTGCGTCCTTCTGTTCAGCCGAGATGGAACCAGTGGCACCAACCTCAGCATCATCCACACTTCTTCCCCGTTGCAGATAGCTTGCTTCCTTCACAGGGCTTCGGCTCTGGAATCCTATAGAGCCCGGGTGACCGCTGATACTACCGGGAATCTGCTGTCCTTGGGAACTGACAGTTCCACCGTTACCCGCAGCTGCGGGGTTATTGGCGCCAGGCGAGGTCGCCGTCAGATGGGGGATGTTCTCAGGGACAGGGTGTTGAGAGCCAATATTGGTAACACCGACGTCTGAGGCCTTCCCAGCCTTGCTGAGGGCATAGTCACCCGAATCGAAGTATTTCCGTTCCTAGAAAGCACAGGCCCATGTCAGAGGGGAGGACGGCGAACCCTGGACCAACCAGGAAGACATACCTTCAACTTGTTCTGCAACAGATCTTTCTTGGTAGGCATCTTGCCATAGAGGCGAAGAAGGCGTTGCTCATCAGGACTCAAGGACTGCCAAGGAACGATGTCAGGAGCAGCTCAGCGGGGGAGGCAAACCGGAGGGATAAGTGAATGGGACTCACGCTGGTATCAATCTTATTCTGTTGGTGAGGGTTCATATTGCCTGGATGGTGGAGGAGGGGTGGGAGGATACGGGATGAAATGACTATCGATTGATTGAGAGAAGGGGAAAGAGGGCAGGCCGGTCAAAAATCAAGAGGAACAAGCAAAAGGGCTAGCCGTTGGGCGGGGAGACGAGGTAGATCAGGTAGTAGTCCGTGGAATGGATGAGGTGCGGTAACTGAAGTGTCGTCAGGAAACCCCACCGATGGCGGGGAGGAAAGTATAGGATCCAAGCGGCGGGCGGGACCAGAGGAATGAGGGCGTCCGTTGGCGGGCGTGCTAATAAGCCGAGGGGATAGAGAGGGGGAGAGTGCGTGAGGGTGTAAAACAATGGGTATGTCGCTGTTGACGTCGTTGATCTTCGTTGAGAGAAATAGAAATTGGGGGGGGGGGGGGAGAGGGGGAGAGGGACTGGGAGAGGTAGCAGTCAGTCAGTCGCAGGCTAGCAGCAGCAGCAGTAGTTAGCAGCAGCAGCCGCCGCCCGCCTGTGACGAGAACTGTCATGGGGATTTCATGGAGGAGGTGAGGCAGCGTCGATGGTTGGCTGTGACGCGTTGGTTACCAGCCCGGGTCTCCGCGAGGCCTTCCACTAATCCTGTCCAGGTAAAGTGGCCACCCCATTAGGCCTAGCCCTTTTGATTGGGGACCGCTCCACATCTCTATACTAATACCAAATATACGATACGTGGTATTACCTGGTATCAATAGTGCTCCGTACTGTACCTCCCACTTACACCACCATCTATCTACCTACCTACTTGACTTATATCTACTCACTCCTACCTTACCACCTGCAGCGGTTTGGCAACCTCAGTGGTAAGGGTTACTAGGAGTATCTACCACCTGGCTGAATAGATACTATCTAGAATTACATACCTGACTACCAGTAGTAGTTACCTATTGAAAAGCCACCCCCCCTCATCAGGCACGCATCTGGCTCAAAAACACCGGACTGGGAGACCAGAAGGGGGAAGAAACACACGCACACATTACCTTGATTGAGCAGCTTCTCCAACACAACCCCCCACTCTCTTCCGCCCTTCCCCCTCTCCCAATTCCAATTCCAGGACGATGGGCCATTCATTTACCAGGTGGGAGAGCCCAGGAGACGACGGGTTTGGGGGACAGGATGCTTCAGCGTCCGGCGTGTATTGGTCGGTATTCGCCCTGCCCTTGACTTCAAGACTGGCAGGAATCAAAGTCTAACGGCTTCTTTCTCTGCCCCTCTTCGCCCGACAGTCTCTCCATAGCTCCAAAGGTAGCATTTCGGCAGCTGTTCAACTCTCCGTTCTCATCATACCCTTCTGGACCTCCGCCCCCGGCCGATCAGATCTTTTCCGCGTTCCTTCCCACCCCTCCCTCGCAAAAAGCCTTGACGGCCACATTTGCGGTTCGAACCGTTGCTTGATACCCCGCCAACCCAGCCTCAGGCATTTCCAGCCATTGCCCAGTTGTAGGACGCAAGAAACCTTCCCAATCGCGCCGGAATGAGCGATCAAACTGCGTCCTCGGGGCCCGTGACCATTGTGGTCGAGCACCTGGACCCTGAGTTGGGCGTTTGGTCTGGCTTAGAGTATGGATGTATTGCCCGGGAATCCCACGCCGCCGGGAGCAGATTTCTCCTCAGCTCTGTGCCCACCTCCTTGCAGATGCCAGAAGACTTGGCTGCTACCCCGGGGCTTAACGTCGAGCATCGGAGTGTCGAAGAGATCTTTGCGGATCGGAAATCCCGGGTCTGCTTGCTAGACCCGGCTGCTCAAGTTGAGCTGAGCCCTGCTGATGCGGAGACATTCGATGTCTTCCTCTTCGGAGGTATTCTTGGTGAGAGACCCCGACCTCGGCTCACCTATCGGGCGGTCCGATGGGACCGATAGGATTCTCGCTATGTCTAACCTGAGCTATCCATGGGGTTTAGGTGATGACCCCCCGCGCGGTAAGTTGCATGGAAGAAACCAGCGTCCACCGAACACAGAGGGTTAACAGAACAACTCCAGACCGGACGTCCGAACTACGAAAGAAAGGCTACGCCGGCAGACGGCTGGGGCCCAAGCAGATGACCACCGACACAGCTGTACGTGTGACGCGCATGGTCGTGCACGAGAAAGGTCTACTTCACTGCCCAGGATTGGGAGTTAATGCATGGTAGCTAACCATTCCCAGTGCCCCTGGACCAAATCTCTTATGTCGATTACCCGGAGATTCTAATCAACGAGCATGAACGGACCGAGATGCCCTTCCGCTATGTGAAGGGCGAGGACGGCCAACCAATCATGCCCAAGGTACTGTCTCCTCCATCTTGCCCACAGCCCTGTCTGCGAGTGAGTCGATCCGTTACTGACATGGGTCTCTAGGGTATGGTTGATTTGATTAAGAAGGATGCCGATCAGGGCATTGATGATCTGGTTTGATCGGATGGATAGGCTTCTCAAAAATAGTACTATAAAGTAACTAGTTAATAAGAAGAGGGTCGATCAATGTGCCGGAATGTGCTCTCTATGTATCTCCTCTATAGAACCCCCGATTCGGCAATGATGGTCCGTGACCGTATCAATACGAGGCTTCCACGGCACTTCCACAGCACTTCCACAGCTTCCATGCGGGGATCGACTCGACGGTATGGTACGGATACCGTATGGAGACTGTCTGACCGCCCGTCACCCGCCCGCCGCCTGCCTGAGTCTGGCCACGCCATCCATTCGTTTGTCTTCTCACCATATTCCCCCTCCTCCCCCTGCTCTCTCATTCCTCTCCCACTCTCTCACTCTCACTTCCTCTTCCCTGTCTTCTTGCCCCCATCGGTTAGTGAAAGAGAGATATTTCGTTGTGAGCGCTGTTGCCAGTCCTCTCGAGATCAGTTCTGCTCGGCGCCGGATCTCTCGGCATTCGCGACGCTGAGGTCCCCCCATACTTGCACATAAATACAACATACACACGGACATACTCCCCCGGAGATGATCTCATTATCATTCCGCGGGGGTTCCGGGAGGAGGAGGGATGTCTCGCCCTCCGCCCCAATATCATCCTGGCTCCTATCGGCCCTATTCCTTCTAAGCCCGGCGTTGGTTTCAGCTAAGTCTGCGGCGGACTACTATGTTCACTCCTTACCGGGTGCCCCCGAGGGTCCCCTGTTAAAAATGCATGCCGGGTAAGTAGCCTCCATCCTCGAAATCATATAACGCCCTGGGGAAGCGAAACTGACTTGTTTTTCACGCTCTCGGTGACAGCCATATCGAGGTGGACCAGCAAAGCAATGGAAACCTTTTCTTCTGGCATTTCCAGAATCGCCATATCGCAAATCGCCAGCGAACTGTCATTTGGTTGAACGGTGGCCCCGGGTGCAGCTCAATGGACGGCGCATTGATGGAGGTTGGCCCGTATCGCCTGAAGGATAACGAAACGCTGGTGTATAATGAGGGATCTTGGGATGAGTTTGCCAACTTGCTGTTTGTCGACCAGCCAGTCGGAACCGGTTTCAGTTATGTCAATACCGACAGCTATCTCCACGAGCTTGATCAGATGTCAGCCCAGTTTATTACGTTTTTGGAAGAGTGGTTCAGATTGTTTCCGGAGTATGAACGCGATGATGTATGATACCCGGACCGCCGCTCCCCACCCCCCGCTCGAGTGCTTGTTCTAACAATTTGGCAGATATATATTGCTGGGGAGTCTTACGCCGGTCAACATATCCCATACATTGCCAAGGCTATTCAAGAACGGAATGAGAAAATACAAGAAAAGAATATGGCCCAGTGGGGCTTGAAGGGTCTCCTGATCGGCAATGGCTGGATATCCCCAAGTGAACAATATCTCTCTTATCTGCCTTTTGCATACGAGGAAGGCCTCATCAAGGAAGGCAGTAGGACCGCAAAGGAGCTTGAGGTGTTGCAGTCAGTTTGTCAGTCCAGATTGGAAACGGGCAAGAACAAGATTCACCTAAACGATTGCGAGAAGGTTATGAATGGGCTGTTGGATAGGACGATTGACTCGAACAACCAATGTTATAATATGTACGACATCCGTCTTCGTGACAGCACCGATGCCTGTGGTATGAACTGGCCGACGGACTTGGTGGATGTGAAGCCCTACTTGCAACGACAGGACGTGGTGCAGGCTCTGAATATCAACCCCGAAAAGAAATCGGGATGGGTCGAGTGCTCGGGGGCCGTGGGCAGCGCTTTCAATCCTCAACAATCCGTGCCATCTGTTCGACTCCTCCCCGGTCTGCTGGAGTCCGGAATCTCTATCCTTCTTTTCAGCGGCGACAAGGATCTCATTTGCAATCATGTGGGGACTGAGCAGCTAATCAACAACATGAAATGGAGCGGGGGTACTGGTTTCGAAACTTCCCCGGGCGTCTGGGCTCCAAGGCACGACTGGAGTTTTGAAGGTGAACCGGCTGGAATCTATCAATATGCCAGGAACCTGACCTACGTGCTTATCTACAACGCAAGCCATATGGTCCCTTACGACCTTCCCCGGCAAACCCGAGACATGCTTGACCGCTTCATGAATGTCGACATTGCGAGTATTGGAGGAAGCCCGGCGGACTCGCGCATTGATGGCGAGAAACTGCCTCAGACATCCGTTGGCGGACATCCGAACAGCACCGCGGCAGAGGAGCAGGCGAAGGAAAAGATCAAGGAAACGGAATGGAAAGCCTACGCCAAATCCGGGGAGGCCGTTCTTGTGGTCGTCATCATTGGCGTGTCAGTCTGGGGCTTCTTCATCTGGCGTAGCCGCCGGCATCACCGTGGATACAAGGGCGTCTGGCATAAGGACATGAGCGGGAGCTCTGTCCTGGAACGGTTCCACAACAAGCGCACTGGAGGCGCGGACGTCGAAGCTGGAGATTTCGACGAGGCTGAACTCGATGATCTTCATTCACCTGGCTTGGAGAGAGAGCACTACGCCGTCGGTGATGATAGTGATGATGAGGACGACACCTCCCGGCAGCATTCGCGACAGCATCTATCATGATTTATATTGGCGCCCTTGGCTATAACCCTTGTTGAGGTCCGTCTTGTATCTTGCTTTTGGCCAGCGGGGGCATCTTCAGCTGTGCATCTATGTTCTAATTTAGTTAGGGTGAAGCTTCGTATCAATTAGACATGAATAATTATGACTTCGACGCCCATTTCCAATGCGACGTGCTCCGACCAAATTACACCAATACGAAGAATACTAGTTGTCTCTGCGGCCCAGATTCAGCCGCCGCAGAAATCATCTTTCAACGGTCCAAACCTTGACACTCCCATCATCAGCCGTGGTAACCAGAACCTCCTCGTCCTTGCTCTCGTCCCGATCACGATCAGCGCGCTTCGCCCAAGCCGCATGGTTGATCTCGTAAATACCATGCGCCCCTGTCAGGACCGTGGCAATGACCCACTCCGTCCGGGGCGGCAACGGAAGGTCTGTCTCCATGACTTCTTGTGAGGAATCTGACTTCAAGTCTGCCACAATGCGTTCCTCGTAAAGTACAACCCGTCCATCCGCGCCTACGGACGCCACAAGGCCCGTTCGCTTACTCCATGCCACCGCGTAAACCGCAAGGTCATGGATAGTGGGAAGGATCGCTTCCTCTTCCCAGGTCTCGTCCGTGCCAGTCGGTCGAAGGATACTGGGCACCCCAGTGTTTTCATAGCCGCCGCCAGACTGTTCCTTGGGCTGCCGCCGCCAGACACGAATGGTCCGATCATCTGAGCATGATACGAGACGTGGGCCGGATAGTGCACGCTGGCCAGTCTCCCTCCACTGGGACAATAAAGTCTCATTATCTTGGCCGGTCAACTCCGGCGAACAAACTGGAACGTTCTGAACACCCTCCCAGTCGACAAACCAGACGGTACCGGAATGGCCCCGCAGGCAAGCAACCTGGCCCCAGTCGTCAAGATCTTCACGCCAGATTCGAATGGTATCATCATAGCTCGCGCTCGCTAGACACTCCTCGACCGGATGCCAGGCCACGCACTTTACATCCCCCTCGTGCTCCTGCATAACGGCTACTGTTTCAAAATTGTTGTCGCCATCGTCCAAATCCTCCCAGATCCAGATGGACTTGTCCCGCGAACAAGTGGCCAGTAACATCCCCGATGGTGACCACGACACCGACTTGACCTCGCTGTCATGCCCATCAAGGAGCACTGCAAAACGCCATTCCTCATTGTCCTCGTCCTCGGCGCCCGAGTCTTCCCTGCGGAGAATGTCTGTCCTATTGTTTTCCTTGGCATCGGGATCGTGGTCATGCTCTAGCCCCGGTCTTGTCCTTGGTCCGCATCCGCCTTGTTCGTCGTCTGCGTGTCCGTAACTGTCCCATCGACGCCAAATGCCCGCTGTCGCATCAAAGCTGCCGGTCGCAAGCACGCTCTCGCCCTGGATATGGGGTTTCCAGGCTGCGGTGCGTACGCTGCGCTTATGTCCTCCAGAAATGGTAGAGAGGAGTCGGAAGTTGGTCAGCGAATAGACACGCACCGTCTTGTCGGAACCGCAAGTTGCGACGATGGGAAGATGGGGATGCGGTGCCGTCAACCAGGTGCGTTCGAGGGAGGGGGGCGTCAGGTCCGACAGCGGATGGAGGGCGCAAGAATAGGTGGCGGGGTTGACGGTGGCCATGGTGGGACCGTGAAAGGGGAAGTCCAAGTACACACTACCAGTCACTTGTCTGCCGTTTCAGCAGTTTCCAGAGTGAAAGGATGCTGTTCAGTTGTTCGGTTGCAGGCGAGGGAGAATGGGAGGAGTGGTACGGGAGACAGGCAGAGCTCGCGGCCGAGTTTCGGGGATTAGTCACTCTCCCTGCTCGGCTAACCAATGTTTACGTAGTTTTGAACTGGCTAGTAGTATCAAACAAGATGCCAACGTCTACAGTAAGAGACTACAAAGGTCCGTTGAAAATGAACAGCATCAAGTCTGTATCTATTGAAAGCATACCTAAACCAGCCACAAGCCCCCCTGGTGCTAAAAACAGGAATCCCCAAAAACCAACAAGAGAAGCAATCATGCCTCAGGCACAGAGCAGAGCCTCTCGGCGAGGATCTGGTCGTAAAACATGCCATGGCAAACCCAGTCCACCTCGCGAATCTTATCCAGTTCGTCTGTCAATTGCCCAACTTCCGTGACAAATTCAGGCATGCCCGCCCCAGCCAGGCTTTGGCTAGCAGTGCTGGTTGCTCGCACCCTTTCGCTGGCGCTCGACGCACTCAGGCGGGAGAGAACGTGAGCCCGTAGGCGCGCTAGGATCAACCGTGCGACGGGATCTGTAAAGCCGGTGGCACTTCTGCCATCCCCGCTAGAGCCGGCAGAATTTGCGGGTTCCGACGCGGAACAGAGGGATGACGGTGGCGCATTGGGTGCGTCCGTTTGAATCTCAAGCGCTGTCAAGGTCGTCCCTGCATGAGAAGCTGTAGCGCAGGCCGTGCCCACTGGTGCTAAGACTCGTCGGATGGTCGCCGCCAATTGGGCGCTAGCGCTGGGTGGCATTGGGTGTGTAGATTCTAGGATTGACTGGACTCGATCGGGCTGGATCTCGTTGAAGTCCAACGATAGGATTCGGTCCGCTTCAGCCTTCCACTGGGACCTCACATCCCGCTTGAGAAGATTCTTGGCAGTCAAGAGAATGGACGCCGTAGCAACGATCCTGAATGCATGTGCATGCAGCCGCCCGAGACGCTGCCGATCTAATTCAAGTGTTTCGGGGATCAAGTCGTCAGAGACTGCTGCATTGCTCAGCACAAGATCTACGAGTCCCTGTGCGTAGACCTTTGCTGCTGGCGGCTGCGGCTCACCGTTGGCGTTTTCTGGATCTCGCTTTCTCATCTCATCCGCGAGAACCTTTCGGTACGTCCGCCAGAAGAGCCGACTCTTCCCCAAGCCCAGCGACCCATCCTGAAGGGCCTTTGTGAAGGTTCTCTGCTCATATCCGGGTGCCTCCTGGATGAGTTGCGGAGCCGCCACCTGGATCATGAAATTCGTGTGGTCAAGAGAAAGGAGATCAATGATCCCCATAAGTCTTGCTAGGCGATCAATTGCGTCCCCCGACGTATCCTCAACAAAGTCTTTGACCACGGGATCCCGATAAGGAGCGCAGAGCCTTGGCAGAATCGTGTTCATGAACTCGAAGAAACTGCCGTAGGAAAAAGCGCCGGCTTTGCATTGAGTCTCGATCAACTTGGGATCAAGCACTTCACTAATAAGCACGTAAAGTGAGTTCCCAGGCCGAAGCGAGCGCAGTAATCGATCCTGGATCACAGTGGCCATGGCCACTGTCCAGTTCGCCCCCATGCCGGCATCCACATCTCTTCGCATCATTTCACACATATGCCGCATGATCCGTTTGCGGGGTTCCGTATACTCATTCTCGTCAATCTTGAACTCCTTATTGATAAGGAGCTCATGTACCAGCGACCGGTTTTCCGGGAGTGCAGTAAGGATCCGAGTGAACCGTTCATGCGGAGATACGCGTTGCTTTTCTAGTTCATGAAGGATTCCATTGTCCACATTGCTAAAAGTTTCACTGATAGGCGATGCAACACTCTCAGTGAGAGCTTCAGTCGAGGAGCGCGCGACTTCCGCCGAACGTGGGATAGCCTGCTTGAGAGTGATACGCTTCTTCTCACGCTTAGCCTTTTTCAGGGCATCACGCACCATCTGCATCGCTTTGTCGGACCCCGCCAGGCGCTTGAGCCTGGCAAGGAGGAGAATTTGGTTCTGTCTGATACCTTGATGATAATCGTCGGCCACACCACCAGTGCGGTCATTTTTGACCGTCTGCCAGATCAGCTCCAGCTCGATAAACTGGGCCAGCATGATCTCTATCAAAACGCTAGAGTCATGCGTTTTCCATGCGTGGAATGCAGAGAAAAATACATTATATGCCTCACACAGGGCCTGGAGCTCCGTCGAGATGGACTGTGGTGAGCAGCAGTCGGAGGATAGTAGCGGCGTGACTTGCTCGAACGCCATCAGAAGCTCCCGAGCTTTGGCAATCAAGTCCTGTTCTTGTTCGCCGTTACTGCTTAGAGCCTCTTTAGGGTGCGTGACAATCAGGTAGCTGCTGAGAAAGGTTCGCACAGCACCCCGACCACTCATGGTGTCACTCTCCATGTCGTGCAGCCCGCAGAGTCTGAGAACTTTAGCAGTTGCTTCTAACACTTCATCCTCTGAGAGCAGGGCGCCAACATCCTCAAATACCATGTTACCAATACGATCAATTGTCAGGACATGAGCCAGGAACTGTCGCATGACCATCCTCGCGTAGTATGCCCTCCACGCTCTTTGAATTGTTTTGGCAGCCGCATCCTGCGTGAGCAATCTTGTTACGGCTCTAGTCATTTTCTTCTCTTCGGCGATAGGTAGGCTAGCTTTGCGGTGGCGCCGGTGACTCTGCTGATATAGCATTCGCCTCTTCTCCGCTTCGGCAAACTTCTCTGCGATCTCCAAACGAAGCCGAGCGTGTTCAGCAGCTTTTCTTTCTCGATTGTCTTCGGCCTTCTTCTTCGCACGGCGGACTTCCTCCTCGCACTTGGCGGTGATCTCGGCTAATAACCGTTCGCGGGCTTGCTGAGCAGCCAAGGCACGTTCCTCTCGCTGCAAGTTTCGCGTAGCAGCTTTTGCGAGGGCGGCACGCAATCTCACCTTTTCAGCATGTAATGCGCGATCTGCAAGCCTCGCCTTCCGGCTTTCGAGGATGGAAGTCCGCCGGAGATGCTGCGCTATGTGATCAGTGGGAGATGCACCGTGAGATGGCGCGTTCGAGTGCTGTGAATGGAGCGACGAAATCGAGCTCCGGCGAGACGAGGCTGCCGAGCGTCGGACTACACTTGGCTTCCGGGCAAAGCGAGCGGCGAGATGGGCAGGTAAGCTTAGAGGGAGAGTTGGTTCACTGGATGACATTTCCACATCTGACTTATTCGGAGGTTCAGATACAGCTGTGGGACCAGTATCCGAGAGTTGGACCTCAAAGTCTGAGTTGCGGTGGATCATATTCTGCCGAAGATGAATGTTCCGGCATGCAAATGTAGGAAGCTTATCGGGAAGCCGGGCGGGGGGTGGGGGGGGGGTGTCGATTTACTGTTGTATAATTTGGGATATATAGAGTGATTCAGGTCCGTGATAGATGAACAGGGGGGGGCGGAGGGTGGTTGCTTGAAAGACACCGCGTCGCAGTTTCTGTGTCCGCAAAAACAACTGAAGACTGGGGGAACCCAGAAAAGTGTCTCAAGTAGGTCTGAAGGTTCAAAGTTGGGGGGCATGCCCCGGAGAGATCTGTGATTTGTTTCGGAGGGGGAGATTAGCGCACGGGGGAATACAAAGTAGAGTAGAGGAGATAGTGAGTGTTGAGTAGTGATAGTGAGTAGATAGGTAGGTAGATGAGTAGTGTCAGTGCAAATTGTACCCAGAGCGAATGGAAAGTGGGGATACAAAAGGAATGTAAAATAAAGGAGGCGGGAGAGGTGCTAGAATAAGAATAGTAAGCAAGAGGATGAACTCATGATTAATGATAGACAGATGGATCACGCATGCATTCCAAGCATCACGGATCGGGCGCATCCTTCGTTGTCATCATCAGCGCCGCTCCAAGGAAGGCAATGGAAGCCGCATCCAGATGGCTTAGCTAAGCAGATCGGCATTCCTGCCGTCTTCTCCTGGCCATACACAAGCGGTCCGCCGTACTCTGTCCTATAGATACCTACTAGGGAGTTAATGCCATGTAAATCATATTTGATTGTGCTTCCTATCCACAATTCATCTACCATGCCCTTACCCAGCTACCGAAGGGCATTGCGCATCCTCCATGTCTAGTACCAGGGTACACCACACTCAGACACCATGGTTGTACAGTAAAACAATAATACGGGGGTTCGATTATGATGATAGTGATTTTGTTCCCTCATGCTCAACACCGAACGCCCATATAAGCACACCCAAGCATCAATATATCATATGAGGCATCTTCAGTTGGGCCTGCCAGCTTCTGCCATCATAGTTGTCATCACCTAGTCCCCGAATGGCCCCAAAAGGCAAAACCCAGGGACTCGCGTCTATATTAGCATTGCAAAGTTAGCGGGGGGCTCACGAGGAGCGCCTGTACGTAGTTATCTAAGAACATTCATCGATGGCCCACGATGTTGATGCGCTCAGGGCCTTCATCGTCGTCCTCGTCGTCCTCGCTGCCGTTGTTAGATTCACTATCCCCTGAGATTTCACCCTCACCCACCTCTCCAGCATCAGCATCGGATGCCCCATCAACGGACTCTGATTCCTGCCCGAGAAAGCCATAGGTGTACTTGAGTTTGGTGCCCCATAAACGAAGTTCGCCGCCGTCTTCGTTTCCACTGCCTCGGAACGAAAAGCCGCCAAAGAAGGAGGTTGATCTCGATCTTTCGGAGTCACGGTCGGGCGGGATACCGAAATAGTTGCTGATCACAGGGGACACAGCACGACCACGAGTCAGGTTGTATGACGAGAATTGGCCACCTGCTTCAGCAGACAAAGGAGCAGTACCCCGAGGAGCCGGGTCTGTCCCCAGGACCGAGCTCGTGTCAATGCGCAACGATGCCAAGGTTGACGACGCACTTTCATCCGCACCGTGAGAGGACGACCTGGCTCTGGAGGGTTGGATATCCTCAAGGTCAACATCAGGTGCTGGAGAATCCAGTGAATCTCTGTGGAGGAGCCGAATCTGCGCGGTATTGTATGATTCGCACCTGAGATCTAGTCAGCATGCCAGTCTTTCGGGCCGCATTAGGAGAATACCCACATATCACATCGAAAGCCCAACCAGTGATACTTCACAATGGATTTAACACCACAATCGTTGCAATAAATGAGTGCCCTTGTGTCTTTGAACTCAGCCGGCATAGGCTGACTTTCAATGGTCCGATCCAAATTCCGGAATGTGGACTCCATGTTTGTAATCGTCTTGCTACAAAGTGGGCAGCGATACGAATTCTTTGCGTATTCGGATAAACATCTTTGGTGAATACTGTGTCCACACCTCATAAAGACCACAGTTTCTGGAGAGGTGAACATATAATCTCCGCAAATTGGACAATCACATTGTGTGGAACGCTCAATACATCGATGAGTGTTCTCAATAGAAATCGGGAGGCAGACACTGCACGTCTAGATATGTGTTAGCAAACAACTTTTGTCAATTTCACGTCAGTCTGTGCTCACCTTACAGTGGAAGAAGTCCTTCCCTAGCCCTTGGCCTATGCGGCAGATACCGCAGTCATTGCAGTGATAGATACTCTTGTTCGAGTCGTTGTCCCAGAGTTTGCAGACATGGCAATAATACTGCGCTGCCCGCTCACCACAGTGTCCGCACTGCTGTGCCGCGGGCTGCGCTTGTCCACATAACATGCAGAGCATATTCTCTGTCTTTGGTCGATCGAGGTGATGATCTTCAATCTCATCGTGGCAGAATCTGCACGTGTACCATTTCTTGCATGTATAACACTGCAACTTCACGTTTCTCTTATAATGGTGACAGCCTAGGAAAGCTTCCTCGAGTTCTTCACTGTCCATGTCCTCTGTCTCACCAAGGGGTGACTCTGGGTCTACTCGTGGTGCATATGTCGGTAGTAGGTCTTCAGCTGTAAGTGGGTAATTTATACGGGGGGGGTTGGAGGGCGTAGAGACTGGGGAAGCAGGCGATAGATCGCCCGACCGGACACTCCAATGACTGGGGCTGACCATTTGTCTTGGACTTTGAGTAGGTGATGGGCTCCTGGGAAAGAATTGATCCCCTAAATCCATTTGATAAGCGTTATAGTTTTCTGTCATCAACGCGTGAATCATGCGTGCCTGGTCTGTACTACTGGACCCTAGGTCTCTGATGGCATGAATCCTTTTCCTCAAAGCGCCCATTCCATCATCTTCTGGCAAAGAGAGAGGAACCCCAGTCTCATTCACCTCAGCCCGGTTGTTCAGATGCTGCCCCGCACTATGTCCGTCCCAGCTTGTCCCCCGAGCGACATCTTGTGTGGGGAAGGAGGCCGAGGCAAGCCGGCCAGGTGATGAAGTTGAAGTCCTTCTGTGCATATTGTGCGACACAAAAAGCGGCCGCGGGGAGCCATCTGCCATGTCTACAGGCGAGTTTGCGGGTGGACAGTGTTCCGCTCTAGTATGTGGTCTGGTCGAGTCTATCGTCGGCGAGATGGTGCGGCCATGGTCGGATCCCGCATACCCGCCGTGCGATGGGGATCTAGCTTGTTTCTCTGGTTCTGGCTCTGGTTCTGACACGACCCTGTTATCCGCCTCTTGTCTATAAGAGCTGTCTGGGTGGTCATTGTCCCAGGTGCTGGTGGGAGTTTCGGCTTGATCGTGGGAAGACAACGGGGTGTTTGTCTGCTGCGAGAGGCGACGGGCTTGCCGAACGACGGGTTCAATGAAGAAAGAAGAAATAAGCCCACTCATGGAGGGCCGGTAGCAGCATAAGACGTGGATGGAAGCTCGCTGGAAGCCAATGGGAGCCGGAAGAAGGTTCGGGGAAATGGTTGAAGGCAAGAAGGTAGGGACGCGAAGCACTTCGCTGGCATGAAGCCTGACAAGGACTCCGGAATACTTCGAACATGTGACATTGGCCCGGCCCGGTCGTTGATTCGCCGATCGCCACTACTTGACAATACTACTACTATCTAGTTTACTTGCCTACTTACTAGGTATGTACAGTAGTAGTAGGAGGGACCTGTACCTAACTAGTAGGTGGGTAAACAGATATGTACTATCAAGAAACGAATGTCGGATGATGCCCGTTTTGAGGATAATTATAACGATACTACCTACCTGCATCCCACCGAATGCAGGCAAGGGGTGTACTCAAATACTCCGCACTCTACAATGGAACTTGCCGCAAGTGAAAGGTACTAGTACTCTCATATTATGCGATCGCGCTGCCCCGTACTAACTGGTCTACGGAGTACAACCTACTGGAATCAGGTTTAATTGCTGTCTACGAAGCGTGGATCACTACGTAGATTATACCGCTGATGATTCTACTAGTAGTCCCTCGAAGATCGTAACCAGACCATTATTGATTGCATGACTACTACCTCAAGCAGATTTCTAGGCTATCATTAAGGAGTGATAGTGTCAGATTAAACTGTCGAATCGCGTCCTGCATCAGAGCAGGATCTTTTTGATCGAGTCCCAATCCTCGCAGACTGAGTTGAGGTTAGAACAGTGAAAATCCCAAATCCCCCAACTCATGACAACCTACATGCGATAGTCCTTCCTCACGTGAGGCTGCTCCCAGTATTTTATCACCATCAGATTTCTGACAATCTTGTGTTCCAGACCTGCAACATCGGCAGCTCGCTGGAGGAAGCGGAGGGTATTGGCTATGCGCTGTGGATTCAATTCCTCCAGTGAAGATGAGCGAAAGGAAGACCGCAGAGTGTTCTGAAGAACATGCCGCGCTGGAGTGGAATAATTGACTGCCTTTAACCCTTGACGGTACAGGTGACGATAGGCATTGATGACCATCTTCGGATCTGCCGCAGGCTTCAGAGCTGACGCCGATCTCATATTGGTGGGAGGTGGAGGAACTCAGGAGAAGGGAGGCAAGTCATTACAGCGTCTTTTTCAGATTCAATTCGGCCACAAGGACAGACACATACCCGCCTGGACTAGAGGCGGTGGCCGGTGCGATATGGTGCAATATTTATTCGGTGTTATTCACAAGCCGGCTGCGATCCAGTCGAATATTTTAGGTGATGGATGACTGAGAGGTTCACGCTAGCCTGATTGGGTATGCCCCTTCAGTGCCCACGCTTTAGGCCGCAAATGTTCGGTTGCGCCCCTCAGTCTTCTCCTTCTTTCTTACCCTTCGCCCTTGCTCCTTTGTATACCATCACCACACTTTTTCTGCTGCTGCTACTACTACAGCAGCAGCAGCGGCACAAGAACAATAACAACAACAAGAAGAAGAAGAAGAAGAAGAAGAAGAAGAAGAAGAAGAAGAAGAAGAAGAAGAGCTGCTGCTGCTACTGCTCCGAACCGCTGCTGTTGCTGCAATCAGCACCCACCTCTATCTACTACGGTCGGGGGTCAGCGTCATCCGCCTACTTGCTAATATTGTGGCCTCCTCAAAGCTCCTTCCTAACCCCTCTATCGGGGTGAGTGTGTCTGGAGAGAGCTGAAACATCGGCTGTATCAGACAGAGTACTCTGTGCTGTCCTGTTCAGTTCATTTGACTCCGCTGGAACTGTGACTGATCTGTCCATCCATGCTCACGGCTCACGGCTCACGGCTGCTTGTGTAGTTAGTTAGACCTATGTGGCTTACTAACTGGCTCCTGCCTGACGGACAGCTTCATACACTACTACTTACTACTTCTGCTGCTGCTGCTATTGAATACGGCCCTCTCTGCTTCGCTCGGTGAATGGCCGTTTCCTGGCTCCTCTTCTCTTTATGCAGCGCGTATCGGAAATGGTACCGGTAAAATGAAGACTTGTTTTATGTAGTTACTTGGGAAGGCCCTACCTACCTACCTCATCAGCATGGCCCGAGTATCGAGGAAAGCTGTTTCAGTTCTTGCCAGACATGCGCCAAGCAGGGCCATCAGGAGGAACACCCGAAAGCATAAAGTGATTCTGGAGTCTATCACGCAAGAGAAGAAGAAGCTTCGCAGTGTTGTATGTTCTTGTGCTGCTAGTCTCCCGTGAGCACTCTTGACGAAGAAGACAGATATCATTTGAAGCAAAAGCGCCCCCTGGCTACACCTTCATCCCTGCTGGTAATCCTCAGCTTACAACAGCTTGTAAGGAATTGTGTCGGAAAGATGGTTGGAAGGTGTTTGCAGTCACGGTAGGCCGACGGCCATGCCCATTTCTGGACGTTCATGTCTCTAATATCCCCTGCTAGACAACACCACATATGCACACCCACAACCTCTCACAACATGTCCATCGAATTGGGTACCACTTTCCAAGCACTGCCGTTGCCACAGTGTGTATGGACATGGGTCTTTATCTCACTGCAGCAGGAAAAGCGGTGCCATTCCAAAGTGTTGGCAGTATAGCCAGCCGCAGGCGTGCTAATTCGGAAGTTTCCCAGACTACCATCAATACAGAAGCAAGAGACGTTCTGAAAGATCTTTTCCCTAACATGCCAGATAATGATTTGAATCAAATCATCAAGACTGCTTTCCAAAAGGTACGTGTAGGGCTTAACCATCGAGGTGGAGGGAAATAAGGCGAAGCAAACCATTTGATAGATACTGAACCTAGATTAAGGGCCAGCGAAAAGTAGGCACGGCAGTTGAGCTGCCTCTAGCTCGTCGGGCCCAGTTAGCGGTGGTAGCCCATATTCGCCATATCTACACGGACTACGATCGTCTTCTGAAGGCGACATCATTCCACGAGGCTAGAAGCCTAGTCGAGGAGCCTACTCTAGCAAAGTTGGTGGAATGGAGAGGAGACGATGAAAATGGAAGGACGGTCTTGGAAGACGTATTCCGTGAGGTCATTGTCATATCCGATGATGAAGAAGATAGTGATACCGAGGGAGAGGCCCCCGCCTCAGTCGACCGAGACCGCAGTGTAATGGTGGTCTCCAGCAACCCTCGGGCTGACGAGTTGCAAACAAAGCAGCTCAATTATGCTAACCCTATTCTTCGTGAGGTCCAATCAGATATATCAGATGATGAAGCTCCACCGGGCTTTCGTTTCATCCCAGAAGCGCCCCGGACGAACAAAATTGACCGCCGTGGTTTCAGCAGATACCAAGCTTGGGATCGTGCGATCAATCGATATAGACATATGGCAAATGAGGCTGACCAACGCAGATTACACGATGGGTCTACTGATAGCCGGAGGCCAGTAGTTACTCGGCAGCCGTTGCAGGAAAACGTTGGGCAAGAAGGACCCGCCTTATACCCTGCCATAGACCATCCTTGTGTTTCACTTGCACCCCTGGCTGCGTCTAATACAGGCCCTTTTGGCGCTGGAGCAGGTAGACCCATTCTAACTTCTGTAGTGGATCGTCATGTAAGTTCCCAGGGGCACATTTTACCCACCATGATTGTGCTTTTTGATCTCTAACCATAGTGACCCCAAGCTAACTTTGAACGAGTCATACGAATTAAATCGGGGGGCTGAATTGTCTATTGACAGGAGAGATATTCTTCTGTCAAATGTGATCCCCTTGGACCGAACACAAGCTGCTCCACCAAAGAGGCGTACATTCCAGCGAGATGACTCGCCCAATGCTCCTGTGTTCGTTAGTGGCCCTAGAGAAGTTTATGAAATGACCCAGACTGGAGACCCAACTTTACCTTTGGCCCCATCACAACACAGAAGCACTGTGCAGTCACAGGATCATGCATTTCCCTCTATTGAGGCACCTTTGCCCGTGGAAATCCGGCGCTCCGACAGTGGTCAATTGGATCATCTTACCAAAAGGATGTCTGGGACGTTCTCCATCCGTTCAGTGACGCCCCATCATCTAGCTCACCGGGAGGCGTCGCATCAAGATTTGCAAAAGTCGGCTCGAGATCAAGCTGCCAAACGGAGGCGTACGGCTCATTATGAACCTGTTGGAGCAGATTACACCTACTCCAAGGATAATTCTGCCAGCACTGTTGTTCCTCACAGAGCTGGCTGGTTTCACAATGCTGCTGGATATGTTCCATGGGGCAGTTCTTCGGCCTTGGATGAAACCTATGTCCGTAGGGGGTACGTTGCGCCATTTGGGGCCTTAAATACCCCTGAGAATCATCCAGGACGGTCCCAGTCCTCTGCTGTTACCGCAAATATTGGCTTGAATACCGAGGCAGCACAGCATCAAGTGCCGGTAAAGAAGTTGGACAACCAAACATCTCACTTACTCTCTTCTGAATTTCCCGCCCGCCGCTGGTCTCCAGGGCAGCCTCACATCTTTCCAGGCAATAGGTATGCCATTTATAAGGATAATGCTTCCGAAAGGCTTGTTCCTGTACGGCACTCCGCCTTGGAAGAACGGCGTGTCTATCGTGAAATTCCCGGATACAATATTCGAAATTTGAGGCCGGTTCAGGGTCCAGAGTCACAAGAGTCCATATGGAGTAGCAGGATTTATGGTCGCACCCCTGCTTCACACGCGCGGTCTCCGAAAAGACATTATGCAGAAGACTTTGTTCGTGCTGTTGATTATGATGATCGAATCCCACTGGAATATACAGCGCAGCATCAGCTTCAGACGCCAAACCGTTCTATGGGAACCCGCCCTCAACCAGTTGGGGTTACCGTGCAAACCGAGTCCTATCAGTGTAACATATCTGGTAGTATGGAATCAAGACCATCTGGCCCTGTTTGTCTAGATTCGCGGGCGGAAATTACTGCCCAGGATTTTGCAGCGGCATTAGATCAGAGTCAAGGATATCAGACTGTCAGAGAGATCAACCCATCTTCTACAGCCCAGTATTACGATAGATATGGCGGAGGCACCATGGACTTTTCATGGTATGGCCCTTGAAGCTGTCTAACCCCCCGGCCCGATCTTATGGCTGCTAATCGCCCCCAACCATGACAGGCAAGCCTCTGAGTGTCAACAACAAGGATCGGGGACAGGGGATCAATGTTATCCCACATATGTCAGACAAGTGAATCGGACACAGTATTCAGTTCCTGAGGGTCGGGCTGTTGTCATTGTTGACTGAAGTCAATGACTACCCAACCTGTTTGTTTTGTAAATGCCCGCATGTACATCACTGTACGTAGTGGCATTGGGTCAATGGATGTAATACCAAATCACATGTCAACAGTGAATATGACAAGTGCAATACTTCTTATGTAATTATTCTGAACTACCTTGTGCACATCAAAGCCTGGTCTAATGAATGCCCTTAATCATGTCCCTAACCAAAGTAAATGGGCAAGGCTGCCATCTGCATGAAAAACAAGATCTGCAGGGTTTTCTTGCACGGTTGACAAAATAAAATGCCAGAAAGCAGCAGCAGAAGCCGGGCTGGGTTTAGAAGGCTGCTGAGTCGCTTGATATGCACCACTCCTGTGCACACCCCTCAGACTTCCCGAGCGACACCATCAGCCTCCCCACTATTAACTCCTTTCCCAGTCTTCTTGATCGTTGCCAACACTGTTTCATAGGGTAAAGTCTCGTCAGCCACCACAAGGGCGGTCTGAGACTCCAAATTCACATCAAAGGACTTGACACCTGTGGTAGGGGAAGGGTTAGCCTCAACACTCCCTTGGAGGACGGTCACAGAATCAAACACTGTCTGATTTTACTCTGTAAGGCAAGAGAGATTGCTAGACAGGAAAGGGAACTCAGACACACCATTTAACTTCTTGAGGACTCGTTCCACGGCACCAGAGCAACCCCCGCAGCTCATGGTGACATTGAATTTGTATTGATGGTCTGACATGGTGAAAAGCAGCGAAATATCCAAGACGGGGAGGCTATGTGTACAGGGACAACAGTGAAAGTTGCAGACTTGCAGACTTGCAGACGCGACTAGGGACTAGATATAAGGATTATAATCGATTGTTATTGATTGTATTACGAGAATGGCGGCGGGGTTGGGGGAGAATCAATGGGTGGGTCAGGTCAGCGGTTGTTTCAGCTTTCAATAGAAATACCACTAATATTACATCTACTGGTATTGAGTACTCCGTAGACTCAGTTACAACACCAATTTTCTACTGTTATTTATCCCTATTATATATCAGGTAGTACTAGTAGGTGGCAACAGCCCCTTCTAAAATTCTTCTTCTACGTACCATTCCAACTTAAAACCCAGCTGCCCGCTTCTTCTTCCTTCCCTTTACCACGCTCTTTCGTACAGCTTCTCGACCTCCGAATATACCACGCTCGACCTGTGTCATCGGGACATCTTCGTCCACAGCTTGGCTGGTCTGGGATCTAATGGCGGGCCTCTCGTTATCAGGCTGGCTTCCCCATCCCCGTACGTCAGACATAACAGAGGCAGCAGAAGACATCGGGAGAGGTGCGGACACTCCTTGTGACGAAGGTGTTTTCTTGAGAGACCGGCGTCTTGGAGGGGTGACGTTGGGTGCTGGTTGCGGTTCCTCCGTTTCTTGGGTTTGTACCGTCCTTTGCCAGTTATAGCCACCTGGATCAGCTCCTGGGTGCCAGTGGTGAAGCACGCTCTCCGTATTTTGAGGCAATGCCCACTCGTTGCTGAAGGATGCAAAAGCGGAAAGACTGGCATATGAAGGTTTCTTGTCGCCTTGGTCATGAATCCCCTGTTGCTTGTGCCACACGGCATTTCTAGGTATTGCGCCGCTAGTCCGAATATCTATGCCACTATCGCTTAGTAACGCCACTGGTAAAGACTCGTGTCTCGCAACATCAGAGTCCGAAGCACCCATGGGGTCATTTGCGGTAGTAACTAAGGATGACAGAACGGCCTCGGGGCTTGTCCGCGAGCCAAAGCCCACCTTTTCAAGACCATGGGCCTGCTGTACCTTGATACTTACTTGCGCCAAAATCAAATCCCCAGCAACAGTGCGAATGACTTTCTCCTTCATAATTCTTGTACGCCCAGGAATATCGTAGGGCATAGTAGTCAACCAGTCGTTGACCAACCGGTCATAAGTTGCTATTAGATCCATTTTCGAGAAGCCCTCCGTGGAATTGGTCGGTTCAGCGAGATGCGTGCTGGCATGATTATATCGCCGGTTCTCAAGTTGGGTTTCGTTGAGGATGCTTGAGTGATCATTCAAGATTCTAGAAAGTAGGCTTTGAAATTCGCGGGCGTTCTGGTCGATATCCTCTAACAAAGGACTGCTACCAAGGATCTCGAGCCTGGAAAAAATCAGATGGTGACTGAACGCAATGGTGATTTCGTATCAACTTATAACAAATACTCACCATGTTTGACTTGTAGGCCGGCCATTGGCCGCAGTTCCAAAAGCTATCTCCTCAAGCTCTTTCATGGCTTCCCGGAAACTCCTATCGGGGCCTGCGCTCCCTTCCCTACGTAATAACGTTAACGTACCAATCGCAGCCGCGTACACTTCAGTATAATCAATGGTCCACTGTGGGATAGCGAGCGTAGTTACACCGGATATTCCAGCATCTGGGGCAGGGAATATGCCTGGGCCCAAAACACATTCGTCCCAGTCATCGACAATGAATTCATCCTGAGAGCGAGCCAGCTGCATTCGCTGCACTACGGCATGTTTTTTCTTTGCCCATAGGACATCTCTTGGAGGGGACTCATCTGAGGCGCCTTTAGATGAGAGACCTGCAAAAATCGCCTCGCGAACAGCCAGACTTGAATCAACGACAAAAGCCTTGATGAGTCTTGCAGATGGATCATAATACTTTTTACCGATGGGCGACGGCAAGTGCCTGATCTCCTTGAAGGCAAGCGCTGAAAATTGCGTGCTACTGGAAAGGAGTTGGATTTCGGTGGCATCATCGGATGACAACGGAATATTCAACACAAACGGATCAGGGGTTGATATCGTCTTCGTGTGATCCTTGTGCGCAGGAGGACATTGAAAAACCAGTGTGAGACGAGTGAGTCTTGAGTACAGGATAAGGTAGAAGTCTGGCGAGACTGTCAGTAAGAGATGTGAAGTATTTCAAATGGGCTGTGGCACTCAATAATATACCTTCATGCACAAGCAAATGAGTTAGTCGTAATGTTACGTCCTCGGGATCCCGAAAATGGCGCCAGCTCAGACGGGGGTATAGAGGAGTTCTTGTGTCACTATTTGCCGGTTCAGAAATAGAAGCGACCTCCAACCAGAAGATCCGACTTGTTGTCAGTATGAATACTTGCGACACATCGTAAAGACTCCTCTTGACATCTAGAATCCACTCCGATTTTTTCAAGCCAAGCTCGATCATATATGGCCAGACCAGCCCATTGTGTATTCGATAAAGCATTGGACAACGCCGGTCAGACACAATTAATCCATTGACATCTCCAGCCCATTCAATGGCGGCCCATCCATCATGCCGAGGATGGTCGTCAATATCTTGAGTATCTCCCGAGTCGAACCATGGCAATGAACCGGATTTAACACACGCAGCTGTCCAATTGCCCTTGCTTCGTCTGTGTCGACCAGATAATTCCCATATGCTCCAGTTGCCTCGATTGTCAACAATGGCGAATTGTTTCTGATACCAGGGGTTGAAGGTCACGTCTGCATGTGCAAAGCCTCCAGTCTGCATGTTCGATATTTCCACTAATGGATTTGCATCCAGCCGGGACCGGATGGATCTGTTCGGAATTATACGGCCATCATCGCAAGATACAAGCATAGGCACCGGGTTTCGATGATACACCGGTCGAAAGATAGTGGTTGAACGAGGCAAACGAACAGCCATCCAAGTCGCCTTTTCCTCCATCGTTCGTGCAAAGCATATTTGACGAACAGGGGCCCCTCCGGCGGACCAATTAGCACTCTCTGACTGTCCAATCGCCGGAACACGCATCCAAGTTGTTGTCTTCTGCCGGATTTCTACATTGTCTTCTTCAAATTTCCGCAAGCAGATTGTGTTCCCGCACTCTCCTGATGCCACCACTGCAATCGGTACCACACGGTTCCCCGAATCGTTGTTTTCCAAGTCGACAGCATAACCTGTATCAAATAGAGAAGAAACTAGAGGGTCACAGATTGCAGATGCGGCCGTAATGGAATGAGACAGTGTCTCGTTTCTGGCAAGAGGCCAACAAGCGGCAAGCTCGGGGTATACAGTAGTCAAAGAACTTTTGTTCCCAATGGACGAGATATGTGGCGCAGTGAGAGGCGACGGGATTGTAGTTTTTGTAACGCCTGTATACTTGATACGAGGGCCTCAAGAAATGGTTAGTATTGCATGGTTGGGAGAAAGACGTCGTTGCCCTGGATCGCTTACATGGGACCAGTGTTCGCGAGAATTCCCAGGTCTGGATTTCAGTGTTATAGACTGGTTTGCCCAAGTGCCCGTATTGTAGAGCACTCGTAGAAGGTTCATCCATTAGGTATGTTTTTGATCCTAGCGAAATGCGCTAGCTCCAGCATATCGAGACACTTAGATGCAACGTCTGAATCATATTTCCTGATGGTGTCCTTGAATACAGCTGCTTCCGACAGCCAGTCATGCATACGCAAGATGGCTGAAGGTAGTTATAAGGACGAGACCAAGATTCATTGGGACACTATCTAATGGGCGAAAAAATATTACGATAGATCGATGCCAAGCTTTTGTTAGTTCGTATCTGGCGGTTGCGCCGCAACACGGTTTAGCGTCTCTTTCGGGGAACAGGACCCGGAACAATCAGTATCATCACCACCCCGCGCATATCAGAAGTACTCCAATCTACGTCTTCCAGCAGTCTGCACTGAATCATCATTCGATTAATCTCATCATGAATTCTTCTTTCGATCCGTCACTCTCAACGAGTGGCATGCGCCCCCCCCTCGCGTCGGCTGATGCGCCCTCGATGGCGGACTCTCTCCCCAGTATCAATTTCGGATTCGAGGATCTTCGGAGTCGCATGGCGCAGTTTACCGCCCGCTTTGATGCCTTTATTGAGAGGGGTCGTAAACAAGTGCTGGAGGAGCGAAATCAATTCAAGATAGGGCTAGCAGAGCTTCAGGGTATGCCATCGGTCATCAGCCAGGGCGCGAGACCACAATTGCTAATCCAGAGTTCATAGAGGACGAGCGCATGAAGCAGAGGGACTCTGAGATTCTTGAACTTAAATCACAAACCCATCATCAGAATCTTCAGAAGGAAGCTGCTGAAGCGGCGGAAATGCACGCTGCAATTTCGTCCGTAACTCTGGAACGCAACTCCCGTCTTGCCAAGCGCGATCGCCTGAGGCAGCAGATCGAAGAAACTCAGAAGGCCATCAACCAAAAAATAGAGGCGCAGAAAACGCACGCCAGGTATCTGGATTCACAGGCGCGGCTTAATGTGCCGGAGTTGGAGTTTTGGCAGGACTATTTGTGCTTGCGCATCGAGGGAGCTGGGAGGGAGGATCGATTAAAGTTCGTTTACACTCACTTGCTTGAGAAAGACTGGGAGGTAGAAGCCTGGTTTGAACTCGGCACTGCTAGTCGCGATTACGCCGTGTTCCACACGCGACCCAAGCTAGACCGGGAGGCCCTTGAACAGGAGCTTGATATTGTCAACGAAGATCGTGACTTTGGTGCATTCTTAAAAAGAATGCGGAAGCTATTTGTTGAAACCTTGAAATAGGGACATATCGGGGAACATGATTACCTAGCGAGTACAAGTAATGATTCATCTATATCAATACTGTGGTATGATCCAAGTTGAATTCCTACAGCATCGGAGCATGCCCCTACGCCTACGGTCTTGGTAGTTTCAAGGGGCAACGCCCAAGGACATGTATTGAAGTTTGTCTGTTGTGGGGGATACCATCCAGTCTTTCATGGGGAAACAATGAATAATCCAGGCAGTATCATTAAGCATTGTGGGTCAACCGCCAGTGGCTTCGCGGTAAAATGATATGCTCCGGTTCGCCCCAGCCGTAGCAAATCCCTCTGATCTGCCGACCTTTGGCAGCCACTTCACGCTCCAGAGGGCTTTCTCTGTTTCAGAGTGGGTTGCGACACATGTTCGGGTGTCGATTGACCAAACCTTGACCTTTCCATCGAATGATCTTCTGAGCGTTAGAATGGCTTCTGCGAGAGCTAGTGGTATACATACCCGCTGAGGAGGTATTCTCCTGTGTGGCTCCATGAAAGCGACATGATCCAGGCAGAATGTCCCGCGAGATTAGCCACTTGCTCGCCAGAGGAGGTGTCATAGAGTATGATAACCTTGGAGTCACCAGCAGCAGCGAGTAATTTCCCCCCAGGGGAAAATGCAACGGCTCGTGCAGGATTCACCAGGCCTTGAACGTAGTGATTAGCCGGTCAGAGCCAAGCTCCCATAAACAGGTACATACCACATAAGCTGAATGGCATACGTCCCGTATCTGTACTGAAAATGTAGACACTGCCATTTTCATGTCCGCTAGCTATCAAGCGGCCATCCATAGACTGATTTGGTACATGAGCGTTTGCAGATTAACATTGGATAGAAGATACACTTTACCAGATCAATACAGGTGCCGAAGCTACCTTTTGTTTCATAGTCTCGGATCTCTTCGCCTTTAGCGTCAAGGTCCCACACTTTGATGTGTCCGTTTTGAGTGACGCCAGCAAGATACTGTCCATCCTGCGACAAAACAATGGCCCAGACGTCCACAGTTTTTGCATTATTTACTATCAAACAGTTAACCACGGGACTTTCAGATGGTGTGCAAAGTAGAGCCACTCACTGGAGGCTGCCTCATCTTTGGACCAGATGTCATCACGACAGGACCACACAAGAATATCACCACCGAAGCCAATACTGGCTGCTCTCGAGCCTTTTCCGTTGGTTACCACATGATGACACCCGACTTTATGGGCGCCGTCAAGGGACTGTACCAAAGGAAAATCGGCACCTGTGGTTGAATGAACCTTGAGAGAAGAAGCACCCGAAGCCGATAAGACCTGCCTGTCAGTCACAGCCAGTGCGAAAATATCAATGGGATGCGCTATTCTTGAGTTTAGCATACATTAGAAAAGTAATGGCGTGGTTGTCTACAAACCATCGTCTGCCGAACCGCAGGAGAGGTATTGTTTCGACTAAAACCCAGTGTTGATCCAGTCAGACTCTGCTGGGGCAGGACTCATTTTCGACAACATTACCATGCTCAAGCTGTGGCTCTAGATGTCTAGACGGTGCAAGCCATGTGAAACTCAACCACGTTGTAGCGTTGGGGGGAAGGGGGGGGGGGGGGGGGTATAAACGCGTAGTTGTTTGGGGACACGAGCATCAGAACTGGCGGGACAAACCGACTAAGGGCCAAATGAGATCATGATCTCGATGGCACCCACTCGGACGGGCCGAGCTACTCTTCACTCTCTGGCGTCTTTCAACCAGCACTGTTGCGCGTAGTCGAACTTACTATAACAGACAATTTTCGCGAGGCTTTCAAGTGGCTCGAAATAAATATACAAGATATAATCACAGTACGAAACTAAAAGATGATGAACCCTCAACTGTGCCAGACGCCGAATGCCATGCAGCATTTACCCTCTTATACTTCATGAATGCCAGATAAAAAAATACAATCCCAACGGCAGTCACGATCTACCATACAGCCGTTTCCATTCGCCAGCTGTTACCTAAGTATCCATCCTCCGGACTTTTTTAAGCCGCGTGGGTTCGGCCCCATTGCTTCTTGATGCCTGGAGAAAACATTGTTATTCGACACTGAACAGTCATATCCAAGTACCCTAACTGAAGAGAGCACCTACTTTCGACGCAATGAGGACACAGAACATGCGAGCGCTTCACTTGACCGCATCCGGAACATGTGCTGAGACTCTTGACGTCCTTCAAGGCCTTGCCGGCCATTTGCCGATGACGCTTTTTCATATGCGAGGTTTTCTTTTTGGGTACGGCACGGAGAACAGAATCCCACAGGTCGGCCATGATACCCGGGATACTTAGCGAAAAGGCAGCGGGCCTCAGAAGGTTGTAAGACCAGGCAGGGACGTTGAAAGCAAAAGCGAGTCGTCCGGCCGGCGCCGCGGGGGACAGCATTTCCAACAGATAGAGGCTTCGGGGTAGCATCTGGGATGAGGCACTGGATGGGAGGAGTCGCAGAGCCATTTCTGGGTGCCGATTAAGGGTAGCAGATTCGAGGGCAAATAATGAATTGGATGGGACGCAGCGCTGGCTGGCAAGGCGGGCATAAAATCGAATAATTCTGCAGCTTTTTTGGGCGGTGGCTGGCCCGATTTGGTGTCTGGAGATGCGCTATTACAGATATAGACTAGCGGGCCCCTGAGTCGCAACCGCCTGTTTGGGCCAGCAAGTACCTACCAACTTGGTAGATTGTAGGCATTGTCCTCCTTCCTGCATTTTAAGGGGCCCCGGCTATTTGCTGTCACTACTACGTACTACTGCTACTACTATTACTACTACTAATACACTGCTGCTATCACTCCTTCTTCTCTCTGTCGGTCTGACGCTTGGGCATTGCCAGCTTCCTATCCAATTGTTCACTTTACTTCGTCTCTTCCTGTCCCCTTCCCCTCTTCCCCCCTCCCCTTCCCCGAAGGTACTTGCCTATAGATACCACACCACGTCGTTCCACCCTTTCTCATAACCTCGAAGTCCTACACGATGGCGGCCGCGGCTAATTCGACTTCGACCTCTCCTGCGGCGGTCTTCCCTCGCAGCCATGTCGGTTTCGACAGTATTACCTCGCAGATTGAGCGCAAGCTGTTGAAGCGTGGTTTCCAGTTCAATGTGATGTGCGTTGGTGAGTCGAATCTGTTGCCTTCTTTCTCTCACGCTTGACTGGCCCCCCAGGCTAATCTACTTGAACGAACAGGCCAGACGGGTCTAGGGAAATCTACTCTGATCAACACCATCTTTGCTTCTCACCTGATCGACTCCAAGGGTCGTCTCACCCCCAATGAGCTTGTCCGCTCCACCACGGAGATCCAGACCGTTTCACACAGTACTAACCCCCTCCCCCGAAAATCCATTTCTTCTACAACTGTGGCATATCTAACCGGTAGTGTAGTCATTGAGGAAAATGGTGTGCGCCTCCGGCTGAACATCGTTGACACTCCCGGATACGGCGACCAGGTCAATAACGACAGATGGTAATAGGGAACTCTGTCTCACCATGGATATCCGAGCTAATTTGTCACTAGCTGGGATCCAATCGTGAAATACATCAAGGATCAGCACTCCGCGTACCTTCGCAAGGAGCTCACCGCTCAGCGTGATCGCTACATTCAGGATACCCGTATCCACTGCTGTCTCTTTTTCATTCAGCCATCCGGCCACGCGTGAGTGAAGACTATGCCAATTTCGAACCAGTCGGAAACTGAATTCTTGGTCATACAGTCTCAAGCCCATTGATATCGTCGTACTGAAGAAGTTATCGGATGTTGTCAACGTCGTGCCCGTTATCGCCAAGGCGGATTCGCTCACCCTCGAAGAGCGTCAAGCGTTCAAAGAGAGAATCAAGGAGGAATTTGCCTTCCACAATCTGAAGATGTACCCTTATGATAATGATGAACTCGATGATGAAGAGCGTGCCGTTAACGTCCAGATCAAGGTACGCCACCCTTTTCAATGAAACGCGTCCTATTTGAGTTCGTTTTCTAATGCCCGTCTAGGACATCATTCCATTCGCTGTCGTTGGCAGTGAAAGGACTATTGTTGTCAATGGTCAACAGGTTCGAGGCCGCCAGAACCGCTGGGGTGTTATCAATGTTGAGGACGAGAACCATTGTGAATTTGTTTACTTGAGGAACTTCCTTACTCGTACTCACCTCCAAGATCTCATCGAAACCACCAGCCAGATTCACTACGAGACCTTCCGTGCCAAACAGCTCTTGGCGCTAAAAGAGAGCAGTGCCGCGGGGGGCCATCCTGGCAGCAGCCGTCCCATCAGTCCCTCTGCGGACAGAGAGCTCAGCCGCAACTCGCAACGCATGACTATGAATGGCTATTGATTGAAATAAAGGGATTGATAAATTGCAATGGTTCAGCGAACCGGGCAACCGAAATGCACCGTTGCCCTGCATTAGGAGGCGGCCAACCAGAAGCTAGCCTCGGAGACTGATTTCCTTTCCTTCTATTCATGTTTTGATCCTATCGCACCAACTTCATATCGGCATGCTTTTTCAGATATCCTCTTTAACTTCGGGCTTTTCGTTCATCGTATTAGTGTTCATTTTACCTTCCACCCCCGAATTGGGGCGAGGGGCGCGACTCGACTTCATGTCCTTCAAATTGGTTATCCAAATCGAAATGACTCTAGCACAGAATGTTCCGGGCGTCGTCTTGTCGTTTCATGTACTTAATTCTTTAATATTCGTCCGTGAAGAATATAGCAGGTTCAAAATGCCGTTCAATGATGTTCCCATGTTTATAGTATGCTTACCGTTTCTAGTACCACCAAATATATCAACATCGCGCAGTCCATTATTGTCGACGTGATTAGAGGGGTATACCAGTCGAACTCCAGCATGATGCGTCGGTTTCACCGCCGTCCAAAATCTAATTTTCTTCAGGTCACAGTGTACGCTTTTACCAGGTTGTTGGGCATTGTGATCCTTGGACTCAAACTGTATGTAGTGCACTTGTTGAAGCTTTCCTCCGGTTTTACGCCTCTCACACAATATTCTCTCCCGCTCAAGTGCCCGTAACCGGAGCCAAGCGTGATTATCGGTGCGCTTCACCTGCTTCATACTCTATCTCACTCCGAATTGTCGGACATATGGTCTTTTGGGTCTAGTGTGGCCCGTCTCTTAGCCTGTATCCTCCGCAGCGTACTCCGTACAAGACGACTCTTTATCTCTATTCTGGTGTTAAGTGTACAAACCACCGGAATCCCCGGGTTTCTTCGGCGTTTGGACGCTAGTTACAGACCGGTTCCCACAAATCTGCGCATGCTTGACCGCTCCGCTTTGTCACTCGCACAATCCAGATGATCATAGTGATATATCTATTTTCGGGGCATTCAATTATTCCCGGGGGTCTGGTTGTATCGATTACAAAAGACCAAGCGAAATTCTACTCAAGGTATGGTTTAAAATAACCAAAGCCCAATTACAAGCAAGGGCGGACTGCTTCTAAACGAAAAAACAGAAGAACGAGATGCTCAACGCTGAGAGACGGCTTCAAAAGCAGGGTTGCGCACAGGCACTGATGGCTATTTTCACCACTAAAAGATGGAAAGCTAACACATGGGTCTTCCAATCAGTGTATACGTCAAGTATTTCGTATCAGCGGTGAGATTTTATGGGGTTAATTTTATGGTAGAATCAAAGGCAGTGTACGGAGTAGAAAGAAAGGGAAATGGTAGTCGTGAATACTGTTTGACGGGCATAGGAGGGAGACACTACAAATTCGAAAGCGGTCATGGTTCAGATGATTTAGAAGATTTCGGTAAGATCCTGCTTATCCTTCAACATATATTAACAAACACACTGCCCCACTACTATATTCATCACTAATCGGTGTGTGGAGAGATCCTGACCACTGGGTTGATCTACTAGGCCCTAATTCACGGCTTCGGGTGTATATTCTCAGCAGCCTGCGACTCCTGCTCCAGGAAATTCGACCAGAGCTCTGCCAGTGACTCTTTGTTCGTGTTGCTGTTATCCAAGAACTCTGTAGCTAGAGCTTGGCTGCTAGGCGTACGGTGAACAGGAGTGCTTGGGACCCTCAGCTTACCCATCGTGCTACTGGAGGTCCCAGGGCGTGACAGTCCTGCCTGCTCACGCTGTTCTGTCCCACAGAGTCAGGATCATTGTATACGTCCCTAAATTTGAATATGGGCGAATTGGCTCACCATCAGTCCAGCCCAGGAGCGCTGCAATAAGCTGCAAGATCTGGAACTTTTTCGGGTCAGATCGATCAAGAGCAAGAAAATGCAAAAGATGGTTCGTAACAATATGTCTAACATCTGAGTAAGTAGAAGTCCTGGAGGGCTTGGGGTGACTTACCTATCGACGTTATCCTCCGCCTTGCCTTTCTTGAGGAACCGCAGCGCCTTGGTCAAATGGTCATTTAGTGTCACCGCTTCATGCCTGAGCTTTCCAATCAAGAGGTTTTTCTCTTTGACTTCTTTCTCAAACGGCCGCACTCGCTCGAGCTCGTTTTGAGCGTCTTGGAGAGCCTTGTTGGCTTCCGAGGAACTCTTCTCTGCGCCATGAAGCTGTTTCTTCAGCTCTTCGAGTTGAATATCGGAGCTTTCTACAAGCTCCCGGAGTTCTTGTTTACGTGCTGGCGCCAGTTAGCATACACAAATACAGATCGGGCATACTTGTTTCCTCACCTGCTTGGATCTCTTGTAACGCCCGCTGCAATCCATCCACGGTGGCTACCTGCGAGTCAAGATCAGAAGCGGCTTTCTCATATGCGCCTTTGACGGTCACAAGCTGTTCCTCAAGATCTATAACTTTCTCTCCCAGATTCTCCCTAATAGACCGCTCCTCCATCGCTAGCACCTCCCAATTGTGCATGGCCTCCTTAGCCTGTTCAAACTCTGTTTGCAGATAGTTTTCCTGTTCGAGTATCTCTTCTTTTTCTTTAAGCCAGTTCTGCTGCGATAAGTTCGTTCGGTCTCGCAGTGTTGATAACTCTCTCAACATGTTGTTGTTCGCTTCTGAGACCCGTTCCAGATCGGAGAGCTTCGACTGCAGCCCTTCCTGCAAGCCTAGGTTCTGGCCCTCCAATTCTTCGATCCTTGATTTCGCCTGCGCGAGCTCCTCCTATTCGAGGGATTAGATGAAAGGTCGAAAGGGGTCGCCTGTAGATGGTGGAACATACAGCATCTTCCCGGAGCCTCTCGCCAAGCTGCGACTTGATGGTATTCACTCTTTCTAGGAGTTTCTGGAACTGTGACTCCGCATGTTCCTTCTTGCTCTCCGCATTTTCCAAGTTCTCCTGTAGGGCCGCCATGTCTGCGCGATGCTTGGACTGTAAGCCCTCCAATGATTTCCGCATATCTATCACTTCGGCGCGCAAGGTATCCCTATCTCGGACAAGGGCATCGAGCCGTTGATTTGACTTAAGAATGTCCGGGCTAGCTGATCTCTTTCCATTGTCCGCATGGTAAGTCTTATCATCAGCGATGGGCATTTCTGGGTCTTCAATTATCGCGCCGATGTCTGGTTTGGTCCCGTTGGCAGAGTCTCCGGTTCCGTGTCTTAAGATGGCACTTTGGTTGTCTGTGTCCTCCTGCACGTCGGTGATCCAAATTTAGCGAATGAAGACGATGCCATGTTAATGCGCAAACCCTTACACTTGACTGTATCGCCTCCAAAGCATCGTTGGCTTCCACCTCCAAGGATTCCTTAGAGCTTTCATGTTCAGCTGGTTCCCCAGATTCCATGGGTTTGACAGCCCCCTTGTTCCGCTTCTTGTTCTTCGGTTTTGCGCCTGCCGGCCAATTGTAAGCGGAAGTATTGAGGATTAGTGCAAACTGAGAATTATGGTTGACAACGGACCTTCGGGCATTTTCTTTTTCCAATTTTCCAAGACGTGAAGATTGTTCTTTGATTTGCTCTGGAGCTATGGCGGTATTCACTGCGCCAGAGTGCCGTATCTGTTGTGAAGAGATACAGTGTACAGACAATAGCTGTCAACATCACTAGCGCAAGGAGGTTGCTTCCGCAGTTCTCGCTTAGGCATGCAGAACCACCACACCTTGTTGAAGGCAACCAGATCAGGAACTCTATCTATAGCCTACCACAACATGCCATATTATCTAGTCCTCTTATGGGGTCTTCTGTCTATCCATAGATCATAACATGATATGTCTCCCTAGTTATATTCAGGACACTTAGTACAACAAGGTTACCCAACAATAAACGATCAGCATTCTACTCCGTACCTCGGAAAGCTATGCTCTGGGGGAGCATATCGCCCGCGATCGTTAGATATCAGAAGTATGCGCGCAATGAGATCATGAGCCTCAGTGGTTGGACTGAAGAGCCTTATGGTTGAAGTCAGCCATCCTCGGCATGGAAAACCGAACTGCGATTTGTCCAGCTCTACATATCCCGGATTTCCAAGCGATACCCTTTAAGTCAAACAATTAATTCCAATCTGGCCGCAAATTCACCTCTTCATCACATGAAATCATCAAGGAAGTCCGGGTCCCGGTCTTGGTTGCTACTCGCTTGGATGTTTTCTTCGCTCATCAGGTCATCATAAGCATGTTCTTTCTGCCACTTCAACTGTTCCCTTTCCCTTCTCTCCAGCTTCTCCCTGGACCGCTGTTCCTCTCTTGCCTTACGTTCGTCCTTTTGCTTCTTCCTCAAGTATTCGTCCTTCTCCGCCTTCAGGTCGGGAGACTTTTCAACGCGGGTTTTGTTCAGTCGGTTGACAATGGGGTTCTCCCGTTGGTGGACGTAAACCTTCCGGACCAGTTTGTGGTTGTGGAAAGAGACCTGGCCTGTTGCCATAGATCCATCCTTCATGAGGTTCGACCATGGTGTATATATGACCGTTATATTGTCCTTTTTGTTCCCTGCTCAACCGCTTAGACTACCTCTTCCATAGATGTTCAAATTCCGTTGAATTATCGCTGACCTTCTATCGAGTTTGCCTTCGTAAGCTGCGCGCAATCTTCCAGGAGTTGCTGTGGGATGTTGTCCCAAGTTTCATTTTCTTGGAGGCGGAGATAGACGTGAGCACTGGACAGATTATCAACATGGAACTAGACATAGTGTCAGTCTTTTCCTAAAATAAATGAATCTACCACAGCAATCAGACAAACGAACCCTGCGGGTGAGTTACACATGTACAAGCATTAGCGAAAGGTCGAGGGTAGCAGTCCAAAGGTCGCACTCTACCAGACATCTCTCTCTATGCCATATTTGATAAGGTCCTCATCTATGCACAGAAGTTATCAATTAGGCTTTGAGCATGCCTTCAGGATGTAATATGGCTAACATACTCTCGAATTTGTCTTTCCCAACATATATGATGGCAGGGGGTTCAACCACATTGGATACAAAATGATAAACCATTTTGCATATACCCTTTTCACAAAATATAGATGTAACTTCCTTCGTCCAGAAGAAAATAGTTACAGTGCCAGTGCGGTAGCAGCAACACAACAACAACAGAATGATTTCTTTTGATAGAAAGTTTCTTGATACTAGATTAGTTTACTAGAATGAGAGAATGTGCATAGATTAGTCATTGTTTTATTAACTCTGATTAACTGGCTATGCACTACGTACTCCGTACAACACCTTACAGGTCCACACAAGTGGTACCAGAGCTGTAAAATTATCTATTATAACAAACCAAATTTGCTATTTTAGTATGTACTACTACTAGGTAATCATTGATGTAGGTAGCAATTTTGCAGTTCATGAACGCTCTGATTGGTTGCTGATCTCGGGTAATTACGGCGGGCTACACAGACCGTGTACGCAGCCAGTGCTCCAGCCTGAGGCAGCGATAGCTGCCCCGTAACAAGCAGATTAGCAGAGAGGTTTAGATAGTCGCGCCCCGGAGGGGCGCGAGCTGCAAATTCTTGCTTAGCTATGCTCCACCTGATTAGGTACAAATTACCTAGTTAGTGATTATTATTGCGTAAGTCAAGTCATTTATGCATGCTTTTTCGAGGGTTTTAATCTTACTAATGTGATTTATAGTAATTATAGTGATTATCACTTTTGGGCTCCTTATCGGCAGGAACAGTGCTCTATTCAACTAAATGCATAGAGATTAGCAAGTAAACAGGCTTACTTGGTACTAACTATATGATGGATGTTTACATATACCAAGTCAAACAAGATGAGACTACGTATCCTTATTTTGACAGATGTACCTAGGAGTCTGGAAGTAAAATGTTTCAAACTCCTCAAGTAGTAAGTACTGGGTACCACTTTGTACTAGGTACTCTGTACCTAAGTATTTGTATGTGGTACCTACCTAAGCTAGTACCTGTAAGGTAGCCGGCACGCAGGTTATGTATGTTCCATGGATGGTTACAGGCACCATCTAAGGTGCCTTACCTCCACAATAATAGTACCTAAGGTGGTTATACTCTGTATAGAGTATACTTTGTACAAGATGTACTACAAGCTCATGCCATGCTAAAAAAACCTGAATACTGCACCCAAATACACAGTACAGTCTACCTAAGTACTGGGTATATATATACATACACCTTACTACCTACATAGGTACCTAGTACCTAGTACCTAGTAGTAGGAACTGGTTACCAGACATATAAAACATTAGTACCAGGTATTCTGTGACAATACCTAGTAGCACTCCGTACCTTAGGTAGCACCCAGTACGTACTCTGTACTGCCTCGGCACCTAATAACATTCAGCCTTCCAGCTTTTCAGCATTAGTACTAGGTATGTATAAAGTAATAGATAGGTGGGGAACCGCTCGTTTCGGCCTTGTTCGTAAGGTAACACTACATACATACCAGTACTGTCTTTATCCTATCGTGGAGCCCAAATCTGACACTTTTCCCAACGCGAGGAAAAACCGTTGCGCCAAGGGCTCAATACTACCTACTACAGCGGGTGAGCCCGTACGAAACCCCACCTGCCACATGGCCATACAAATCAAAGTCTTCATGGGAGGGAAATTAAAGAGGGTGAGCATGACGGGGAAAAAGGAAAAGCGGACCGCAAAACATATCCACTGCTACAGTCTCGGTTTCGACAGGATGGGCCGGGATTTTTCAGGATCATACAAGGAAAGAACTGATTTATATCTTTACAGAATTATTCCCAACCGGAAAAAGGATACAGATTTGGGAGAAGAGAGGCGAATGTCATACTGTCTAAAGCACAACAACAGTTTGCACATGTTGCTAACTTGCTAGGCTGTATGAATAAGTGATCACCACTATTGTTTATTATTTCTGTTGTTGGTATTTGCTGTGGTAGTGGTATCACTGCCTATTATTTTCAGGTACTAATTATTATAAGTGCTCAGACAAGGCTTTTTTTATTTCTTTCATTTTCCCCTTTACTTTGGTTTTGAAAGAAGAAAGAAAAAAAATTGGGGTTGGAGGGGGGATAAATAATAGCAAACACAAACAAGAGCAAAGATGTAAAGAGTAAATAAGGAAGGGTAAAGGGAAAGAGAAGGAAATAGAAAGAGAAAAGAGGAAAGGGAAAAAAAAGATGGGATGAAAAGGGAACTGGTTTCACATTAAAATTACTATTTAATATTTAATTGTTGTGAGCTCCGTATCTAGTCTCTATGGAGTATCTAGTAGTATTGCTATTCCTTGTAATTGTCAGAGAGTTGATCCACGATTGCCCACCAAACCCCCTGCTCCACCTTGGACCGCGTTAAATTGGGAAGGTCGGAGCTTGCTAAAGACAGTCCAGTCCGCAGGTGGAAAAATCTGATGAAAAAAGCCAGGGATGTATTTCAGCCCCCCTTTCTTCTACATCTATTAATCTGGCTTATCCTCCCCCAGTGTTCTGCATTTCTGTCTGCTATCTTTGTCTCTCAATACTCCCGCCAGCCGGAACCCGTGCCAACCCTAACGCATCTTACAAGCTACTCTAGATGGCCAACTCCGCATCCTCTCCTGAAGTTAAAGCCGCGTTAGATCGCGCCAGAGATAACCAAGGCGACACCGCAGCAGTGGCTTTGCTCGAGACTGCCGTCGGGAAGCTATGGGAACGCATCAAGAGGGAGCCCGAATATGTGCTCACTCGCGAGGAATTCGCTCTGTTCAACTATTTTATCTATCGCTATGGGAAGCTACCTGAAGGCCGAAGAGCCGTGGAGCAATTTTGGAACCATTACAACCCGAACAACTCGGCATCCAACGGGAGCAAGACATAGTGATGACTATCGCCCCACTGTCGATTGCCATCTATACGTCCACACCACCCTGATGCCACTTCCTCCAAGGACCGATCAATTCGTCCCCGGACTAAACGCTTGGGGGAGACCATCGGAGCCCGGCCAGGTTTGATATAAAAACCGGGGTCAAGCAGAGAGCCAAACAAACACTCAGCAAATCCACGTTCACGCCCCCCGTCGGTCTGCCAAGACAACCGGCATATCGGGGATGCGACATAAAGGCGAGGAATTATTTTTATATCCTCGGGCATCAGCATTTGCATTTCAAGCCACACAATGACTACGTCGGATCAGAGGGCACTACATATTTACATTGCCCCCTGGTATCTGGTATGCTTTATGGGTTGATCACGCATTTCGACCTTTATCTCCGAGCTGTGTCGATTCGGTATCCGAGCGGGCGAGCAATACTCGGGTAGTATAATGGTTCATCCGTCTACTACTCCGCACGAGCTTGAAGGATGGAGCCGCCTTGAACAATTGGCTCTCATTTTTATTTTTGGTTTTTTAAGCTCTTTTGAAATTGATTGTTTCATGAAATCTTTTCAAGCTCGTGTTTAACATATTCTTATACTTCCTTCTATTTGTTTTACTTTCTCTCTCTATTTTCCCCCGTATTACTTGATCACCGGTATCCTTTTTTCTGACCTACACCCCCTCCCTGTTTTTAACAAACAGACGTTAAGCCAATTTTTAATACATTGTGGCATTCTATGAGGCGACAAGCGAGCATCATCCACATGACTCCCCTTTGTCTCAACTTCTCCATCCTCTAATGTTGATATATGGCTTTAGGAACCCGCGCTGTCCTATTTTGCCGCATTCATGCATGGAGTAGGGGCGCTGCAAAAGCCCGACATCGGTCTTGAGCCGAAGACGGTACTAGGTGGTTATAACAGTTACCTACTCTTTCAGAACCAACCAGACTACATACACATGCGTGGTTTCACGGATAGAATAACTGCAGGACTTCTGAGTTAAGAGACAGGGTAGGGTAAACAACACAAGAACAACACTGCATGAATGGAGCTGGCATCAGGAAGCGTGCTGTATCTATTCCTATCTTCTTTGGCAACATGGTAAAACATTGTCGGGCGTGAACAACGTCCTAGTACTGCTGCTACTACTACTACCACCACCACCATCTTTAGGTAAGTAGCACTAGATACTAGGTACAGTTGGTACTGAGCAGCTGAAGACTGCCGTACAGATGGACATGCAACTACACCTTAGATCCGCCATGGTAGTTCTGCACAAGTCATCACAACATACTAATGATAGAACCCTTGTCGCTGTGAACTCTGCGGAGAGACCCCGTGATATTAACTACGCCCTAGCGGTCCTCGATCCAATTATGGCCATTCTTTTCACTGGGTGCTGGATAGGTGGTATCTGCAAAGTATCTACTTCCTGTTTCTCCACGTTCGGGCTTCAGGCACCGGCCCGATCAAAGCAGACACGCTAGTCCGCTCGCAGTAGGTGGGGGTGGGGACTCGCCGGCAACTGGAAAGCTGCAAATGAACTATTATAGTATCTATCTACTTATGTATTATTCTATCTAGACTACTTACGGAGTACTCCGTCGCCCCTGGCCCGGGTTTTGAGTTGCATCCTAATCCGGCTCGCGCGCGGATTTGATTCCGCTAGCCCCCCAATTGGATGATTACGGAATGGGCCGATGCCTATCCAAGGCTCTTACTTCTCCTACCTAGGTTCCAAGTTGCTCTGTTTACTTATCTGTCAATATAGTAATATATAGTATGGTATATTTGTATATTTGTAGGTATAGTCTCAGATGCCTCCCGGTATTCATGTATGGACGCCACCGTCACCCGAGGAGGAATATGACCTGGTACTGGGGGCTTTGTTAGCCTCACACTTATCTTGCCGGGCTACTACTATGATATGATGCAACTAGGTTTATAGATAGAAGATTGTTCCATCTCTGGCTTACTAAGAATAGAATATAGTTATTCTATCTCTGGCTGAGTAAATATATAAACTAAATTAATTATTAGATAAAAATTATTAAATATTTAGAATATTAATATTATAATACTAAAAAATATTTATTTTATTTATTATTAGTATTCTATATCTGTGTTTTAGATTATATATAAATAAAATATTTAAAAGTCTTTATATTTCTAAGAATCTATTTTATTAATTATAAGTCTGGATTTATTAATTTATTAAATTATTTTAAATTCTATATTTTAAGAGATTTATATTAGCTTAATATTTTATATAAATTATTTAATTTTTTTATTTATATATTTAACTCTTAATTTATTTCTAGAAATATTATTAATCAGTATATTTTTAATTATTAATCTTAAGTTATTAAAATATTTTAGCTATAAAATCTAAATTAATAATAAAAAAGTTAATTCTAGATTCTGATATTAGAATAAAAAAGTTTAAAATTAATAAATTAATTAAAAAAAATATTTAATATTAATTTTATTTAATAAAATAATAACTATACTTATAATCTATTTAATAAATAATTAAATTTTATAATAAGATTTCTAGAGAAATTCTGGATAAATTTATTATATTAAATATTAAATAATAAAAAATTAATATAAAAATCAGAATAATAATTTAAATAGAACTTAATAAAAATATAATTTTAATTATTAAAAAATTTAAATATATTAAAAAAATATAATAATATCTATAAAATATTTATATAAGATTTTTTAAGATTTTAAAAATATAGTAATTACTAAAGCTAATTAATGAAAAAAAAATTTTAATTATATTAAAAAAAAAATATTTCTTAAAATTAAAGAAACTATATTAATAATTAGTTAATATTTATAAAACAAAATTAAATCTTAATAATCTCTTTATTATATAATATTTTAATAATTTATTAAATAAATATATTAATTTTAAAAATATAATAATTAGTTTAAATATTTCTTTAATCTCTAATTATTTTATAAATTATATAAATAATTATAATAATATAAATTATAATAAAAAATATTAATAAAAAAAAAGATTTAGAATATTTAATTTTAAGAAGAATATAATTTATTTTAATTATAAAAAAAAATTATATAATAAAAAATTATTATTAAAAAAAGAAAGATTAATATTCTAATAATTTAAAAAATAAAATTAAAAAAAAAATATCTTAATAAAAAATAATTTATTAAATATAAGAGATAATCTGCTGATTATTAATTTAAAAAGAAATTAAATTAAAATTATAATAATAAAAATACTTGCAGAGTAACTGTCTAATTCTTTAAAATAATATATTATTATATAAAAAAGATTAATATCTTTTTTAATAATTATAATATTAAAATAAGATTAACAGAGAATATTAATATAAAGTTAAATAATTTTAATTAATCTAATTAATAATATCTTAATAATAAAGTAATCTACTATATAATAAAGCAAAGAGAAATATTTATTTTCTTAGATTTTATATAAAAAGAAATTCTTTTAATAACTAATAATAATAAATTATTAATCAAAGATTATAAAATAATTAAATTTAAGCTTCTAAATAATTTTATAGTAAGATTAGAAGATATTATATATATTTTAGATTTAATAAATAATCTTCTTTTTTTAAAGATATTTTATATTAATAAATATAAATTATAAGAATTTAAATATAATTATCAGATTCTAAAGAACAGCAGAATAATTATAAAAAATAAAAAATTAAATAAAATAATATATCTTAATATAATAAAATATTTAATAATTTTAATTCTTAATCTACAGAAGATTAAATATTATATATATGTAATAATCTTTAAAAATATAGTTAAAGTAGAAAAGCAGAGCTTAATATATTAATATTTTAAATATTTTTAAAAATATTATTTTAATAAATATATAATTTATTTAAATATAAAAAATCTATAGCTTAAAAAAAGAAATTAATTATTTAAAAATAAATATCAAATCTATATTTATATAAAATAAATTAAAAAATAAAGTTATATTTTTATTTTATATATTATTTAATCTTTTAAATATATTTATATAGACTTCTGAAACCCGAATTATAAAAGAATTAGAAAAAAGAAATATTATTTTTTTTAAATTAATAATTATAACTATTTTTTATAAATATATATTATAAAATCCTAGAAAATTAAAAATATTTAGAAATAATTAAATATTTAACTCTAATATATAGAATATTAAACAGAAAAGATATTTATAATAATCTAAATTAATAATATAAAAAAATTTATTATTTTAATTTCTTAAGATTAGTTTAAAGATATTAAGTTTAATTTTATTAAAATAAAAATACTAATCTAGAATAATATTATTAAATAATTTAATTAGATTATTCTAGAGATTATATATATTTTATTAATTAAATTAAAAATTAGTAAAATATATTAGAAATAGACTATAAATATAGTTAATTATTTAAGAAATTATATAATTATTATAAAGAATTTAAAGAAGATTTATAAAAAATTAAAGATTTTATTTAAACTTTAATTTAATTATTTATCTAATATTAAATATCTGCGGACTTAAAAATATAGAATATTATATTATTATAAAAATATAAATAAACTAGAAAGCTATATATCTGAAGAAATATTTTTAAAATATAAAAAGAATAATAAATAATATATTATTATATTAAAAAATAATAATATAATAAGATTTATTATAAATTCTAAATTTTATAAAAAAATTTAAAATATTATTTAAATATTAATTAGATATTTTATAATTTATCTAAAGAATAATAATTATTTTATATTTTATTAAATAATTTTATTTCTCTAAGTAATCTTTAATTTATAAATTTAAATTTAAAATCTGTTATAAATCTTTAATTAATAATTATAGACTTAAATATAAGTTTATTAAAAAATAAAATTAGATTAATAATTAAATTAATTAATTTTATATTTTTAAAGTAATCAGCTACTATAATTAATAAGAATAATTTTATTATTAATAATATAATTAATAAAAATAGTTCTACTGCTTTAAATAATAATATTAAGAATAAAAAAGAGATTACTACTTCTAAGAATAAATTTCTTAAAAAAGAAGAATAATCAAAGATTAAATTATTTTAATCTAAATATAATAAATATTTATAATAATTATTTATAAGACTCTTAAAAAGTTAACAGCTCATAGAAATAAATAAAAAATTAAGAAGAAATATTAAATACTCTATTATAAAATAAAATATAGATAATTATTTAATATAATATATTAAAATCTTTTTTATTCTTATCTTTAAATTTTTAAAACGAATTATAAGTATAAAATAATCAGAAATATTTTTATAAATTTAAATATTTAAATATCTAGATTATATAATAAAATAATTAATAATTAAATTTATAAATCTAAATAAATTAAAGTTATATAGAAAGAACTTATTATATTAATTAATTTTAAAATTTAAAGAATTATCTTAAGAAGAAAAGCAAAAGAAATTATTTTTTTTATATATTAAATTTTTAATATTAAGACTAATATTAATAAAAAAATTAATTAGTTTAAAATAAGATTAATAATTAAAGAAAATAAATAATTAAAAAATAATTTTAATAAAATATTTATTTTAATATTTTATCTAAATAATCTTAGAATTATTATAGTAATATTAATAAAATTAAGATATAAAACTTATCTTTTAAATATATTAAATATCTTTGTTAATTTAGAGTTAGATAAGTCTATTTATATAAAAAATATTCTAAGAGTTGTAAAAATTTAATTATAAAATAATTAAAAATATAATACTAAAGCTGAGAAAGTTTCTATATAAATTTAAATAATTAATTAATTTTTAAAATTAAAAAATAATTAACTTTTTAAGAAAATTAGATTTAAATTAATTATTATTAATCTAAATATTTTTATTAATATATAAAGAATAATTATTATTTTATATATTAATAATATTCTTATCTTTAATTATAAAGAAATAGAAATTTATAATATTAAAAAAAAATTAAAAACTTTTTATTTAATAATTAATTTTAATTTAATCTAAAAGCTTCTAGATATTAGATTTATCTAAAAAGAAAATTAATTAAAATAAATTAAAAAGTCTATATTAAATAGATTTTTAATAAATTTAAAATAATAGATTATAAGTCTATTAATATATTAATAAAATTAAGTATCTAATTTAATATTAATAGTCTATAACTAGATAAGAAGAATTATAAAATATTTAAAATAATAATTAAAAAATTAATATTCTTAATATATAAATATAATTAAATATTATATTTTTAATTAATTAATTATTCTAATATTTAATTAATCTAAGCTAGATTTATTTATCTATTACAAAGTATATTTTAAGATATCTTAAAATTATAAAAAATTATAAAATAATATTTTTTATTAAAAAAATAAGAAGAAGATCTTTTTTATATATATTAATTTAATATATATTAATATAAGATTAAAAAGATTAACTACTAAATATATAATAATAATTAATAATTTATTTATTTATTAAATTAATAAAAAATAAATTATTATTACTTAGAGCTTTATTAAAGCAGAGTATATTATTATTATTAAAATAATTAAATAAATAATCTAATATAAATATTTTTTATATATAATTAAAAAGAATATTATATATTAAAATATTTTTATTATATTATATAAAAATAATTAGAATATTATTAAGATTACAGAGAATCTAGTAAATTATTAATAAATAAAATATATATCTATTTAATATTATATTATTTATAATTATATTATAAATAAAAAGATTTAAATTATTTATCTATTGTAAGGATAGTAATCCTTATAACCCTTGTGATATAATATATCACAAGGAATGCCTATACTGCAGAGACAGTTCCTTGCGAAATAATTATATTAATATAATATATAATTTACAGAATTTTTATAGATATATTTATCTATAAAAAAAGCTAGATAAAAAATTAATAATAATATTTTAAATAATATAGATATTATTCTAATTTTATAATAAATATATTTTTTTTATATTATTTTAATATATATTTTTATAATCTTATTATTTAAAATCTATAAGATAATCTATTAAAATTATATTTATATAAAATATTAAATATTATATTTATAAGAATTCTTTTAATCTTCTAAAAATTAATTATAAAATTATTATAGAAAAAATAATTAAAATAAATATAATCTTATTATTCTCTAAGAATCTTTATAAATAATTAAATATATTTTAATAAATTATAAAATTAGAATAAAGATTTAAAATTTTTATAAATAATAAAAAAATTTATAAATCTTTAAATAATCCTGATATTTTATTTATAAAATTAAAAAAGACTAATATATATATATATTTTTATAAAATAATAAATATTATAATACTTGTGATTATATTATTTTTTAATTATTTATTATTTAGTAGAAGTCTATCGCGGGGATTAATAATTAAAATAAAAATTAATAAATATAAATTATAATAATTTATTTAAATTATATATTTAGTAATTTATAGAAAAATAAAGCTATAAAGATTTTTTAAGAGAATAATTAAATAAATTTTTATAAATTTTTTAAAATATAGCTAGATAATTCAGAGAATTATAAATAAAAAATATAATTATAAATTCTAAAAATAATTTTTTATAAAAAAAAATTTATATATCTATAATATTAAAAAAAGATAAAAATAAAACTAGATTATAAAATATAAAAACTAAATATTATATAATTATGTTTATTTTTTAAATTATTTTTATAAAATATAAAATAAAAGATTTATAAATAACTAGACTTTTTTATTATTAAATAAGATTTAATTATATTATTTATAAAATTAAGATTAAATATTAACTAATAAAGCAAGAAAATTAATTATTTATAAAAAGAAAATTATTATTATTTATAAATTAAATAAAATAATTTAATAATTAAAATTATTATAAGAAATTTCTGCAGAGAGATATTTTATAATTAAATATATTAAAAATATTTATTCTGTAAGACTCTATATCAGTATTTATAAAAATAATAAAATATTTTAATTATAAAAAATAAAATTATATTATAAAGAATTATTATTAATATAAAAATAAAAATTTTAAAAAATAACTTATAGTCTAAATAAATTATAAGAAATTAATAGATATATTTTTTATAATATATTTTATTCTAAGATTATAAAAATAATTATTTATATAGAATAAGACTAATCTACTTAAAAAAATTAATATTTTAATTAATATAAATATAGAAGTAAATCTGATACTTATAATAATAATAAAAATTATAGAATAATTAATAATATTTATAAAGATTTTTATAAGATTATTAAATAATAATAATATTTAATTAGAAAAAACTATAATATTTAAGATTAATTTTATAAATATAGAAAATAATTATAAGATTTATAAAAAAATTATTATTATAATATATAATATAAAGAAAATTATATTAAATATATTATAAATTTAAACAAAGATCTCTGTTATAAAATTTCATTAATATTATTTAAAATTTTATAAGAAATAATAAGTTAAGATATAATATATTATTATAATAAAGTTTCTTACAGAGAAGCTAAAGACTGAATAATTATAAATTATAATAATTAGATTTATTTATAAAAAAGCAGATCTAAAAATACTTTTAGAATAATTTTATAAATTAATAATATTTATAAAAAATAAAATAATAGACTGTTTATTTTTATAATTAAATATTAATCTAAAGATAAATCTAAAAAAAGATTATAAATTAAAAATAAATCTAATCTATAAAATATTATTTATAAAACAGAAATAGAGTGGCTTAACCTGATCATTATATCTTAACCTTAACCTGGCCATAATCTGATAGTCAGATTAAAATATAAAGAAATTTTAACTATATAGTTAAGATTAGATTAAGATATAATTATTATTATAATTATTTATATCTGCTGATTAGAAAAATTAGATATAGTAAATAAATTAATAATTATAGATTAATTTATAATATATATATTCTTTTTATAAAAATAATATATAAAATATAATATATATTTAATTATAGTATAAATATAATAATATTTTTTAGATATAGTCTACTACTTAATTTATTTAATTAATTATTTTAAGAGATATATTATACTCTAAAAAAGACTTTTATAGAATCTAATATAAAAAAAATAAAAAAAAATATAGAATATTTATTCTTTATATTATTCAGAATAATAATTATAATAATATAAAAATTATAAAAACTAGATCTCTATCTTTATCTAAATATATATAATAATTAAAGACTTAGATAAGACTAGTTCTTCTAATTTTAATAATAATCTATTTTCTGAATTATTTTTAAGATTATCTATATTCTTATTTTTATTAATATAAAAAATAGTAATTATTTTATTTTTCTCTTATTTTTTAAATATAAAAATAATTAAATCTAAATTAAAATTATCAAGTATATTCTAATATTTTTTATTTATAATAAAATAATTAATATATATTTAAAATATAATTATTTTAATTATATTAAAATTAAGACAGCTCCGGTAATAATAGTAAATATTTTAAGAATTATTAAAAAAATATTTAATATTAATATTATTAATTATAATTAAGAAAAAATCTCTAGCTATTTAATAAAAAATAGAAAATTAATTATAATAGAATTTTTAATAAATAAGAATATTAGTATATTTTATAATATCTAAAATTATATTAATTTAATTAAAAATATCTTAAAAAGCTATATATTTTTAATATCTAAATATATTTTAAATTTTTTATATATCTTAATTATAGATAAAAGTCTTTAATATTTAAAAATATTATAAAAAATCTTATTCAGATCTGATAATAATTTAAAGATTATTAATAATATATTAATTATTAGATTTTAACTAGAATAGAAAGAGAATATCTTTTTAAAAATAATTTAATATTTATAATATTAATTAATATTATTATTTAGTTATATATCTTTTTTAAATTTCTTAAGCTTTAATATCAGATTCAGAATAATTATAATTATATAGATATAGTTTTCTGTTTAATAAATATAATAATAATATTTTCAGAGCTTCTAATATATATTATATAAATTTTTAAAAAATTTTTTTTTAAAATATCTATTTTCTTTTCAGTTTATTAATTAAGTAATTTAAATAATTAAAGAGATTATTATAAATATTATAAATTTTATAAATAATAGATCTACTGTTCTTAGAAAGACAGAAAATAAAAAAAAAATATATAAAAATTTAAAAAAATATTTTATTTATTTTTATTTAATTATAATAAAATAAAGATAATTAGTATTATTATATTTATAATATTAAATAAAACTTTTAATTATTTAACAAAGATTAAATATCTAATAAATTATAAAATAAATTAAGTTTTAGTGAGTTTTATAATTAAGAAAAAGATAGTAAACTAAACCAGATTTAAATTATTAAATAAATAAGAACTTTTTATAATATTAAGAGCTTATATTTATAAATTATATAATCTTCTAAATCTGTAATTAAGAATTAATATAATAAATTAGTTAATAAAAGACTTCTAGAAACTTTTTATAAAAAAAAATTTTATATTAATTTTTTATAAATAACTTCTAGAATATATCTTCTTAAAAATTTTTAAAATATTAAAAAAGACTTTAAGATTTTTATTATTATTTTTTTATATATATTTAATAATATTATTTAAGATCTTAATCTAAAGTTTTTATAGAAAAATATTAATTATAAATTAAATTATATAAATAAGACAGAGAATATAATACTAGCTTTAAATAATTTTTAAAAAATTAGAATTAATTAGAGTATTATAAAACTAAGTATTCTAGCTAAATTAAGTTTAAAATTTAGCTAAGATTATATTAAATATTATATTATTATTATTAATATTATTAGTTATTATATCTAATAATTAATAAATAAGATTATATTTATATAAGATTAATAAAATAATTATAGCTAGATTCTTATTAATATAAAATTTAGATATTAATCAGAAATCTAGCAAAATCTTATAATAATTTATATTTTTTATTAAAAAATATTTAATTAAATTAAAAAATATTTTCTAATTAGAGCTGATCTAGTAGTCTATTATAATTAATATTTATTTAATATTTAGAAATTTTAATAGCAGCTATATATATATCTCTTTAGATAATTTTATAAAATATTTTTTAATTTATATTTAATTAGAAAAATTTAATTTTTAATAGAAAAATAAAATAGCAAGATTAATTATTTATTTAAATTAAATATATTTAATAATTTAAAATAATAAATAATAGATAATTATAAAATATAGAACTTAATTCTGAAAATCCTGTTTATTATAAATTATAAAGATCTAGAGAAAAATAATAATTAAAAAAGATTTATTTTAAAAAAAAAAATAAATATTTATAATAATTCTTTACTTAATATCTAATTAATTATTTATTTAAATATAACTAATAATAATTTCTTTTTATAATTTTTATAAAGATAATAGTTTATAGAACTAGTTTCTAAGTTTTTAATTCTTAAATATTATAAGATATAAAAATATATAATATAATAGATATAAGAAATTTTATTAAAAAATAATATATTTTTTTAAAAATTATTTTATATTATTAATAATTTTTCTTAACTAAAGTAAAATAATAATTTTTTAATTTATATATAATTTTTAAAAAAGATTATTTTCTGCTATTAATTCTAAAAAATAAAGAATTTTTTTTAAAAAATTAAATATAAAATAATCTTCTGATTCTTTGTATTATATATAATCTTAAGATTTTAAAAAAAAGAAAAGATCTAATTTAAAAAGCTTATCTTAGTTTAGATATTATTATAATTTATAAAGATCTAAGAAATAAAAAAAAAAGATTTAATAATATTTTTTAAAAATAAATTAAATAATTATAATTAATTTATAATTCTAAAGCTGTTCTATAAATAATAAATATAAAAAAATAAAAATAGAAAACTCTGCAAAGATAGTTTATTTTATTTTAAAATATAATTTTATATAAATATAATTTATTATATTTTAATATATAACTAAGATACTTATTATATTTTATTTATTTTAATAAATTTAATAAGCAGAAATTTATATCTAAAACTTAGAATTATAAAATAATTTTTTTTAAATAAAACTATTTAAGATATAATAAACTAAAATAAAAAATAGATATTTATAAAAATAATCTATAAAAAATTTTTATAAAATTTTTTATAAAAGCTATAATATTATAATATAGATTTAATATATTTTATTTATTTATTTTATTTATTTAATCTATTTAATTTATTTAATTTATTTAATCTATTTAATCTACTTTATTTTAATAATTTAATTATTTATAATTTTTTGAATTATCTGCTAATTTCTAATTTTATTAATAGTTTTTTAAGCTATATCTTATTTATAAATCTAAGAATAATCTAATTCAGAAAAAATAATAAAATAAAAATAATATATTTATTTCTAATATTCTAATTAATAATTAATATATAGTTTTTCTAATATTTTATAATATAATTAAAATATATAGCTAAAATAGAGCAGTAATTATATATTTTTATATATATTTTTTATTATAAAAATAATAATTTTATAAAAAACTAAATTTTATTAATATAACTAAGATTTTCTTATTATTTTTAATAAATAATAATAAAAAAGATACTAATTTCTTTTTTAATTATATTTTTTTAATCTAAAAAGCTTTTTTTTATATATTTTTAAGTAATAATAAAGATGGCCAGATTAATAATTATTTAATCTAAATATATCTTAATTATATTAAAGCTTAAAAAGATATAGTAAATAGATCTTGATATTAAAAATAATTAAAATAATTAATTATCTGATTTTTAGCTATATTATAATTAGATATAAAAATTTTCTTAATCTAATTATAATCTGGCAGTTAGATATAAAAATTCTAATTAACCTGACCTGACCTGGCTGTTAGCCACTCTAAACAGAAAGTATTCTAAGAGTATTTATAAGAATATTTTATATATAAATAGATTTAATATTTAAAATTATTTATTAGAATATTAGTTCTCTTTATAAAAAAAAATAAAAACTTATAAATATATATTAATTATTATAAATTAAATAAATAAATTATTAAGAATAAATATCTGCTATTATAAATTAATAATTATATTAATTAATTTATAGAGATATTATAATTTATATAACTTAATCTTTATAAAATTTATTATAGAATAAAAATACAGTAGATTATAAATAAAAAATAATCTTTTAAATAAAATATAGCTTATTTAAATATTTAATTATATTATTTAAATTAATTAATATATTTACAGGATTTTAAGATTTTATAAACTTTTTATTTATAAAGTACTTAAATAATTTTATAATTATTTATTTTAATAATATTATAATATACTCGCAAGATCTAAAGATATATAAAAATAAATTTATAAAATTATATATATTTTAGTTAAAATAAGTTTATATATAAAGCTAAGTAAGTATTATTTTATATAAATAAAGATTAATTTTCTTAGATTTATTATCAGCTGTAAAGATATATAAATAAAATTAGAATAGATAATAATAATTTATAAATAATTAAAATTATAAAATATAAAAAATATATTATAATTTATAAGATTTATAAATTAATATTAATAATTTATTTAAGAATATTTATAAATAATAATTTTATTTATAAATTTTATTAAGAAATTTTATAAGAAGAAGAAAAGAAATCTGATATAAGATTTTTTATAATTAATATTTATAAAAATTTTAAATAGCTGAAGATAATATTTATAGAAAATATTATAATTATTTATTTTTAAAAAAAAATAAATATATATTAAAATAGATATATTTAGTTTTATAATTAATAATATATTATTATAAAGAAACATAGATAGTCAGTAAATTTTAATTATATTTTATTTATAAAAAATAATTATAATAAAAAAGAATTATAGAATTTATAATTAAAAATTATTTATAATAATAAAATTATTTAGAGAATAGTATCACTGACTAGAGAAAATAAATCTTATAATAAAGATATTTATTAATTATAAAAATCTTAAATATTTTATAATCAATCCAGAGCTGTTATAAAAATAAATATAATAAATATAATAAATATAATAACTTATAATATTTTAATTTTATTTCATTTATTATTTAAACACACAGAATTTTATAGATATATTTTTATAATATTTAGATTATAAAAAAAAATAGCAGCTAAGAATTATAAGAAATTAAATAAATTAATTTTATAATAATTATTTAATCTATTTAGATTATAAAAGCTAGAAAATATAAAGATAAAAGTTTTATTTATAAATATTAAATAAATTCTTACTTACAGATATATCTTAAATATATAAAAAATTATAAAAGAAAAAATAATAAATAATATTATTATTATAAAAAATTATATTATAAAAATT